CCCGGCTTTGTTGAAACTCCCAAGAAATAAATCAGGTCTCTACGCCTTTCTCTCTCTCACTCGCAATTTTTTTTTTCTCTTTTGCTTGAATACTTTGCCTGCAAGAAGCAGGAACCGAACCATTGTTATACATTGTGCAAGGCATCCCTTCTTCTCTTTTAGAATTGGCATGAGATGTGGGATCGGCTACTTTTAACAACTCATGATTTACTCTTCTCTTTTTTCTTTCCAAATTACATTAATAAAAAGACTTCATCAAAATCCAAAACAATAGACCAAATTTACATATTAGGCATATGAAGGCAAGAAAGAAAAAATATCCCTTTTTTTTTTTGCTAATTTTATTTTTACTTTCCTTCATATGCGGACAAGATCAACTCGACAGCGTTCATATACACGGTGATACGTGGACATAGTCTGCGGCTCATCCTCATCCATCAGCGTAAGCATATCATCTAGGAAAGCATTAGGAATTGGATGGATTGTAAGGCGTGCATATGTTCCTCCTGATTGGCCCTTACTAAGCTGGCTGGGATTCACAATGATAATATTATCAGTTATCTAGCATCGATTAGGGACAAAGGAAAAGTGAGTACATTGTATTTGTATTTAAGCTGAATGATTGAGAAGGTGGCTTGCGTAGGCGGCCCAACTGTAATAAATGATTTAACAGATATGGAAAGATAGGAAAGGCAGCTTACTTTTGCAAAGCTCTTGAGTTTACTAGGCAGGATCATGACATCTGGACAAACTCGTAAGTCCATGAGTTCATATTGGTTAAAGTCGACACCGCATTCGATATCTGAACCCAGTCCTGGATATACAGGGTGCATGCTACATCAACATAATGACCGGAAAGATAGTTAATGTTCTACACATGACTATTCTAAAGATGTTATCAAACCAGCTGGAAATGGAGAGAGGTCCATATATGACATACTTGCGTTGCTCGATAAGATACTTTGACAAACGGCACATTCGGTCTGTTTGTCCTATACTACGTGCAACTTCGTCGCCACTCAAATGCATCAAAATATCGGAGGTGTTAACAGCAAATACCATCTCATTGATCTTAAACTGGGCGGGGTTAGGAAGACAACGCGTTCCCTATGGAGAAGGATTTTATTTTATTTTTTTAAATAAAAAAAAAAAAAAAAAAAAAAAAAAAAAAAAAGTTAATACTTGAGCAGACTTATTTCAGCAATACTTTTGAATGGCAAGTGTATACATTGACATTATCGCTTACAGTTGGCAGGCTAAGTTGACGGGGGTGCTCAAAACTTGGCTGAGGTAAGACTACAGAATCATGAATGATATCCTGTAAGCTGGGCACAAGCAGAATTTGCATCTCCTTGGGATATCGCTCTTGGTATCGCGTTAGTTGTGTTGAGATATACTTTGTGAAGTATGCCTCTGGCATCATATCCACATTTCCGGATTGGATGACAGGATGCTGAGAAGAAATGAATGGACCCATCTATAATTAAGAACATCATCTAGGAAAGTGAGCAACTCGTGGCTTGACTATTCTCTGTGAACAATCATGGTTATAAAAAAAAAAATAAAAAATAAAAAATAAAAAAAAAAGATATAAACGACAGTACCAGTAAGAGCACATCTGGTCTTTCACTGTTAACGTGCTCCATCAAAGCAGAGAACGGCTCAAACAAGAGATTATCATTCAAAGTGTAGGGTCCTGCTGCAGCAATTATCTTGATGGGTTGTCCAGCCAACTTTCGATGATGCAACTCCATAAGTTCAAGCGGACTAGCGCTTGCCATCGGCATCGCTGGTAACTAATGAAAAATAAAGACGGAACAATGTCACTAAAAGACTTTCACCCTAGTTCCTACCAGTTTACATGTCCTCCACTCTATGTAATGTAAAAAGTATAAAAAATTAAAGTAAAAAAAGACAAAATATATACCTCATGCACACGGGTGACTGCAAAGACTGAACCATTGGCATTGATTCCACTTAATACTACGATTTGACCCAAGAAGAATCCGAAATCTGTGATTTCATTAACATCAAGCCTGACTCTTGAACCACCTCCGAGCGAGCGACTCGTCTCCAGGACCAGCGATCGCTCATTGGATTTGCCCTCATTGGCGTCGGAACAAATCCTCCCCACAACTGTGACAATGGCTTGACTTGGATATGCTGGGTTATGGAATTCAGTTTCAGGAAAAGAACTTTTATATATCTCTGCAATTGCTTCAATCCTGTCATCAAGAGCTGAACATGTGCGTTAATAGGATGTCTTTTTTCTATTTTTTGACAAAATAAAAAGAAGATTGAGGCCTTTTATTTACCTTCCGCTTTTTCAGCAATCTTCTCAAACATGTAACGATATGGTTTGACAGCAACCACCAAATCGACAGCGTTACGATAATCAGCACTCCTATTAGGTAGGTCCTGACGTAATTCCAAGTGACCATTTAAGGTTTCTTCTATCTCTGCTATGTTCTTTCGCAATGCAAACTTTGAAGAGGATAATGATCTTGAGAACGCATGCGGTAGAATATGAAGACCAATTAATTACTCTCGTCAACTATTGTTAAAAGCATAAAAAATAATATGAACAACGTTATCATATCCTTACATTAATGGCGAAGTAGTGACTGGTGCACTGTTGGTACCTCTGTTTCTGATAGGACTTGTTGGCATGGTAAAGGTGGCTTTGCTATCAAATGATCCACTGAAAGAAGATGTAAAACTCAGCTTCTTGACCTTATTTTGCGATATCAAGTCTATTGTAACAAAAAAAAATATGTGCTAACTCACATATTATCTGTGTGGCCATAGTCCATGCCATAGTTGGCCTTGGATGTGGATCCAGTATGGTATTTTGATCTAATCGTCGCCTTTTTGGGTACAGCAAATGAAGACAGCGCAGATGACTGTCCCTGGTTGATATGATAGTTTTGTTGTTGTTGAGATTGTTGCTCTAGTGTGCGTCGAAGACTAGTCTTAAAGCCCTCTAAGTGTGCATTGGTCATTGTGCCGTCGTCGTCCTCATCGCCTGCGCCAGTTTTGCTCATAATATAGGCTTCCCATTTTGAATGGAGCACTTGGGGCTCAATTCGATAAATCTGTAATAGGTTGAGGCCTATTCAAATGTACGGATATATTAATAGGAGGAGAACAATCATATTATTATACAAATGATGATATTATTAAATAATGACCCTGGACTATTCTAATTCAGTAGACTACAAGTGGCAGAAACTTGCGACCATACACTCTCTCAGCGCTGTTGGATTATTGGCAAGAGTTGGTCCAAATGCATTAATTAATGCATGCTCCCGTTGTTCCTGAGTCGACATGAGTGGGTCATGCACAATTTCCAATGTTGGTGACAGGAAAAAAAAAAAATAAAAGCACGCCAGCTTCTTTTAGACCCATAGAAAGATAGAGGACACCCAATAGATCTGTTCAGTGGCTTTGAAAACTTTTTTTTTTCTGTCATGCATGGTAAACACGAACAGGAAAAACGAACACTCACACCCTTGCTCCTACTGTTCATTCATTACAACCTACTAAGTCAGGACAAAAAAAAAGTATGGACGCCATGGACGCCATAGATAACAAGGAACAGGAAGTGAAAATGGTTGATGACTCCGAGTTTACTACTAGCGAGCATTCCGTGCCAACAGTTGGAGTAGAGACTGAGTCTGCCGCTCTGACTCCTTCGGAAAGTGTAGAAAGCAGTACGCCGACAGCCAGCCATGTTGTAGAAGGCGAAGACACCTCCCCTTCTACAACCCACCAAACAGATACTTCCTCACATCAGCAGCAGTACTTGATCCCACCTAAGTCCTTCACCCCGCAATCCGCTCCGCCAATGAAGAGGAGACCACGTAGAACTGGACAACCTCTTCATTTGTTGCTTCAGGACTGCAGTAAGCAGGCAAGTGGGACGATATGGCTTGTGTGCTTTATGATCTGGATAGGTCGATGGAGTCTTCTGCTTAGAGTGCATTCTAATTAGCAGTCTGGATCATCGCCTTTTTTTTTATTTGTTATTTTATACAGCACATCTTGGGATGCCTTTGTAAAAAGACATCCGAGGAGATCAAGGCGATTGTGAGCGATAAAAAGGCCCTTGCTACCGAACTTCGTAACTATTCAAATGAATTCGTGCTGACATCTGCTCGCGACCGTGTTATTGATGAAGTTGATGATGAAGGGAAGGAATTACTCAAAGACATCGACCCTGAAAAAGATGTAAGCTATTGGAAGATTAAAATGAAACTAAGTATACTTTGAGCAACTTCCACAAGCCTGAGTAGGAAAAAAAAAAAAAAAAAAAAAAAAAAAAAAAAACAAGAAAATAATTCCGAATATTTCGTGTGGTTTTTTTATTCCATTAGGTGATCAAACAACGTTTCGAGGACGAAACCTCTGTCTTTAAGAGCTATGACGATGCTGTTCATGATATCCGTGTAGACCTATATTTCGAAGGAATTAAGCCACGAAAACATGAATCTCAGGAGAGCGCCGTAGAGGCGTCTGCCAGGAATAAAGGTAATCGCGAGTTTTTGGGATTCATCTTGGAACGGCGATCGTCTTCATGTTACAGTGCTCAACTAACCCAATACTTTTTTATGAACATCCTTATTAGAACTTAACACTGTTATTGAAATATGGGATATTTACCATAAACGCATTGAGATAGAACCAAAAAGAAGTGGGAGGGCCACACAGAGCCCATATCCGGGTCGAGGTATAAGACCTTCAGGGCCACCTGGAACTCGACCTCACCCATACGCACCATATCGCTCCCCATCAGCAGGGCCGGGACCGGCACCACCCCATTATAATGCACCGCTGTATGCAGGGCCTCCTGCTATGAGCGGGCCAAATTTCAGGGAATCTAGGGGTCACCATCGCGGATATGACAGGCCGCCATATCGGGAAGATTATTATCCGGATAGGCGTGAGGATTATCGTAGACCTGATTATGATCGTCGCGACCCTCGGGATCATCATTTGGGGACGAGGCCACTTCCTCCAGGAACTGGACCTATGGGTCGTCCTGATCCAAGAGATATGCGTGACATGCGGGATCCTCGCGATTTTAGAGATAGACCTCCACCTCTAGCGGCTAGAAATGATGGATTTTTTGGACTTCCAGGAGGAAGTCGGTATGATGATAGGAGACGCGATCGTCTCGAAAATAGCCATGTCCCTCCGCTCCGTGGACACTCAGGTCCCAATGGGACTTCGCCTCTCAACCCACATCCCTCACTGCCCCCTAAACCTCATGGTACGAACTTTGACAGTATTCCTCCCCCACATGCACAGCAGCATCATGCTTCTGGTTCGATATATCCCCAATCTTACCCACCTACCCCACACCAACCTCCTCATATGGACCCTCAGGGCTATTATGCAGCCTATGGACAACCCATGGATTATTCTATGCCTGGACAGGCGGACTATACAGGATACGGCTACACGGATGCGCAAGGATATACATATCCTCCTGCCGCTACTGCTGGTAGTAATTGGGACATGAATGCGGGTTCTACTGGCGCTTCAACTACAGGACTTAATCTTGTGCCATTTAATTCTAGCCAACCTGGACGTCATAAAGCTGTGCCATTACCCACAGATTTTATGTCAGGACCCAGTGATGCACCCCGTCTCTCAATGCCAGAGCCACATGAGGTACTGGGCAGGATCAGTGGCGTCATTATTAGGGATGCTCAGGGCAACATTGGCCTTTGCCAGTATCAGTTTACTCAGTCAGCATGATTGCGTGATTTGCTATTTTCCACACACATTCATATGCATGGACATATACATCTATATACATATATATAAATACATCACACGCACCATATTCAATTCACACATTTATGACATACGCGTATGGATCATCCAGCTTGGTAAGGCATGGGAAGCCATCATACCATCATAGAGGACGCATAAAAAAGCATAAGGACGAGGATATAACACATAGGGACATATTACAAGAGGGAGGGAAAAAACAGGAACCGGGAATATTCTTTAAAAAAAAAAAAAAAAAAAAAAAAAAATGCATAGATTTTAATTTAGGTTTTTGTGTATTTTAAAAACAAATGTATCAAAATCACTTGAAGCTCTTTGTCATTGGGGTGTGAACTTCAAAAAGATGTTGAAAAACATGAGTCGACTAAAAAGTGACATCGCTACAATGGAATTTGGGCGAAGCGTTATTTCAGTTAGTGTAACAACAAATCTATATCTCTAGCAATTTTGCTTGGCACATCTTGATCTGATTTGACATCTGACTTCGCGTCAACAGACTTTGCACTTCGTTAAAAAAAAAAAAAAAAAAAAAAAAAAAACTTTCTGGGTACTTCACTTATAAGTAAAGTGCTAAAAATGAATTATATGGTAGAATAGTTTATAGTACGGCAAGTCAATCTGTTATCGATTAAGGGTTATGCTAAATATTACATGAAGACTCTCCACGAGGCACGCACACGGATTTCATCTCTACCTTGCAGTGCCCAAGAATGAAGTTTTTAGCCTTCGATCTCTAAATGAATGATGCTTCTTCATAAACTCTCCGTCATCAACAGGAAGAATATTGCTGCCCTTCTCCCACATTGTATTGGAGATAGTTACTTGTTAGGATTAGGAGGTTGGAAGCAGTCCAGAGGGTTGCGTGTACAGAAACCCTGATTCAGAGGGCCAGCACGGACGCCACGGAGGACCAAGCGCTCACGCCAAGGCAGCAGGCGGAGGATGGCATCAGCGCTGATGAGGGACTCTCCTTTTAGATTCTCATAGCCGGACCACAGACGCTCGGCAAAAGCAGCAGCACGGGGCCACAGACGGTCCTCGATATTATTGGGATCTGCAAGCTCACCCCACATGGTGGCCTCGGCACCCAGGATCAAGTCGGCCTCTTCCTTGGTCAGGTTGGCGCGCATATCATACGAGTAGACACGATTCCAGTGATTAAAGCCAGCGCCCTGCACCTCAGGATATGGGTTGGAGCGAGGACGACCGAATCCAAGGTCTAGATACCAGAAGTTCTGAGCTGAAACGATTGTCTTGTAGCCCTTCTCGGTGACCTCCTTAACACCCTCAGAGCCGATCCAGACTTGAATGACGGTATCCTTGGGCAGGTTAAAATGGTACTCGAGCAGCATCTCTTGCCAGACCATGACCGTCTTGTTTTTCTGGCGGACGTGGTCCTCCATGTCGAGAACAAACTCTTCAAAGAGCTCCATCAGTGTCTGGTTGTTCTTTTTCAAATAGTCAGTAATGTACGTGTCGTTGGACCAGCACTGCATGATGACCTCATCGCCCGCGGCATGGAAGAATGAGTCAGGGAAGAGCTCAGCCCACTCGTCAATTAAGCCATAGACAACCTCCTTTGTCTTAGGATGGGCAATATTGAGCTGGCCGGCAGGAGGCTGGACCGTGTAACCAAAGTAAGGCTGAGTGTTGAGGCAGGAAGCGATCTCTGGGATACCTACAGGCAAACAAACGAAAAGTTGCAGGGACGGGGAGAGCGAAGTATAACCGGTAAGAATCCTCTCTCTCAACTCTCTCGACTCTCTCGACTCTCTCAACTCTCTCGACTCTCTCAACTCTCTCAACTCTCTCACAATTTAGATTTTGTTTGACTGTCGCTTGTAGTTTGATTGAATTTCAACTTACCATAGCCCCAGGCAGTGCTGTGGCCGGGGGCCTCCATTTCAGGGATGACACGGACGCCACGCTCCTTGGCGTACTGGACAATTTGCCTAATGTCCTTGGCCGTGTAGACGTGGCGCGGCGAGTAGGCACCCTTGGCAGCAAGCTCGGGGTACTTCTTGGAAACGTAAGGAAACGAGGTCGAGTCAAGCATGTGCCAATGGAAAACGTTGAGCTTGTTCCAGGACAGGGCTATTGGAGGTGAGGAATACAACGGTAAATTACACAAGTCAAACATTCAATCCTTGTACTCATGGCGTATGGTCGAGTCAAGGGGTTATTGCTTACTATCGATGATCTTCTCGATCTCTTGGACGGTATAGTAGTGACGAGAGGTATCGAGCAAAATACCACGGTGCTTGTACTTGGGAAAGTCAGAGATCTTCCAAGGAACATTGGGGATATAGTAAGAGCGGCGCTCGGGGAAGTACTGGATAAGCTGAGAGAGAGTCTCAAGACCATGGAGGGCGCCGTAGATAGTCTCAGCCTGGATGACAGCCTTGCCATTGACGGGAATAGTCAAAGTATAACTCTCATCCGTGTCCATGTCGAGGTGATCGTCTGTGGTCTCGATATCAATGACGACCGTGTTCAGAGAAGAACGAGAAGGCTTATTGTCAGTAGTGGACCAGTTGTAGGGTATCATGGGGTAGTCCTCCTTCTTGAACATGAGGTTTTGGTAACGCTTAATGGCTTTAGAGATGATAGGCTGGCGAGCACCCTTGCCCTCGAAGCGGATACGCTCAGAGACCTTGAGCGTGTTGGAGCCACGCTCCCAATTCTGAGGGAGAGGCCAGATCCAGGGCTGTTTGACCGGGTTGACAGCGGGGATACCTTGGATTACCTGGCTTGGGGGATTGGAGGCAGCAGCAAAGGCTGGCTGGGCTATGGCGGCTGTCAGAACAAGCGCCGCCACGCACAGTAAGGACGAAAGACCGGCGTGCATATGAAATGAAATATATACAGCGAAGAACTTAGAAGGAAAAAATTACAAAAGAGGGAGAAAGAATTGAAGGAAGAAAAGAAGAGAAAGGCAGGGATGGGACAGAATTGGAACTCAACTGCTAGTCTTTATATAACGGCGAGGGATCTTCCTCGACAAGGTTTCGAGAATGACCCTTGCAAGAATTTTTAGCGTTGGTTTTGATCGTTATCTAACGTTACACAAAGATGTTCGTTTTAGTCCACATCCACAAAGCTGTATTGCGTATTTCGCCGCCTAATTGCATATAAACAATACAGGCACATTTGTCTATACAAAAGTGTTATTAAAACAAGCTCAATCTTCGGTTATTATTTTCCACGGAGAATAGGATTGGAAGCAAATAACTATTTTCCTGGTATCCACTTCATCTTTGAAACCTTCGAAAGCGTGTTTCCTGCATTCAGTGGAGCAGTGCAAAACTGACACTTCCTCGTCCTCCACTAGAGCCTAGTTGGGGTGAGGCTTCTCTCTTCTCTCTACTCTTGCTGGCACTTGAGCAAAAAAGTGGACAGTTAGCGGCGCTGCAACCGTCTTTCCATTTCCATCCTCTCCCTATACTACATTCTCTCCCGTTCTAGGGATCGACGCCCCGAGTTGCAATACTTTTATTTTCATCTCTTCGAGCCCAACAGCCTAGCATTTGATGTGGCGTAATTGGTTGTGTCCATTCGGAAGCGAACATAAACAAGAGCCATGGCATTATCTAGTCTCCAGTCTTCGCTCCTAGATAATATCGAGTTGTCATGCGCCAAAACAACAGTGCATCACTTTTCCTGGAACAGGGCACAGTCGTGTACACAAGGCGTGGTGATAAAATAGATCAGCTTGCATGGCTGAACCTTAAAGACTATCTTGGAGCAACATACTTTTTTTCTTCCCTTACCCTGAAGTATGCCAACAGTGCCCCACATCTAGCTGCATAAAAATTGACCAACAAGGGAAATGGCTTTTCTTTCTCCTTATGGCAGCTAGATAAAAAAAAAAGCCATTTTTTATGAGAGCTTTATCGACACAAAATCTGAATGTTCATGTATTGTATTGTCATTTTACATAGAGACAAAAATCATGACAACTTAATTCTACATGATATCATTGTTATATTTAGGGTTGCGAATATAACCAGACTTAAACCAGATCCCAATTTGCAGGTTTACGTCTTGTGGCGAAACACTTTTTGCATCATGTCTATTTCTTGAGGAGCAAATGCCTTCGATTTTATTTCTCGTAGTCCTTTGAAAGGCGTAATTACAACGTGCTTTGGTAAAGTATCTGTTTGTACCCCAGAACATTTCAATGAAGTTCAATCCGCAATGGAACTTTAGGTAAAATACGATTTGTTGCCCTGCCCATATTTTTCTCCAGCAGAGCACTGCGCTAAAAAGTCCGGCTGTAACACCAAAATATGTGTAGCACAGCACGATTCTTTATGAGCAGTGCTAACACCATCACTGTAATTCTACATATCTGTTGAGATACTGAACGTCTATGTCGTGGGAGATGTGATAATTACTCCGTAGGTTGATGTAGCGTCAGCGAACATTGTAAAAGCGCTCGGCGGAGGACGCAAGAACACTTGTGTAGAATTTGACGTCGTTGGAAGTGGGTGATAGACTTATGGACTTTGTGTGAGATGGCTTGAGATGATTGCTGATTCGGAGACATCCTCGGCAGCGCCAGTTTAGGGGCCCCAAGTGTTTTGTAGGAACTTTGGGGACCATGAAGAAGCTTTAACATGGTTGAGGACGGCCACGAGCCGGCTTTTCCTCTCGGTTGATGAGACAGTATTCAGTGAGACCAAGGGCTATTGCTAGACCTTAGGCTGTATGATGTCTTTTACTCCCATATTATATCTGCGAAGAAACTGTGGGGCCGATATGAACTTGTTAGTCTCTTCATTTGAAAAATTGACTTCAGGTATTTGATAATGTAACTTTTGATATATTTTATCATTCTATCTTTCGAACGGCCAGTTGTATCGAATCGAAATCTGGACATTATGCCTCTATGTTTCGAAAGAGAACGCATATTTCGTTCGATATCAAAAACAACACATCAGTAAAACTAGCAGGAGTTATGAGAGGAGGACTTGAATCTTTAAGTTGGCTGCCTATCGGCATCAACGATAAACTCAGATGCAACCTTGGAAGTGCTCATGAGGCCATAGACAGTCGTAGTAAACCCGAACGTTAGAAGGGGTGCAGCTTCTGTAACGCTGTTTTCCTTTGCTCTAGTAGGCCGGGATAGTCCAAATCGGGCCTTGTTATCTTCTCACTCATGACTGCAGCTTGTATACGGGGCTGCAACTTCTGCCAGAAGTCGTTGTCAGAACTCACTGTCTTCTTAACCCAGTCTTCCTCCTCGGTCTCACCCCTAGGGCTTCCTTCGCTTGCTGACGTACTTTTCAAACACATCCAATCTTGGACCTTGTAGAAGATAGTTAAGGCAGCTCTTCCATTTAAGGATTTTGCCAACGCACGTTGTGAGAGGATTACATGTATGATGAGTTGCAAGCAGTATGGCTTAAAATATTCATGTTGCAACTAAATGCATAGCACAATGTAATGATCTACAGAAGAGGGGTGAAAAAGACCTCGGCCTCCCTGTACAATGTGCCACTTCCCATGTTCTTCCTTCAGTAAATAGTGCTATAAAGGACCCTTCCACGGAGAGAGGGAAAAGATGTTGTCCTTGCGAATAAATCCATAGAACAATGGTCACACCTTCAGCTGATAATTGCGACAAAGCTACTCTACAGCTTACAACACTCCGTTCAATCAAAATCGTCTGCAAGGATTTACCGCTTTTATATTGGAAAATAACATTAGCAAGCATACACAGGACCTTTTCGCCCAACACGATAACCTTGTGCGCCACGATTCAGGAGTAGTGTCTCCGAAAAGACGGATTCTGGCTTGTAGGTATTCAACGATAAGCAACAGACGATGGTTTCAGGCCCAAACACCTATACCCAAATGGGCAGCTCCATTCGTGTTAAATTCAGTTTCTATTACAACTTTTCATCAGTAGGGTAAAAACCAGCCTTTCTCATGACGGTTAAAATCCAGTTCACTTTCCCTATTTGTCACATGTATGCTTTACACACGGACAGAGGAGGCGTAATCCTCTAGATTGTGATTATCTTTCTCATGGATACGCAAATGCATGCATGCATGGCGCGTTTTTCTGTAAATGCGAACGAGCCAATACCGTCGCGTTTTTTGTTTTGCGGATATTTCGGTCCCTAATGTCTTGAATATGCTCGACTAGTTTAGGGAGATTTTATTATTCATCAACTCTCTTTCTATTCCTTCTCTCTTCTCTCGCCTTCTTCTCCTCTCCTTCTTCTCCTCTCTCCTCTTCACTTTCCTCTCGCTCTTTGTTTTCTATTATCACCTCAGTATCGGTTTTAATTTAATAATATCACCTTTACGCACACTCACTCTTTCCATTTCTAATTTCGTTGACCACGCCTGCTAGAGTGTGTTATTACAAATGAAGCCCAAAGTCATTCCACCTGATTCCTCGACTGAAATGAAGCGATTGGCCCAATCAAATGAGCGTAGCAAGCATTGGATGAGGTGAGAACACATAAACCTTATTTGGTCACATTGAATTTTTTTTTTTTTTTTTTGAACATTTGAACAGTAGAATAAATGTTTGTATTGGTGTTATTAACCTATTATTCATTATTAGATGGGGCCCATACCTCTCTGAACGTCAGTGGGTAATGAACAGAAATACATCTTCAACGCAGTAAATCATTATTGTACAGGTATCCTGTTTGACTTACTGATAGAAAGATCTTCTAACCATTATCTTTGTCAACTTTTTTTTTTTCTCACACTTCCAGGCTACAGTAAGTGATAAAATTGTCATAGTAAAACAATGGGCATATTAGCATATAAAGCTGGGCGATGCTTTGACCTCTTCTTTATTTATATAAAGTCGTACACTTCGGAGGAGTAGAAGCCGAATTGGTTTTTCATTGACATTGATTCACTTCAACGGTCAAAAAAAAAAAAAAAAAAAAAACTAGGTCCGCGAGGATTATAGTGGTGACGGTGATGCCTGGCGTTTCTTCCCTCATGATCATGCACGATCCAGGACGTACCGTTGGGGAGAAGATGGTCTTGCAGGCTTGTCTGACAACCATCAACGACTCTGTTTTTCTGTGGCGCTTTGGAATGGGCAAGACAAGATCCTGAAAGAACGACTTTATGGCCTAACCAATCATGAAGGTTTGATAAAATGCTGATCAATGGCTTTTAGAAACGAAGACACTACTAGCATAAGTGCCTGATACTCCTAAGCGCTTTTTAGAAGCCACTCGGATGCTTATTAAGCTATAACTTTTTGTAAATCTAAAAAAAATAGGCAACCATGGTGAAGATGTCAAGGAACTGTATTACTACCTGGATAATACACCCACTCACTCGTACATGAAAGTAAGCAAATTGAGGCTTATGAGACTGAGAGAGGAATTTGAAATCAAATAAGATTAAGATTTAGACAGACCGGGCTTAGCAAAATAAAAGTTTGAATGAGAAAGACACCAGATTAATCATCACTGACACTTACCTCTTTATCTCTTCCTGTGGCTTTCGATCCTGCCTCATAACATGTAGTATTTGTACAAGTACCCTCAAGCTGAGTTCCCATATGAGCAACTTGTCCAAGAGAGCACGCGTCGTGGCCGAACGGATCCAGAGTTTGAGCTTCTCGACACTGGGATTTTTGATCAGGACAAGTACTTTGATGTCTTTGTCGAATATGCAAAGGATGATGAGGACGTGGATGATATCTTCATCAAGATCACAGCTTTTAATCGAGGCCCCCAAGATGCACCCTTGTGTATCATCCCTCAAATTTGGTTCCGTAATACCTGGTCTTGGTTCCCAGAGGGGGAGGTCCAGATCCCATCACTCAAGAAGGTGCACCCTCACGTAATCAAGGCAGATCATGAGACCTTGGGGAAACGATGGGTTTATTTTGAAGCCTTAGCAGCCGAGCACGACCATGGACATGGCCCTGAGTTGCTCTTTACCAACAATGAGTCAAATACACAAAGATTATTCAATGACTCCAACAGGAGTCCTTATGTCAAGGACGGTTTTCATGAGTATATCATCAATGGCAAAAAGGAAGCAGTGAACACAGAAGATTACCATGGCACAAAGGCTGGTGGCGTATACAGATTCGACAAAGTTCCAGCAGGGGGACATGTACAAGTTCGGGTGCGCTTGAGCCGCCAAGAAGGCCATGGGAGTATCGTTCCTAAAAAGTTTGATAAGATTTTGAAGGAGCGTATCCAGGACGCTGAAGAATTTTATGGCAATTTGGCACTCAAAAACATGACTGAGGACATGCGGATGATTCAACGGCAGGCCCTGGCAGGCATGCTATGGTCGAAGCAATGGTATCACTTCGATCAACGATCCTGGCGCAAGGGAGATCCTGTGGGAATGGCTCCTCCACCTGAGCGCAAAGATTTGCGTAACAGGGAATGGAGACATCTCTACATTGATGACATCCTTTCGATGCCTGACAAGTGGGAATATCCATTTTTTGCTGCCTGGGATATGGCGTTTCATGTGATCCCATTATCCATTGTCGACCCAACATTTGCCAAAAATCAGTTGGACCTGTTGACGAGAGAGTGGTATATGCACCCGTCTGGCCAGATTCCTGCTTATGAATGGAATTTTTCAGATGTCAATCCTCGTAAGACTATCCTTACCTTTGGGCCTCTGACTTACTGATAATGATGATGATGTTGTTACTCACTATTTTTTTTTTATTTTTTATTTTTTTTTATTTTTTATTTTTATTTTTATTTTTTATTTTGAAACATTCATAGCTGTTCATGCTTGGGCGGCATTTCAGGTGTTCAGGACCGAAGACCGGCTCTATGGTCGCAAGGATTTCCTCTTTCTGGAACGCGTCTTCCAGAAATTGTTGCTAAATTTCACTTGGTAACCGAATATACTTTATCCCGTATAGGTTGCATTATATATATAATATGGTGCATACCACATGAGAGATCAAAGAAGCTTACTCTTTTGTGTCAATGCGTCTCCAATATGTATAGGTGGGTAAACCGAAAGGACACAGAAGGGAACAATGTCTTTGAAGGTGGGTTCCTTGGCCTGGATAATATTGGTCTTTTCAACCGATCAGAGCCTCTGCCCAATGGGGCTACACTTCGTCAGGCCGACGGTACTTCCTGGATGGCTTTCTTCTCACTTTGCATGTAAGCAATAGGCAATGACCACAAGCGTGTTTTTTCCTCTACCCAACGGCCATTTATCCATTTCTGACCTCCAAGATACTCTACTATAACTTGTCACACATAAGGCTACATATTGCTCTGGAGTTGGCCAAACGCAATCCTGTATACGAAGATATTGCCTCTAAATTCTTAGAGCACTTCTTCCATATCTCGGATGCGATGACATACCAATCCGGTGGAGAGGAAAAATCCCTCTGGGACACGACCGATAACTTTTTTTATGACTCCATCTCGTGGCCGGGTGGGAACACTCAGCGTCTAAAGACGCGCAGTTTAGGTAAGCCAATCCTCTCGTTCAAAGCAGATGCTTTTATAAATGAACAACCAACCAAGAGAACATAAAAAAAGGAAGACTTTAGATGTTGATGGAATGCACGTTCGGGATTATAACTATTTTTTTTTTTTTTTTTTTTTTTTTGACCATTCAAATGTCTAAAATCATTTTGATCCACCAAGTCGGAGTGATTCCACTATTCTCCGTCCTGTCACTCGACCCTGAATATCTCGAACTCTTCCCAGGGTTCACCCGTCGTCTTGAATGGCTTCTTGCTTACCGTGAGAAACATCGACCGGCCCGAGTGTTCAAGAAGGAGGACAGCAAAGAGAATGGATCTGTGCTGTTGGCGCTCGTTGATCAAACCATGCTTCGTGCTATCCTAAAGCGCGTCCTAGATGAAGAGGAGTTTCTCTCACCTTTTGGAATCCGATCCCTTTCCAAGTTCCACAAAAACAATCCGCTAAGTATGTGGATGTGCGGACAAGAATTTAAGGTCGAATATCTTCCAGCCGAGTCAGACTCGGGGATGTTTGGAGGAAATTCTAATTGGAGGGGTCCCATTTGGCTTCCTACAACTTACCTCTTGGTGGTATGCTTGAAGAGATTCCATTACTTTTATGGCAATGACTTTAAGGTCGAATGCCCTACCGGATCTGGGATCATGAAAACACTCGAGGAAGTTGCTTGGGAAATTGAAATTCGACTGATGCGATTGGTACGCAAAAACAAGCAGGATCGACGTCCCGCAAACGGTGGCCATGACAAAACTGACAAGGACCCATTCTTTAAGAATCTAGTCTTGTTTTACGAATATTTTGATGCTGAGACTGGCAGGGGACTTGGTGCCTCTCATCAAACAGGCTGGACAGGTCTCCTGGCCATGATTGCTCAGCAAGTCGGAGACAAGTGTCAAGAAACCCCCCCAGCTTTTAACGGTAATGCCAATGGCGCCATCAAGGGAAATTAAAAGAACAAAGTATAATAAAAAAATGAACACATAGAATATTTATGTTTTTTTTATTTTTTTTATTTTTTTTTATTTTTTTTTATTTATTATTATTATTATTATTTTTCATGATGAATTATTTTTTTTCTATGGGAAATATTATACTACACGACGTGCTGGGTAAAATAATACAAGTAAATAATGATAACTTTGTTTTTTTTTTTTTTTTTTTTTTTTTTTTTTCTATTTTATCGCATCCAAACTAAAACTTTTGAAGAGTTGTATTAGCAATGAATTGATTCCACTCATCCCAATTGATGGTATTTGGGATACCAAAGAACGGATTAGGAACAGCAACCATGTTTGGGTCCTGAATCAGCTCCTGTGGCGAGAACAGCGCCAGATTTGAGTAACTTTCGGTTGCTCCTACCGTGTTGGCACTTGTGGACGTCGTTGTTGTATTGGTATTGTTTCCAGCTTTGTCGTAACTGCTGCTAATAGCGCTGCTACTACCTTCCTGACTGCGGGTCTCGCTAGCATTAAAAACTGGCGATGATACAAAATTTTTGTTATCGGATATGTCATCGCATGCTTTATATTGTTGCTGTTCCGGTTGCTGTGGCATTCCTTGAGCTTGTTTCTGTTGTTCCTGTAGACGCATATTCAATCGATGCTGTTGAATGAACTGCTGTTGCTGAATAAATTCATGCTGATGCTGCAGGAACTGCTGTTGTCGCTGAAGTTGTAAATGCTGAATTGGGTCCACGGGATGATTTTGGTCGTTGTTGAGTGTTTGCTGGTGCTGGGTGCATCTCTCTTGCAACGCCAGAGGCGAAGAAAATAGGGGTGTGAGAGAGAACGGCTGTGCGAGTTGTGATTCATGTAATTGTTGCTCCTGATGTTGTTGTTGTTGCTGCTGCTGTTGCTGCTGTGTTGACTGGATTTGGGATGGTGATGGATGAGGCGGTTGCTGCTGGTTCATGATCTGCCTATAATCCACAAAAGCCTGACCATGAGTAAACATTCCTGGGATTGAGAGAGACGAAAACGTGAAGGTGGGTTGATCAATAGAAGAGCTCGAAGGCGTATTTCCTTGAAACAGTAAAGAGTTGCGTTGAGAGCTCGACGTTCCTTTGCGACTCCTCTTCGGTTTTGCAGCGGTTTGAGCAGCCGCATTGACTGACCCATGTGTTGCAGGCATATTAGCATCAGATATAGGAGAATTTTGAACATTCTGAAAGTTGGAGTTATCCTGCCCAGTGAACCCCGATTTTGAATTTTGGACGATATCTGGATTGACAATAAGTGGTGTTGAAGGTGAAGAGGATGGTGTGCTCGACGCAGAAAGAGGTGTCTGAGGACCGCCCACAACTTTTGGTGAAAACATGAGCGTACCCCCGGAAGGATGAGTTTGGTCTCTGAGCATGATTGGATAGGGACAGTCTATTTGTCCAGCCTTGGCAGCTACCTCCGACTCAAAGGCATGATCATCCATCTTGTACTCATCAAAGTTGAGATGTGCATTCATCAGGTCCTCGAGAAGCATAGAGAATTTTGCAGCATTGAACCAGCGGCTCCCAAGGTTCTTCATATAGGCAATGGTCTTGACAAGATTCTTGCGCGCTTGCTTTTGTAAGAAGATATCAAGCGAGGCGGAATTTGTAAGGTGGATCAGCGACGCCAAGAAGATGTCAAATGTACTAAAGTTCCATACATACTTAAGGAAATCTTCATGCACCAGCATTTCAGCCAGGTGTGTAATAGAGTTGGCAGCGGAGATGCAGATATTGAGTGAGGGCATTGATTCTGAGAGCTTACTCCTTGTCAAAGACGAAGGCACCATATACGGACGATGAAGAAGAATAAGGGCCGAGTCTATTGGTTTTTTTTTTTTTTTTTTTTTTTTTTTTTTTTAAAAAAAAAATAAATAAATAAATAAAGAGTTGATATTAGTTCTACATTCTCATCAATGGTATCATCAATTTTTCCTTAGTATCAGTTGTATTAAAGTCTAAAGGTCTAAGCAGCTTACAATATGAAATATGAATCGTTGCGACCCACCGGCTCAACTGCATGGGTTCGATTTTGTTGTCGTATTTCAGATCAGAGGGCAATGCTAGCAGCCATTTGGTGAGCATAGTGTCAAGGTCATAGACCGTAGAGATGACTTGACCAGGTCCATGGTTCCTTGTTTGTGGGGAATATACACCTCGAAGGATTTGACCAAGGATTTGGGAAAGCTTGATGGTTTCGACAAAATAGCGTAAAGCAAAGGATGACTGCTCCTTGAGCTTCTCAGCCTCTTCGCTTGGTGAAACTGGGTTACCATCAGGGTCAGCCCAGTCCTGTTCCACAACTGAGGGATAGTCTACATCACAATCAGCATCATCAATCGCCATAGGCCGCCCCATGCAGGCGCTTACCCACCGATCCATCACATAGACCGCCCACCACAAGCGCTTTCGGAGTTCTGCCTCTAATGGTGGTAAATGCCAGCGCGCCGAGTTCCTGTGCATGCCCAGATCCTGCGCCATTCGCGTAGCCATTCCCAACATGACCCAGACACGGCCACCAGATTTTGCGCTTGTAAATCGATAGGTGACCATGAGCAACAGGGCTTGAATGGAAGTCTGACGAGGAACTTCATATTCAAGATCGATGAGCCTTTTGGCCCGGCTGAAATACTCATCTCCAAAGGCTTCGGGATCATTCCCAATGATTTCGGGGTTAGTTGAATAACGAGAGGCGATTGCAAACATAGCATTCAGTAATGCTCTTGGAGGCTTTTTCAAAGGGTCTAGATTGCGATATTGGCGCATGAATGTAGGTCTGTGTAGAACTGGTATGTTGGGATGAACATATGTAAAATACAGTTCAATTAAATGTTCTGCAAGATCTCGGGGAGGCATGGTCATTTCACTCTCCATCTGGGCGATAATATTCTCCCTCTGCAACAGCCATTCTCTATGCTCGTTCATACGTAGTGGCATCATATAACGACCATTTTTTAAGAGCTGGCTTCTCTGTAGCATGTCGATGCCGGAACTGTTGCCAAGGTATCGAACGAAGCCTCCATCATCCAGTGTCATTGATGATAAACTGTCCGATATAGCGTTGATTTTTTCTCTTGCTTCTAGATCAAAAGGTAAAACCTCTTCTTCCTCCTCTTCGTTCATTTGGCTATTAATTGTAGATGAGCTCGAAATGGCCGTAGAGATTGAGTCGGTATGTTGATGGCGATTGTTTGTGGGTAGAGATGACGGGACTGGTGGAGGAAAGAGAGGGGTATCGGACGATGCTGGCCAGATAGAGTCCAACGAGTCTACATCATCATCGTGCTCATCTCGCCAAGCATCAAGATCCGCTTTAGGACGTTCACCACTTTGCACTAATCCGCCTAGAAGACTTTCCATCCTATGGAGTCTGTTCTCAAGGGCCTCAATGTAACCCTTGGGCGGACCTCTCTTTTTGGCAGAGTCATTAAAACTAAGCAGAAAAAGATATTTATCATCAATAAGATGTATATAAAAAAGAAAGAAAGAAAGGGAAAAAAAAAAAAAAAAAAAAAAAAGAGAGAAAGAAACCTGAATCTGATCTGACAGAACTACTTACGTGCATTGGAAACCAAAGGTGGTGCAGTTGGTACAAGAAGGCTGCAAGCCATCGCATCGAACTTTCTTCCTCCGACATATATCACTATTCTCGCCATAGAACACGAGTTGTAATGAGTCTGTTAGTCCACATTCTTTGAAGAGAGTGGTAGATGCAAAATTGACACGTGCAACATCGTTTGCTGCTCGCATGGTATAATGGCGGTTACTCCCATCTGTAAAAGCTGCTCTCGCAGGGGTGCAGCAAGCTGGTAAATGTACAGATGGAAAGTGAAATACTAAAGGAGAGAGGATAGGGTTTTACTCCTTTTTGACATGCGATATATCTTCGAAACAGGGTAACAGGGTCATTGGCTTTAATGAGCAAGAATGTTTTTTATCCATGCGTTCCCTGTTGAACTTTGATTTATCCGGATATACAGCAAAGGAGAAGATGGTGGGATAGAAATAAGAAGGTAAAAATATCATCCGAACAAAAAAGTGGACTTACCATGCTCTAGAGACTCGTCTCCGTTTAGCATCGAGCTGATCTGGCGTGGTCATAGTCTGTGCTCTGTGTCGTTGCTATTATTCACTGATGAGGAGGAATGGAGAAATGAAGGACAGAAGGGAGATCGATTTCGTCTGAATGAATATTTTTTTTTGTATACTTTGAATATTTTTTTTTTGTATACTTTCGACGGTGTTGTTGGGCTTAAACAAGCATTTGAGTGTAATACATAAAATATTCAGTTATTGTGGATCAAAACACTTTTTTTTTTTTTTTTTTTTTTTTTAGCGAGTGAGTGAGGGTAAGAGTGTTTGTTGTTCTGTAGGATGGAGAGGTTGTAGAGAAGTTAAGAGAGGAAAAGAAGAGAGAGGATGCGTTGCCCCATTGCTCCAATCAATTTGTCTGTGGCGGAGAAAAGGAAGTCAGGGACGTTTGCGAAATTGTGAGAGCAGAGTCATTGTCTTAATTCAGTACAAAGATGTCCAGATGTCTTATATAACCCAATCATGGTCCAAGTTGGCAATCAAAAGAATAGAGAAAGAGACCCCGCCCGATAAAGTTAAGCAAGCGCTTCAAGTTGGAAAGGTACAGCTGAGTGAACACAAGCGCAGTCCAACACAGTTAATATTTACATGTCAATGAGCAAACTTTACTACCCTTGACCAAAGAGAAAGAGAGAGAGAGAAGGTGTGGGGAGATGAGTCTGTGAGATGAAATTCAAGCGGTATTTATTTGCTTGTGCTTACAGTGTCACAGATGTTTCTCTCTCTTTCCAAAAAGGCAATTTTGTATCAAGCTCATCTTGATCCGTATTTCATGTATTGATGCTTGGTTGATGCTTACACAGGTTGTGAACGGGTCTTTGTGACTATGACACCCCAAATTCCTTTTAAAAAAAGAAAAGGACTCAATCTGTTGTCAGTGTGAGAGCAAATTCATGGCTGCGCAGGTTAGTTGTTCTCTTCACATGTACTCAGTCGATTACTCAATTGTTTTGTTGTGTGTCTGAAATAAGAATGCCAAATATAACAAACTTTGATCAAGCTATGCCCATGATTCGTATTGTGACCATGTAGAGTGTGAAAACGCACCTTTGTCATCAGAGGAGCAGCTTGGCACCGTCTACTACATCCATTCTTGAAACCATAACTTTTCCACGTGTCTATATATCTACGCGTCTCGATCATGGCTAAAATAATAAGAGTAAAAAGAAGTTTATGCAGGTACCAGAAGCTTGAATGAGCAATGTATTAAGCCTCTCTACTCTCTCTTTCACTTCGCAAAGGAGGAGAATAAATACTCTAGTCTCAGATGAATTCAGTTTTTGGTTTTATGTAACATTGAAAATTTGTTAATGTTTGGCTCGGTGTTAGAGGCTGCGCCCAAACTGTTAGACCCATGTTACTCATGAGGCGTTGCAATGATTTTAACTTTTTTTGAATGGAATAAAAAAAAAAAAACGTTGTGAGGCTCTGCGCAATCGATGGTAGTCATCAGGACTAAATCTAAAAGGCTCCCACATTGGCTCACTGACTCCACATTGATGCATGCTATGCCAAGAGTCAATTAAACAGATCTGGGAGAAAAAAAAAAAAAAGCAAGAATTGCAGCAATACATGTTCGAAAGACAAGACCCGTGGGATGGTTATCCGAATGGTGAATGGTACCAATGTGGACGTCGCTAATACGCTGAACAGTTGCTTGGTGTGTGCTTTATAGATCGATGGTTCGAGGGTCACTATTTCAGCATTTCAGTATTTCAGCATTTCATTTCAGACAGCTCGTCCTGTGCTTTGGATAGGATTCGCACGTGCAGCCTCGAGTAGATCGTTGTTGCACAGATCAAATGTCATGATCATTCCCTTACATTAATTTCCATTCAACTCCCTCCATCTCATTTCCATTTGTTCATTTCCGACCAACATCCTGACATGTCTGACAAGGAAGATACGTCTACAACAGCATCAGTGCGGAGTACACTAAGGAACAGAAGGACCACTGTCAAGGATGCAAGTGACGAGTCTGACACAACCCCTGTCGTTGCCTCCACCAGTACATCAATCTCGACAGCTATGAAGAAAGGAGCCGCTATCTCCCCAAAGGATACTGAAGATAACAAGAAAAAAAAGGCTGCTGTTATTCGTGCTCGCCAACAGGCTAAGAAATCATCACAACTTAGAAGTATTATGATGTCGTTGTTGATCGCTTCAGTTGGTGTGCTGCTCAAGTCTGTGTATGAAAGATTCTTCATCCCTAGTCGCGACATTAGCATTTCTCAGACTGCGGGAATTCAGGGCAATTGCTACAAGACGGCATGTAAGTACAATGGAAACACTGAGATATAAACTCATGTTCAACACGTATCTGATGTTGTCACGATTAACGATCGATTCCAAAACTAGTCATTCCTGGACCCTCAGACATCGAAATCAGTGACCACGATCAGCTTGCCTTTGTTTCTTCGGATGATCGGTCATGGGTCAAGGAGAGCAGTTTTTTCCACCGGCCTAGCAGAAAGACTGAACAAGACGGGGGCATTTATACCCTTTCTCTAGCCCAACCGAATTCTTCGCCCAAGGAGGCACAACTTCGGGACTTTTCATCTGAGGACTTCCATCCCGCCGGCATGTCGCTTTATCGTTTCCAAGATCCTGACACGCAAGCCTGGGCAAATCGTTTGTTTGTGATTAACCACTCCCATAAAGGCGATGTAGTGGAGATATTTGATTACTCGATTGACGATACTACACTCAAGCACGTTAAAAGTATTCAGAGTGAGCTTTTTGTTACTCCAAAAGACATTGTTGCAGTTGGGAGAGAGCGGTTCTATATGACTAATCACCATGTAAGAATCCTGTTGTTTCGACAGTATTGACTCGTTCTTTTATTCGGTAGCAAACATTTATTTTCTTCATTTATTAATTGCAATGGTAGGCAATGAGTAATAAGTATGGAAGGGTTGCTGAGGAAGTTGCAGGCCTTGCCCTTGGGTCAGTTGTTTACTACAACGGTACGGATGCTCGCAAAGTTCTCGAGAGTCTTGCGAATCCTTATGGTAAGGGATTTATATATCAATTCGTGTGTTTGATATGTGCGATCATCTCGACGTGTTGGCTGATGGACCTTTTATGATCCTTTTACATAGGCATTGCTGTGTCACCAGATGCGACCCAGCTTTATGTTTCCTCATTTTTGGACAGGGTTGTCCATGTTTATAATACAACAGATGAAACGACTCGGGGTGAATTGGTTCATGATGTCGATATATGGGTAGGGAACCATGTGGACAATTTATCGGTGGATAAGCATACTGGGGATATCTACGTAGCTAGTCATCCTTCATATTCGACCTACCTTCGTCACAAGCTTGGTTATGAGCCTCAATCTCCTTCGCACGTGGTTAAGATTGAGAAATTGGCGCCCGAGAATTTTATCCGCCAGGAGAGCACTCAGCCTGATATGTATTTCTTCCCGAAACCCGAATTGCCTCCACTCAAGTGGGAGGTCAAGGATTTGTTCTATAGCAATGGCGAAGATATTTCAGGCAAGTTTTGTATGAAGAAGAACAAGAAGGAGTGTATGTATATGTGAACTTTGTACTAACTTTTTATTATTATTATTATTATTTTTATTACTATTTATTTATTTTCTTTTTATCTGGAAACCAGCATCGAGTGTTGCTGCGTATTGGAATAACGACTTGATCCTCGGATCTTCCACAAGTCATCATCTTTTGCGATGCTCACTTAGTCTTGAGCAATAAGATTGTGTTTGGGCAAGCTGGCCATAGCGTGCATTACCAACTTTAAATTATGAGGATGACCATTGACGTATTTAAATAAACAGATTCCCATGCCACATGTGTCATGTAGTCGATCCAATAAATGGAAAGTAAAAATAAATTTATCAGGGCCATCATCCAATCGTCCCGTGTTTAACCATCTCTACCCCCTACATTCAACTCTGTTCATCTTTGTAGTTCTCCCCCCAAGCCTGTGGTGATAGAATTTGTAGTAATCGCTCGTAAGGAACTTCAAGGTCATGAATGTGATCAGCTGCAACCTTTAACAATTGAGGAGTGTGTTGGAGAGCAAAGGGTTCTCCCTCGGAGAACAGAAGGAGAGTCTACAATACATTTCGTTACATTTCATACATTTTGCCACAGCCAGACAATTCCCTTCAAGGAAAAGAGCGATTTATATTTTAAATTCATATAAATTTCTGTCGATCAAAAAAAAAAAAAAAAAAAAAAAATCAAATGGGACCAACCAACTTGAACAGCCGCAAGCGATCTTAGTGTATGGGACATGTTATTGTTGTTGCATCATTTGAGAGGATGGAGAAAAGTCAAAAGAGCACCAATTCTATTCTGTGCAATGGTCTATTTGGAATAGATTGACATATTGACATTTGCCCTGTCCTCATGTTTCAATTTCCGAGTGTTTATTCACCATATGCCCATGCAGTCGTACTTCATCACACTCGGTCTTTATTTCAATTCTGTATTTCTGTCAGTTGACTAATAGGATCGTCTCCCTCTTTTTCTCCTCCTTTTCTTTTTAGTAATTTTTTTTAACCAACCTCTTTTTTTCTTTCTCTCTGTCTCTCTCTCTGTCTCTCTCTCTGTCTCTCTAATCGCAACTCATTCATTCCTACTTTTTCACATTCCACTCCTCTTCACAGCCATTACTCGGCACATACACCTCTCTCCGTTTTCCCTTCTTTCCTTATTCTCTCTCTATCCTTTACCACATAAAACATTACAAACCATTTCAACAGCGACATAAAAAAAGGTATTCACCACTGCAATTCTACTCTTTCTCTCTCTTATCCTTTGCTCTGCCACTCTGCTTTTTCTTTTTCTTTTTCTTTTCTTTCTCTTTTGACTGCCTCCAGATTCATACTGCATAATCGTATCTAATTTTGTCCTTGCTTCATCTCTTTCTCTCCTCTATCTTTTCTGTTCTTCGTCATCCCAAACCCCTCTCTTCCCTACAGGAAGAGTGACACAACAGACACAAGAGCATGGCATCGCCTAACCACGGCATGGCCTCGACCAGTCAGCCTTCCAACACTGTCTCACCCTCATCATCCCCTTCGCATCCTTCCAATAACTCGACCTCAACCATCCTTCCACAACCATCCACAACCAACCCTCCTGACCCGTCTGCTCTGCCCTCCCTTCATTCTCGTCGTCGACGAGCCACTTTACAAGGCCAGCAGCCACAGATCATCACTTCTCAATCAACCAGCTCCTCCTCTGCTATCCAACCTCACAATGTCCTCTCAAATAACATAAACACTTTGATTGATCAGCCTGCACTAACCCCTCAAGGTACCCAGTCGACTTTTATGGAAATGGGATCTGTTACAGACTCGACAAAAACAACAGCAGCAGAAACAACCACGGTTCCAGGCGATCCAGTATCAGCTGCACCCATAACGACTGATTCCTTCAAGGAGTTACCAACTCGGGACTCTGTATCTCTAGAAACTAAATCAACAAAGTCCAGCAACTGGATAAAGACACTATTTATCAAAATAACAGGCCGTGGGAGAGTTGTTGCCAGCAAAACCACTCGTGTGATCCCCATCTCCTCATCCCGCACTGCCCCTTTGATCCAACCCGAAACCGGAAAGCCTTTTGTTTCCAACTCTGTTACAACAGCCCGCTATACCCTCTGGGACTTTTTACCCAAGCAATTGTATGCCCAATTCTCAAAGATCGCCAACGTATACTTCTTGTTCGTAGCCTCATTGCAGATGGTTCCCAGTTGGTCACCAACAGGACAGTATACAACCCTAGTTCCACTATTGGTCTTTTTATCCATCGCTATTGCACACGAAGGTTACGACGACTATCGAAGACATCGGCAGGATAATGTCGAGAACAACCAGATGACAAACGTCTTTCGCACTTATCGTAATGCAACCAACTCGATCTCTCCTCAAGACAATTCACAACACCATCACACACCGTCTCCCCATCCGGCCTCCACTACAGAAGCAGAGGCTGCGGACAAGCCATCATCGCCGGCTGAACTATCCATCACAATCCCTTTGACCCCTACTGTCCACACACCTGCACCTAATCTTCCTCTCTTTCAAAAGATAAAATGGAAGGATATTTGTGTAGGAGATATCATAAGGGTTGATCAGAATGATTGGATACCTGCAGATCTTATCTTGCTGCACGCTGCAGGGCCTGAAGGAAGCTGTTATGTAGAGACAGCTGCACTCGATGGCGAGACTAATCTCAAGCAGCGGCAGGCTCTTCGTGCAACAAATGATATAATTCGCACCCAAGAAGATATTGCAACTTTTACAGGTATAATTTGAATTTATTATTATTATTATTATTATTATTATTATTATTTGCCAGGGGAAGAACGTACACATCATGGACAGTTTTCTGTTCATTTTGTTGATTTGTGTATGACCCTGTTATAATAATTATTATTATTTCTGTTGTTGTTGTTGTTGTAATATGAATAAGGTTCTTGCGGGGGTTTCTCCATTGATCCTTGAGGTGGAACGTTTATGTCATTGTTCGGTATGAGCGTTGTGTGGGATTTATTCTACATAGAATAAAAGGAACAGGCCAATATGGATAGGAAACAGGAATGGGCCAACGGGTCTGTCTTGTTTGCAAATCCTATCCTTGTGCTTATTATATTACCCGAATCCGAACACACACACTTGTTGGTATACATCTATGCAGTAGTATATTTTTGACTAACCATGACGTCCTAAATCTAATCAAAATACATATTTAGGTTGCGCCCATACAGAACAGCCTAACCAGGATTTGTACAACTTTGAGGGATACTTGGAACTTGGGCATGGCAAGAATATTCCACGATATCCCCTCAGTATCAACCAAATTCTTCTCCGTGGCACTATCTTGCGCAACACACCCTTCGTTTATGGTCTCGTGGTGTTTTCGGGTGAAGAAACGAAAATCCGTCAGAATGGGTCCAAAAACATTCGTACAAAAGCACCTAGTATGCAGCGACTGATCAACAAGGTCATTATCGTCATTTTCAGCATTGTGGTCTTTTTGTCCGCATTATGCACGGTCCTCAGTGCAATTTGGAACAACAGGAACGATAAACCTGGACGTTTTGCTTGGTACTTGGCAGCCAAAGGCGTTATGCGCAGTGACACTGCATCAGTGCTTTTTGGGTACATTGTCCTTTTTAACACCATGATCCCGATCTCGCTCTATGTCACCATGGAGCTCGTCAAGTTGATGCAAGCCTACTTTATCCATCACGATCTGGAGATGTATGACCCCATCTCGGATACGCCTGCAGAAGCCCGAACAACTGTCATTAACGAAGAACTTGGGCAAGTTAGCTACCTATTCTCAGACAAGACAGGAACACTGACAGAAAACATCATGGTCTTCCGCAAGTTTTGTGTAGCTGGTCTTTCATTCAATCATGATTTGGATCCAGAATCGATTAAAGCAGCAGCTAAGCTAGCGCAGGAGAACCAGAACTTGCATTCATCAGATGGACATGATCACCCAGGCGATGCCCCTGCTGAAGGCGAGACAGTACGCAGGCGAAGCAAATACACGACCAAGGCTGGGAAAGTCGTAGGGAAGCTGAAGCGATCTTCTCATCGTCATCAGGGACAGAGATCTAGTCTAGGCTACCAGAATCTGGGCGGAGGCAAGGAAGTAATCTCTGAAATGGAATCGGGATCATTGCCAGCAGGATACCCTGAGAGTGTATACGCAGGCAACAAACCTTCATACGCTGAAACAATCGTGCCTTGCACGCCTACATCGCAGTTAGTCTCAATCTTGAAGTCTGGAACGCATCATGACATGGCAAACAGGATCCGCTTTTTCTTACTTGCAATGGCTCTCTGCCATGATGCGGTTCCAGAGTTGATGGACGAATCTGATCCTATGAGTCTCAAGTATCAAGCAGCCAGTCCAGACGAGAATGCATTGGTCGCGGGTGCGAAGGAGCTTGGCTATGTCTTTGTGGAACGCACTCGACGTGGTATCCGTGTCCAGAGCTTGCCAACATCTGCGGATGAAGCCCCAAAGGAGGAAATTTACGAGATTCTCAATGTTCTAGAATTCTCAAGTAAAAGAAAGCGAATGTCTGTTATTTACAGGATGCCAGATGGGCGGATTTGCCTGTTCACCAAGGGCGCTGACTCTGTCATTCTGGAACGTGTCAGAGATCCTCGGACAGGATTTGACGATATTTTGAACCCAGACTCTCCGATACCCTTTACGCTGGATTCGCCTCACCCTCATGGATACGACGGTATGGATCCGCTCGAAAGTCTAGATCACCCTAAAACTGACAAAAGACGTAAACGTCCACTCCAGCGCTCTTCAACATCACCAGCAGGAGTTGAAGGTGTCTTGAGAGAACTTGATCGACTCGAGCATTCAAAAGGCGCCAGTGCAGCTTCTAGAGCCCCTGCAGACGTAGATTACATTGCTGCATACTTTTTCGGCCAGACACAATCAGAAATGTGGGAGTACCAACAAACCATGGATCACATTCAAGAATACGCCACGACTGGATTGAGGACGTTGCTGTATGGTCACCGATATTTGTCCGAGGAGGAATATAGTCAGTGGGCAAAGCAGTATGCGAATGCTCAGAGTGCATTGGAAGGTCGACAAGAAAAGTTGGAACAGGCGGCTGAATTATTAGAACAGAATCTGGACATGACGGGCGCCACTGCCATTGAAGACAAGCTTCAAGTCGGGGTGCCCGAGACAATTGACAAGCTTCGTAGGGCTGGTATTAGACTGTGGATGTTGACGGGTGATAAGCGTGAGACAGCTATCAACATTGGATACTCTTGTCGACTGATCAAGGACTACTCATCAACCATCATCTTGGATGTGCCAACACAAGCACAAGCACACAGGGCTTTGAACAAGGCCATTAAGGATGTTAGCAAAGGCAAGTCACGCCACGTGGTAGTAGTCATCGATGGAGCCACACTTGGAATTGTGGAGCAGTCTTCAGAACTGATGGCACTCTTTGTTGAGCTCGGTATCCGAGCAGACTCTGTGATCTGTTGCAGAGTCAGTCCCGCTCAAAAAGCTATTGTGGTCAAGACAGTTCGTGGAAGAGTGAAGCATGTGGTAACTCTTGCAATCGGTGACGGAGCCAATGACATTGCGATGATTCAAGAGGCCAACGTCGGTATCGGGATCACAGGAAAGGAGGGTCTTCAGGCTGCTAGAGCGAGCGATTACTCTATTGCACAGTTCCGATTCTTGGAGAGATTGCTATTTGTTCATGGTCGTTGGTCATATGTGCGTGTATCAAAGTTTGTGTTGGGTACGTTTTACAAGTGCGCGACATTTTATTTGACTCAAGGGCTATTCCAGATTTTTACAGGATTTTCAGGCACATCATTGTACGAGCAATGGACACTCTCCTTCTACAACACTCTCTTCTCTTCTCTGCCCGTAATGGTTGTCGGTATGTTCGAGCAAGACCTGAAGGCATCGACGTTGCAACTCGTTCCGGAGCTGTACACATTTGGACAGCAGAACTCTGGCTTCTCTTTGATGACCTTTGGGACGTGGATGGTAGCAGCGGTTTACCATGCAATTGCAGCGCTGATGGTTCCACTCTGGATTGCAGGTGCTATTAGCAAGTTTGGCATTGAACCAGATGAGGTAGCCTTGTTCCAAATGGGACTTGGTGTCTACACCACCATTGTATTGGTGGTCACCTTCAAGATTGCGTACCTGGAGACTCATAATTGGTCGATTGTAACCCATATCACCTCACTTCTTACAATCATTGCATGGTTTGGGTACAACACTGCATATTCATTCCTATATCCCGTCCGCACAGCAGGATATCACGTCCGTGGTGTCTTCCAAACCTTGGCTGGTCATTTACCCTTCTGGCTGACTATCATTGTGGCATTTATGATTGCAATGATGCCGAATGTGATGGCTAAGATCCTCAAGGCCCAGATGTTCCCTTCAGATGTGGATTTATATCAAGAACTGGAGAAGGATCCTGAGGCAGTACAGCGATGGAAAGAATGGGAAGCAGAGCTCGGTAACCAAGGAGCAGAGGCAGAGGGGGTGACAGGATCCAAGATTCAGAGGCGACTTTCCATTGCTGCGAGTATTGTCTCGAAGCAGTCTAGTCGTCATACAGCAAGCTTGTCAAGCCGACGAGGACGATCAAAGAATCAACAACCGCAGCGCGAGGGGACCATTAAGAGCGATCTTGGCCCTGTCGTTGGTAGACGTTATTCTTATGATGTTGAAAGAGATGAATTTAGGGAAGATCAAGATAATATGAGTGACTGGGGCGCTGGGACTGGATCTGCCAAAACATATCACCAACGTGGTGCTAGTAGTGCGAGCCAAATGATGCGTGAGCAGCAATCGCAACGTCGGTCGTTCACAGCCCGTCGAGCCAGCTCCAGTCGGGCTAACAGCACCAGCAATCATGTAGGAGGGTTGAGATCAGCCCCAGTTTCGCTTTCGACAGAGGAACTAGAGCTGCAAAGAACATTATCGGAGGGCGGTCAAGAGAGGGAACAATTCGCTGGAACTTCGCTTGATCCCAACAATGTCATCGCACTGGAATCATCAACTAATGAGCGGAGTTAATTTTTTTAAAAAAAAAAAAAAAAAAAAAAACCCTTTCGAAAAGCATTATTCTTGTATATTATTTCGTCATTGAATGACTTTTTTTGTTAAAAAAAACTAAAATAAAATAACATAAAAAACAAAATGAACGCAACAGTATATTAGCTCTATGAGTCTCTTCTAGCTCGATCTCTGCTGTCATCTCTATGATTCCGACTCCGACCACTACCAGAATAATCCCTGTCCCTATCTCTGTCCCTGTCCCTGTCTCTTTCTCTGTCCCTATCTCTGTAGGTATCTCGATCCCTTGAATAGCCCCGATCTCGATCTCGGTCATAATCTCGCGCTCTATCACGACTCCTATCACGGTAAGATGATGAATGGGTACGGTATCTATTAGGGGATCGTGACAATGACCTTGAATCACGTCGACGATGCCTGTAATTACGGTCAGAGCTGCGGTCGCGATAAGAGCGAGATCGTCTTTGTCCAGGCGACCGTGACCGTGACCGTGATCGTGATCTTGATAATCTAGCTCTAGATCTACGAGATGGTGGCGATGAAGACTGAAGTTGTGAAGATGGGGATGAGGGCGAAGCTTCTGTAAAAGTATTTGATGATCTGATATGCTGTGTTTTTTCCTTTTCTTCAGTCTTTGTTAAATTCTGTGTAATTTGATCTGCATCTTTTTTATCCTCTGCTTCCCTATTATAGTTATTGTTGTTGTTATTGTTATTGTCATTGTCATTGTCACGGTCGACTTTGATCTCGTCCTTGTCTTTCAGCTCCTTTTCTCGCGCCTTATTCTCTTTCTTCTCTTTCTTGGCCGCTTTTTTTAGCTCCCGACGTGCACGTCTCTCCTCTTTGGACTCTTTGTTGTCATCCTTGTCTTTATCCCGTTTCTTTGTCTTTGACTTTTTGCTCTCTTTCTTGCGACGTTTCTTGAGAAGATAATCACGCATAGGGTCGTCAATATCAATCCTTGTGCCATCTCCTTCCGATTCGCTTGAGCTATCGTCATCTTCAGATTCGTCTTCTATATCATTACAATAACAAAAGAAGAAGAAGAAAAAGAAGAAGAGATATAAAATGGACGCCATAACATTTAATGGAATAAAGGGGATTAGAATCAAGAAAAAGGAACATTTTGTCCATCAATTCTTTTTTTTTTTTTTTTTTTTTTTTTTTTTTTCATATCGTACCTTCTATAGGCTTAGGAGCAGCATTATTGACCATGTCCTCATCAGGTTCGACCTCGTTTCCGTCGGCGTCAAAGACCTTAGGGACTTTGTAATTTTGTACATGATCTACACGGATCACTCTGCCACCAATCTAGATGAATCCCCAACCAAATAGAAATAAATAAATAAAGAAGAAAGAAAGAAAATATATACATATAATTATATAAATAAGTATATGTTTATACGTGTTTATTCAATACCTTGGCTCCGTTCATGTTATCCACTGCCAGAATAGTGGATCGTTGATCAACATATTTCAGGAATGCAAATCCTTTGGATTTGCCCGTTTCCTTGTCTCGGACGAGATTGATCCCCGCAATTTCCCCAAATTGCGACAAGACACAGATAATGTCTCCTTCTGTCAAGTTGTAAGGAAGGCCACCGACAAAGATATGGGCTGAATCCTTGTATTGTTCATGCCATGATCCAGAAGCCGAAGTCGAGAGACTTGCCTCACGTTCGTTCAGCCGTTGAATCTCCTTGACCACACTGTTTAAAACAAGACAAATAAAGATAAAAATAAAAATAAAGTAAATGCATTAGCGAAATTTTATAATTGTGAACCAAATCATAATCGTTAACATGACGCCTACTTCATGGGAGTAAAGTGCAAACTGTAAAATGCTAAACGGTGTTTGCGCCTCTTTTTTTTTATTTTAATATTTCTTGAAGAGTGTGTTGCACGTGATAAAATCGCGAAAGTTTAATCTTGGGAGGCTTGGGGGATTTCTCGATCAAGGATCGCTATTTTTTTTTTTTTTCGATATGAGTATCTTTTTTCTTTGACTACAGATGCTTTTTGAAGTCGTGAAGAATTCTCCACGCTGGCACTAATCTTTTTCGTAATGTATAGATGCATATACGATATATTATATGTGTACTCTAAAAGAAAAAAAGAAAAAAGAATGAAAAGAACGAAAAAGAAGCTTCTCTCAAGCATATGGGTAATAAATAAGCTTGGTAAACAGTTTGCCATAATGAACTAACCCAATTTTCATTCCAGTTCTTTTCTCCGCCTTGATCTGTGACTTGGGCTTGCAACTGCGCATTTCGGGCCTGTAAAAAAAAAAAAAAATTGATATGAAATATTGGGCGGCAGACAGAGCCGTGTGAAAAAAAAAAAAAAGGGTGACAACGTTCTTTCTCTGCATCTTTTGTAAGGAACATCACGTCTGCTTCATAACCCATATCCATTAATAACCTGTCGGAGACTTTTTTTTTTTTTTTTTTTTTCAAGGACACTTGAAAAAAATAACAACATTGTAGAATCAAAGTATAAATTATACACACATAGTCTCATTATAGCAAATTTATTTATGCAAAACCATTTAGAGTGGTGTCAGTCCTCCAACAGGGGCAATGCCCTCAAAACCTGAGGGGCATCCAAACTCGTACCGCCGCTCCCAGAACGAAAGTGCTGCGGTAAAATGAAAGTAGACACCACCCAGTACACAGAGATGCCAGAGCTGATGAGAAGAGCCGAAATGGTCGAACCGTCCAGGGAACAATTTCTCCGGATATTGATTAGCATAAACAAAAACTCCCAAGGCATATGAGCCCAAGGATTTAAGCAAGGGAAAGATCCATTCGAGTGTCGTTCCTGCGCCATGAATCAATATGAGATGGAAGACAGGCAGTAACGCGGATGCTGCCATCGAGATGAAGAATGTAATTCGAAGCCAGCGTGTCTCTATAACCATGTCAAATCAAATAGTAAATTAATAACGGTTTATTGTTGAAGAAGAGGGCTTTAAGTGATCACAGGTACTCTTGTGTGACAAAAAAAAAAAAAAAAAAAAATTTCTTACCTTTCTGATCGAACCATGGGAACCATGGAATAACAACACCGGCGACGCCAAACAGCGCAGTGGCAGCAATGTAACTGTGGCGGAATAAAGATTCACAGTAGAAGCCATAGTACTCTGTTACAACAACACTGGCAGCAATCAGAACAGAGATGCCTACATAGTCCAAACAGGCCATGCATTTCATTGTGCCCTCATGAGCAATTTGAGCAAAGGTGTGCCAGAGCGAGGACATGAGCAGACACTTGTACACTGCCAAGAAGAAGACCAAAAAGACCAGCTTGTCATAGCCATCTGGAGGGATATAAGGAAGATTGCGGACAAGTGTAGAGGATGGTGTTGAGAAATAGGGGTTGGTTCCAGAAAAAAAATAGATGCCGACAGTCAGGAAGTAAAAGAATCCAAGAAGATGTGTCCAGATATTGCCGGACTCATTGTGGACATAAAAGATGGATTGGAAGCACTGTTTTTTTGACGATAAGAACCGATATCCCGAGAGGATGTGCTTGTTCTCTTGCCACTGTTCTGGTAGCTCTTCAAACCGAAGCAATCGTTTTGCGCCTTCGATTGCAGCCCTACGATGAGCCTCAATTGAATCAATAGTATACTTTGCACCTTCGAGTGCAGCCTTGCTGTGAGCTTCGATAGAATCGATGGTATGCTTTGCACCTTCAACTGCAGCCTTGCGGCTTGATTCGATAGAGTCAATTGTATAGTCCAAAATCGCCCGACGGTCGACCTTCTCGAACATGCCAATAGCATCGTCCATTCGCTCAAACGAGGTCTGCTCAAGCTCAACATATTTTTCCTCCAATATCATAATGGCTGTGCTCAATTTGTCTTTGAGTGTAGATTTTGCTTGAAGAGCATTATGATATGTGTCCTCCATAACCTTTAGAGTTGTGTGCACCTTGTGATCGATAGAAGGGACCTCCAAAGTAGCATAGGTTTCTTCAAGTAATCGAAGGGTGCGATCTACCTTTTCGAGCGCAGGTGCTTCAATCGATCGCAGTTTGGACTCGATCTTACAAAGGACATTTTCCAGTTTGTCAAGGATAGCGGAATCAATACTCTCAAGGTCCAAGGGTAGCATGGCTGCAGCCTTACTAGCAACAGCCTGCATACTCTTCCGGACAGAGGTCGATCTATTTCTCTTTTTTAATTCGGACATGGTGTTGTTGTGTCGACGATCGAATTGAGGAGTTTTTTTTTTTTTTTTTTTTTTTTTTTTTTAGATCTCCAAGAAAAAAAAATAGTGCAAGTGAGTGGAGAGGTTGAAAAGAGCCTATGTGGGTGAGAGACTATGAGAAAAAATAAGTTTGGATTGAAAGTGCTCTGCTAAATGGATTGAAGTTAATGGATCAAATCGGGTTGATAAAATGTGTGAATGAGGAGGTGAGAGAAATGGAGATTCAATGAATATAAATGAGAATATGAGTGATAAAAATGTACGTTTGATAAAGTAGTAAAGAATATTAACTTGTATAATAATGAATGCGATGTAATTAATGAAAGGAAGGGACAAGATACAAGGGAAGGGAGAATGGGCCTATATATGCGAAAGAATGAAGGAAAGGAGGAGAAAGAGATGGAGGAAAGGAAGAGAGAGAAAGAGAAAGAGAAAGAACGAGAAGAGAGGAAAAGAAAATGAAACCGAAATAACAATTCCCGCGCCAATCCTCATGTGGAGGGCTGTTCAAGCTGAGTTCGAGGGTTGGACAATTTACCCGTAAGCTCAAATGGCACCGTTGAATCAATCTCATCCAATAAAGCAATCCATATTTGTGTCTGTCACTGCTTTTGCTTTGCATGAAGCTATCTATAATTGTTATTATTGCCTGCCGCTCAGTCCACTTCATATCTCATCCACCGTTTATTATGAGCTTATGCAAAGAGAGCTCTTCTCTCTCAGTGTCTAAGTCTGGCATGTCCTGGATCCTCCGAGGCAGAAGAATCATTCCCTCTTCCCCATCTCAATTGACAACAAGGGGCACGGAGCGTGCATGTTGTCGCATCTTCCTCATGACAAGGATTACAAGTTATTGACGCCCATTGACTAGGATTGAAAAATGAAAATAAAAATTAAAATCGAAAATAAATAAAAAATAAAATAAAAATGTAATAAAAATCAGAATAAATTTAAAATAAAAATCTTATATAGCATAAAAATAAAAATAAAATCTAGAAATAAAGAATATTAAAAATAAAATGAAAATTAAAAAACAAAAAAGCAAAAAGGGAGAGAGATTGTCTACCCCAGTATAACATTGTCTACTAAAGATGACTCAGGTTGTTTATTTCTCTAGCCCTTGACGATCCTTTCAACCTGATCCATCATTGGATTCGGTCAATTTGTCTGCGATAGAAACAAAAAAAAAAAAAAAAAAAAAAAAAAAGGAGTTTAGTAATGGCCCACGCCTAACTCGCGCACACAGGCATTGGTTAACGAAAAAGGCGAAGAAAGAAATAAAAAGGGGGGGGAGGAAGTATGAGGAAGGGGAAAAGATTACACAACATCTACCAATGGAGATGCGTGCGCAGTGCCACGAAGCTGTTATCTCGCCTATTGTGCTGCTGAGTGCGCACACTATAAAAACTCTTTTTATGAGGCAGGAACCAGAGATGATGATCCCTTTGGCTATATCATTCTTCGAATCAAAAAGTAAAAGTCGAGAAAAAAAAAAAAAAAAAAAAAAAGGGAAAAAAAGTAATATCACATGACCCGGCGCCTGTAGTCAATGACAAAAAAAATTTTTTTTAAATCCGAAAAAAGCACTCATACACATGTAATAAATGTGAGATTCTAATTGATCATATTACCACTGTAAACTGCCGTTTTGTGCTTTTTTTTTTTTTTTTATTCTCAGCTATCCCAGTCTGCCATATAAAAAGGCGCCATAATTTTTTTTTTCTTTCTGTTACATATTTATTATTTTTTTTTTTCTTATGTATATATTTTAACATTGTACTTATATATTATCATCATCATCATCATCATCCTGTTACCATCCCTACCACTATATCATTAATCCGAACACCCCATTTACTCTCCACTAACCACTCACTACTAGAAACAAAAAAAATCACTTCCACACTCATATACGAATAGACTATTAGCTGTAATGACCAAAGATCATATCGAGCTCGAATCAGATATCCTGACGGTGCATGAGCAAGCCCAAGAACCTAGGAAAAAGGGTGCTGACCTCAAAGGATCCCTCGATATCTCCATAGCCCAGACACAGAGCTCTTTCTCTACTAAAGATCAACAACAAACATTATCTCGCTCAGACTCTGACATATCCGCTCCTTCTACCCCGACAAAAAAGCCTCTTGTCTTCAAAAAGCCTACAAAACACAAGTTTACATGGGAGGAGCTTACAAAGTTGGTTGCCGAAAAGGATTTGAGTCCGATGGCCCGATCCGAGGCCGTCCAGGAAGCATACCAGCGGGCCATCAAAAGGCGTACAAAGAAGTATGGGTCACCCGATGAATATATTCGCCAGCGAGTTCTTCATTGGCCACCTATGGAAAATGTTTCTTCTCCTTCCTCTCCCTCCACGGACAGCGATGATTCCTCGTCCTCGGGCTCTCCTCCTCCTTCGCCCACAGAGCCCGTTGACCCTCTGGAGTTTGCGCTCAAAAAGAATGAATTCCCATACTCGGTAGAATCCGGTATTGAGCATTGGTTAATATGGTCCAAGAATCCATTGCCAGATGAGGATTGGATCCGCAGGTATCTTGAGGAGCGACTTCCGGGGCGCGAATATCTCTTCTTTATTAACCCACCTGAGCTGCGCAGTGTGCCTTCGATTCATCATGTTCAAGTCTTTACTAAAGGTTATGGTGAAGTACTAGATGAAGAAGACCTTGAAGCGAAGAAGGATGAGGATAAGGCTTCTCGATAGCTGTACGCCCTTGTTGCTATCACCTTTGCATGAACACCAACCATAAATAATAGCATCAACATTTCAAAAAATAATAAAAGATATAAAAAATCTCCATCAAGCGGTATCAATTATAACAGCAGCAGTTTCTTCGAACCAATCTTGTTAGTGAGGCATGTGATTGAGTGGAAGAATATGCTTCAGTAACCTGGCTGTTATTCAGTAGACAAAGGTGCGTTGCTCGAGAGAGAAGGAAAACATTGCCTCTTATTTATACTTTAGAAGCTAGCGTGCCCTGTAATCCATCTTCTCTTTTCCATCCTGATTGAAAAAAAAATAAAAAATAAAAAAAATGAAGAAACAAGGGAAAATGGAAATCAAGGGAGAGGAATCAATGTAATTAAGGTCTGTCTAGTCTTCTTTGTTCTTCTTTTTTCTTTTTTTTTTTTTTACCATGACCTCCATTGCTTCTCAATTGTTTCCATTTCAATCTCCAAAGAAAATTTTGCCTCAACTCACACAGAAATAAAAAAAGAAAGTTCCCCCAATTACATCATCTCGCCTAATCAAGTTAGGGGATATTTTATCTACCACCAATCAAACATCACAGCCAAGTTGACTTGGAAAAAAGAAAATAAAATACTGATTGTATTATATATACAAAAATAGTCATTGGTAAAAAAAAAAACTCCTTGGTATTTGATTATATATATATATTTATTATGCCTAAACATTTTTTATTACACGTGCGCAATGGGTTGCCATCGCTTGGAAGCGACTCACTTTTATGGTTTTTTTTTTCTCTGTCTGTCGCATGTTATAGCTCCGCTGATATCCACCAGTCAGCAAGAAAATGGAGGATCAGCTTGGACCTTTCAAACACAGTCGTGGGAAAACCAACTTGACACGGGTGGACCGCGTCGTCTTTCATTTTCATCTTGGTCTTAGTTATATTCCAAGTCTTCAACATTCCAGATCTACAATAACTTCAGAATTGTTCAGGTAATATTCTTCGCTACGAAGAACCTCTAGCGGAAAAGAGATTAATTATAATAGTGAAAACAATTTAGTACCCATCTCATGCGCCCCTTTTGTCTCTCATTCATTTGGCTACTCTAGACCTCGTGGATTGTGCTATAAGCGATGTCATATTGTCTGGGTTTCATCCATTGTGCTGCTGCTTGCTGCAGCTACAGTGATATCCGCCAAAGAGATGACTCAAGAGGCAAAAAACATAGCTGTACCGTATGACTCTTTAACTTCAGTTGTTGAGCAACTCCGAATCCCAGTCGTGGCTGGCGCACCTCCTCCTCTTCAATCATCTGCGATTTCTGAACAGGATAGGCGAGAAAAGGAAAAAGAGGAAGCATATATCAACAGATTAGAACTCGACCGTGTCCGATTACGAGGCTCATTCTACCTTGAACTCACCCCTGAGGACAAACAATTGATGGATGAATCTCAAAAACTATATAAAACAGATCGTAAACCGCTCAGTTTAGTGCATCATTCGAAAGAACCTTTGCCGTGGGAAGGCCTTACTGACGAAGAGATCGAGAGTACGTCAATGGATTTTCAGTATGATGACTCGGAAACGTCCGACTGGGCCCTTTCTTCTAAGGATAGTGATTTTCAATATCAAAGTCATTCGACACCGAACAACGTCCCCATTGGAAGATGTGCTGCAGGCAACGGCAACGGCAATGTTTGCGACGGCCGCGAGGATGTTAACGAACTAAGCAACCCTAAGCTAAAGAGCTATCAAAATGGACGAACTCGATTAGGTAAAGGCCACAATGCATAGCATCAGGAACTCTGTCATTTACGTGGCTGCCTTAGCAAGCAAAAGACTAACTTCGCAACTGAGATTCATGTGTTACTGAATAATAATTTAATTCATTTTGAAATATTAGGTGAAATTGATAAGGTAAATGATGTTGATAATAGAGTTATCACAGGCAAACAGCCGTCAGAGTCTCAAACTGGAAAAGAAAACAACAGTCAGGAGGTTTCCCGACCAAAATTGGATCAAATTGATCTATTGGAGAATGAAGCCCAAGTCGACTGGCTGAACGAGCAGGACGAGATCGATCAAGCTAGAAAAGGAGGACTGCAGATCGCTCAACATCAAGACGACGTCCATCTTCATACCAATGAAGACGCTTTTGATAGCAACGCAAGGACGAGCGCGTTTGCGACTAACAATTGGGCCATACCACCAGAAGAAGTTTTCCAAGACCCTTTTTGGCATGTTAAGCATGGTATGGTGAGGCTGCAGTCGTACGTCCTATGGCACAATATCCATTTTGCTATTTAGCGTTGTTAATGCGTATATCTCTCTGATACCTCCAATAATAATAATTTTTTTATTTATTTATTATTTATTTTTATTTATTTATTATTTATTTTATTTTTTTTGAAAAAAAAAAAAAAAAAAAAAAAAAAAAAATGGCAGGTGGGCTGAATCCCGTGCATTATCATCCTCAAAATAGCCAAGGAAGTGTTAGTCGCAAGGATAAGAGTCGTGTTGAGGAGGAGGATGACCGGGATGAGGACGGAATAATCTTCCCTGATTTGTTCTCTGATGAGCCGTACAGCAAAATTGTTCGTCCAACTGTAACAAATGATATTAAATCGCCTCTCGGCTATCTGGCGTACAATCGCCAAGGTGATCGCATCATGGACTTTAGTATGGTCGGATGGAATGAAGGGAATACAGATATTCCTGACGCAAAACAGGATGTACCTGTGCTAGAGCGTGTTCAGCCACGCCCTGCCGCTGGGAATGATTCTGATCAAGGGGACGATACAGATAGGATTCAGCAAGCTATTAATCGCGTTTCCCAAACAACAGGAGGTCTTGTACAAGGACTAGATGTAGTGCCAAAAGGAGCACTCGTCCTCGAAAAAGGCATCTACAGGATCTCGAGGCCACTAAAAATCCGAGCAAGCGGTATCTTATTCCGTGGGGATCCTGCCGGTGGCTCCAGAATTGTGTGTCAATGGGAGCCCACAGGGCCGCGTTATGCTATTGAAATCTTGTAATTTAATTTCTGTCGTTTTAATCTTCGAATTACCATTACCAAACTTCTTAACCAAGCAGTAATTCCAACTTATTGATACTTACCTCTTTTTTTTTTTTTTTTTTTTTTTTGCTTTTGTTTGTTTAAAGAGGAGAAGAGGATATAATGATGCAAAACACCAATGTCCCAATCGTAGCTGACTATATCCCTGTGGGCTCCTTTTACTTGTCACTGGACCCAACCTTTTTCGATGATTCAGGATTGGCTGTGGGCGACCAGGTAGTTGTTACTCGGGTTGGAAATAAACGTTGGATTGAGGATATCGGCATGGATCATTTCGACACGAATAAGAAGGGCGTGAGACCATGGCGGAAAATGCAAGCAAAGATGTATAGGACCATTCGGTCGCTCAACTCACAGACAGGCGTTGTGCAGTTAGACGCACCTTTGCCTATCTCGATTCGAAGGCAATATGGAGGTGGGTTTGTGACAAAGTACAAAGATAACAAGATCCGAGCGCTCGGTATCCAGTACTTGGACATGGTGTTTCCTAAGAATATTGGACGCAAAACCGAGGACATGCTAGATGAGACGGGCCGAGGAAGCAAAGATTATCGTTTCTCACATGAGATCTTTTCGAACTATGCCTTCCGGATCGACAGCGTCTGCCACATGTATATTACACATGTCACCAGCGCCTACTTTCACAATTTTATTTCAGTAGGAACAAACGTCCATCATCTTACGATGGACTCTGTCGTACATTCTTATCCTAATGACATGCTTTCAGGCCAATCCGCTTTTCAACTTTCTGGCCAGTTAGTGCTCATCAAGAACTCGCTTTCGCAGGGGTCATTCCATTTCTTTGTCGATATTAGTCATGTTATGGGCCCTACTGTCTTTCACCGATCCCAGACGATCAATATTGGAAAGCCTCGTGAGCCTCTCCCCTTAAAATTTGCACCAGGAGAAATAGGACCCCACATGAAGTTTTGTACCGGTATCCTTGTAGACCAAGTCGCTACTGATGGCGCAATCAAGATCATAAACCGTGGCGACATGGGCACAGGACAGGGCTACTCTGGGGCCAATTCAGTAATATGGAACTCTCGTGCACGAGAAGGTATTCTCACGCATCGCTCTACTGGATTTCAGAACTTCGTAATCGGAAGTGAGGTTTTGGAAGCAGAGGACCGTATGCCGTGGGAATCGCATGGCTGGAAGGAGCATTTGGGTAATGAAGTATACCCTGGAAGCCTGTACTTGAGACAGCTTGAGGATCGCTTAGAACGGATAGCCAAGGGCTGGGTTGCATAACATTAACAATACAATACAAGTAATTATTCGTATTGCCATCAAAATTGAATAAAATACGAAACGTGACCTGTTTTTGGAAGTATGGATCCGGGAATAGAATGTTGCATGGACATGTTTATTTGCCAACACGAAGCCCTTATAACCTTCAATTGCTGCAATGTCTAATTTTGACAATGGCGCAGGTAATGTAGATGAAAAGTAGGGCTTCAGGTTGGTCCAAAAGATCTCGCAACAAAAAGCTGTTAAACATTAGGAATAACCTGTTACAGATTGCCTCCATTAACTACAGAACTAGAACTTGCACAAAAGTTTAAGGAAAAGGTGCTTGCTAGAAAGCGAGGAGCGGGGTAATGACACTCATACATAGCGTTATGGCGCTCTCTTTGGAACAGATTGCAGCTCCCTATTAGTAGTAATGTTAATTTTTTTTTTTTTTTTTTTTTTTTTTTTTTTTCCGCGTTTGTAGGACTCGTCAGCCCAAGTTTCGTGGATTCAGCATTGAAAAGGCCACAGATATAGCCCAAGCGACAACGATATCAGGAATAGAAATTGGGAGAAATGCCCTTGCCCCACAAACCTCTTCCACAGCAACTGCGGCTCCCCAGCAAGCCGAAACAACAGCACTGCCTAACTTTGAAAATGTCAAAAATGGGCCCAGAATGTCAACCAACATAGAAGGATTGAATGAAAAATATAAGGAACGACTCAAAGCGCGCTTTAGAGGAGCAGGGTAACGTGCCATGATCCCTCAAATCCGATGCCTTTATTTATTTATTAATTTTGCAGTACAGATACTGATTGTTTTCATGGTATATATGTTTGATGTGTTTGTAGAGCTCATCAATCGGATTTTAGAGGCTTTACGCTTAAACCAACAAAAGATTCAGATCGCGGAGCAACTGGAAGACTACCAGGGACTATGCTATCACCAAAGCTAACAAGGGAGACATCAGAAAGAGCGCATGACTTGCGAAGGCCTGAATCAGATATAGGGAAATCTGATTTCCAACGACCTTCGTTGGATATCCGGAATGCCCATACCTCAGCTCAGCTCGAGCTTTCACAGGCGTTAAACAGCCTTTCAATTGACAAAGATTCAGCAGCAAGGAGAGCCTCAAGAGCTTCATCATTAGCGAATGGATCTCGTCGTCCTACACCAATCCTAAACCTTCTTAAGGATACTCGTACACCTGCCTTCTCGGTACCTATATCCTCACCCTCCTCCATTCCAAACCCATCTACAGACAGTCAACGAGTAGTGTCAGTAGGAACTGGTGCAGATTCATCAAGGCTTACCACCACACAAGCCCCTAGTATTAAGCAAGCTTGGAGCACCAATCGCATGAGTGGTAGGATATTCATCTGCGGGCTTTTATATGCCTCGTTGGATTACCCTTTTCAAATAACAAGCCATTCTTTGATTTAGCTAATATCCTTGTTCCTGTTCTAGGAATATCACCTAACTCTCAAAGTGAGTCGAGCAGAGACAAGGCAATTACTTCATCTGATAGCACCCAACACTCTGAGGAGTCCTCAGGAAGAGTATTAGGAACCACATTCGATCGGCGACCTGTTATTGAGGATACTATTGATGATACAGGGTTTACAGATGATTATGGTGTTCATGATCCTATACCAGAGCTAATCCAAAAAAACATAACACCAGCACAGACCCACAATGATCTCAAAAGGACCTCCATTTCGGCCACACCCTCAGACAAAACAAATATATCGACTCGCAGGGATGATGTAGGATCGATCAAGCGTCGGCGTCTCATTCTGGAAGAAGAACCTGATGAAAATGAAGACCCATCACCTATCTATCACAATAAAATGTCAGTCAAACCAATGGCAACTAGCAGCCTAAAGAAAAAATTCGCATTGCCCGAAAAGATGTTGCGCAGGGAGAAATTCGTTAATATAGACGCAGCTAAAGCGCCAAAACCCAAGGATGTAAATCGTATAGCTCCAGCATCATTAGCGCTAACATCAGCACCAGGGAAAGGGGCTTCTACTTTGAATGATCCAAAGCCTCTTCGGCAAGCAACCCTGGTGCAACTATCATCTAGGCCATTAGGGCCAGAACATGGCGCCACGATAGCCCGTTCAGTATTTTTACAGCAGCAGTCTTCAGCAATGGATACAAATGACAATGAGAGCGATATTGAGGAGACCATAACCAAGGCAATGAAATTGGATGAAGAGCACAAAAATGATGATTCACTATTATTGACGAAAAAAGCGAAAGGGAGCAGGAAAGGTATCTCTGATCAAACGGTGGAAAACTTTAAACAACTTCAGATCCACTGTCTCAAGTTTGGAGGCTCCTTTAACCGTGCTAGTCGCCCTGCCACTGATGCCAACAAGGAGAGGACCAAAGAATCGCCTATGGAAGAGGATCCTATGGATCATGACAAGGAGACGCCATCCGCACAGGAGGCAATTCAGAGCATCTTGGAAATCGACAATGCCCCACTCAGCGAGATGGATGTCATCGCAGAAGCTGTTAGGGATGTTGCAGATAAGTTTATGTAAGTTAAGCCTATGCGATATGACATGACAGAAGGAGTAATAGTCACTTCAAAATATTTTTACTAACGCCTTTTATTATTAAAATTCTTCAAATATTTGGTTCAGAGAAACAATTGACGAACCCAGTTTGAAGCAAGAATTGTTGACACTCCGTGAAAATATGGAAACACTTTTGATTGAACAGGTAAGTAGCATCATGTCTCGTTCCCATCGCTTCGTTAAAGATAAAGTCCAACTTTAGAGTAGCATATTCACCAACGGGGAAAACCTTGTGATGGACTGATAGGTTGATACGTTGGATGATTACACTCTCCTGAAGGCTTCTGCGCGAAAAGCTGCTGCCCTAAAGAAGGAGCTACGGACACGGCTGTTAGAAACACAGAGACGGCGGCAGAAGACGAGGGAAGAACTCAAGCGCGTGCGAGTCAAATTTGAGAGGGAAGAAAGAGTTAGACGACGATTAGAGGACACCCATACCTTTTTGGCTGACCTGGAGGCATTACGGGATCAAGTGGTAGGCTCGGATGATGAAGAGGATAAGGAAGATGATCGCGTGGATATTTTGAAGGTAAACAGCTCCCACCGAAATGAATAGAAAACAGTTTCCATGAAAAAGGCTCATGCTTTTTTATTATTGTATACTGTGAAGTATACTAACTCATCACTTGCTTTAATCATCTACCGCTTTCAGACTGGTCTTCAAAGTATGGCCGCTACAGTTGGAAGGCGTTGCGGTAGTAGCAACAGCAGCAACAGTGGCACTATTGATAAGAACAAGGGTATACAGTCAGGAATGCTAGGTACACTTGAGGAGTTTAATGAGCTGTTGGAGTCGATGGAGAAGAGTCTTCGGACTATGCCTCTGATCACCTACTCACAAAAGCTTAGCACATCAAGGTTCAGTGATGATGACGAGGAACCGGACTTGGATGATCTTGTTAATTTTTGAGTCTTTTGATCCGACCTCATTTCACGCTAAAGTAGTGTTCGTTTGTTAATTTATATAATATACTACAAACCCTTATCAAAGATGTAGAAAGCACTTTTATTTCCTTGAATGCATTATGGCTTGTTGCTTGGAGACATCCAATATTTAATAGCTATCTATGTGTTGGACTAACTCTAGTATGTGTCATAAATGATCATTTTACAGCCCATACCCGCTTTTTCTTTTTCTAGGGCTGCATTTCAATTTGGATATGAATCAGTAAACAGAACATTTAGGTATCACGGACTTTTTATTTTTTAATTTTTACGAACAAGATGCATTACTATGGTATAATAGGATAGATAACAACATGAAAAACTCCACTGAGCCTTTTTTTTTTTTTTTTTTTTTTAAGAATAATCACCAGAGATGACAGCCTTGCATCCTTTGGTAGATTTGTGAGTGGGGCAATCACTCTTGTTTCGACAGCAGCGCATGCAGTAGATTTGGATATCAGGTTCGACCAGCTCGACAAAGTAAGGGTAACCTGCACACTTAGCGCCAACGGGGGCCTTGATATCATATTGTCCACCAGCATCCTTACGGGACAGACCATATTTGGAGCGATCAATACGGCCAGTGATCTGGACATAACGCCTGGTACAGACCAAATGCAGTGACTTGACGAATCCCTTGGGGAGAATACCGGCATTAGGGGCCTCGGCCATGGGTTTGCTACAGAAAGCTACGGCCTTGTCCTCATTCTCGGCGATGCCGCCTCTGTACATAGGAGGGAGGAATAAACAATATTTGCTCTCGCTGATGATGGCGCCGGTCTGGCCCGTGGGAGGTCTGGGTGCAGCCAAGGCAACAGAAAGAATTACCAAAAGGACAGAAGAGACAAGAAAGGATTTGTTGAACAACATGTTGACCAAGAAAAAAAAAAAAAAAAAAAAAAAGTAAGACTAGGTTAATGATGAAAAGATGAAGAAGCTGATGGTGATAAAAAAAAGAAAAAGAAAGGACAGCTCTTTTATACCGTTTTTTTTTTTCTTCTTTTTCACTTTCTTTATTACAACTTGAAGAGAGGGTTGAAAGGATCGGTATCATTTGTCGTCAGAATATTGTTACCCAATTCCTTGTGCATGAAATGCATGATGCATTTCAACGCCAAAATTCAATGCTGAACAAGCTACTTTGCCTTATCTATAACCGTATGAATGAGTGGATGTGGGTATATGTGATTGAATCAACATTCACCAATAGAATACTATACCACGTTGATCCCATGCGATGAGAGAAAAACGTGATGGCAACTTGGCATGAATCACTATTGTTCGGAACGCAGTTTATTAATAGGAAATGGACCATGCGTAGGAAAACAACATGCGTAAGAATAATAAAATAAAAACATAAAATAAAATAAAATAAAATAAAGGCTATGTATCTCGTGTCTATTCTTTGCGAATGACGCCGTAGCCGTTGACAATCCTATCAGTGCTAGTGGATGCTGTGGTACATGATGAAAGAGGTCTAGGTACAGGGGAGAGGGAAAAGGACGGAGGAAGCATGAATGCCTCCTTTTGTCTTGTCCTAATTCCTGAAGAATTAAAAGATGATGAGAAAATAAACAGCATAACGCGTATCTTTACTGATTTTCCAACGTCCTGTCCAATGCTAAGCCCAGTAGAGGAAGCGATGACATGATGGTAAAAAAAAAAAGAGATGGAGTTGTGAGAGAGGTTAGAGCAAGTGAACGGATCAAACAAGCATTTGTTTTTGACAACGGTTGTCGAGTGATGGTCATCTGAACTCAACCCTCTTTCCTTTCCTACCTTGATGCCTTGTTTCCCAACAACAACAACAACAACAACAACAAAAAAAAAAAAAAAAAAAGAACGGAAGGTATTTGGGCAAAATGAACATCAGATGTTGATGCCTACCTGAAATGTGCACGAGGACAAGGAAACTTTTCAACCTTTGGGGTGTTGCTAAGATGCCCAACCAACTCTATCTCCTCTCTCTCTTTATTATTTCCTTGTTCATGCGTTTTTTTATTTTTATTTTTTGGACATCTTGCACCGTTTGCTTTCGCCTTCACTACAGATGCCCAAATCACATTTATTATTTGGCGTGCCTGATTGTGTTAGCGTTCTTGAAGATTGAGCGCCTCTTTCGAAAAATGGGTAGATGTGCGTAAAGTCGACAAACGGTTTTAGCCTGCGCCTTTTCTTTTAATCTTCCTTCTCTTTCTGGTTGAATTGGCCTCATAGATTGCATCATATAACCAGGCAAGACGTATACACATGTAGTATAGGAATATGTGGATAGTGTTAGTGAACGAGATATTTTTACGAGCATATGGGCGTAAATAAACGCTATCAAAAAATAGCACAGTCTAGTTTATTTTTATAATGGCAAGGAAAAGTCTTGATTGGCGCTCAAACCGAGGAACGTGCCTGATCCAGGATAGTGTAAAGAATGTGAAACCGTACAACCTTGGCGCAGCGTATCTATTTAGAATAACGATATAAGGGTCGTGAGTGGATGGGTGGACGAATAGAGCTAGAGAGAAAATAGAGAGAGAGAGAGCAAAAGGATGGAAGAAGCGAGGGGAAATATCCATATGCCCAAATAAGTGGAGGAAAATGGGATAAAGTTTTATCGACTTTTAATACGTTCATGAACCCACTTCTTTTTTCTTTTTCGAAATAAGCTAAAATGAGCGTCAGAATACAAACAAAAGAGACGCGAAAGCGATAACAAGGAAGAGGGATGTATGCAGCGCTTTTGGACCAACTCTTATGTTTGTTTAGCCCAGTTCTTTTTTTTTTTTTTTTTTTTTTTTTTTTGTTGGTTGATAGTTGTACTATTGGGCGTATGCTATCAAACTGAACCCATTCCATCCCCTAGACTTCCGCCGTCTTTTTTATTTTTATTTTCCTTTGGTACTAGAACCTTAATAGCTACTCGTCTATTACATGTCAAGTCATTGTTCGCTGCTACAGCAGATGATATTATAGAAAGGAGGAATAATAGTAAAAAATACGAGTCGAACTTTTATTCAATGTTATAATTTAGCTCGTTACGAGTAGTCACCACCAAGGACATCTCTGCATCCATATGTGGACTTGTTCACAGGGCAATCCGACTTATTCTTGCAACAGCGGAGGCAATAAATCTCCTCATCGGGTTCTATGTGTAAAAAATATAAAACAAAAACGCGTCAGCTTCGTTTCCTATTAGATCATAACATAAAAAAAGAAAGCTATTGTAAACTCTTCTTTTTCTCTTGTATACCAAGCAATTGCACATAGTATCCATAACCAGCGCATTTGGAACCAACGGGGGCTTTGATATCATACTGTCCACCACCATCGCTTTCAGAAAGGCCATACTTGGAGCGGTCGATACGACCCGTGATCTGGACATAGCTCTTGGATGTATTGTTGACGAAATGGATGCTCTGGACGAACCCAGTTGGGAGCTTACGGGCATTAGGGGCTGTCGGGATGGCAGTGTTGCAGAAAGCGACTGCATCATCTTCACTTTCTGCGATATCACCACCATAATCACGTGGAAGGAAGAGACAATATTGACTGGTCGAAATCAAGGCAGCCGTTTGACCATTGGGTCCACCAGCAGGAGCAGCTGAGGTCACGCTTGCGGAGAAGAGCACCGTGGCAATGGCAGCCAAAGAGAGAGCAAACTTCATGATGGAAAATTGTTTATTCTTGTTAAGCGGGTTGAGTAAAGAGAAGTGAATGTTGGATAAAGATGAAGTAGAAAAAAAAAAGGGCAGATTCTATGGCTCTTTTTATACGCGTTTTTTTTTTTTTTTTTTTTCTCATCCTATCCATCATCGCCATCCCCTTCTCTAATCGTTACGCCTAGAGTGATGTGTAACGTTTGGTGTGGTATGTACATGGTCATGTATTTACGCCCATTTCTAGAAATATTAGCATTTCATATCGACTGTCCACCTGCTCACTTTCTTTTTATTACGCGCATCTAAAAAAGGGAAAAATAAAAGGTCAGCCTACCGCCTTATTTCTACCTTTAGAACCTATATTGTTCATGTGGCTCGATAGGATCATCAACTTGCACAAGCAATGCGGCGTAGCCTTAATACTTCATCAATGCTAAAAATAAACTAAAAAAAAAAAAAAAAAAAAAAATATGAAGACTTGCTGCGTGTTTAACAATACCCACTGCTTTTTTCGGAGTGGAATAGATTAGATATTAGTCGAAAAAAGGAGGTTGGTGCTACACGGCCTTCGGGTAAAGGGCTTGGAAATGCGCCTTCGGGACAAAGTTGAGGTTTCTAGGGAGCGGCGGTCTTTTTTAGATATCACATTTTGTAGACGTGAAGGATCAAGTGAAAAAATTATGCAGATTATTGGTCTGTTCTGTACCACACATCAAGGGCCAATAACGTTCTCTAGATGCGCTAGCCCCTATTCCAGTGCTAATAAGGCGCTTTCTGTAAGTTGCTCGTATCCTTGGCATAATAGAGACTGCTGGCGTAACAAGTGAGAAAAGAAAGAAAAGAATAAGGAGTAATTGATGCAATTTATTGGAGAATAGAAGTGTCACAAAATCGATAAGAATAGAGAGTATACGCCAATAAGGGTGTCTATCCCCGAAAAGACTTTTTTTTGGTCTATCCGCTCACCGCCGAAGCCTCGTTTTTCCTCAAAATGCCTATACCAGAGGGTCAAGCTTGTCACTCTTTTTGGTTAGTCCTTTTCAATTATAAGAATTTTGTTAAGTAAACCATTTATATTTGAAAGAGTCTAGCCAAAAAGAGCGACAAGCTTGACCCTCTGGTCTACATCATTTACCCAATCTCTATTCACAAACCTCTATTCTCGAATAGACGGCGCGTGACACATTAATTTTGTTTTTTTTTACGCGTCAATTTGAAATGAATCCCATTCAGCATCCTTTTATTAGGGCCTCAACGGCTCCTTCTTCTATTTCTTGTGGTAACTCTCCATCACTGTCTACCATTCCGCAATGAGCTGCAAACAACGTTGAAGACCAGTATTATTATCGGAATTATCGTCAAAATTATTACAACCACCGCCGCCACATTTACTCGACCTCACCTTATCCTGGGACCAAGGTTTACAATCAATCATATGTTACTCCTACGCATCGACTTGTATCACCTTTGCCTTCGCCACGCATCGCATCACTTCCACTCGGCAACAGACAGAGCCACCCATCAATCATTGTAAATCCTGACATCATGCCCACAAAGAAAGAAAAAGGAAAAGGCAAAAAAGAGGATGTCGAAACGGTAGACAAATCATCTTTTTGGACAAAGCCAGGAATGCAACAGTTAGTTGCATGGCTTACTGATCCTGACAATCATAGACGAATGAACAACGCTCGCCCTACCTCAGGCAATAAGCCTAATGACCTCCGCCGAGAGATAGCGGCGTATGTGAAGAAGGAAACTGGCGTTGACTGGACTTCTGAGCAAATCAAGTCAAAAATACAATACGCAAAGCAACGTTACAACCAAGCTAAGGAAGCTAAGGAATTGATGATGTCCACTGAGGAAGGGAATACGGAGAATACATATGCTCTCAAAAAAGTGAAGGATATTTGTCCGTATTTCGATGACTTCGATGCAGTATATGCTGGAAGTTTGGCACGAAACCCTCCCCCTTTAATCGAGGTTGAGGACCTTACAGACCCCGCGTTTTTTGACAGTGATTCAGACGACGCATCTGGCACGAGTAGCGTCGCTAATGGCAATAGTGAAGTCGAGATAACTAATGAAGGTAAATAATCATTGATCGTTCTACTAATGCAAGTTTTGTCAGACGGTCATAATTAACAGTTTTTGAAAGCAGTTCCTTCATCCAAATTAACCCAGAAGAGAACAGCACAAGGCATGGAGGCTGAAAGTCCAAAATCAAGTAAAGGAGGACCCTCAAAAAAACGTAAACCGAAGAACGACGACATTGGAGAACGAATATTGGAAGCCATTGTCCAAACTCGTCGCGAATTGAATGATTCTGATTTGTGGAAAAAAGACAGGGAAGCCTCCCTTATTTATAGAGAGGAAAATCTCGCCAGACAAGAAATTAGATTTGACAACGCAAAGGCCTTGTGGGAAGTCAGGAAGATTGAAGAGGAAAAGCGATTTCAAGATCGATGTGCCCAATGGGAAGCCAAAAAGACTGAAGAGGAAAAGCGATTTCAAGATCGATGTGCCCAGTGGGAAGACAAAAAGGCTCAATGGGAAATCAAGAAGGAACAGTGGGAGGGCACGCGAGTGCAAATCATGTGTGAGAATGCAACTTTGAAGGAAAAGCTGCTTCAAAGCAAATGAGTCCTGTTTTCTTGAACAAGAATAAATTTTAATTAGCCCGACTTCTGTTTCTATTATTTCTATTTTCCAAAACCAATGCCATGAGATCGTTTCTCCTGTTAATTCCTTCAAGTCCTTCGTGGACTCTCATCCTACACCTCATCTAGTTCTTCATAAGGCTCTAAATCTTCGATATTGAAATCCACAACATCGCCCCCGTCCATGCTATTGACCCTATCGAGCTGTGTGAAGTTGTACAATATAGCGCAAGCAAGGAGATCTTCTTGATATCTTTTTTTTTACGATCTTGAAGGGAAGCGACTGAAGAGATGGGAACTTGCTCTTCAACATTCAAAACATTCTCAATAATGCTACGAGCAGAACCATGGAGAGCATTGAACCTGTATTGATCACCTGTGGCATTCTTGTATCGTGGGATCAATGTTGGGATTAAGCTGTATCAGCAAGCAGATATCCGCCATCCTCAAAATACCGGTGAGGCTCCCCGTAAAGCCTGCTAGCCTTGTATGCAGTAGAGTCGTGCATAGACCCTATATATCCAGTAGCAAAGAAAGTAAAATTTCCACGATGGTCGTAAACAGCTGTTGCCCCCATCGCAAAGGTGCATTTTCGAGTCACCCAAGATATGGGATCATGCGACGGCGCTCATTGAAAAGGAAAAGGAACACCATTAGTTGCGCCAAGTGTATCCGGGATGGGTACGAATATCGGACTGGTTCTCCTGGAAGAAGCGGCTCTGGCTTATCAAGCCCATCAAGCAATCGAGTTAGGGGTGGATGAGTCGAAGGCACCCGTTGAAGTTATGTGATTGGTATTCTTCGAACACCCTGTCCATATCCCTCGAGAAAGGAATACGCGTCGTCTTTCTCAAATAACGTGTATTTTTATATACACATATGCGCAAAAAGTTGTTAGCTGACGAAGATGTTCTTCGATCTCCAGATTTGCGTAAGCACAAATTGCAATGAACTCCTCCGCAACAGCGCTAATAAGGCGCTTTTTGTGTGTTACTCGTATTCTTGGTATAATAGGGACTGCTGGCGCAACAAGTGAAAAAAAAAGAAAAGAAAAGATGAGTGTGGCCACAACGCATCCATCCGTCCATCTTCGTTCAGTCTGAGCCTCGTTCAGCATCGAATTGAGGGGATTGCATAGAAAATGTTATTGGGTCGTGATGTGGTACAAAAGCAACTAAGCTGTCCAATACTTTTGCATAATTTGGATTTCACTTCGATCACTCACTTCTTCGACTCATCGAAGTAACAATCGAGTATCCACACAAACAGTGGCGCGCGTCTTCACTTCGTAAAAGTGAATCCCCCTTCAACAACACAACAATCCAAACACTACCAAGCGCGATCAATGATCCTTGCGTATTACTTCCGAGTAGCATGCCTCTCTTCCTCACTCTCCTCATCCAACTCCTGGTCACCATCCAATTTATACTCAATGCTATCAAGGCCTACACCTCCTGAATCAATATCATCATCCAAACCAACAGTATTTGCAGCAAATTGCCTTTCAGGGCCAGTACAACCCACATTTGACGCGTGTAGTTTAAGCTATTCCATCTTCCATTCCCGCATCGAACCCGCAGTACACTACACAGCCATCTCACCTTCACCTTCGCCTTCTCCACTCTTGGGTCCTCGACCAATTGTCATGTCGCGTGAAATCCAGCCTAATGCCGCTTCTGGCTCATCCAACAGAAAACGAAAGATAGAGGAAACCGAAGAAGAGCACCGTCAAAAGGTCACAACATTTGAGAAAATGAAAGATAGCTGGGAAGATGCGCGTATGAAGTTAATATTCGAGGTTGCAGAACCTAGGGCCAAACTTCAATGCTTTGAAAAAAAAATAACATTAATAAATTAATCAATTGTTTCAACTAAAAACTTCGAGCAGTTTGCCATTCTAATAGTGCATCTCTTTTCTTGACCCCTTGATCTCTACTTGAGTCAGCCATGAGGTTGTCTTTTCTTTTTTTTTCTTTTTTTTCTTTCTATAGTGAAACGCGCAGTGTAGCCTTTTTTATTTTTATTTTTATTTTTTTCCTCTAATGAACTACGTGTAGGGTTTATTTGGCCAACAAATATTAATAGTAGTTCGCGGTTTGATCATGGCGAAGTGGTTCAAGGACCTATAAATACAGATCTATCTCTCCAGCATCTCTCCATCACATTCACTCCAAGCATTCTTCTCTATAAACATCATGCCATCATCAAAAAAAAAAAAAAAAAAAAAAAAAAAAGCTGTCGCGTTGTAACAAAGTTGAGTTTGGTATGATGGCCATCCACATCCATCTTATTCAACCTTTGATCCATCGTAGCATTATTCCCGCCTTGTAGAAGGACAGTCGGGAAGAGGAGAGTGTCTTCAATGTTATCGCTATGTCCTTGAGATGGAAGAAGAGGGAGGAGAGGAGGAGGAGGAGGAGAGAGGAGGTGGGGGAGGGGGGAGGTTGCAGTACGGTTTGAAGCTCGTTGTCACGCGTGGTATCGACTATCTCGACCCTCATGGTAAAAATCAAAGGTTGTAATGGAACAGCAATGCCGTTACTATTGCTATCCACGTTGTTTTCGGCCGCAACGACAGGGGAGGAATGGCTTGTATATCTGGTTCAACTTGATTGAGGTTCTGGCCTGGCAGTTCTTGCAGAGTTGAGGGGAATCGTCGAGGCATGGTCCATGGTATGAAGTGATATTTTGTAGTAAATATCTGTGCACAGTCCATCGCCGTGTGGACTAACCAAAAACGGCATCGGTGGAATTCGACTTCGCCAAAAGGTATTTCAATTTAAATTGAGTATTTTAAAAATATATTTGTTTGTGATTTTGGCGCGGACTGCACCACTATTACAGAACAACTGCTGTTCTATTATAACCTTTGATTTTTACCATGAGGGTCGAGATAGTCGATACCACGCGTGACAACGAGCTTCAAACCGTACTGTAACCTCCCCCCTCCCCCACCTCCTCTCTCCTCCTCCTCCTCCTCTCCTCCCTCTTCTTCCATCTCAAGGACATAGCGATAACATTGAAGACACTCTCCTCTTCCCGACTGTCCTTCTACAAGGCGGGAATAATGCTACGATGGATCAAAGGTTGAATAAGATGGATGTGGATGGCCATCATACCAAACTCAACTTTGTTACAACGCGACAGCTTTTTTTTTTTTTTTTTTTTTTTTTTTTGATGATGGCATGATGTTTATAGAGAAGAATGCTTGGAGTGAATGTGATGGAGAGATGCTGGAGAGATAGATCTGTATTTATAGGTCCTTGAACCACTTCGCCATGATCAAACCGCGAACTACTATTAATATTTGTTGGCCAAATAAACCCTACACGTAGTTCATTAGAGGAAAAAAATAAAAATAAAAATAAAAAAGGCTACACTGCGCGTTTCACTATAGAAAGAAAAAAAAGAAAAAAAAAGAAAAGACAACCTCATGGCTGACTCAAGTAGAGATCAAGGGGTCAAGAAAAGAGATGCACTATTAGAATGGCAAACTGCTCGAAGTTTTTAGTTGAAACAATTGATTAATTTATTAATGTTATTTTTTTTTCAAAGCATTGAAGTTTGGCCCTAGGTTCTGCAACCTCGAATATTAACTTCATACGCGCATCTTCCCAGTTATCTTTCATTTTCTCAAATCCTGTGACCCTTGGCGGTGCTCTCATAAGTCTTATGTTCTTCTGTTCAATCTCCCATTGTTGCTTCAGGGCCAAGTCTCTGCCAGTTGTCATAAACTGGTATCCGGTCAATAAGCGTATCCACCCCTTCATCTGTCTAAAAGCTCTTTGGTTTACTACCTTATTTGGTCGTCGTCTCTTCGGTTTCCTCTATCTTTCGTTTTCTGTTGGATGAGCCAGAAGTGATATTAGGCTAGAGTTCACGCGACATGACGATTGGTCAAGGAGCCAGAGGTGAAGGTGAAGGTAAAGGTGAGGTGGCGCTGACACTCGTCCGTGTAGTGTACTGCGAGATACAGGTATGGAAGATGGAATAGCTGAGACGACACGTGTCGAATGTGGGTTATACTGGGCCTGAAAGACAATTTGCTGCAAATACCGTTGGCTTGGATGATATTGACTCAGGAGGCGTAGGTCTTGTATTGAATATAAATTGGATGGTGACCAAGAGTTGGATGAGGAGGGTGTGAGAGAGAGAGACGCGCTGCTCGGTAATAATAGGCAAGGATTGTTGATCCTTATCTCTAAGATCGCGCTTGGTAGTGGTTGGATTGTTGTGTTGTCGAATGAGACTCATTTTTGCAAAGTGAAGATACGCGCAGTCTTTTTTATTTTTCTCACTTCTCACTGTTTGTGAATACTCGAGCGTGATGACTCTTCAGTGGTCTCTTCGATTGTCACTTCGACGAGTTGAAGAAGTGAGTGATCGAAGTGAAATCCAAAACTATTGGATAACTTTGCCTCTGTTCTGTACCACATCACGGCCCAATAATGTTGTCCATGCGATTCCCTCTATTCGATGCTCTGAACGAGGCAAGCGCTGCTTTGAACGAGCCTGCGCGCGCAAGCGCATGTGGAGAAAAGAAAATGCCGAGAGCCCTGGATTTGTCATCATGTTGAGTGACAACAAACAATCAAAAAAAGAGCATCTGGCAAACATACAACAATAAACTCTTCTGCGCAGGGACAGTAATAAAATATCTTGTAGTACATTATTTTTCAGGAAATACGCCCAGAACCTACACCTTTTACGCGTTGATTGAGGATGGCCTTGTCATGACCATACTTACCTCCTTACTGGGAATCCATCTCCACTTTGACTTTGGTACGACTGCAGGTGGGATGTTTATGATGTGTCCAACAATCTTGAAAACTCCAATTATGACGGCAATAAAGCTGGGTTAGTGGTCTACGGAACTTCTCTTGGATGAGGATGCGCCCGCAGATCCCACTGTCATATAACAAAGCTCACGCTTGCGGATAGGGAGATGGTCAAAAGTTAATGCATCTGCTTCCGTTGGTGTTGTGTATATATATATTACCATGTACCATCTTTCTATAGGGGATGGTGAGTCGACAAACTTTCTTTTTATATTTGTTTTTAATGTAAACTTATTGGTGCCATATCGTTGCACCTGCTGATGCATACCTAACATCAACGATGTGTATGTTGCATACAGTTAGGAGAGTAGAGCCAAGGCTCAACAAAGTCACTAACCAGCCCTTTACCTATCTCAGATTAGGATGCCAGCGCTGACCCTATCAAAACTCAGTACAGAGGTTTTTTTTTTTTTTTTTTTTGACCAATATTTTGGCCAATATTGACTACAGATGGATATTCATTTTGATAGAGTTGTACTACAGTAACGTCCGGTTACTCCTGCATGCCTTAGTTGTCCTTTCTGAAAATGCCTCATCTATTTATTGAATGATTGAACGAACGCGTAAATATGTTGATCCACAGCAATTTTTACATTCCAGAAGAGTTGCTGGAATAGGAGTCATGATCACAATAAAAACTGGTGCAACAGTAAAATATCCTTTTTTCTTTTTTAGACTTCTGGCAGCGCAGCATCAAACCTTGGATTTTATATATTTTCCTTCATCTTCTTTCTCGAAAGGGTTCATGGCGTTCGTGTTGGCTTCTTTTGTCATTCAATAGTCAAATGAATGAATGCATTTAGTCATACTGATTTTTGTCCCTCGGCCTACACCAGACTAATGTGTAAAACATCACTCCAGTCTGAGATGAGATTGTTTAATATCTTTTTTATTTTTATTTTATTTTATTTTATTTTTATTTTTTTTTGAAAAGATTATACAGGAGACGGAAGAGCTGGTTCCGCTAGGCAAAGGAGCATACGCTTACAAAGATCGATCGATCCAAAAGAAAAATCCGGATAATGACGACATTATGCTTGTACACATGCACAAAACAGCTACCACACCTTACATGCGGTAAGACATTTCGATTTGTACTTTGTTTTCGAGTATATTTAAATATATCATTGTGGTTGTTCATTCGCACATGGCAATTCTATGGGCTAACAAACATGGACATGGACATGGACACAAGCGGGGTTGCATAAGGGAGGTGCTGGCGTTGAAGTGTAAAGTGTGAGCCACATGGTCAACATGGCATCGCCTCAACGCGTCAAGGCTGTGGTACCCGAGAACAGTAACAGAAAAATAAGCCCTTCTCTCTCCCCTGAGATCTAACTGTAACGTAAGAAAGGGGCAACAGATAGAAAGAATGTGGGCCACACAAACTCCACGTTTTTTTTTTTTTTTTTTTTTTTTTCCTGATGGATCTTTGATGATACAAAAAAAAAAGACCATTAGATTCTTTTTTCCTTGCTGTATCCGATATGCAAATTACCTTGTACACAATCCATATTCCATATCCATGTTTATGCATGCGAACGACGAAGAGCAGGGCGGTAACAGAAGAGCGACAGCACACTTCCAGATCCAGCCCCTGTGCTGAATGGATTTCTTCTGTTTTAGTTGCCAGCCTCCCCCCTTTTTATTTTTATTTTTCTATTTTTTTTATTTATTTTATTTTCGATGGTTCGATTGTACCAGTCGATAGGATGATGGTCTACTCTCAGAATGTGGACTAAATAATGAAAAAGGATATACTACAACATGCAATGGAGTGAATGTAAAAAAGGGCAGCATGGGAAGTCTGCCCGATTGTATCGGTTACAATTTATTATGGTGATACATTTGGCAAAATTCATCGTCAAATACGCTTTGATTGGTATGGTTTTGGAGGGGTTCATTTTTTTTATCCCCATCTTTCCATCTTTCTGTTCATTCCACATTTTCATTCTTTGAAATCTTTTTAAACCTTCCTTCCTTTATTTCTGTCATTCATCTCATTCTTTTACCTCCCCAACCGCTTCAACCGCTACAACTGCTACAACTGCTACAACTGCTATTAACAATTACCGTCATTACTATCACCAGCACCACTTCTTCTTCTGTCACAGCATCAATCACAGTCTGACAAAACTAACGGCAACGACCTACTTCTACGACAACGACAGCTACTGTAAACCCATGTTTGGACAACAGACTACACAACAACAACCAAAGCTGCAGTTCCCTACTAACTATCATCTTCAGCAACAACAGCAACAACAACAGACACAGACACAGACACAGACACATCCAATGGCTGTACCAGTTCCCATGTCTTTTGCAAATCATCAGAGCATCAACAACACCTCTACTCCTAACAATTCTTTTGCAGGAACTATTGACCCCGGTCTCTTGCAGTTGTCTATGAATCGTATGGATATGTCACAACTCCAGAATATGAACTCACTCTTCCCACCGCAATCCACAAGTACGACTCCTTCCCTTCTCTCAAACCAAGCCTTACTCGCGCGTGGCAATGGTCTTGGAAATTTGGGCAATGGCATTGGTCTTGGCACTGCTGCGGCAGGCAACCCAACGATTAAGAAGGAGACTGTTTCTCCCGACTATTTGACCTCAGAAATGGACTTTGGTGAACCAGGCAACATGCTCTCACCCGGTTCTAGCTCGCCTCTCAACTCACCTCTAAACGACTTTGATGGCGCAGATGATTTCGCTACCTCCAACCTTAACAATAACGGTACAAGCTCATTTACCAAGCCTGTTCCTCTCAACATCCAACCTGGATCCTATGGTGAATCACCAAGAGCTGGCTCGTTATATTCCCCTGGACTAGAGTCTGATTTCTTCCCAGATGGCGACTTTAGCTTGCCCAAGACCCGTGGTCTGGATATGAAGTTTGGTCGTCCTATGCATCCAAACTCACTTCCTGCCAACCCCTTCCACAGCATGTCAATGCCCGTCCAGCGATCTGACTGGTTTGGTGGTATGGGGGCCGATGGTCACTCCGTGGGGTCGTATGAAACTCCATCGGGACTGCATTTTGCGCCCGGGGAGATGACTATGATGGATAGCCTTTTCGAAGAAGGGAGCGATCCAAAGTAAGTTTTTTTTTTTTTTTTTTTTTTTTTTTTTTTAGTGTTCCGAAGCATGTGCGTTTTAGAAAAAGAGATGTCTATGAGAAACAGATTGAAAATACCATGAGGGTAAACAGGAGCATCTTGCAAAAAAAGAAAAAAAAAGGTGGCGAAGGGAACATTTGCATTACTTGATCCGTAATCTGCCTAGCTTCGAATTCTTTGTGTTTGCCAAATTGCCCAAAGAGTCATGGTTGCTCTTTGACTTGTCTTCGAGACAACAACCATCTCTGAGGATTTTTTCTGTGTGCGTGTGAGTTTTTGATGGCGCTCTCAAATCGAGCAGAAAGATTCAGATGCGGCCGCTGTGGTCCATTGAAACAGTGGGAAATGATCTGGGTGGGAAAAAAAACTCCTTTACACGCTCCCTTTTTACATGTATATCTTCACTAACTTTTTTTTTTTTTTCTTGCTCTTGATTGATTCATTATTATGTAGGACCAATAACCGTGCTGTACTTTTGAATGAGAAGAGGCGACGACGCCGTGAGAGTCATAATGCAGGTACGCTACAAGACTTCTCCTATTTATCCACCCGTTATTTTATTTTATCTTTTTTATTTATTATTTTACTATTGATTTTAACATCACTATATTTGGCTTCTGATTCTCTTGTATGATATCTGATATTTAGTCGAGAGACGTCGACGCGACAATATCAATGAAAAGATCCAAGAGCTTTCTACATTGTTGCCGGATTGCTATATCGACTCTGCCAATAAGCCTAACAAAGGTGTAATCCTCCGCAAGTCAGTTGACTATATTCGCCATCTTCAGCAATTGGTAGCCTCTCAATCAAACAGGAATCAGGAATTAGAGGCGCAGCTTCAGGGCAAGGCTCTTAACATGCAGACTGTTAACAGTGGTACTAACAATACAGGGAGCGGTCTCGATATGAGTGGTGGGAATGGAGCGAATGGAACCCCTCAGTTGCAACAAGGCTTTGGGATGATGCGGATTGTACCTGGTAGCGGCTCGAACAACGATCTTCAGAACTAAACGCAGACATGCCAGGCCACAAGTGTACTCACAAATTGCACAACAACTGTTTGCAGGATTTATCCATAAATGCTACAGAGGCCATTGCTTTTCTGTGTTCTTTTTTCTTTTTTCTTTTTTCTTTTTTTCCTTTCCGTTTGTTCTTTCTTTCTTTTGAGTTGTTCTGTACAAGGGTCACGTCTTGCAGCTACAGAAACAGTGCAGGCGATTGTTTGTTCTGAGCGCGTGATTCGCGAAGATACCCCCCCCCAGCCGTGCGATGAAAGGCTGATGAAGGCAGGAGCTGTGCTATTAGATGTTTAGGATTTTACTCGTCAGGTTTCATAGTGTTCCCATCACAACATAGTTATTTCTGCATCCACAGTCATAAAAATTGGTAGAATGGAATTGATAAGCAAAAATGCATGATTATATCAAAGTTGACGTTGCATGGGGCCTGTGTCCCCATCTCTATTTCCTACGTAGTTTTTTCTTTTCTTTTCTTTTCTCTTCTTTCTTTCTTTTTTTTTTTTTTTTTTTTTTTTTTTTCTTTTCTTTGTACCCTTAGTCCTCTTCCATTCTCCCCTAAAATATGGACACGTTTATCCATAAGCTCCACCAGGAATACCTTCCCCAATGGTTCGCACCTCGGGAACTGGCGCCATTTCTAGACTATGGTCTGACACAGTCGATTAGTGATGCTTCTGGCATTCCCGAGCCCTCGCTCCGATTGTTGTTGACGATCTTGGCTGGTTACCCAATCTCGATCGTTTACCGACTCATTTTTCTTAACAAAACATCGTCCATCATTGGGGAATCAGTTCGCAACACTTTCTTCCTTCTGACAGGGTTGTCAATGTCGTATTATTTCAATTCGTATGACATTGTGCATCCGTTGACGACTTGCATTGGCACTTGGCTCATCTGTCGAATCTTGGGTGCGATTGCTCCTAAAAATAGGACTTTGGCATCTTCTGTTTCATTTGTGTTCAACTTTGGATACTTGTTATTGTCATACCGCTATTCAGCCACAGAGGAGTATGACATCTGCTACACAATGCAACAATGTGTTCAATGCCTGCGCATGATTGGCTATGGTATGGATTTCATGGATGGACAGTCCAAGAAGATCAAGCCTACACTAACTTCCAAGGATCAGCAACAGGAAAAAGAAAAGAAGGAAGCAAATACATTCCAAGCTAAGGCATTACCAGACAATCCTGTGCCTGTCCGAGAAAAGACGCCGATCTCCTTTGGGCGTGATATTGCATTGACTCAGTTGCCTTCTTTGGCCGAAACCATCGCTTATGCCTTTTTCCCTTTTGCGTTCTTGGTGGGACCCCAGTTCTCGTTCTCACTTTACAAGAAATTCATCACGATGCAGCTCTTTAGCGTGCCCGTGCCCGCGAGTGCAGGACAAGAAGCCGCCCGTGAAGATGCTGCCGCCATCACTGCCAATGGTATCCCTCAAGGTTCCTTACGTTACGCGACACGCTGTTTTCTGTTGGGTATCTTTTATTTGGGATTGGGTCAAGTCCTTGGAAGCTATTTCCCTACTCTTGGTCTACTCACTAAAACCTTTGCGGAGCGTCCTTTCTGGGAGAGATTGTTCATCTTTTGGTGGACTGGCAAGACTGTTCTAAACAAGGTATACAACGTGAATAGTGTGAATGATGATTGAAGAAAACCCATTCCTCCGCGGATGAATCAAAAAAAAAAAAAAAAAAAAAAAAAAACCACAAAGGACAAAGCGAACAAAGTTGGCACGAGCCCTTTTGTGTCCTTGTGAGGGGCAATCAGAAGCATTTATGCAACAGTTGCAACGATACACTTCTTTTTGCATGTGGAATTTTTTTTTTCTTTCATGCGTGCATGTGTATTTCCTTTTTTTCCAGGGGCACAATCAACCTTGTCTTCGTGTTATTGTTAAAAATCATATCCAATGAACAATCGATTTGATAACACTTTTCTAATCTTTTTTTTTTTTTGTTTTTTTTTTGTTTTTTTACTCTCTTTTCTTTATCCACCTGCAATAGTACCTTGGTATCTGGACAATTGGCGAAGGACCCTGTGTTCTCTCTGGTATTACATTCAACGGCTATGATGCCGAAGGTCACCCTGAATGGGATGGTTTGAGGAATGTAAACCCGATCAATTATGAATTCGCGACATCATTGGCACAGATCATCAGCTCGTTCAACATGAACACCAATTACTGGGCCAAGCTTTATGTCTTCAAACGTCTTCGATTCCTGGGTAATAAGAATCTATCCGCCCTTGGGGTCTTGCTCTTCTTGGCGGTCTGGCATGGAACCCATGTTGGCTATTTCTTTTGCTTCGGACTCGAGTTTCTGGACATGGAGACCGAACGTCGTTTGGCTGCTCGGTTTGGTCGACCCATCAGTGCATTCATTGCTCGAAAGACCGGAGTGATCCATGCAGTTCTAAAGGCTGGTTGGGGCTTAATCACCTGGTTGCTTACCACCAGTGCCCTATACTTTGCAGCTGTACCCTTTGATCTCTTGCAGATGGATAAATCATTGACGGCAATCAAGCATATTGAGTACTTGGGTATCTACATCATGGCAGGCTTCTTGGCATTAGACATTGTCCTCTCCATCATCTTGCCCAAGAAGCGATCCAAGTTCGTCAAGACCGAATAGGAAAAAAAAAGAAAGAAAAGAAAAGAAAAACAAAGTATAAAAAATAAATATAAAAATAAATAGTCTTTTATTATCACAGAGTTAGAGAGGTCCATATAGTTTATTAAGCATCAATGCATCTCGGTTTTCGTGCCTTTACATCTAGTCAATCTTGCCGCTGTCTCTACCGCTCGCTCTCTTCCTTTGTTCTTCCATTCTGTCTCTCTCATTCTCTCTCTTTTTTTTTTTTTTTTTTTTTTTTATCGTGTGGGTCAAAAATTTTTGTCTGATTTTGTTTGATTTGCACAAGGCTTGCACAGTAACAGAGATTATGCTTGCATGGCCTGACCACTCAGCTCACGTTCCAAATCCTCATCTACCTCCATCGATGATGCCAAGTGATTAACAGGTGCCTCTTCTGCCACAGCGGGCTCCTCTTGGATTTGTTGGCTGGCATGCGGTGTGTTTCTGGCTGCTGTTGTGGTTGCGTTACGGTCCGCAGTTGATAGGCTGGCAGCCCGGCGCAATCCTCCATTCTGTGCTCCTAATGCCTGTTCTTTACTTGCCTTGAACGACATGACTTCCTGTGCAATCAACCCTATTGACAAAGCAAAAGAAACACCAAACCATTAATTCTTTTGACGTCAAAAAAATAAAATAAAAATAAAAATAAAAATAAAAATAAAAATAAAAATAAAAATAAAAATAAAAATAAAAATAAAAATAAAAATAAAAATAAAAATAAAAAAAAAACTTCAAAGTTATGTTCAATAGATTATAGCTCGATCATAATAAAGGTTCACTTACTCTTCATCTCATCAATACGGTCTGTCACCTCGAAAGAAAAGTCAAAGGCTTTCTCATGAACAGGTTCATCATCTTCCTCATGGTAGGCAGCCAAGTAAGGATGGGCCAAGGCTTGTTCAACTGTGATGCGAGCAGCAGGATCAAAGTTCAACAACTTTTGCAGAAGGTCAATGGCTAAAGGACTGGCTCGAGGATATAGCTGTTGGAAAGGAATCGTTGGCATTCGGGGTAAGCTTCGAATGTACGCTTGAGCCTAAAAAAAAAAAAAAAAAAAAAAAAATGCTTGTTAGCATCTTCTGCTATGAATCCAAATTGAGGTGCTTTTCACTACTTTCAATTTATGGCTATTGTTATGGCCATGATGTCAAAGAAATTAATGCTGACTATTGTTTGTACGCCATCTATGACATGTTATTGCATGCTCTTCCTCTGCAGGCGCCCTTTCGGATATCTATTAGTCTGTCATCATTCCTGTGTTTCCCCCAGTGGGCGTAAATCAGAAAAATTACAGAAAGGGACCGTTGTTTTAAAAATACTTTAGACGTTCCAATTATGATGTTGAGTACAAGGATGTTGTGTTTAGAGATCTCAATACATTTGTACACATTGTGATGGTCATTCATAAAGCTCCATGTTACTGTTTGCATAGGCGCACACGCATATGCTCTTTGTGCAAGGGCAATACTGCAGGTGCCAACATGCAAAAAAAAAAAAAAAAAAAAAAAAAGCTTGAGCTCTACAATGTATCACATCGTGACAACATTCCCGTTTTGCTTACCCTTTCACTACCCACACGTCGAAGAGTAGCTTCATCAGGTGTTCCCAGAATCTGAAGGATTTGATTCAGTTGGTCAACATAGTCTCGTCCCTTGAACAATGGTTTTCCTCCAAGCATTTCTGCAAAAATGCATCCCACTGACCACATGTCAACTAAAGGCACAAGATGAAGAAAAGAAGAATATCAATACACTGTTATTTGAACTATACCTCATCTGGTGAATTAAAAAAAAAAAAAGAAAGAAAGAAAAAGAAAGAGAGAGATGTAGGAGGTAGGAAGGATCAAGTAACACGTACTGGCCTTGGTATAGCTTTGAAAGCTTAACATGATTTCAGGGGCACGATACCAACGAGTGGCAACATATTCGGTCATAAAGCCAACATTTGACTCTGCATCATCACTGAATCCACGAGCCAATCCAAAATCACAAATCTTGAGTTCGCAGTCGGCGTTGACGAGCAAGTTACCAGGTTTCAAGTCGCGGTGCAGGACATTGGCGGAATGAATGTACTTGAGTCCGCGGCAAATTTGATAAATAAAGTACTGAAAATGGGCGTCTGTCAAGGGCTGTTCCGATCGGATAATCTGATGAAGATCCGCCTCCATCAATTCCTGGACAAGATAGCTGAAAGCATGTCGTGCAGTCAAAGAAAGGAAAGAACATCAATAAAGCGAATATAAACAAGTTGGATATAAATAGATGAACGATCCCCTGTCCAGACAAACTGATCACAAAGTTATTCTTCGATAACAATTATTTGAGTCTATGTTCTGTCTCATTCATTACATTTCATTAAAGTCCTGCACATTGGTGATATCCATATCCAGGATAGAGGTAATCTAAAAAAAATAAAAATAAAAAAAAATAAGGTATTCATTCGGTTAATTGCAAATAAATTGCATCTATAGCTCATATCTCCGAGAAAGACAACTGTTCGATCCTCCTCTCCTTCATGTGGGCATGGAGCGCAAAAAGAGTCAGTAACACCATCAACCGCCAGAGAAAATAATAATAATAATAATAAAGTCGTAATACAGTTCTTTTCATGATGACATTGGTTCCATTATTGACTAGCTCCAGACATAAGCTCCCCGGTTGAGACCTCCCAAACATACACATTCACTCAATTCCTTGAGTGAATGTTTTTTTATAGTCAGCCAAGTCTATCGTCTAAACTTTTAAAGTTTAGAGAAGCTTTCGACCACCAGAAGCAGTCTCTTATTCCCGTACACTTTTCCCAGACCCACTAATTCCTTGGGGACAAGAATCTTCCCGCGTGTCCACCAAAGAGAACAGAACGAATAAAAAAAAAAAATAAAAAAAAAAAACGGGGGTGGCTATATCCTGCGGCTCCAATCGAAAGGCGAGCAATATGCTTGTTTTTTTTTTTTTTTTTTTATTACTATTCCTCCTTCCTTTTCGAAAGGTGAGGGAGCCCAGGAAAACAGTCTGATACCCAAACCCAAATATCCAGAAACATGAATGGTCCAGGCGCGCATTTTTTCGTACATATTCTCATGTAGAATACGATACACTCACATGAAGATATCAAACGGTTGAACACATGTCGAATACAAATCATAGGTACAACTTACATTCTCGTGTCCTGAGAAGTGACGCAGGAGCTTGACTTCACGTAAGGCGCGCTTTGCAAGAATGGCCTTTTCAAAGACCTTGGTGACCTTTTTGATAGCCACATCTTCACCAGTCTGCGTATTCTTTGCAGCACTAGAAATACCATACAATAACCAAAATCGCAATTGTTGGCTCTCTGTAATTTTATTTTTATTTTTTATTTTTATTTTCTTTTTTGAACCCACTTACCAGACGACACCATATGCGCCCTGACCAATCTCGCGAATGAACTGGTACTTTGTGTCCACAATGAATTGCTGGTTAAGTACTGGGAATGAATGAGTTGGCATGATGTGATGCTGATTGTGTGTTTTTATATTCTACTTTATAACCGATGAGGAAGTTGGGCCAAGCAAAACAAGAATTATTATAAGAGAAAAAGAAAAAAGAAAAAAAAAATGATAAGCGGTTGTTGACGAGTAAACTGAATGATTGGATGTCCAGCTCTAATTCCTGAATGATAATCGGCGAACCAAAAGAAGGAGAGAGAAAGGAGAGTAAGCAAAAGAGTAATTGAACAAGAGAGAACGAAACAGAAAGAGAAGAAGTAAAAAAAAAAAAAAAAAAAAAAAAAAAGAAAAGAAACGTTTTCTATTTTATTTTTTTCCTGCCTGCGGAACTTTAACAAAAAAAAAATACGCACAATGCTCTATTTGTTTCCACAACTCCACTTTCATTAGACAACATTGACATTGACAGGCACCAGTATCCATCTTATTCTCTGTATTCCCAACCCCTGGTTTTCCTACAAATGGTTTCCCTTTTAAGGTATTCATTGTAGAAGCGCTTCATGTGATAGCATAGGAGGCGAAATACGGTGCCTTCCTGGGAATAATTATATTCCTCGGAGGTTACTTACTGGTATAGCAGATACTAGTCATTGAGCATACGAGTGAGAGCCATCTAGAGCAAGCTAAGTAAAAGTTTTTTTTACCTGGAGATCGATAGGGATACCAGTTGGGTTGAGAGGCAACAGGAGTAGGGAGAAGGCGAAGGAAGAAAGGAAAAGAAGAAAGAACAAATGAGAAAAAGAGAGAAGGAAGAAAAGAAAGCAGGCCCAAGGAAGGAAAATTAGGTCGAGTGGAGAGAAAAAAGAAAAAGGCGAGAAGGAAGGGACCAACCAAGAGGCGAATGGACAATGAGAAAGCTGATGTTACAGATCTTTGATTCATTTCAACTCATTCAAAACATACGCACAATCCACGTCCTCGGGTTACTCAAGAACAACAATAAAAGAGGTCCATTCTTCCTGGGGACCCCCTCCCCCCTTCCCTTTGAGCTGAACAAAAAAAAAAAAAAAGTAGAAAAGTACAATGCGGAAAAAGAAAAAAAAAAACCTGATCTTGGTCGGGGTCCCCTGGTTGTCCCATCCTCTTCTTTCTTTGTATCCGAACAGGGTCCGGTGAACATCAGCAATTCAACACATGGGGTATTCTTTATACCTTCACACATACAAATTTTCTACACATGCAATCGTTTTTACTTGTCCTTCTTGGACTCTACGCGATCTTGACTAATATTGTCCCCACTGTTTGAACTCGGGCTTGCTGATGATGGGAATCCCTTTACAGCCAACTCTTCGTCCGTCATGTCTTTAAACACGCCTGTTGGAGCATTATAGTACCACCAGCCCTTGAGTATTTGCCAATATGTGACACCTTGGTACCCTTGCTTCCAGTCCTCCATACAATGGTCAAAGTTGAATCGTAAACAGGACCCTCCCCAGCTGGTCAAGATCTCATGCTCAACAGGGTCGTAAATATGCAAGCAAGGTACACCTTGTGTCTGCCACTCTGTCAAGATGTCGATTCTGACCGGATCATTGTAGGGGATCGCCAACCAACGTGGATGGGTCTGTAATGTTGTGTTGAACGCTGCCTCTGAACTATCCAGTGAAATATAAATGATTGTAAAGCTTGGGTTTGCTTCTAAAAACCGATCAACAATCTACCAAACGCATATATTGAAATAAATAGATGGTTAAATGAAATAAAATTAAATTGGACATGTCAAAATAAAATCAACACAGCCAAAGTTCCTTTCTTTCCCATACAACTGAAAGTTCTTGACAGACAGCGTAACGGCCAGCACCTGGCAATAATAATAATAACAGTTGCAATCAGTAATAATATTAATGTTTTTTTTTTTTTTTTTATCTAATCTTTGAAAACAAACTAATGGCCGCTATAAAACATTACAAGCATTAAGCTCCAAGCATCCTTACTGCAAAGGAACCCGATCGTCTTATTAGCCACTTCAAAGACGGGTACATGTTTCCCAGCCGCATCCTGAAGCTTAATCCGGAAAAGAATCGACTGGTGTTTGTCGATCGTTGCTTTAGCTTTAATTGTACGTTCGGTTGATTGAATTGCTGCAGCAGAGTCAACCGTGTCAGACATGATGGATGAGATCAATTTAAATGAGCAAAGGAAAAGAATGAGATGATGAAAGTAAAGATGGGCACAAAAAAAAAAAAAAAAAAAAAAAAAAAGGGAGAGACAGAGAAGTTACATTTTACTAGTTCACTTTTTCCACAGCTTCCACAACCGCCATTTTGCTCAACACTGGAATGTTTCTTTGTTTAATTGAGCCTTTACAGCTGTTGCATTGAACTGCAAAAGCTCTTTCCTTCGCAACGTGTGTGACTCTTGTTGGTGTTGGACAGGACACAGGTTTATTATCAAAAAAAAAAAAAAAAAAAAACTAGTAGATAGAACATTACTTGATTCAGATTATTCTCCAGGCACAGCACGCGCAAGGTTAATCTCTTCCTGGATTTGCTCAGGTGTCATCTTTGAGATTTTCTCCCTGACCTCCATAAGCACAATGCCTAACATGTTCTTACCCTTGCCATCTCCTCCATCAGCCCAGTAACGGTCATTTCGTGTATGCTCTATCTCATAATAATATTGTGGTAATACGTGAAAAAAGATTTATCAGTTTCGATCCGCTGAATCCGTTAGCTCATCAATTTTTTTTTTTTTTTTTTTTTTTTTTTTTTGGATACCATTGAGATAACGAGTGCCTGTTCCGAGAAGGACTTCCGCCAAGTTTGGATGTTGCAAAAATTTCTGTAACACACATTCTCGCATAATATCGTCCTTGATCTCTTCCCAATCTGGTCTCAGCGGCCATGCTCTGTTCCTGCCCATTTTTGCAGCATTGCCTGGAGTATCAGCCATCCGAATCATCTCTACACATTTCTTGTCCTCCAGATGAGCAAACTTTTGTGCTTGGAAGTAATGTTCTGTAGTTGGCCATTCGATGCCTCGAAAGACGATGGGAGCAAAGTAAAAATTGGAGAACTCCCCATATGCCTGATCTTGGCGGTAAAAGTTGATGGTGTCTTTCATGAGCAAGCGTGAAGAATGCTTTGTTCACAAAATTCCTAATGACAGTGGCTGTAATCACACAGAACAAAGATAAGCTTTTGGACAAAATAAAAGTAAATGAGACAGGAAGGAAGAATAAGATGTGCAAAAAAAAAAAAAAAAAAAAAAAAAAAGAGTGAGAGAGAGTGAGAGTGAGTGAGAGTGAGTGAGAGAGAGTGAGAGTGAAAGAAAGAGAGAGAAAGAAAGAAAGACGAATGAAAGAGTGATTGTAAACTACCGCGCAATGGTGAGAGTCATTGGATGAGTGGAATGAAATGGAAATGACTTGTACGCCACCAATTATTCAAAAAGCATAGCCCAGCCAATTATATTATTGTAATAAACAAATAACATTTAATTTGTTGAATCACACCATTGCCATTGCACAGATCGAAGTGGATTGAGGACCAATCGTTTGAACAGTTATGCTTCTAGCTTCGCTTCCATGTGTAAATCCATCGAGTTGGGCCCCTTTTTTTTGAGTCTGTGGACAATACACATGTACATCCCCACATCAATCAAATGAAGGTCAATAAAAATAAAACACATCTCAAAGAAAGAATGCCCTCGAAGACAGACTCGATAGTCTTTAAGTCTAGAAGAGCAATATGGGATCAGAGAGAGACAAGCGGACTGGAAAACAGCATTACCATCGATCCATGGTGAGCCTGTGCCTGAATCTGATTCGACAGGGTTTAAATAGAAGAGCAAAAAAACAGATTCAAGTGAACGAAAAAAAAAAAAAAAAAAAAAAAAAAAAGAGGCAAGCTCGCCTCATCAGCATCATTGACCTGCTTCATTCCATCCATTTACCCATCTTCTCTCTTTCTCTCTCCTTGCACACATTCTCTCTTTCTTTCTTTCTTTCTTTCTTTCTTTCCTTCCTCTCAGTCTCTCATCCATCTACTTCCTTTTTCTTACATATTACAAGTCCAAGTCAAGTTAGTCCCCGTGCAAGAAGCCCGCCTTCCTTGACCCTCGATTGTTTATTTCTTTTTTTTTTTTTCTTTTTTTTTTTTACTGTCCTGTTCTGTCCCCTTCCTTTTCCTCTTGCCCACAGGGTAGAAGCATCATCAAAGAATGCTAAAGCTAGCCATTTGTGTTGTTGGGTAAAACTGTCGTCTCAAATAATAATAAAACACTTTGGATCTGGAATTCATGGACAGTTTATTATAGTCAGGACCAGTCCCTTCATTTTTTTTTTTTTTTTTTTTTTTTTTTACACGGAAATAGTACCAACAAAGACAAGCAATTGGAAGATTCAAATATTTAAACACTAGAGCGATCAGGATGACAATACCTTGGACGATCATGCTTGGGTGTTCAGGAATATCTCAAGAGGATAAAAAAAAAAATTAAAAAAATAAACAAATGCTTATTCTTCCCTTTGTTCTTCTCTCTAATGCTGTAGCATTTATACATGCTTTCTAACGTGGGGTTTCTTCCAGGAAAAGGTCTCTACAACACCCTATGGCGAAGAGAATGCAAAGTTCAAGTTCTTCATCTTCCTCAACATGGTTCAGGCCATCACTGCATCCGCAACTGCCTTCTTCTATCTCAAGCTACAAGGAAAACCATTGGAAACACCTTCTAGGATGCTTTTAGGGAAATATTTTCAAGTCGCCTTCTTCAACGCCATTGCTTCGCCTTTTTCCTATGCAGCCCTGAAACACATCGATTATCCAACCATGATACTCACAAAGTCATGTAAACTCGTACCAGTCATGCTCATGAACATTATACTGTATCGACGCAAATTTCCAACCTACAAGTATGTCTGTGTAGCCTTAATCACAATCGGTGTCTCCGGATTTATGTTACTGGCGCCGTTTGACGAACATAAAAAGAAGGGCGCAGTCAACAGCTCATTGTATGGCATACTCCTCGTTATTATCAACCTGGCGATTGATGGCGTTACCAACTCTACTCAGGATCAAATCTTTCATACATTCAAGGTTACTGGGCAACAGATGATGTGCTTCATGAACCTGTTCATGTCAGCCTTCATGGCCCTGTGGCTCCTCAATCCCTTGAACTCGGAGCTGAGCAATGCGCTGGCGTTTTGCCATTCTCACCCTGCCATCACCAAGGATATCACTCTCTTCTGCATCTGTGGAGCACTTGGACAGTGCTTTATCTTTTATACCCTCGAGCAGTTCGGCTCCTTGTCCCTCGTCACAGTCACGGTCACTCGCAAGCTCTTCACTATCTTGCTCTCCGTCGTCGCTTACGGTCATGTCCTCAATTTTAGTCAGTGGCTCATGGTCGGAGTCGTCTTTTCAGGCATCGGACTTGAGGCATACGTTAAGAGAAATGAGAAGCTTGAAAAGATGGTCAATAACTTACCTTCACATTCGCCCAAGCCAGATAAGGTATCCTTTAGTCAGGTTGAGATGATAAAGAAAGATAAGATTGACGGGATTAATGCTAATCTTGTGGGCATGGTATCAAATCAAGGTGTTGGTTCAGGCTTGGCTCAGTATGGTCCAGAATACGGATACAACAATGGCAATAACACGCAACTGCTACAGCCCCCACAACAGTATCCGTCATCACTCCACCCTCAACAAACACAACAACCAATACAACTATCCTACCAATTACAAAATCAACAACACCCACATCTTTATCAGATGCCTCCAGGTCTTCAGAATGGCTATCAAAGTTCACAACCATATTCTGCCCGTGCCTCGTACGTCAGTTCAATCACTACAGTGGCTGGAGCACCCGTTCATGGAGGGGGACGGCAGCGAGCAAGTGTTGTTGCGCCAAAGCACAGCCTTTGAATCGTTTTCATTCTTTTGTGATCATGATACCATTACATTCATAGAAAAAAAAAAAAAAAAAAAAAAAAACCAATAAAATAATAGATGTATGTAGAAATCTCACTATGATGTTTAATGAGATAGATCAAGGCAAAAAATAGTCGTTTTCTCATGCCGCGCAAAGAGGGTGCGAGTGCTGATAAAATGTAAAACAGTTATCCGGAACGCATCATGATGTTAAGCCACGAAACAAGTCGTTTCCATTAAAAATACAGGATGAAAAGGCAGAACTTCTCTCTTCCTCACATCCCTCGATTACCTCATATTATTTCTTTGGCGGAAAACTACCCTCTCTGTCTTGTTCTCGTTTTCATTTCATTCTTAATCAAGCTCATATCCGATATCAGTATACAAGAAGGGAAAATCAATGATCATGATTGACAATTCAGAAATATTGATCCGGCCCTACAAGGCCGAGGATCACGAACAAGTTGTCCCCATCATTCTCAAGGGCTTCCACTGGGTCGACTATCCAATTTTCCTCTCCAAGGCCAAGCATCGCAGCACTATCCTTTCCATCTTGATCAAGTCCTTCATTTATACAGCTTTGATTGAGCTTGCTTTGGTCGCTTTTATCAATACCAGACATAATTCTTTCGTCAGCGGACCATCGCCATCATCACCACCATTATCATCATTGTTCTCCTTTACAAGGCTCTCGTTTGGTAGGCTAAAGGACGTGGCAGAGACACTGACAAGACCTGGATCTACACAGGGAATTATCCTACAGTTCATAAAGCCTTCAACCGTTTTAATTTGGGCTCTAGTGACTATTGTCGTGACCTTAATTACATTGATGGGAATCTATCGATGGACATTGGGAATCGGACAAGAATACATCACTAACTGCTTCAATGACGACCTCGGTGATATCCAAGGCTATTACCAATCTCAGTCCTTTGCTACAAAGGGACGTAAAAATCGATCTCAGTTCTGGGTAGCCTGTCTGAGAACTCATCCACAATTGGTGATGGGCTGTATTGCCTTGGATGACAACTGGGCCCATTCGGATTATTTGAAGAAGAAACATCTGGCGCAAGGAGGGACTGAAGAATCATTCAAAGAGCCCAACGAAGTGATGGATGCAGAACTACGTCGGCTGTCTGTAGATCCTAATTATCGTCGATTGGGTATTGCCAAGATGCTGATTCAGACATTGTTGGAGAGTGCTAAAGAGCAGGGATTCCGACGGGTTTTTGTTATGTCCACTTATATACAAACGGCGGCTTTGAAAAGATACATTCAGTATGGCTTTGATAAAGAGAGAACAATAACATATGGAGGCGACACTAAGACATGGCTGGGGTCCGTTAATCTATATTCAACCGAGCAGGACAAGGAGGAGCAGAAGAAGAAACAAAAAGAAATGCTACAGGAGATTGGTATCGCATAAAGCTACAACAACAGGCATCGAAGTGTTTAAATAAAGATCCTTTTTGTTTACACCTTCCCATCATGCAATGGTGGGGTATAGGCATTAATGTAAATCTATTAATCAGAAAGAATTCATTGTTCCACAAAATAGCTGTTGCAGCAGATAATGGTTCAGCTCAAACTCAGGTTTCATATATCCAGGTGAGAGTACGATGATCTTTGAAAGAATACTAACATGCGGAAATAGTCAACCTACAACTTAATACACAATGGTTAAATATATCAAGCAAAGTCTTTATTCCCTCAAGACGACACCATAACTGTACATGATTATTGGAATAAACCATGTAGAGCAGTGATTCTTCATCACATCTTCCAAAACTTTAGCTTTTATAATGAATGGCCTCCTTCACGGTTGGTGTAGCTGAAAAGATCCAAACAGATGGTAATGACTCCAATGACGATTTCAAAGAAAATGAGAACAATCACAATCCATTCCAGTTGTTCACCGTGAGAAGAATTAAGATGTTCTTTTAACATGTCCAAGAGATCACTGATCACAGTGGTACGCTGGTTTAACAACTCAACTCGCTGATTAATTTCCAGATAACCTAAAAGTGAGATGACCAGAACAGCAATAAAACATTATCACATGTTGTAATATACGATTCAATTCATTAGTCACCAGGAAAGCATTCATTTCCCTTCGATTGCTCTTACCTCGAATGGCTGAATAAAGTGGCTGAAAAGATGGCTCTGACCAGAAAATCTCGGGCGTGTCCAGAATATTGCTGACAAGGTTTACGTTAATTCTCATAATGAAGAGCTGGCCGATCTTCTTAGTAATAGCCGTCCTATTGGCACAAGAAGTGTTGATACGACACGTGTCTAGCCTCAGTATACGTTTCTTTTGTAAATGTGTATTACTGCCTTCCAGTGGCTGTTACACTGTACCTTGACATTGGAACCTTGCCCGTCTCTGCCATTGTCTGCGGAATATGCTTTGTTGCGTTGATAGTATTCTCGATAAGCCCCTCAAATAGAGTCATTTTGACCGATTGAGCAATAGCATGAGAGATGGTCAGCTTGACCATATAATTTCCTGCACTTTTAAGCGTAATTACATCGTTATAGATCCTAGTGGTTGAAAAAGCGAAATAGGTAAGGATCAGCAGTCATATTTTGACGTTGCAAAATATGAACTATAGGTTGTCCTAATGTAGCGTAATTGGTATTTCAAAAACTATACCTGGGCTGATACTCAGAGTTGTAGTAATATGAAAACTCTTCAGTCTCGACATCCTCATCATCTTGCAGTTTGCAAATAGGGCATAGATAAATATTATAGACGGATGTTAGTGTCATAACTGGCCCCCAACTTGCCAAGAGATTGTGATATACACATACCAAGTTTCTCCTCTTCGAATTTGGAAATCTCCTGTAATAGACGTGACTCCTCATGCTCTGACATTCCCCAGATGACAGTAACACCATAATCAAAGAAGAACAGCTCAGGGGTTGACTCCTTCAGGCGCTGCTGCTCCAAGAGACGAGACTCATTTGGTTCGTTCAACCCCAAAAGATCAGCGGTTGTCGGCGGTTTTGAAGACGCTGTGTACGAGAATGGTGAGTAGATGCTGGAACCAAAATGAAGCAAAGAAATCGATAAAGTTAATAACTAGAGTATGTTTATTTTTCTTTAAAAAAAGCATATCTAATAAAACAAAGAGAACACAACAACTTACCATTCATCGAAACGCTTTGGTGCACAGAAATTCATCGTTTTGCGTGATTGAAGATAGTTGAAAAGGTCATCCATCCTATAGGAAGATGCTGTACAGTACGCAATGACTCTAGGAAGCTTTTGTCTGTCCAATTTGCTCATGCGGTGGGCCTCATTCCTAGATCTGTTTTTGTATTATAGAAAAAATTCCGTTGATATAATCAATTCAGTGATCTTTTTTTTTTTTTTTTTTTTTAAAACCAAGTTGCAAGAGGAGCCATAGGATAGAAAAGATCCCAGCCAACTTGGAAAGTGATCCTATCATCAAAACTTCGACAAGATCAGATGGCTACACTAAAAAAAAAAAAGAACAGAGATAGCTAATGACTTACGTTCCAGAAGAGAGTTGGCCAATCTGGTTGTATGTTGTGGTGTCAAAGTCGTCATCGTCCTCCAACACTGGTACATCTTTTTCTTCAGGAAACAATGTCAGCTTTTGGCTTGTCTTGGTTGTTCTCATGGGCTGCTTCGCCTTAGTACGAGCTGTGTTATTAGATCCACCCACAGCAACAGTGTTCCCAGCTATGGGTAAAGTATGACCGGCTGTTCCCGCATTGCCTCGACTAGCTCCACTACTGCTTGGTCCAGCAGCAGCCGGAACGGGTTTTGTGCCAGTATTCATCCCACCAGGGAAGGAATGAATGGGGGATTGTTGCTGAGTAAAAGCTTGCTTTGTAGGGTTAATGATCTTGGGGGGCACACCACCACTGCCAGCATTTGAATTGGCACCAGTGAGGTTACTCTGACTAGAACTCTTTGCGACCGTAGCGTGTGAAGCATTAGGATCAACAGTTGGCATGGCGGTAATATTGGATGTGGAAACAGGATTAGAAACTTGGACCATGAGAAATGAGGAGGTTTTTTTAAACAATTGAGATCTCCAAAAGAGTAGGCCAAAAAGCCGCCAGCTAGAACTCTGATGATATCATAGCTCATGATTTTAATGTTACACTCACCCTTATTCAATCCCATCAATTGGATTTGCAGACTTGTGTTATCCACTCCAATGGCTCGTCTCCACAGGCACACACACCCATGCATAGAATTCAACTACACATTGGATCATTGTACCAATTCTATCAGCGCCAATTGAAGTAGACTTTTCTTTTAGCACCATTCCATCAACAGAACAAAATTTTAATCACTATAAAGGTCAGTTTTGTAAATACATACTTGCACTTTCAGTAGTGATTTAACCCACTCAGATTGAGCAACATATGGTGCCATGCCGGAGCGGCCATAATGATTTGAATTGCTTTGTCTTTTCAATTAACCTTTCATTAAGGGGTGATCCTTTTTTTTCTATATTTTGGTTTTTGGCTTTAGCATGCTTTCATTTATTTTGACCACTAACAACCATGACATTACATCAGAGCCGCCTGTATGCTTGCTCCGAGAATTATTCTTCATACTTGCTCTTTCAGTCAGATAGCATACTACTCATCAATGCAGAGATTAAACAAACAATAATTCCTCTTTAACTTAAATAGATCATTTGGCCGACCAAAAGCAGCTTTGGTGGCGTCAGGCGGTAATTCAGCCAGGGACAAGAATGTAGACCAACAAAGTTCAGATTCACGGACAAATGCTGATAATACCATTGGATCTGGGGGTACAAGTGCTAAGGCTGTCCAGGAATCGGCAATGGAAGAGGATACTGAAGGAGGTTCGTTGAATTGATATAGAGTGTTGGTGGCAAAATAACAATAGTATGGAACTCTTACGAAAACTATTAATTCCAACTATAGATACCTTCAAAGTAAAGAAGAGGTCTCGTCGAACAATCCAATCCGATGATGAAATAGAAGAAGCAGCAGTGAAAGTCAATGAGACCAAAATCCACTCTATGCAAGAGCAAAAAGAGGAAGAGCTTGCAGCTACAACGAAAAAACTCAAACTGGACTCAATTTTGCCTTGCGAAACAAAAGGATCGATAACTGATTCATCACCTGAACCAAAACTAAAGAAATCTGAACCAATGGAGACCATAGATTCTGAAGAAGTAAAAGATCGTAATGACGAAGCAGATGCACAAGTGAATGAAATCGAGCAACTGCAAGAAGCTGTTGAGATCAAACAAGCTGCAGCCAAATGGTACTTTTCCAGCGCAGATGCAATTTGCCCTGAGCTTAGAGAGTATTTATCACGCATATATTTCAACCGAAAGAAGGCTAATTCACTATTTTCTTCTTGTGTTTCTCAGGGCTGACATGTTGTCAAGTTCGAAAGACATGGACTCGGCATCATGGAAGAAAGGCGAGCCGTAAGCTAGAGCACTGTGACTGGCATGGTCTTTTATACTCTAAAGACGAAGGATATTAACCTTATTGCTTGCGCCGTATTTTAGTGTTCCATACGCGGCTCTGTGTCAGACGTTTGAACAGATTGAAGGAACAACAAAACGTCTCCAGATTTTGGACTATCTTGTTAAGTTTCTGATTGCTGTTATTAGACAGAGTCCAGAGAGTTTGCTTACCGTCATCTATCTTTCCATCAATAAGGTGAGCAATAAAAGACGCGCGAAGACTTGGCGTTACTATAGCAAGAAGAGTCTAATTATTTTAATGACTAAAACATCACCTTTTGTCATATTAGCTTTGTCCGGAGTACGAAGGAATTGAACTGGGAATTGGAGAATCGTTACTCATGAAAGCCATTGCAGAGTCAACTGGACGAGAAATGAAAAAAATCAAAGCCGACTATGCCGAGATTGGAGATCTTGGTGCTATTGCCATGGTGGGTGTTGCTAATTGGCATCAATTAATGCAGTGCCTCGTATATTAACAGAACGTAGACTTAAAGAATATCACTTCTGCAAATTGTAGAACAGTAGAAGTAACCAACCAACAATGTTTAAGCCTAAAGCTCTGACTATATCGCATGTTTTCAAGACCCTCAAAGACATTGCCTCATTATCAGGAAACTCAGTATGTATAAGACGCGGTACTAGATTAAAAGTACGAGGCATCGTGGGCAATTCAGGACCATTAAAATTCTTCAACTTTGCCTATAGTCTCAAAAACAAAAAGTCGACAAGATTAAGCTGCTCCTAGTATCCTGTCGTAACAAAGAGGCCAAATACCTTATGCGCTCTTTGGAAGGCAAATTGAGGATTGGGCTGGCAGAGAGGACTGTCGTTGTTGCTTTAGCACAGGCTATTGTTCTGTCTAGACCTGGTAGGTTCATATGCTTCGCTCAGAAATATATTTATGCTGAGTCAAAGTCATATTTTTCCTAATATCCCATCTCTTCCCATTATAGATATAAAGAAATTATCTAAGGAAAAGTTGCAAGTTGAACTTGAGGATGCTGCATCAGTCGTCAAGTCTGTATACAGGTAAATCCCAATTCCTTTTGTGAGTTGCCAATAAAGACGATTTCATTATAATTAATTACCATTACTGGCATTCTATAATTACTGAATAGTGAGTTGCCATGCTATGATCTAATTGTCCCGGCGCTTCTCAAAGATCATATCAAAGGACTTCAAGAAGCATGTAAATTAACTCCTGGTAAGCTCGATAAGAACGTGAAGGATCTGATCACTCAAATGGACTGTAAACTTTGTTCCAATACCATTGCTCACTGGCTCCTGCTTTGCTGACTGACAGGCATCCCTCTGAAACCCATGTTGGCACATCCAACAAAGGCACTGACAGACATTTTGGACCGGTTCGAAAGTATTCCATTTACCTGCGAGTATAAATACGATGGTGAGCGCGCACAAATCCATAAGCTAAAGGATGGAAGTATGAAAATCTACAGCCGAAACTCAGAGAATATGTCAAACAAATATCCCGATGTCATGGAGCGGCTACACAAGGTATAGATTTAATGAATCGATTTATGTATTGTATTCTTTTTTATCACTGACTTTTTTTTTTTTTTTTTCCGCTCATTTCAGTTCGCTAAACCAGATACAGAATCATTTGTTTTGGATTGCGAGGCAGTTGCCTGGGATCGTGAACAAAAGTGCATTCTGCCTTTCCAAGTTCTGAGCACACGTAAGCGCAAGGATGTCAAAGAAGAGGATATCAAGGTTCAGGTTTGCATCTTTGCGTTCGATTTATTATACTTCAACGGCGAATCACTTCTTCGTGAGCCCCTTGAGAAACGTCGTGAGTTGCTGTTGACGCACTTTAACCAAGTCGATGGAGAGTTTGCTTTCGCAAAAAGTATGAACTCGACTCAAATCGAGGACATTCAAACCTTCCTTGATCAAAGTGTTGCTGAAAATTGTGAAGGATTGATGGTGAAAACACTGAATGGCACGGAGGCAACCTATGAGCCTTCAAAAAGATCCCGAAACTGGCTCAAAGTTAAGAAAGACTATCTCTCAGGAGTAGGGGATTCCATTGACCTAGTTGTGATTGGTGCATACGTGGGTCGAGGTAAGCGTACAGGAGTTTATGGGGGATATCTTTTAGCCTGCTATGATCCTGATCGCGAGGTGTACCAATCCATTTGCAAGATTGGTACTGGATTCAGCGAGCAAGATTTGGAGGATCATTATAAGGAGCTCAAGGAACATGTTATCCCTGAACCAAAGTCATACTATATGCTGGGCGAGGGTAACAGACCCGATGTCTGGTTTGCCCCTGTCCGTATCTGGGAAATTAAATGTGCGGATCTATCTGTCAGTCCTGTTTATAAGGCAGCGGTTGGCATTGTAGATCCAACCAAGGGTATCTCGCTCCGGTTCCCGAGATTCATTCGTGTCCGTGATGATAAACAGCCGGAGAATGCGACCACGAGCGAGCAGATTGCTGATATGTACAATGACCAAAAATTGAACACGGTTAAAAATGGATCGAGCTTGGGTGTTGACATGGACTATGACTATTAGCACCTGAAATGCCTAATAAAATAAATAAAAAATAAAAAACTATCAAATCAGGATGCAGGTCCATGAAGATTCACATTGACGTGCCCAATTGACGTGTTCTGGTTGGCTAATATTAAATGTTTCAAAGAATGTAGCGCGTGAAAATGTGCGCTGTTTTAAATAATTAAAATTAAAATAAAAAAGGGCTTGAAAGGATTAAGACGTAGTACTTTGGCTATTGATCGAGAATTGAAGCTGGCAAGAGAGAACAGCATACCCACATTATGCACAAGCACATGTACATGTACATGTACCATCGAAAACGTCACTAAAGTGCTAAGTTGTGAGATACAATAATAATAGTAAATAATAGTAAATAATAGTAAATAATAGTAAATAATAGTAAATAACAATAAATGAGCTTTCTTTTATTCAATTCATATTCCGTTTAAGATGTAGCCATAATGTAAAAGCAACTAGGCCTTGGTTTTGGTAGTCTAGTTCCATAAAACATAGCGCAAACAGATACTTTTTTTTGTGCTGACACGTAACAGCGACAAGAGCAACTGTGAAACTCTTAGCTTTTTTTGACTTCGAATCCTATACCATTGGCGACTGTTCAGTACCTGTTGTATTTCCATATCTGCCTGGACTTAGCAGTAATTAACAGAATTGTTTGATTTCTCTTGAATGACCGCCATCCAGGGGAACTAGTTAGAATCCTCCCGAAGTTCACTGCATTGTTCAAAACAATAAAATCCGACTGTTAGTTAACCAACTCTCAAAATATGATGCAAAATAAAGCCTTAAAACACTTCAATAGGATTACGGTAGCTACTGAGGCGCAGAATAGATATCCTCGTCTCTGAGATAAGCTTTTTGAAGTTATGCCAGTCATCAGTAAATACATATATTCTCCTGCTTTTCACTTATTCCAGGTACTCTCTCGATCCAAGGGCTGTAACAAAGTCATCAAAGGATACATGTTTGTCAAAGCACTGATACATGCCTTGGGAAAGTGCAGGAATATGTTAAAAGTATTGTTCAACAGCATGTGGCAATGTTTAGATGTTTATATGGTTTCATATTGAGCCTGGACAGTCGCTATTGAAGCGATACTTGTGTGCTTTTCTACTACAGGCGTGTATTTCCTTTTAATTAGATGGGTCTAGACAGATATAATTAATTGCATTGACTTGTCGGTACAATAAAGAAAACGTCTTCGAATGATTCCCTAAGCAGCGCATGTGATTAACAATAAACGGCGTCTTTGTGTGTGTGCGTTGCGTTGAGTGCGAAGAGAAAGGAAATTCCTTCATCAATGCTATACTTCTCCTTTGTTTGTTGGCTCTAGCAACTTGTCCTACTTTCCCACCCTCTTTCCATTCTCTTTGTCGATTTCTAGATACGCCAGAGGGCCCGAGTGCTGACATAAATGCATGCATGATGAGTGAGCCAACACACAGACAGGCGTCTTTACTCATCAAGTTGCCGGATAATAGAGAGCAAATAGAGGGATGCGTAATTGGCTAAATACAATCCAATCACTAGACGCTTTATGCCTTCTTTGACTGTCCTACAGGTGACCATTGGAGATCATTTGCCGTGCACAAACATGTATTCTCATAGATAGAGAAAGTTGCGCCAAAAAAAAAAAAAAAAAAAAAAAAAGGCTTAGTGTCTTTAATGATATCTTGTTTTCTTGCTGTCATCCAAATTGAAAAACGCTCGACCAAAAATATTGGCAGAATGCGTGAGGATACCCGGCCTAGAATTACAAAGGATCACCAGATTGGACTTTTGCATTCCGAATCCTGTGTAAACAAATTACTTTAATTTGTCGCACAGAAGCCGAGGCATCCCCATGATGGGTACATCCACAAGGCTGGCGGAATATAGGCATAAAACATGCATGTTGATGAACACGAACGATGTACGAATGTGTTTTTTACCTACTCTTTTTACTGGGGTACTTTTTGGTACCTGAAAGCTCAAAGGAATAAGAAAATTAAAGGGTTCGGTGTCTTTCATTTGGATATCCGCCCTGATAACTCTCAATTTCGAGCAAACTAAAAAAACGTACGACATGTATAAATATATATATATTTATAAATATATAAATATATATCATGAAGCACATTTCGTTAAAGTTCTATGCTACTGGTTGCCTAGAAGTAAGGAAGAGCATTTCAATGGGATCAAAGAGGCGAAGACGTTAAAATGGCTTGAGAAATGCATGGTGGGTGTCATTATAGCAACAATATGGGGGGGGGGGGGGGGTACATGACCAGGATCTTCTTATGAATCGTACTCCCGTCCATTCTGCCTCTATCCCATTATGGGCAATTCTGATGACAAGTTTTCGGTACTTGCATTACCGATATATGCAAACAAGAAAAACCCTGTTCAATTGTTTACAGTTCTTTTCATCCTCATAACCAAGTCGAAGAGCATACAAACAATCTTCTATATCTCTATACTCCTTCCATTGTTGTTTGTAAAAAAAATAGGAGGTAGGACAAATGACAGCGGTGTTAGGGCCAGTGCATGCAAAGCTCTATCATTAAGTCTCTCAATTGTATATACCGGTTTGCCTGACAGAAGGAAACCTCAACATCAGTTGTATTTGAAAAGATACGTCTATCATGTGCAAACATCGCGTACAATTTCAGTGATGGGCAAGGCCATTTAACCGGCAAGTGGAAAATGTTAGTGATTCCGGGAAAAAAAGCGAAGAGACGATAATCTTAAAGTAGGATTCGACCTACATTCAAAGTCAGGCATAAAAAATAACGGGCACAAAACGATCACGTTTCAGCTTGACAGGACAAACATTGAGCTGCCTTCAGATTTCAGAGTAATAGCATTCAGTAGAATGCAGTTAATCACAGCAAGACTTTGCACCAAAGAGGCTCAATCATCCATCTATGGATGCTCTCAAATGCTATGAATGACGAACACTTGTATAATGTCAAGATTTGTTCTTCTTCCGGACCGAAGAAACAATCACATTCATGCCTATATGTCAAGGATGAATTATGAGAAAGAGTGTTGCAGAAAATGATAATCGAGATAACAACGTTGTGGTCCACGAAAGAGTGTCATGGGCGTCTGCATCTTCAATGGTTGGCTGAGGCGTAACCTTGCAACAGCCAACCATCCCTCTTCTCACACTAGCGCTTTTTTTTTTTGCCAGTCAATAATTTGTTTGTTTATTTGTTGAAAGTTTTCGATTTGAATACAAGACAGAAGGTACAGTACGCATCTGCATTTTTCGCTGCATGTACTCCACACATTCCTTAACAACGGCCACTCAATAATTCAATGCCGCAAACATGTCCCTGTAGTGATGCAATGCCATACCCAGGAACAAACATGGAACCAGACACATGGTCGGAACCTTCGATGGTAACTCTGGTTTCTGTCTCTCTCTCTTTTTTTCCGTTTTTTTTTTTCTTTTTTTTTGTATAAATACAACCCATATTTACCCTCGGCATTTGAATCCTTGTTTCTGACGTTCTTTAGTCACTCCATCCTTCCCTTTCTCGGTTGCCTCCGGGACTATCTTTAATTCCAGCCCACACGCCACTATTAACGACAACAAAAGAAAAGAAAAATGAAGATCAACGTTTCTACCATTATTCTGTCATTGGCAGCTGCTAGTTCAATCTATGCTGCCCCTGTGGCTCCTGCCCACCTCGAAAAGAGAGGAGTGGTTCTTGACAAGCTGAAGGAGTTGTTCGCGAAAGCTATCAAGAGCCTTGAATGCGGTGCCTGTGTAGCTGCTCTCGTAGGCGCAAAGGACGTTGCTTTTCTCAACAAGAACTGGGTTCTGGATGCTGCCGAAGGTATCTGTGCAGAATTTAAGATCATGCCAAAAGATGTTGTAAGTAAAAAGGAAGCTTCCTCTATTCATTCTTCAAGCAAATCACATTTCTGGACTGATCACATCCTAATCTGGTACCCATCTTTTTTTTTTTTTTTTTTTTTGTAAGTGTGTTGGCCTTGTCCGCACTCAAGGACCCGTACTAGTAGATGCTGTTATGCAAGCCAGCCTCCTTTCGGGTGACGGCAAATACATCTGCCACCAGGTCCTCGGCGCTTGCCCTGCTCAAGGAATCACCTCTGGAACTCTCACCTTCCCTAAGCCTAAGCCCGCTAATGCTGCACCTCCTGCTCCCAACGGCGTTTTAGTTGATGTTCTTCACTTATCCGAGTATGTCTCTATCCTTTTGCTTGACTATATGAAATCAATGAAAGCCTGTCTAACCTTCTTTTTTTTTTTTTTTTTTTTTTTTTTAAAAAAAAAATAAAATAATCTAGCTGGCACGTCGATAATGAGTACGTCGTTGGGGCAGAAGGCGATTGTGACCGACCACTGTGCTGCCGCAAGTTCGTAGATTCGCCCTTGACTCCCAAGCGCCCAGCTTCCAGTTGGGGCGATTATAAGTGTGATTCTCCCGTGAAGCTGGGTCAAGACTTGCTCAAGTTTGTCCCCAATGTTGCTCAGATCAACTTTACGATCTTGACCGGAGACATTCCTCCCCATGACATTTGGTTGCAATCTAAGGAGACCGTAGTGGTGGCTGAGGAGGTTGCTTACAGTACCATGGAGGCCGGTTTGTCAACCAAAGTATACCCAACTGTCGGTAACCATGAAACTGGACCCACAAAGTATGCAAAGCTGTCCGCTATTTTGTTCTGCTTATTTCTTTGACAAAAAAAAAAAAAAAGCTAACTAATGCTCGTTCTTTTTTGTCCATTCACAATCCAATATATAGCTTATTCCCCACTAAAGCAACTGGTGGCGATCTCTCCTGGCTGTACAACAGCTTGGCTGATGACTGGTCTCGTTGGTTGCCAGTCGATGCTGTCAACTCTGTCAAGAACTATGGTGCATACACTGCCAGCCCTGCTCCAGGTCTGCGAATTATTTCCCTCAATACCAACTTTTGCTATACTCTCAACTTTTACCTCTACGGCAAGATCAAGGATTATGATCCCAACGGTGAATTGAAATGGCTTATTACTCAACTTCAGGCTGCCGAAGATGCTGGCGAGCGTGTCTGGATCATCAGCCACGTCGGACCTTCACAGACAGACTGCCTCCAGAATTGGTCTGCTCTTTATTATCAAGTTGTTCAGCGCTATTCTCCTCACGTCATTGCTGAGCAATTCTTCGGTCACACTCATTATGACGAGTTTGCATTATACTATGGCCCTGGAGCTAAGAACACTCATAATGCTATTTCAACTGGTTGGATCGGGCCTTCTGTCACGCCATATACTGATTTGAACCCTGGCTTCCGTGTGTACAAGGTCGACTCCAAGAGCTGGAACGTTTTTGATTCTCAAACTTACATTGCTGATCTTGATCAAGCTGCTAACTGGGATGCTACAGGTGCTACTCCCAACTGGCATTTGGAGTACTCTGCCCGTCAGGCATATGGTGCCTTTGTCCCCATTGCTGACAACCAGCCCTTGAGCGCCTCTTGGTGGCACAACGTCACCACAGTCTTTGAGAAAAATGACGCGGCGTTCCAGCAGTATTGGAAGTACCATGGCAAGTCTGCCGCTGGACAGCCTGCTTGCCCTGCTTCAGGTCCTTGCCCTAAGGAGATTATCTGCAACTTGCGTGCCGGCAAGAGCTCCGACTCGTGCTCAGGAACTAAGTTCTCAGTCAAGCGCTCAGATGAGGAGCATGAGGCCGACGCTTCTGGTCTTCACACTCTTTACAAACGTGCTGAGCCCCAGCCATGGAACAAGAAACTGTGCGGACTGAGTTCACAACTTTAAAAAAATCAAATCCAGTCCCTTACAACTAAATTTTCACAGATGCATGATCACACATTTGTTAATACCAGAAAGCGCTTTCAATTCGTAATAAAATCAAAATCACTATGACAAGTATTGCAGTAAAATATGTTTCCACAACAACGATAGAGGTTTGAGAAAAGATCCATGGAGCCCTGCATAGTAGTGATTCTGCAACTCGTGGAGACGGAAAATACTGTGCATAGATATATGGAAGCAAACACATGCTAATCACGACGTTCATTAAGAAGAGATTCAACAAGTATACTGTCAGTTGTTATCCAAGAGTGTTTTCATGAGCTAGGGCGCATCCGAGTTGCCTTGATCTTTTTTATTTTTCTGAAAGGTAAGGGTAAGAGGTCAATAATGTGTGTGTGTGTGTGTGTGCTAAATAGCGCAGAGAGTGAGAGCATGTTCAGGTGTGTGTATTGACAAGGTGTCTAGCGAAGACATTCATACGTTCACACATTCCATATTCGCATTTATACACAAAGCATAAGCGGTGAGCCTCCTTGTCATACCATCTGGAGCCTGAGGGACGCACGGCAAATTGACAAACGGAGGAAATTAAAATTAGAGGGCTCTCGTTCATTCTCTAGTAAAACGAAGCCAAGTGGGAAAATCCGAAACTCACCACGCACGGCCATCTCTAGAACGAATACCTCGATTTTTCAGTATCTATTGGAGCAAGGCAAGAATAAGTATGAGGTCAGCATCCATAATAAGAAAAGAAAGTTATATATTCTCCACACAATACCGCCGAAGGAGGAATAGACATATGTAACACATAAGCAGTTGTTGAATAATATCTACCAACAATCGGAAACGTACTTTCTAATCAATAAAGGAGACCCGTTACTCCCATTCAGACCTAAGGTGTGGTATCTTCATTCTCCCATGCATGTAAACCATGCAAACATACCCCTGATTGACCGATCGTCTCTTGAACACCATTAGGTCAAAGATCTTTATTATAATTATTGATATCATTCATTACATTACCAATGTTTGGTTGGTAATTTTTTCATCCATAAGCTTTTGGTTGTTTTATAAATACCCGTTGTGTCTCCCACAAATCGTATTTCTGAACCCTTGCTTATTGCCAGCTTTCCTTCCTCACCCACAAGGATTTTCACTCATTCCATTCTCACCTTACTTGGTAGCTTAACGAAAGAAAAAATAACTTCCTTTCGCTCCGTCTAACCTTCCTTACTAGCCGATCTTCATACACTCTCTTCCGCCCTTCTTTATACATCCCTCGTTCTCATTCACTCTCTTTGACCTGTTTATTTGTCGAGAAATCATGAAAATCGCTGTCTCTTCGGTTATTCTCTCTTTGGTAGCTGCGACAGCTGTCTTCGCTGCACCAGCTCCTGCTCTTCATCAGCTTGAGAAGCGTGACTGGATTGTGGACAAGCTTCTTCCTTTATTCACAAAGGCTTTTGATACCTTGAAATGCGAGGCTTGTGAAGCTGCTATCAGTAGCGCCAAAGATATCGCTTTGTTGAATAAGGGTTGGGCAATGGATGCTGCCAGGAAACTTTGTCCAACCTTAATGGGACAGCATACTGATGTCGTAAGTTTTTTTTTTTTTTTTTTTTTTTTTTTTTAAAAAAAAGATGAAAAATAGTATGGAGATGTATTTGTGATAGACTGTAATTTAGCATATTTTTATTTTTTTTTATATATTTTAAAAATGGAATCGGTGTGCGTGGCGACTGAACAACAAGTGTGACGGATTGGTCGATCTTTATGGTCCTGTCGTTGTCGACACTATCTTAAAGGTCAACTTCTCTAAAGGTGATGGCAAGTACGTGTGTCACGCTCTTGCTGGTATTTGTTCTCCACCAGTACTCAAGCCAAACACAATCGTCTTCCCAAAGCCCAAGCCTACCAATGCTGCCCCTCCTGCTCACAGTGGTCAACGAATCGAGGCTCTTCATTTGTCTGAGTAAGGAAAAAAAAAAAAAAAAAAAAAAAAAAAAAAGAAAGGTCTATTCTTTCTCATAATATTAATTTAAAATTGTTTATTTCCCCCCTATTACGAAAGCTGGCATGTCGATGAGCTCTACGCACCTGGTTCAGAGGCCAAATGCGATAAACCCACATGCTGCAGCAAGAACGCAAACTCTGCTGCGGCCATTGTGCATCCTGCTTCCTCCTGGGGCGAATACAGCTGTGACACTCCGGTCAAACTAACACAAGATCTACTCAATTTTGTTCCCAAGGCTGCTAATGTCAGCTTTGTGATATTGACGGGCGATGTTCCCCCACACGACGTCTGGCTTCAGACAAAGGAGACGGTTTTACCCATTGAAAAGAATGCTTATGAGGCTATGTCGGAGCTTCCGGCCAGGGTCTATCCTGCTGTTGGTAACCATGAATCTGGCCCATCAAAGTAAGTTACTTATAATACTAGATAGTGTGGCAAACCCTTTTTTCTTTGTAGTAGTATTTGGATCAAAGACGTTTTGGAAAATTGTTTGATCATCTATTGCTTACTTAAAAATGGACACTAAGTTGAACCTTAAATTTTGGGCAAAATGTATACTATATTAACCGTTACCGTGGGTTGCATCCATTTAGTTTGTTTTCCACACCTTCGTCTGGAGATGACATGTCATGGTTATATAACAGCCTTGCAGACAATTGGTCTCGCTGGCTACCGGAGGATGCTGTCAACACTGTCAGGAATTATGGTGCTTATACCGCTAGCCCTGCTCCCGGTTTACGTATCATTTCCCTCAACACCAACTTTTGCTACAAGAACAATTTCCATTTGTTGGCCAACCTTAACGACCATGATCCCTATGGTGAGCTAAAGTGGCTTATTGCTCAACTCCAAGCTGCTGAGGATGCTGGTGAACGTGTTTGGATCATTGGTCATGTTAGTCCTTCACAGACAGACTGCCTCCAGAACTGGTCTGCCCAATACTATCAAACCGTCCAGCGCTACTCTCCTCATGTCATTGCGGAGCAGTTCTTTGGTCACAGTCATCGCGATGAATTTGCTCTTTTCTATGGCCCAGGTAGCTCCAAGAGTGCCCGTAACGCCATTGGAACCGCGTGGATTGGACCTTCGGTCACACCCTTTACAAACCTCAATCCTGGCTTCCGTGTCTATGAGGTCGATACCAAGAGCTGGAACGTCTTTGATTCCAGAACTTATATTGCCAATCTCGACCAGGCTGCCAACTGGGATGCCACGGGTGGCACCCCTAACTGGCACTTGGAGTACTCTGCTCGCCAGACTTACGGCGCCTTTGCTCCTGTGGCTGCGAATGAGCCTTTGACTGCTGCATGGTGGCACAATGTTACACAAGTCTTCGAGAATAACGACATGGCCTTCCAACAATTCTGGACCTTCCGTAGCAAGTCTGCAAAGCGTGAGGAAGCTTGTGCTGCTGGCAGCGAATGCAAGACCGACACCATCTGTAACTTGCGTGCGGGTAAGAGCTCGGATGCTTGCGTCAGCACCACCCGTCGTCACAAGACACTCAGTCACGGCGGCGCTCCAGGATCACTTAGTCTTCCTAAGCATGCAGAGTCGCTTCAGTCTTGGGACAAGAATCTCTGTGGATCGCCTTTCGGCTTTTAAACCACTAAACAAATAGTAATCGGAATCAAAAGAAAAAATGATGTAATGATGGAGCTGTAACAGCAGTTTTGTCGATTAAATAAAGTTTTCGGTCGAAGAATAAGCGTATACAAAGAAAGAGAATAATTCAAAGCAATCGAAATGTAATGTTACTTCAGATGTTTACGTTGCCCTAACATAGGAGACTCACTTGTCCAAAAAACTAATTGTTTTGGACAACCAGTAATAACTTTGTAATCCTTTTATTCTTTTTATTTATAGTACTTTTTTTTTTTTTTTTTTGTTTTACAAACAGGCCATGCTCTTAAAGATGCGTCTTAGAACTTTTGACTCTTGCTCTTTTGATAGATGTCGGGCCCTGGCCCTCAGAGGGATTACGGAACCATCGTCATGATCTGCTGCTGCTGCTGCTCCACCTTGGCCGCCTTCGTTGATACCCATCGTTGCATTCTTTTGATTCTTTTTTGTATGATCATAGTCGACACGACTGAGCAAGTAGGCCAAATCCATGATTATGCCTTGTCCTACATTCTTGGTGCCTCGCATCAAATGTTTCTCCTCCTTCCATTTTGTTTCCTGCTTAAGCTCGAATGCCTCTGCCATCTCTTCAGCTCGATCCACAATCTTGCGAGGTACACCTGCCATATGAGCAACATTCATACCATACGACTTTTCGCATACTCCGTCGATGAGCTTATACAAAAAGGTTACTTCGCGATTGGTCTGGTCCACCTGGCATGCCATGTGCTTCAATGCCACATTTGGATCCCGCTCAAACTCTGTCGTAAGCGTACCATAATGCGTTGAAAATAATCCCAGACATCCGATTCGAGTCGATAACTCATGAAGAACAGAGTATGCAATTGCATACCCATCAAATGTGCTTGTACCTCGTCCCAGCTCATCCAGAATCACCATTGACTGGTCAGTAGCCTCGGCTAAAATCTTGGATGTTTCTGAGAGCTCTACCATGAATGTTGATTGTCCAGCCAGGATATTGTCGTTAGCTCCAATACGAGTAAAAATCCGGTCAAAGGGCGTCAATCTACACTTCTCAGCAGGAACATAGCACCCTAGCTGGGCCATGATAATCGCGATACAAGTCTAAGGCACATCAAAAATGTAATAGCCGTCAGATATTACGATATGCGGATAGAAAACAATCATGATTCAAAACAACAATACCATCCTAGCCTTATAGATCACATATTAACTGCTTACCTGCCGAAGCAAGGTTGATTTACCTCCCATATTGGGTCCTGTCAAGAGAATTAAGTTGGCGCTATTTCCGCCGAGAACCGTGTCATTTGGGATAAAATCAGAAGCGATACCTGGAATAACACATGGATGGCGCATTCCCTCGAGCTCCAAGACTGATTGCTCGCTCTCCACAAACTCTGGTCGACAAGCAGGCGCTGAGAAAACAGAAAGGAAAACAAATCCATTTGAATATAAGACGAAGAAGCATTTTAAGATCTTTTGAAGAGCAAAAACACTTACAACCAAGAGCTGAGCTACTCTTTGACAACGATCCAAGACAGTCGATCTCTGCCATGATTTTGACAGCTTTTAGCCAGTCCTTGAAGTTCTCATCAAATTTAGAATACAAACGGCCTTGAAGCTCTTTCATAATGGCACTCTTAGTTTCTTTAGCCTCTTGCAGTCTGTTGACAAGGGCGATTAGCTCAGGGTTATAGTATCGACTAACAGCGTTCGTTCCCGACATTTTTTTCCAGTTCTTAGGGACAGCCACCTTATTGGACACCTCAATCTGATATATTTCTTTACCGAGATCCTTATAAATAACTTTGGTTGTCTTTAACAGGCGTTTGGCCTTCTCAAGATGTTCTGCAAACTCAGAAGCAAGCTGTTTAAAATCTTCGTTGTTGGAATCATAATCTGTAGCAAAGCCGGGGTAAGGGACAATATCACCTTCTGTTGCCGCAAGGTTCTGGTCAAAAGCTTCATTAAAATAGTCGAGATATGGAGTTAAGTTAGGCATCTCCGCAAGAACAGACTCAAGCTTCTTTGATTTGAACTGCTCTGTATATGAGCTCAGTCGACGTGTTGTATCCTATTTTAGCGCCAGGTATTAGTTCATAGTCCGTTCCCATACTCTCCCTCCTTTTTTTTTTTTTTTTTTTTTTTTTTTTTTTTTTAAAAAAAAAAAAAAATAAAAATAGTAAAAAACTTACGATTATAGTTCGGAATGTCGAAAGGACAACGAGAAACTCTGAAACTTTGCATGAACCCGCGTGGATTCGACTCACGATACGCTCAAGGTCTGGAAACCTCACACATTTTTCCTCAAATAGCTCCAAAAATCCAGGTACGCGCATTAAGTCTTCAACAGCATCCAGTCGTGCAGAGATGGCAGAGCTCGATCTCAAGGGGTGACAGAGCCAGCGACGGAAGAGCCGCTTGCCAAATGGCGTAACACACCGGTTGAGAAGTCGAAAAACTGTGCCAGCTTCCGTGCCATCACTGTTATTTTGGAAAACCTCCAAATTTGAGAGAGTTTGTCCATCCAAGATGAGTGTTGATGCCTGACGAACAGGATCGTAAATGTGAAAATTCTTAAAGGACAACAACTCTTCATCCAGTTTCAACTAATAGAATATAGGAAGCACGGAAAAGAATCAACAAATTTAGTCCATTTCGCCAAAGTTGATGAAGTTAGGACATTAAATTGTCCTGCGCCTTTTTTTTTTTTTTTTTTTTTTTTTTTTTTTTATCGCTTACCGATCTCAGATACCAAATTAAACCGCCTAGTGCACTCATTACTGGGGCACAGTCGCACATTTTCTGTAGGGCAGATGGCCAGCATTCTGTGGCCACTGTTCCTGGGGTATTAGGGCCAAAGTATTCGCGAATCCTAATCTCATCGAGTGCTGTGACCTCATCAAAAAACTCTGATACCGGCCGCAGATGGTTCCAGATAGTATTGGGACCTAGGCTGTTTTTCAAGATCCGAATGCTTCTCATACTCAGACCACCCTTTTCAACAACAATCTCTTTTGGTTTAATCTGAGTTATTAAGGTCTCAAATTTAGTTCTATCCATGTCATCGTAGAACGTTGCTAGGTTGAATTCAGCTGTTGAAGTGTCAACAAATGCAATTCCAAACTGCGTAGGCAAATGCTCCGCTCCTTGTCTGGTCAATTCCTTGATAGCCATGCAATATGTCGCCATCTCGTTGGTCAAAAGCCCTGAATCTGTGAGAGTTCCTGCTGTCAGAATCGAATGTAGCTCTCGATGGATGACTTTTTGTGCTGAAGCCTTTGAAATGGCTCCATCACGCTCACGCATAGCCTTGCCAAGTGCGGTCTCCATCTGATCGACTCTTGCAACCTTATAGCCCTTGGCAATGAACTGTGCAGCCCAGTATTCAAAACTTGACTCGGGTACGCCGACCATACGCATATTGGTTCGATCTGTGAGCTTGAGATCAAATTGTTGGTGTCCAATGTCAGCATCGTTCTCGTACAGCTCGTAAAATTTGCCCTTTTTGAAAAACACAATAGAGTCAAAATGTTTCGACTTGATTTCCCAAAACTGACGCTCGAATTCTGTAAATTTCTTCCATGCATCATCGGGAACATAGAGCGTCCTGGGATCATAGTTTGGAGAACCTATTTTCCAAATAAGGAAAAACGTATTCTATGCAATTAGAAAAGTTTTTATTTTCACATTGCTGCTTCTGCTATGTCAAATTATAATGAATGAACAAGTTAACCTACCAATAGGGTTTTTTTCTGCATCCCTAATATCCAGAAGCCATCTATATCGGCCGGTATTTGCTTCTTCAAATTTGGCAGCACGCTCCTTCTTTTTATCGTCTTTGAGTAAGAGTGTGGGACGCGCTGGTGATGATGTTGATTTACTTGGAGAGGATGCTGGTTTATTAAAGATACTGGCCGTAGCTACGGGCTTGGCTGATACAGATTGCTGTGGATTGTTTTTTAAGATAGGCTGCTTATGACGTGTAGGCGATGGTGGAGCATCGTCATCGTCTTCAAGAAGGCTATCATCCAGATCTGCTTCATCTGTTAAAAGGATAAGGATGTATTTTTAATAACTGTAAAATCAAACAGCCGTTTTTAAACAGTATCCCTATATTATCATGACGATACCGGGATCCGGATTAAAAATTATCATACCGATGTCCATATTAAAGTCATCCTCAGGTAATGCAGCCGGTGCTTCGTATTCCGAATCTTCATCATCATAGTTGACTCTATTCTTCCTAAGAGCTTCAGTTTTCTTGGCCGTTCCTACATGGCCATCATCCTCGCCTTCTTCGTCCGATATTGCATAATGAATCCTTCTAATGCCTCGGCTCTAATTGTATCCAATTGATCATTATAATAATTATTTAATGTCCCTTGGGGCCAGAAGCTCAGTAGTATGCTTTTTTTATTTAAAAGATGTTCTCGAAATAAACTTACCGATCGTCTCGTGCCTGACGCCTGTCCCGTCACCACATTGTCTTCATTGTTATTATCATCTTTAAAATCTTCCGGACGCAGTTTTCGAACAGGTGAGTTGAGCGACAAATTCTTGACGGCAGCTGCAAACTTCTTGACCGATCGCGATTCATCCCTTGTCAAGGGACTCATCTGTTCATTTTCATCCTCTTCAAGGTCTATTGTTTTGCGTTTTGAAGAGCTTCGCAAAACAGCTTCATCTGTTGAGAATAAGGGCGACGGCGACTCGAGTGAGAATATGTTTACCTGTTTATCATCCTTTTTATTACTACTCTTGACAGGTGTCCGGAGAATAGAGTCTGATGTCGTTGATCCTGATAATGATGCTTCATTCAGCATGTCTTGTGGAGAAGTGGGAGCCATGTCAGCTCCATTATCGTTGGTGGCACATATAGGGGTAGATGTACCGAAGAATGAGAGAAGTGACCTTTGAGTCATGACAGGCTGGGTGCCCTGTCCTTTGCCCCGTGCTGGCGACTTTGTCGGTTTAAGATCTGATGTCATAACTCGCTGCTTAAAGAATGGGAGCGTCGATCAACACACAGGCTGTTTACCATCTTGCTGTATCTTTCATCACGTGACTAAAACTTCCACAGCCAGACATTCAGGCGACGAGAAAGGAGCTTTTTGAGTCCCGGACTTTGGTGCTTACACATTTTCCTTAGGCTGGACGCTCATACCATTCATTTGCTTGCCTGAATAGGCACATGACAAAGGCTATAGAGTCCTTTTGACAACCTGGGTTGGCGCCGTTATTTGGCGTCCTCTTAAATTTCGCAGTCACTTAAGCTTAATTGGCACCCTGGCAAAATTGTCAAGCAGGGAATAAATAGTAAAGCATCGTCTCTGTTCTTTCTTTTCCATTGAAAATCCGCCGTGCCCAAAAATTTAGAAACCAAGAATAGATGTGTAATCGTTGAAAATGCATGAATAACCGTGTTCTCAGATCAATGACTCGGGGTATTATCTAAGCGTCCCAATCACTGTTCGCGCTCCGACTTCAAGGCAACCCAAAGTGCTAAATGAGCAAGCTTTCAAGAGCATTGTGCGCTACTCCAAGGAACAAAAGAGAACCACCTTCAAGGATATTACCAAAAAAAAAAAAAAAAAAAAAAAAAAAAAGAAGATGCGTCGAGTATTTGCAATCCACAAACCATATTTAAATATGCATAAAGAAACGGCTGGCTTTTTTTAAACAGGAAAAAAAGTAAAGATTTGAAACACCCAAAGGTCTTTCCTAATCTCAGAGAAGATCTTAATGATGAATTGGGGAAAACACTACAAGAGAAACTGATAACGTTAGTTTACAAATCATTTACTGAGCTCAACCTCATAACGTAATTCGTCAATAACTTTTGCCGCGTGACTGTAATGGAATTAAACTTAATGACAACTTTTTGCAAGAAAAGAACTTTTTATAAAGATCATTTGTATATTTGTATATTATAGTACAGTAATAAATATCGTTGCTTTTTAATTTTACGTTGATTCTGTACAAGTGGAGAAAGTTGTAAATAAAAATTTTCGGGAGCACTAAAAAGAAAAAAAGACCCTATGGGAGTCTAAACCGATGTTGGAAGCATACTTCCAAGCGTAAACTCAAGGTACTCTTGATGATGGTGCGAAGGCGGCAGAGCCGTAGCATGTACAATTGGGAAATTGGACGGAGCACCAGAGTTTGAGGTCGCAACCGAAGCAGACGAAGCAGAAGATGAAGGGACCATCGAGGTCGCCAAGAAGTTTGCTGATGCTGCTGACGCTGCTGCTGTAGAGTCAAACGGAAATCGACCTCCAAGACCAATGGGAGTGGCAAGCGGGTATGCACCATATGGCGCATAATCGGTCATGACACTCCCATAGCCAAATGCTGCGCCATAAGGCGAATTCATCATCTTGGTTACTTCAGACAACACTGGAGTCGAGTCAATAGCGGCCTTGATGTTGTATTCATACTGATATCGGAGCTTCTCCATGTCTGAGATTTCCTCGCTTTCGTCCTCTTCTTCTTCATCCAGCGTATACAATGGAGGCGGGACTGGTTGGTTTGCAATGAAGCCACCAAAGCCAGCGGAGAGCGGACCAGCTGCTACATAGTGTGGATATGGTTGATTGGCAGTCATCATGGCCATTGCTGGCATGAAATTCTGACTAGCAAGCTCGGGAAACACGCTCGGGCGCTGGCTACTGAGAGCATAAGGAGGGTGCTGGGCTTGAAGCAGAGGTGTTGTTGCTTTGGCGTGGGGTTGACGGTGCTGCTGAAGCAGATATTGCTGCTGCTGCTCCTGATTCAAGGATGATAGACGCATCATGTTGAGCATGCTTGAATCTTCATCTTCATCACCGCTGCTGAGACCACTTAGGCTCTCACGTTCGCTCATGGACTCCATACCACGTTCCTTATGCATACGACGACGCTTCCTAACTACACTATGGTCAGAAGCGTACCCTTTAGATGCCCTCCGATGTTCGTCATTATCCTGCTCATCACCCTCAAGGTCAGTCTCCAGTTCAGTGTCTGCACGAGGAGCAGACGAGTCTTCGTCATTAGCCCAAGATGGTTTGTCATGAGTTTTACGATGAGCAGCGAGATTGTCGCTACGTGAAAACCGCTTTGAGCAGATGTTGCAAGCGTAGGGACGCTCCAGAGTATGCGTCCTCCAATGACGTTTTAAATGCTCCAAACGCTTAAATAGACGACCACATGGCTGTACAGGGCATGCATATGAACGAGAAGAATGGGAAGAATGGGAAGAAGTTCCTCCATGAAGAGATGGAAGTGATGATATGGAAGCAGATCCTTTATGATGGATGGGTCTAGTTGAATCTTGCATGAAGCTGCCAACTTGGCCACTCTTATGGCCAGTATTACCATCCAGGTATCTGTCAGCTAAATCTTGATCCAAGTCAAAGGTACCATTTTGTCCCTCACTGTGCAAAACTCCTTTGCTGTTGATGATATCTGAACCTCGTTCGATTTGTTCCGAGAGCATTGAAGGATTGGCAGTGGAACGCCTACGTCGTTTCTTGTATGTAGGTGATCCCTCAAACAGCGTAAAAGAACCGAAAAGGCCTGCATTCGTATCTGAGGGGTGGCTCATGACTTCTGATCCAATATTATGGGAGCCATCAGTATCAATGGGCACTTTGGATTCAGAATTGTCATCCGATCTAAGAAATATGCGTTATTGCAAACAATGAATACACGTTTGTCTTTCATTTGGTCTCAGAAGAAGGAAAAAATAAAATAAAAAATAAAAATAAAAAATAAAAAAAATTGTTTTACATACCCAATATCATCAAATGGATGACCATGCTGGAATCCTCTTCGCATCTCGTTGATTGATGCTCCGTTGCTGTCGTTACGAATAACTGTGGTCGATGTTGCTGACGATACTGCACCTTCCGGTACAAGCTGTGCTTGAGTGGGTGAAGTAGCTGAAGGGGAGATGGCTGCAGGAAGCTGGCGACTCATGGGAGCGACTCCATCCGGCGTAAAGCTCTGAAGTGTCTCGGTAATGGTATTCATCTCAATTGTTCTTCGAGACAAACGCTCAACCAGATCACGAACTGTCTCCAGAGTGCAGGACAAGGCGGGCTCGGCCACTGCTTGAGAGGTTGGCTCTGTTCCTGCTTGCTCACGTTTGAGATCACGCTCCATAGCATCAAGGAAAAGTCTATCATGAGGTACAGAGTACCAGTAAAACACTTTTTGCTTTTTCTGTGTTCGAATACAGTTGTTACGGTATAACATCTCCAAAAAGGGTGATTTGGGTTCTTCAAGACAGGCATCGGCACCAGGCTTGAGGTTTCGAAGGTCAGAGAAGACACCCTCCTCAAACTTTTTAATATTGCGTACAGGGCGACCAAAGCTTTCAAATCGCGAGACCAGGGAGCGTACAATGTCCGTGCCGGTTATATGGTAAAGCTCGTTCCAAAGGACACAAGATATCGTTTCGCCGGTCGGTAACAGGAACTTTGAGATTTCCATCTGATAAGTTGGGGCAGTTGTCAGAAAGACACTCAATCGATCAATTTCATCAATTCTTGATGCAGAGGCTGTGCTCAGAGCAAGGGAATCGCTCAGGAGGATATTCTGATGCTCATTTTGATGCTGTAGTTGTTGCAGTGTCTGTACTTGCTGCTGCAATTGTTGCTGATCCTGTTGTTGTTGCTGCGTTTGCTGCAATTGATGGTGATGTTGCAATTGTTGTAGGTGCTGCTGGTGTTGTTGAGGATGTGAGAGATGTTGACCATGTAATGAATGTTGTTGTGGTTGTTGTACAGATCCTTGTGATGATGGATATTGCTGTTGATGTTGAGATTGGATTTGACTATGTGAGTGCTGTTGTTGCTGTTGTTGCTGTTGTTGCTGTTGTTGGACAAAGAAATCCTGGCGCCTGGATGTAGCGGTCAACATAGTGAATGATTATGGGAAAACCAAGCTTATCTGGCAAAGCTTTCGGACCTAAATAAATTAGTTCAAAAAAGATGCGAGGTTGCGTATACGGAAGAGATGATAGTTGTCGGTTGAGTTGTTTACAAATTGACCAAAAGAAAAATAATTAAGCAAGGACGGGAAGTGAGAAACAAAGACCCAAGATCGGAGAAATATTGTTAAAAGAGCGTCAGTAAAAAAGTAAAGCCCATAATTTGAGATACAAAACTCCTGTACCGATGCACCGATACTACTATGATCAAAAAAATAAAAAAAAAAAATAAAAAAAAGGTAGAAGTATAATTGTATTACCTGTAATTTTTTGAGAATGGGATTTAGGCGGTCGAATACGTTGTGAAGTAGAAAAAATACCCCGGGTTCGAAGATCGCTGGAATTGGAAAAGTGAATCAGACAGCAGCGGATGCAAAATAAGGAAAATAAATAAAAATAAAACAGGAGAAAAAGAAGTAGAACAATGTCGAATGCCAACAGTGGTCCAAGAAGCACAGGATAGAGTAAATTAGTCGATATAAAGACCAATGTGGATGATTAAAGCATTCAAAATAATAATAGTAATAATAATAGTAATAATAACAATAATAAAAAAGGGAGACAAAGACTAGAAGGGATATCAAATCGAAGAGGAAAAAAAGGAGAGTAACGAGCAAAAGACGGGTCCTGGTCTAGGATGAGTTGAGATGGTGATGATGTTTTGCAAGGAGAAGGAGGAAGAGGAGGGAAGGAAGGGGGATTAGGGTCGTTGTTGTGATGATGGAGAAAGAAGAAGTAAAAAAGGCTACGGCTGTGAGAGCAAAGGCAAAATCAACAGATAAAAAGAAACAGTGAAGGCAAAAGGTTGGAAAAGGGAAAAGATAAAAAAGGCGGATGGATTCTTTTTCTATTGGGCAGATCGGGAAAAGGAGGTGTTCTTGAGATGCGCTTGGAGTGATGATAATGATGACGATGATACTGATGGTGACGATGTTGCTAACGATGCTACTGACGATGCTAGACAGAGTAAAGGCAGAGTAAAAAATGTTTCCGTTGTAGAACTACAAGACCAAAAAAAAAAATCTATTAATGAAAAGGAAAAAGGAAGGAAAGGAAGGGTGATTAGGAGACAAAGACAAGAAGGAATAGATTTTGGTAGGAGAAATGAGGAGAACAGAACAAGAAAAGAGAAAAGGAAAAAAAAAAAAAAAAAGAATAGAAATAAATCACAAGCAAATTAATACAGGAATAAAGAGGCGTAGGGTACAGTGATTGTTTTTTTTTTTTTTTTTTTTTTTTTTCAGTAACGGTTGTCTGTCATCTTTTTTTTTTTTGCCTCCTCAACGGAGAGAGAAAGTGGATGACAATGTCGATCAAAACTACAAGCTCTCCCCCGACCGTGGCCTTATACAAGAATGCATCGCTTATAGATCTCGAATTGTACACAATATGTCTGCTGATGGTGTGTATTTCCCCCATTCAAAAAACTCTAATATTTATACAGTTATTACATTATACATGTATATAATACTACGTAGTTATTGGTAGTAACGTGCAGTGAATGCAGCTGTACATTCATATATTATAAAGATGTATATTTATATATACAGATATACAATAAAGATAAATAATTGTACGTAAAAAGAATATATACACATTAGGTTATTAAATATAAACAAAATGTATACTTTTTATATCCATAATTGTCTTACAACTGGACAGTCGTACAGACTGAATTCAGGTACAGTTAGCGTGGTGTGTGTGCTTTGGCCATTAAGAAGTCTCAAGTAAAAAAAAGATTGACAAGAGTGTTTTATCGGAGCAATTCTACTGTTTCTTCACATCCTGGTGACCAAAACATCCCAAGCAAGGGCCCCGCCCCTTGACTCAGTAAAGCATACAACCATGCCATCATGCATCATATACTTCCTCATACCTCCAAAGAATGTGGCTCTTCTTTTTTTTTTGATCAATATGTAAGAGAGAGGATGAACGACTTTGCACAGTCGCATTCAGTCAATGGTCAACAGAACAACGGTAACAACAAACAGCTTTCTTCATCTTGGACTAGAAGCCAAGAAGGATAAGGACTTAGCGAGGGACGATACTCTGGATTCTTCCCAATAACTCTTGCCCCCTTTTTTATTTTGCATTGTTGCATTGTTGTGTTGCTGAAGGTCAACACGCGTTGAAATGCAATCTAGTTTTGGCACGGTCGACTCCACTTTTAATGCGGTTCATAAAGTGGGTATAACAAACAGTTCTAAAGCTTGTTTGCAGATGTTAAAAAAAAAAAAAAAAAAAAAAAAAAAAGAAAGTGCAATGACATAGTTGTCCTGATATAGTGGCGCCAGGAATAAAATGTATAACATGAAAGTACAGTAGAGGACCATGTAGTGTGGACGCTGTTTTACCCCTTCTCGCCCCCTCTGTTTGATTATGAGATGATGATACAGACTCAAAACAGGGAGTGTCAAAAAAACAAGGGGTGTGAGAGATTTCAAACACCAAGACAATCGCATCATGCACACAAACACTAAACACAAATTCAACCTGCACAACACGACGCCATTCATCTTCTAAATGGAAAGTATAAATGATCTATTGTATATATATATATATATATATATTTGTATTACATCTATTCCATAGAAATATTATCAACTGTTTGCCAACAGAATTTACGCGCCTCTTTCTCTCAAATCTGGACTAGCTGCGGAGTAAGAAAATATCCCCAATGCGAAAATGGCAGATGGGAGCCATTCTGGGTTCAGGAGGCGAAGCAAACCATCGTAATTGCTTTCATGACAGCAAAAAAGAAAAAAAAAAAAAACCGTCTTTTATGACAGCCTACCATGCCACAGCAAGCATCAATAACTTTCTTTCTTTCCATCTTCTTGTTTAATCTCTTCTATGGCTACTTTTGCAGACCCAAAATTACTCAATTAGTTCTGTTGTAAAAAAAAAAAAAAAAAAAAAAAAAAGAAAGGAGAAAGGAGAAAGGAGAAAGGAGAAAGGAGAAGTAAATAGAGCATAGCACGCAATAGGAGAAGCACTGAACTGGCTTTTGGTCCTAATAAAGACTAGCTGAGGAAGAATACGATGGCTCAGTTATACCAAATATTATATATATTGCCCTTGGCTACAGAAAGAACACTCATTGCAAAAAAAAAATAAAAAATAAAAAATAAAATAATAGAATAGATGCTCACAAAAATAATAATAAAGGCTTTACAGATGGTATTATCGAACGCTGAGGTCATATTAAAGCATAACATAATCAGATGTAGGAACAACATTGTGAAATTGCTTATGAAAGATCTTTACAACAATAAAAGTATTTCTAAATCTGTTAAAAAGAAATGGTTATCGGACCAAGGAGATACAAAGGTGTAGATGACTGCAATAGTTGAAGTTCATGCCTCATGCCGCTTCGATTTGTACAAGTGCAGATATTTTCTCCTCTTCGTTTAAAACAAAGCAAAAAAAAAAAGGTTCATAAAATCCTTGTTCAAGTAGCACCCATGGACGTGATCGAGGAAGCAAGACTTTGCAAATGCAGATGTAAGACTGATGAAGAGATGTACATGTATATATACCAAAAGATTCTCTCGCTTCTCTTCAAAAAAAAAAAAAAAAAAAAAAAAAATGGAATAGCAAGCTTTGTACATGAACAGTACCGTGAGCAAAAAAAAAAAAAAAAAAAAAAAAAAGTGGGACAACGACTACCGTCTAAACGCATTATTTTGCCGAAAACTAAACACAACAGACACAATCATCTGAGAGCACCGCGTGTGCATCTTGGCCAATGACAAAATGTACAAAAGTCCTTCTGTTCTAGTGTGGGCACATCATTCTGAGCATCTTGTGCAACTTGTGTATTTGTGCAAGTTCCCACTGTAAACAAAAACCAAAACCAAAAACCAAAAAAGTGCGTTGCTCTCACCCGTGAAAAGATCTAGATGAAACAAATGAAACGACAAGGGCTGTAAATGAGTTTCCCCTAAAAAAAAATTTTCTCTTACAATCGTATGGCTTCAGGCTGCCTGCTTGGGAAACCCCCTTTTGTATCAGGTTATCTTATTTCAAAACGTTGTTTGACTGTGTGTCATATTCATCGTAGAAGCAAAGCGGCGCGCGCGTTTCATTCATTGGACGCGTTACTTTTGATTCCCCACACTCACTCACTCACTCACTGCACACACAAAAAGAAAGTCAAAATTGACTTACTAGAAACTGTTTCCGCAGCCTTTCTTTCCTTACCTTTATTGCAAATGCTACTCCGAAACAACAGCTGGCGCTTTGACCGTATTCGTTAGCAACGTCCAGAAATAGATTGTTGAAGCGTAGTGAAGGATAAGTGGATGAACCACAAAAAGATAAAATGTGTAAATGAGAAAATGGCTTTGGACGGTTTTGCAAAACGTGAAAAAGTTCGCTATAAATAATTATGGCAGTAAAAAAAGTAGACAGCAGTATACACTGCTACCCTTAACTAAACGAATGTGGTTGCAACAGTGAGAAAATGAGGTTGGTGAGAGAGAGAAAAGAAAAGACGAATAGAACAAAAGGAATACCTGTATGACTTAGATGTGAACAAATCTAATCAACCAAATGAAATTGAAATCGAAATGAGATTTAGGTATTGATAGATTGATACAATGAAATGAATTGAAATGAATTTTGAGCAGATTCAACCCAAGAACGAAATGAGAGTTGTTTGGAAGAAGATGTGTCGCTGAAATGGCCTCAGCTAGTAATCTTATGTAACAATAAGCTGCAAAAACTTGTCTATCCTGTGCCTGCCATTTTCAAGAAAAACGTGGTTATCCAACCCAACAGTTCGACGCTAAACTCTCCCTCCTCAATGATCTGTTTATCAGAAGGGAAACTTTTATGCATTTTTTGACAATTTGATCACCACATTCATGTTTGACCACTGGCATTTCATGCTAAAATAGTGAGTGATACTATTCTTCTATTCTTCCTTGGATATTGTTTTATCTTGCCATTTTATGGCTTGTTGACGAAATTAAACGAGTATCCTCCCGTCGAAGGATCCTGCTTCATCTGGAAATTGTCTGTCGACAACCCAAACCTCCCAAGAATTGAATTGCCCATTGACTTTAGCTTGCCTTTTTTTTTTTTTTTTTTTTTTTTTTTTTTTGACGGGGAAAGAAAACATAATAAGAGATGAATCAATTGCTGTTTTTTTTTGTTTTTTTTTCTTTTCTTTTTCTTTCACATTTGCACAAGAGCAGGACTTACCAATCATCTCAGCTTTTTCTTTCTCTAATAATTCCTTCAAAACCGGTTCCATACGCTTCAATGCCTGCTCGCTAGTCTGAATCATCAAACGATGTTTCTTTTTAGCTACCTCATCAAGATCAAGCTTCTTTGGCTTAAAAGTCGGGAGATTTGGTTCAGGTGTGTTAGGTCGTATTGAGGTCTTCGCATCTCGTGAAGTTGATGACGACGATGACGACGATGATGACCGCTCTGATGACTTAGTTGCGATGGTGTCCTGCCCCTTGTCAATACCGCCTTGCTCCAGGCTATCGTTAACTTCGTATCTGGGTTCAATTAATCCAAGCTCGATCTTTAATGTCTCGATCACCATTTCATGATCTTGCTTGGCCTGGTTCATGCTCGACAAAGTCCCTTTTAATTCTTCCGCCTGAGCTTTGCGTTGGAGCGCACGCATATAGGATGGATCCAGTTCCAGAGCGGTTGCACAGTCCTCAATGGCTGCGTCATAGTCTTTAAGCTTGATAAAACAGGCAGCCATGTTGGCATGGTAAACAGCTCGCTCAGACCTGTATTTTTTAGTTATTGCATTGAATACTTTGTCCATTTTATCCTGATCTGCAATATCCTTATCAGCGTTAGCAGCCGTTGATGGGGTTGCTTCTGCAGGACAAGTTGACAAAGCAAGTTGATAGCATTTCAATGCCTCTGTGTAGCTGCCCTGTCCAAAATGTTGATTCCCTGCGACCTTATGCCGAGTCGCTTCTTCAAAGAGCTCCTGTCGATAAAAAAAAAAAAAAAAAAAAAAAAAAATCGATTAGTATTTGACTACAAAAGCAAGGCCAAAGAAATAGATTAAAGGCAAATGATGAAAGACAATTCACATACTTTGTCTTCTGAAGATTCCATTGTATGAATTGGTTCGATGGTTTCCGAATTGTCTACATGATTGCCATTACCATCCTTGTCCTTGCCTTGCGATGCTACTTCAGTTGCCTTTAGTTGTGATGTTGTGTTAGAACCATGAGTCTCCTCAAGGCCAGAGTTTATTGTAGTTGGCTCTTCTATGATCTCCTCAATGACGGCCATGCTATTACTGCTTTTGTTGGTGTAATGATAGTAATGGTGGTGTCTGAATGTGTAGAAAAGAAGCAGTCCTCTTGACCCTCTCCTAATGAAGCTAATAAAGGGGCCTGTGTAGACACTGTGTTTAGACAGAAAGAGGATCATGACTTATCCAAGACGCACAAACAAAGTAAATACACACGCATAACAAAAACATTCACGCTCGACCGCTATCAATGCATGTGCACACGCGTATGTACTCCTTCTGCAGCTTTTAGACCCAGCAAAGAAGATGGAACAATGGCTTGACAATTGTAAAAAAAAAAAAAAAAAAGTTTTTTTTGTGCTCCCATCGGGTATCCTCTCCCAGAACGGGAAGGATATCCATTCTTGAATGATAATTGACTTCAGCCAGCTTTTGTTTTTTTTTTTGTCTTCTCCACTCTTCTTTCCTTCTTTCCTTTTTTTCTCCACTCCCTCATTCCTTATTCTCTCTCACCACTGCCACTCCAACGCTTGAACCAAAGGACAAAATATTTATAAAAGTTATGGCGCTCCATCCAACCTTGCTCAAGACCCTCAACCTGGTCACCTATCTTCTTGTCGTGGCAACCGGTGTGTTCTATCGAGAGTTCCTTCAAGATATTTACGCTTCACGTCCCAATTATCTCGCCAACAATGAACTGGGCTTTATCGTCCCAGCTACCGTCTGGGCTCTTCTTGGAGGATTCGTGATTGTTCAATGGTTTGATTTTGCACATGACGTCGTTGTCGAGGCTATTGACTGGCACTTGTTTGCCAGCAACTTGGTCGTAATCTTCTGGGTTTTCAGCTGGGTAAGTCATAAAAGCGAATTGAATTTTTTTAAAAAAAATTGCAGGTGATGAAACAGCAATGGTAACTTTTTCCCTTCTTCCTTATCAGAAATTCGACTGGTTGGTGGTTAGTGAGGTCTTACTTGTCATCAATGCGATCCTTATCTGGAGACTGTACATCAAGATGCGTGACTTCACAGCTACCAACATTGCCGACTATGCGTTCGTCCATATTTCATTCTCGATCTATACAGGATTGGTCTGGTTCGATGTTCTTCAAAACTTCTTTACAGCCTTTACAGATAAGGAAGGGGGCCCTACTTCCTGGACTGCCCTTGGTGCTGCCGCCGCTATCTTTGTCATGTTGGCTATCGGTAACTACCATGCCGAGTTTTCCAAGGACCCCGATTCATGGGCTGCCATTTCTATTGCTCTGTAAGTTTAAATTACCCACGTCGCAATGGAAAACTGCAAGGCGTATAGCCAAGTTTCTTTATTATTTCTTCTATCGCCTGTCTTTTTTTTTTTTTTTTTTTTTTTTTTGCTTTGTGCGGCCATACTACCTACTATTAAAAACGATAGTAGCTAGCTAGGAACATATATATCTTCCCGCTCCTTATCGTTGTTATTATTATTATCGACGATCATGTTTTCTTATGGATGTCAAAGACCATGAGTAATCCACAAAACGTCTCACAACATGTACCTGAAAGGATTTTTTTTTTGTGCTAATCGCATCAAATCACACGTCCACACTCGAAAACACAAACAAACACACAATATCCCCGCGTGCTTACTTTTTTTTTTTTTTTTTAGGATGATTTTGAGCATCAGTTTCGAACAAGGTCCTAGCGTTCCTATTATCTATCTTGTCAGCTTCATCAGTTTTGGCTGCTTGCTCGGTGCTTTGATTAGGCGTCTTGTCAACCATATCATCCTCTGGCGCTCTCCCGTCTGGCGTGATGATGAGATCCCTACCTACAACAATGGCGAGCGATCCCCTCTCATTCGTCAATAATAGAAATATATACAAATCTCAGTGATAACTCAGCACAACACTACAGCTCCAATAACAGTAGCAGCAATAGCGACAGCAATGGCACCATTAGCATATTCTTATACACTCGTTCGCCTCATATACCACTTATTTTGCGCACCTAGAAAAAATACATCCACATTCCCTTCCATGAGCGTGTCTTTCTCTCGATCTTACTTCATCATTATTTTTTAATAAACAAATTCACAAGTTTAAAAAAAAAACCATTGGGCAAGAGCGTTTTATTGTCGCAGGCTTGTTGATGATAAAGAATTAAGGCGGAAGGGATGATGTTAAAGCACTTTAGTTCTCCATGAATATTAGTGTTCGTCATGCGCATCATCTTCAGCATCTTCGTCGTCATCTTCGTCGTCATCCTCGTCCCCGTCGTTTTCGTCTTCATCTTCTTGTAATAAACCGAAAAATCCGCCAATACGCGCATTCATCTTGAATGAACCCTTTTCATTAGACTCTTTTCCCGTAACCTCTTCTTCAACCGGAAGGTCTTCCTCGTTTTCATCATCCTTTATTGTTGCGCTAGGTTTTCTTCGCTCATTTTGCCTATCATCGCTCCCGGAGGCAGTCGCCGAAAAGGCATCATCCGCCTCAGTAACTTTTAATTTTTCATACTTGGTGCTAGTAAAAAAGCCTGGTGGTTTGAAAGATAGAAGAATCCGACCATCATTGGCCAATCGGAGAATAGCATTGGCTTATGACCAGGAGAAAAAAAAAAATAGGCAGCAACAGTTAGGAAAAGTCGAAGGATTTCTTACCATCCAAATGCCAACTTTCTTTAAATGATTTAATCACAACTAACCTGCTCGATAAACATCAGGATGGGCTGATTTAGCAGTCAAGAAACCACGTTGAAGTGCATATGCTTAACGTAAGAAAAACAATAGTGATAGCAATAACGATAATAGTAAGTCAACCATGTTTTTCGAGCCTATCTTTACGCCGTTAATTCATTTCAATTGATTTTTTTTCTTACCTTCACAGACACCAAATGATGACCATCGGAAAGGTCCGCGTTCATAATTTGGCGGCGGATCCAATTTGAGCAGACGAGGAATGTTCACACGCTCTGCTAGATATTGTACCACAGAGTAAGGCTCCTGCACTTGTGCAACAGGGTACATTCCAGACAAGATCTGTTTTCCAGCAAAACAACAACAACAACAAAAAAAAAAAAAAAAAAAAAAAAATGAGTGGACCCGTAACTTTGTAAATTTTCAGAATCTCAGCTTATCCTTGCCCACAGATTCTACCAGCCTCACGTACTTGAAGCGCTTTGGGTAGTAAACTCGGGAAAACAAGCCCTGGCGAGTCGCATAATCTGACGTTGTGAGTCAGATGGATAGTTTGAAAATGCTTTGTATGTCCTGGTGTCTTGCTAGTACTGACCACTGTACGACCCATGATACTGTTGATCAAGGAGCTCTTGCCAACATTTGGATGTCCTAGAAAGGATTTATATGGTGGTGTTAAGTTTGAGCTTCAATTTATAAAGCAAGGCCTTCTCTGAAAATGTGACATCGCGATAATACTTTAATTACCAACTAAGCCAATCGTCACATAATCTTTGTGAGGGACATGCTCATCCTCATTAATGTCCACAGTCTGTAGTGATACAGCTATAATATGTTAAAATGACGAAGAGAATATGGTGTAAGCAGAGAGTATTCTACCATCCAAGACATGCTTACGAATTAGATCGTTCATGGACATACATAATCCTGCATCACTTTTCTTGAGTAAACTTTCTTGTTCCTGATTTCCATCTTCTCCATCTTGTTCGGGAGTATTGTCGCTAGCTCCATCACTTTCGCGATCATCCTCTTCATCGCTATCCTGGGGTCCATGGCCCCTCTTGTCAGCATCATATTGAGCGACGAGGAGATCCCAATCCACCTGATCACCATTTTTTGCAAGTTCTACATCTTTGCATGCCATCAACACGTCTCTGACACCGACAGCGTTGTAGAATCTACGCCTCGGTCTCTTCACTGCTCTCTGAATTGCGGCTAGAATAAATGAAGAAAAGAAAAAGTTAATTTGACCGTAATACCATGGGAGGATAGTAGATGGCAAAACAATTTCATCCGCAATTTTTGCTAACCAGTACTGGAATCGTTGATGAACGTAGGATCAGGGGAATAACAACTGAAGGATGCAATATGAAGCTCTGGGAATTTCTCTTTAAAGTATTGTTTCCACGCAAACACTGTACTTGGCGCCACCAAATCAATCTTTAAAGGAAAAAAAAAAACAAAAAAAAAAAAAATGCTTAATGACATCATTGCAGTACAAAATTTGCTTCTGGAAAAGTTTTCAGAAAAAACCTTCAGGAATCACCTTGTTGAATACCACCACGAGCTTGCGTTTCATGTCCTCGACTACATACTGATAGAGTGATGGAGGGAAGTGGATAACTGGGTGCCGAATGTCGACAATGATCATGATAATGTCCGAAATCTCGAGTACTCGCCACCTTGAGAAATCAGTTTAAGGAAAGCATTAGTATAGAATGGTTTTCCTCAATCATTAAAAATTATCTCCAGTTTAATTAAGAAAAAAAAGATAAAGAGTTGCGTACAGCTGGCGCCAGACTTCAAGATTGTGTTCAAAGTAGCTCAATTCTTCTGCTGGGTATTGGTTATAGACAGAATCCATCCATGCTTCAAACATCCTAGTTTCGTTTTGTTCGAGTTGCTGAGGACTCATCGAATAATCCCATTTAGGGCGCTTGGGGAACCCAATGATTTCTGGGAACATTTCCTCAAATGAGACCTCTAACTTTGACTTTGTGCAAAAGAAGAGAAAAGCAAAAAAAAAAAAAGTATCAGCTTCAGGCAGCCGGGGCAACCGAGGATTGCAACAAGTGGAGATCTATGGTGGGAGGCTTTACTTCAGGCAGAAAGTGGAGTGGCTGCATACTGGCTCTTCTTGATTCTTCAATTTCTGCTTGAGAGCGCTTGATAAACACCGACCGGAGTCTTGGGAATATAGAGAAATGGACATTTAGTTCGAATACCAAGGGTACACATGCACATACTATGATTCTCGGATAGTCGTTGACGATATTCCTTCATTTGATTACCTCGTTTCTGCAGGATGATTGGAGTTCTCTTTCACTGGCCGTCCACTTCCATGCGAACCTTGTTTAGGTTCATTGGAGAGACTCTTGACAAAACGCCCGTTATATGAATCAACTGTCGCATTGTTATTGATATTGTTCGTATGCTCTTCGTTCTGCTTTCCCTCTACTTTCTTATTGTGTCGAGCGCGTCTCTCTTGGAGCTGCTTCTTCTTTAGAGCACCACTGAATGCTTTTGGACGTGGCATGATTGGCTACTAATTAATCGAATGCGCTTTGCGAAATGGAAAGTGACGAATAAATGAGCTGAATTGAGTCTTGGGAGAAACGCCTTTTCAACGGAGTAGCGTGACCTCTTTCTTTTTACTTTTCTACTGCTGCGGGTGGCGTGCGCGAATGGATCTGGTTCACAACGAAGTTTCTATTGCTGCGGGTGGCGTGTGCACATGGATCTGGCTCACAAAGTTTCTACTGCTGCGGGTGGCATGTGCACACGGATCTGGTCCTATCCACTTCACAATAACCAATGGTTTATCTTTTTTTTTTTTTTTTTTTTTTTTTTTTTTTTTAATTGCTTAAAAAATAATTCTATAAATGTACGAGAGTATGAATAGGGGTCAGAAGCAGCAAGGTCAGCTCAGACCCTATTACCAGTTGCAGCACTCCAGGCAGCATTCTGAACTGCCTGATTACGCACGGCAGAGGATGTAACCTGGGCCTTGGCCTGATCAAAAGTATGTCCCTGCTGGTTATAATGCATGTGAACCTTGCTGTATCATCATAGAGGCAGAAAAATTCAAGATGGAAGGACTATTTTAGTGGAGTATCAAAGAACACTCAAGCAATAAATAGAGTATAAAGGCTAACATTTTTTTTTGTATTGCTTCATACCGGTAAAAGAAAAGGCAGCCGCCACCTTGAACAAACCAGAGTATGGTTGAAAATACGCAGAGAATTCCAGCGAAAATATGGTGGCCATTGAACACCTGAATCATGTTTATCAGACCAGCAGATCCACTAGCAATACAAAGTTTGGAAGTCAGGGAATACAGCATATGTCAGCAATGTTCTAGTCAATTGCCTGTCTTCAAGCCCATGGTCTTTGATGACCATTTCCCGGTTGAAAGCCGATAGTAGCATCGTCCATATGGATAGTAATCCATTCAAATGGCTGTCGAATAGTAGACTGAAATTCAATGATTGAAATAGTGTTTACAAGAGTCATATGAGGAGTTTGACTTTTGACCTGATCTAGATCCAGTGTTCCTTGCCTGCAACTCCTGTTTGTACACATCATGCCACGCTTCCATGCTAAATGTACTGCACACTCTGTATCTGTCGCTCCTGTCTACAATTGCATTAGTGTTTCATTATACATACGTTGATGGGAATCCAAGAGCCATGTAGAAAGCGAAAAGGATATGGAAGCCATTGAAAATAAAGTAAAAGTCTAGCAACAAGACAAGACAAGACAAGGTTAGAGAAAGGCTTATATTACATATTTTTGAAAAGAAAATAAGCAAAAAAAAAAAAAAAAAGCTCGCTTACAATAATACATCGACATCTCCTTCATAAATGCATTGTATACAGGTCGATACCATAGCAAAAATGAGGCTGCAGTGATAGTGAAGCAGTACCCGAGAGAAACCCCCATGTCAGCAGCACCATTTGGAATACCAGCAAAGAGCATCAGCATACAGGCAAGGAAGTTGAGACCCAGAGTCGCAAGGAGTGCCAGCCACAGGTTGTATATGAACTTGACTGTCGATTGATGTGCCTTTGGAATCTCTGCCGGGATTGACCTATAGTTCAATGAGCAAAGAATGATACGGGTAGTCCAAGTGTTAGAAAAAATAAGGGTCGCGAGTTTGAAAGCAATGTATGGCGCAATGTAGTAGTTTGATGAAAATGAGAGCAGCACAATGTAATGTATGACATATCCAAAATCAAATAAGCAAACAATGGAGCGAGGCATACATGTAAATGAGGGGATAGAATTTTGGAAAGTTGTTCTTGCCCTGGGTCCGGACACGTTCAGCCTCTACTTGGGCAGCCTGCATCTCACGTTCTCTGGCAGCTAATTCCTCCTCACGACGACGGAGCTCTGCAGCCTTCGCTGCAAGCTTGGGGTCTTCAGCGGGAATGGAAGAGGGGGTGGTCTGGTAAATCGAGGACTGACTGTCTCCATACTGAGTATAGGATGTGTAGTCCTGACCAATCTCTGATTTTCCAGAGTGTTCCGTCAGAGGAACATCAGCCTGGATCTGATTTGAATCCTCAAATGGATTAGTTTGATTATACTCGGATTGCTCGAAAGGGTTCTGTGAAGACATTTCTCTTTTTGCTATTCACTTTGTCTGAGCTGCAAGCCGTTGAAAACTAAAACAAAAAGTGAACCGTGATGGTGTGTTGCTCTTCGGATGAACAGAGATGAGACTGAGAGACAAGAAAAGAAAATATTGGTATGGTATAAGATAAGACAGATGGTAATTGTGCGAGCGAAAATAGAAGGAATGAATAAAGAGATAAGCGTAATGATGCTGAAGACTAAAGAGCAATGAAATATATACAAGTCTTAGGATGGAAAGGAATCAATACGCATGGAGGTCTTCACTAAACAACACTCGCCCATTTTTTTTTTTGTTTTGTGTGTGCCCCTGGGCACAACAATATTAAGTACACATGTTGCAATACAAGTCAATGTGTTCATGTACGTGCAAGAGATCCACGACATGAGCATGTTTGTCATCTACAGCTGCTGCTTCGCCACATCACACATTCTCAATCTATTCCTCTACGCCACCAGACGCGTCCCTTTTTCTTTTTTATAGATCCATATCATTTCGTTGGAAAAAAGAGTGTCATTATTGCTGGCTTTCCGGGCACTCTGCTTCCCATTGACAGGGGAATTCAAAATAAAAAAGTGAGCACATTAATCACCAGTAATCCACTCACAGACAACAAGTACGCCTCTCTCTTTCGCAGCATGTCAATGCAAAAGCGAGTGTTTTGCATAAACTATGTCTCAAGATGGTCCTCAACTGATTGATCTGCACGCGGATGATAACTCCAGAGGGTAAGTCTTCATTCCAGCTTGGTTTCTTTAACTTACATAATGCATGTCCTGTATCATGTCTTCACTTTATATGAAGGAAATTTTTGTAAAGCTTCAGCTTTGCCATTTAAAGAATGCAAGTCCAATAGAAGAGCCTCGGCCTATTGCTACTCCAATAGATTCCCTCTAAAATCTGCTCTGGATATCTTTGAAAATGAAGTTCTAGTCAAAGATTTGTAAATGCTGTTTTGTTTGGAAGACCAATCAGGGTAATATCTCTGGAGTCAGCGCAAGTTGGGGCCTGAGTTTCGGCTTCTCAAGATCCTCTAGTTCTGGACCGAATTCTAGTCCGGGATTGAATGCAGGTAACGGTAATAATGTACGCAAAAATACATCGAGAGTTATGAATGATGGAAAAGCCCTGAATCCCAACGGTTCGGGAATGTTATCAACCCTTCCTCCAAGACCTACTGCTAGAAGCAGCCATAATGGAATAGGAAAGAAGGAGAGATTGGGAAAGGAAAATGGAGGAGAGAGGGGTTGTGTAAAATGTTGCTTCGAGTAAACTAGGTGGTGCAAGTGGTCATGGCATGCGCTTCATAGCAGGAAAGTGTGCATAGTCGCGCAATTTATTGTGGCATATTCAATAAGCGTCGACAGGCTGTATGGATACAGGAGGTACTTCTTTTGTCTTCGTTGCTACACAAACCGAATAATGACGAGCTTGAGAGTCAAAACTATGCTAGTGCCACACCCATACTTCTTAGCCAACAACAAATCAAACCTTCTTCCTCACCAGTGTGGCGCCCTATTCATGTCTCAACCAATTTATCCACCACCAGTAATGATTCAGCTTATTATGCAAACATCATGTATGATACTGAATCTTCTAGCTGCCCTCAATGCCATCAATGCTCTCACTACAGCAGCAGCAGCTTGAGCATAAATATCGGAGCCATAAAGGGCCCTTGGCTACTATAAGGTTGTTCTCATTCAGTCTTGATGTCCAGACATTTCATTGGCATCTGCCTCCGGTTCTGGAAGGTGATTAAATGAAAGAGAAGTAATTTATCGTTCATCAGGAACATCCATCGGCTAGGATAGACGAGCAGGTCCGTAGCCATGACTATCATAGACATGTCCAATGAATTGCGAATATAATAATAAATAAAGCAACTGGCATTTTTTCTTTTTCCCGTTCACGTATACATCAGAAACAATGTCAATCGTTGTTCTGGAATGCCGCGTGACTTCAAGTGTCTAAAAAAAAAAAAAAAAAAAAGAAAAAAAAAGAAAAAAGAAAAAATAGCACATGGTCTCTTTATTTCCTTCGGGCACTTTTTTTTCTACACACTTGTTGACTGGCGTCAGACAAAAAGGACGAAGCAGCAGCATGGCATAAAAAAAGTTGAACCATTGCATATTTTAAAAAAAACCTTTCATTGGACGTCATTGGTCTAACCGTTAGCACCAAGCAGGACAAAAGAACAATAGGAGAAGGGCTCTTCATTGGCAATCAGTCTAAAGGAAGGAGGACGATTAAAGTGGTGTAGGAGAAGCAGGGAGTTAATAGTATCCTAGCGCTTTATTTTTTAGAGTGGAAACAGAGGCATTTCTCATCATCATCATTGTTGTCATCATCGTTATCCATCGTTGTTATTGAGGCGTGTGGGGGGTTATTGTTTGGATGCAGTCTGCATTGTAGAACAGTGTGGGCGACATTCACGCATTTCAATAGGTCTATACTAAAGATCTGAGCATCTGAACGCTTCTCTCAACGTCTTTTGATAAAAGCGAGGTCTTTTTCTTCTTTTTCTTCTCTTTTCTCTCTTTGTTCAGTTCCTCATCCCACTAACATTCTCACCCACATTGATACTCGCATTCATTCTATTCTTTATCTTCTCCTTTACCTCCTTTCCTATTTCAACCAAGAAAAAGTGACACGAGGAATATTCCTGTTTATACAGTTCCTCCCCCCTTTTTTTGTTTGTTTGAGATCCTTGCATTGCATCGCAAGCATTACACTTCACCAACATCCTTTCATTGCCTTTTCCCCTCTTCTCTTTTTTTTTTTTTTTTTTTTTCTTTCTTTTCTTTCTTCTTTTTCTCTTTTATCACAATCATGCAAAACCAACAGGATCAGCACATACGAATCATGGCAGAGCAGGAAGCCAAGCTGCGTAGCAGATATGGGGCTCTTTCTGCGATTTCCAAGACTCCTCTCGGCCATGGCCATCAGGTTTGTCCTTTTTTGTTTTATTCAATAAATGGGACGTCGTTGCTCTTATACGGTAGCCTTATTTATTTAACCCTCCTTTTCCTTCTCCACAATGTTGTCATTCTTGTTGTGCAACCAAAATAGCGGAAATATTTCGATTCGGGCGACTATGCATTGTCAAAAGCAGGCAAAGAGGCTACGGTTGGATCAGAGCATCCTCAACCAGAGGATATCCCGCACTCGATCCCTGTAGACCCTGTCTATGGCTCAATTCCCACTAGACGTGGTTCCCTTATCAACATGACCATTCAGCCTAATAACACGGCTGAGCAACAAGCACTCTAAAACAAGACCCGAAGGATGATGGTGAAAGGGCTTTCACAAAGACTGACTAGTGTTTTTCTCATTACAATAACAAGATCTCACACATTCATGGCGCACAAGAACAAACAAAAAAAAAAAAAAAAAAAAAAATAGAAGCACTTTTTCATACCAGTCCTCGTTTCACTTGCATTTCTTCCCACACACACCACACATCCTTGTCACAAATCACAGTGCATCCTCAACCGGTCTTTCTCAAGTCAAAGTCCCATTAAGCAAAGCTGTTTGTGGCTTAGCACGGCCAGGCATTGTAGCCCGTTCTCCTCATCTCTCTAATGTTTATACGCCCACACGTAAATATCATTCTTCGGTTTTGGTTCTCGAAGACATACTGTTGGGTATAACATTCGTTGTTGATCAATTAAATGCATACGGGTACAGCATCTCAACGAATCAACACAGATAACGAACAAGAGCCTCTCTGGTTGATTGTATTACGTCGGGTTTCCTGTATATTCCTTTCTGCTACAGGATGCAATCCATTTGCTTGAAATCTTAGATTATGTGCGTGTTTTATATATATTTTCTGTTCTTTTTCATTTCCAGAAGACCTTTTTTTTTGTTTTTTGCTTTTTTGATTAATGGAGTATACAAATTTTCTAAATGCTTTTTATTCTTCTGTTCTCAAAGTCAGGTTGATTAAACAATAATATTAATAAATGAACTTGGTTGAAATGTGCTGCATGTTGATACATCAGACAGGGGGATGAGTTATTAGCTGTAGCTACAAATCGTAGTCTTTATATATATGATAGTCGTAGGTCGGTACGAAGTTGGCGGTGAGATCCCTTCTAACGTGTAAATACAAATGCTGAGAGCAGAATAATAAAAAAAATGGGATTGTTGCTCCGATGCTTCCGTAAGGAATCGTGATTGTTCGGACCGTTCCAAAGTCGGGCTTGTAAGGACGTCTGCTTCCTCTCCACAGGTTAACAAAAAAAAAAAAAGTGGGTCATTTTTTTTATAAGGAAAATTATTGCCCGCCCCGCTTAATAAAATGATCTTGTTTCGGTTGAACCTTAAATCAAGTTTGTGTGAATGTGTGAATGAATGAATGCTGCTTTTTCATTGCACCATTCACATTTCATCTCTTCTCTTCTTTTTCTTCTTTTTTCTTCTATTTCTTCTACTTCTTCTACTTCTTTTTCTTCCTTCTTTCGGCCTATCTTCTCCTCTCTTGATCTGTGTATTTATACTTTGTAAAAAAAAAAAAGAAAGTAACAACAACATGACTGTCGCTACTCCCGCTGTTCAGCCATCTGGTGCTTCGGCCCTGTTGGCCGCCTATCTTGCAGAGTTGGCCGCCCATCCTTTGCGCACCAAGGCCTTGACTTCGGGCACGCTGTCGGGTCTGCAAGAAATCACGGCCACCAAGCTTTCAGGCATGCCAAAGTCAAAGAACCCTGATGACTTTATTCTCGGCATTAACAAGCGTGTCATCCAAATGACACTCTATGGTAATGTTATTCAATTACAAATTATCAATTAATGAAGAATGTCCGATAAGGCTTTTTTTTTTTTTTTTTTTTTTTTTTGTGGGGGTTTCGTTCCCCTTATCACTAAAAACAAAGCCAATTAATCCACCTTGGAGGTGTACCTATCACACTGCGGACATGCAAATGAAAGTTCATACAGACAGCATACTCATGAACATACAACCACAACAAACGACCTTCTTCGGGGATGATCGAGCCGGTATCCCGAGCCGTTGATGAGAATGTTAGAGCGCCTTCTAAATCATTTGTTTTCATTTCATCACCATTATCATTACCAACAGCAACAACAGCCACTATAAATTTCGGGAGCTGTTAGCAATATTAAGAACTTCAATCTATCTTACTATAACATGGACATGAAGAGATATTTATAAGTCTAGGAATGGATCTTTGCAAAAGGAAAAAAAAAGTGACCTTAGACTCATCGTTTTTTTTTTTTTTTTTTTTTTTTTCTTCGTTTAAAAAGGTCTCCTGGTCAGTGGCCCTTTGGCTCATACCTTGTTCGAGTTAGTGACGAAGCGTTTCATTGGCAAGGAGGGTGCCAAATGGAAGATTGCTCAAATCCTGAGTACTCAGGTTATCACCTCGCCTATTCAGAATGCTAGTAAGTTGTCCACATCTTTCAAGGAAAGAAGACGAAGAAATGAAGAAGAAAAAAAAACAGCTAATTTTTTTTTCCTCTCTTCAATACGACATCACATTATAGCCTACATTTTGGCAATGGCTCTTTTTGCGGGTGCTCGATCAACTGCTCAAATTAAGGCTGCATTCAAACAGGGATATCTTCCAATGATGAAAACCTCATGGATGATCTCACCTCTTTCCATGGCGTTTGCACAAAAGTTTTTGCCTCCTCACGTTTGGGTCCCCTTCTTCAACTTTGTCGCATTCACCTTCGGAACTTATGTTAATACCACCATTAAAAAGGCCCGTCTTGCACAGATGAAGCGTGAGCAGTTGCGCGATGCCGAGAAATCACGTCGTGATGAGCTGTAATTATAATAGTTTTTAAGGAAAGAGAATTGACATTGATTTCAAATAAACTTAATCACCGAGAAAATTGAGAAATCAAGGAACAGATCTACAATATCTGTCTTGCCCAACCAAAAGATGCAGCGTTGAAAAATGGTGTTTGACACACTTTCGATTCTATAAGCTACTAGTGTTGTAACCATCATTTGGGTCCTTTGGGACAGAGTAACGGAATGACCTTTTCAAGTTGTAAAACTTTTGTTTTTTATTTTCATCTATTATTTGCGTCCTTTCTTCTTGGATGCTTCCACCCCGGGAGCAGAAACCTTGCTCTTTCCAATCATAACATTAATAGCTTCATCATCCTTAACCATCTTGATCAACTCTCGTTCCCTTGCCTCCAAGGCCACCTTAGCGTCGTGAAGCGCCTGGCCTGATAAACCTTCCTCATTGATGTTACCTGTGCTGCTTCTACTACTCTCCATGGATATATTACCATTGATGTTGGTCAAAAAGTGATTGATCGCTGTCTTGACTGCTTTACCCTTCTTCGTGGTCCCAGGGATTAGTTTGACCCTGTACTTATACTTTTGCAATGCTCCATAGGGTGCGCAGACCGGAACTGCAAACTGGAGAATGTCTGTTGGCAGAGGTTGGCCAGTGAGTCCATCCAGTACTGTCAGGTTTTCAGATTCTTCAGGCTCTAGAACTTTTATGTTTTCCTCTCGCAATAACTGACGTACTTCCTCTGCCTCATTCTCATCAATGCCAGTCCTTAACGCAGGAGCTACAGTATCTGGATTAGCATCACCGATGTCATGCTTCTGCTGTGCTGCATGTTCCGTACCAAGTCCGCCTTTCTTGCCCTTATTGTTATTGTTGTTGCCACTACCCCCTTTGACGGCTTGTGTTTTTTGATATGCCTCCTGTTGAAGGCGTCTCTTCTCAGCCAAGGCAGCCTTTTCAGCCTTCTTTTCGGCCTCTTTTTTAGCCCGTCTACCCTTGAGCTGAGGGCCTTTGTCAGGCTATAAAAAAGTAGAGATATAATCCGAAAGCATTTGAATTAATTTGGAAGTAAAGAGTCTTGAGTCGGCATTTTAAATAAAAAGACATGTTGAAACTTACAGCAAGAAGTTCAAGTCGCAACTGGCGCTCTTCTTCATCTTGATCAGCATATTTCTCTTGTATTTTTTTCGCTTTGCCTTTCTTGCCACGAACTGCTGGAGGTATAGACGCAACTACTTTCTGAGTACCTCCCTTTTGAGTCTTTTTTGCAGAAGCACTGGGTGTCTCTACATGCCGTGAAGGTTCATTGTCGTCGCTAGGGCGCCCTGGAGTCTTACCCTTCCTCATATCGCGACGCATCTTAGCAGTGATATAGGCAGACCGTGGCTGTGAACCCTTATCGGATGAGGTTAGAGAAGAAGTGTCGTCATTTCCATCTGCATCCTCATCGCTGTCACCGCCATAGTCCTGAAGCGAGTACTTATCCGCAATAGGTGGCATGTTTATACGTCCTGGTTGCTGTTGTGTTTCCTGCTTGTCCATAGGTTTAGCAGTAAGAGTACTGAATTGAATCTGTGTATCAGGAAACTCCTCATCCGAAGACTCTGCCGTCTCAGATTCGTCTTCGCTGTTCGATTCGTCATTATCGTCTTTCCCCGTAGCCTGGGAGTCCTCCTTGCTTCCTTCCTGGCTCTGGTTGCCGCTTGTGTAATGAGCGCTTCCAGATAGTGACTTCTCTCCTTCAACATCAGAGTCATCAGATCCCTCCAATTCCTGCTCATCCTCCTCCTGGTTTGTCGCTCTTGAATCTGCATTCGCATCGGCTTCACTCTTTGTACCAGATCCTACTGTGGCGGTATCAGCATTAGACGGGCTTTCAGAAGCTTCCGCATCTTCGACCCTGGGAGCACGACGCTCATTCAGATGATTGGCAATCGAAGAGTCATCCAGCTTGAAGAGAAATCCAAAACCATAGACAAGCTGAACTGGTGGCAGAAAGTTCTTTTTGCCGCGAATCATGAAGCTGCCTGTTGTCAAGTATTCTCCAGTAGGTGCTGATTTACTAACTTGTTCCGCATGAACCCAATACGCAGATATGACAATCTTGGCGTCCCAGGCCTTACTCTGACATACAGACATAATGCCTGCCTGGTAAATGGAGGTTGGCGGGATTGGCTCCTTGTCAGAGGGGTTCTTGATTACGACCGTCGCTGCCCCATGAATATCTGCATGGACATAAATATCATTCTTTTTCATGTAACGCTTAACAATCATCTCGTTTTGCTCTGCATCTCGTCCAGCAATGACTAGATAATTTTCCGAGGTGATAAACCACATAAACTTTTCAAACCAATAAGGTTTGCGAGCACGTTGGATGGAAGTTGTGATTCTGACCTCCTGTAGTTGCTGCCTAATCTTCCTCTCCGCGCTCTTAAATGCCTGTGAGGCGTGAGCAAGGGTCTTCTCCTGCTTAATGGCCGACTGCTTTTTAACGTCATAGTATTTGCGAGCATTTGCAAAGGCAGTGAGATTGATATCAAGATCTACCAGCACAGTAGACTTGGCCTTGGGCTGGTGCCTGTCTTCCGCCTCCTGCTCATCCTGTTCATCTTCAAACTGCTCTCCATCGTACTCTTCGTCGTAAGGATCGCTGAGAATAACACACACATTGTTTGATTCCAACTTTAAAGAATCAATCATCAGCGCAATCGGATTACCATGCTTCTTCTCCTCATCAACTAGGTCAGCTAGATCTTTCCAATCCATACCAGTTGCAACCGCATTGCGGATAATCATAATTGCTTGGTCACACATCTCCAAATTGGCTTCAATCAGCTCTGCTCTCATAACATTCATCTGTTGTGCCTCCTCCAGACCACGAACGCGGCCCAAGTGCTCCATTCGGACACTGTCTAACTTCTTTTGGGCATTTTCTTCTTGCACACGCTTCTTTACCTCCAGGCGCTGGCTTTCAATGGCAGAAAAGAATTCATCAACGGCAGCATCAAACGATTCGAATTCTTTATATTCCTGTGCTTTGTGCTGAGCAAAGAGATACGGATGAAACTCATCGTATCTAAAGAGCATTAAAAAAGAAAGTAAATACGAATGGAACCGATTCAGCCAAGGATCAAGTAATTGATACTGCTGCATCTTCGTACTTACGTAACAAGCTCTTTCTCCTTTGCATCGTTCTCATTCTTCTTTTTGTGTCTGAGCATAATAATATATCCCTTCTTGTTCTCATCTCCTCCATTCTCAATGATCTTGTCAGCTTCTAGAAGCGCCTCAAATAGCGCTTGAGTATTGGGAGATCCTTCAGAAATATCAAATTCAGTAGCGACAATTGCGTTTGGGGATAGCTCAGCCCTTAGGATCGCGTGTTCCGTCAGAGCAGGTCCGTAAACTAATAGTCCAATAAGTAGGGAGGCAATGAGATAACATGGTCTCTGGTGTGGAAGATAGCACAGTGCAGCGTCACCATCACTGAAAAGGCGCAGAGATGACGTACCGTGTATACTTACAAAGTTTTGTGTTAAGGACTTTCTTCAGAATATCTTTAGGTCCAGCAGTCTGCAATACCTCGATAAGATGATCCTTTGTAATAGGTTCGAAGCTACGCGTCAATGCCCCGATGTCATATGTCTCCCCGACAGCCATCCTGACCTTCTCGTTAGGTTGAACAACACGTAAGATTGATAAAATCTTATAGTGTCCATCCGTCAAAATTAGGTTGCCCTGTGTGATCATATTTGAAAAGAAGACGTGCCACATTAATCATTGATCCTGTTTTAGAGCCACTCTGCATTGGTGGCTAACTTTATAAACAAGGATCTTACCGCAGCATAGAACTCCGCAATGATGTGGTATGTATTATCCAAGTCTTCTGCTACAAATTCAAAATCCACAATGCGGTCAGATCCTAACTGTTTCACGCCTGTTAGGCGTCTAGTTCTTAAGTGCTTCCGGATCTAGTATAGTACAATGGCATTAAAAACGTTAGTTTGCCTGATCGTCCTAATTCATTCCTGTTTTTAATGTCCATATTTGCAATGTGCTTACTTTGATACAAAACCCTGAAGGTGTAATCGATTTGTCCCGGACAAAAAGCGTCGTGTGCATGCGAATACCGGATTCAATGAGCAGCATCTCTTTTCTATCCGGCTGATATATAATCAGTATATACCCAGATAAACATTTTAAATATTAATAGCTGATCAGGTCGTTACTAAATGTAAAAGACGATTGAGAAAGGTCCAAGAGTAAATGAAGATTATGCGTACCCGTGAAAATTTGAACAAATATGTCCTTGAATTCACATCATAAACATTCTGGAGACGAAGGCCAACGATCCTTTGTTGTATATGTCAGAATGCAAATTTATATTAGTATACAAACCATAAATATTCTTTGTAAAACGTAAAATGATTCCAAAAAGAAATTTCATAAAGGGTTTGCTTTTACATACGACTGTTGTAAAGTCGCCACAGTCGCACGGACATCAAGTGAGCCAAAACGTAGTTTAGTCATTATAATATGGTGTAGTAGTCAATTGGGAGGAAGTAGGAGTTGGACGTTAGTGAATGGAAAGACAATGAATGAGGTCAAAGGTTCGTTTTATGACTGTGCTGGAGTCAAAAACTGAGCACGTGATATTATGGAGATCCCAATCTGATGACTGTGGCATTCTTGCTGGAGTCATTGGAGTTTGCTCAAGTGCGCAGTTATTGTGCACAATATAAATTATCTGCCACGCAAGGTTCCAAAGAGAAGCCTAGTGTTCGCACATTGGATCAACTGTAGCGAAGACCTACTACGGTGACTCGAAACTTTGATGACAATTTCCATATCTTTGCTAACAAGCTTGGCTGTTAAAATTGGCTTTTGTTTCGAGCACTTTGGACAGTCAAAAAAGTAGTCACGCGTAAACACTTTTCTTTGAGCTGATCTTCGGGTCCCATTCCATTTCTCTCCGCACAGTTCATCAACTCAACTGCTCGGTGCCACCATGCTTTCTTCACGGATATTGGCAAGGACTTTTGCTGGTGCCATTGGTCGGCCATTGCAATTGTCCAGCTCAAGGATTGCTTGTGTGCGCTTCATGTCTACGGAGACTGGTGCACCTGTCCAGGAACAGCCCATCAATGGCTACAGCTCACTTAATGGATTTCAACTCAAGCCTGCATCACCCTCTTACTTTACTACGAATCCTGTCTACAATGAGTTGATTGTCAACCTTGATTATACATACCGTCAGTATCGTCCCATCACTAAGCCATCCAAGCAGGCTCAGCGCCCCAACTGGCTTGGCAAGGATGCACTAAGAGCAGCAGTCGGTGTAGAGACTCTCAAGACATCGCAGTACCGACTCATTATTTCTAAATTGAATCAGCTCGCCACGTTAACTCCCCGTCCTCCAGAAGTCGAAGCCTACTTCAGCCAATTCTCAAAGACGGAGGAACAGATGACTCAAAAGGCCAAACCTAGGATCGTTGACCATCTTGGACGTGCTTTAGCTACAGGTCGCAGAAAGGAGGCCAGTGCCAGTGTCTTTGTCGTTGAAGGAGAAGGCAAGGTTCTGATCAATGGACAAGATGTTGCTCACTACTTTAGGAAGTCGCAGGATCGGGACTCATTGCTGAAGCCTTTTGAGGTTACAAATTTGCTTGGAAAATACAATGTCTGGGCCTTGGTCAAAGGAGGGGGCACAACAGGCAAGGATGCTTGATTGCTAGATGTTGTTTTCATAATTTTGTGTGCTATGCTGAATCATGAGATGGAATCAGGTAGATCTGCGGAGCTTACACCGTCCAACATTGAATGTGTATATATGAAAATAGGTCAAGCAGAGGCCATCTCTCTTGGAATCGCCAAAGCATTGTTAACACATTCACCAGAGCTTAAGCCAACTCTTAGGAAAGGTATGAGCTATTTCCAGCAAGCTTCATACGCTCTCGATGTAGGCTAGTATTGTAATTACTTCGAACGCGATAAAATCTTACTGAGGCCTTTTTTTTACTTCTCATTTCATTCTCATAGCTGGTTGCATCACACGTGATATGCGTGTTGTGGAACGTAAGAAGCCTGGTCAGTATGGTGCGAGGAAAAAGTTCCAATGGGTCAAGCGTTAAGCGTGTGTACAGATTTTTTAAGGATCTTGTATGCATAGTAGTATTTGTTGTGGTAGAGAATAAAAAAAATCCGAGTGCTGCGCTTGCACAACTGCGTGCCTATTGTTGTATGCCTTCCTCTATCTGAGCAAAAGGAAAGGAGGGCCCATCTTACTTTCCTTAATCAGGCACTGGGCTGTTTTGAGGAAACATATCCCCTCGCCCACAAAATTACATTGTGCATCGCTTCTTGGCAAACTAAAAACGGATAAAAATAAGACTGCAGCCGTTGAGTATCGAATGCATTACGCCCTTGTTGTTTGTTTTGTTTGTTTTTTCGACTCAGCAGCTCCTGGGAATCACTGGAGTAAGTATGCAAAAGCAAATATCAATAAAGAAGCCCCCAGCTCTTCACTTCCTGTAGTCATCTTCTGCTCGCCAATTGCCCCTTCTTGCTCACTTCTCGTCGCAGACTACCTTTTATCACGTTTTTAATTATAGTTTTTTCTTTTAAGCATATGCACCGGCGGTTTCCTTTTTTAAATATATTATTAATTGACAATTGGTAGTACAATCTTTTCTCATTCAGCACCTCATTTCTCATTCTTCGCTTGCAGAATTAGCCTTCTGTACAGCCAGAACAGTGACCAGGAGCTGAAGTATGAAGCGGCTGCGGATCGAACTACAACAAAGCCTTAATGAAGCAGTGGGCTATTATCTGCCAGGAGACACTGTAGAAGGTATGATTATGTAGTCAAGCTCAAAAAAATAAAAATAAAAAAATAGAATAGGTAGTCAGAGATAAAAGGGCCACGAAGACTTATTTGCTTCATTACACTAGGTCAAGTTTTATTAACAACATCATCCAGCATCAAATACACATGTCTCAGGATACACCTCATTGGGACAGTGACGACCAAGGTTGCCAAGGTAGAAGAGCAAATCTATGTTATGAATCAGCAAGTGGTCCTTCTCGGTAATAAAGATAACTCCGCTGAGTACCTACTTGATGAAGGGAAGCACAGCTGGGCATTCCAGTTCTTGATCCCACCACAGCATGTTCCGTCTTCTGGAAAGGTGACTAATTGCCGCTTTGAACTATTCGTGGCAGCAGCATGGATAACATTGCTGATGAGTTTTTTTTTTTTTTTTTTTTTTTTTTTTTTTTTGGGTGTCTGGGCAACAGTATCGTCATGGAGTTGTCAAATATTCATTAAATGCAGCATTGACATCTGAAGGGATTGTACTCGGGATGCAGGAGCTTAAGACCAGTCATACAATTCTCGTTAAGGATCTTATCAATGTGAACGCTGCTCCTTACAATACTCCGACCTCAATTAAAGGCAGTAGTAATCTCAAGCCTAAAGGGAGTAACTCTAAGGATGTTGCTACTGCTATAATAAAGCTTTCGCGAACAGCATATCTTAAGGGACAAAAGTTACAACTAGAAATTGATCTATACCATCCTACTAAACTCCAAAGGAATCCAGGATGCTTCATTCAGTTGATTTGCAAAGAGGATTATTTTGCAGGCGAGTAAGTCAGCGAAAAACGATACGGCGTCAATAAACCGAGTCCGCGTTTAGTCTAGTCATTGAATAACTTTAATCTATTCTTCTTCATTCTGTTGATATTAAAGGCACGCAAAAGAATACGTCCAAACAATAGCAACCCGAGCGGAGCCTCTTGTCGTTAAATCGAATACTCGTACCGGAAAGATAATCTCGGAACTGACTATTCCGGACACCGCAACACCAACGTTATTAAAAACCAAAACGATGTCTATCGATTACTATCTTGCCATACTATTCGACATGCGTCCAAAGACAAGCTTTTTGGAATCGCGTCATAGCAAGACACTGAAAAGTGCCATGAAAAACAAGCTGCTAGCCAGCCCCGGTGGATTCGAAGTCAAGGTGCCTATTGTCATTGGCACGATGTCCAATAATTCTATCACACAATCCATTTCCTTAGAGCATACTCAGATGCCAGAATTAATTCAATCTCAGACTCAGCAGTTGCAGCAGCTTCAACCTGTTAGAAATGATTTGAGCTCTAATTACTTGACCCCATTCGGATCGCCTTCTGGATCGCCTGCAACCTCCCTCCCTTCTTCCATACCGTCATCAAATGCGCCGAGTATGAGTGGGCGTTTACCATCTACAAATATCCCACCAAACATCGCTGACTATACGTCTGGTCGTGTTCAAGGAAGAGAAGACAGCATAGGGTATAATTCACTCGCTATGATCGCAAGCGGACATGTGAATAGGCCTAGTCTGGCACCACCATTGCAGCCCCCTATGCTGTATCCAGCTACTAGAAGCAGGAGCTATTCTGCTGTACCTCTATTTCAATCTTCGCACCCCTCCTCTTCATCTTCCCATAGCACTAATCAGCATTTGAATTCTCCTGCCGAATTGATCTCCAAGCCTCTGCCCGAAATACCACAGAGCCCCTCTCAGTCTCAGGCTCAGTTTCTGCCCATTAATTTTACTAACCCATCAGTGTCTGCATCATCAACACGTTCAACACTTGCTTCTACACTGAGACCATTTGAAATGTCACTACCAGCAATAGGTCTCCGATGGTCGGAAACAACACCTTATCCAGAAACTGGAACTTCACCTAGGCCGCCTGTCCAATCATCATTTAGACCAGGAAATTTTATGGCGTTGAATCATAATGGATATCCTGTAGAAAAGGAAAACGCTACTCAGCAACTCAACCTCCCTTTGCCCATCTCCTTGTCGGTCGAAAGGCCAACAGCACCCCATGCTGTGGATTTAGGCCTAGGTCCTGCTTCGCCCACTGCGGAGCACGCTCAGATCTTTCCTTCATCCCGTCGTTATTCTGATCCTGCAACGCCATCTCGTGGAACCACAAATGGTGCAAAAGACTATTTTACAGCGATTCAAAGTCCTTCAGTATCCTTGGTATTGACCCCTGTGATGGCCGCGCCGAGTATGACTGCAATATCTACTGCACCTTCTGCACCATATTTACTGAATGCACCTTCTGCACCAAGTTTATCGAATGCACCAAATGCGTCAAATACATCAAATGTACCAAATGCATGAAATGCATAAATGCAACAAGCCACATTTGGAAAAGGGACGTTCAGCATGAATACCTTATCAGAGTTCTTGCGGGGGTTATGAGGAGCTATAGTTTAATTTATACCATCTTAATCTCCGGCAGTTTACTTCTTTGTACCTTACATCTTTCTCTCTTACCCTGTTCTTCATTAAAGCAAAATAAAGTAGTGAAAACGAACGCAATGGCTGAACATGAACTGAAATGTATTGAACATACCAGCTTCCCGTACATCACAACTATAACTTCTACGCAGTAGAGTATTATTCCAACAATTGTTGACCAATGATGATTGCTTGCTATCATCTTAATCAAACTAGGCAATATTCTGACATGCCGAAGCACATTAAACCCTTTAGGGAAGGTAAAAGCAACGTAGGAACATAAATGTTGTACGAGTAATCCTGATGACAACCCCATACTTTATTAATCAGCCAATATTGTCATAGGCTTGTGTAACGACATGCTCGCGTAAAGTATACATGCATCTTTTTTATTCGAAAGTGACAGAAAAGCACAGATAAAGCTATTGCAGTAATGCTTTGAGTTTGCTTATGAACCTCATTCTTTCTTTGACTTCTTGTAGATATCTTTTGTATTACCTGTGCAACTACAGCCTTCGAGGTGGCACTTGTTTGTCCAGCTTGTGAAACCAGCCTAACACAGCCGTAAGCTTTAAAATGTTATTCATACACCATAATTTGATATCAGATGTTTTTTAAGAAATCGATTTCCATTTCAACTAGAGATGATATTGTTATTGTGGAATTGAACCCCACACAAGAGTATCGGTCTGTAAGCCTGCTATTCAAGTATTCACAGACTACAGTGCCTGCATTTGAATATGCCAATAAATAGCAATCATTGATACACTGCTCATTTTCAAATAGTCAATTTTATCTGGTCTTAGACCAGAAATCATCATGGAGGTCTGCACTCGGGCCATCTCATTTTGGACGTACCAAACATCTCAGGAAATCAAATATCGGGAAATGACGCAAAAGTCACAGGAGGACAAAATCAGTCTTCTTGAGAAGCAACTGCAACGGGTGACGCGCGAGTTCAACGCAGAGCTTGGTGGCAAGTATCTTCTTATACTTCCATAATTGATAAAAAGATTGATGAGTCAACGAATTATAGAGTATTCAAAAATTGACTGTTACCCGACTTTAGGCCTTCGAGATGCCATGAATTGTAAATAAATGTTGCTATAATTCGAGAAGGAAGTAATGGATATCATGGTGGGTTAAATTTTGCTGACTTTGCTTTTTAAATGATACTCTTATAGCCCTACAAAGGGATTTAGAGCAGGAGAAGCGCAAATCGATTGATTTGAGCGAGCAATTGGATGAAAAATCGCGCCAACTTTCAAAGCTCCAAACTCTGTACGAACAGCAGAAGAGGCGGCCTATATTTTCGGATAATCGAAAGCTATCTTCTTCGGGACAGGAAAAAGCTGGCTTCATGGTAGGGGCTGTTGATCATCTGGATCAGCCATATCCGTTATTGGTAAGAACCGTGACCATAAGCTTAAAAGAATCTTTGATTACCTTAAAACTAAATTGATATTTGTTCTAACAATAAAATTGATGTTTCTTCAGAATATAGATCATTTGTCTAGCGTTGTAAACGAAGCGGCAGCTGCCCCAAATCCTTGCCCTGTCTACACCAATGCCCCCCAATCTGCTCAGGCCGTTATTCCAGGTTTGATTCCAAAATATTTCAAAAACATGATCATGATATAAAGAAAGTTGACACAGTTATAACACTTTTTTTTTTTGTTGTTGTAACCAAGAGATGCAGCCATTTGTTTACGATCGCCACAGCATTCCTAGCGTAATCCCCACTTCTGCTACCAGGATTTTGAGCCATCCAGGGCCAACTATACAGGTTGGAGCTGTGGGGCCCGTCGGAGGAATAATCCGGGTGGAAGATGAAATAAGATCTACTTCAAATGGCAGTAATAGGAACTCCAATTGCCAAAGACTTCAGACAGTGCCATTCTCGACCCATCGCGAGCTTGCTACTATACAAGGCCACAGTACAGGCTCTAGAGAGATAAATGGACAAGAAAGTGTACAAACATTTGGGCGGAATGAAGCTATTTACCCAGGTCGTGTGCCTCTTATAGCACGCACAATACAAAAACGAGAGACAAATAAGTCTCGCAATATCAATCGGAAGCAAGTTTCTACTTCTACAGGTTCATTCGCACGATGACAAACAGCTCTTTCGCCATGTTGCGTATGCGGGATACACTGTCTAGTTTTTTTTTTTTTTTTTTTTTTTTTCATATTGATAAGAGTGACTCGCTTAAACTGTATTGTCATGTTTCTTCTTCAACGAGTCAAGAGGTAGAAAGAACATCCGGAAACAATAAATAACGGTTTTCTTATTTTCCTTCTTTACTATTATCCAACATGACGGTATGGCCGAATGTCAATATTGTGTATCTTGAGCTCGGTCCTCTAAATAGATATTGTCTCGAATGAAGTTACCGCCTGATCTTTCGACCTGTGCGTCCTGCCATGTACACAAAACTCGACGGTGCTGACAATGAACAAATGCGACCGGTTGGCAAATCCAGGCATCGAGCATTGCTCTCTCATGTGCAATACAAATATCCTTGGCTAGCTCACCATTTTGAGTCTTCTCTATGAGGCTATTCACAACAAGCTTATTTCTACAGGATAAATATCCGTCTTCTTAGTCTTCACTTCCTTATTGCGCTGCTATATTAAAAGATGAACATTCTACTTCCTTTCATTTGTACTAACATTAGACCCTTCGGAATCGCCACAGTCTGGGCTACTTGGACGGAGGCATCTTCTTCCAAAAGACGTACAAACTTGGGGACACTAAGCCTGGTGTTGACTTTAAGGTTGGAACTGTACATAAGACTCCTTTTCTCGTCATGGCAGACTTACTGCTACTGATGATGGGTGCTCTCTCTAACGATGTTACTGTATTCTCCCGCTATGCAGGTTTTTACAAGTGCATCCAGTCCTCAAGTGATGTCACCGCCTGGTGCATTAATATCCTCGAGACATCCCTCACGATTAAGCTAATTGTTTGATCTTTGCTTCTGGTTCTTTTCTTGCCTCTGTTCTTATTCATGTGCACTAAGGACAGTTAGGATAATGGCATTACCAATGGTTAAGAAAGGTTGTGGTTGACCAGAAGCATGACTATGATACCAAGAATGAGCTTGCAGCCTAAAGAGCAACCAAAAGAAAAAGAAAGAATGCTAATCTGAGTAAAGCTGCTCATCGTACAGTATTTTATCTATCATTTTTGTTGTAAATAAAATATAATTATTCCTGCAAATTTATTTGTCTTTTCGTTTTATGAACACCCGCTCTAATGTTGTTATGTGACTTGCGTGGAATAGCGTCCAAACGGAGGAAACAGTGATCTTTCTCTTCATTTGACTAATCACGACGCACTCTTAACTTGATCAGTTGGTGCATGATGCTCGGCCGCTGTCACATGGAGCGATGCCTTCGTTTTCCAAGAGCAACGGCTGCTACTACGACTCCACTTAATAGCATATATAGGCAGTATGCTCGATTTACGAATAACCGCCTCCCAAAGTTTTCGACCGTACTTTTAGCTCAAGAACAACGGCTGAGCGATCAAAGGTCATTAAAGTCATTAACTCCTGTTTATACATGTACACAACTTCGTTATTTGCGACACATGACAGCACCCGAGCTACGTAAAGAATTCACAGAGTTTTTTGTCAAGGAATATGGCCATGTCCCTGTAAAGAGCTCTAGTTTGATTCCGCACAATGACAAATCATTGATGTTTACGAATGCGGGTAGGGTTTCTGCCTTTCGGGAGGGGCAATTGATACCAGATTAGAAAGAGTAAAATTGTCCCAATCTTTAGATCACATCAATTTATGACTCATGTTTTCTACTTTTGTATGGGGTGCATTTCTTAGGTATGGTCCAATTCAAAGATTATTTTAGGAACCCGGGAATGGCGCCCTTCAAACAAGCGACCAGTATTCAAAAGTGTATGCGAGCTGGAGGTAATGGCAGTTTTTTTTTTTTTTTTTTTTTTTTTTTTTACTTTAAAATGGTATGCCCTGACAATATAGCATATCCATCACTTTCAGGAAAACACAACGATTTAGACAATGTTGGATATACCCCACGCCACCATACCTTCTTTGAGATGCTCGGTAATTTTTCATTTGGGGAGTATTCTAAGAGTAGAGCAATTCAGATGGCATGGCGATTTTTGACCGAGATAGTCGAGCTTCCCAAGGATCGTCTCCGTGTAACGTAAGTGAGCCTATCATGAGGCTGCCAAAGCTAATGGATCTAACATTTAAATTGCCAAACCAATGGATCTAACATTTAAATTATGGTTGTATTTCTTATCTTATATAGAGTCTTGGCATCAGACCAAGAGTCTTTCGACATTTGGAAGAACCAGGAGGGTATACCCGAAGAAAAGATTATCAGATGTGACACTAAGGATAACTTCTGGACTATGGGTGAAGGCGCAGGACCATGCGGACCATGTACAGAAATCTTCTGGGATACATTGAATGATGATTTAGAAGAAGATCGATGGGTTGAAATTTGGAACTTGGTTTTTATGCAACATTACAGGAATGCTCAGGGCCAACTCGAGAATCTGCCGATTGTATGTGTTGACACTGGGATGGGCCTTGAACGACTGGCTTCGGTTGTTCAAAGCAAAGGGAATAATTTTGAAACGGATGTATTCAGTTCAATTTTCGATGGCCTGCACAGGCTCATGGCAGACGTAGGGATCGAGGTTAGTGCTTTTCATGTCTTCCATTCCTTTAACTGTTTTGGCCAATTATTTTTTTTTAAAAAAAAAAAAATAACTGAAGGCATGGTACTTAATATCCGATATATGAGTTTAGTCTTCACGGGATATCAACGCCACGCCTCACAAGAAAATTATAGTTGATCATTTGCGCGCCATGAGCTTTCTTATCGCTGATGGTGTTATTCCAAGGTATTAAAAAAAAAAAAAAAAAAAAAAAAAAAAAAAAAAAAGCGTTTCATCCCAAATGTAGGTCTCCAATCCTCATCCATCCCTAAAAGTTGAAGATACTCTTCGGACTATAGCAACGTTGGCCGTGGATATGTACTCAGGAGAATTATCCGTCGTGCACTTCGCTCTGGAAATCAGCTAGGATTCACAAGTATGCGTCGTTGTTACTAAATGTATGGCATCCTTTAGTGAAGTGTGAATAAAAATTTAATGCGATAGCATGTTTTATGGCTCGTCCCTAATAGAGCCATTTATGACAAGGTTATATCCGTACCTTTTGGAGTCATTTGGAGAAGACATATATCCAGAAATGGCATCAAGACAAGACTCTATTAAAAGTGTCATCCATCAAGAAGAAGAAATTTTTATGGGAACGCTGTCTAAGGGTTTAGCTCTTCTCGAGCCCGTATTCAAGCAAAAGAATCTTATGGAATCTAAGCAAGTTCCTACTGAGATTGCGTTCAAGTTGTATGATAGCTTTGGTTTCCCATTAGATATTACAGTATTGATTGCACAAGAACGTGGATGGACAGTGGACCTTGCTGCGGTCGAGAAGCTCATGCAGAAGCAACAAGAGCAGGGAAGGGCCTCCTGGAAGACAGCATCTAGTGCGATGCATACCAAAGTCAAAAAATGGAAAGATCAAGGAATATTCCCAACATTTTCAGGCTATCAACGAGATATGCTGACTGGCCAACTCTCAACCATTATGGCTGCCCAGAACACAGAAGACGGAACAGGAGACGTGATCCTGGCGATCGAGCCCTGTCCATTTTATGGGCTTGGAGGAGGGCAGAGTCCTGATACTGGCTCTATCAAATTGGCAAACGGCAGTGAATGGCGTGTAGTCGATGTATTTTCACCATATGAGCGTGGTCTTGCTATTCGTGTTCAGTCCATCTCAGAAGACTCATTAACAGAAGAAGATCTCTTGTGTATGCATCAAGGCTTTCAAATTACAACGTTCGTGGACACGAAGAGAAGAGAAGGTGTCGCTGCTCATCACAGCGCTACACATTTGTTGAATGCAGCCTTGAGGAAGACACTCGGAAAGCCCATCATGCAAGCAGGATCTTTGGTCGAACCAGAAAGACTTCGATTTGATTTTACGCACGGAAAAGCCGTGGATCAAAATCAACTATGCGAAATTGAGGACTGGATCAATGCAACAGCACTACAAAGTCTGCAACCAGTTATCAAAGTATGAGACTTAAAAAAAAAAAAAAAAAAAAAAAAAAAAAGACTTGTAATGGAACCGCGTGATTGTGCGTGGTCAAAACTGATGGATGTTTACTTTCTTCCTCTCTCTTTCCTTTTTTAGGAGTATCCACTTCAACAAGCAATAGACATGGGATCAATTGCTGTATTCTCAGAAAAGTATGATGAAGTTGTTCGTGTCGTCAACGTAAGTTCAGGTCTCTTATTGTCTTTTGTTCCTTTGTAAAATAAATAAATAAAAATCGATGGCGTATTATATTAATACTAAAAAGCCTACTATGATCATGGTCTAAAAAGTTCCCCAAGGTCTCCATGGAACTGTGTGGAGGAACACATGTTGAAGATCTTTCCAAGATCTATCCCTTCAAGATTCTCTCCGAAGGGTCCGTCGCTGCTGGTGAGTTTTTATATATAGACACATTGAAATCTCAGAATACTGTCTCAACTCATTCTTTCATTCCATGATTGTGATTGCATTATTATTTAGGCACACGACGAATTGAAGCTGCTGTTGGCAAGGCTGCAACCCGATATTTCATTGAGCAAGATCGTATGGTTTCACGTCTGAATCATGACCTGAAATCATATGCGACGAGCGCTGGCAATGAATTGGACCTCAAGGTGAACAAGTTGAAGAATCAAGCTGCTGATCTCTCACAACAATACGGCCGGTTACTCGACAAATTTGTCAAGGCCCCAGTATCAATCCCTGTCAAAGGGGGCTCTCTCGATTTTTTGAGCACCGTTACTGTTCCCGTGCAGATTCATGAACTGGAGCCAGACATCCAAGATCAAGATTATTACTCCAAGAAGGCAAACCACGTAAAAGAACAAGACCCTCGCTCGGTGCATGTTTTGGTTTGGAAAGAAAACCTGATTGTGACATTAGATCAGAAACAGTTCCCCAAGCTCCATGCTGGCAAAGTCATGAAGAGCATTTTGGATCAGATTGGAGGCGGTAAAGGAGGAGGACAGCCTCAGCTTGCCCGGGGAAGGATGGTGAGTGATGATGCGGTTGGAAAGTTGGTGCAGCTTGCACAAAGCAAGTAGATTGGTATTCTAGTATGTGTAATCATACTGAAGATATTTTTATAAACTTTTATTTTTATTGTACAAAAGAGCAATGTTCTCTCAGGACGTGAGTAAGGTTAGATGTGGGATAAATGTACAGGAAGGGGAGGAGATTATATTTGCTAGAGGTCAACTCTTCGTTATCATTCTTAATTTAGCAGTTGCCACGGATTGCTTGCTCGCGCTCGACGGCCTCGAACAGAGCTTTGAAATTTCCAGCACCAAAGCCCTCGTGGCCGCGACGTTGAATAACTTCGATGTAGACAGTAGGGCGGTCCGAGAGAGGCTTGGTGAAAATTTGAAGAAGGTAGCCAGACTCGTCGTAGTCGACTAGGATATTAAGCTTCTGGATGGCACCCAAGTTCTCAGCAATCTTGGTAGAAGAGTGCTGGAGACGGAGACGCAAGTTCTCATAGTAAGTAGGAGGGACGGACAAGAACTCCATACCGCGAGCACGGAGGTTGGAGACAGCCTGGATGATATCGTTGGTGTTAAGAGCAATGTGCAGGACACCAGCACCGCCGTAATACTCGCAGAACTCTGTGATCTGGGATTTCTTCTTACCCTCAGCGGGCTCGTTGATGGGCATTTTGATCTTCTCGGTGACATCAGTCATAACAATGGAACGGAGAGCTGAGTACTCAGTGCAGGCCTGCGTGTCATCAATGGACCAGAAGCGGCGGAAACCCAACTGTTGCTCGTACATCTCACAAACCTTGAGCATCTCACCATCGGGCTGACTACCAACGCAGTGGTCAATGTAGTTGAGACCAATGACGGGGAGGATATCTTCAAGAGGGTCGTGGGTGCGAGGCTTAACGTATCCAGGCAAGAAAATGCCATTGTAACCGTTGCGCTGAACAAAAGTGTGCTCTGTGTCGCCATAGGTGGCAATGGTGGCCATCCAAACAGAGCCGTGCTCATCCTTTTCCTCGAAAGGAGCACGAATCGATTTAGCGCCCTTCTCAATAGCGCGGTTGTAGATGGCGTGGACATCATCGACTGTGAAGGCAACATCCTTAACACCATCACCGTGGAGAGCGAGATGATCAGAGAAGACCTTGTTATTGGGGTTCAAAGGGGACTGGAAGACGAAAACAATGTCGTCCTGCTTGACAACGTGCGAACAGACATCACGGTGACCGGTCTCCAGACCACGGTAAGCAATCCCCTTGAAACCAAAGCGGGTGGTATAGAATGAGGCAGCTTGTTTGGCGTTCCCTACCCAAAAGACAATGTGATCAAAGCCGTCATAGTTTCCAGCCTGTTGTGAAAGTAAAGGGAAGAGGTATGTTAATTGTCTGAAAGTTTAAGCGACGACTGCTTTGATGCATTATTTTACAGAAGTGTAGGTGTATTTATGTTGAACAAAATACCACGGTGGTTGCTGTGCGTCGTGAAGAACAAAATAATTACCTGGACACCCATAATTAATTATGTAAATGTGCGTGTTGTAGATGGGAAGAGAAAATTTTTGTGCGCGTATGAAGGTGAGAAAAGAGCCGCGGATGAACAATAAACAAAGAGGACAAGGAATGTTGGACTTCTTTATACGTTGAATGGGATATCTGTGCCCTATGCTCCTCGTAATATATATTGGAAAAGGAGATATTATCCAATTCAAATAAACTTGGCTGAAGAACCAACCAGGTAGTGAATTAAAGTTTTGTGGTGTGTTTTCAAGCTCTCAAGCCTTTTTGTTCAGCCGCTCTGTACCAGGAATGAAAAAACCTTTATATAAACAAGGCCAATAGTCATATAGCCCGTTTCATTTGGTCATGATACCTTATATTTTTTGAATACTTTCGAGTGTATTGGCAGCCAATTGGCTCGCTTGTTGCGAGTATTGTTGCAAGTCCGTCACGTAGTGAAATGCCACCAGAACAATTCAATCATCGTTTTTAGATTAAAAACATAAGGTATCATGACCAAATGAAATTGGCGATACAAACATGATTTCACATCTCTCTTATTTATTGTATACACTATAAAGTGTCTGTGAAACTGTTTCATTTATTTGCGATTGTGGTGATGATAATAGGCGCAGTTTACCTCCAATTGTGTCATGGATGGTAATTTAAGATACGTGGATCATCTTCATTACTTTTGTCGTAGGAACGATAAACGATTAACGCCACGAAATGGACTGTCAATCTATATCAATCTATCCAATCCAAAATATATTTGAACCTTTGTAATTTGATTCCTTGATGTTCTTGTTTGATTTTTGAGAATGTCTTCTGGTCATGAGTGAGAAGGATGGAATAATGCAAATATCGTAATGTCATGTGATGGCGGCGACAATAAAAGGTTGAGTTCAAATTACAGAGGTTTAAATATATTTTAGAATACCTTGCTTCTCTATTTTGATAAAATATCTTTTTCGATCACGGTAAGATACGGCGAGCGATAGCGTGAAAAGATCGTTCTCGACGAAATATGTTTATCTTATAAAACGCCCTGATTGGCTTGAATCTGACCTACTGACCATATGACATGATAGGCCGTATACGTCTGTTTATTAGAATACATGGATATACCTGACAATGACGCATAGATGCTGCAACAGTATGTATTTAAGCTTTTGTGAATGATATCGGAGGCTGAGGTGCCAGTAGTAAGGAGTTCAAAGACGTACGTAGCGCTTGAATGGTTAAGGATCTGCTCCTTTAAATATCCACATCATATTTTAGCTCGTTCCAGTAATGTTTTTTGTGACGAAATGTAACTGCGATCGTATTGTCATCTTAGTGATTCGTTTTCCCATGCACCAGATAGAGCATGAGTCCCGAAGTCAAGGGTGACCTGCGTAGGATGTCGTCCTTAGACTAATATGAGCTAGTTAAAATGGCCAACCTCTTACAAATTTCATGACACATCGAATAAAAGAGTTACTCCCTCTCGATGTGTTCCCATAGTTCAGCACAGCTTTTGGTTGGCTCTGGGTATATCTCAAGTCTTCTTTGCAGCTCAGACCACATGTGCTCAATGGGATTCATGTCAGGCGGCTGTGCTGGCCAGATTAGTAGCCTCCTAGATTCTTCTATTAGGCCCACTGACCGCAAATATGCCTGGGTGGCCTTCGTGGTGTGCTTCTTTGAGTTCATGATTCCCTCAATTCTACAGATTCGACTGGGTCCGCCCAATTCATGTAGACCAATATCATGGCCCCTCCGTCACCAAACTTCACTGTTCCGCAAACAGTTCGCTCATTGATGGCTCCTTCTTGGTCATCCCATACCAAGTTTACCCCATCCGAGCAAGTACAATCCATTTTGGGTTCATCTGGTCAAACGACAGCCTTCCAGTCCTCTACAGCCCATTCTTGGTATATGCGAGTGAACTGGAGGCGCTTTCTTATGTGTTACTTCTCGAGGAAAGGCCTCTTGACAGCCTTTATTGCCTTCATACCAGTCCCCCTGAGGCATCTCCTGATGGTGGAACTTGATATAGGGCTTGGAAGTAGCTTGTTCGCTTCCTTTTGAGCATCAATAGAAGACCTGAAAAGACCACGCTTGAGCCCTAGCTTAAGATGCTGAGCTATCTCGTCTCCAACCTTCCTTGGACGGCCCGCTGGCTTTTTTACGATATCTTCTGCCGCGTTTAGACGGATATTCGCCACAGAAGTATGAGGGATTCCGAGTCTTTCGCCAACCTGTCAGATGGAAAGACCTTGCTTGAGGAGAGCAGTAGCTTCTCTGGCCTTGGGTCGAGCAATTGGCTTCATATTCGTGTGAATGAGCGTTCAGGAGATAAAGCAGCGATAGTAATAATAAAAGCACAGGAACTTTGAAGAAACTGACCATAGAGAGGAGTTCTAGCATTTTCTAGGGAGAACTCTCATAATTGTAAAAGTGACCTGATTACCAATAAATGGTCATATTGAACTCAAGAGTGACGATATCGATTATAGAGCTGGGGATGCTGTTTATTATTAAGATAGCTCTGTTCATGCAGTTTTTATCTCGGTCTGGTTCGTTTTGAACATGCAGTAAGAGAACGAAGTAAGAAGAGCAGAATATTTTTACAAATTTGATGCTGCAGTCAACTCGAATTTCCTTTTTTATTTTTCTACGTCAAACATGCCACAGGGAGAATGGCATCCTCTTTCATACCGCGGGAAAGATGCTTCTACTTTTCAAGATGCAAAAGAGCCGAGATATTATACTATCACTTCAATCAATATCTCTATATTAAACTCATTTCAATGTGATCTCTCCTATTCCTTTGGTTACCGATGTCCTCTCTCACTACGGAGTACACTCTTCTGCATCTTCCATCACCATTATCACTAGAAAAAAAACAAAAAAAAAGTAAACAGATAAAAGTAACTGTACGCCTTTGATATAAAAGAGGGCAACAGTTACAGCTTGAGTTTGGTCCATTCCATCAGTAAGAGCTTGTGCACTAGCATATTCATGAAAATGCTGCTTTGACATTTTTCAAAACATGTCAAGCCCTATCGAGCTCATTCTTAGGTAATGTAAATCCTTGACGAAAATTTCGATTGCGAAAATTTCTAACTTGTTGACAGATACACGCAAAAGATACTCAGGTCCAAAGCACCCAAAGTACGCATTGAAAGGAAGTATTTCAGGCAGAAGCTCGTTTAATAGCACAGCTATTTTTAAGGTTCACACTCTGGCCACATTGCATATGGTGTATCTGTCGACAACAATCATTGACATAAACCACGCGGTTGGTACGCCCTATAATCGAAGCGTAGAGGCATCTGGCCTTATCAACGACCTAGAAATCTGTTTCAATCCGTAAGGCTACTTCCCCTGAAAGATAACACTACATGCTATGTTCGATAATTTGATTTGTCGTAAAGAGTCCACAGACTTGTAGGCTCAAATATATTTTGATAGGGTCAATTACCTATTCCTTTTTTAGAGGTGCATTGATTGCATGGTTTTTGCCTTTGCCAACACCGGTCTCTTCGAGCTTTCCAATCCCAAGAAGGAATCCTGTTAAGTGAAATGAAGCTGTAGTGACACGGTCTATAATGTAGGAAGCTTCTTTAATCCTATCGCTATGGCGAGTATCAATTTCAACGTATAGAGCACGCTGATGATACCGAAGTAACCCCAAAATAGTTAATACAATATCATTGATGCAACAGTCGATAGAAATGCCCGTTTCGCCACGAAGATGTTTGCTAGCAGCAGCTATAGTAACGATAGGGAAACTGTCGATCAGCCATCCATATAGCTCTTTTCTCATACCAACTATATATAAAAATAACTATACTAGCATTGTTTACCGTTTACTGTTAGGCACGCTTCCTTGGACGATTTTGCGCTGTAGCTCAAAAAAGCACACTATCTGCCGCAATTTCGTCGGCCGTACCGAGCTGCCTGAACCGCCCTCATTGCGACATGCTTGCTGCACAAATTATTATGAATGCCGTTTGAGGATAGATCATGAAGCAAAAGGCGTCTACGTTCACCTGGTTGACAGGCATGAGTACTTGGGGTCAGTAGTTTGAGTGCGTGTAGCAAAAAGGGTGCAAGGAAAAGTACCAGTACTAGCGCCAGGGCCACAAGCAAGCGCAGGTATAAATGATATTTGGAGCAGCTTTTTTGTTTGTTTGTTTTGTATTGTTTATACAGGAGCCCAATGCTTAGCACATCAGCTGACTTTTAGGGTTTTTTAAGGGTTCTGTTTCTTCCACAGTTAATTCCAAGAGGAAAGGATTCTTCCGTCTCTGCCTATTTGCATATTTCTTCCCACGCTCCTCAATTGAAGGCCCGCCTGTGTGTCTATTTTCTTCCCACCCTCCCCCTTTTACTCTTTCTCCTCTGCCTTGTTTCTCCACTCTACATCATCTCCACTCTACATCCTGGCTACCTCCTCATCCTCATCTCACTTTACATTTCTCATTTGCATTTTATACTTTTACACTCTCATATTCGTATTCACATACACATTCACGCTTACTGTCTACACCACACCACACCACCCCACACCACCCCACTCTTAATATTGTCACTTGCAATTCATCATGTCTATCGCTACTTTGAGAACGTCCTATTTGGCCGCCTCACTCGCTTCAGTTTCTAGGAGTATGTTGAAACAACAGGTGCCTATCAAGGTATGAAAGCAATGAGAAACCTACCATCTTTTTTTCATCAGCTGAAGTTGCAATCATGACAATATTCTTACACATCACTTCAAATCAATTATTAGCACTTTCACACTGCATTAAAGAGCCAATATGCTGCTACCAACTCGCCTCCACCTCCAGAAGGATTTATGCCTGGAGTTGCCAATTCCAAATTCATCAGGAATACACACCACGAGGCTCTTAGGAATCCAGAGCTGGCTGGCGTCGCCAATGGTATGATATACTGGCTACAATATTTTATTTCAACTTACTCTCCTTGAACTAACACATAGCTTTTCATTTCTTTTCTTTTTTTTTTTTTTTTTTTTTTTTAAAAAAAAAAAAAAGGGGAAACCAAGAAAATGAATACGTTCCAGGCTATTAATGATGCCATGAGCATTGCTTTGGCTACTGATGACACTGCCTGCGTCTTTGGAGAAGATGTGGCCTTTGGCGGTGTGTTCCGTTGCACCATGGGCTTAGCAGAAATGTTTGGTATGTTTTTCTCTCAGTTTATTAGTTCATTCTCGACATTTACCCAAATGGCTCTTGCGATTCATGGACTTATAAATGTATATCTTCTGTTGCCTCATCCATGGGAACGAACCACTCAGGCCGCGACAGGGTTTTTAATACTCCTCTGTCTGAACAGGGTATTGCTGGTTTTGGTATCGGTATGGCTGCTATGGGTTCGACCGCCATTGCTGAGATCCAGTTTGCTGATTATATCTTCCCTGCCTTTGACCAGGTAAGCGAACGTGGTTATATGGCTGCAGTTCTCCCCTTGATAGCTAAGTACAAATGTTTTAACTTTTTAATGTGGTTGCTTTGTTTGTTTTATTTGTATTACCAAGTTGGTAAATGAAGCTGCTAAGTATCGCTACCGCTCTGGTGGAGAGTTCGACGTTGGTGGGTTGTGCATCCGTACGCCCTGTGGTGCAGTTGGACACGGTGGTCATTACCACTCTCAGAGCCCTGAAGCATACTTTGCTCACACTCCTGGTCTTAAAGTTGTGATCCCTCGCAGTCCCATCCAGGCTAAGGGCTTACTTCTTGCATCAGTCCGCGATCGTAACCCTGTCATTTTCATGGAGCCCAAGATCCTTTACCGTGCCGCAGGTAAAAAAAACAACTATAAAAAAAAAAGAAAGGAGAAAAGAACAGCTCTATTCTCATACATTAATTAGAATATAGTTCTAATCCGCATAAACTCTTGTTCTTTGTTTAAAAAAAAAATGTAGTTGAAATGGTTCCAGTAGGTGACTATGAGCTACCATTGGGCAAGGCAGAGATTCTAACTCAGGGCAAGGACTTGACTGTTGTTGGATGGGGAGCTCAGCTCTATGTTCTTGAAAATGCCATCCAGCTTGCTCAGAAGAAGATGCCAGGTCTGTCTGTTGAATTGATCGATCTCCGTTCGATTTTGCCATGGGATGTAGAGACTGTCTGCAACTCTGTTAACAAAACAGGACGTCTCCTAATTGCTCACGAGGCTCCCAAGACACAAGGCTTTGCCGCCGAAATCGCCACAACTGTTATGGAGAGGTAAAAAAAAGATTTAGTAAATATTATCATCTTAATTGACATGCAATGGCAATCTAAATCTAACAGCGCTGTTCTTCGTCTTTACATATTTTAATCTCCCAACCAATAAATCAATAGATGCTTTTTGCGTCTGGAAGCCCCCATTCAAAGACTCTGCTCCTATGATACTCCTTTCCCTTTAATTTTCGAAAAGTTCCACGTCCCCGACATGATCCGTTGCGCCGAAGGCATTGAACGTGCAATGAAGTTTTAAGGATATCACTTGATCATCCTACCCTATTCTCTTTTTTGCCTTTTGCCCTTTTTTCCTTATTAGTAGAGCTGACTCGTTAGATACAAATCAATATAAAATACATAGAAATATATTCTCAAAGTCCTTGATGTTATTGACAAATGACGAAAAATTTATTAAGCAGTTTCGTTGCGAATCATATTTACTGCGGCAGCATGAGCAGCCTCCAAACCCTTCCAGGACTTGCTCTTACCCTGCCATCTTCCCTTTCCACCACCTTTGACCTCAACAAATTTACTGACTTCTGCGGCGATTCTTTTCACCAGCTCTTCGTTCTGGCCAGTAATGAGCATAGGTCCTCCTTCCTTCTTTTCACCTGCTGAGAAAATAAAAATGCGCTGGCCCTTGATCAGGTCATTGTCTTTGAGAAGGGAGGCCAAAAGGATTAGAAAATCCATATCAGCATCCTCACGATGGTATTTGATCAAATGTGCAGGTGCGAATGATGAGCCGTCAACATCAGCAGCGACAGGACTCTTTTCATTGAGTTCCTGGATCCAGTCTCGAATTAAGTAACCAGCAATCTCCTTGAACAGGCTCTTAACCAATTTAAATCCATCACGACTTTGTTTCTGTGTCCTGACTACAGTATCAACGTAAGTCTCGGGTCCGCCTGGCGCAGAGAGAACGCCTGCCAAGTCTCGAGTGAGCTGGTAGGTCTCCTGTAAGAGAGCGAGAGCACGTTGACCTACGACAAAGAATAGGCGACAATTGGCACCACGGATCTTTTCCTGGTGAAGAATTTTGATACATTGCAGGTCCTTGAGTGATTTGACATGTGTTCCGCAACAAGGGTTGTAGTCTAGACGGACAAGGTTACGTTTCTTAGTTTTAGAGAATGCTCCCTCCTGTTCCTGTTCTTTGACTATATGAGGGTTTTGCTCCGCAGCAATGACGTCCAAATCTTCCATAATTTCCGCCACCCGGAACACACCGTTTGGTCCCACATAGTCTAATGAAGAATGTGGCAGGATACATATTAGCTATAGAAGTATTCGATGCAATATAATGTATATGTAGTTTTTTTATTATATATAAAAAAAAAAAAAAATAAAAAAAAAAAACTTACCCTTTGGTAAGGTGGGTGGCCTTTCATCTGTAAAAGTGATGTGAATGGGATAGTCACGCCGAATGTAAAGGTTCAGTCGTTCTTCAACCTCCTGGATTTGTTCCAAAGTTGGCGTTTTGTCAAGCTCAACGTGGCACCTTGTGGCATTCATACCCCTATGGCAATCAAGGCAAAATGTTTAATTAAAACAATGTCGATAAATAAATAAGCAGGCAGATAAGATATAGTCTTTGGCGCATTGGGTTTGTTCTGTATGTCAATTTTTTTTTACGACTCGATCAAAATAGTAAACAAAAAAGCTTTTTTTTACCATGCCACAGTATTACAGCCGTATTCAGGCTGCTCGAACAGAGCACTGACCAGATGTTGACCGGAATGTTGCTGCATATGGTCAAATCGTCTCTTCCAATCGACTTCGAGTCTAGCTTCAGTACCTTTCTCGATAGGCGCAGTAGTATGATGGACATGACTGGTTCCAACACGTTGCACGCTCTTGACTTCAATATCTTCATTGATTGTGCCGTAATCGCAAGGTTGGCCACCGCCTTCTGGAAAGAGGACTGAATGTATGCATGGAAGAGAGTCGAAGGTATTTCAATAGCCATGTACACAAACGAGAGGTTTTCTTCGATTAATAACAGAGTAAAAAAAAATGTTGTTGATAGGAAGATCCAAGAAGATGGATATGGCTAATGACATTACTAGTATCTTGTAGCTGCACTTCATAGAGCTTTTGCTTGTTGGGCTTCTCAGAACAAGAGAGTACGGAAGTAGTAAAAGACCGGAGATATGGGGTATGTTGGCAAGTGAGCAGGCCAACAGGGACCTGGGTGGGAGAGATGGAAATAGATGCAGTGGATTCTGGTGTCATTTTTTTTTTTTTTTTTTTTTGAGATTGAAGTATAATCAACACAAGATTGAATGCATGTAATGAAATTAGTGGGGCTGATCGATGAGATGGATGTAATGGATGTGATAGATGCAGTAGAATGGAATAGGATCTGATCTTACCAAAAAAATTAAATCAGGGCAATACCGTGGCCAATAAAATGTGCGCCGCTTTTAGTGGCAATCAAATTTGGAGCAGGCAAGTTGTGTAACAAACAGCATTGCTGAGTAAAGAGGTAATAAATAAACCAATCAGATTATCTGAAATGACCGTCTTTGCGTTTGTCCAAGATGTTACATTGAATGAGACAATTGTGGAATGAGATTTTACTACATTCTCAAAATACCTCGTGGAATGAATCAGCTTTTATTTTCTTTTATTTTTTGTTTATCTCCTGATCCGTGCGTAACATCGCATCATATATAAATCTTTCTTCAATTACCCTTTTTTTTTCTTTTTTTTTTTCTCCAGTATCCGGTTAACAACCTCTTATTACTTCCTGCCTTCAACCTTACACACTCAGCCACTAATTTTATTAGATCTCACACAGTTAATCTAAAGCCAACACCAATCCAAAGATGCAGATCGTCACAGAATCATCTACTACTAGGTTGGCCAAAGCCACGATCTCCATTCAAGGTATGACATGCGCAAGCTGTGTCAAGGCCATCGAGACTGCTCTCAAACAACTCCCTAGTGTTCAAAAAGATTCTGTTGCAGTCAACCTGCTTGTTGGCTCGGCTACGTTGACAGCATCGCCCGATCTCTGTCCACTCACATTGATCACAGAAACTATTGAAAATGCGGGGTACGACGTCACTGCCTGCAAATACCTCGACTCCCCGTCTATCCCAATTTCAAAATCCAATACTACAAGTACATACAAGGTGTCTCTTCATATCTCGGGCATGTTTTGCATTTCCTGCAGTTCCAAGGTTGAATCCCTTCTCAAGTCTCTCCAAAGAGTCATTCCACTGTCAGTCAAAGTCTCGCTCGCCACCGGACAAGCTCAGTTCGAGTACCAAGTCCCACATGACCAACCTTCCAACCTTATGGCCAACAGTGCCATTTCAGACAAGATTCGTGAACTCGGGTTCGAGACAGACAATATCAAGATTGAAAAGGTCTTAGACGATGATCAAACTATTTTTACTAATACCAAGGAGGATACTGGTGCTCCATCCTTCGCAACCACTCGTTTGGACATTTCTGGGATGACCTGTGCAAGTTGTGTCAGTGCTATTGAATGTAAGTTCCTACTCTTGAATCCATTTTCGATATTATTTCCAAGGAACAATATCACTATTTTTTTAAAAAAATAAAAAGCTCACATAACTTTCCAACCACATAGCTTCTCTCGGTAGTCTACAAGGCATCCGTTCTGTTCAGGTAAACTTGCTGGCAAAATCGGGTGTGATCGTGCACGACCCAACTGTGATTGGAGTACGCGACTTGATAAGCGCAGTTGAGGATACTGGGTTTGATGTTGCATTAGCAGAGGATGATGCTGTTACAAGGAGGGACGGTCTTCAAGAAAAGATTAAGCGCGAGGAGCTCCTTCTCCGCCGACGTCTTCTGCTCTCACTAGTCTTTGCGGTTCCGATGTTTATCATCGCTATGGTCATGATGATGATGCTCCCAAAGTCAAACTCTGTTCGCGTTAGCTTGATGAGAGAAGTCATCTCAGGACTCAGAATCCAAGATATTATCATGTTTATCCTGGCTACACCTGTCCAATTTTGGCTCGCACAACCGTTCTATAAGAAAGCCTACCGTGCTCTCCGCTATACCCGCACTGCTAACATGGAAACTTTAGTATCTCTGGGAACAAGCGTCGCGTACTTTGCCAGCTTGGGAAGCATTATCGCGGCCATGGCCAAAGGAGGCAACAAGCATCACTCTGGCGATGGCATGAGCATGGGTATGTCTAGCACTGGTGTTGACTTTTTCGAAACCGCGGTCTTTTTGGTCACTTTCATTAACTTGGGTAAGTGGCTTGAAGCCATGGCCAAGGGAAAAACTGCCGAGACTATCACCAAGCTTATGGATCTCCAACCCGAGACCGCTACCCTTGTCAAGGCAGATGAATCTTTAGAAGAGATTCCTGCGGCCTTGATTCAAGTTGGCGATATCCTTCTAGTAAATGCTGGTGGCCGTATTCCTTGCGATGGGATCCTCTGGAAAGGGAATACGATGGTTGACGAGGCTATGATCACTGGTGAATCGCTCCCTATCCAGAAGACTGAGCGCAAAAGCAAGCTCATCAGTGCATCGATCAATCTTTCTTCAGTCATTCAGGTCAAAGCTACCAAGGTTGGCAAGGATACTACTCTCTCTAGGATTATTCAACTCGTTCAAGATGCTCAAGCTAGTCCTAAGGCACCTATCGAAGCCCTTGGTGACAAAATTTCTGGTGTTTTTGTCCCTATCGTCATTGTATTGGCTCTTCTCACCTTTGCTGGATGGGCGATTGCAGGTAGTCTTGGGGCTATTCCAGATGGTTGGATCCCTGAAGGCGAGAGTTATTGGATCTACGCTACTTTGTATGCCGTTGCAGTCCTTGTAATTGCCTGTCCCTGCGCTCTTGGACTCGCCTCTCCTACAGCGGTCATGGTTGGTACCGGAATAGCAGCCAAGTATGGTATTCTCGTCAAAGGCGGTGGATTCGCACTGGAAATGGCCAAGAGACTAGATATTGTCGTATTTGACAAGACTGGAACTCTGACCACCGGTAAACCTAAAATGACCGACTCCTGGATAGTCCCTACAGCCGATAGGACCCAGTCAAGCATGATTCTCGAGATTCTAGGCAAGGTTGAGGCCGGAAGCAACCATCCTGTCGCGTTGGCTGTTGCTAAAGGCGCTGCTGAGATGCTATACAAGAGCTCTGATCAACAAGCGGCCGTTCCGATCGAGGATGCATCAGATGAAGACGAAGATCAAGAGAATGAGTCTCGCACGCTGCAGAAGCAGTTCAACCATGTCAAGGTTTCCCACACTCGTGAGGTCCCTGGACGCGGCCTTTCTGCCACAGTGACTTTGGGAGATAACCTTACCTTAGATGGTTATGGCCAATTCCGCGCCTTGAACGTCTTGATCGGCAATGAAAAATGGATGAAAGAGAACGGTGCACATTATCCTACTCAGGTGGCTTCAGACGATCGTAGGGCTGAACTGGGTCGCTGGCAGTCAGAAGGCAAGTCTGTAGTTCTCTGCGCTATCAGTCCTGCCGCGAACAACAGCGGCCCAAGCGAAGTTTTGACCGATCGCGTCTCGACTGACGCTGCTACCATCGCCAGCCAAGGTACTGATGCTACTTGCAAGTGTGAGCTATGTGTGTGCATTGATTGCAACTATACAACTAAATTGGGTACCGTCAATGTTCCCTTGATCATTGCCCAAGTGGCTGTGGCTGACACGGCGCGTCCAGAGGCTGCAGAGGTCATTGCTGGCTTAGAGTCCCAGGGCATTGAGACTTGGATGTTGACTGGCGACCATCCAGTCACTGCACAGGCCATTGCGCGTCAACTCGGTATCAACAAAGTAATTGCAGGCGTCCTTCCAGAAGACAAGGCTGCAAAGGTGAGGCAGCTCCAGCAAACAGGTCGCTCGATTTCGACATCCAAGTGGTCTAAACTGTTCAAGTCTCAGCATCATCAATCGTCGAACCCATCCGTTGAGCTCTCGCCTATACAATCTCAAGCAATGGCAGGCAGTGATGATACCTATCGCCAACTGCGCCCAGCAATCGTAGCCATGGTTGGGGATGGTATCAACGATTCGCCAGCTCTGGCTCAATCCAACTTGGGCATCTCTGTTGGTTCTGCGACGGATATTGCTATTGAGGCGGCGTCGATCGTTTTATTGCATGATACTTTGACTGATCTGTTGGTTATGCGCGACCTAGCCAAGACTACTGTTCGTCGTATCCAGATCAACTTCATGTGGGCCTTTATGTACAACGTGGTGATGATTCCTATTGCAGCAGGTGTTCTTGTTCCTTGGAACCGATCTGCAGTGATTGGGCCAACTTGGGCTGGTTTAGCTATGGCTGCATCTAGCGTCAGTGTCATTCTCTCCAGTCTTCGTTTGCGATCGTACCGTTACCGTGGTATCAATCCTAACCAGAAGAAATAGGTCCTCCCTTATTCACATTAATATTACGTTAATTTAGTGTTTGAGCTTTATATTTCGCTTAAGGCAATCACTCTTTGTGCAATAATCATTTTTTAAATGATTAAATAAATAAATAAATAAATAATAATAATAATGAAAAAGTATTAATGGAGTACATAAGAAACGCATTGGGATATGCGGACATCTGCAAAAAATCTGAGAGACATATCATCAACACCGATATATATATACATTGGAGGCAATTAAATAATAGTAATGTACAATCAAGGTTGGATCTACAGTAGTTTGTTATATTGTCATGTATTTGTAGAGAGAGGCAGATAAATAACTCTATGCGGTATGTTGAGCATCAGAAGCCTCAGCGAAAAAGTTAAAGCGCAACTTTTTTTTCTCCCAAAAACTAAATGTCTACAGTTGCCGTATATCCAGAGGCGCGATGAGTGAGAGAACTAGAAGAGGGTATATGTTTTTTTTATGTACGTCACAGGTCATGATGTTTCCCCAGTTATTGTTCTCAAAATTTTGATAAATATGACGCTATAGCAAGTGTTACTTTTTGGAGGTAGTTTTGGCCTTTGCTTTGGTAGGGAGAGCTTTGGAGGCGGGTTTTCCGGTCGAAGTTTTGGGCATACCTCCAGCCTTTGTTTTGCCTCCAGCCTTACGTTCAGCAGCCAATCCTGCATCAGCTAAACTTTTCATGATGGTCAGCTTTCCTGTTGCACCCGCCCGTGTGGCCATAACGGTCTCAATGTTCTTATTGATCTGAGCAGTCAGTTTCTACAAAAAGAAAATATATTATTGACAGAAATCCAGTTAAATAATCATCACAAAAACAACAAACAAACAAAAAAACTATGTTTATCATTGTGCCTACTTTCTGAGTGCTTTTCTGCTTAATCAAAACATTGCTCTTGGGCGCGTAAGACCTGGCTTGATTATTTCAGTAAAAGACGTCGTTGACATAAAAAAAGCAGGCCTCCCTTATTAGTATCTTTTGACTAAGTGAAATGGAATGCACAGAGCTCCAGGTTGAGGAAATAGCCAACGAACTAACCTCCTTTTCTGAGGACGCCTGTGTTCTGCTTCTTGATAGAGTCTTTAGTAACGTTTGACTTTTTAATAACCTTCTGCGCCATTGTGAATAACCTCTTGTGTTGATGAGTTGTTTTGCCAAATGAACCAAGAAGAGAGGAAAAAAAAAAAAAAAAAAAAAAAAAAAGTAAATAAATAAAAATAATAAACTATCACCTGACTAATTAGTAATTTGTGATTTGCATTTCAAAATTTCTTTTTCCTTTTCGTTTAATGTCTGCCTTGACAACTTAAAAAGCATTAGACCCAGCCATGCCACTTCCTAATCTACGTCGTATCTTCTCTTCATTCAGGACTCCAGAGGAGGAGGCTCAGATCTCACGCTCAGCATTCTTCAAGTTCTCAGGCTACATCCTCACTTGCGCATTCATCACTTGGATGGCCGCAAAACAAGGTGCCCACCTTCGACCAGGTGTGACAGGAGGGGCATAAAAAAAAGCATTTAGAAACACCCATCCATATACACCAGAAACTCTTCATATCCTTCTTTCATCTCATTTGCAACCAATTCTTTTGTTTCATACTTTTGGATGATACCCGCAGTATTTGCTTTTTTTTTTTTTTTTTTTTTTTTTCTTCATTAAATTGGATGCTTCAAGACCAAATTAATAAATAAATGTATTCAACGAATAACTAAATCTCCTGGTCCGACATTTCATTTCAAGAGGTTAAAAATAAAAGCAGAGTCCCTTTAATAGTGTCTAGTATACAATGGTGCAAAAGCAATGATGGTGCGGACTACTGCAAGATCCTAAGATATTAAAAAGATAAATGCCTATAAATATTTTTCAATTGATTAATTTGTTAAGCATATCCTCATTGATGTCGAGATCCGCTTAAAAGACAAGTTCTTTTTAAACGCTTTAATTACGAGAAAAAAAAGAAAAAAAAAAAAAAAAAACTAACTGTCGTATGGGTCTTTCCGTTCCTCTTCCTGTCTTTTTAGTGGCGTTTAGATTCTAGGCGCAGCTTTTCATATACTTGAGTGACTTGGTGGGCGATGCTGGTAGGAGCAGAATGGATTGCTGTGCCATTGGAGAGAAAGTTATGTAGAATTGAGACGGTCTCTGCATTTGTCAAAGGTTGGATTTCCAAGACCTCAAGCTTGAGTGGTGGTGGAGGCGCACGAGCTGTAGATGACATTTCAGTTTAGTTGTTCGGCAACAACCAGAACTAGAAAATAAAAAATAAATATGCTTCTTTTTCGTAAGCCACTAGTATTGTTCTTTTAGCAGTCCCACGTCCGAAAAAAAAAAAAAAAAATGCTCGTCCCCTTGTTCTATCTATTGTCTGCTTCCACATTCTCCGAGCCATCCATTCAAGGAACACCCAGACGCTCATTACAAACAGAAGTAAATAATAACAACAGAAAGTAGACACACATGCGGCTACAATCCTCACTACTGTCTACCTCCACACGAGCTTCTAAGCGTGCCATTCCATGGGCGGTTGCTTTAACTAACAGTCGTACCCTAGCTACTACTACCAATGTGATTCCTGGAAAATCTTCCAATACCGACTTCAGTCCCAGTTCTAGCGATGTCAAAACCAAGGCGCCCTCTACCAAAGTCGCACAAAAGAAGCAACATCTCATTTTTGGTAATCGAGGCCCTTCTTTGCAAGATTTCTTGAACTCATCCTCCATCAAAGCACATGATTCCAACACGCCGAAAGCCGACGTCTCTGCAGAGAATGTGCCATATCTCTCTATGCAGGGACGCAAGCTTGGCGAAGGAGCCAAATATTTTGTTGAGGTCTATGGTTGCCAAATGAACGTCAATGATACTGAGATATTGATGTCAATCATGAACAGCGCTGGATATGTCAAAGCGGCCGATCAGTCCGAGGCAGATATTGTATTCCTTGTCACCTGTGCTATCCGAGAGAATGCGGAATCTCGTATCTGGAACCGTCTGACAGAACTTAAACGGGTGAAATTGCGTGCAACAAAAGATAAAGCACCCTTAGTGGGTGTATTAGGCGTAAGTATATATTTTGTTCTTGACCAGAGTTACAATCCTTAGTAGCAGTATAAATACAGTCATACAGCCGATTCTTATGACCTTTTTTTTTTTTTTTTTTTTTTTTTCCTTCTCTACGTGATGCATGATAGTGCATGGCGGAGCGACTTAAAGACAAATTGTTGGACTCGGACAAAATGGTCGATCTGGTGTGCGGTCCTGACGCATATCGGTCGATTCCTCATCTACTTTCGATTTCCGAGACCACACAACAGGGCGTGGCGAACGTTATGCTCTCAGCGGACGAAACTTATGCTGATATTGTTCCTGTCAGGATAGCTCCAGAAAGCTTTTCAGCTCATCTTTCCATCATGCGTGGATGCAACAACATGTGCTCTTTCTGTGTTGTCCCTTTTACACGGGGCAATGAACGAAGTCGCGCAGTAGATTCGATTCTTCAGGAGGTGAGACAGCTCAGTGACCAAGGAATCAAAGAGGTGACACTTCTTGGACAGAACGTCAATTCTTATCGTGATACAAGCGAAGATGGTGTGAGTATGACTATAGGAGTCGGATCAGAACTCAGCAATGCCGGTTTCAAGACCATTTACAAGCGAAAAGATGGTGGGATGCGATTTACAGAGTTGCTTGATCGTGTGTCCTTGGTTGATCCTGAGGTACGTGAATATTTGGATAGCAATTTTCTACGTCACTGATGTACATAACTAGTCAAATTGCTGATCCATTATTGCTATTTTTTTTTTTTTTTCCTTATAGATGCGTATCCGTTTCACTTCTCCTCATCCAAAAGATTTCCCTGAAGCATTGCTTCATCTAATGGCATCAAGGCCCAACATCTGCTCTCAAATTCATATGCCAGCTCAATCAGGTTCAACAGAAGTTCTGTCGAGGATGCGCAGAGGCTATTCACGAGAAGCTTATCTTGAACTTGTAGACAGCATTCGATCTATTGTTCCAGGCGTGGCATTGTCGTCTGATTTTATTACTGGGTTTTGTGGCGAGACTGAGACTGACCATGAAGACACAATGGATCTGATGAGACGAGTTGAATTCGAAATGGCATATATGTTTGCTTACTCCTTGCGCACTCCTACTCACGCAGCTCGTCGGCTCCAAGACGATGTTCCTGAGGATGTCAAACTCCGAAGACTTCAGGATATCATCAAAATTTTCCACAAGGGGGCCGAGAACCGGCTCCGCGCTAGAGTTGGGCTTTCCGCGGGAGAATGTGTGTTGGTTGAGGGACGCAGCAAACGAGATAAGAGTCGTTGGGTGGGTCGTGCAGATGGAGGATACAAGGTTGTTTTTGATGATGACTTGATCTTACCTTCGATCGAATCATCATCAACTCCGGCGGCTCAAAGTAGGACAGCAGGTCGAGTACCTATTAAGCTGGGTGATTATGTACAAATAATGACTACCAGTGCCACGAGTACATCTTTCCAGGGTAAGGCAGTTGCTCGTACTACCTTGTCTGAGTTTAGTTGGTATCAAGCTAAACTGTTAACAGGACATGTGCTACCAGGATATCGTGTCGCATCGACGTCAGTCGCATCACCACTAGTTGCTAATATGGGTGTTGGATCTTGAACTTGTTGAGATACAATCTTGAGAAAAATAGATTAATCAGGGTACCCCTCTTACTTTAGATTGTGTTTAAATTTTCATTTGTACATTATTCATTTCTTATAAAGAAGTAATATTTATATGCTATAGTAAATTCAATCCAAACGTGCTTTTTGTTGTTTGTATTGGTTTCAGATAGAAAACAAAGGTTAAATAAACTATTTCCTAGCAAAAGTAACCTTCATCTTGTGTTCTGGATCGATCTGGTAGTCAGCCAATGCGGTCTTTGCGGCTGCAGAGTAGTATTCGTTATCATATTCCACAAAAGCAATGCCAGACTTTCCAGGGACTGTGCGAACTTCCTTGAAGCCTGGGTATTGTTGGAAGAGTGAGACCAGCTGGGACTCTGCAATGTCGTGAGGTAAGTTTTGCAAGAACAAAATACTGTTCCTTGGTAGATATTCATCTGGAATCATAGGCACAGCTCCTGCTGCAGCTCCTGGTAGTACTCCGCCATGCTGTTGTGCATATTGCGCTTGCTGTACCATTTGTTGTTGAAGTAGCAATTGTTGTTGTTCTTCCAGGATTCTCTGCTGCTCCAATGCTTTCTGTTGTTGTTTTGCCAGTAGCATTGCTTGTCTCCTTCTTGGCTTGAATTCGTTCGCAAATTTTTCTATTTGTTACAGTGATACGAAAAAGAGACAAAGAGAGAAAACGTAAGATAATCTGAGTTATTTTCACCATAAAGTTGCATCTTCTGCTTTGAAAAGTTGCCATAAATGTGATAGGAGATGAATAATTTTGATATTCATCATACCTTTTCTGGCCATGCGCTGCTTGTAGTGCTCCTCATAATTACCATCTCGCTTGGCATGAATATCAGACTTTGTCTTCGCGAATTGAATGACCTAAGATAGATAACGATGAGTGGTATGTAATAAAATTAGCGAATCAGAAAAAAGTGAAATAAACAAAGGCAAACTGATCCGATCGTACAATTGATCAGATTTGTCATATTAGTTTTTTTTTTTTTTAAACAAAATGTACCATTGGTTTCCCATAGAGCGGGAATGATTGAACTTCTGAAAGGGCCTTTGTAGCCGCATCCTCGTTCTCAAAAATAACAAACGCCTGACCACGCATCCTGATATTAGAGTGTGCTACGATGTTCAAGACTTCACCATATTGACCAAAAATAGTTTTCAAAGACTTCTTCAGAACTAGCATGAACCATAATATTTAAAAATTGGTTGAGTAACATAGTATTCATATGATATATTCCTTCAATAGAGAAACAGAAAAGATTCCGTTGCTAATGATAAGAGAGGAAGTACCATCGAGCTTGATCTTTTCATTAAGGTTCTTGATGTATAATGATGGATTTGATGCAGGTGTGTTTTCTGTCGGTCCTGGTTGCTGTGATTGTTCTGTTACTGATGCTGGTGCTGTTGTTATAGGCGTAGCCTCTGTCATTTCAGTATCAGCCATCGTAGTGAAATCCGGTAGACAAAAAAAACGATGAAGGCAGGTCTGATAGACCTTAAAGAAGTGCTATTTAAAAAAAAGAAAAAAAAAAAAACAAGCCACACCAACGCTACAGCGGGAGAGGAGAAAAAGTAATCTTTAATTTATTTACTCACCTTCCTATTCACATCTGCAAACATTACCCTGAAATTCATAAATGTTTAGGCGAGCATACACAAGGTCATGGTGCAACCATAACCCCTTCCATTCAACCCTGTCAAGCGTAGCGACATGCAATGTTGTAGGTCAAAGATCTGCTACAAGAGCGTTACTACACCTCGCTACTATGAATTCACTTGGCGTTCGAGTCCAATCGACACCTGTATCTTCGACAATATATAGTTGTCGTCATTACCTTCATCAGAATACCTTTGAAGTAAGTAATAAACATAGAACTCTTCCGTATTCTTTCCAAAAAAAAAAGTCGATGCCCTTTTTTTTGAGGGCACCAAGTGAACGGATCAATTTTATTCTCAAAAAAAAAAAAAAAAAAAAAAAAAAAAAGTCACTAGGCATTTATCCTCCCTTGGTATCCAATCTTAAAAGCACAATGGATATTGAGGAACCCACAGTATTGCAGAACACATTTATTCCTCCGATCCTTGAGGGCAGGGATGTCTTGATCAGGGACACAACTGGATCAGGAAAGACATTTGGCATACTTCTTGCATTGCTTAGCAAACCTCGTCGACGAGTTGGCGTTGCGCCCCTAGGTGAGAGCCGACCAGGCATCACATCTGTGATTATCGTGCCAAACCAGGAATTAGCCTTTCAGCTTGAAGCTTGGACACGCTCACTGTTGCCGACATTAACGGATCAGCAATTCGATGGATTGATCCAAACTATCTATACACCGTCTATGGCGTCTCTGGACAATGGCCGAGAATCCATGCTCGATAAGTATGAGACTCTGTATACGAATAAACATCATCAACACGCTCATCGGCTCCCATTAAAACAACTAATCGCGCAATCATCAGCAAAATCCGCAGTACACCAGAAAAAGGATGAGCAGATCCAGAGATTGGTTAGGACACTACCTCATGTACTCATTGCCACTCCAGTACGGCTCTGGGATTTAATTCAACAAGGTATTCTTGACTTGTCTATGGTTGAGACACTAGTTTTGGATGAAGTCGATCATTTAATCCGCCTTCCAAAACGATTTGCTAGTCAGAAGGAGATTTTCAACCGGGATCGCCACCCAAAACCTGCGGAGTTGGCTGTACGGGAAATCATGAGATCAGCTCGAGAGGCAGGACGTTATGACAACAAGTCTGGAGATAGTGTCACTGACAGAATACAAGTCATTGCAGCATCTGCGACTATGAATCGACCAATGCGGCACTGGTTAGAAACTAATAATTGGGTACATGATCATAAATGGGTCGATACCACTAAAAGCGTGATATTGCCTATGGGAATCAAGCAGCATTGCCTTGTTGTCGGACCCACATCTGTCAGGAACATTCGATTGGCATCTGATTTCTCACGTTGGAAATATGAGAAGGTTACTCATGCGGAAGAGTTTGAATCCGTAGCTGTAAAGAAGGATGATATGCAGGAAATTGACTGGGAAGAAACAGATCAAGCCTGGCAGAAAGCCGGGAGAGAATCTATGTATGGTAATGACCGGGGTAAGGATAAAGAAAAAGGCCGAGACAAGGAAAAGAGCTGGGAAGAATGTCAACTACGGGTACATGGGGCTGCGCCGGAGCTAGAGGGGGCAACAGCGGTTGAGAAGTTTAACGATGATGATGATCGGATGTTGGAGGCTGTGGCTATGGCCTGTATGTTAGACAAAGTTGATACCGCATGTGTGTTCTTTTGTACATCATTCAGTCTCAATCAATTGGCTTTTCGACTAGAACATGACTTTGGCATCAATGTTAAACAGATTGGGAGCGCTTTTGATCACCATCAGCAACAGAAGGAGCAGAAGTTAGAGTTGGGTACTATTGTTCAGAGTGGCCAAAAACTATCGAAAGGTATTTATATTGCACATGAGAGCAATGCTCGAGGTCTGGATTTGCCAGGTGTGTCGCATGTGTTCATTGTAGGACTGCCGTCAGCACCGTCGAGTTATGTGCACATGGCAGGACGCACAGGTCGAATGGGTAAGAAAGGACAGGTGGTGACTATTATTCGAGACGATGGTCATTTAGAGGACCGAGCCAGATCCCTATTCAAGACACTTAGTATTGATATTCAACCATACTGTCATGTTGAATAACAGTAATAAATGTTATAAAAGAACCGAATGGAAGAAAAAAGAAAAACATTCTCTAGCGTTCTCTCTTCTTTAACATAAAGAGGGAATAGGCGTAATTTGTTTATTTATTTGTTTCCGGATGTTCTTTCTGCCTCTCAACTCGTGGGAGAATTAAACGAGTGCACAGTCACAAAAAATCCTTCAGGGGCTTATTATACGTAATGTGGGGATGGATGTGCAATGAAGCAAGGGCATAAACCTTATTTGGCGCTGTGTCACACTACGATGTAACAAAATGATGGCCATTCTTACTGGTTCAAGTTCAGCGTAATAAAGAAAGTTGGCTAGACTAAACTGGGCTGGGCTGGGCTGGGAACAAAAATGCCGACAAAGGCAATTTTTGTAATACTCGGGATTCATCTCCGGAGGGAGCAGACGATCAACAAGGTGATGAGAAGTCGAAACAGCTAGATGCTGAAGGAAGGAAGGAAGGAATTGCATGGGGATGCAATCCTTATGAATGCAATGGCTCATTTATTACACAATTGCAGGCATGACATTCTAAATGTGGCAACAGGTATGACCAAGTCGTCTATATGATTAAAATGAAAGACAGTGTGTAATAAGTTCTCATGATTGAAACGTGGAGCTGACTAGCTTAGTTCTGAATGGAGTTTCCCCCACAAAAGGTGGATGTATTAGAATACATGTTCAACAATGAACAAAACAAGGTTGTGCGGCGAAAGAGCGGGGTGCAGTGACCGTGACCATGTTTTATATGAATAATAATACATTTCTGGATTGTGCATGTGCATTTTTTTTTTTTTTTTTGGGTGAGCACTTAAGGATCTTATTCAAGCTTTGGGCACAGACGTCCATCCAACGTATAAAGAAGCCCAACTTTCCCAGATTCTCTCAATTTTTTTTCTTCATTCTTCATCCACAGTTCTCTATTCTCTCCCCAACACACACAAAAGCTTTCTCCTCAACCAATTAACACACATCTACACAAATAATCATGGCTGCCAAGGTAACTGTCCTTTGTCTTTTGTCTTGCATTTTTTTCTGCTTCCCCCTCTCACCGATGTAAAGCGACCACAGTATCGAAAGCACACTGCCCATTTACACCACTTCAAAATAATATATCCCAAACTAGTATACCTCAGACAATTAACACAGCCTCTTCCGTTCACTCTCACAATAGGTTGGAAACTACGAAGGTTTTGATCACGTTGTCTTTTGGGTAGGAAACGCCAAGCAGGCTGCCTCATTCTATACCACCCGCTTTGGTTTCAAGGAGATTGCTTACCGTGGTCTGGAGACCGGTCACCGTGATGTCTGTTCGCACGTTGTCAAGCAGGACGACATTGTTTTCGTCTTCCAGTCCCCTTTGAACCCCAATAACAAGGTCTTCTCTGATCATCTCGCTCTCCACGGTGATGGTGTTAAGGATGTTGCCTTCACAGTCGATGATGTCCACGCCATCTACAACCGCGCTATTGAGAAGGGCGCTAAATCGATTCGTGCTCCTTTCGAGGAAAAGGATGAGCACGGCTCTGTTTGGATGGCCACCATTGCCACCTATGGCGACACAGAGCACACTTTTGTTCAGCGCAACGGTTACAATGGCATTTTCTTGCCTGGATACGTTAAGCCTCGCACCCACGACCCTCTTGAAGATATCCTCCCCGTCATTGGTCTCAACTACATTGACCACTGCGTTGGTAATCAGCCCGACGGTGAGATGCTCAAGGCTTGTGAGATGTACGAGCAACAGTTGGGTTTCCACCGCTTCTGGTCCGTTGATGACTCACAGATCCACACCGAGTACTCGGCCCTTCGCTCCATTGTCATGGCTGATGCCACCGAGAAGGTCAAAATGCCCATCAACGAGCCTGCTGCGGGTAAGAAGAAATCCCAGATCACAGAGTACTGCGAGTATTACGGCGGTGCTGGTGTCCAGCACATTGCCCTCAACACAAACAATGTCATTCAGGCTGTCTCCAACCTCCGTGCTCGCGGTATGGAGTTCTTGTCCGTCCCTTCTTCGTACTATGAGAACTTGCGTCTCCGTCTTCAGGGATCTTCTACCAAGATTGCCGAGGACTTGGATACCATCCAGAAGCTTGATATCTTAGTCGACTATGACGAGTCTGGTTACCTTCTTCAAATTTTCACCAAACCTGTCCAGGACCGCCCTACTGTCTTTATCGAAATTATTCAACGTCGCGGCCACGAGGGCTTTGGTGCTGGAAACTTCAAGGCTCTTTTCGAGGCCATTGAGCGTGAACAGGAACTCCGTGGCAACTGCTAAGTCAGGAATGGCAAGGACAAGTCGATCTCTATCATACGCATTCATAATTCCCCTTCTTGTTGCATATATTCTACATCCAACCTTTTTCATGTCTCTCGCAGGCAATACTCTTTTGTACAATAAAAATAAAAGTTTATAAAGAAATGCCTTTTGTCAGTGTGATTCCATAAATCATATTTTTTTATTTTCTTGGAATTGATCTTCTGTACACTTGCTTTGTGCGCAAAACTAAACCAACTTTCCAACCGCATCATCACTCATCATCCTTCCTCGGGGAAGCTGAGGCTGTCCTTCTCCTTTACTGCCTCCAATTTGATCCAAAATGCTCTTCATGACTTTGCCAGCATGGGGCTTGGGGAACTGTTTCTGATCTAATGTCACAATCAGGTTTTCTTTCCAAACCAAGACATGCACCGAGCGAGGGTCTTGTTCTTTTACGTGGTTTGCCTTCTTGGAGTAATAATCTTGATCTTGGATGTCTGGCTCCAGTTCATGAATCTGCATGGGAACAGTAACGGTGCTCAAAAAATCGAGAGAGCCCCCTTTGACAGGGATTGATACTGGGGCCTTGACAAATTTGTCGAGTAACCGGCCGTATTGTTGTGAGAGATCAGCAGCTTGATTCTTCAACTTGTTCACCTTCAGGTCCAATCCATTGCCAGCGCTCATCGCATATGATTTGAGGTCATGATTCAGAGGTGAAACCATACGATCTTGCTCAATGAAATATCGAATTACAGCCTTGCCCATTAGCAGCTTCAATTCGCCGTGTGCCTAAATAATAATACAATCACAATCACAGATATGAAAAAATGGGTTGAAGTACTGTAATATTCTGAAACTTCAATGTGTCTATTAATAGAAACTCACCACCAATGACGAAAATACATATCGTATATTTGATCTGACTCTGAGTACATTCTACCTCAGAAGATCTGCTCATGATCCGCATGTTACTGTACGTTCGCCCATTGTCCAAAAATTATCACTTTCTCCAGACATGCCCTCTTGGTTCTTCCAAATGTCGAAAGACTCTTGATCCGGTGTCAAGACTCTATTGCTGAATAAAAAAAAAGAGTAAGCGCTTGATACGCTATATTGCTAATCCCATCTAAAAAATGTATTAACACTTGAACACTGGCTGCTCTTGGAATAAGCATGCAGAGACTATGAAAGGCTCACCTTTCTTAACCTGCGGAGCGTCCATAAGATGAAAAGAGAAACAGATTTGTGGCAAAATGGAAACTACTATTATTTTATTCATGAGAACAAGAATGATAGATAAACTATTGTACAATGAGCGACTTTACTCAGGCTGGTATTTTTTTTTTTTTTTTTTTTTTTTTTTTGGGTTGCTTTTAGGCTGCAAGTTCAGTCTTGGTGTCATAATCGTGCTTTTGGTCGACCACAACCCTTTCTTTGTCATTGGTAACGCCATCATCCGAACTGTCCTTAATGCGCGTAGACAGGAACAACGCCCCAGGCAAGGAAAGAACCAAAAGCGAAAAGCAAATAATCAATTCAGTCATGAAGGATATCTCAAGGGCATTGATACGCCAGGCGATGGCTCCGCCTGAGGACTGGATGCACTTGTAAAAACCAGCATAACGGGACAAGACGGCGACGTCGTTAGAGAGAGCACCCATCAACCAGTAGCAGTAAGTCTGCCATGCAGCATCGTTCAGACCATAGAAAATATACAAGAAAAGGGGACCAATGTAATCAGCACCGATCTTAAAGTCAACACCAGGCTTTGGGTCTCCGAGTTTGTATGTCTTTTGGAAGAAGATGCCTCCAACCCAGGTGGAAACAAAGCATATCGTGACGATCCCAAGACCCCAGAAGGAACGTGTCCTGCGGTTGACACCCTGGTAATCGAGGACACGAGCAAAAGTCCAAGAGCCTCCGATCTGAGAGAGCCAGTAGAAGATGTTGTTCAAGGACTGAGTACGGGTTGAGAAATAGTATCCGTTGACAGTCGAGAATTGGTACGAGTAGAACCAGTTGGAGGACAAAAACATGGGGATAAGGGCAATCATGCGCCAGTCAAGGAAGAGCTTGAGGACAGCAATAACCTCACCGGTCCAGGTAGGGAACTTTTGAATTTGGATTTTGTCACCGTTAGAATGAGTGACAGCGGTTGGAGGAGCCAGAGACAGAGCGATGAGGGCTCCGGCCTAAAAGTTGTTACAAATGAAGAGAAGTAGAGATGTTCACTATTTAATACAATGACTTATCAAGAAATTGAGACTAGAAGATACGGATGTATAGCCCACAGAAATAACTTACGCTCATGATGACCAAGAAAGTGATGTAAACGGAGTCAGCAAGAGACTTGACCTCGGTAACGTTGTAGTTGATAGCGAAAGCGATGACGGATCCCAAGACGGCGCCGGAGTTGAAAATGGCCCAGAAGTAGCCAATGTATTTACCCTTATCCTGCTCACGTGGATAGGCCATCATGATGGCTCCTTGAGCAGTCCAAAGCATACCAGCACCGATTCCGAGAATACCACCGGCGGTGATGGTAAAAGCGCCATTCAAGGTGTGGTTGTAGCATAGGAGAGATCCTACATAGAGAATATAAGCTGAACAACCAATGAGGATAGTCCACTTGGGTCCCAGTTTGTTGTGGATGGCACCAGAGAGAAGACCAAAGATGGCGAAGCAAGTGTAAAGAGCGACATTGGCATTCTGTCCAACTTTGGTATCGACCTGACCACCACCATTAAGAGAATTCAATGCATTGAACATTCCAGGGCAACAAAAGCAGATGAAGCCCACGGCAATGACCTGGGCTAAGGGTGAGGTCCAACGGAAACCCATGTTGATGAAAGGATGGAAAGAGAGCTGAATGGGAGAGGAAATGGGTAGAGAGGGCGGGATAAGATCTGAGGCGATGAAGAAAAAAAAAGAGAGAGAGAGGACTAGGGGGGATCGTTTGTCTTTTTTATATTGAGTTAACCTTGCTAGGGGAGAGGGGAAGCATGATAAAGTATACCGAACGGCAACTACATATATACAGTGGAATCTCGATAATTGTACATTTTTGTACAAATTTCGAATTTGATATATTTCTAGGCCATTGGTTGGCTAAGAGCCTCTCAATTCAAAAATACTATTGTAAGCTGACCTCTCTATGTCAAACATGGCAGGAGGGCAGGTAAGTGACTGGCAAGTGAGGGAGATTGTAGCTAAAGGAAGGGATTGCAACTGAGGGAAGGTGATGGCGTAAGCTTGAAAAGATCTTGTGGTATTTTTTTTTTTTTCTTTTGTCAATCATCAAACACGACACAATCATAGCATCAGCCATCAAGCAAGTCCCTCTTCTCTAGTCCGTTCTATTCACGATGTCGGCTACTCTCTCGAGCAACAGACACAGCTGCAGCTGCATTGGTCCCTCTCTACCCTTAGGGCAGGGAGAGTTTAACAGCCATCTTCGCGATGGCAAAATCCCACCATCTTCGCCATGGTGATGATTGTTAGTGACCAGCGCTGTCTCTGCAGTTGGTTTTCTGTCTGCTTCGAGGCCCTCCGCAAGCAAGAAGCAATTCTACAGGCTGGACGTCCAAACTCTTTCTCAAGCAGCAGACACAGTTGCAGCTGCATTGGTCCCTCTCTACCCTTAGGGCAGGGAGAGTTTAACAGCCATCTTCGCGGTGGCAAAATCCCACCATCTTCGCCATGGTGATGATTGTTAGTGACCAGCGCTGTCTCTGCAGTTGGTTTTCTGTCTGCTTCGAGATGGAGCAAGTCTTGATCCTTTTCACTGTCGCCTCTGTCATTCTCGCTGTCAATTGCCATAATAGTAACCACCTCAACATTTTTTCAGTCTACAGCTGATATAACATTTTGCCAGTACTCGATTCTAACTTTTTTTTTTTTTTTTTTTTTTTTAATAATATTAATAATCATATTATTACTATTATCAATATTATAACATACAAGACAAAAGAAGGAGGATCCGGAGCATCCGCAGCCGCACATGGACAAGAATGTTTGGCCTTTGTTGTTCACTCACCACTCACTCCCTCATACTTATTCGATATATAACATTTAATAAATCTACAGCTCGTCACTTTATTACTTTTTCCGGGGGGCTGGGAATGTGAAAAACCAAGTCTAAAAGTACTCCTCATGGATGGCACTTTGTGTGCATTGCATTACAGTACAGCGCAAAATTCTCAGCGTTGGGACGAGGGTATATCTGGAAATTTAGCCATAATCTTCGCATACGTTTCTTGTTGCTCTTGATGTTTAGCTTTTGCCTCTGCTTGGTCTGCCAAAAACTGCTTCTTATCATACTTGGTACTAGGATCTTCATAATCTGGGATCTCCGTTAGAAACAATTTGTCAGCATGCAACTGGATGATCTTTCGAGCATCGCCTTTTGCTATTGCTGCAGCAAGCATCATAACATCATGCCGTGCACCAGGAGACATATTCTGGACCCTCTCATCATAGTCTACTTGCTCTTCAGATCCATCAGTATCCATAGAAGAATCGTCATCTGAGGGTTGGATATGGACACGACTGACATAGGAGCCTCTCCTACTAGCTTTTGATATCGCGACATATTCGCCCAATTCCTCTGCATCACTGACATATACTTCGTGATCCTCGTCATCGTCATCATCATGCTCCTGCCAATCTACATCCATAAGTTCGGCGGCGCTTGGTCTTGGGGCGAGGTACGACAGAAGTTTCTCAGTAACTAAGCCTTCTTCTTCCAGCAATTCATTGATGGCATGGTATATGATGGGTGTCCCGTCAAGGATCCTCGCAAATGGTGCAACCGTATTCCTTAGTCTCGCTTCACGATCAGTGCGATTAAGGTCCCCGTAAGCTGCGCACACAAAAGGATCCTTAGAGCTTGGACTTGGTAGAGGGATGTTAGAACTTGGCACAGAAAGGTTAGGACTTGGTAGAAGAGGGTAATTGCGCCCCATGTCCGTTGTCGTGTTGCCAGTGTCGTTGGTTGCGGCTTCCTGTGCTTCATTATCGCACACTAGGGCCCAAAGCACATCTGGATCGTGCGCGACATTGCCTGAGAGCTCATTCTTTTGACGCCTACCAAAAATTGGGACATGACCAAAGCAGTTCCTGATACTCATACTTTTGACCTCGTCCCATGATCCAGCAATGATTCTCCATGCATCATAGTTAGAGACGGCATTCACCCGCCTACCATCTACATTGAAAGGGTCCAAACGCATGCTCAGAGTCTGATTCCTTACGTTGCTCTGATAGTATCGCTTAAAAACAGATATGATTCCTGCATCAAGCGGCTGCGTGACAGAAGTCGAGTTTTTTGGTAAAAAGATAACTCCGATGTTGGGGAAGCGCCGCCTGTCCTCATCCAGGAGCTTATGGCAGCCTGCATTATCAACAAGTAGCGCAACTTTTCGCTCATTATTTTGGGCAGCAATTGATTCTTGAAACCTCTCTAGCCAACTTAAAAACACGATTCTTGTCATGTAGTCAGGGCGATGGCGAGGCTTCTTTTGGCTTCTCGTATGAGTACTGCTCAGACTTTCGTCATGATCCTCAAAATCGCTGCCATGGCCCTGAGCAGCCTCGTTCCATGGATGAATCTCTATAAGTTCCTGAAGAATGCTATCATTATGGAAGCCTCGTGGAAGATATTTGCCTAGAAATACTCTGGTTATTACATACACTGTTTGAAATGCTTACACGCTTGAAAAATGAAAGGGGAAAAATATGAAAAAATACTCTCAAACACTTACTGAGGACAAACGGCTTTCTTTTATCTGTCCCGGTAGCATTGGTACAAAGGAGTATAGAAACCCTTGTAGACGGAATCTTTATCCCTGCCAGCTTTTCAAAGTCCAAAGTCCATGAAGATAATGTCTGGAGAAACAAGCCAGTCTCATCGGCATTATAGATATCTTCAATGCGATACGCCTCCAAAGCAATCTTTATCTTTTCAACCTCCTCCGCAATAGCTTCCAGGTCAACTCCGCCCGCTTCTCCCATCATCTTATGGTATGTAATACCCCAATGGGCCTTGAATGAGTCGAACCACCCTGATGAAAATGAGGGCTTTGCAAATTCCAAAGGACCCAACTTTGTCACAAGCATATCATAAACATGGCCCGCCATTATCCTCATCAACGGTTGATTGACAGGCAGTCGGCGCTCTCGAAGTATTTGAAGCAAACGGACAAGAACTACTTCCACTGGATAAAAGGGCCGGCGGACAACTTTGAACTTATTGCCCCAATTGGCCCGCGGTTCGAGCTTGACTTTCTTTTCCCAATCGAGTAAGCGATTAATGGTATGTCGGCGAAGGTGATGCTCCTCTTCAAACGGTCCTTGCTTTGGGAAGGAATGCTTTCCGCCAAACAGCTGATGGTTGGCTACATGACTCTTCCACATTTGAAGGATATATTCCTTCACGTCAAAGCTATGTATTTCGTACTTTGAAGTGGATGGTTTGGGCATTAAAACCACAGGCTTATTGATGCGTCCCGCAGGCCCATGTTTAGAGCCGACAGATTGAAACCGTTGGGGGCTTTGTATAGGCTGTTGTCGGAACTGTTGTGGGGGCTGTGCCGCGGACAGCAGCGGATACTGTGGTGGTGGTGGTAGAAGGGGTGTTTGAAGCCGCTGTGTAAGTTGGGGCGCAGGAGATAGTTGATTCAGTGGTGTTGGGCGCTGCTGTTGAAGTTGTGGTGCGGGCGGCTGTAGATTGAGCGGTGGAGGGAGTTGATATGGAGTTTGCGGTGGAGGGAGGAGTGGATACTGTGCTAGTGGAAGCGGTGCAGGAAACTGTTCTGAAGATTGTGATGAAGGCAGCACGGAACTAAGCCATGGGGGATGTTGCTCTGACGAGTTTTGTTTTGATGAGCCTTGCATTGAGGAGTCTTTCTTTTGTGCATCAAGAATCTGCTGCCTATACTTCCATAAGTCCAAAGGAGCCTCTTGAGAACTCGTGGAAAGCTGTTGAGACTTTCTATGACTAGGCGAAGCTAGCAGATCGCTATGCATATTCGTCTCGTTGTAGTTCACAAATATCAAGCGCTGTTGAATGGGTGTTTGAGACTCCATTGTAAATAAATGCAAATGGTAAGAAGTAGGGAGATTATGAGTGGATGAGTGAAGCAGGAATAGTTTTGTTGTAGATTGAGGATTTTTATGCCAGTATTTATTCAAGGACTGTTGCCATGTTTAAGCGCTAAATGCTGAGTTGACTCTCTGCAAACTTTGATCAAGGTTAATTAGAGATGATTGTTATGATTATTATTGGCTCATGAGTTCCAAGGCCGATATTTTCGAGTCTTGAAGCCAAAGAGATTGTTGCCAGACAGAACTTTTTATTAAAGTCTCGCCTGACCGTCACACCATGTTCTAACCTAATGAAAGTGCCCCTGAGGTGCTTGCCTCGATACGCAACACACATCGCTTTCAGAGGCCAGGTGGCTCCATGGGGCTACTTAGAGTCACAATCATCCACAATTATCAATGATATTATTATAAATCTATCTGCGGATGGAGAGCGTGACAAAAATCGGAATTTCACGAACCTTTTTCAGCAAGTGGTGTTTGAAAGCTGTATCATTGGGCTTTATTGTGCATCTTTAGACCGGTGTCAATATTGCCAAAAGTTCCGACTTCTGAAAGGAATGTAAAAAAACAACCCGGGCAACCATTTGCCAGTGCTTCAGCCTTATTCGCGACGACGTATGAAATACGAAGGGCGAGTATATTTCAGATCTTGGGGTTCTTGGGGTGAAGGCCCAGGAGGCGAAGCCTGACGCCCACGAACCGCCTCTGCCACGCGCTGTACAAGCGGCTACGAGTAACAAGAAAACATTGAGCTGATTAATAATAGATCTAATTTATAATGCAATGTGGATCAAAGCTCGAACATGACAAGGGTACTGCACGTCTTCCAGAATCCCAAGCCCACCACACATCCGTGAGAAAGTTGATCTATCGGTGGGCAAATGCATCCGACCAACTTCCTTCGGGATGTATAGTGCCTCGGACCTCAACTCCATCATGTAAAATCTCATTGCTGTACCTAAAACGCATTGGCTTTATAGTGTAAAAAACATATATATGTGCATACGTAAAATACAGATATCTGAAACCTACTTTGGACAAGCACACCAACAACCACTGGGTTATTGATGTTACCCCAGACCATCTTGTTTAAAGACAGCTTCATCATGGAGAGCAGCTTGAGATAATCAAACGATAGGAGTTTCCCAGCCTTGATCCCAGGTTTTTTCACTTCCACGAGGAGAACTGGAAAGTCATCTACCCGTGCGATGATGTCGGGTCGGAATTCTTCCAGACTGGCATCCAGGGATGGCATCTCCTCGAGGCGAGAATCTCTAGCAGATGTTAAGACATAAATCGAGCGTTAAACGATTTTAGGGGAAACTTTGCCGGTTGGCAGATACTTATAAATGAATTCGTGATTACATGGCAATTGTTGCTCCCAATCCATGCAGGAGCGTCTCAATTATAGGAGTAACGAAGAAATGCTGGTATGTCGCTTCATTGAGCGATTGGCCTTTCTTGGTCCCCCATATTCGATCGGTACAGGTCATATTCTGGATTACCTTGAACGTGAGCGAATTTCTGACAGCATTTGGTGCCTTGGAAAGCTTATCCTGGAAATGCTGATAATCCTGAGTACCCGCAGTTCGGGTACATCCTTTAAGGAAACTGCAATGTTCCTCGGGTATCCTGGTTACTTTCCTGGTCCCAAATATCTCTCCAAGAACCTGGTCACTAACCAGCGATTTAAGAATTGATTTCGAAAAGATAAAGTTGAGAGTTCTAGAGATATTACGGCAAGGGAGTTTTTAATATAAGTATCAACTCCGCATTCCACGCTCTACGAACACAGTTGCGAACACAGTTGCGAACACAGTGACATACAATAACTCATCAGCTTTTTTCAAAGTCGCTTCTTTCTTCACAAATATTTCCCGCGCCTCCATTGCCTTCAACGAAACATCTACGTTATTAATAATCAAGTGTTCTTGGGAAAGGCGGCAAGATGTTGTTCCTCGGCCGACGAGATTCGTAACAATAGAGAGTCCCTATTAGTTGCATGTTAGTTGCATATTAGTTGGCAGTTCAATGTTTTTGGAATGCTATTTCAGCACTTGGCAATCTAATTGAAAGGGAGAGAACACACTTTTGAAGAGTTGCTCTTTTTCTTATTGGCAGTAATTTTATTGGCAGTAGTGAATTTAGGCATGTTGAAGAAAATGTTGATTGAGAGTGTTGGATAATTGGATAATGGGTGATTCAGCTCTTTTTATAAATAGTGCAGCGTTTATCTTTTGGAACGGTAAAGCACGGAGCTCTCGGGACAGCATAATGTAATGCAATGCACACAAAGTGCCATCCATGAGGAGTACTTTTAGACTTGGTTTTTCACATTCCCAGCCCCCCGGAAAAAGTAATAAAGTGACGAGCTGTAGATTTATTAAATGTTATATATCGAATAAGTATGAGGGAGTGAGTGGTGAGTGAACAACAAAGGCCAAACATTCTTGTCCATGTGCGGCTGCGGATGCTCCGGATCCTCCTTCTTTTGTCTTGTATGTTATAATATTGATAATAGTAATAATATGATTATTAATATTATTAAAAAAAAAAAAAAAAAAAAAAAGTTAGAATCGAGTACTGGCAAAATGTTATATCAGCTGTAGACTGAAAAAATGTTGAGGTGGTTACTATTATGGCAATTGACAGCGAGAATGACAGAGGCGACAGTGAAAAGGATCAAGACTTGCTCCATCTCGAAGCAGACAGAAAACCAACTGCAGAGACAGCGCTGGTCACTAACAATCATCACCATGGCGAAGATGGTGGGATTTTGCCACCGCGAAGATGGCTGTTAAACTCTCCCTGCCCTAAGGGTAGAGAGGGACCAATGCAGCTGCAACTGTGTCTGCTGCTTGAGAAAGAGTTTGGACGTCCAGCCTGTAGAATTGCTTCTTGCTTGCGGAGGGCCTCGAAGCAGACAGAAAACCAACTGCAGAGACAGCGCTGGTCACTAACAATCATCACCATGGCGAAGATGGTGGGATTTTGCCATCGCGAAGATGGCTGTTAAACTCTCCCTGCCCTAAGGGTAGAGAGGGACCAATGCAGCTGCAGCTGTGTCTGTTGCTCGAGAGAGTAGCCGACATCGTGAATAGAACGGACTAGAGAAGAGGGACTTGCTTGATGGCTGATGCTATGATTGTGTCGTGTTTGATGATTGACAAAAGAAAAAAAAAAAAATACCACAAGATCTTTTCAAGCTTACGCCATCACCTTCCCTCAGTTGCAATCCCTTCCTTTAGCTACAATCTCCCTCACTTGCCAGTCACTTACCTGCCCTCCTGCCATGTTTGACATAGAGAGGTCAGCTTACAATAGTATTTTTGAATTGAGAGGCTCTTAGCCAACCAATGGCCTAGAAATATATCAAATTCGAAATTTGTACAAAAATGTACAATTATCGAGATTCCACTGTACAATTTTTTTTTTTTCTTTGGATTAGACTTTTGGATCACATTCAATTTTAATTGAAGAAGGAAATACAATTGGTCAATGGGATAGACCAAAAATGGACTAGACTTTTTCTGAGATTGAACATACGCAAAAGCTGGAAGACTGGCCAGGCCAGGGCGGATGTTTGTTATTGTTTTGTGGAGAGACATGGCAGAAATAGGGTCTATACCAAAAATGATGTATGCAATGTGGAACTAGAACGATATTTACTTTTTATAGTGATCTAGAGTTAAAGTTGGTAAACATTCTGAAGAGAATAAAGGCAAAAGAACCCATAGCTCTTGTCCACAAACTATGCTAATTATCATTCGCTTACAAAATGAGTCTGAACTGCTATAATGAACTCATCTGTCCAACGGTCTTTTGTTGTTATTTATTGTTCAGATTGTTCACAAAGTAAGGGTCTCTCTCGCACTCTCTCAACAACAGTAAAAACTGTCCACAACACAAACAAATAATGATGCAACAATGTAACAACAAGTGCATTCTGATGTGCAAGATATCATATCAGGTTACACGAAATGAATCCAAAGGATACTTGCTATTTGATATTTGTTTGTTTACTCTGTTCTAGCCCTTTTGTCGCCTGCCTATTTGTAAATGTATTATATTATATATATATATATATATATATATATATACATTATTAGTTCATCAAGGTTCCTCTCATAGTCTATTTGATTTCTGGAGCAGATTGACTTGCAGGATATCCCGGCATTGGTCCGTCAACAAACAATAAGAGCAAAAACAGGAGTGAGACACAAGATACAATATCTTGTACCTTATTTCTTTTACTCTTCATCTCATCAGCATTCATTTCTATTCAATCATCTCGGATGACCCATTTGATTGATCATCCTTTTTCTGTACTTTCCCCGCGATATCTTTCCTGTATATCTTTCTATCCTCACCTGCGCTCCCCTTCTGCGTTGCCCAAAGATATTCTTTTCTTGATGCTGAATGGTGGCACCAATCTAGTATCACAACATAAACTAACCTAAACCAAACTGATGTATATATATACTTACTCATATGCTTTGTTGTTTCAGCGATGAACAGTTGTGAATGCTCATATTCCTGCAACTTGTGAACTTGTGATATGTTAAAGAATATTCGCACTTCCCTCTTCTGTTCTTACTTTTCGACTTATCCTTTGTCTCATGTATACACGTAATGTTTTCCCATCATTCCATTTCAGGCACTGGTCAATGAAATTGTTCATTCTAATCCCCGCTAGAAAAAAAATAAAAAAAAGCCCACCCACGGGGAAAAAGAGTATTTATTCATGCCCGACACAGAAAAAACGAAATGAAAAGCTCATGAGCGAAAGCGGAGTCAAGACATCAGAATGATCCATGGGCTAACTTCTATTATTCATGCATTATCAAAAGTCCGCTTGTTCATGGCAGCTTATTGTCATTCCATGGTCTCGTGGATGAGGAAAAAGAGCCTTTTTTTCTCTTGCTTTGTGAGGACATCTGACTGTAACAGAATTTTGTCATAGGCGAATCCAAGTTCGAGAGGGTGTTAATCATGTGCGAATCTTCAATTTTATACTTGATCTCCATGCAAAGGTTTTTTTTTTCAGGATCATATAAATTCCAGCTAATGAGCTTTAGTAAACCATTTTATACTTCGAAAGCTCTTTTGCCACTAAATTCCTATCCCTTCATCGACCTAGAGTATCCAACAAGCGTAGCATTCTATTGTTTAGCTAGGAAGCATGGCATTAAGTAACACTATTGCATCACTGATATCCAGAGTTCATCCGAGATCTCTAAAGGAATCAGCCCACTGGCAAGACGCTCGTCAATCAGATAAAGACCCATACAGAATTGTGCACGGTTGAGCCGTCCTGCATTGTCCACGTCCACAAGATCCCTATACAAATAACTAGTATGTTAAAATATGCAAAAAAAAAAAAAAAAAAAATTATAAATTAATCAAATCCCTTACCAGATCTGTGCTAATGTTTTGGAATCCAAACGGCTCTTTACATAGATCGCATGAACTTTGGGGCCTATCGTGAGATCGGGGGGATGATTGTTATAAAAAAGAAGATATACTGTTTTATCTCAATTTTAATTTGGAGATTATAACCAGTCCTTTTTACCTTCAATATATTCTCCTGTAGTTAAAGCCTTGAAAAGTGCTTCATATCGTCTTCTAGCGTCAGGTTTGACTCCAACTGTTTCTGGCGTCGCAACCTCCAGCGATCGTGTTGAAGGAGCTGCAATGCGAGATCCTGGTAAAGTAGTCTTTGTAGCTGAAGGCGCTGGTCTGTTCCATCCATGTGCTATCACATCCATCGCATCCATCGCATCCATTATTGGGCCCCCCTTTTTGGATACTGGATGCGAAAATAGACTGGAAGTAGAAGCATCTGTCTTCGGCTCTCTTTGCAGCCTCATGGGTGTTACAGACGATGGAACCGTGGATGTTGAAGGAGTAATAGGGATCGTGTTGGATCGTACAGGTAATGGTGGTGGTATAGCGTTCTTTGTCTCTCCCGTCACAACACTAGGCGCTACAGGAGCAGATGTCGTCGACATAGTTGAGGGCAGTGTCTTCGATCCCACGGAGTTAATTTTGATTCCAGATGCAGCGCCTGCAGGCATAGCTAGCTCATCAGCTGTCGAGCCCCCATTTCTTTCGATTATGCCTTTCATGGTGGGGCTTCGTTTCCCTGTTGTTGAAGATCGAGTTAATTCTTGAACGGCAGATCGTGTTACAGACGGTGAGATTGTCGAAGAAGGAGTGACTGTGTTGATCAAGGGAGCTCGCGAGGGCAATGGCAAAGGCTGGGAATTGCGAGTGATCGCAGGCAAGAAGCTCAATTCGACTAATGCTTGGTGGGTTGTAGGGGGACTGAAAGGCGCAGGTCCTGGGATACCTGCTGTGTCAGCTGGCTTGTTTGCTGGGGATATGGCGGTTGGTATAATTAGTGTACGGTTTGGAAGCTTGGGCGGGGTATTGGACGCGATTGGTTCAAGAGCATCATTATTTGTAGATGAAGTGGTTAGTGAAGGTGATGATGTCTTTGAGATCGTTGGTGATGTTGTGCTCTTCCCAGTTCTAGCAGACCGAGGTTTCGAAAAAGTCGTCAGTTTGGGCACAGGAACCTGCGAATCCTGGATCTGATATACATGCTTTGACGGATTGACTTCTGTTGAAGACGATCCAGAGCTTGTTGATGGTGGTGACGGAGATGTTCTAGGTGGTAATGCAGGCTTTGCTGCCATGGAAAAGGGGAGTCCAGGCAGTACGGAACTGTCACGTGTTTGTCCGTTTTGCTCTTTAGCCGCTCCAACAGCCGTTGGCCGCGGCGGAAGTGATGCAGGCAACTGTGTTGATGTAGAAGATGATGTTGCTGAAGGCGCGGAGGATAGGGATTTTGTTTGCTTTTGGTTTGCCTTGGTCAGATTAGCCATGCGCTCCTTTACTGATAATGGTAGTCTATTCTCCTCTTCCTCAGAGTTATTCTTGATCTCCGTCATCCCATTACGTTTTGGCAAAACTGGGGGCCTAAGGACAGTTTTATTTTCTGAAACTGAGTTGGGATGTGCCTTTAAAGGTGTCGCTGATGACAATCCTACTTTAATGGCAGTATTAGTTGATCTCAGGCCTAAACTTGGTAAAACTGTATTAGAAGCCGTTAAACTGTTCCCAGAACTTGGTGATCCTGCTATACTCTCAAGTCCTGGTTTCGCGTTAGAAGAGGCATCCAAGGCTTTTCTTGCAGGTAACAATGGCTTTATTACAGCAACCTCTGTGCGCGATGATCCAATGGCGGGAGACATTGTGACACCATTGCTCATTGATCTAGAGGGTAGCTGTGGCGAAGCCGCAGCTTTTGTAGGTGTTTTTTGTTGTTGCTGTAATTACAAAGATAAAAAAATAAAAGTTAATAGAAAATAGACATAATAGTCATAGAGAATGGGTCCAGTTATTTTTCTTTTCTGTCAATGTTTACTTCGGACTGAGCATAGATGAGTTCGGCATAATTGTCTGGGAAGAGTCCTTCTTCGCCCGTCCGTTGTAAGCGACCATACAGCCAACCGTCTTCTGAAGTTCTACGGACTATTATTTAACATTGCAAGAATTAGAAAAAACTTGATTCTCTTGTATGCAAAATGGTTTGCTAAAGTCAATTACCATCAATTAGAATGTCTCCTTCTTGAAACGTAAGCTCTGATTCCTCATCCCCTGTGCAATCAAAAAGGGCTTTCGCATGAATGACCTGTACCATGGTTGTAAGAAAAAAAAAGCTGATGTGATTGTCACGATGGCATGGTTTCACAACGAAAAACCCTCATTTTGGGCTATAAATTTTAATCAAAGCAGCAAAGCTGGATTAGTTATTTCATGCATTTGCTCAATCATAAAAAACGCTTTGAGGGATCTGTACTTTATTCTCCTTTAACCTCTTCCTCTTTACGAGGACATTAATGATCAGTGTGGACTAGATCTCCAACCTTGCGACATGCGCTCCCATATGTTCAATAGGGTTCATGTCCAGAGATTTAGGTGGTCGCTTCATTGCTGCTATATTTTTGCTAAATAGTTTTTAACCACCCACCTGATGTATCGTTGCATCATGTTGAAAATTAAAGGTTTTCGGTCCCATGTTATACTAATCCCGGCTACCTTGGAGATAATAACTGTATCTTATTGACCCAAGCTTGATTTATCTCATCCGGGAAGCAGCAGCAATTGTCCATACCTTGGAAAGCCATGCAGCCCCAGAGAGAATGTGATTTTGGCGACATTATAAAACGGCTGTAGATAAGTGCCTTTCAGGCACAATCCACCGTCTCTGTTGAGAAGGAGGCATGAGTAAGCTTTTGGCTGACTTGGGATACAGAAGTACTAGGTCAAAATGAAGCATCGGGATTTGTGAGTTGTGCATAACGTGGCGCAAGACTTTTTTGCTCTTTCCGTGATTGAAGAAATCATGTGGTTTTGTAACCCTTCGTACTTGGTTCTTATATCACCTTGGTATCCTTGAGCGTCCTCCTCAAATCCCCAGGGTTCAAGATCTCGCAAGGATGTGGATCTATGGCTCATAAACGATATCTTGAAGAACCCTATCTTCCGTTATCGCCCTTTCTTTCCATGGCCTTAGATTTCTCTGTCCTCGCGAGTTATTTCCAGTTTGTCCACAACAACACTAAAGCTCACGTTTAGATCGATTAATTGTTTTGCATAGGAAAACAATTTTCTCGAATAATGCAGTATTTTTGTTATGTCACTGCTTCGGATGTAGGGTTACAGGGCGCTTATCAACATTATCGTTTAATAAAAATATTAAAACAGATATCATTATTGACATTTATCCGTTTGAATATTAGAATGTGCGTTAAAAAAAAAACAGGTGTGTCAATCGGGACCTCAAATACGTTCTGTACTGGGCGGCTGTGGTTTTATAATTTTAGTGGACGTTATCGGACCAGGATCAAGGATAGTTCATTGGTGGTGGCATACTTACACTTTTTAATTTGGATGCTAATATATCCTTTTTAGTAATATGTGATGTTGAAATGAAGAAATGAAATGAGTAATGAGAGATGGGAATCTGACAAAGCGCGTTACGCGCATTGGCCTCAAGTGTACCTGAACGTAAAACTGGTGAAACATTTTACCAGGATTAAATTTGCGAATGTAGAAAAGCAAGCACTTTGTACTTCCAGGTTGACATGTTTCCTTACGTATCCTATTTGTGGGAATTCGCGTGTGTGGACATGTGTGGACATTAAGCGAGAAGGACATGAATTCATTGGTTTGGAAATTATCAATAAAAACACCGCTTTGCATCTTTTTCTTCCACTCTTCCATCTTTCCTCCATATGCTCTAGCGATGTGCAAGTAGATCAAGCAAAGCAGCAAGGGCCAACAACTAAGAGCATGAATGTTTTATTCCCAGCGGAAAAGGGGTCATTTGTTGCATGCAGAAATAGATCACACTGTCAGAATAGAATGAAAATGCTCTTTGTTTTGCTTGTCCTTTGCGACACTCAGTCGGGAAAACGATTCAATTGGGCTACATATTTCTACACAAATATGATCCAGATATGCTGCTCCTGCTCTTCTTCAGGAGACAGCAAGGAGAACACATGGGAACTGACAAAGAACAAACAAGATGTTTGTAAAAAAAAAGACGCACGTCTTCCTTCTTCCGTTCCTAAACATTCGGTTTACTACTCTTGTTCACACGTTCTACTTTCTGCCTCCTCTTCCATTCCACTCATTCCACTCATTTGACTGATTTCATTTCATCTTACTTCGCCATTAACATGGAAACATATATTGCACGGTAGGTCTGCCTGCACAACACACACTATAGTCCATTAGATGATCAAAGCTAATGGTTGCTCTGGTTCGACTTTGTCGGCGTCACCTAGTATCGCTCAATTTGAGAAATACCTTGCGCCAGATGACGGTCAGGTCATTAACCGTCAAGAGTTCAAGGAGCTGTGCTTCAGCGGTAGGATCTATAACTTTTGTTCATGGCTCTGGATTTAATTCACCGTAGATTTATACCCACAAAAGCAAAAACTCTTGATCGATCGCAAGTTTATAACCTATCCTCAACAACAACAACAAAAAACTTAATAAAACCATACAGGTATTCCGGACAAGCCAGGTCTTCGCCAGATTTGCTGGAAGGTGTGACACTGACGGACAGACACATCAATTGATCCATCGTCTACAGAGTGCAGGAGGACATATCACTGAAAATTTTCCCTTTCGATGATTTATTAGATTCTACTTGGATATTTACCCTTAGACAAGTCACGATGGAACAAAGCATTGATGGAACAGAGACGACTGTACTATGTATGTAACGAGACAATACTTTGGACTATTTTTAGGTTCTGTTGGCTATGCCTACCAAATATTGAAGCCTGACCATAGAATATGTGAATGTTCAATTACTCCATTACTCTAATACTGTAGAGCTTTGTCAAAGACCTGATCGTCGAACCTGAAATACATGAGCCACCCGAAGGCTGGAGTGTTGAAGAGGTATATTTTATATAATCTTCATATAGCTTTTTAACGCATGCTTATTTACCAAGTTGCCGAGGATCCATATTTAAAACAACCTGTTGCTCACACAATAGCTTGCAAATCACAATGACGATTCAGAATGGTCGTTGTTTTTACAGGACAATAAGACACTGGAACAAATTGACAAGGATGTACGGAGGACACTGCCGGATTTTGCTTTCTTTCAGCTGCCTATACCTTACTCGCCACTCTGCCCCTTGAGTATTGCACCAAAAATCCGTAAACCTAAGGAAAGAAAGGCTACTGTCAAAGTCGGCTCTAGCATTAATTTAGATGCTTTATCGTGGGCAACGACAACCAACCAAATGATATCAGCAGGGTCACTACCTGGTCCTGGGTTTACACATAGGCAAAGACTCCAGGATGAGCCAAGCATGGATCTCGAATTTGCACCTGTAACACGCACACTGACCCCAACACTCAAGCGCCGTCAAACTGTTACTGTGATGTCCCCAATAGCTGGCAGGAAAACCAATGAGATTGGGAATATGGATCGACGGCAGAATATAGCCCTTTCGTCACCCATCAACGGTGGGATAGAGACACTTCCTCATGCTCTCCTCAATAGATATAAGACCTCCAATAATGATAGTTACTGCTGCTCGTCGGTTCCTTCACGGCTCAGGGGTATGGCAACGGCGGCTGAAAAAGATGAGGACGATAACGATAATAAGTCGTCTGCAGTGCCTGATTATCTTTTCTCACCCATTCCCACTCGCCGATCGCTTTTTAAACGAGTTGCACATCTGAACCAAGACTTTGGTTTTCGACAGCATCAGCCACATAGTTTACGGACTTCCAGATCTAAGGAGAGTTGGGCGAAAAAAATATCGGGTGAGAAGACTAAAAATCAAAGAAGTGATTCAAGGTCACCATCCTCTTCTTGCTCGTCTTCTTTTTCCTCTAAAGTCTCATCGGGGACTGAGAGTGACGATAGCATAGACGATGAACTTCCGCAGGATTTGCATTGGGAAGCTATAGAGCGCATCTTGTTTATTTATGCAAAACTAAATCCAGGAGTCGGGTACGTTCAAGGCATGAATGAAATTCTCGGACCACTCTACTATCTCTTGGCCAATGATGTTGACGAGGTGAGCCGTGGTAAGTTGGCGGCTATCTTTCCATGAGTGTATGTTAGAAGGCCTCCATAAAAAAAAAAAAAAAAAAAGGTCCTATTACTAATATCACCACATTTTGAACTATTAATAGCACATGCGGAAGCCGAGTCATTCTGGTTATTTCACTTGTTGATGGCGCACTTCCGCGACCACTTTGTAAGATCCCTTGATCGGGATCGAACAAGTGGCATCGGATCAACAATAGCGAGAATGAACTTTCGCTTGAGACAGTTTAATGAACAACTGTGGCAGAACCTTGAGGACAAAGGAATTGCGCCTGAGTACTACAGCTTCCGGTGGTTAACGGTTTTGTGTACTCAAGAGTTTGAAATGCCAGATGTTTGGCGGATATGGGACTCGATCCTTGCAGACACTGGGGGTATAGAGAAAGATTACGACTTTTTACTAGATTTTGGATGCGCCATGGTGTGGTAAGCAGATTATAGAAATGCTTCAGTCTTATAAATGAATAGCAGGTTGAGCTCAGCGCAAGACTGATTTTCTTCTTGTTTTTCAGCCACCTTCATGAGGATCTCGTACAAGGCGACTTTGCAGACAATGTCAAATTACTTCAGGTAAAATTACTTATTTTTTTTCTAAATGCGGTTGTTATTATTCGATTGTTTGAAGAGTGCATGTATTAGTGCCATTGATATGTATCTAATAGTGTTCATGTTCCGTTTGACACCATAGAATTACCCTTCAGTGGATATTCAACCTATTTTGCATCTTGCGACAGTTATTCGTGATCATCGCATTAAGCATACTATCAGGAAACACACAAGCCCAACAGTTGATACCAGAGAGAATGGGTCCCATCGACAGAGCATGGACCTTCGATTGTGGGGTTCGCGTAGTTCGTCCAAGCTACAGAAACACAGCATTTCAACTTATGAGAATATGAACGCACGGGATTGTAAGGCGCAGATGATTGATGGTATCCAGAATAGTGATCGGCTCGACCATAACCTTGAGGGGACAGATCATCGCTCCCCACTGTACATACCTGTGTCGTCAAGCCCAAAAAAGAGCAGACCCTTGAGTATATCGGCATTAAGTCTAGATGGACGGTGGTTAAGAAGCAACAGCGGCGATGCCACATCTTCCGGATCCGGAACATTATCGGCAGACGAACGACTATCCTCGCCCTCAAGTCGTAGTATAGACAACTATATGATGGGTCATGGTGTTCGATCGCAGACAAGTACATGGGCAGAGACGTTTACAATGTTCAAAGCACGGATTGTAGGTCTTGGACCTTCCTTAGGGATTAGTAATGGTGTGAGCGATGCTGAGTCTTTGAGTGCAGTCCCAAGAGAGTCCGTAGATGTACTGGCTCCGTCCATAAAATTAGCTTTGTAATAATGATCCTTCTAAGCGGGGTTTTTTCTTTAAAAATATGAAAAGCAAGAAGGAGTGGATGCGATCGAATGATCAAAAAGGTTCGAGTTGTGATTGTCATATGAAAAGTTGTAAGTGGATTTGGTTATTAAGTAGCTCAGACTTTGTTCCTTTCATATTCAAACATAAAAGAAAGATATACGCATGGACTATACAGTCAAGACAACAACGTAGGAAAAAAAAAACAGGTGAGATTAAAGCCAAATATACTGAAAGACAGACACATGCATGCCCTGAATGTCTCGAAAATGGGGTGGAGATTAAATGAAGTGAGAGTTAGCTCAGGCATTTTTGGTTCAAGTGCCCAATCAAATGAAAAGTATTTTAATTGGGACAACCAAATCAAGGGCCATCGGAAAGAGACGCTTTGTGCACATTTTGTGCTTCCGATAGGCTGGTTGGATGGGCTATATAAAATGGTAGTTTCTCTTTTTTTTCTTTTTTTCCTTTCTCCTTTACTCCTCATCCGCTTCCGTTCCACTTCTCTCCTCTCCACTCTATTAACTCTCCACTCTATTAACTCTCCACTCTCATCATGTCTGTTGTTCCTCAGAAGCCAAAGAAGGATGCCAAGGCCTTCGCTGCTGATTTCCTCATGGTAAGTCTATCTTTTCATAACCAACATGCCCATTCGCTTCCACTTCTCTTCCAATGTTTCCGGAAAATCTAGCAATAAACTATTACAAAATCAGATGAATCTGTGTCAAAACAAACTGTGTCTTACGACCCGATTGTTTTGACTCTTGTTGTACCTCGACTTTGACTCGACTCGACTTGTCATGGCGCGGTTCGACTGAATTATTTTACGAGAGCTCGGTCAACTGGAATACATCAAAATATGAAGTAGCCCCTAAATTACTTCATTTTACACTTATTTCATTTTGTAACAAATCATAGGGAGGTGTCTCTGCTGCTGTCTCCAAGACCGCGGCTGCCCCTATTGAGCGTATTAAACTACTTCTCCAGAACCAGGACGAAATGCTCAAGTCTGGTCGTCTCTCTCACCCCTATAAGGGTATCGCTGATTGCTTCCGTCGTGTTGTTGCTGATGAAGGCATCTCGCCTCTTTGGAGAGGCAACACTGCCAACGTCATCCGTTACTTTCCCACCCAGGCTTTGAACTTTGCCTTCAAGGATTACTTCAAGGCCATGTTCAACTTCAAGAAGGAAAAGGATGGTTATGCCAAGTGGTTCGCTGGTAACATCGCTTCTGGTGGTGCTGCTGGTGCTTGCTCCCTTCTCTTTGTCTACTCCTTGGACTATGCTCGTACTCGTCTTGCCAATGATGCCAAGGGCAAGAACGGTGGTGCTCGCCAGTTTAACGGTCTCATTGATGTTTATAAGAAGACCATCGCCACTGACGGTGTTGCTGGTCTTTACCGCGGTTTCCCTCTCTCCGCTTTCGGTATTATCATCTACCGTGGTTTGTAAGTTAATCTGTCTGCTTTTTTTGTTTATTTTTGTTTAGCTCTAATGGCAAAAAAAAACTATCAATGGAAAGCTTGATAGTTATGTTTATTATACGTGTATACGTGTTAACAATCTTGTTCACAAACACAAAAATTAATAATAGGTACTTCGGTCTTTACGATTCCGTTAAGCCTTTGATGCCTTCTTCACTCCAGGGCTCGTTCATTGCCTCTTTCATTCTCGGATTCGGTGTTACAAACTTGGCTGGTCTTGCTTCCTACCCTGTCGATACTGTCCGTAGAAGAATGATGATGACCTCTGGTGAGGCCGTCAAGTACAGCTCTTCATTTGATGCCTTCAAGCAGATCGTCACCAAGGAGGGCTACAAATCCCTCTTCAAGGGTGCTGGTGCTAACGTCCTCCGTGCCATCGCCGGTGCTGGTGTTTTGTCTGGCTATGATCAACTTCAGATCATCTTCTTCGGCAAGGCCTACTCTGGTGGTTCCGGATAAGCGTCCTTTGTTTTGGTTTTTCTCTCCCATCATTTCTCATCAGCTCCATCCATATCTTTAGACCTCATAAGACAGCATACAATAAAAAGACACATAGAAAAAGTTAATGGTATCATAAAAATGTTTTTTACTCGTTCCTAATTACAAGCTTGCTTGCAGATGGTTGGTGCTCTTGCCCCTTACATATTTTAGCTTTTGCTCACAACAAGCATACATCTTTGCTGTTCCGTGCGTTGCCGAAGAGCGGGGTTTGGATAGGAATACTCTATTTGGAAAGAGGCAATAGTGGGGAAAAACTTCTGTATGTACACTGAACAACGTGGATGTCCTTATGTGACTAAGGAGCTAAGCACTAATATCCATATCCGTGCATGGCCTCTAAGGTGTAGGTGTAAGAGATAAATGTAACAGTAAAGATGGTTTTTGATCCTTATCGGGATAGGAAGGAAGACAGTGCAATGCGTAGAAGATCTTATAGGACTAATTTTTTTTTTTTTTTTTTTTTTTTTTATAAAAAAAAAATCTATCGGGAATGCAGCCGACGGTCCCGCCAGTCACTTCCAAGGCTTTGGCTGTTTGCCCCTGTCATTGCACTCTCCGGTCCATCATCAGCATGGTCATTATCGTCATTGCTGTCCTCATCACTATGTTCCAGTTCCTTCTCACTCCACTTTTGTAGTAGATTCGCTAGCTTCTTGGGCATCGTCGTCTTTGAAGAAGAGCCTCCAGTCCCGAACAAGGTGGAAGAGCTGGACGTCAATCCAGGTCGGTTTGTAAAAATGGTTCTACGTGACGGATGAATATTTTGATCCGAAGAGACATTGGTCTCTGCAGTAGATTCAACCGCAAAGGTTTCAGCTTTCCGCTTCTTAGTTTTCGTAGATGTGGCTGATAAAGATGTAGATGTTAATTTAGGTGTGCCAGCTGTCAAGGCGGAGGATGAACCTATGCTCTCAGACGTAAATACAGAAGATATTGTTGAGTTTGGCGATGTTGCCTGATTGGTATGTCCTTGTATCAGGCTAGGTGATGGACTCTCGATGTAGCTGACTGGTTGTGACACAAAGTGTGGCCTACTGTTTCTGGACGAGACAGGTGACCCTGAGGGACGAAATGGTGGGTTTAGATGCTGAATTAATTCCTGAGAGGGATAAACAGAGGAATAGGTGCCCTAGAAACCATCAGCGGACAATAAGTTCCGTGCATCATGTCAGCGTTTCATGCCTTATTAATTAAAATGAACTAAGTGGCACGTTGCGTACCGTTCGTAAGTGCTGAAATCCATACGCTTCATCATCTGCATCCCATACTGCTATCCAGCCAGGCGGCGCTACTATATTCTCAAGATCGTACATATGTTTGATCATGGTCCCCATAACACCCCCAAAAGGAGGTAATGTCGATTTCTCCGCCTCGGAAAGATAAAAATTGGTATTGTTAGCCATGGCTTCCGCTCTTTCTTTGCCAACAAAATATGATTCATATAGACCACCCTTCTCCCAATCTTTGACTCTGGTAGCAAACTCAAGTAGCCTCCTATCCAAATCTTTTTGATCCACAGTGGATGATGGTAGAAGTGAGATATAATAAAGTCGATTTTGGATTGTATGGATATCCTGTAGGGTTGTTTCCAATGCCTTTTTGCTCTTATCATCACCAGGTTGTACGTCCAATGACGCTTCCAGTAAAGAAAAAGGAGGGGGAGGAGGGGGAGGAGGGGGAGGAGGGGTTACAGTTGTAGGCGCTATTGAGGGTGGTGGGGGTGGGGGTGGTAGCAATACAGCATCTTGTTCGTCGGAGGGATATGGAATATCTTCAATAGTCTTTAAGAATGCCATGACTTCTAGATCTTCTGATGCTAGGCCTTCATTCTCATTATCTTGCATAGGCGATGGACTCGTACACTGCATAATGTGATTTGAAGGTGGAGCAGGTGCTATGGTTGCAAGGTTTCGGATGTCCTTCAAGGCAGCGGCGACATAGTTTTCGTCACCATCGTCTTCAGCACCATCAATAGTGCAGTTGTTATTAGTATTGTTGGTTAAGTTCGGTCGTTGACTGATAGAGCGTTTAGTTGTTGTGGCATGCGACACATCCTCCTGTTCGAACTCCGGATCTGAATCGCTGGTGTAATTGACAAGAGCATTCATGGCTAAGGAGCAATTGTTAAGCCGTCTGTTCGTAGCAATGTGTTGAAAAGAGAAGAGGTAGGCCCACAGTCACGCACACGCGTAAAAAAAAAAGTAGAACATGAGGTTTGACAAGAAAAAAGAGTTGAAATGAGTAGAATGTATCTTAACTACAAAGGCTTTTTTTTCTTTTTTACCTGACTCGAACACTCATGCTAGGCGCAGAACTTGACGCTGAGCAAATAGCTGCGCTGATTCAGCAAGATCTACATCTACAGATCGCTTTTCCCTCCTTTCCACTTGAATCTGCTCTTGGGCATACAGCCTGCTGTGTGGTATGGAAAAACTATGCGACAGTAGGAGTGACTTCGCTCCTATCATTAATCACATGAAATGGAGAGATCGTGAGTGAGTTGGGCTTGGATAAGGATGCAAAAGCATGGAACCTCTCACTCTGACACTCGCGGTTTTGCTATCTCTATTTGTTACCCTGAGCTTTCTAGGTACAAAAATCATGGCTTGACCAGTTGCACAATGGAAGTGCAACTTGTCTGTACGAAGGAAGAACACCTTTTAGAGAAACCTCTACAACGAATGCTGTATCACCCTTGCCTAGTACAGGAACTTCAAAGTCAGGGGAAGAAGTCAATGTCTTTGTAAACGTCATATCAAAGACCAACCCTTTACAGCAGGATAACTGGACAAAGTATGCTTTTTGGGCTATAGTGGTGTGTAGCCCCATGTCTTCTGCAAGTAATAAAAAAAGGAAAGAAACAGACTAATCGTTTGCATGCGTTTCTAGAGCGCGAGTGTTCGGTCCATCCGAACAACACGCACACTTAAAAGCGACGCAGCCCACTAGAAAAGCCTACACCACTTTAACCTTATTACCAACCAACAATGAATGGAATTTGACAGGAGAAGATTATATTCGGGAGCTGTTGGCTGCTGATGGGGGCGATGATCTCAAGACTGAAGAGTCTATTGATACAGATGGCGCTCCAAACTACAAAGAGTTCCAGCCAATTTTGGAGAGTGATGACTTTGCGAGTGATCATAATAGAAGACCGCCAAATGTGAGCGGTATGGACAACGACGACACGTGCCACAATATTTATAATCAGAACCAAAAGCTCATCGAACATGTACTCGACGTCATATACCCAACCACCTTGCGATACAGAGTAGTTCATCCTTCTCATGATGACAGTCAGTCCACCCCTAGATTGGTTCTCATCAAAAAAAGCCAGTTGAGCGAGGCTCAACCTATGCCAGCCAACATTGCGGCAGCTACTGCTATTATAGAGTCGGACCGCGCGCACTATTGCCTTTCGCCACATCGATTAGGGGGCGCTACTGGGTTGACAACCTTGCAGGATCTCCTACGTTTCAATCCCGGAAACCTCAATAACTCACTCAAAAAAGGATTTTTGGTGTTTCAACTCCTAAAAGCTGTCAAAGGACTACATCGTCATGGAATCATTCACGGTAATCTAAACCCATCCAGCATCTACATTGATGAAAACCTATGGATCACTCTAACAGGGATCAAATGCTCTGTACCTTACTCTCGAGACAATCTGTCTCATCACAAGCAAGAGCTAAATCCAGGAAAATCAATAGAGTGGAGTATAGCGAAAGGTTCGTCAAATGTTCAGATACCTAGGAGTTGCCATTCACAATAAGGATTGGCAGCAGTAGCGACAAGCATAACTGATTCCGAAGTACTTTCCCCAATAGAAATTCATGAGGAATCGACTGTTATGAGGTGGGTCAAAGGCGAAATTTCTAACTTTACATACCTGATGATCCTCAATCATGCAGCAGGTGAGGATCCAATATGCCTGATGCAGTAAGAAAGTAGGCAGGTGTTTAACAATCATAGAGTGTAGTCACTAATAAGACCTTTTTTTTTATTTAACATTTTAGGGCGACGTCAAGGAGACCCCAATGTACATCCAATTTTCCCTTGGGTTACAGACTTTACAGGATCAGAAGTTCATCACAACTGGAGAGATTTTTCAAAGACAAAGTTTCGGCTCAACAAAGGTGACGAGCAGTTAGATGTGACCTTTGATGGACCAATACCGCACCATATTACCGATATTCTATCAGATATTACCTATTACGTCTACATGGCTAGACAAATTCCGATCCCTGTCCTTTGTCAATTTGTCCGATCAAAGTATGAGGCAAATGAATACCCATCCTCCATCCGACGACTTTATGAATGGACTCCGGACGAGTGTATTCCTGAATTTTATACAGATCCTAATATTTTTAAATCTATACATGCCGACATGCCAGACATGGCATTACCAGCATGGGCTAAGACCCCAGAAGAGTTCATTCGTATCCATCGGGATGCATTGGAAAGTGATTATGTTTCAAAGCACCTGCACGAATGGATTGATCTAACGTTCGGTTATAAACTCTCTGGCCCGAATGCCATCGAGGCCAAGAATGTAGCATTATCATTATGTCCTGGGCAGAGCGCTTTCATGAAGCACGGAATCATTCAGCTTTTCACCGATCTTCACCCTCAACGAGTTTGTAATTGGTCCCTTTCGAAAACGTAAGGCTTTTCTTTTCTTTTTTTTTATATTTTGTTCCTATCGCATGAATGCCCAGATATTTGATTATATCACCAGAAGAATCAATTGTTAACGACAATAGTTGCAAATTATTCCTATTAGTGACTTTTTCAATGCCCAAGCGAAGAAACAGACCATCTTGGAGAAGGCCTCGAAGAGTATCAAGCGAAGAAGCCTTTATAGGCCTCAGAATGATCGGTCACAATTTGTTGACAAAGTATCGGATCTGCTATTTCGCCCAGCTGGACCAACACGATCTAAATCATTACGCCAGCAACCCGGGTCCAGACCCGGCACAGTCGCCATCAATAATGGTAATCAAGAACGAGAGTTGGGTAATTCTGCGCCAAGTAGCTCATTACCTTCAACCAATGGCCTTTTGTCGCCAATGAATGTTATTATACAGGATACCAATCTTGCTTTAGTTTCGACGAGACCAGAAGCACTAGTACAGCTAATTCAATCCGAGCCGATCGAGCTTTCCAAGGAACTAGGGCAAATAGCTTTTATAGAAGAATTGGATCATTTCGAGAAGACCTTTCAATTTGGTTCAAAATATCATTTTATGAACAGCGAGGCAGCAAAGGCGCGGATTCTCTCTGATGCACCTACATTAGAGACAGGCGACTCAACTCTTCGAGAGAAGGATTCATTTGAGTACATGCAGAGCTGGGATGTTTATTGCTTAGGTGAGGTCTTTAAGCAGATTTACCTTGCAGAAGATATCCCAAATAACAGTATTGCTATGGCTCTGAAGCCAGGCATCACAGTATCAGAGCTAACGAAGTCACAGCGCGTAAGCCAAATACCCCATGCAACAGCACCTGCACGTACTGATATTGTTCTGACTAGAAATATTTCTAGGTTAATACCTTTCCTTTGATAACAGTATCTTTATTTTATTTTATTTTTTATTTTTTTTATTTAAATAGATACCAATTGCGGTCAGCGGGACAATCACGGCGATGCTTAATAACGACTGGAAGTCGCGACCGAAGATTGAAGATATCCTCCGCAAGTCAATACCTGCTCTCTCACTACAGTCGCCTACAATCTCGGCGTTTATACCAACCTTAATCACCGAGATTTATGACTTTTTGGCAATGTTCAACGTGAGGTAAGTTAACTGACTTGGGCCTATTTGTTTGTATACCTCATTAAATTTAACCGCACAATGAGAACTAATTTTTTTTTAAAGCCCAGTGGATGTTCAAGCGACGTTAGCAAGCAAATGTATCGATCGAATATGCACTTTCGAGGACGAAACATTTGAAATTGTATTGCCGGTCTTTGTCTATCTCTTTACAAATGAAGCGACGCGTGTGCACGCTCTGGATTTCCTACCGAAACTAGGACAGCGGCTTGGAATCAAGCGTACAAAGATGTTTTTGCTCAAGCCTATCATTGCACTCTTCGAGGTATTCACTTGGGGGAAAGTAAAATACACAGACGATGTGTACGATTAGACTTTAATGCATTTTTTTTTTTTTTTTTTGTCATGCAGAGCTCAAAGCCAATTTTACCGTATCAAGTTTTTAGTGCCCCCATCTACAGTGAATTCTTGCGGCGCTTTGGGACTAGCACCTTCTTAAAGCAGCTCTTCCCATATTATCTAGATTCTCTTATCGTGGACTATGGGCTCCAGGAGTCTGTATCAGATGCCAAATCCTCTGTATCATTGCAATCACGACCTCTTGGCGGCATCGGCGCACCCAGCGTCTCCAGCATTGTATTAGATGAGGAGCCGGCTAGGAACTCGAACCAAGACAGCATTCCTAAATTAGGCAAGGTTGCCAGCGACGCATTTGTTGGTATTTGGTGTGTTACTCGCGCTTGAATAGTTAAGGCATATTGTCTATCATTCAATTCTTTATATTGGCTAACTGTAGGGTATCCTATAAATGTATATTCTAGCCGGTCCATTGGCCCAATACTGACATCTAAGCATGTCATGCGACCTTTCTCAAGGCTGGCATTCAAAGATCCTTTGCTTCTGCCATTGCTAAAAGAGACCCTTAGTGGGATTGCACAAGAGTTCGGATCAACATTTGCACTGGTGCAGTTCAGCCATATTATGCATTTGATCGATTCTGCCTCAATGAACTTTACAACTAGGACAAGCAACACGTTAGGAAACCTCCTTGGGATGCTTGGATCGGTACGGTGATGGAATCTGACTATGTTAATATCAACCATGATGCATGAATCACTTTATCCAAGGATCGACAATTGACTCATATTCCTTATTCCATTGGCGCTATCCATCAGCTTGTCCCACATATGTATGATACCCAGCTTGTGACAGAATTGAGAAATGGTGGATCAGACTTGATCTATCGTCTAATCGAGCCAAATCTGAGTAAGCGAGCCAGTCGATCTAACTCTCTGGACAATCCCAGACTGGCTGTCAGCCGTACTACAATGGACTTCATCTTGCATCTCAGCTATTCGCTAAGCAGATCTGACTGGGAAAAACACGTAAGATACTGTAATAAAAATTATATAAAGAGTTAAGAGTTTTGGCTTGTAATCTTATGATATATCTATATTTATTTCTTTAGATCGCTCCTATACTGCAAAAGTATTTCTCAGGGTTTGGGCCCGAAATAGATGAGATGAGCACAAAAACAGCTTCTCCTATGGATGTAAAAAGAAATGAACAGGTGTGTAACCATGGTTGTACCATGGGCTTTCTCGTTGTAAGGGCAGAAGATAAAAATGCTATTTTTTTTACTGACTGCTACCTGCTAACTGCTTTCTATAGATGATGTATGCATATGGACAGTTGTGCTCATGTGTAGGACAAGAAGCAATGCAAAGCATGATCCCTGCAAGGTATGCTCCAATGGCCGTATTAAGGACATATATATGAAAAAAATATCCTATCACTTTCTACTGATTAATGCATGGGCATTCTTTTCGGATGTATTTCTAGCGATGCCATTGAGAGACTAATTGCGGCTAGGTTGGCTTCTAAGGAATTTGGAAACTCACCTCTACGCTCGCTCGGTAGCATCACTGCTCAGGGGAAATTTGTGACCACATCTGCTTCTAACTACTGGCAGCAACAAAAGAGCCAACAGGCAAGGGACCTAGCAAATGCCAGAAAGGCACCGTTCTCTACAAAGGACCTTTGGTCAGCTACATCTGCTGGTATGTCAAAGGCACTGTCTCTTTTTGAAACAGCAAAGATTAGGCCAGCATCTGTAACTTCTGGTGGAAGTCAAGGAAGTGGTGGGAGCGGAGAGGGTGGAGGGGCAGGACCTTTAGCTTCTGCCGCATCCGCTTTGATGTCAGCCTCAACGTCAACATCTGTGAATACAATGGCGTCCGTGAACACATCAACCGCCATTCCAGCAAGTAGCCTGCCTGTTGGAAGTAAGGAATCTATAGCAGGTGAAAGAGCTAGCGAAGTACTTTTCTATAATCAAGAATCCGTAAAGTTACCAGCAGAGATTTTGCCGTCAGGATCACTATCCCCTATTCTCGGCGCAGCCCCCGCAAAGAGAACTCGTCAGAACTTCGGATCCCCTGGAAAAGCCAAAACAGCTGCTAGACTCGAGCAACTTAGGTAAAGCACTGCTCACCAATATATTTAAATGTAGATAGAGCTGCCCATGTTAACATCATTATATCACTCAATATCCTTTAATACTTCCTTTACAACGGATATGCTTCAATAGTAACTGGAATCGATTCCTATCTACAAACCAGGAAGAGATGGCAAAATCCATGCAATTTGCATTCAATGACTGGAAGCTTCAAGGTCTAGAAGGGCATACATCTGGAATAAGGGTTATTGGCGCCAATGAATATCAGCGTATTTTAGCCACAGGTTCAAAGGATCGAACTGTAAAATTGTGGTCATTGGATATCCATAAGGCGATAGAAAGCCCGGAATTAACAGAAGCTGCGACTGGCTGTTTGATGACTTATAATGGGCATCGACGAGGGGCTGTATATGATGTCCATTTTACAACTGGAGGTGGGTCATTTGGGACTGGAGATATTGTTGCAAGCTGTGACGGGCAAATTCATGTAAGGAGATGTACTTTTTTTTTTTTTTTTTTTTTTTATCACAGGCGAGCCACTTAAATGCATTTAATTTTCCCTGTGATCATGAATAGCTTTGGGAGCCAGAAACTGGAAAGACTATGCATCAGTTCAGCACAGGCAAGGCATCTGTGGTGACAATGGCGCCGATCCACCATTCGCGATGTATTGTTGCTGGCCATGTTGACAACTCTTTGAGCTTTCTGGATAGTCATACGCATTTAAACCTCCACAACTGGCGTACAACGAGCCAACTGGGTCTGTCAATCAAAGCATTGACGATCAGCCCTGCAGAGACATTGATTGCGACTGGGTTTTCCAATGGCACAGTGTCCTTGCTAGAGTCACGGACAGGGACATTAGTGGGCAATTGGCGAGCTTCAGACAATGAAATTACACAGGTATAAATCATACAATGACGACAGTTTTATTTGTCTATTTATCATTATTTTATTTATGTTGTTTTTAAACCACTTTCGATTTACTCTTTGCTAGATGAAGTTTTACACAAACGACATCTTGATCACCTCAGCACCTGCTGATCATAGGGTATGCATATGGAACGTTCACACCCTGAGCCTTATCAAATCAATTCGCGGTACATCTGAAATTGTTTCACTGGAGATCTTCAAGGATGAGATTATTACTATGCACCATAGCAATTTGATATCTTTTACGCCGATAAATGACGATGTAAGCGTCTGTTTGTTTCGTTATTTTTATGCGCCTAACTATGAGACTCAATAATATAAAAAAATTCATCATATTTACTTATTCATTACTGGTATTGATGCTATGCTAATCCTAGTCTCTGGCATATACGTCCAAGTTCAAGAGTTCGGCTATTCGATCATCCATTTCATGCATTAGTGTCCTACCCATGAATCAGCTTCTTGTCTTAGGCTGTATAGAGGGCGATCTTTACTTGTATTCTTAAATAAAATCATTTTTCCCCCTTCATCCTATCAGACCTTTCTTTATTCGGCAATGAAAAAAGACACTCAAAGTCACTATCACGATTGCCGCTTGTGCTTATATAATATACGAGGATTCTCGTAAAATCTATTGAACTTTTTCCTTGATCAGACCTGTTGGATCTGATGGACATTGCAGGTCATTCCATCATCTAGACAGAAAACCTTTTAGTATCTAGAGAAGATACATTGCAGCCTAAACTCTGATCATCTCGTTCAGCTTAAAGTTAGAGCAGGATGCTATGGTGATAGATGGGCGTTTACGCCTGATTGTATATCCCTGAAAGTGATGGGTTTGCTTGAGGAAAAGGAACAATTTTAATGAATCGGTTACAGTTGGGACTGTATGCTAGAGGAAGCTTTTATTAATAGATCTAATAAATGACGTTGGCGCAGCAAATCCGAGGTTCGCTCACTAGCCATACCCAGATCTCGCCTATATATATTTATTAGAGTGTGTCTGCAGCTGTTTTCCCTTTGGTCATTTTAGTTCGGATGAAGAATGAGGTGAGTCGGTTGAGAAAGATCCTACGGTTAGCATGATGAGTTTAAGGCGCCTGGCGCAATTTTCAAGAATTGTGCCTAATCTATTGCTTATGGCCTTAGTTTTGATTTTGTCCATAATTATAACCGACAACATGCCTGGCGCTAAGTGCTACCATTAAAGGAAGACATGAGTGGGCAATAGCAATTTAAGAAATAAATGAATGCAAGGACTGTATAACAGTAATCTATATCCTTTGGCCTGCATTTAAACTTTGCTCTCGTCGTCGCCTTCAAGGCTGGCCAATGATCATTCAGGCAATACCATTCGTTGTACATGTTGAACGCCAATGTTAAATCATCTTTCCAATACAGTTTCCTTGCCGTAGTCATTATCACTATAATCATCACGATCATTGTCATTTTGATGATTGTTATGCGAAACCAGGTATTTTACGAGGTCCAAAGCCGTATGCAGGACATAGAGAGCAATATCCTTATTGACAAAGATTGGTCATATCTCTGCATTTAGATTTATAACCATTATGCCGAAGTAACCAGACACTTAAGATCATGGAATTGCATTAACTCTGGATACTCTGACACTTGGGGCTCCAGTTTGGTCCATAGTTACTATGCTCATTGAGTGCAGCTCTTGTTAAAATGCTTTTGAACCCTTGAGGGAATTGGTTAAAAAAAAAAGGTTTCTCCGAAACAGATGCTGATCTTCCACTAGCGTTTCACAGAACACGAAGTTAATCTGGGCTCTTTGACTCTGGCTCTGGCAGTCAGTTCACCTGGCTAGCTTTTCTTTCTCTTTTTTTTTTTTTTTTTTTTTTTTTTGCAAGGGTCTAGCATTGAAGTTGACAATGTATTTACCATTCTAGTAGATTGATGACAGCATGGGTTATAAAATGAAATGTATAAGCAGTACATAGCTCTTTTTCTATGTCATCGAAAGTTCTCATATTCCTACATAAGAAACGATACATCAAGTGTTAACTGTGCATGACATAGATGGCTACCAGCTTAGCACCTGACTAAAGACAGAAACAAAGTCAGCTTTCAAAAGGCCTCCTGCTAGGAGCTGCTAGCTGAACGTCTAGCCAAGTTCGGTGAGGCGCCTCCATGAGAGTTTCTGTCATTCTAAACCCGTGTTTGTATCAGTATGTTAAAGTGTAAGAGAAAAGCTAAGTTTAAAAGAACTGATGCGATCGCAGTTACGCGTCAAACGTGGCATTCTTTTTCTACGCTCACGTGATAATATGACAATAAGAGTGGCTTTCAGATCGAAAGTAAACAAACCCTTTGTCCTCTCCGTATTGCGTGTTGCGTGTTGAATGCTCTCTAATTTGGCTTGTCCTCTTTTCATTCTTTACCATTAGGCTAACAGGACTAAGAAAAATATAGACGCCATGCTCACTGGGATTGCTCGGTCCTTATGGCGCCCTACTGCTTCTGTAGCTAGTGTTGCTAGGATTATTACCTCTGCGCCTGCACTCACTCATGGACATATTTCCGGCATTACATTCAGGGCATTCAGGAGCACAGCAACTGTATTCACCAAGGCTACACCTACCGCTGCTCACCGTACCTATGCTACAGCTGTGACTAGTACCACTACCACTTCGTCAACACCTCAGTTCAAGACTTATACACCATCATCACCAGGCCGTCGTTGGCTCAAACGTGTGCCTCGCGATCATCTATGGAAGGGAAAGCCTGTGCGTGCACTAACGATCGCAAAACGCTCGACTGCAGGCAGAAACAACATGGGTCGTATCACGGTACGCCATCGTGGCGGTGGACACAAACGTCGTCTACGTATCATGGATTGGTACCGCAGTGAGCCTGGGCCTCAACTAGTAGAGCGTTTGGAATATGACCCTGGCAGGACAGCATGGATTGCTTTGTTAAAGCATCAGGTCACGGGCCGTCAGTCTTACATCTTGGCACCTCATGACTTACAGCCTGGCTCGGTTATCTATTCTTTCTTGGACAAATCAACGTGGAGTCAACCCAAGAACGGGATTACAACAACCTTGCCCATTGATAAGGGCAATTGCTTACCTCTGAGCCGCATTCCTACTGGAACCATTATTCATGCAATTGGAATGAGACGCAATGGCCCTGCTCAGGTTGCTCGTGCAGCCGGAACCTATGCTCAGTTATTGTCGACGGGAGAGAAGGGACATGCTATTATCCGTCTGTCCAGCGGTGAAGTGCGCAAGTTTCCTGTCGACGTCTGTGCCACTATTGGAGTTGTCTCTAACCCTGGAAACATGCATGAAAGTCTCGGAAAGGCTGGTCGTAGCCGCTGGTTGGGTATTCGTCCTACTGTTCGGTGCGTATCTACTTTTTTTTTTTATTAAAACTCCATTTTGTTTTCGTGAATATGCAAGCGAAACTGAACTGACAGCTATTCTTTTTGCTCTCTACTAATAATGTTCTTGTATACAGTGGTGTTGCACAGAACGCATGCGACCATCCACATGGAGGAGGAAAGGGAAAGACTAAGGGTAAGAGACTCGATGACTCATTAAAGTGTGTTGAACAAAGAAAAATAATGAATACTTTGTATTAAGGGATATTAAATGATTGTTTATTTGGTGGAATAACATCACGAAACAATAGGTGGAAAGCACCCAAGGAGTCCCTGGGGAACTCTTTCCAAAGGAGGCAAGACAAGGAAACATCCCAATAAGATGGTTGTTAGAGAACGACCAAGACGTTAAGACAAGTAGCCGAGTCGTATCAATATGAATAAAAGTAATAAATATGTGTAGGTGTGAGTAAATGAAAATAGAAGAATTAGCGCAATAAAAATATGCAGTCAATTTGATCAAGAGACAGGTTGCACAAACACTTTTTCCGACTGTCTCGTGTACCTCTCATTTTCATTTTCATTTTCATTTTCATTTTCATTTTCATTTTCATTTTCATTTTCATTTTATTTTCCTCATTATTCTTTGTCCCGTCATGTTGAGACATTCACTTACCCGCGCTGCAAGAGCGATGTGCAGTATCCCTATTGGTACTTCCAATGCTTCTGTCCGATCAGCCGTATGTATAAATGACATTGCTTGCTCACTTTTCTTTTATTTTTTTTTTATTTTTTTTTTTTCCTCTTATCCTTACTTGAAACTCTTTTCCTCCTTTTGCTCTAAGGTCTTTTCCCATAATGTTGCTTTCAATGGTATCCGAGCTATTCACAGTAGTCCAGTCCGGTTCGAGTCTTCGTTCTCCACTAATTCTTTAGATGTCTTGCCCAAGGTTGACTTGACTGCCAACTCAACCTCCAATATCACCATCACACCGCCCCAGGGATCGGCTTTTCATCGTCCTCGACAATTCACAACAACTCTGAACCCGATTTGGCTTCGTGACAATTGCCCTTGCCCTGAATGTATTCACCCCTCTACCCGTCAAAAGCTGCATGCATCTTCTCAAGTCCCCCTGGATATGGCTCCTGCTTCCCATAGAGTCCTTCCAGAAGGGTTGGAGGTGACATGGTCCAAAGGATTGGATGATGTAGGTGATTGGGAAGAGCCTGCAAAGGCTCAACCTGGCCATAAATCACTATACCCCTGGGATATGATCCTGGGATCCTATGGCGGAACGCCAACAGAGCACCGAGCAACAACACGCATGAATCATAAACCTATTTTATGGGACAAGAAAATGATGGAGGAGAAAGTCCTTTGGTTGAACTATGAAGAGTACATGAATACGCCAGAGGGCCTATACAAGGGACTAAGACATCTACAGGACTATGGTTTGTTTTTTCTAAAGGGTATGCCCACTAAGGATGATGAGGTTGCAACTGCAGCAGAAAGAATTGGACATTTGAGACATACATTCTACGGCAGAACTTGGGATGTCAAAAGCGTGCCTAATGCCAAGAATGTTGCTTACACAAACCTCAACCTTGGCCTTCACATGGACCTCTTGTAAGTTACAAAAGCCTTTAGCGAAAGCAGTAAAAGAGTTTTTTTTTTTTTTTTTTTTTTTTTTTTTTAAGGAAAAAAATTATTATAATTACTAATATATCTCCTATCATCCGTTTTTCATAGGTACTTGGAAGCCCCACCAGGCCTTCAATTGCTCCACAGTCTTGAGAACAGTGTCCCTGGAGGGACCAGTATCTTCATGGACTCCTTCAAGGCTGTTGAGCTTTTAAAGAAGGAATATCCAGAGGACTATGAGATCCTCACAAAGATCCCCAACACTTTTCACTATCGTAATGCAGATCATCATCTTCATTACAACCGAACTACCATTGTAGTCGATCCTTTGAATGATTCCCTTACTGTCAATTACTCTCCTCCTTTCCAGGGTCCTCTTGAATTGCCTGCTGAGCAAATGGCTACTTTCTACAGGGCTCTGAAACGTTTTGCTAGTTATATTGAGCAACCCGATCTGCAATTCCGACACACGATGCGACCTGGCGAATGCATGGTCTTTGCGAATCGCCGTGTGTTGCATGCCAGAACCGCCTTCGATCCTTCCAAAGGAAGCAGGCATCTGAAAGGCTGTTACGTCGATTTGGATATGTTCAAGGATAAATACAGAACAGTCATGGCCGCTAAGGAGGAAGGAAAGTTTTGAAGCAATCCAACATCATGCATTCGCTCCCACAAACATACGTTAAAAAAAAAAAAAAAAAAAAATTGATGTACACACAGAATATTAGACAAGATCCATTAGAGTATCAAGGCGTGTTAGAAAATGTTAAGAAAAGATTTTTTATTACTACAGAGACAAGCATGCTATACATGATGCACATGGGTAAAAATAACAATCATAAAAAAATGCATGAATAGTACAAGTGAATTTACACAAAAGAATAATAAAAACAAAATTGATGCAGAGGAAAAAAAAAATGCAGAAAGTTACTTCCGTCGAGCTTGAGAAGAAAATGTACGGAAGATTGACTCCCCTGCAGAAGATGGCGGGACAATACTCGTGACGGAACGCGCTCCAAATTGGAGGAACCCTTCAGATGACAGGGAACTTGCAGCCATTGTTGTGTCAACCTTCTTATCCTTAGCTGCCTGCCGCTCCATGATCACACGTCGTTCATGTATAGGAAGCTTCATCGGCTTTCTGTATGCATTTGTAGTGCTTGAGACATAAGACGGTGCAAAGTGACGAAGCAAATCATCTGCAGGCTGATCATCCTGCTCAAAGTCTAAAAGGTCACATACTTTTGTTTTCTTTCCCGAATGTGTATCAATACCTGAATGAGATCGCTCAACAGGACTCGAATGGTGGTCTTTGCACACCCTGGGTTCGAATGGGCTCTTTGTTGATCCATTTATTATTTCTACTGATGTTGCTTCCTCACATGTGGTCGGCGGTATCTGTTCAGTTTTTATGCCCCATGAGCCAGAGACCATAGGTCCAAAGTGGACAGATCGAGGGATAGTTGATACTCGCCGCCTTGGAGTTGCGGCGGCCTTAGTTTTTGATACGCGAATGAATGGACCATTTGTGCTTCCTTCGTCGTAGTTACCTGTACCAGATGCTGCCCTCAGTTCGGCTTCCCTTTTAGCCTTTAGAGCAGTTTCTGCTTGAGTCTTTTTTTGCTTGATGGCCTCCTTGATCTCTGACAGCGTAGACATAGATTGTGCTTCAAGAAACATCCTTTTACCAAAATTAAGTTCCTGTGAAACAGAGTTCCTAGAATCCTCATAGATCGCTTTTGAAGCTTGGACCTTTTGGCGCTTCCCTATTGTCCGAAGCTCAGATGGGATTGGATCTTCTCCTGCATCTCTGAATCCTTCCACAACAGGGCCAAGCTTCCCCCCATCAGTCAGAGCTAAAACGCCCTCGATCGTCAGACTGTGGCCGTGCGCAATGGGAATCTGTTGAGTGGGAGTGATACAATCCATGTTGACTTCTTTGCGGAACACATGATCAACATCTACAGATGAAAAGAATGCCACAGACTATCAAAACAAGAATATCAGTTTAGAATGGAATGGTTGGGTATCGCATTTCGCAGGGTTTTTTTTTTTTTTTTTTTTTTTGCTCATCTTCATACCTGTGGAAGATCATGGATTCCCAACTTGTAAGAAAACATGGCACGCGTCCAAAGGTTACTAATCTGCAAAGCGAGCGTGGCTCTGGCAGTATCTTCTTCTTTGACCATGTAACGAACTTCATCATGTACACAGAGCATGAATCGCGCTTTGATATCATACTTCCGGATCAAATAATTCATCGATACCAGTAACATATGAAGATAATCCACGCCTGAAGATTGTACCACCCAATTGACGCGCGATGTCATGAATTGGCTCTCAGTGTACTTAGGCTTCAGTGCGTCCGTGATACCACAGCTCAAGGCTGGGGTTCTGGGGTCTTCTGCGGTTGCCGTCCTTTCCAAACTGTTGAACATATAACTCTCCGAGCCACCATGCCAGAAAGGACGATCTGTTACCAATTCATAATCGATTGCTTTCTGCTCCTTAATTCCCTTCGTAGCAGCATACAGATTGATAGCTCTTTGCTTTGCTTCCGCCGCTTCGATGGTCGTGTTGAACTGTTGCATGAGTCGAGCTGCAAATTTGACACCCGCTCCATAGATACGACCGTAGTTAAAGACCTTGGCTTGATCACGAGAAATGCCTAGAATCTGTGCTGTCTTGGAATGTAAGTCTGTTTCCGCAGACTTAGTTCCTTGCAGAGTCATCCAGCCAAGAGCAGTCGCACCATGCATTTTGAGCTGTGCATCGCCCATCAAACTTGAAATCCAAAGCTCTTCTGAATCAACGTCAGCTCCTACAATCTTGTAGCCCTTAGGGGCTTGTACCATTGACTTGAGCTCTGATCCTATACGGTTTTTCTTTGCATTGCTTGCTGTCATCCAGGTCTTTTCCACTGCACGCCTTGTCACCGTACCCATGGTAATAATTTGAGGAAGAATGATACCATTCTTGAGACCTTCTCCACGATCAGGTAATCTCATTCTATCACCCAATCCGCCTTGACCTTTGTCCCAAACGACAAATTGATCTTCAATACGCTCCCGCGAGCTTACCCAATAAGCGCACTGGGCATTCATATCTAATGCTTGCTTAGCAAGTTGTCCACTTCCATCATCAGACGATTCGCCTTCAGCTGCATATGAGCCTAGGACATTGTCCTCAAAGTAAGACATGAAACCCTTACTCAATGGATTTCCGACATTCATGCCCTCACCACCATTGTGTGGTACCCGATAATAGCGATACTTTGTAGGATCGATACTAGATTGATGCCCTGCCTCGTTCTCAGCTGGAAAGACAAGTGCTTCAGTCTTGGTAACAAAGCCTTGATCATCTATGGGCACACGGAAGGTCCATCCATGCAATGTGGAATGGACTAAAGGATAGCCTTTCCACTGCAATTTCAACAGTAGCGGTGCTACCCTTTGACGTGTTGAAAGCTTAACCCTTTGTTCTTCAGGGCTCCAAAGTGCGCGATACCACTCTGGTTTGTCCGTCAATAGCTTTGCTCGACATTTCCAACGCGGTTCCTGTCCTTTGAGATAGCCCTTGCCGTTCGCTCGAAGCTTGCCCTCAAACCACACACGCTGAGGTTTGTTCCAATCCAGCTGACTTAACCAAGGGTCTGATGCATAAAGCTCCGGATCCTTCTCAAAGTTTTCCACCGCCTTTTCTGCCAGCATCAAAAGCTTAGATTCGACACTCTTCGCCATATCGCTATACATTTTATTGCATCGCGCTATATAGGCAGTCCACCCTTCATTTACGGTAAGAAAGGATGATCCCATCTGCAATATCCCTGCAAACGATACTGGATGAGGACAAGTCTGAAAGTATTTGGGCAAAGTCTGTCGGTAGACTGCATGGGTTGCAATCACATCATTTCCACAGTATTCCATCAGAGCCTGGAAATTCTCTTGGACAAGACTTATATCCGTTGCTTCCATCAAGATATTTCTGGTGGCCTTGTCCATTTTAATATCGCAATGGAACTTGGCAACCTGTGCTAAACTGTTGACAGAGCTGACGTCAAAATATTTCCCTGTTGTATCCTTGCATGCGTGAACATAGGCTTCATCGTCTCGCTCAATCGCCTTGCTGTACTTGAGCCAGCTGGGTCTTTGTTGAGTGCAGAGTCCAGAGACCGCAACATGCAGGCTCATCGTGTCCAGATACCGTATTCCATTCTGTTCCATGCAATATTCTTCTAGTACACGTGCTCGATCGTATCCGACATTATGACCGACTAATATTTTCTCTTCTCCTTTCATGTTTCGATTTGGGCCAAATGAAATTAAATGGCAATCATTTTGAAGACCATCATTAAGGGTAGGGTTGATGATCCAAGGTGACACCCATCCATACCACGCCTCAGAAGAGACGGCAGTGGCTAAGACAGGGTATTTGCTCAATCCAGGGACGGTTTCAACATCGAACGTCAGTATTCTTTCCCTTGGGTATTCAACTTGTTTGATGGAGCCATCTTCACCGTAGCGAGTCCAGCCCGCTCGCATGTCCCATTGTTTTGGCAACGGAGGAATAGATGACTGCGCAAATTGGAGGGCCATTTCCTTATACGTAGCTGAGTCAAAAACCCCAATGTTATAGAAATGATCCTCAATAGTTTTGCCTCGTAACTCTGGGAGGTCGAAAGCTATATCAGGGACGAGGATGGGCTCCTTGCCCCATAAGTTCTGCTTCTTCAAGTGTGTGATAGCACATTGAATCATTTCGGGAGTTGGATCGGTAGTATTTTCTACTGCTGTTTCTGAATTATTTGCAGATTTAGTGGCGTTAACAGTCGAGGAGGGACCAATAAATGGAAATACTTTACTGTGCAGTTCCGGATGTAGCATCTGCACATCAACTTTGTTCTTCCTAAGAGCTATAATGTTTTATTAATGTCATCGTTGTTGTTATGAACTGTTGAGTCACACAAATTCATTCTAGCACTCTATCCCCAGGCCTCAGTGAAAAGACAAAAAAAAAAAAAAAAAAAAAAAAAGGAAAAAAATATACTTACGACGAGGTTCGGGGATTGATCCTGAAGTGGAGAGAAGTCTACTGTGGATTAAACCATAGGAGGGGGGTAGAGTATGATGGCGTGCTTTAATACAGGAAGAGGTCCAAAGTACTTTAGTTGAGGGTGTGGTCACCGGTATTGTGGCTGCCTGTGATAAAAAAGTGCTAGTGCGGGAACAAGGGCGAGTGACTAGTGGAGTAGAGTGGCAACTAAAGGTTCGCACCGGCACTGAGCAGCGCCAGGATTGCCGAGGGACCATGTGCTGGGCCATGGCAGCACAATATAATTAGGAATAACTGTGTGTTGCAGGAGGATAAGAGGAGACAATGACCAAAGGCTCCATTGAAACAGAAAGAAAACAACAACAAAATTGATTAAAATTTTGTCACGTGCACGGTGAATTAATAAATGTATAAATGTTGTGCTTCGCTCAATGTTCAACAAACCATTACCCATTACCCATTACCCATCATATTCTTTTTTTTTTGTAATATTCCTTGTTTAATAGAAGCAGCATATTATTTAAACCGTATTCTATCCTTACATTTAGCTCTATTATCTACTCAATCATAATATTAACGACAGTAATCTTCTGTTATGGGTAAAAGAAAGAGCGCTCGCAAGCCCCAGGCAAAGGTTAAGAAAGTGCTAGACAGTCAATTCGATTGTGTCGCTTGCTTCCACGAAAAATCCATCAATTGCAAGCTGTAAGGCTTTATTTTCCTTTCCTCTCATATTCAGAAACAACAATAACAATAAAAAAAAAAAAGATAATTTTGGATCAAAAGCCCATAGATCTATGCGATCTATGAATTGTCTAACTTCTGTCATTATTGCCTCTCCATCAATTTGAATCAATTAGCGATTTCGACCAGAAAGTCGGCCATCTTCAGTGCCGTATGTGTGGGGTTAACTATTCCTGTGCTATCAATTGTAAGTGCATGCAGGAACCATTTCTTTTTTCTTTTTTTTTAGAGCATGGATACGGATATCAGTATTATGCGGCACTCTGTGAAAGCTGTTGGACAGTATCAATGGCGACATATAAGCAGTGTCAAACTTTTTTGATCTGGTGGCTGTTTCATAACATGGGTTGATTTTGACTTGATTAAATAAAAATAATAACAATAAAAAAACTAAAATCTCTTTTTGTGTCTTTCCCACTAAAACTTGGATCTTCTAGATTTAAGCCATGCTGTCGATGTTTATCATGACTGGATCGACGCTTGTGAGGCTGTAAATGCCGCTGGAAAGGCAGCTAAGACAGCAGCACAGGACCGCAATCGGGAAAGGGAAAGGGAAAGGGAGAGGGGAAGAGATAGGGATGACAGGGATGATGACAGGCCTCGGAGAAGCAAGCCCTATGACCGTTTTGACAACGATGATGACTAAGAAGACTTGTAGGAACAAGAGAGACAATATTGAAAGTGCAAAGATTTTTATGTTTGATTCTCAACTCATCCTTTGATGATCATCCTACTCATTTGTTTCCATAGCGTCTTTTATGTGTATGGATTCGAAAACTATGTTAAATGGTTATCATCCTTTTTTTGTAAAATATCCCACAACAAATAAAAATATCCAATATGTAGACATGATGACGATTGACGATAAGGACCATTTCATATTGTTGTATTATTAATAGCTGATTTCTCCATGTTAAGGTACGTCAATTTGCTTTAAATGCTTTTGTTCTTCTAGTATTCTACAGCATCTTCATCTCCGTCAAGGTCGATATCATTTTCTCCATTGTCAAAATATGTCTCCACGTAATCATTTTCTTCTGCATCCTCATCATCCTCATATTCTTCATCCTCAACCTCTTCGTCTTCTTCTGTGCTTTTCTTTGCTAGCCCAGTTTCTGGATCAATTTCTTCTTCGCCTTCATCGATGTCCTCGCCCAATTTACTAAGATCGATATTCCTCCGTACAGTCTTGCGTTCTATTGAAGAAAAAACAAAATATTTCGGTCCAAAAAGAAAATATATTAATCTCCTATACCGCGATATCTAAGCAAACCAGTATATTTGCCAATGCTTACTTCTAACGGCTTTCGGGTCTAGAATAGAATGAAGCTCATCTGGGAAGAATGCTTTATCTAAATAATGTAAAAATAAACATCGAAAGGAAAGCATGAGGTGCGCATTACTTTGTTCATGATATCCACAAAAAAAAAAAAAAAAAAAAAATGAAGGAAAAGGATACATCGTTTGCAAGAAACAGTAAGCTCCGCCATTGTCCGAAACTTCAATCCCTACTACAATTGACTTATATAAGAGAAGAAATTGTGTCCTTTTTCCAGCCATTCTGAAGTTGGCATTTCTTATTCAAGATGGTAATTGTCTTTGACTCATTAAGATTAAATCATTTTAATTAATATCGACCATCCATACAGAAGCAGATACATACTTGACTTGATAGTTTCTAGCTTTGGTCGCGTTGCAGCCATATCTTCATGGTATCGATCCGTGTATCTGACAATTGCTAACAATAAATCAACACAATCCATAATTTAGAACACTACATCATTCCAATGGTTACCTAAACCCTTTTTTTCTTTTACTGTTGTCGCTTTACCACTGGGTTTCCGAGGTTCCGTGAGATAATATGAACTTGAATAGTAAATATCTTTCAGTTTCTTCATTTTCATAAACATCTCTATCTCCCTGTCCGTAGTTTCCTTGGCAACAGGCAGAACTATATCCTAGAATTGATCATCCCATCAACAAATCTTGTCAGCAGGAGTTTTTCAGGTTAAATTTGAATAGTGGTGAATAAATAAAAAACCATACGGGATATGTTTCTCCTGGATTGTTGAATGTTGGATGGATAGCGTCAGGTCCAAACATTTGAATGTTTGGTCCACTGCGGCCGCCTCCACGTCCTCCGCCACGTCCTCCACGTCCTCCACCTCGTGACATATTTTTTTTTTAGAAGTGCCTCAAGCCGGGAATGTTGGGTATACAACTAGATTTTAATGAAACCAATTGTCGTTGCTTTTACAAGTGCAGGAATGGAGGGTATGTATAATGAGTGTAACACACTGAATGGTGTGAAATAAAAAAGAAAAGCGATGTGGCTGAGCAGAAATTTGTTTTGACTTGCTACGATCACACGGGCAAAAATACCCGTCATTTTATTTTAGATCATTTTTCTCAGTCAAAGCGTAACACCTGCCCCTTTCACCAAGCGCACATTAGCACCTGAGGGAAAACACGCCCAGGGATGTGCACTGCGTGAAGGATGTGAGTAACGATAGTATATACTGAAATAGGGACGCTCTCTTTTGACCCCACATGAAGTTTCGGATATTATATGAATTTGTGTTTGTGCAAGTTTATTATGATTAAGGGGAGCCTGTAATGTGCCAAAAAAAAACTGATTTTTCGTACTCTTTCGTCAAAATTGTCAACCATTTTGTCTAATTACGGCTCCAACGGCGCAGTCAGAGACAACAGGTTCGTAGAAAGCGATTTAGGTCGTAAAGCTCAAGGGGGCGAAGGATGTTCATTGGGATTATTGGTTAATCGCCATGTTATGTCTAATGCCATTGTCACAGGCGACTGCCATGTTCATGCGGATTCCATGTATTAGTGGCGCTCAGGGAGCTGAAGAAGAGCGATCGCATAAAAAAAAAGGGGATCGCTGATCTTGTCTTTCCTATTTCTTCATATTATGGGATGCAGTAGCGACGTGGCAGGGAAATGACATATCTTCTTAATGACGCCTGAAAGGCTACAACATAGGACGGGCCAGAGTCACAGTCAAACTATGGACAACAAAATCAAAAGCTCTTCGAAGGCGACGGATGCCTCTCAGATTCGTTGTCATCAACGGTTTGTGGATTCGGATAGCTCCGAGGATGATATCAAGAAAACCAAAAATCCGAAGAACTTAAACCTAATACCAGCTTCGTCACCTTCATTGACTACGACAAATACTCTATCATCGAAAATACATGCGAACAGCAGGCCATTACAACAACAATCTCCAGTTAATGCTAGTGGTAGGACCAAAAGCAGTTGTAACAGCGATATCGAGCCTGGTCAGCGGGAAAAATTCGCTAGAACGTCTTCACCGAGTCTATCCACCTCATCTAGAAGACCAGATCGAAATACCCCAATCCAAAAAGAGTCGCCGACGTGTCAAGACCAGTCCTTTAAGAAAGTGCTTCCATCAGAACAGAAAACACCAAAAAAACAACATGTTCCTTTAGGATCACCTATTAAGTCTCCTCAGTCACTACGGCACATCAAGGGTGCAATTATAGAGCAACCTTCTATTACTTCTTCACCTTCTCCTCCATCATCGCCACTATTTGATCCCCTATCACAAAGATCGACGTTTGAGAGCCCAATATTGACAAAGCCAAACCCGAGTTCTCCCTTTGTTGACACTTCCTCAATATCACGCCCGAAGAAACATCGATCAAAGTTACAAATAGAACCGATCGCCACATTGCCGAACACACCCTCAACCTTGGAGGACTATGATGCTCTGAACCATAAGCAACGAATGCGTCTTGGTGGCAGCACTGTCGTTAGGCGTATGATAAAAGAAAAGCAATACGTGAGTGATATCTGCATCGACCCAATTTCAACAGAAACAGAAAAGCGTACACCTATCTATCAGGCCAAGCATACTAAGTTGCAAGGAGATTTATCAAATCCTGAATCTGACTCTGACCTGGAAGATGCGGATCCGTTTGCAGCCCAGCCGTTAGGTATATCATCACCAACGTCGAGCTCCGAGTCTTCTTCTCTTATTCCTTCAACATTAATCACCACAAGATTAAATTCACCGTCATTTTCGTTATCGTCCCCTATTAAAGGTCCAAAGATTAATGACATACGTGCAAAGTCGGTTTCTCATAAGGGTAATGAGATCAGTTTGAAAGGATCAATAGAAAAGGAAGTGAGCGGAACCTTTAATTTCAATAGCGATAGCGGTGATAAAGGGTCCGAGAGTGATGATTTTCAGCAACAACGCCCGAATTCTGTTGGTTTCTCCAAGGTCAAACGGGCTGGTGTAGAGGTCAAAAAGCCCCAAAGTCTAATCAAAATAAGAACAGCCATTACACCAGTGCCATCGATCAATACTGGGAAGCTACTTGAGCCTTACAAGGATATTTTTGGACCTGAAAAACTGGAACAAATATTCAAATCAAAAGAAGCTATGGAACGATTAACACAGTTGACTATGAAGCATGGAGCCAGTCTGAAGCCAGAATCTGTCTCGCTGACGAGGGATAGGGGCGGGCGGAGGGAGAAGTTAACACTGGGGGGTGGAGAGAAGCCGAAGATAGCACTAACGACTTCGAATTGGATGAGAAATACGAATCTAAACTCGGAGTTACCTGTGGAAAATAGCCAAGCGCCTACTCGTGCTATTAGCATGCGAGGGCGATCGCGGGCCTCTGACAGCACTAGGATGGTCACTGAAAAGAAGGAAAGCGGCAAGATAACAAGTCGTGAGCTTGATAGCGTCATTAGCCCCGAACGGGCTTGCACTCCTTTAAGAAACATTGGGATGAGTCGATCGCCTTCTCCCATAATAGGCACGCCTCAAAAACGTAGCACATCGCGAAAAGAAATAGACGATGAAGCCGTTAATCTATCTCCATCGCCTTCTGGAATATTCAGTTCATCTGAGTTTCAACTGCCGTCCCCACGACGGAAACGGCAGCGAGCTTGTGCGCTAGACGAATACTATTTCTTGCCAGATGATGATCTTCCTGTCTCATGTAAATAATTTATAATTCATGAATTACAGTTTGAGTTGTTAGCCAATATGTTATTAATCAGCCAAGTGCTATTTTTATTTTAATAACACTTTCCTAGATACTAAAAAAAGTAGCGATGATGAGATTATATGTCCATACTGTGGAGACGAACTTCCAAAAAACATGTCAACGCGTCTTTCCAACGCTTGGACAAAGGTCCTTGCTCAACAGCAGCGAATCGAGCAGCTAGAACAAGAAAGACAGGAACGTATTAAGCAGAAGCAAGCCAAAAGAGAACGCGTTATTGACGCTGATCTCAATCCATCTGTTGAATTTTCTTCTTTTCCTGAACGATCATATAAATTCTTAGACGAAAGCAAGGCGGGTGCCTCAAGGACCAAAAGGAATAGCCAGCCGCGTCCACGAAGGTTGGAACGGCTCAAAAATAAGATCCAGGATTTCGGTGCCGACAGCAACAACAGCAATAGCAATACCCGTCCAGCAGAAGACTCTGTCATTAAAATTGAGAGTGATGATAATGGCAGTGACAACAGTGTTGACGACGAGGATGAAGGTTTGTCATTGCTAAGGAGGCCAGGCAACCAAATGTCTCTGCTTGACAAATTCGAATTTTGCCGTGTCCACGTTGCGGAAGCACGGATCGTACCTTTGGGTATCCAGAACAATTATCCATTCTATATCAAATTCCATGAATTATCCAAGCGAGTCTCTAAAATAGAGTCTCAGCTAAGGTGTATTATTGAAGGAACGGTATCAAGTACGTTCTTGGATATGGCTTTGAACCAATATAAGCAATTAGGTACTCAAGGAGCACGTAACCCACACGTTATCATGGCCAATGTGGAGCGCACCATGGTAACGCTTCGTGTGTTCATTTTTTGCTCAGCACCATTGTTTCTATGACTTACATTTGCATTGACCAAGCGCTTTCTTTCTCCTCCTCTTTTTTTTTTAATGATATTTTCAGCCAGGTTACTATGGCTCCAAGGGTTCGGCAGAATTATCCAAAATTCTTGCGCGCATGTTCTTGGAGACTAATATATTGACGCATGAACGAGCTCGTCCACAAACACCGATTGAATATATTCAGCATGTCCTCGTTCCTGAAGCCGGTCTGCGATTGATCGCAGAGGATCAAGCGAAAATAATGCGTGGTAGCAGCGACTTAAAGGAAGGAAAAGATCATAGTGTGATTACTTTAGAGGAAGCACGCCTGATCATGCAGGAGAGTGTGGAGTTTGGTAACTACATGCACGATGTTGAGCTTCATTGATTTTTTTTTTGCGATCCTTCATGTTATAGAATCCAGTTATAAAAATATACACTTGTTTTTCTTGCTTTTATTATTATTTATTTTCTTTACTTTTTTATCTTATTTAAAGGAAACCTACATTAGATGATGAAGAAAGTGATAAATACAATGAGAGATTGGGGCTATAGGGAAAAAGAGAAAGTACAAATTGGAAAAAAAATAAAATAAAATAAAAAATGCTATCAAATAATAAGAGAAGGAATGTTGGTAATAAAAACAATCTACATGCCGAATGAAAATATAAATGTGTATTTTGTATGAGTAATAATAATAATAATAATAATAATAATAATAATAATAATAATAATAAAAATAAAAATTGACAAAAGTTGATTGATGATTATTTAAACGGGGTTCGCTTTACCGTAACCCCTTCCTTTCTCTCCACAATATCGATCCAAAGTTCAAAATAATGCTCCTTATGAAATACAGGTATGAATAAATATGCCAATAGCATTCACTACGGTTTGTTTCCTGTTCTTACGGTTGTTGTAGCTGACGAGGATGATTAAAATGAAAGGGAAGAAAAGAAAGACGATATCATGCCCATCAAGCCATCACGGAAGCCTGCTTGGCCGTTGTTACTGCCTTCGTCATCGTCGCCGTGGCTGTTGTCGTACTCTCCGTTGTGATCATATTGGAAGTATTGGTACCACTGCCGTTGCTATCGATATCATTATTACCACTATTACTAATAATATTGTCCATCAAAGTATCGTCCAGACTAGATCGAACAGAGAAATACGCTGTAGTGGTAGTGTCCTTGGAAGAGGAGGATATCGATGAATCTGCTACTGAAGTTGAAGAGCGAGATGATGATGATGAAGAGGAAGATTCATTGGAAGATCGTCCAACTGATTCTGACTCAATTGGGGAAGAAGCAGACGAGAGCGGAGGTGAGATTGACGAGGATGAGTCCATAGTATCAGTCGTCAATAGACTCAGAGGACTAAGAGGTGAAGGCATTGGCCTACATGTGTTGATGCTATTACTGCCAGCTGGAATCGGAGTTGGAGTCTGGCTCATTGGCTCTTGTTCTTTGGACAAATTACTAGGAGATAGGACCCTCTTGACACGTAGGTGCGTTGGAAGTGCCTGTTGCTGGTGGTATTGAGTGTGTTCATGGTGATCAGAATCACTGGTGTCTAGGGGGTGAACATCCTGAATACCGTTCACAAAACCATTGTGGTTATTACTCATACCCAACCCTGACGACCGCCAGTCGCGCCTTGGAAACGACAACATATCCGATGGTCGTCGCGAGGGACTCACTCCATTCATGACCATCCCACCCAATGATCCCCCCGGAAGTCCAGAGACGCTTATAATAGCGCCACTGCTGCTGTTACTATTGTTACCGTTGCTGCTATTGTTATTGACAGTGGCAACAGTAGCGACAGTGTCGCTATGGGATCGCCTCCCTGTAAATAGACTGCAAGCAAGACTTTCAAGGTTCCGTCGAAGGGGACGTGGCGCATCCATGCGACAATTGAAGCGGCTCTGGGATGCAGAGCTAGGCGATGAAGAGGATGCAAGACCATTTAATCCTCCGTTAATTGTACCATGACCATTGTGAGTAGATCCATTCAAGCTGTTCTCATGACCTCCTTGAACATCTTCTCCAAGACCAGGAAGTATTCCACCGCAGCCTGTGCATTCGGTAGGCGCATTAGGAATAGTACCAAAATCCACTAGACTCGTTGATGAACTGGTATTACTAGAAGATCGTCCTAAAGTCGGAGTCAAAGACCGACCACTTCCTGACATCGCCGTCATACCATTCTCTCTTAAGAAGAGCCCTGCTTGACAACCTGGAGAATTGCACCGACTAGTCTTTAGAGCCAATGTAGCGGCTGCGAGACAGATCTCATTCCTGGTTTGGATTGCACCATTATTCCGTCTCTGAATAAACTCATTCAGTACACGTTTCATCTCCAGGAGTGCAAAAGGCTTGGTCATGAAATCATCCATTCCCGCCTCCATACATCTTTCCTTGTCTGACACCATGGCTGAAGCTGTCAGAGCAATCACATAAACATTCAAGAAGTCCTTGTAGTTATTGAGTTTTTCAGTAACTTTGATGGTGCTAATGTCCGTAATGGAGGTTGTATCGCAGGTTATAGTCGCCTCTGTACTGCTAATGGTTACGACTCCTTCCTTCTTTCCTTCCTCCTCATTCTTTTGCGAACCTGTCAAAGTACTAGCTACTCCACCTTCTACCTCTACACCCGTAACAGTCTCGGCTGCAGCTTGAAGCAGTAACCCACGTTTTCGTCTTTCCACAATAGTTTTTGTAGCGTCTAACCCATCCATAACTGGCATAGTTACATCCATCAAGATGACATCGTATGAGGAGCCACCATCTAACTTGTCAATGACCTCGAGTCCATTCTTTGCCACATCTACGTCTGTATACCCAAGTTTCTTCAACACACCCACTGCGATCTTCTGATTCACAACATTGTCTTCTGCAAGCAAAATCCGGAGTGGTCGACCATCGATCGCCAGTGGCTTAAGACTCGATTCTACCACCTTAGCATATGTGGGCGTCATGCTCATGCTACCGGTTGGTTTGCTAGCAACAATAGTAGCAGCAGGAACGGTAATATTGATGTTTTCAGATACTGATGTTATTGATGCTGATGGTAATGCTGATGGTGATGCTGTTGATGGTGATGCTGTTGATGGTGATGCTGTTGATGGTGATGCTGTTGATGGTGATGTTGTTGTTATTGATATTGTTAGGTCAGTCGGTGTCGTCTTGACAGTTGTTGATGTAATACTGGGAGATGGTATCTTCTTCTTTCCTACTGCTTTATCCGAGATACCTTTACTAACGATCAAGCTAGGGAACTCCTGAATATCCACGTTTTTACATGCCTCGGATGCTGATCCTGATACTGATACTGATGCTGATGTTGATGCTGATGTTGATGCTGATCCTGATGCCGATTCTAATATCACAGGCGTTGATAAATCTGTAGTTGCTGTATTAATTGTTGTAGAGATGGTAGAAGCAACAGTTGGCATGCTAACCGAGGCTGGTAACAAAAAAGAGTCTAAATTGTTGCTTCGATTGACAGAATCATATCGCATAGGGCCAGAAGCAGGCGATGAAGGTGCAGTTAAAGACGGATCAGTCTCAGTCTCGGATGACTGACAGACAGTGAATGGAATAGTGAATGTAAATCGAGAACTAGCCAAGTGTTTCAGATTATAAAGAGAGTTAAATAATAATAATAATAATAATAATAATAATAATAATAATAAAGAGAGGATAAAATTAATCATTTGTATTGAAACTTACCCCACGCCTTCCGTACTCTCGACCCAGATGTTGCCTCCCATCTTCTCTACAAGACTAGCACTAATAGCTAGTCCCAGTCCTGTACCACCAAACCGAGTACTGACCGAGATATCGACTTGTGAGAACGATCTGAACAGCTCTGTGATCTTGTTAGCTGGAATACCCACGCCTGTATCCGATACTGCAAACTCTAGAATCACAGTGTTCTCATCCATCTTGTCTTCATGCAATGAATTAGCCGTTGGTGCCATAACAGTCATGGATGGTGGTCCTGCTGCAGAAACTGAGACCGATGCGCTGGAAAGTGGAGAAGAGTAGGATGACATTGAAGTAGGATGAGGATGGTCATTGTGGTTGTTGTGGTTGGCACTGCTATTAGAAGATGATCCAATTACCATGGCTGCAGTCGGGACGTGACGCTGCTTATCTGCTTGACGACGACGCGTCGATGCTGCTGCAGATTTGATTTGAATGCTGCTACTATGACTGTTACTCTCCGCTGCTTTGACATCATACCGCTGTTGAAAAACCATCGGTGTTCTATGGTCGCTACCAAGTAACATGGGTGACGTTGGTAATGAGGCCGTATCTCCATCTACGCTTCCAGGCCCTGCCCCTATTCCTGATCCATGTTGCCCTGTATTGGGCAAAGATCTCATCACCATAGATGAGGAATTTGGTCGAATGATGGGAAGTTGAACATTATTAGGCTGATGAATCGAGACATGGACCGAAACACGTCCCCGTTGTGTGAACTTGAGCGAGTTGGTACAAAGATTGATGAGGACTTGTCGAAGCCGAGTGATGTCGCCCAAAAGGTGTTCTGGTACATCTGGATCAATACTCCAGAGCAATGGCAAGACATTAGTCTCCTCCCCAATGTCACTGAACGGACCCAGATCATCCATGTCGTGGGGCCATTCAATCACACTGATTGATCTCGAGACATCGTGCAAAGGTGTTAGGCCTGCCAGACTCACCGCATCTATTGAAAAGTAATTGATGTGAATAATAAATAAATTATAATAAATAATAATAAATCAGTAGTGATATATAATAATAAGAATTATAAACAAATAATGATTAATAATTATAATATATATTAATATAATAACAAATATATATCATAACATATATATATCATAACGATAGTAACATAAGAGTAACGGTATAAATATTATAACAATAATAAACACGTAGACGCATGTTGAGAGCCAATTACATTCGCTGTTTTGTAATCGATCGACACAAACACAGATGCTGTCCATGGAGGTCTATTCAACCAAATGCACGCCAACCGATACTCAATGCTCAATGCTCAATGCTCATTCCTACATCATATTACGCACACGTTTTTTTATACACAAGCATAATAAAAACAACGTCCGCAGAGGTACCGAGCTAAAAAAGTTTTTTTTATGCCGACATCCCCATACCATGGAACTTATCATTCCTCGAATACACATGTTAATGAAGGGATATTTTTGTTTGTCCGCTGACACCGTCGGATCTTTTTGTGTCACGGAGATGATGTAGCCCAACTCTCATACAGCCATGTTACACTCTCCAACACACATGTTCTTATGTGCATGTGTTCCTCCAATTGACTTTTTTTTCCTCTCCAATAGATTCACACTAATATACATCAACCTTTTTTTTTTTTTTTTTTTTTGATGAGCGTTGGATAGAGACAAAAAAAAAAAAAAAAAAAAAAAGATGGTATATAACTTGTGTGTTTGACCTTCTGCGGGCTCTTTTCTGATGACAATACTGCGGAGGGACACATTACCTTTCAAACACTTGCGTAGACTGAGCGGTCTTCTCTCAAGCATAAATTTGACATCTTGATCGATTCGAGAAATGTCCAAGATATCGTTGATGACCTAAAGTGATATTCATCAAACAATAAGTGAGATCAGCAGATGAAACGTCGTGTATGCTTTCTAAGATGTGGGAGAAAGAGCACCTGCATTGTTTTTTTTTTAACAAAAAATAAAATAAAAACTTTACAGTTAACAAGTGTTGTCCACTCGTTCGGATGACTTCAATATAGCTAGTCTGTTCCTCCGAAAGGCCTACTGTGTCCAAAAGGATATCAGTGACTCCAACGACAGCATTCATTGGGTTTCTATTTGTTCAGCCATAACAAAAAAAAAAAGCAAGTTAATAAGTACAGTATTCACCAAAATTAACAGCGCCAAGGCGTTAGAAAAGCTATTAATCTCGCATGATTCTTTTTTTTTTTTTTTTTTTTTTTTGTATGCATGTTTGTATTTTTAAAGTACCTGATCTCATGAGACATGTCTGCCAAGAACTTGGTCTTGTTCTTTGCAGTCGATTCAGCCACATCGCGAGCATAAATCAGATTAGCCTCGACCTTCAATCGATCCAGCTCATTGGCAACACGAATACCAACTTGATCCAGGATCATCTTTACAACCCTTCCGTCGTGTTCAGTCAATGGACGATCATGGATAACCCCAATGATTCCAACAATCTCACCTTGAGCTGTCTCAAGACGCATTCCCACATAGGATTCGATCGTGCGATCCATCAAACATTCGGCCACATCCTGATACTTATCTGCCAGATTGGCATCCAAAAATGTCACTTTGTCTTGGATTGTGCAATCTGCCAGATATCCTTGAAAGGCATGTGGATTGATGTATGAACTTTGAAACAACAATAAAAAAAAAAAAAAAAAAAAATTGTCGTTATGACTCAATGTTACAATTTTTTTTTTTTTTTTTTCAAAAAAAGAAAAAACTTACTGCCCTGGCCAGCTCGAGATATTATGCATCACTCCATCAAGTGGAGGCACGACGCCTCCAAACTGCTCAATTAAATTCATATACTCAGTAGGATCCAGTTCTTTGAGCTCATCCAAACTCACCAGCTGAGAGATAAATGCGTACTTGACCCCCAAATTCACCGCTAGTTCCTCACAAACTACATCAAAGAAATGGTCCCCATGACAGGTCAGCAGACTCGTCGCAATCGGTGCCAAATACATAAAATAGGAGTCATCCCAATATCGCTCCTGATGCCGTTGTTGCTGCTGCTGGTGTTGTCGTATATCTCCAGATGATGACAAAGAGCTTTGATGTTGATAATTATTGCTGAGAGTGTGAAAAGGATGGATGCTGTCGTTATTAGTATAGAGATGGCTGCTATTGTTGTTATTGTTATTGTTATTGTTATTGTTATTGTTATTGTTATTGTTATTGTTATTATTATTATTATTATTATTATTATTATTATTTGACAACAGAGCCAGTGAGTTGTGATGGATATTCAATCGACTCTTATCAGGTGATGAGGACATGGAAACGGACAATTGAGCTCCAGAAGAAGTAGAAGAGATGGCAGTTGCTGAAATCGAAAGAGCTCGAGGTCGTTGAAAAATTGTACTCTGAGGAAAGGAATGATGAAAGGGCAAGAGATGGCCCAAAGATATTGATCGCATCGACGCGGCTCCTGTCCCTGCTCCGGACATTGAACGCATCATGCTTGAAGGCGTGTCTGAGGGCTCAATAGGCAAGGATATGCTGTTGCTACGACTTGGAACAGACAACGCAGCTAATCGAGACGTGTTATTGAAAATACTGAAAGGGGTTAAATCGCTCAAGGATGGTATAGCTGTCATTGACGACTTTTCGGGATTGGATGTGTCATCGTCCCGCAAATCTTTTTTAAAGAAAACAAAAAGTAGAAAAAAAAAGATATCATCTTTAGTCTTTTATACCCCTTATTCATGCTCAAAATTCGTCCTATCCCCTATTTCCTACTTCTTAGTTCTCCACAGCATTTGACCCGCGTTTAAGAGAAAGACTCTGTGTTTATGTTTGTTGTTGATGGATGTGAATGTTTGTCAATATTTGGATGGTGCAAGGCATGCAGGGTTTGCATGGTGTAATTTGTTGAGATGCATGTCGCGTACATTCGTACATGTCATATTGAATATCTTGTCAAAAGCAAATAAGAAAAAAAAAAAGCTTTCTGTGATATTTGTTTAAAGGTATCTTGTCGATGTTATTTTGTCCGATCTTGCAAAAAAAAAAATCAAAGATCTTATCATCATCATCCCATGTCATGTTATGCACACACAATACCCTGGATCTCTATGCATCCCCGATTTGTCGGTTCAATGACAACAATTTTTATGGGAATGATAACCAAAAAAAAAAAAAAAAAAAAAAAAAGCCCAGCTGTAAACAATGCCCGATTAGACCAGATCGCCCGGCGGATCAATGGCCCAGACCATAAACAAAATAGGGAACAAACAACCCAAGGACAATGAACAAAGAACATTTTGCGAGCAGGAGATTTGGTGGTTGGTAGATATTTTTCACCATCAATAGCTCCCATCTACTACATCTTTACATCTCCTCCCCACCACTTTTTGCAATAACAGTATATACGATACTGTAATCAAGATGGTGATGTCCTATTGCTCTTTTCTAATGTAGCAAACAATATATGCGCATGTAAAAATAAAAAAGAAACATAAAAAGAAATCGCTCATTGCTCTCCGCTTTTTTTTTTTTTTTTTTTCAGTTGCATCTTACCAGATCCATGGAGGCGATCTGAAGTATGAATCTGCGACATGGACATAAGCATAACATCGTTATTGCTAGTACTGTCAGCTGAGAGAGCTGTCGCAACTGGTACAGGACCGCTTGTCATATTTGTTGGTTTCGTAGCTGATGATCGTTCATCAAAACCCGAATCAGTCGAATACTCGCGAGTGGACAATGTGGGCCTTGTTGGGGTTGTCCCTACCACTCCTGTTATTACCATGCTATTATCTAGCGTAATAAAAGTTTTTTCCTTCTCATTCGCTCCTGTCTCTGAGGACATGTATTCTGTTGTAGCATGACTGAAAGGTGAATAGGGTGGTATAGAAGGAGATGAAGATGTAAATACAGGTGAAGAGAATGAAACCATTGAAGCAGCAGTTGCTGCTAGTGATGTTGCTGCTGTTACTGAAGCGGTGAAAGGAGAGATCGAAGAGTCGACAGGCCTCGAGGTCAGAGTGAATTCAACGGCTCGTGGTGTGGGTGGTTGCAATGGCACTGATGGTAGTGATGATAACGGTAGGGGTGATACAACTTCAGGATGAGAAGATGGGGGGATAGAAGGTGAGGATAGAGGTGGCTGCGGGCAGTTGAGAGGCGAGAGAGCTAGCGCAGGCATTTGAGTCGAGAGCACCGACAGATCGGTGAGGATGACGGAGTAGCCAACGAGCACCCGCGAAGGCTCTGCCTCGACAGTTGCGACTGCGCTAATGTGGCTGTGGCTGTAGTGACTATTGACATCACCATCGCGGCTGATGATATGGATATCAACGCCTTCCTTTTGTTTAAAGAGAGCTGATATAGATTCTAGGAAGAGGTGAGGGCCATCCTTCTGTGTCCTTGTGACAACTCGTTTGATGCACGAGTGTTGTAGGGCTCGAATCTGATCAGGTGTTGAGGGGTATAATGCATGGTCTGCGGGTATTGATGCTCTAGTTGTATCGGATGAAGTTGAAAGAAAAGTCTGACCAAGTGAAAGCCGATTAAGATCCTTGCCCAAGGATTGTTTAGCAGAGATGCCAAAGATGGACTGTGCACCGTCGTTCCATGCACAAATAGTTCCATTGAGATCGCATGCAATGATGGCATCTGTACTGGAAGAAAAGAAAGAATAGATCCATGAATCTACATTGGCAACTGAATCGGTTGAATCTGCATGGGTTGTTTCAATAGGGCGGGTAGGGATCATGTTGAACTGTTATTGTCGATATTGTGCTCCTGCTGCTGCTGCTGCTGTTGTTGTTGTTGTCTCCTTTTTTTTTTTTTAATAAAAAAAAAAAAGAAAAGGTCAATTGGGATCGTTGAGAACTAAGTCAGAAACACCATTCACAATTCTGGTGCCCTTTTTTTTTATTCAATCACTCTCAATTGTTCATTCACTCACTCGCACAGGTTCTTCCTATCTTTGTTTCTTTCTTTTTCTTTTTCTCTCTTTCTTTCTCTCTTTGAGTCTCTTATTGGACTTTTTATCGGCTGCGCAAGACAAAAAAAGGAAGGGCGTAAGATGAATGAGAAAGTGTTCAATTTGAATGTTTGTTTGTGTGTGTGTGCAGATACTCTTTCTTCTCTTCACACACACACAGTTGTATCTGATGAGATACTATTTTCTGTTATTTGTATGCGAAGGAAAAGTCCCAAAGGAATGAAATAAAACAAAAAAAATAGACAAGTTCGGAGAGGAATATGTAGACAGACGATAGAAAAGAGTACGACGTCTATATGCTGCGTGAAAACTGTGTAAAAGAGATTGCTGCAAGGGAGAATGAAAAATGAGTGAGAGTGAAGGAAATATAAAAAAGGGTATATGTTTATACGATGGGCGAGGGAAGGATGCGCAGACAGGAGAAAAAAAAAAAAAATGAGAGCCAGGAACAGGAACAGGAGCAGGAACAGGAATCGGCTCAATCTGTAATGCAGAGACAGAGGGAAAGTGGGTGGCTAAAAAAAAGGGGAAAAGACAGCGTGGAAGAAGTGCAAAAAAATTACAATGTGAGAAAGTGAATATGAGAGTTTAAGATGTACGATGACGAATGCAAGGGGAAATACGGAAAGAGAATGACAATGACCATCAATTGAGAATCATGAATTGAGATTCAACAGCAACAAAAACAACAAAAAGGAAGAAGAGGAAGAGGAAGTGGAAGTGGAAGAGGAAGTGGAAGTGGAAAGGATAGTGTTTTAAAAAAAGGAAAGAAAGGAAAAAAGAAAAAATAAACGGTGCACATCTAAACAATCCTTCCATTTCCTTCCTCCCCACGTTATTTGGCTTTTCTTTCTCTTTGTCCTCCTTTACTTAGTGTGTAACAAAAGTTACAAAACCTTGCTGACAAAATTTCCATGGGTATCCACTTGAGTGCATCATGACACCATGGCATGATTTTTTTTTTTTTATTGTTATACGCTATTAAGCAAACTAACTGCTGCTAACCTTGATCAAGCAGTCGCAATGAAAATGAAATGTTTTCTTTTTCCTATTCCAACATTTGCATAGCAAGCAAGTTCAATCAATTATAGTGCAAATGAACGTTGCTTGTGTGTTGCTGTACGACAACATTCTTCCTCCAGCACAAATATCTTTTCAAGCCAGGTTTTTCTTTCTTCTTTTTATCCCGGATGACGTGTATTCACTTTCCCTTAACACCCCTTATCCTTGTTCTCGTTGCCTTCCTTGTCATTAAACATTCATTGAAGATTTAGTGCAGATCGTGTGCCTCAGAGGATGCTTGTCCTCCCATCAAATCAATCCACAACCCTCAAAATTCAGGAACCGCTGTACAATTCTGATACAGCTGAACCTTAATTTCGTTTGCGAATTTTATTCCATTGGACATGTTTCCGATCTCTTTAAAAAGGATACATATTTACATTATCACCAACTTCACTACTGTCACCATTATTTTCATAATCATTATCGTATCTATCAACCATGTTGATTTTGCACCGTTGTATAAATGAAAAATCGATCGGAAAGATCCCTTGATATGCCATTCTAGCCTGTTGGTACACACACTCACCTTTGCTGCTTCTTTTGCTAATTATTCCCATGTGAAGTTGCTCATCCTTTGTCTACTATTGCACAATACCCTCTTTTCTAATTATGCTGTATAGTTGATAGTTGCTAACCTTTATGATGGACAAACTAAACGGGTCGAGTTCAACCCATTTTATTTGGTACTGAATACCCTTTGAATATATTGACGGCCAGTTAGTTTGCTTGCTTCAAGCTCATCACGAATACTGAAATGATTTTAGTTTTAAAAACTTCATGTACTACGAGATCATCTCAAGTACACACATGCAATAGTATAAGCCATTTTATAATGTACTCTGTCTTCTGTTTCTGTCACACCTCAAAGGCCATTGACGATGTTTGTTGTTATTGCTATTGTTATTGCCATTGCTATTGCTATTGTTTGTGTTCTGTATTCAAATATAGCCTGTGCATGGTTGTCGTTCATCATCAAGGAATTTGTCCATCCATCGAAAAAAGAAGAAAGGAGAGAGACAAAAACATAATTTGCGAAGAGGGGGTCAAAATAAGAGGAGAGGGAGAAAGTAGATTCTTAATATTCCCTGTCAACAATTCTACAATAATCGATCAAACATTGGTCATCAGGCTTTTTTTTTTTTTTTTTTTTGTGTCCATTTTGTGTAAGCGAATGTGGTTTTAACTGTAATAGCCTGTAAAACGAGCACCCGTCTAGAAGGATCCTCTTCCTCTTTTCTTCGATCTCCTGATCCCTGGGTTTCGGTATCTATAACACTAACACTGGTTTCAATGCATGCTGAGAAAATACAGCAGACAAACAGATAAATACGCAGACTGACCAGAGAAAGAAAGAAAGGGAAGAAAGAAATCGAAAGGGCCGTTGTAACAGCAACAAGGGGCTCGAAAATGCTGATCTATCACATTTCACAGTATATATAAATATAATGTAAATTCTTCACAGATCCTAAAGCAATAAAATATAATGACTTCATTCAAGGCCCACTCCGCTCTGTTACCAGATAAGGTTCATTTCTACCACCTCCTTTTAAATTTTGTAGTTGTCTTTTCCTAATCTCTAGCATGGCCCGCGGCCTCTCAAACATGTCATGACATGCCATGCGATGTGGAAGTTGAGAGCAAAGAAAAACCAGTATAAATGTGCTGTATAAATATTGTATATATATATATATATATATATTACATTTATGAATAAGAGTGTTTTTTGGGGTCTTCCCGTCTTCTATGCATGCATGTACACGTATTTATGCAAGTCTGTTAGACTGCGGAAATAGGCTATGGCAAGCATATGTATATTGTTCATGATGTACAAGTACACAATCTAAGGTCTCTGTTGTCTTTATTTTATTTTATTTTATTTAGAGCTGTTTGTAGTTAGGAGTCATCTTGTAGGCGTTAATCGTTTGTTATTCTGTTTGAATAACACTTGCGCGAGTGGATCCCAGGCACACTTCATGCTTTGCTGATATTCACTCGTTCGGTAATATCCCCATCAAAAAGAGAGAAAGTGAGAGTTATCACAAATGAAATGAAAAGGGAGAAGCTTATGAGAACTTCCTATATTTTTCATGTCATAGCCTTATTTCTTTTTTCTGACTGTTTCACTAAACAAAGCTACGAAATGTGTTAAAAAAAATAGAGAGGGAGAAAAAAGTGTCTGATCAAAGAACAGGGACAGGCCGGCATCCAAACGCAACCAAATACTAGCTCTAATACGATCCACTGTTGACCTATTAATTAAATGACAAAAGCGAATGCCAAATTGAGCGAAAAAAAAAAAAAAAAAAAAAAAAAAGAATACAGGTTAATGTCAACTTCCATTTTGTATATACTTTGCAAGGTCAGTTGATAATATGATTTTTTTTTTAGTGCTTTACTCTGTCCTTGAGATATCCAAGATATTGGTAATAGCTCATGATAGGTTCCGCGCGATCTTCGATTAAATGACTCAAAAACCACAGCCGTAATGCTGCATCACCTTCTTCCTTGACCACATACAACTGAGGATAGTAAACAGTACGACGCATCTCTCGAGCTTTTTCAATAATTAAGTTTACTCGTTGATTAAAGTCTGTCTCCACTTTCGGTAATGTAGTCTAAAAAGTAAAAAAAAAAAAAAAAAAAAAAAAAGTTAGATTAGGAATATAACTTTTGGACATCCTTTTTTATTTTTATTTGAGTTTATTACCTTTCCACCACGGATACTCTCGTAGTTAGGAACACCAAAGAGATCCATACACAGTTGAGGAACTGCGTCCCGACCAATCCACAAGAATATATTCTGTCCATCCTCCAACATGAATAATCCTGAACGCGACAATCGCTCGCTACTCAGGTTCATGGGTTGCGGCATTTCAATGCCTGCTGGACCAATCGTTCCACAATGCTCCGGCATATCATGTAGCGAGTAAAACCGAGGATGAATAAGTGGAATTAAGCATTGAGAAGGAAGTGTCGACATCAAATGCATCGCATACGAGCGAAGATCTGAAGGAATCTGTGAACCCCCACGAAACGATACCTGGCAAAAATCAAAAGATAAAAAGTGCATTAATTACAACTGACCAAAACATCCCAGGCTCGTAGGACGCAGAGCTGCAAAAATGTATATGCTCTTACATGCTTAAGCATGCCAAGTGTCAACAATGGCAACAGCTTAAGGTTATCGCAGATCTGAAGATTGGGTGTGGCGCCCGAGGATGAGGCCGTCATATGCGTCTTGTAGACACCCAAGATATCCACGCATTTATTTGTCAAGGCGTCTCTAGCATCATCCAGCTTCGAGTTCATACCACGTTCCACAGCCTTGCATGAGAGCAACGTTGCAATCGCTACCTGATCTGCAGACATGTACAGCTCTGACAGACTCGTCGTCACCGGAAGGGCCAATGTTAAAACTCGGATACGGCGCTCGCCTGAGGAGGAAGTGTGCAGCAGTGCAGTCTGGAAACAGACGATTGGAATTGTCAGATTCTCATCGTAGCTGATTTCAATCGAGTATGACTGGTCACGAGGAACATTGGGCAGCGACAGTAAATCTGTTGATCGGACAAAGAAATTGCCATAAAACGCTGCCATTCTCAATCCTTTGGAAGCACGCACTCTCATCACTGCCTCCAATCCAATCCGATGTGAAAGGAACTCTGCCAACTCGTTTGCAAACTTGAGTCCATCCTCTGATTTAGCTGCTGTAAATGCGGGGTAAAAGAACGTACTTCCCCCAGTAAAGCGAGGCAGACAGCCTACCAACCATTCCATCATCGTGACTATTAGCTCATTGTCAAAGAAAGACAAAATAAAAAGCAATTTTTGACCACATCAACTTACTAAGAGTAGCGACATCTGAATACTGTGAACCAAAGAGGAACATGTCGACGCAAACTTGCGACTTTGAGCACTCTACTGCAAATGATTTATAGAATGACGAAGCTGACTGTAACAGAGTTGATTCCTTAGAAGTACCTAACAACTTCGTATCTTCACGATTCTTGAGCGCCCCTGCCTCCAAGTTAGGCAATGATGCTTGTAAACACAAGATCTTGCCTCCAATGGGTGAGATCAGCTTGTAGGCAGAATTCAGAGCTGGTCCCAATGCATTGCCAACATTCTGAGTATCCTTAAACATGTTTTTCATTCTATCCAGCAACGTCTCCAATGTACCGCGACACTCACTCAAATTACAGAGAAGATCCTGAGGTTGAGGTAAATACGGTTCCTCAAGATCGGAGACAACTAACATCTGAGGCTCACCCGAGGGTGTCTATCGGTCATAAGTAAAAAAATATAATAGAATAAGTAAATGGGATGGAAAATAGATAGCTAGTGGCCATGAACGAGCTCAAAGGATATAAGATTTTTTCTTCTTAAAAAGCACAAACACTAAACACGCACTTACGTTCAAATTGTAAAAATGGATAGAACTATCCACTGTAATGATGCCAATCTTGGTACGCCCTTCATCATTGGGTATCCTGTCCAAGGATTCCAATATAGTCGTCGCCGCGGTCGCTACCATACCACACCGGATGGCGGGATACGACACATCGATTATAAACATATACACTAGAGGCTGAGGTGGTCGAACCATGTACTCTGTAGGTGCAATGTATTCCACTACTGCATGGTTGAGTTCCTTGCGTTGCCAGCGATCTACGGGTTGCTGCGTTTGAGAGTCATAGTCGAATGAAGATGGTACTTGTATTAAAAAAAAAAAAAAAAAAAAAAAAAATAAGCAAATGAAAATATCGAGCTAGCAGGCATTTATCAGGATCCGGAATCATCAAAGTATTATTTGCATGTATACCTTCATTCAGCGTGTAGCACATATTACACTTCCAGCGCTGACCACCTTCCACAAACTTCACGAATGGATTAATATATGTTCTACATCGACGACAGCGGGCGATGATCGAGTCTGAGACCACAGGCACAGGTTCCTATCATTAGAGGAAATATCCAGATCAATAAAAAAAAAAAACATTCCCTAGTAGTTTTCAACAGTGACATCAAAAAACATATGCCTATCCTCAAATGCAATAGAAAACATACATCGCCTTCCTTCACACTGCGATAGGGGGTGATGACGAGCCCAAATGGTAGTCGAGACTTTGTCAAAAGCTGTGAAGTGGCTGGAATGGCATTAAAAGTACATCTTTTATATGTAGGATCGCAGTTAGCATATGGCGATTGAGTGATTGCAGCCTAGCGAATATACGATAGTATGTTGCTTAACTTAGTAGAAGAGCTCAAATTCATTAGGCATAATTTTTCATACAGTTCTAAGAGCTAGAGTGCGTTCTTACTGTGGTGGGGAGAGCAATGGCTGGTGGAGGAGCATCCAGGTCGATGATTTTTGGCGCAGATCCCATCAAAGCAACAGTCGTCATAGGCTGTCATATCCGAATCAAAGAATGGAAGTTACTATATATTAGCGCACAGCAACCCATACATTTTACAACAGTTCGAGACTGACGTGCGACATTTTCTCTGTCTTTCAAAATTCATGCAAGCACGATATTTACTGTAGTCCCTTGACTCCCAAATCCTCCTCCAGTGACATTCATAGTACCCATCTGGTTCGTTAGTTGGTTGACATTAGGCTGGGGAGGATGGAATCCTTGTTGATATGTAGGGACAGGTTGATTAAAAGTCGGTTGCTGATTTTCAACAGGCACAAAATATTGTGATCCTTGTGTGACAGGTTGCATAGGTTTTACAGCACTCGTAGATTGGGGAGAGAGGATCCCTGGCACACCAGCGGATTGAAAACCTCCGTTTGGTGTGATATCATATCCGGGCGTTGGTTCTGAATATGCATTGATACCAGCAGGATACATCCTCTTCGACTTGTGAGTCCCTGTTTGTGGGGTTGAGGTAGATAGCTCCGCTATGATGCCAGCATTAGGCCCCCCAGAACCTTGTCTCGGTTGCTGCAGGTTCTGTTGCTGTTGTTGTTGTTGAAGTAATGGTGGTTGCTGTGGAGAGGCTGAAGGAAGTCCTTGCTGGTGCTGTTGGTTTGGTGGTTTCAGTATAGGAGGCTGCGATCTGTTGAGATCATTAGGAAGTGATCCAGCACCATATCCCACTGGATTCATGGAAGCTGAACCTAAAGGACCCTGCTGCTGTCTTTGACCTACGAATGATCCAGATGGAGGTCTGTTCTGGATTGGAGGTGACTGATAGGGACGAGGCATACCGGGCGATCCAGGCTGAGAAATATTGGGAGGCCGCATCGTGACTGAGGATGTGTGTTGAGTGTCAATAGCAGGTGGCCGCTGCGGAGGTAAACTGTCGCCTTGCTGGTACTGTTGCTGCTGTTTTTGGGATCCATAGAAAGGAGCGGTCACGGGTAGCCGCTGATTTGAAGGCGAAGGAAGAGCAACACTGGCTGAGGCTGAAGCATGTCTGATGGCATTTTGCTGATGCAATGGACTGTTTGGATCTTGTGACAGCGGCCGAAGCATACCAATAGGTGGAACACCAGGTCTAGGGCCATTGTTCATAGGCCTGTAGTTTGAGTGCTGTTGCTGTCCTGCGGCCATTGGTCTCTGAAGTTGCTGTTGTTGATTCTCATGGGGATATGGTTCTTGGTGGTACTGCTGCTGCTGCAATGATTGTTGATGAGCAGGTCTAAATCCTGGTCTTGGAGGAGGCGCCTGTGCCGGCCGCATAGTTGGCGTGGATGGCTGGAGTAGGCCAAGTGATGTGCAAACAAGTAATGACCTTTGTGTGGATTATACTAGTGTTGCTTGGAAGTAAGAGGTAATTTTTTTTTTTTTTTTTTTTTTTTTTGCAACGTGTCTCATGGTCGTGTCGCGTAATTTTATCCCATATCCTGAATTTGAAAATAAGATTTTTTGCGACCAAAAATGGTCGCAATTTGGACAAATGTAGGGTAGTTTTTTACATGTGTTTTGTACGCAAAATATTATAGCTTATTTTTCTTTTTATTTGGTGTGATATTCCTCAAAGCAATTCTGCTTTGCTTTCAAGCAAAGAGGAACCCTACATGTAGCGCATATCCATTCTGATCGTGAGGTGGACTTCTTGCCTTCCTTAATACCCTTAACCCTGCAGTTTTCACATGCCATCCTACTCTTAACATCCTTCCTTCACTTTCTTGGGTTCTTATCGGAAAATGAAAGCCTGGTAGATGTCGACGAGGGCTTGGAAGAGAGTGTTTAGTAATATATGGGCCTTTTGATACCTTGAAAGTAGCCTCCAGAGACTCATTAGTTTCTACGTTTCTCTTTGAGTTCCTTTGCTCGATGACAACATGGGACCTAGATAGCGATAAAAGTTGGTTTACCAGATTTAAGCGAATTTGGCGATGTCCATCTTTTTTTTTTTTTTTTTTTTTTTTTTTGATCCTTTCCTTGTACACCATAGTATGTATGAATTGACAACACTTATATCTAATAGTCACAAGAAGAGCGGCATCCAAGAACGACTGGGCCTCATCTGCACACTATAGTACTGGCGAAGTCACCCGAAGTGATATATTGTGAAAGCGAAGTCGAGTTTCCATCGTGATTGCGGGTGATACTAACATCCATTCCCTCATCAAACAATGTGAGTTCACCTTCAAAGTATAAGGCGCAGAAATCTTTGAAGTCATCAAGTTGAGATTGATAGTCTTCATCATTAACATTGTAATGCAGATCCATGGTGTACTAGATAGATTTTTTTTTTTTTTTTTTTTGATAACAAGGACCCACGAGGTATCCATGGTGTACTAGATAGAAGTTGAAGGAAAATAGCATAAAAGCCTAGCGGTATGGAAGTGTAGAAAAGTAGGCCTTTTATTGCTTTTCTCTCTCAGTAGAATGGAGCACAGATCACAAAACTTAAAACCCTAAATTGACGTCTGTAATGCTACAAAACCATCGTTATGCCAAGCCAACGCACAGAACTCATAAGGAAGTAGAGCCTGCCACATGGGAAGCGTGCGGTCAAGCTATATTTTTTACTTGTTGCAAGGAATGGTAAACAAAGGTTCCCGAGTTACCTACTTGAAAATCAAGGATGATATTCTATTCTCTCGACTATTGACATTTGCAAGACGAAAGGAGTTGGGACCAAAACAGCTCGATAGCATAACTCATTATTATGCTACTCAAGATACTGGGTGACGAGCAGCCTGAAAAGCCAGCTTCAGTAGGCATCAATAGTACTCATCTTAAGAGCGAGATGCTCATTCCGATCCGAAACTTGATAGAGAAACACCATCGAGCCATATTCATTTCACCAGAGATCCTCTTTGCGAGCAATGCGTTCAGTACATTTTAGATCGATCAACATTAGAAGATCTGATTGCTTGCAGTAGTTGTAGATGAGATACATTGCATTGGGACATGGAGTGGGAAATTCAGAACAGATTAGGAGGAAACTTGGATATCTGTGCTCTTTTGTAGATCGAGACACTTCTGTTTCTGCTACTTTACCGTCTCAGCTTCTATTGACTGTCAAAATAATGATGCATTTCAAAGATTCCTACGTGGCCACAGCTGGTAACTGCAGAAAGAATACCAAATACATTGTGAGTCGAATTCAACACCCATCAAATTCATTATCTCAACTTTTTGAAAGATGGAAAGAAAACCATTATGTACTTTCAAACGAGATATGAAGTTGACTATGCTATTCAGTCTCTTAGATATATTATAACAGGAGCTACTCTTGCGTCTCCCGGAGTTACAGGAGCCACCGGTATATTATGAGGCGTTGTCTCAAAGGTCAGAGTCGTATCAGCGGCTTGTGCAAGCATTTAGAGATATGGCCGTGGCACGTGTAGAAAGGGATCTTATAACAGTAGAACAAGGGGAACTACGGTGTTGACAAGGACAGCATTTCTTCAATGATTCGGGGAAGATGAAGCATTGTGGACAGGGCTCCTAAGGAAGCTACTGGAGAATGAGTTGGTACATCCACCGTTGCAATAACTGTTACCAAGGCCGCCACCACAGTAGCAACCTTGGTGGTGGTAAGAATCGGTGAATATGCATGTCTGCAGCTCTCTTTTATGAATATAAGCTGCATTTCGAAGAGATCAGTATTGTCTTCAGCATCCGCCGTAGCAGGGTTTCTCATATAGCATGTCTTTATTAATGTATTTTAATGTATTTGAGGAAAAGTGGAAAGGAAGAGATGCTTCCTTTAAAAGCATACCAGACGTATTTCTGAAAGCAACATTCATAAGCCCTGCGTTTACTCATCGCTCCATTTTTCAATTGTGAGATCTAGGATGATGTTGCTACTAACAGCCAGGATCGAACCAGAAAGACTTGCAGTCGAAAATATCTACCATGCTCAACAGCGAATGCCTGGGAATGGTGAGGCTCTCGCGATTTAGTATCACAGAATATAGGATATTTACTAAAGGCACTGGAAACCTGCTGGATTTCAAGAGGGCTGGCGGCCCCACAATCATCGTTACCTGGCCCCGATTGTCCTGTGTATATCTAGCATTGAAGGTACGTCGTTCGCAAGCGAACGATTCGGTTATTCAGCGATAAATTTGCCAGCTGGATAGGAGTCTTTCTTTTTTGGCAAAGCACAGAAAAGTATTTTTAATTTTATAACGAGACAGCAGTTTTTTTTTTTTTTTTTTTTTTTTAACAAGTAATGGGTATATTTGAAGATAAAAAAACGAAACAAGGTAGAACAACTTCCGCAAAATCTGTGGTCGTGGAGTAAACAACTATGATGAATATCGTCATTCCCTAGATCTAGGCGATCTTGGAGGTGTAACAGCAGTTCGGACAAAAGGCTTCGTAAGTATGCCAGTCGAGTCCCTTTTGGTCTAGGTAGATCCGTTTGCCATTCATATCTTTTTGATAAGCAGATTATTGTGCTCTTGGAAAAGATCTGTAGGTATCCAGTTATTTTCCTGTCCTGTAGCGTTCACTACCCAAGAAGACATGACGGCATGGCTTGTCTACTCGGCCCAGGAGTATTTGAGGCCACAATGAGGATGCAGGAGCTCGTATGCGCAATTCTTTGCCCCTCCAGCGTGACAAATGGCAGTAATCCACACTAGAACCTCCCTAATGTGTCCAACATCCCCGGTCTTGATGGCAGATGAAAACTCTATGTAGATTAACATATCTCTTATGAATAGAGCAGCATTGTCAGACACAGTTCCGTTGAGCCGGGGTCGGCTGGTCATATCTAAGATCCTGTCCACAATCTTGTCCACACCCTGTTCACTTAGCTCTTGCAGCACATCTGCAGGAAATAACATAGAGCCTTCATCTAGGTACTTACATTCCTGGACAAACTCCCATACGCGAATTACCATTGCATCGAACATGTGGAGAAGCTCATTTACTGCATGAAAATCAAACCGACCAGGGGTGACGCGCTTTCGCCTCAACTTTGCTGCATAGTGTGCTAATGATCCAGAGATTCCTATATCATCATAGTGGGTACATAAGATTGTTGAAGAAAGTTCAATTTGCGGTTGAAAAGGCTGTATGATAGGGACCGCCCACTCGAACCTGTGATGGGTCGAAACGTCGTCGCAACGCTGTCTTTTTACTGAACGAACTCTGTTCATTGTAAGCTGGTCGCTAACAATTAATACCCTCTTTCCATTGAACTACTCGCTGGGTATATTAAAAGTGTGCTCCATAATAGTTTCCAGGACATCCTTGTTTCCGTCAATCGTGATCCGGTTAATGTGCATTGACGGTAATGGGAAAGCCTCTGTTTCTTTGACCGGAAGTAGCAACTTCGATGGAACAGGTATCGATACCCCTTTGTAGCTCATAGTTTCTCCGCAGAACACTGACTAGATGGGATCGCATTGTCTCCCGAAGATGCTTTTCGTTCGCTAGCGTAGGCATTAAATGTTCAAGCTGGAGACAGTGAGCGGACTCAGTGTGTCGCTCTTCTTCTGTAGCTACGCTTGTGCCAATGAGTGTCGCTGTGGTCCCGCTCTCAAACGAGCCCTGGTTGTCGAGCCTTTGGTTGTACTTGCGGTGAGTCATATTTATATTGTCGTAGACAATTAGAAAGGGACCGTCCTTTGTCTTGGCCCTGGCATACCTGAGGGCGTCTTCTGATGCCTCTGATGAGGGACTGATGGGAGACCGACAAACCTGCGCACGCTAAAAGTGTAATGACTTTCCACGGAACCCCCTTACTGAACAGATACAGTCCTAGCATCAGCTGAAGATAGTTACATCTACGGTTACATAGGAATGCAAATACAATGGCAATCATAGGTACAGCTATCGACGAGTCCTTTGAATAACTACTGTTTGTATACGCAGTATCTGTTAGGAGCTGATGAAAAACAGGAGCCGATGAAAAACAGGAGCTTTCTCCTTGAAAACCTCACTAACGAACTCGAGCTCGAACCCTCCGATCCTTTCCTGTGTGATGCTATTCGCTGGAAAGTGCAAGGCTTTATCCTGGGAGGCTCGTTCCATTTCGCCTTTGATATGTTCGAGGGCATAATCGACACCGGCACGAGCGGTACTCTCTCGGTGATATGGACGGATCATTTGTTTTTGCCAGAGACCGATAGCTTCAGCAGGCCCATTGTCTCTATAGTGGCATTGAACAATGTCTTGGATATACTTGCTTTGTGATAGAAAGCAGGCTCCAAAAAGATACTGAGAGACAGTCTATGTCTTGTAGGTAGGCGGTAGACATTTTTTTTGATTGTTCTTATATCTTAGGCTCGTCACCAGTCTGAGGTCGAAGCTCACGTGCGAACGAACGCGCTGCAAGCGGGATTGCCTGTTGAGACAATTTGTGGCCGTCTTGCAGATACTTCTCACTCAGGCTGGGGACAAACATTGCTTATTAGCTGGATTCTCCCAAATTTTTTTTTGAATTTTTTTGAAGTCAAAAACCATATGGAAATTCACCTTTTTTACTATGTGTCTCGTCGTCAATTTTTTTTTTTTTTTGAAAAAGTTTTCCCAATTTTTTTTTTCAAGCCGAAGGTTGTCGAATCATTATACCATGAGTACTACCCTACCTCCACACTTCAATATAAAATGACATTTGCTGTATGCACTCGCTCTAACACTCTTTTTTCTTCTCTTTCTCACTCCTATCAACACTTGTGCTTCTCAGCTTTACCATTCCAAAAAAAATTAGAAATAAAGTTACAGAGAAAATAAAGTTGAAGAAAAATAAAATAAAGTTGAAGAAAAATGACAACGTAGAAGATAAAGACGACAAAATTGATGAGTGCCTGACTATCATCCTCCAAACCATGGAAAGGCGCAAGCTTTCCCTCAAGAGCTTTCGAAAATTTGGCTTGAAAAAAAAAATTGGGAAAACTTTTTCAAAAAAAAAAAAAAATTGACGACGAGACACATAGTAAAAAAGGTGAATTTCCATATGGTTTTTGACTTCAAAAAAATTCAAAAAAAAATTTGGGAGAATCCAGCTAATAAGCAATGTTTGTCCCCAGCCTGAGTGAGAAGTATCTGCAAGACGGCCACAAATTGTCTCAACAGGCAATCCCGCTTGCAGCGCGTTCGTTCGCACGTGAGCTTCGACCTCAGACTGGTGACGAGCCTACTTAGGGTGAATCTATTTGACAACCCCCCTAATTTAGCAGTCACACCGGCTTATTTGGCAACCCAGGTCTTCAATTTTCACTTTTTTGTTATTTGACAACCCGGGTTGTCAAAAAAAGAAGAAAAATTGTCTTTTTCAACCTGTCACATGACAAGTCTTCACCATCTTGCACTTTTGGAGGGCCTTTCTCAGCTGGATTTCTAAAATGGTGGCAACACTCCATTATCATGACTGTGGTTATAGCTTCTTCTGTCTCTCTTTTTTTTCCTTTCCGCGTCTTACGCATGCGCCATCAAGCGTCGCATAACCACTCCGAATTTATGCATGCTTATATATCCAAAAACCCCTTAGTGCATGTTACCCGTATAGGCACATTTTCTATAAAAGCAAACCCTTGTTTTAGAAATCAGTTGTAATAAAAAACAACACCTCGTAACCAAAAAAAAAAAGTTTGTTATTTGATGGAAGCTTTTAGATTGCAGGAGGGATTTCGTGTTGCTGAGGGATAGCAATAGAAGCGATTTTCACATTGTAATCTTGCCAATAAAAAAAGGGTTGTCAAATAACAGTGAGCTTGGGGTTGTCAAATTAGATATTTTACTATTTGGCAACCCGGGTTGTCACGCAAAGAAAAAAAATTGAGAAAAATAATTAAGGGGGGTTGTCAAATAGATTAATTCGCCTACTTAATCTTAGGCATGGCAGCCTTGCAGCACGTGTGTACACACGTGCGCTTCGTCCGCTTCCTGGTGACGAACCTAACCCTAGCACACCTAAATCGCTGGCCTCCTTATGATACAGCAGGGCAGGTTAATGAATCCTCTAATTGAACATAATCTCATTTTCTCATGTCTGTTGCAATCGAACCATACCCATGTTTTTTCTACGGGTCTTTAATGGATTCCCGTGTATTGAATTCAGTTACTCGTCCAGGACCAGAATCCAACCTGTATTCAGTTCGAGCCACGATCGAGGTTAGAGCATCTGAGTGACAGATACGAAAGTTGTTGTCATTGCCTGATTTGACAATAGACATTAATGTTTCTTCCTTAATGTGGATGTCGTACCTTATGTGTAGGGATATATCCGTTACCCATATCATAATGAGCCATACCCTGGCATGATTATTTCTTCGGACAAGACCAACATTGTGCATGGCTTGCTTGTTTTTGGTCATACAATGATGGACCGGTTTAGACTAGATCAATTTGAGGGCTCAGAGTATTCACGAGAAGTATTGCCAGTCAAAGTACTGGATCCAGTGCCTGGTTCATTCAATGTTATAGGACAGTTTGAACCGTTATCGCCTGGAGACGTTATCTCTGCCTACGTGTATGTTTTTACGGGATCACATAGGAATCTGGATCAAACAAAAGAGTGGGATTTTGAGGCTTTCCGACGCGATCATGTCACTATATGGATGCAGGCCAGCTCAGATTTTGCGCAAGATCAATAGAACAGCTTCATGTCAGCTTCCCTATTCCCTTTCAAAGCCTTCTTTGAATAATCAGGATAGAAAAAGATAGATGCGACTTTCAATTGTTTTGATTGTTTATTATCACAAGGACTGGAAACATCTAAGAATTGGCTCACGTAAAAGAGGACGTATGTTCTCGTCGCAATTCACAATTGTCTCTTGTTCACGAATGATGATGCTGGCCGGTTGACCCTCCAGTTCAAATTCCACCTTGATCTCTGGATCTTCTCCAGCCTCGACAGCTTCATCATCTAAATCCTCCCCGGACTGTGTTACAATCGGGTCCACAACGCCAATCTATAAGAGGGAAAAGACTAATATGTTTGAGCGTGTATACCAGTGACATAAGCAAAAGAGGGTCCTAGCTGATCGAATAATTACCTTGGTTAGGCCGGTTAGTAAGCTTTGAAGGTTCATGACCCCGCGAAGCTGTCGCTGGGTATAAAGTGCCAAAATCTGACGGCCAGCAAAGGATGCTGGCTCAAGTTGCATCTGGTTATTATATATCGACAATGATCCTGCAATAGGTGCTAGCGATGTTCCATCGAAAGCCTGTGGATATACTCCTTTGGCCAGCTACATGGAACAAGAAACAGAAGTGGCTTAAACTCTAATTGAATCATTGCCTCAATGCAAATTAGAATTGATACGCGTAATGTAATTTGTTAGCTCATACCTCTTCCGAAAGAAGAACAGTCTCGTAAAGAGACCCCATTCCAAGCTGCTTGGCTTCTCCTACTCTGTATGACGACCACTGTGTAATTGATGTAGAGGTTGTGCCTTTAGAGTCCGCAAGTTCTGCTTTGCCGTCAGCCCCCGTAGATGTAACATGCGTTGGTACAAGGACGTGTTTTGGATGCCTGTGCTTCTTCATAATTTCAACTAGCTGATCGATTGTAAGCCGAATGTCTAAGGGACAAATATTTCGACCAATCTCAAGTCCTTCGTAAGGCTCCAAACTTGATGGAACGTCGATTCGCGGCTCTAATGAGACAATATGCCTTGTTTAGTTTTTTTTTTTTTTTTTTTTTTTTTTTTTCCCTACTAGCAATGCGTAATAATTGTTATTCCTTAAAGAACTTACCAATAAATACAATCGAGTTGTTAGAATTTTTGCCCCACATATGCAAAAGGTTAACCATAGGCCCTGACCGTAGGCTTGGGTGCCCACCAAACACAACGCACGGATATTTTAAGTCGGACGAAAATGCGCCGTGCACGCTTTTATAATTTTTGGCTGGTCCCTTTTCCAAAAGGATACCGTGAAGTAGCGGTGCTTCCGGAAGATAAACCATCTCTTGTTTACGAGGAGCCATCCTTTTTTTTTTTTTTTTTTTTTTGATGAAGGGAAATATGAAAGGCGATGAAACAATAATATTAGTAAACCATATTTATTATGACCTAAAGCTTCTCTTCCCGAAAAAGGCGTATGTATACCATTCTGCCAAAATATTGGAATACTGCAATGCGGTTTCTGCAACTGGAGAGATGAAGCTATATTGGACCTGGTGAATTAGTCCCATCCTGTTCAGATGCAAATGGACATCTTCCAAAAGATCAAAAAGAAATCCTGAGATGGTGCATGGAATCAGGACGTGGCCCTTGCGTGCGATAGTCCGAGCAATACTGGCACAAACCTCATTAACGCCGCTATCGTAAGTAATGCTTCCCTTAGGTGAAAGGTCGGCTGCAATGATAGTGCTCGAGTTCTCCAGCAGTGTTCCATCAAACAGATCTGGATGGAGATTGACTTGTGTTGATGATGATGAAATATAGGCAATCTATAGTAGAGAAATGAACAGAGGATGTGTCACGGCTTCATGACGAAATACAGCCATACTGGATAAGGTTATAATCCCAACAACACAGAAGACAATTTGGTCCTACGTTTTCTGATCCGATTTGGATTAGCCAATTTGAACTGCCAAGACAATATCCGGCGCTGTGAGCCGTCAACTTGAGTGATCCATAGAGCGCCTATAGCATGTATAGAGGTTCAGTAAGGCTGATTAATCAGAAACCTAAAGCTATGAAGGCGAAAGTGGAGTACCTACAATGTGTTCACGAAAGCGGACTGGCTGAATCTTGTCTATACAGGCTTTTATGTCTGAATGGGTATACGCTGGAAAGAGTCCTGACCCTGATCGTGCCACCAGCTTTTTCCTATCAATAAAATCATGCGGACTGGATGTGACACTCGTCCCAAAGAAGGACACAAACTCTGTCATCAGCTGTCTACGGATGAATGATTCAATGATGGGGATTTGTTATAGACTATTCTATTTAATGGCTCCGCAGAGGTCGGAATAATTGAACAAGACGGAGTCATAAATCGTAACAAAAGCATACCGCCCGAATTCAATAGTTGGCTCCGTAGCGAATATCCTGCCCTGGAAGTCCGTAAACTCAGTCAAGTAAGGAAGTGCCAGTATGTGATTATAGTTGGAGATGAGAACCACATCGATTGATTTAAAATCTACGCCTGAAAAGTCAGGTAACTTAAACATGTATTCCCGAGTCGCAGAGCTTTGCGATGATTTGCTTGTTGACGTGACTCCTGGATCATTTGTGTCGACATTTGAAGTCCCTATCATTGCGCCAGCAGTAGAGGAGGCTGCTGTAGATGCGTCTACAGTTGATCCTCGTCTCCTTTTTTTTTGAAGGAGCTGTGTGCTAGAAGCTTTCAGAAATGATGCCCAGTCTTGCCGAATATCTGATACTTCGGTGGAACCAGCTTGCTTTCGTTTGAGGGCTGAATCACTAGCAGCCGTAGTGGCACCCAACGGCTGTCCTGATTGTATAGAATCTTTGTTATCATCTGTTAGTCCACCCTCTCTCACAGGCATTGCGTAAAACTGCTCTTGACCAAGACCACAGTCAAGAAGGATTAGCATTTGCCTGAGCTTGAGCATCAGACAATTGGGCTCTCCATCCGGCAAAAGCGACGTCTACAAGAAAATTTATGAACTTGAAGATGAGTAGGGACATGGTTAAACATTTTGAGCTCAAGTCGTGTCCTGCGCTGTACACATTGTTACCAGACGCATGTGTGCTATTTAAATGTAGAAAACTGTGAATGCGCTTTGAGAAAGTGGACCAAATCACAAAAATGTGAGTATCACTCAACTTAAGGGCTCTTGTTTATGAAGCTAAGCTGGAAGCGAAGCAGCAGCGATTTTTGAGAACAAGCACGTGCTGGTTAATTTTTTCAGCATGCTGGTTCAATTTTTCAGCATGCTGGTTCGTTTTTCCAGCATGCTGGTTCGATATTTCAGCATACTTGTTAAAATTTATTAAAATTTTTAACTTGCATAACCAAGTGCTCCTCCATGCACTGCTACCTCAGAATCTCGAGCATCAATAAAAGCTTGATTACTCACAGCTACAGAATGGATAATCCTCATTCAAACATTTGTCAGTTTTGTATATGCACATGCCTAAAAAAAGATGTCAGCCATAGTTTGGCATCTGTTTTAGAAATTAAGCGTTGCCATAGAAGTCCTTTATTTTAATAAAAAAGTTAGCTGCTACTGCTACAACTCTGTAATTTTTTCAGGGCAGAGACAAAGCTGTGATAAAATATGATGCTACGGAAGTTTTGATTGGTCATTCGGTTTCTGCGTGCAGACAGGATCCATCCGGCTCTGCTGAATAACCTTTCAGAATCATTGGAAGTAGCCTGGACAGAAAGGTATGCTCGTGCAAATGGAGCAATATAATCCATTCCTCTTAATCCCTTGTCCTTTTGCTCCTTCCAGTAAAGCTCAGGAGTAAGAGCAAAACGCGCGATGTCCATCATCGGCGTTCTTGAAATAGACGCATCATAATATACCATATCGACACTAACTATCGAATGGTAATATTCTTGTTCCAAAAGAGGAAGTTGATCCCAACATGCTCCATCTTGGGTGGCGGCAAACTTTTTTGCTGCATCTCTGGTCACCTCTAGAGCTTTCTTCCTGAGAGAGTCACCATTGGTTGTCATTATGTCTTTAATGATACTCAAGGTCACCGGGTTCAGGAATAGCGATATGAGCATAACATCGGGAATGTCATCCACGGCCCACATCGTATTGATAAGCCTGTTAAGGTTTCTCCAGAGCTCCTGTGCCGTCTCGGTGTCGTATGTGCGAGAGTCCGGTAGCAACTCTTTCAACTTCACATACATTTGTGACAGTTTTGGATGGTCGGTACTGCCCACCCATTCAGTGAATTTGACTGCATCTGTCATCATATGAATGATTTCACGGAGAGCTTTGACCTCATCACGATCGAGTAGGTTTGACTCTAATTCCTTTGCTTTCAACCTTATCTCCCTTTTTCGGAGGATTCCATGCGATGGTAGGTGCGAGAAATTGCTTGAGAGTAAAGTAGCACTCTATTTGCCATCTTGTACTGGGAGTTCCATCTTGTAATGTTCCTCGACAGCAACTTGGCACCCTTGCCTTCCTGTTCTTCCACTAAGATAGACATCGCCGCGGCATTGCCTCTGAAAAAAACTGAAATATCTTGGCACTTGTCCAATAATTTCTTAGCGGGCTCGCATAGCTCCAAAGACTTATTGATGCAAAGCTGGATCTTATGTGAGGCGCATGCCAACCAGTGCACCCCCTTGTGATCTTCTTGGTAGAGAGCTATCGCTTTTTTTATATTAGCACCTTGGTCTGTTGTTACGCAAATGAGTCTTTCGCTCATATCCATGCTATCAATAGCCTCAGCTGGTAAATGAATCAAAAGACCACAAAAAAAAAAAAAAAAAAAAAAAAAAAAAACGTTAAGAACGTTGCAATACTTATGAAAATATAAAGATAAGGGGCAGATGTATCAGCATTTCACTTACCAAACTTCCGGTGAATATTTTGGGATGTTTGCACCCCATAGACTTGTTCCATCCCTATTGCAATAGATACTGGCTCGAAATTTGGCGTGAAAAAATGCATTGTAGTCCCCAAGAACTTCCTGTGATCGACGCTTGTCCAGCAATCTGTCGTGACGGCAGCGTAAAGCTTATAATAGGTAATGTACTCTTTGATTTCGCGTCTCATCTCTCGAACTCGTCGATCCATCCTGTCTTGCATAGCCATTGTGGTAGGGATATTGAAATAAGGATTGGTCATTTCAATGATTGATCTGAAGATCGTCGAATTAACTGCAGTAAAAGCGTATCCTCGAATGCTTCTTGTTCATGAGGGAGCGGCTTCTTGAGGCTCTCATTAACAATCTCATCTCGTGCGATGTCGAATTTTGCCTTTCTTGGTGGAGCCACGTCAACTTCTTCCGGATCAGGTGGCAGCATGATACCTTTAACCCTGCTCTGACAATTGCGAAATTCTTGGAGGGCACTATATAAATCGCCATGGCACTGAGTTAAGTGAACAGATCTTGAATATCCACTCCCAGTTTTCTTGTATGTAGTACCACAGATTACTCCATCTTTCAGGACCAGACACTGGAATTCTTCCTTGCTTGATTTGAAAAAATGACCAATCACGCTGTTTTTGCGAAAGGATTTTTGATTTGGAATCAGGGCTAATGCTTTTTGAGAGGGAGGGGCGTCAGAGAATTGTTCTGGCGTAGGAATGGTACCAAAATCCAGTAACTCGTACAAATCATACCATCCGTTTGATGCAAAATGACTATCCCTCAGCTCTCTCCGCCGGTTGGCCAATGCTTCAGCATCAATGGCACGTGTAAAGTCAAAAGAGGGAAGATTAATAGATCTTGAACGCGTAAATATTGCGCTGTTGCGTGGAGCTCAATGTAGAAATCGAGGAGACTGAAGATGGGCCTGGTTTTGACTCCCGATATTGGGAGAAGCTGTTGGATGAACGGAGAGATGACAGTGGGGCTTGCTGTGCAGCAAGTAGCGTATGATTATAACGTGATGTAGGCAAAGCTGTTGATGATTGAGAACGTCCAAACGTCCTTGGTCTGGCATGATGAACCGATTGCGCAAATCCACCGGGAGGAGAAGAAGTTTTGATGAACCTCCTCTTTTCGCGACCAATGCTTACCATGGGTCTCATCGTCTGGGATGAAGACGAGATTGGGTTCGCACCAAGATAGGAGTCTAGTACCTCAAGCTCATCACACGGCATATCTTGCGTCTCGAACGATTCGCCATTGTAGGCTGCATCACTAGTTTGGGGAGAATCGATTCTATTTGCTGGAAGACTTTTCTGGAGTTGCATTCTTCGTTCGATTTGATTTCGGCGAGGTATAAGGGTCTCTTCCTCGTCACTGGTGTGCTCCTCCTGATACTCATTCCCCTCCTCGTGTCCATCCTCATACTCATCCTCATCTTCATCCTCATCCTCATACCCCTGTTCTCCATTCTCATCCTGGTGAAGAGGATCATGTGTATGATTTGCCATTATTTCTTAAAGATTTTGTGTGAAAGTAAAACGGGTAACAATGGAAAGAAGATAAAGAAGATAAAGAAGATAAAGGCAACGTTGTAGCATTCAATTGGTGTTTGGTTTTGTGTAGCATGAAAACCTTTCTGTTCCACCAGCTGCAGTTAGCACGCCATTTTTGTTTTTTTGTGAAGAGGCAATGAAGGGTGACTACGGCTGACATCTTTTTTTAGGCATGTGCATATACAAAACTGACAAATGTTTGAATGAGGATTATCCATTCTGTAGCTGTGAGTAATCAAGCTTTTATTGATGCTCGAGATTCTGAGGTAGCAGTGCATGGAGGAGCACTTGGTTATGCAAGTTAAAAATTTTAATAAATTTTAACAAGTATGCTGAAATATCGAACCAGCATGCTGGAAAAACGAACCAGCATGCTGAAAAATTGAACCAGCATGCTGAAAAAATTAACCAGCACGTGCTTGTTCTCAAAAATCGCTGCTGCTTCGCTTCCAGCTTAGATCACTACAGCTTGCAACCACCATAAAAAAAAGAGAAACTCATCTTTCTTGTTTTCACAGGTACCTGATTCCATCTCGATCGCAATGAATCAACCACTTCTACAGGTTACATTGCCCGTCCTCTCGAATGTTCTTGGCAATAACACAGTTGCGGGTATTCTGGCTGTCGTGAACTTGGCTCTCAACACCATCACTGCCACGACTGCTGTACTCAATAAGCATGGCAGGAACAGTTACGAAAGCTACGCGTCATCACTCAAGAACCAAGGCTATGAAGACTATACTGGACAAAATGCATACCGTGGACAAGGGGAACAGCATGCTCAAGGCACACCATTCCAATCCCTGGTTATGAACACACTGGCTACGGCTTTCTCGTCAATTAACACGGCGTTTGCCTCGGTAACACATTCAGAGACGCCTTTAACGACATACATCCTGGTTGCGGTGTTATCCTATGTAGCTTTTAAAATAACCTATGCCGTTGTATCATGGGTTGTACGCTCTGTCCTCAACTTGATCAAGCTGACGATTATTGTTACGATCGTTACTTCTATTGTTTGGTTCATCATTAACATAACCTCGGCCTCTAGAGGCTCAGACTCGAATACTGGGCGGCAGCATCGTCATCAGGACCCTATCTCGCAACTACTTTATTCGTTACAGAACAAATTCCAAGCAGAATTTGAGCGACAGCAGCAGTATTTACAAGATCCATATGTTTATTAGTATTTTTTTGTTATAATCTTTATTAAAAGCAAATCACGTTTTTTTCTGAGCACATGATGCACTGTCCACAATTTTATCTGAATATTTGTATTTGTGTCATCTTTCTCGAAACAAATTGGTAATCAAGCTCGTGACCACCTGTAATATAAAATAGCCTCATTGTTTTCCATTTCTTTCTCTCATTTCCTCATTCAATTCTTTAGAACCGTTGGAAAGACATAAAATACAATTCCCATCATGGGACAAACTTCTTCGACCCCAAGACGACCTATTTCAAACTCTTCTATGAACAACATCGATAGCGACACTATTAGTAACAATGCACACTCTGAGCACATGAACCAACACCAACACCAACAGGAACAACAGCAGGAACAACAGCAGGAACAACAGCAGGAACAACAGCAGGAACAACAGCAGGAACAACAGCAGCAACAACAACGGCAACAACAGAATTCGCCGTCGTCCTCTTCTTCCCGGGTCTTGCGTTCCACAACGGAAAGGCGCCGTCGAACCAACTTATTTTCTTCTTTCTATCCTCTACTCTCTCGTAGTTCATCCAGCTCCAATGCTAGCTACAGCAATACAAATCCGAACCCTGGTAATGATGATGGCAATGCAGACGAATCGAATACCTCTCCAGGTGCCCATCCAGCCCAAAGTGTATCACCTTTATCGCTTCCAGAAACTGGAGATACATCCAGCACCGTTGTCACTAGCTCAGAAGCTGAGAGTAATGCAGGCCTAAATGGTGATGACAGCCACATTAACGCCCCACGAATTGAGAGACCTATATCTCGCAGTGGAGCAGCGGCTCTAGGAAGCTCTAACCTTGTTACCCGATCTACAACCCGATCTCCTGGAATGCAGCCTCCCAATATAGCCTCAAGTGGTCGTACTCCGCGCGGACTTTCTCGAATCCAGCGCATGTATGATGAGCACTCGATCCGTAGCACTCGCAGCTCCAGTAGAGCTTCGAGTATATTTACAAGCAGTCCTCCTGTGAGTACATTGGCTAACACTTCATCGATGCAGGCCTTCAGTGCAGAGCACATGGATGTTGACCCCGATTATGTTAGCCATCCTCAAGAACAACAGTATAGCTCCACGGTAGAACAGCATAACGTCTTAGCAGATGTTGTACAGCCGCCGCCAGAGTTTAACAACATGCACAGCAACCAGCGACAGTCGGCGCTGCCAACTCTACATCGATCGGAGCTACCCCTCAGTCGCATGACTTTTACTCTTGGGCCTGGAACAAGAGCCGCGCAGGAGCCCATCTCACCAGCCTCTAATGTAGCGGTAGACTCATCCAACGGCCATTCGTTCTTTGAAGGGCTTACAAACTCTCGCGATGGAACCTTAAACTCCTCTGGCGACGGCGACAGCGACGGCATGGAGCATGAGATGCTTGTTGATCATGATTCGTCCGTAGTACAAGGCGTTGACTCTGGCGCACAAACTCAAGAAATTGCTGATACCTTGCGCAGACAATCAGGAGCGTATCCTGATCCAGAAGTCGTTGCAAACCTTATTCATCATCAATTTACGCAGTCTCTTCATGAGGCTGATGACTTGACTTTGATGTCAGCATCAGCAACTTCACTCCAATCTACTGAAGAACAGCCTAGCAGCTATCATGAAAGTCATTATGATTCAAATATGACCTCGTCTCCAAATTATACTAGGTCAAATGGAGCCTCCTCTGCTGTTGACTTTCAAAGAGAAAATTTTCAGGAAGAGTCCTCTGCTACCCTTAATCACCAACGTCTACGTTCCTCAACATTTGGATTTCAACCTTCAGACGACAGGACTAATGAGGAAACATCATCCTCGCAGGATGCTGAAGATCGCCCTTCAAACCCTGAGCCTCGAACTGAGAATGACATGCAATCTACTAACAACTTGGAAAGATCACAATTTCTCTTAAGCCAGCTTCCTTTCTTCTTACGATTGCTTGCTGATGTCAATCGAGCATGGCGACCAAATCAGGGAATTAACGGTGATGAAGATTCAGAGGGAGTGAACGACGCAGAAGACCACGCACCTTCATCCAATACTATTGATACAGGGCATGTAGAAAATAATTCTTCTACTGTGAGGACTGAGGCTGCGCCCTCTGGTGGAGACACTAGCCCTACATCTCCCAACGCTAATGCACGTCCCAGGCACCATCGTACCACCATTCGCTTTATCCAAATTGGAGGCAATTTTGGTGGTGAACGAACTCGAAATGGCTCTACTGGATCTGCTGATAATGATGGTGCTGAGGGTGAAAACCGCAGAAGGAGCGACGATTTTACGGATGGTGGTGTTATCATGTTCCTCTCAGAACCACCAGAAAATGAGCCAGACTCTGATTCCAACGACTCTTCGTCATCACCCGACGGTTCAAGCGACAACCAAACACCAAGTTCTCGACAGCGTCATCGATCGCCATGGGTCGTCATGACTTTGACTGGAGCATGTACGTGAGCAAGCAAAGATAAAGGGAATTAAGAGGATTAATCATTATTGAAAAGTATAACTGTATCATGTACTAATTGCGTTTCACGTCTTTTTTTTACTTCGTTTTTTAAATATATAGATCTAAATAGTTTGATGGCTGCAGGTACAGATGGAGAGGGAGGCTCAAACTATGATGAATTATGGGCCTTAGCCAACTTGATCGGGCCAGCTCGACCTATTACTACAACTCAAGAAGCCATCAACAATGCCGGATTTGTGGTTGGGCGATTTGAACAAGAGTATCAAGGGATGCGCAACATCACTACCCTCGGCGATAACAGTAAGTGCCTGGTTTGTATGAGTGAGTATGAAGAAGGCGAAGACATGCGTGCGCTCAAGTGTAAGCATGGCTTTCATTTGGAGTGCATTGACAAGGTATGTAAGAGACTCTTATATTTCTGGTAACTTTGTGAATAAGATGTAAACAATTAGACTTATAACGCTAGTGCTATGTTATCTTTTATCTATTATATAGTGGCTCACAACAGGGGCAAACAAGTGTCCAGTTTGCCGAGCTGCGGCAGTCGTAGCAGAACCATCCACTGCAGTCGACCTGGGATCAGTGTTAGCCCCGGAGTAAACAATTAATGCAAGTGGAAGTCTGCCAATCATATAAACATCGATCCTTTATTCTATTCTGCTTCCTTTTCTTTGTATCATAAAATTCTGTACAACACTGCTTTCTATTTTGTTTTTAATTATTAAATATTTGACTTTTGCTTTATTTTTGTATTTATTTTATTTTTCCCTTACTATGCATCTTTTTACAAATATGTAAAGTAACACGCTAGAATAGGAAAAAGAAAATATAGAAAATATAGACATGGTTTTGAATGTTATGCTCCCTCTTTATTTAGCTTTGTAAAAGAATTCTATTTTCTGTACGTTCTACCATGCTCTTGAAGGTGGCATCAGCTGTCATCCAGGCCAAAACATGCTCTTGTTTGAATGCTTCGTAATCCCAGGGCCTCTTCAAATCCAGATGCTCGATGGGTCCCTTGAAAACATACACAAAAGCATCCATGACCGTCTCGGGTTCGTAGTCGTTGAGCTTGTTGATCGTAAACCTGGCGGGGACTTTTTCATGGACAGTGACAGAACATACAATACGGGGGTATTCAGGCCCTTCAAATTGGTCTAGGCGATGACGTTCGAGGTCCGAGTGACCAAATACCAAGAGGCCTTCAACGATCTCTTCTGCATCGTCTGACGGGATCATTCCAGGAAATGGCTGGTTATGATATGTGTATCTGGTATAACCCTGCAAGTAGAGACATATCGGTTTCAGATCCTTCCTGGTTCCCATAGAAATCCTCTACATAAAAAAAAAAATACCTTGATGGAAGCACGCGCACTAAATAGCTCAGCATCGGGTTTTGGTCGTGTGACAGCATTGAGGACATTGGACTCCATGAGAGAGCCATAGAAAAAACAAGGCGGAGCATTTCTGACAGGAACGTTAGAGTTGATTTCCATGACCGTAGTATCCATGTAACAACAACAGGTAAAATTGAAAGTATATCAATTAATGATGAGAATAAAAAAAAAAAAGATTTTTATATCGAAATCTGAAGGTTTGATTCCTGCTTTTAAGAAAAAGTGTTTGGTGACAGAGCAGGTTCATGATCGATTTCTCCACTGTTGTACAAATATCAGCGTTGACTCATGCCAGTTTTTCATGTAGGTGTAATGGTACAAATAGACAAGTTGTTGTGCCTTGCCACCAAATATTTCGCATCATTTAAGGTTGAGTTGGGAATGACACAGGATGACACCGCCCATGGCGATACAACAGACTTGCATATTTCCCTGTTATTTCAATTTGGTCAAGCTTGTCTAATATTCTATCCTCCTCGCACTTCCTTAACCAGCTCGCGCTGCCGGTCAAGATCCATCTCACCATAACCAATCACCTCCATCACAAACTTGCCTGTGCCACCCGTCAATCCACGCAATGCAGCATCATAGCCAAGCATGGATGACAAAGGTACTTGAGCCCGAATAGCCCTACGACTTGTCATTGTAGTAATGGATGGTGACGATGAAGAAGGAATAGAGCTGTCTGTAGTGAAGGTTGAATCAGGTGGTGCATAGAGCTGGAATTCACTCTCGTCCTCAATCGTTTGATGATCTGGACTATGACCATCTAGACTCAGTACACGGCCTCGCCTTGTACCGCTGATGTCTCCAATAACCGTTCCAACATCCTTCTCTGCCACTTCGACTCGGACATCCATGATCGGCTCCAACAACACAGAGTTATTCTCGTTCACTCCTACAGAAGAATTGCCTCCTAGACGGATCGCCTCTGTGACCGCTGTAGATACGCAGGACGAAATGGCTGCAGGAGTAGAGTCTGCGCCGTACAAGTGCAAAGCGGTCAATCGTACTTTCAGATGCGTCTGTGCGTAGCCCAAAAGTGGTCCACGAGAAAGTGCCGATAGAACACCATTTCTAATAGCATTCTTCAGAACGGAAAGCGGAAGGTCCGTAGACCCTGAGGGAATAACCGAACCAGAGAGGGTTGCCTTTTCAGCAGCGGCCTGTGCACCTGCTTCATCTGTACTGGGTGTCCGCTCTGTGAGCGAAATAAAGATCTTATTACCATCATGCTCTTCAAGTCTAATAGGTTGAGTATCACTACTGTTTTCCGACATGGGCAAGGAGGAAAAGGAAGCATTTGAGGCATCATCAAGTTGATCAAGTCTCTCTACAGACACACCAACACGTGCACGCCCTCGTTTCCCCAAAACTTCACGATCATATTCCCATTTAGGAACCTCTGATACGACTCCCGCCCCACGCATAGTCTCTTTAAACGAGATACGCATTCGTCCCATCTCAGCCTTGACCTTGAAGTCACTCAACAATCTCTCCTGCGCTATCTCAAGGTGCAATTCCCCCATTCCACCAAGTAGAGTCTGGCCAGTTTCTTCATCTACACGCACTCCTAACGAAGGATCTTCACGGATTAGAGCCTTGATTGCTTCCTCAACTGGCTTTTCGTCCGAAGTTGACATGGGCTCCACACTGGCAAAGAATACAGGAGATGGAACCTTGATACCACTTAATGTCATTCCTTTACGAGGATCATGTGCGTCCAGAAGGGTGTCTCCTGTCCTCGTATCTTTGAGCCCCAAAACCACACCAATGTTGCCCTTAGTGATATATGGGATCTCTTCTACATCCATAGCGTACATCTGTAATAATTTATTGGCTCGCTCTTTGGTATGTGCAGTGCTGTTCCAGAGTTGCACTCTTTCATTCAATTGGCCAGCGTATACGCGAACAAATACCATAGGTCCTCTCCGTGCGTCATGAATCACTTTGAACGCAAGCGCACAGAGCCTCTCTTTCAACCCTCCAGTTCCGATTTCAACCATTTTTCCATCTGGCATACGAGCTGATGGTGCAGGACGTTCATCAGGAGAAGGGAGATAATCGACAACAGAATCCATAAGAGGCTGGACGCCAATATTTCTGAAGCTTGCGCCGCAAAGTACAGGTACGATTATCGAAGACAAGGTCAATCTACGGATGGATGCCTGTAGATCCCTGGATTCAACCGCCATGTGATCCTCCAATGTTAAGAAAAGCTCAATAATCCTCTCATCCAGTGCAGAGAGCTGTTCTACAAGTGCAATACGAGCCCTGATTGCCTCCTGATATAGGTCCTGGTCGGGATAGGAGGCATCAAGGGGTGACTTTGTGACTTTAGCTCCTTTAGATTTTGAGTCCCACCTAAGAATCTCCATTGAGAGGATATCTACAATACCTGCGAATTCAGCGTCGCTAGCTGCAGCTCCAGCACCAGTAGGTGATTCCATAAACGGTATCTGCAAGACAACGGGTTTACATCCTAGTCGTGTTCTCATTTCTCGTACTGTTCTACCAAATCCTGCACCGGCACGATCCATTTTGTTAATAAATGCTATCCGCGGGATCCCATGTCGAGCTGCCTGCTGCCAAACAGTCTCTGTTTGCGCTTCCACACCCGCTACAGCATCCAAGATAGTAACTGCACCGTCAAGTACACGAATGGAGCGCTCAACTTCGATCGTAAAATCAACGTGGCCTGGAGTATCGATCAAGTTGATTCGGTGGTCCTTCCAGCCAAATGTGATGGCTGCTGATGTAATGGTGATTCCACGGTCGCGCTCTTGCTTCATATAATCCATAATGGTATCCCCGCTATCAACATCTGATGAAACCAAAATAAGGAAAATACCTGTTCAAAAGCGATTCTATCCATGAAGCCGAAAGTTTGATAGGAGATCAAAATAAAAAGGGAGCTATTTCAAGGACATACCACCAATCTTATGAGTGAATCCTGCGTAGTGTAGCATGCGTTCTGTGGTAGTTGTCTTTCCTGCATCAATGTGGGCAATAATCCCGATATTCCTGCAATTTTTGATGGCAATATCTGTCTTGTGCGCTGAGGTTTTTAAGTTTTAGTGTTGAGTAGTAGTTATGGATCAAATGAAAGCCCCTGTTCGCTCGGTTTAATATAACGCAAACAGGCACACGTACCATGTGAACTGTACCATCGAGTTGACTTTAACGGTTTAAAGGAACGAGCTGCTGTTTTTCTAGTCGATACTGCTAATCTAGAACTCACATTTGTAATGAATCCTGAAAATGGAATGTTCCCCCTACGTCCTCCAAGAATCACGCAGGAGGCTACTGAGGAAGGAATGAGCATGCTTGTGTCTGAATGTTGAATGTCCTGTACTGATGGTCAATCGAAAGAGAAATCCAAAAAAGGGGATTTTTTATTTTTCTTACTATGGCGATCTACGCCACCAATATTGATTTAAGTGACTTGCATATCAGCATCTATTGATAATTCCCAGCTCTGCGAATAGGTCTTTTTAATACCTCGTACTTCTTCGCTTTGTCTCTATTGCCGCCACGTTAATCCTCTTTCTTGTCACTTCCCCTAGCTTGCCCTATCATCATATCTTCCTTCCTTTTGCTTTTCCTTTTTCTGTATATTGATAGACATCAGATCATATGGGTGTAAAGGGCCTGACTGCACTATTGGAACGTTTAGCGCCTCATTCTGTCGGCAGATATCACATCTCCCGCTACAAAGGCAAAACACTTGCTGTCGACGTCAGCTGTTACCTCAACCGCTTTAGTAGGATTGCTTTTTATTTTTTATCTTATTTTATCTTTTTTAGGGGATAAATAGGATAATGGTAGACTTTACTATCATATTTATTTATACGAGTAAATATTCCTGCATTACACCCTCAGTCTATGGATTAGATCCACACCCAGCACGCGTGCAACGCGGCGTGTACAAGCTCTGTGTATACCTTCAGATACATGGTATTAAGCCTATATTCGTCTTTGATGGTCCAGATCGCATTGTAGAGAAACAACGTGAGATTCAACGTCGAGCCCAGATGAAACAAAAAGTAGAACGTTCCTTCAAGCTCGAAAAGGTCCGAAAATCGCGGTTGAAGGGCCTCAAGGGCCCCGCAAAACTTCTACAAGCAATCACTCCGGAGCGAGCGTCATCGATCCTTCAAGGGTTAAAGCCACAAAAGACTCCTCTCCACGAAAATCAATATAACCAGAAGGAAGTTATGAGGCAACTACCGTTAGAAGAAGTCATATTATCACTACCGATACCACCCTTGGCCATGGCAAAAAATTCCAACGAAGCTTTGAGGGAATACGGCCTACTGCCTGCTCAATCTCAATCCACATTGTCCAACCCAAGCTCTCTCCCTGATATTTTCAATGTTCATAGCGAAAATCTTGAGAATGATCCCTCATGGCATATACCTGAGTTCACAGAAGAAGACCTACGTAAACTTGATTCGCATCTGGCTCATTTTGAAGGGTTACTTGCCCATGACGCAATAATTTTGGGCGACAGTATTACAGAACACGAAAATGATCAGACTGATTCCTTCGCGTCTGATTTGGATACGTTAGGGCAGTTAGAGCTAAATTTTGAGACAACACGAGGCTTGGATGTGATGCATGATCTAGCGGACACCAGCAACGAAGACAACAACACCGCTCAGGACACACGGGATGCTGGTGGCCCACAGCCTTTAGTGCCAACCCAAGCACCAATAGAAGAATTACCTCCGATAAGTCAGCTCAGCGTGAAAGAGATTTTTGATTTCGCCGACCTCTTTGGCCCTCTCTCAGAGGCTGAAATTCACAAGAAAATCCATGAAGGTCTACTAAAGTATGTAGAAAATATGGAGAGTAGTCTTAACATATCAAGCACAGAGGAGTTAGTTCAGTACTCGACAAAAAGACAGAAAGCTTTAGATGAATTGGAACATAAGCTGGTGAAAGATATCAAGGAAGCGCTTCTATTCCAAGATAAAAGAAAGACAGATCCACCTATTTCACAAATCCCATTGATCATGGATAAATCAGTGAAAAATGAAGACGGATCCACAAGTCTTCTACCGGATTCAAAATCGAGACTTATATCATCGGGGACACTGCAGGAAGAAAGCAGTAGATCGGATAGGGCAAATCTCTTTGAAGGGGATATTGAGCGGCTTGATGGGAAGGAATCTTTGACTAGTGACCTAGAGCCTATTATAGGGGAGCCACTCATGGAAAACTTGACTGCCGATGAGCAAGCAGTATGGCCGAGTGAACCAACAGGGATGCTATGCGAGACTGATGACTTAGAGGACACTACGAAAGTGGACGAGACATTGAGTGAGACTCGACAAGATCTACCGTCTACGATTAAAGAGGTCCTCTCATCCCATCAAACACTGTTCATGACACTTGAGCGCCGCACTTTGCGCGTTACATGGCCATTGGTAGCGTCCTGCCAGTTGTTACTACAAGCAATGGGCCAACCAGTAATCCAGGCTGAGGGAGCAGAGGCCGAAGCTATCTGCGCACAGTTGACCACTCAAGGCTGGGCAGATGCTTCAGTCAGTGAGGATACTGACACAGCGGTCTTTGGCAATGGAATCTTGTTACGACAGGTCGCTCCTGGTAGTGCTAAAGATATCATTGAAATCAATCCACGTGTTGCGCATGAGAGCCTTGGGATTAATCGTGATGCATTCCGGGACTTGTGCATTCTATGCGGCACCGATTTCTCAGGTGTAAGTCGAGTATATTTAGAAAAGTGTATAATATCTGACATAATCTAATAATAATCTTTTTTTTTTTTTTGACTCCTGTCCTATCAGACAATAGAGGGGATCGGACCGAATAGGGCTGTGAAATTGATCCAATACTACGGCAGTATTGAGTCTATTATGGCTAATGCCGAATACAAACCTCGACCAGATTTTTTTTATGACCGCGCGCGCCGTGTCTTTGATAGAGTTCCTGTCATCCCACAAGGCCCTGAGTCTTATCAAGCAAAGTCAGAGCAACTGTCATTATTGCAAGAGCTGCTGTCAAAATATGAAATTGATCCCGATGAGGTTAAAAGAGACTTGCTCAATGAGAGCTCGACCGAGATGCTTGAAAATGGCACTAGCAGCAATGACAGCGGATTGAGGCGGCCGCCCATGTCTTGTGTCTTGGGCGCAGATCCTTTTAAGGAATCAGAATCAGTATTCTAGACTCAGTAAAACACCCTAAGCACATCAGTACCAATAAAATATAGCTGGATAATTGAAGGTTTAATTTGCACGCGGAGAGGTGGAGAGACTGAGGACACTAAAAGGTTTTTATTGCTTTTATTCGTTGTAAATGTCGTACATATCCAAGATAATCTCCTTGGCTTCTGTAAACTCTTCACTACAAACGCTGCCAGGCCCATCCAACTGAAATTGCGGCAACAGACGCCAGTCAATTTTTTTGACAGAATTTGAAAGCATCTGTAGTTGCCAGCGCGTGGTGCTGGATGCCGCCAGCCTTGTGAGAGTTGGCATTGAGTTGACTGATTTAAAAAGTAAAAAAGCATAAATAGAACTCTATGAGTGAGACTCTTTTGATCAAAAAAAAAAAAAAAAAAAAAAAAAAAAAAAAATTACCTTTACTTGTTCCATCTGGACGGATGTTAGACGAGTAATTACTGGTGTCCAGAAGAGGAAGAAGATAGAAATGAGTTTGAAAATTCTGAATTAAACTGTTGGCATGATGTTGTATTGCATGTTTAGAGTAGCTTACTCTGTCTCCAGGTAACCATCAAGGGTCAATCCTTTGAAAAAGCGAGGATATGATGTTGGTATGGGATACTTCAGTGCCGTAATGGTCCTGTAATAAAGGAAAAAAAAAAAAAAAAAAAAAAAAAGACTACACTATCAATGGATACTGTAACCAACTAATCACAAAAGAAAGGAACATAAAACCATCATCTCCGGTTCTTAGCTGTTCACCTTGAGTCACTCAGTGACTTTCCAATCGGTAATGTGCCTAGCAGCTCTTCTACAAGTTCGTTTGGGGCCCTCTGAGTACTAGAAGTTGAATATATTTACAATTAGCAGGGTAGTTCTGAATTAAGATGCATAAATTTGCATTTAGACTACTTAATAGAAAGAAGAAAACTTACCCAGTGGTATATTTAGTAAATTGATTCATTTCAAGTCCTCGTAATACTAGAGAGTGAGAAAAGGCCTTATCAACCTTTCAAATTTGGATGGGAAAGGTTGTTAAGTTATGAAATACAATGCAGCATATTATTATTTCTTTCCTTATATCACTTACTAAATTCATTTTCCATGAGGATAGATCTAAAAGTGGCGAATGCGGACCTATCAATCGAGGCAACGTCGCTGCGCCAAAAGGAAAGGGCAACGCCACGGACAGTGTACCGATAGTCGTGATATTCCTCCAGTTTAGCAAGCCCACAAGATCTGGCATATGAATTACGTTGTGGCGCAGTCTGCATGGTAGGAGTGCAGAGTCTATACCCGCTGAGATGATGGCACTTGTATGATATCGACTTGAAGGCTACAAAAAAAAAAAAAAAAAAAAAAAAATAGAAAAAATTACTATGGTATATTATCATCATTAAATAAAAGATCTCTCATCATCAATTGCAAAATTTTTACTTACATCAAACTGAATATATTTTGACCATTCGGTTGTATCAACTGTAGACAGACTTGGGGCACGAATAGGAATATAAAACGACGACAAGCCTGAAAGGTTAGTCATTGATAACACTTCATTGACAGCTGATATCTGGCTCTCTTTCTAACAATAATATATATTATATAAGAAAGAAAGAGCATTTAAGTATAAAGTTTAGCAATTGCTTATTTGCATTGAGCCCAAGTGAATAAAGTACGTGTCTTTTACCATGGTGGAACTTTTTCTCATCTGATTGTCACTCAGACCATAGGTGACTACGGTAGCTTTTGGAAAATCCTCTCGCAATTGCTCAAGGTAACTGGTGGCGAATCCGCCCCAGCCATCTAGAATGTCCGCCATGACTTGAAACCCCTGTAATAAGTATAATAGAATTAAAAATGTGTATCGCAATGATCAATAATTCAATTCTTTCAATTCTTTTTTTTTTTTTTTTTTTTTTTTGACCTATTCCGTATTTGTTCTCACGTAACTTGCAGCTGATCACATTCTTCTGTGAATAATCTAAAGTTTTCGTCGTATGATTCCTTCTCCTAGAAATAAGAAGGATTCATGGATGTGGAAGGTCAGAGCGTCCATATCTCTAGCAAGTTTTTGTCATAATAACAGGAGCAATAATAAAGAGAAAGCCCTCCATCGGTCTTTTGATACCTTCTCGGTCTCGACAAAGGCTGATCGTCCATATGAGAATACGTCAAAGGGCATAAATTCACTGTTTAACTGATATCCACTGACATTCACCATGGATTTTGGATGAAAATACACGCGGCTGAAATTAGACCAAGTTTTGATTTCATTCATTTCTATATCGTCTTCCCCTTCCTCCATAGTTATCTAATAGTCAGGTTAATCAATGAAGCAATAAGAAAATATAGTGAGATTTTTTTTTTTTTTTTTTTTTTTTGCATTAGAAGTGAAATAAAGACCTACGCCCATCTCTTCTTCCTCTAAGTGCTTCTGATAGGCAGATTTGGAGTATTCTTCCTCCTGAAACGTCTCCATCTTTGAAGGATCCCTATGAGAAAAGAAAAAAACAATTTTACTTCAACCAAATGTGGCCGAAATGGTTTTTACTTCAGCAGTTTACTTCATACAACTTACCATGACAGATCGTAGTGGTCAAGAGCCGATTCTGACTCATACAACCTATACTTATTGATTGAGCCGAAGCCCCCTGAGTCACAAAAATACAAAGTCAGTAATCAATAGTTTAGCCATTGCCACAATCACTCTTGTTCCTCATATTCATTAAGATCCTTCACCAGATCTCAGCTACCTTTTAAATCAAAGATCATGGCTCTTGGTGTATATGTTTCGGTGCCTCTGTTCGTTATTCCAGTCCGGTATAGACAATCGTGGTCAAGAGGTTCTGGAGTAGCATCATTATCCTGAGCAGATGGTTGATAGTTGAAATGGGCCTCCTAATCGGATTAAAATAGAGGTTTAAGTAAATGCTTACACCTCCAGTAGAAAACGTGTATTTTGATCCTTTTCTCACACCTGAGTATTCCAGAAGTGCGTCCCAACAAAATTGGCATAATGGCCAAATTGCAAAGTAACAATCTCATGCATAACAGATTCCGTTTTCTTTTCTATTTGGTTTGTGCCTTGTCCACGATCCTTTGCCTTCAAGTCTGCTAGTTCATGAGGAAAGGAGAAAGTAAATACTCTTTATTTTATTTATTTTTATTTTTTTTAGGCCTTTCCATGTCAGCCACATTCTCGTTCTCATGAATACATTTAGGACAGACAGTGACATCATGAACAATAGTGGAAAGAGCCAGAAGCCATCGTTAGGAGAACAAACTTTAGAAATAGAGCAGGACATCGACGCACTCTCTCAAGCTAATTATGAAAGCAGCGATAAGCTTTGTGAACCAATGTACGCTGCTGCACAGGAATTGGCTAAAGAGTTTAACGTAGAGTTCCTCTCTGCAAAAGCGGTAACGATTTTTAAATTATACTCTTTGCAAATTATGAAGTCTACATGTATGAGAAAATAACTCGATTATCTTTTCTGATTATAGGTCAAGGAAACACAGGCTCAAATTCAAACAGTAGCTCTTCAAATAGATGGTGTCCGGACAGAGATCAGTCAGGTACGCCTTAATAGCATTGCTTAGAATATAGATACATTAATGGATTCTGTATCACTCATGAATCTGCTTCTTCTTTCCATTTGTAGATCAAAGAACAGATACCAACACTCAATAGACAGACAAAGGATCTAATGGAGAGTGTGGACATACTCGATCAAATGTATAGACAGATCGATGAATTGGCAGTAGGTTGGCTATCCGATCATTGCATCGCTAGAATCACAATATCTAAATGTCTGCTGACAGCTCATTTCCTATTCTTTACGATCCAGCTTCTAATTGAATTAGTTACCTCCTCTGTCCATGAAGCCAATAGTAGGGTGGAAGAGGCGGAGCGAGAATTGACGTCAGTTGCGTTGCAGCCGCTTCAAGCCATGTTAGAATCACTCAAGATGGTACCTTGCCTGCTTTCTTCCTCCTTTGCCATTGGTATCTTCATCTTATAGCAACTGTAGAACGTATTTTAACTCCATACACCCTTTTTTCACATAGGGTCCGAAGAGCTTCCGATCATAGCGTTCATGAAAGAATTTTACATTTTTAAGCTGATAAAAAGAAGTTGACAATTAGAGAACATCCTGATATCCCACGGAGGGTCGACACTTACACTAGGCTGTATGGTAATTGTGAGAATGTAGTGCATATTATTCATGGAATAACGGTGTCGAGTCCAATTTGGAGCTCTATGTATTCTTTTTGATATATCAAACGCCCAAGGCGAAAAGAATATTATTATTTGAATAGTGACCATGTGTTGCACGTTTGCAGCAATCATTAGTATTGTTGCACATGTTATATATTGGAAAGCAATCTTGTTTCTTTTTCGAGAAAGCGAGCTGTACTCTCTAAAAAGATGGACATATGATCATGCCACCAGGCCCCATAGCTCATGGAGAGTATTGAACGGTGATTCGCATCGCCTATTTTAAATTGAATTACAAGACATATTGTGATAAAGACACTGACAGCCACCACTAGCACCTAGGATCTTAAGATCGGATACGCTGCTTGACAGATTCTCAGGTAAGTTTGGTTTACTTCATTTATTATACAACACTTATTCCTCTCGCTCTACCACCAAGCCTTACAGGAAGACCCATAACATTTACCTACGAGCCCAACCCCCAGTCGGATTGACCTTGTCGCCTCTCGCCTTAAATCACGTGGTTAATCACGCCCATCTTGAAGATCTGGGTTTGAACATTCGAGAACACAAACAACATTCCTCCACATCACGCAATGTCCAGGAGCAACGAACAAGTAGACAAAGCCAAAGAACTACTCCAGATAATTGGAAATAATGATCAAGCCATCACGCCTGAAAACATTACGGACCTCTCTTCTGCATTGGTTGCCTCACTTGCCAGCGCAAAGACTGAGGATGAGAAAGCCCCTATCAGGGCAATGCAGGCTGAATTCCTTGGGCACTGTGCTGAGCTTCTTACCAAGCAATCATCACAAGAATTAAAGGAATACTCAGCCTCAGAGGGAGGTCTCGCTGCGCAAGTTCAGACCTCGATCATCAAGGGATTGCTTCGCATGGTCATGAATGATACTTCCTTTGCGGACGCTTTACTTGATAGCGATGTGTACGCCGCAATCCTACGCCTATCAAACACGAATCCCACTACCGCCACCAAATCAACCTTACTTGTAGAGCCTGGTGGTCCAAAGCCGTCTGCAGTCTCTGTTACTAGCGAAGTCATGCATTCTCAGGATTTCAAGCCAATGGTCGTCATTCTTCTTACTAAGGCCTTCGAAATGGCATCCAATAAGGATCATGTGCGAGACACAAGCTCAAAGATCATTTTGGCGGATATAGGGTCCGATAAACTCAACCCCCGTATTGCAGGATATCGGGCACTAGGATTAGTTGTTCAGGCGAACATGGCGATCGGCTGTGGAATCCTCAATAAGGAAGGGTTATTGGTAGAGTTGATGGATTCTGTGGAACTAGAGCCAGAGAAAATTCAAATCATCCTAACAGAGACACTCTCCATGGCTTGTGCAGACACCAAAACAAGGACTGCGATTGGCCTTCATTGCTCAGAATTCCTAAAATCGATTGTAATGCGAGGAGCAACTAAAAATCAGCATTTGAAGGGGGCTGCAGCAGTTGTATTAACAAAGATTTCTCTGGCAGATGCTCGTAAAGATCCCTCCGTGGGGCTGAATGGCCTAGAGGACACAACCCAGAGCCAATCAGCGCCTAAAGAGGAAACAGAGGATAACGCTGGTGATGAGGCTCAGCTTGCAAAGCTTTTTTCAACACTTCTCAAGGAGGATAAGAACGATGGTAACAGTGGAATTCAACTGAATGCTGTGGAGGGTCTAGCATATGCGAGTATCCAGCCGAGTGTGAAGCAATTTATCATTTCAGACAAGCCTCTGCTCTTGTCATTGTTCCGTCTCGGGGAAGAAACAATGAGCAGCCCCCTCAAGTATGGACTTATCATCATCTTCAACAACCTTACAGCGTTCAGGAAGCGATTAAGTGCAGAACAGGAACAGATGCTCAAATTGAAGAAGATGGCGGGCACGCTACCTAAAAGTACCTCAAACCGGCTACACCAGGATCAGGACGACCCATTAGATAGTGAGCAAGTTGTCAATCAGCGCAATATGACTCTAGTCAAGCTGGGAATCATGCCAACTCTCCATGCAATTGGCCAGAATGCTTCTGAAACTGTTCGACAGACTCTTGCACAAGTGCTTCGTAACCTTATTACGCCTCCAGAGACTCGTGGTTTGCTAGTTCAGCAAGGCGTCGTGCGGTTATTAATACCATTAGCATTACAGCAAATTGAGCTACAGCAGCAACAACAGTCACAAGAGTTATCTTCGGAATCAACTAAAGCGGCCGCTGTACAGGCGCTTGCGAAGCTTACCATCACATTGGATCCTCGCTTGACATTCAAAAATCAGCGGATACCCGAGCTTGTGAAGCCCTTTATTTGGCTTCTTGACAGCAGTGATCAATTGTGTCAATTTGAGAGTCTAATGGCACTGACAAATCTCGGATCAATGGGTGATGTTCAAGTGTTAAGCCTTATTATGCAACAAGGAGGGATCGAGAAGATGGAAAATCTTCAGTTCTCAGAAAATAACATGGTTCGTAGGGCTGCTACAGAAGCTCTTTGCAACATGATATTTTTTGAGCCTGTCTTTGAGATGTATAGCGACCCTAAGAAAAGCAAGAACAAGATCCATCTCATGCTTGCATTATCTGACACTGACGACTTTATGACTCGAAGGGCCGCCTCAGGTGCACTAGCGGTGTTATCGACGAGTCCAGATGTCTGCAAGATGATTATGGCTCAAGAACGAGGTTTGGAAATCTTGACAAGTCTGATAACGTTGGGTGTTCCTAGCTCTAAATCCGATAATTCTGAGGAGGTGGAATCCAAGGCCATCGAGGATGTAATGTCAGATCAGGAGGCTGCAATTGTGGACCATGCGGTCGCAGTCAGTCGCATGGACGAGCTGCGACATCGTGGTGCCGAGTGTTTCAAAAATTTAGTGATGATTGGCGGTAAAGAAATCAGCCAAAAGATTGCGGCCCACGGTGGTATCCAACAGTTGGCTAACCTGATCCAGACAAGCGGTCACGAAGCTGTGCGGTATTGTGCAATGGAGGCTCTCAAAGCCATGTCTAAACAAGGCATCGAACTGAGTACATAGTGTAAAATATTTATAATCATTATCATATTGGGACGGAATAACCTCCTCCAAGATCATAGATGTATGGGTTAATATTGGATGGACATGGTTTTTCCGAGTAGATGAGGATAGAATAAATGTACTTGCGAGTAATGGCTTATGTGGACAACTTTGTTTTCTCATTGAGTAGTCATGATAATGTCTCATGAAGGCGAAGGTCATCATATTCTGTTTGCCCAAGAATTCTGGAATTCGAAAATTCTTGAATTGACATTAACATTGTGTTCCATCACACATTTATTTCTGCATTTCTGTATTTACCATTTAAATCAAGATTGAATGTATAAATGGAAGACGAGGTTGAGCAGATTTCAAAAAATTCATACAAAGGTTCAGATTTTGAAGAGCAAGAACATGATCGCTACAAGAACAATCCTGATTTGCTTGCCCAAGTAAAGCCCAAGGCGACTCGACTTTTCTCATACAACTGGTAAGAATTGATAAATAAATGCTCGTGTATTTTATCCTATTTGTCTACCATTTCCTAATTGCTTTTTTCGATTAGGGCAAGTGGATTTATCTCTCCATTTCGTCCAACTCCACAGGGCATTCTTAGCGATATGTTGCAGCATGTCCATTTTTCAACTCCTAACAGGGACTCTCTCCTTGATCTTGGCTGTGGCGATGGGATCGTGCTGGTCCAGGCCCTTCAAACCTTTCCTTCAACTCAGCTCAAACGAGCCATTGGTATCGACCTGGATAAACCACTTCTGGAGGCAGCAAAGGACAGGATCTTTCTCCAGGCACAGACAAAAACAGACCCCAAGTCCAAGACCGAAATGCATGATATTCTTTCTAGGCTAGAGCTTTATCATGGCGATCTGACAACGAAGGATGATCTTCTTTCTCCTGTTATGCCCACCGAGCCCAATTCTAAAGCACCTCAAACAATGAAAAGATTGATAGAGCAGTGCTCACATCTTTTTGTCTATCTGCTTCCTGATGCCTTATCCAAGTTAACACCACTGTTACTCGAAGCTATCGAACTCCAGCATAAGGTTGTTCTATCGATGCGTTGGGAGATACCTGAATTGAAACATTACTTGATCCAGGGAGGTAGCGATTGTCAATTTTATATATATAGCTACTCGCCATGATTAAGGAGGAGCGATTTTTTTATTTCTTTTATTAGCTAGGTGTTTGATCTGGACAAATGATATGGATTCAAGCTTGGAAATGAGAAAAGGCGAATGAACTTAGGCTTCTGGTTCAGGAGCAGCCTCGGTGCCCTCAGGCTGGTTAGAGTTGGCTGTTGTGATTGAGTAATGTCGATATAATCCCAGAAGTGGTGTTGAGCACACGGAAGAAATAAAAGATTAGGTCAGAATTCTAGAAATGCATAAAAAAATAAGGATTATTGGCGATTTGACGTACCTTCTTGCATATCCGAAGTCCAAAGAGTCAAGTTGTCTCTCAAAAGTTGCATGATCAAAGTTGAATCCTTGTAGCTCTCCTCGCTGAGGGTATCCAACTCGGCAATAGCATCATCGAAGGCTTGCTTAGCCAAGTGACAAGCGCGATCAGGAGAGTTCAAAATCTCGTAGTAGAATACAGAGAAATTGAGTGCCAAACCAAGGCGAATAGGATGGGTAGGAGGGAGCTCAGTGATGGCAACCTCACCAGCTGCCTTGTATGCCTCTAAAGACTTGTCAGAAGCCTCCTTGCGTTTGTCGCCAGTGGCGAATTCGGCCAAGTAACGGTGATAATCACCCATCATCTTATGGTAGAAAACCTTTGACTCTCCTGAAACAGCTGCAGGGATCAAGTTCTTAGACAACACATCAAGGATGTCATTGCAAATCTCAGCGAGTTCCTCCTCAATCTTGGCGCGGTAAGTCTTGATCATGGCAACATTGCTCTCTGAGCCCTTGGACTCCTCTTTTTGCTCAATCGACGATACAATACGCCAGGAGGCACGACGAGCGCCAATCACGTTCTTGTAGGCAACAGAAAGCAAGTTGCGTTCCTCAACTGACAATTCCGTGTTAGCAAAAGCAACCTCTTTCATGTTCTTGACCATCTCTATATTGGCCAACAAGCAGGGATATGAGCATGTTAATATGGCGACATAGCACAAAAGTCTTTTTTTTTAATAATACTGCGATTTGTTATGAAGGTGACGAATGAGAACGATATGGTTTGTGCATGTATGTCTGTGGAGTGTGTGTAATTTATGCATGTGCGTGCTTTTGTCTGTTGCAAAAACACGACGAGGCCCTCTTCCTTATGGGGAGGACATAGCGAGAGCGTGAGCCAACACCAAAGGAATTTATTTTGAGATCCCGGGTCAGATACACACATATTTAAATATACAATCTTCCTGTTACTTGATTAAAGACCTAAGAGCCCTGTCCATCTTTTTCTATCGGCAATGGATCAAAACACACACATGTTCTTAACCTCTTTCACTGAAAATGTGACGTGAAGTTGAATTATAAAAAGGCATAGTCTATGAAAGAGATAGTGTAACACCTGACAAGGATTGCCAGAAAAAAACCGCTTCATCACGAAAATAGACTCATAACATAAACACACATAACCCACACGAGAAGAATAACCTCTCTGGCAAGATGTAATCACCCGCGCCATTGAGCATTCTGCTTATCTTTACAGACTTGTAGATGACAACCCATATAGCTTATAAAATAAAAAAAATAGTAATAATAAAATAAAATGGCTTTCTACTTGATGACAAAGGATATATCCTCTCTCATTTGGTGTGGTTCGAAGTCGCCATTCACTCTCACCTAATCATCTCTCGCGCACTTTTTTTTTTGTTGGAGCGACAAGACATGATTAAGCGATTCCTTGCTAGCGATCTTAATCATGGTCTAATGCGGTGAACCAAGTTGGAATTGTCGTTGTCGCATTGCTTTTAAATGTCCCAGTGAGGCTCTTGATTGTACGAAACAATGCGTGTGAGAAAAAAGAGTAAGAAACAAAAAATGCCTTTTGTATTATTACCTTCATAGCGTTCTGCCTGCTCTGCGAGCTTGGCGAGGTAGACATGGTTATCACGGGTAAGCTCTGTCATTGTGGATATTTTTTGAAGAGATGAAAAATAGCTGTAAAGAAAAAGGGTGAGGTTGAAGAAGGGATATGAATGTGGAGTTCGATTGTTGAGAAAAAAAAAAAAAAAAAAGGCCCCAAGGAACAGAAAAAAGAAATGGGTCACTTGGGGGGTCAGCATCACGTGAGTATAGGCAAACAGACGTTGTTTTAGTTTTTAGTCACGTGGAGAGGGTTCGCCACTAACTATTTAACGAGCAACAGCTTGGCTCCTTGTCCTTCTTTTACACAAAAGCCATTTGAGTACTGACTGTTCTTGTTCAGTCTTTGAGTAGTGTGCTGTTCTTTTATTGTGTTAGAGTTATTTCATCTATCTGTAGCTAGAAGTGACTGGCTTCACAACCCACCAAAACGACTCGAAATCTCCTATCATACCTACCCCTAAATTTTCCATTTTTTTTTTTTTTTTGAAAGGCTTTTTGTACAATTTAAGTTAAAGAGCCAGAAACAACAGTGGTAGGAAGCAAGGTAGCAACCCAGGAGCAGCGGGGGGCAAGAATGAATTGCGAGCTCATGGACATGAGTCCCTTCCAGGGAGCAAGTAAATAATAATATCAGCGCATAAGATGCAATAGGTCGAGGAGACAGGAAGAGACAGCTTAGAGCAAACTAAATCGTGATAGAGGCGTTCATTTCAGCAGAGAAACCACGGGTAGGCTTCATGTAAGATATTCCTATTGCCAAGAGCCCACATAATGTGATAAGCATAAGCGACCATCCAATATCAATGACAATGGCTTAAAAGTGTCAATGCTGGCATACCCCAGATGTAGTAAATAGTGGGAAGTGGGCTGATGGCCATGGTAACATTGTTGGAACCGTGGGGCGCGGGGTGTGAAACAGGCAGTGATGACGCTGAGTACAGCACAACCCACTCTCAGTGGAAAGATCGTTGACTCCAAACTAGTCTAGCGTGTCTGCTGACACGCTTTTTTCTTGCTTCTTGGCCCTCTGCCTTGAATAGTGCTTGATGTTTGGTGTACACTGAACGGCTGTCATCCATCCAAGAATAATTTCCATCCTTGTCTATCGGCTGAAAATATGGGGGTCGCTGTTGGTAGAGCAGATAGCCACGGACGATGTTGGCTATGTTGTAGCTGGTTATCACATCTCTATGCATAAATGCGTTGCATTTGGAGCAATAAAGCTAGCGGATATTAACCTGTCCCACAATTCCTTGGCAGCTCGTGTACTTCTTGGAGGAATATTATTCATTCACACTGACAACTATGTAGCTAAGGGATTAGGCCTGAAAGAAAAAATAAAGTATGGATATCGGTCGGAGTGCTAATATATATCTACCGTTCAGATGAGGTAGCTGAAAGCTATTCAATGTACTGGTCAATAACTCTCTGGCAAGCACGCTTGTTCTTCGAAGCGTGGCAAATGACTTCTTGGAGGCAGGTCTTAACCTTGGCTTATCATTCAGTATTCTACTCAAGTTACCATTGACAGTTCCGATATCAAGAACCTAGTTCGGTGTTCATACTGCATAGCCCTGGTCAAGCCATTTTTATCCATTTCGTCCACCGTTTTTCGTGGCTTTGTCGCCTTTTCCTTCTGCTTCTTTTGCTCGCTAGCATCAAGAGCATCTGCGTTAGAGTTGTTTTTTGCTCTTTCTACTGTATTGCTTTTTGACCTCTGGAGGAGCATGCTCGAGTTTTCGGGAGTCTTGAATGAATACCGCTCTCGACACTTATACTTCGTTCCTGCGGCAGAAGGAGGCTATTAGAAAGGAACTCGACCGATAGAGCGAAAGGTATTGAACGTATCTGAGCACTTGTTCTTCTGGAATGCAATGTCCATGTAAAGGTTGCAAAAGTGGGCTAGAACAACGGAAATGCAGGGGAAAAGGGATAAAGAGCTAGTACATTACCACGCCACCTTCTATTCAAACCAAGTACAGGAGTCTGAAGTGAAGCTGACAGGCATTTGCTTTGCTGTTGATCCACGGAAATCCGTATAGTGTCTTCAAAGTGCCTGTCAGCTACTCTGTTTCTCTTCACTTCATTGTCTCACAAGGGTCTTATACAATGCTCTTGGGGTATTTTTTTTCTTTTTTTAAAAAAGAGGGACTTTAATATGATATCCAAACTTTTAGACTTTTTTTTATAGTATGCCATTAATTTATCCATCCTTCTTCCTGGCAATTTCGTAGTTAGGGATGTTTCCAAGTCGGGCTGCCAGTTGCTCACTATGCACAGTACTGTTAGCTGAACCCGTGTAATGCTCAGGGTGGCAAGTACATTTGTAAGCTTATACACCAGAATCACTGTCTCGAGGCACAATAACTTCGAGCTGGCAACCAGTCACAATAGCGACGTTTACTTGGAATTAACATTCTTGAGTAAGTCAGTTCTTGCTCCACAGGTGCTTCGCGAACAAATCTCATGCTTCCTTCGATCAGTGAAAGGCTTTACCTATAATGCCTTTGTAATGGTCAAGAATTGTTTCTTTCAGATCCGACGCTTGCTTCCCACGCGTCAATCTGGCTCGTCGAGCCCTTCTTAAGCGTCTATCAATGCCTTGGCTCGCACCTTCTCTCAGTGTATATGAGTAAGCCTTTTTCCCTCACAGAGGTCGCCACCGAGATAGTGGGCAAGGTTCCCAGGCGTTCTATACCTCCCAGCCCTCTTTCCAGGATCTTGTGGGCTGTATCTAGGGAATGATTGGAGTAAGGTTCCCGGGATATCGAGTCTGGTATAGGTACTGTGGCTCAAGGAGTTGGAAGGGTTAAAGATCGAGCAGGCTGATGCGTAGTAGTGAAGAGTCGTCTCGTAGCCCTTCTTTAGAAGAGGAGACCGAGGGCTCTCGATTCCCATTACTAAAAGGTAGTATGGGTAAGGATGTAATGTGAAATATCAATGGGACTATTAAGGGAAGGAAAAGTGAATAAAAGAAATTGGCGTAGGGTTAAACAGAAAAAAGAAATAAGAGCCCTATACGTAGCGGTTTTCACGTTCTTTTTTTTCCCACTGATGTGAACCGATCGGATCAATGGTGCCAGTGGTACGCTAGAGGCCGCAAAATATGCCAGTAGATCGTTGCTTATCCCTCTTTCTCTTCTGCTCTGCTCACGAGTGTTCAACATGTATCCCTTGACGATTGAAAGTTTCTATCAGACAATAAGATGGATGAAGCAGTAAGAATAAGATGTAAGCCCACAGAGAACTATTTATTCAAAAGATGGGATGTATGGGATCCATGTTTGTTGGACGTTTGCATAAAGGAGTATAGGGTTGATTTTATTGGTCGATATCAGCTTCGTGATTTGTGCGCATTGTGGAATGTGTATCTTGCCATATTCTCCAAATTTTAATACACATGAATCAGTGAATCCCTATTTTAACCAAGAGGTATCCGATCCTTTTACTACGTTTTCCTCATTCAATGCGTTCCGAGCATTTTGGAGCCAAGAAAGGATTGTGGATTAAGAATCAGAGTGGTCGAACAAGGATTTTGGATTCTTTCTTGGCCACTAAGAGAATCTGGATAAAAGGCTTTCTACTCACAACAAGGTTTATCCTGGCTGCGGCTGCCCAAGTAATTCGATTGGTCAACCAAGTACTTCTGCGCCCAAGTTCGAGAAAAAAGCTGGTCATTCACTGGAATTCAACTGGTAACAAATACCCGGTATATATCAGAATCCAAAAACCCCTTGAAGGAGATTGGGCTACGACGGAATATTAAAAACACTACAACCATGAAGCTTTAACAAGTCCAGAGCCGCTCTTCCATAGGCCCTGACGGGTGCAACTGGATGAGGTCAATTGTCTCCAGCGGCTATGACTGGAAATATATAAGGGAAAATGTAAATCAAAGAAAATCTACAGTCGGTAATGATCGTACTAATATGTATTGGATGTTGTTGCGCTTACATAGGTCAAGGTTAACATTCCATGATTTAAAACTTGAAGAAGGGAAGAAAGTATTCTTCCAAGCCTACTTATTACTTACAATGATGTACGTAGAGACGTCTATCGCAAACAAATGTAGGAGCTCACTGGAGGCGACAATGTTGTCACTAGTGTAGACGAATGGATGAAGGGGATTCAAGCAAATAGAGGCAAAGGATAGTTTGCTAATGACATTGGTGTCAACCACCCGCAAAGCTAGCTGATTGCTTGATGGACAAACTTTCATTTGAAGGTAAGAATCGCTCAGATTCACTGTATAATCCTCCTGGTGTTTACTTTATTTATTGTCCTCATTGTAATCTTCAACAAGTTATGGAGGATAGCAGTTTGATAGCCTGCATGGACTCCAACATGGAGGGTCGCTAGGCCCTTGCGGAATGAAAAAGGCAGGAGGAAAAAGAATAGTGACCCTTCAGTCTACCTACTTTGTGAAGAGTCGAATTTCGAAATGTCATGCCAGTTGCCTATATCCTCTACAGCTAGTCATTGTAAGTTTAGGCATGGTTTAGCAGCGGTGTGAAGATACCACTACATTAGAGGGATGGTTCTCGTGGTTCAGAACCGAGTGCGACCCCAAGATATCAAAGTTCATGGATCAGTCCATGACACAGAGTGATGGCATTCAGGAATAAATTCAGGATAAGATATATCATGTTGATATTGTATCAAGATACCTTGGCAACAATGTTTTAACGCGTCTCTATATCTCTTAGGAGCGAAACTGAGAGTAGTTCAAGGCTTTGCTTAAAGAGATGCGTATTGCAGGGTCTGACAAAAGAGCAGATGGTGTGTAGAATAGGATCAAAAACCAGTTCTATAACTCTAATGATCTCAGGACCGAAGTCTTCCCTATATATGGAAGGGAACTAGATCGCGAAAGGGGGGAGATCAAGATGAGTGCTTTATGTGAAAGAGGTAGCTAAAAGAGCGGTAAACGGTATTAAACGACTGACACAATGAAACGCAATATCCGTCATTCTAATTCATTTAATAGGTCTACCAGCATGTAGACAAACAACCTTATGGACTCTTGGTTCAAAGTTTTAAAGGCACATGCGCTAAGGAAGCGCGGTTTACGAATGACTTTCTTAATCTACATATTGCAATGGGTCATTGGTCGGGATGGTAATTCAAGGTTGAGTATGGAATACATTCTGTAACGCACTCACAGTACAACTAAGAAAGGCTGTCGAGCGGCGATGTCAGTGAGTTTCGCGGACGTAAGGGTTATAATATTTGAGAAGTTGGTCGCGAGAGAGGTATCTGTCGATGATCGACAATTTCACAAGTTTGATTGTATATGGATGGGTTCTAATCGTTCTTTCATTTCTTACGGTTCGTGATAAAGTCGTTTACAGAATCCGGAGTAGAGTGCGACGTAGAGAGGGATCTTCAGTCATATTCATACCCTGACTATATCCGACAAAAGACCCCTTGCAAGCACATGTATTTGGCGACAAGGGTCTACGACGACTTCGATGCTCAATATGGTACTACCCCTTTGCGTATTAAACAGCACAAGCACGTAAAGTTCGGCGTATGACCCTCTCTTGTGAGTATTATTTCGCCAGCTTTACCGCACCAACTGAATGGGATGAGAGCTAAAGAGAGGGAAGAAAAGAAGAGAGAGCGAGAAGAGGCCACCGCCCGAGCGTTTGAAGAGGAAATTATGGCCCTGTGGGAGGGGTTGTGCTGTATAGCATGCAACAGTACAGCAGGCAAAAAAGAGAGTGTATATTGAAGGATATGCAAGACTCGCTGGCAGATCTGAGGAACGTAATCCATATAATGACAGCAAGGGATGTTCAAGCACCTGAACAAACTAGCCGACTCTCTTTGCTTTGGGTCAAGATCGTACTGCACACATGTCGTAAGTATGACATTGATTCTTCTCCATAATGTTGAACGGTTTATTTTAATGAAAGCATGACACTATTTTACAGATAACCATACTTCTTCTTGGCCAGCCATCGAACTAACGGAGGGCTGATTAGATTGAGTATTAGGCTCATTTGGTAGAACCATGGCATAACTGCATCATGCTGTCGATAATCCGATGCACGAACAATCCCCTCTGCACACGCATGCGCTGTCATCGCACCCTTTTTCGTGCCTGCAATCCTCTTGAGCTCAGATCTGGAAGTATTGGCTTGAGCTGATGAAGATGATGACAAGTCATATGCCTCTGATTTAGGCAAATCTACAGCAGATTGACGGAGATCAGTATCTACAGTGCCCGGAGACACGATTCCAACATGTACCCCTGTTCGTTCAACTTCCATTCCCAATGCGTCAAAAAATCCCTGCGCTGCATGCTTGCTGGCGCAGTAGATGGAGCGTGTGGGTGCTCCAATCTTGCCAGCCATGGATGAAACCACAATAATATTCCCGGCAGAACTGGTTTGTATTAATGCAGGGAGAAAGTGGCTAGTCAGATTGAGAGGTGCATGATAGTTGACATTCATAATCTTAATAGATGCTTCCAACGCCGCTTGAGGGTTGGCGGGTATCAGATGTGTGTATTCGGCATTGTCAGAGCTCAAGGTTCTGTTTGCAGTTGTACAGTTGATTCCCGCCAGCTCCTCGAAAGGCAGCACTGAGATTACTCCTGCACAAATAATTAATGTATCTATGCCCCCACGCAACGCGCCTAAAGACTCAATCGTAATTCTACGGACATCCTCAGGTGCAGTGATATCCCCTTGTACAGCGTGTATTGATCCTGCAATGGTACCTAATTCTTGCACCAACTGTTCTAGAAGCTCCTCTCTACGAGCAACGATAACGAGATGTGCATGACGATGTGCATAGATCCTCGCTAACTCTAATCCAATCCCTGAGCTTGCCCCGATGATCACAACGCGTTCTTTGTCATGCGGAATGAGAGAAATTCTCTCTATAATCCTGCGACGACGAATAATTGAGCTAACAAGCACAGGCAATGCGACAGTGGCGGTTACAGTGGCAGCAAGGACGACTGATGATAGCATGACCAGCAAGAGCGAGAATGGAAGACATGAATAAGATCAGCTTGAGGCAACAGGCACTTTTTTCCAGGCACGATTGTGGCTTTTTCATGTTGCCCAACCTCATGGGAAGGTTAATGGATGGATGATGGAAAAATGTGTTTCTTTTTCTCATCACCATCCTTCTTCTTCCTCACTTGTACTGCAACCTAGATGCCCCCTCCAGCACGGCCGATAGCCCCCAGCCAGCTGTCGAGCACTCCCTCGCAGGGACAGGGACTAACCATCGATCCAGTATTCATTGCGCCTGACTTTGATGTCAAGACATGGATTAATTCTGTCCTTGACGTGACCTTATCTAGACCTTCTTCAACTGCAACAACTGTCAATAGTATTTCAGCACACGCTTCATCGTTGCCACAAACGAGCACTAATGCAAACGCAAGTGGTGCAATAAAACCATCGGTCTCGTTAAATACGCTAAATGATTCAGATGTCTCGCTAGATGCATCCTTAGACCTCTTGCAAACCCCAGCACTCGACCCTGTACTTGGTAAGCCGGAGAGGACAACTCGAGCCCTTGAGTCTCTTTGTACATTGAATCATTCACCCAATAAATATACTGCAAATATATAATTATTGGATGGTATGGGTTGATTGGTCTGCTTTACTAGATGATGGCCAAAACCAAGCTGATCAAGACGCGTTATTGCAATCTCCTTCCGTATCCACTACTATTCTTTCGACATCTGAGAGCCAACAGCAGCAAAAGGCCAATACAGCGGCATTCAAAAGCCATAACGCATTCTTGACTCAGCATGCCACGAATTACCTTACAAAACTCCACCTTCTCGCTAATCAGACTTCTACTGCTCTTTCTGTCACAACACAAGAGATGGTTAAGACCCTTCCGCGTCTCATCCATGAACTCGACCAATTACGACAAGAGACAAAAACATTGCAGGAAGGGATTCAGCTCGTCAGAAGCGATATCAACTTGGTCGATTCATCTGAAACGGCTCAGTCCTTGGATCGGCTCAAGTACCTGGATTTGGTCAAAACTCGTATGGAGGCCACACACGCTTCACTAAGAGAGGCTGAGAACTGGAGAAACCTCGAAGCTGAAGCGAATGAAATCTTGACTAAAGGCGATTTTATGCGTGCTGCTATGCGCTTATCAGAGGCAGAACGCTCACTTGTGGTTTACAAAAATACTATTGTCGAGGGCGATCGTATGGCACTCCTATTGGCACTTAAGGACCAACTAGAGCGGCAGTTAATGGGCAAAGTCAAGGAAGCACTCGAACAAAAGGATACTGCATTATGTCAAAGCCTCATCACTGCATTTGGGCTTATCAGTCGCCAGGGAAAGTTTCAAGAGTATTACAACTCTCAACGGCGCGCTCCTTTACTACAGCAATGGGAAGCCTTGGTCGAAGCGATCAACATAAGCTCGCATAAAACTAGTAGTAGTACTGTATCATTGACGCCCAATAATGCAGCTGTAAACTCAAAGGATTTTCTTTCAGTATTGCATGCATTTTATAAAGATGCATCTAGCATGTTGCGTGATGAATTTGCATGGATCAGTACAATTTTCTCGGATCCAGCTGCGACGATCCACAGTCTTGTCCAGGATATTTTCACCCATATTGATCCCAACATGCAGATAGTTTTACAGCATGTTGGCAAATCTCTTGGAGACGAGGGAAGTTTACCAGTTTGGATCTCGGCCTTCTCAGCCACAGAATCATTTGGAGCAATGCTGGAGCGGATTGTCTCACAGCCGTTAGTTGGAAACCAACGTGAGCATGTTGGTAGCCGACCAAGAGCAGGTACTCTTGTACAAGGCGCTGATACAAAAGATGGTATGGGGACACATTCCATACGATCATCAATTGGACCTGAATCACATGAGATTAGATCTATCCACGACCCCAATGAATGGGCATTTATTCTGTATGAACCATTTATGCCCTATCAACGTGATTATGGAAAGCTGGAAGGCATTCATTTACAGTCCTTGCTCATCAAGTCTATGCCCTCAATGGCGCCCCATTCGGATAATTCAGTGCGGTATCAGGAGCTTTCTAAGATCAGCTCCAATCTTGTAAAGATTATGGCCAACGCCAACAACATTGCGTTCGGTCTAGCAGAAGGAGCTATTGGGCGTTGTATACGTTTGACACATGGATTCGGAGCTCCAGGATTATTGGATGGGATCAATAATTTTTTCAAGGAAATAATAGATCGCTATACAGAGATTTTGCTGAATTGCCGACAGAAAGCAGGTCTACAAGTGGACGAGACTCTTAGCAGTCAATCGAAGTACGACGACCGTAGCAGAAATCCTAATGCAGGTCTCAAATATGAAGCTTTAGATGACGAGGAAGATGAGGGTGAAGATTCAGAAGGATGGGATGAAGATGTCAGTGAGCAGAACCAGCGCTCATTCCAAATGGGGCTCCGGTTGATGGTCCTCTGCCGTCAACTCTGCCTCAAGCTCGAATATCTTGATATCAAGACAAAGAAAGCGCTGCTTGGCGTAGAGGATTTGATAAAGGTCGATAGGGCAAGTCTAGACAGTGATCAACAAGGGTCTCACCACCTTTCATCTACAACATCATCCATGTTTGATCACGGATCATCCGGTTCGGGAGCTAGGCTGGCGATTCAGCCTCCTAACGCCTCGATCGCGCTGCTCCAGCAATCCAACCTTAACAGCTTCCGCTTACAAGAGATCTTAGAGATTGTCAAGAAATCAGACTTGAAGGAGGATCAAGCCGTAACTGGAGGGCTCGCTAGTGATGGAGTGGACCGTCTTTCTGCAGAGACTGATTTGGGACTGGAGCCCAAGCCCAACCACCTATACCTTCAAAGCCACCAGTATGCAGCCCATTTAGCGAGGTTATGCCAGCGCTTTATTTTCGACTCCATATATATCCCATTAGTACGTCCCCTGTCTGATATAGCGCTGCTTTCATGCTGGACAGAAGGCATTGATCAGCAGGGACAGGGCGATCTAAGGAGCACAAGACGAATTCATCAGAGTACTTTGGGCGGTACGCGCACGGATGTGATCAAATTTAGGTCAAGTCCCAGTGATTATATGGAGGAGCTACTCCGCCAGCTTTCGGGCTTGCCACTAACTTTTGACATGTACAAAGGTGATCTTGGACTTCGGTTTGGTATTCACTTATTACCATATGCTGATAGGCCACTCGATTCCACTCACCGTCAGGATTCTACAGAACAGCCATCCAGTGCCATCATTGACGGAGATGAAGATGGTGTAGTGGTAGACAAAGTGAATGGAGAGGACCTTAGTGTTGGCAAAAGCGATATTGCTATCAAGGAGGAATACCAAGACTATAGAGAGCATGAGATGACTGAAGAAGATGATCTGACTGTAATGCTTCGATGGATTACATCGCTCTCTCGGGCAGCGATGCACACGTTAATTGAACGTCTTTATAATCCTAATCAGAAGCAGATATCATTTCCAGCAGCAATTATTCCAACAATTACTCAACACAACCGCTTTGCAGGTGTATCATCGCCTGCATTGGCTTCTTCATCTGCTGGTCAGTCAACGAATCTCGTTTTCAAGGATCATTATCTTTCGCGATTGTCAGATTCTGGAGCCAAGCAATTGGAGATTGATCTCACGTATTTTGTCGACAATTGCCTAACATCCCTCGGTATTAAGGCCACACCCAGTATTCGCGCTCTGCTTAAGGCGTTACAACTGAGTGAGGCAGGCCTTCTAATGGCACTGCAACAAGTGCAGGAACAGATCGAGGAGTATCATTCGTCATCTTCGATCGTAAGATCATCCTCGCCCTTACCCTCATCCTCTAGGACCAAATGCAGACGATCATTCCAAACGGCTTTGGAACTTCAGCATGCGCCGCTAGTGATTCCTGGCGCACCAGTTATGCCTACGGTGCTTGTTGTAGCAGAGGAGGACATCGAGGGCCAACTAGAGGTCGAGAAAAAGGTGTTGGAATGGGTTGCAATGCTAAAAGGCATCGACATTTTGCAGTTATCCTTAGGTGCTTCATGATCAGTAGGCTATTATTAAATAAAATACTAATGATGTTTCGCTTCTTCACAACAGAAGAAAAGACAAATGCTGAATCTTTCGCGTTAAGGCGCGTGATTAATGACCCTTAATTTGCGTCCATTCAACTTTATCCTTACACTCTCATCACTCTTGATATAAAAAATAGAAAAAAGAAGATAAAAATACATACTACGTACAGTTGCAGGAATCACGAAAAGAAATATGTCAGGCAGTATATACACGGCTGTGTACTCGGGTGTACCAGTATATGAGTTGATGTGTCGAGGCATTGCGGTCATGCGTCGAAAGGAGGACTCTCATTTGAATGCAACTCAGATTCTTAAGGTTGCTGGCATCGAAAAGGGCAAGCGTACAAAGATTCTAGAGCGCGATGTACTCACAGGTGAACATGAGAAGGTCCAAGGAGGTTATGGCAAATACCAAGGGACATGGTATGTTCAAAACGAAAATCATACTCTGTTGTTAACCACTGTATTATGCTGATATTGTTTGAATTGTTATTCTTGATTATTATTTAATTCTTCTAGGGTGCCATTCCAGCGAGGAGTAGATTTGGCCAAAGAATACAATGTTGAGCCATATTTACGCGCATTATTTGAATATGATATTCATCAAGGTGAAGTGGACAATGTCACGCCAACCAAGGAAATGGTGGCTCAAAAGGCAAAAGAAAATGTCAAAGCAGTAAAAGAGGCAGCATCTCCACGGCAAAGTCCCATGTACAAGAGGGCACGGAGCACATCTGCAAAACCTAGTGGGTCACAGACGTTTAATGCACCTTCAATGACACCTTCACCTCTTCATCCGTCCTTCAATGCTTCGTCGCCCTCTATTCCACCCTCCCCTCAATGGAACATGGATCAGCCTCCTCGCAAACGGACAAGAGCTAGTTCACCCATACTATATGATCAAGATCCTCCAATAGAAGGCAATACATTCGACTATGAATCCAGCAACGCAATTCGAGCCGACCATGGAATGGATCATATGATGGATGAACCATTAGAAGGTGTTGAAAAATATCGGTCTATATTGATGGCTATATTTTTGAATGATGAATCACAGGAAATTCCACCGTTGCTGACCGACCCTATCATTCCAAGTGATCTCGATATCGATCTCATCATTGATGATCAGGGCCATACCGCACTACATTGGGCGGCGGCGCTAGCAAGGATTCAAGTCTTGGAGTTGCTTGTCCAAAAAAACGCAGACATTCGTCGAGTCAACTACAGTGGAGAATCTGCATTAGTGAGGGCAGTCCTTGTCACCAATAACTTTGATAAGCAATCGTTTCCTCGCTTGCTCAATATCCTCCATAAAGCCATTCCAATTGTGGATCGTAAGAACCGAACACTTCTACATCATATTGCTGTTACAGCGGGGATGCGAGGCCGAGGTGCTGCTGCGCACTATTACATAGAGTGTCTTTTAGAGTGGATTGCACGCAATGGGGGCGATTTTTCATCATTAATTGATATTCAGGACAAGAATGGCGATACAGCGTTGACAATTGCGGCCCGGGTTGGAGATAGATATTTGGCTAAGTTCTTAATTGATGTTGGCGCCAACCGTGAGATTGAGAATAAGGTCGGTCTGAAAGCTGAGGATTTTGGTATAGATGATATTCCTGTAAGTATCAGAAAGTCTCCACTTCTCATTTATATGGCTCAATGCAGAAGGTTTAGATGCTGTATTCTGCGTACTTATGCATATATTTATAACATATAGTCTGGGCCTTCAGAACAACCATTTATGCCTCGCACTTACACTCCTATCGTGTCTGTGGATCCATCCAAAGAAAATCAAGCTGGAAAGCGTGGCAAGGAGATCATGTCAGGTACTTTTTTTTTTTTTTTTTTTTTTTTTTTTTTTTTCCTTTAAGGCTTATTTCAGAAGTATATTGGCATAGTTCATGTATTCTAATATTATCCTTCCTACAAATAGTGGTGCAAAAGATGGTTGATGAATTGGATGTGGAATTTTCTCAAGAAATCATGACAAGACAAAACCAACTACAGGATACACAAAACCTTCTTCGAAAGGCCACCCGTGATCTTACTGAAACCCGCAGGACGATCAGCCAGTGCCGCACTCAAGTTCAGCAGTTGGAGGAGGCTCACCAAAAGATTAAAAATTTGGAGCTGTCTCTAGAGGAGGAATCGCAAAAGACGCGAAGCCAGAAGGGTTATATGAGTAAGCTCCGAACCAATGATGATATTGATGCATTGTTCAACGTCCAAGTACCCAAATCGCCTCCAAGGCCATCATCTATTCAAGGGCCTGAAGAGCAATTGAGAGCGGGTTTAGAGCGGGAAAGGTTGGCAGAAGAGGACGTAATTCATTTGCGGTCGAGGGTTTATGCGTATCAAAAGAACGACGAGGAGCTTTCTCAAGAATTAGCAGAAACGAGAAGCAAGACATCCGCAAACGAGCTTCTTTGTAAAAAGGTTATCGCCATCTGCTGCAATATTCCGTTGGATAAAGTGGATGACATGTTAGTTCCATTGACATTGGCGGTGGAAAGCGATGGTGCCAGTCTTGATTTGTCTCGTGTTGCAGGATTTATGAGTCGAGTCAAGCAACAAGAGGCTATAGCTTCATCCGCTACAGCGTCATCAGGACCAATATCCACTATTAGTACATAGCATCTTGATAAGATTGTGTAATAAAGGCATTACTGACTCATTAGTACTTGTCATTTATAGAACTACGAGAAAAGTTTCGTCGACAATGATCCTACTCTCATCCCATGTTCCAGGATTCTCTTCGCATTATTATCATTATTTTATCTCATGATATAGTTTTAGAACAAATTAACAGGAAAGCGCAGTAATAAATTTTATCTCGCAAGAAACCATGATATCGGAGTATTTTGTTGGCGAAATGAATAATGCTGTTGAGGAAGAAATAATTGATAGGTGAGGAGGAAGACTGATTACACAACAAAAGGATCAAACTCATTATTTTACTATTTTATTTTTATTTTTATTCTTGCTCTTTGAAACATTTAATTGTTCATATCTGTTGATATCTCAGTGAATATGACTTATCATGCATCTTGAGCAACAAGTCTTCTCTCACGGTTGGCCGTCAATGCCTCCTTACGTTCCTTCAATAATTTATTCTGTCTCTGCTCAATGCCGTAAACAAGATATCCAAGGCCTCCGAAGGCAGTCGCTGAAATGCCATATCCAACAAATCCTAAATGTATCAAAATTTATTAGTTAAATACAAGTCAATCAATCTTTCTGCTAATTCTCCTGTATGGTGTTTATCATACGCCATCACAATTTGGTGTGCTGATATAAAGCTGATGTGGAATATTGCTGTTGCCATTAGTTATCTTTTTTTTTTTTTTTTTTTTTTTTTAAAAAAAAACAACCTAATGCAAACAAATATCTTATTGGCGTTGTGTGTGTGTGTATGTGTGTGTGTGTCTGTGTGTGTGTGTGTGTGTGTGTGGATGTGTTGATGTGTTGATCCAACGTTGACAAGAAAAAATTCCTTACCGCTTACGATGGGGCGGCGTTGAACAGTTAAAGCGAAAGCACGAGCGGCGACGCCGAATGTAGCGAATCCAGTGACAGTAGCCAAGAGAGCCATTAAGGGAGTTATTAATGAGGATTGATTTGTTTATGAAACGATGTGCATGATGTCGGAAAGAAGTTTCACAAGTGGGTTGAAATGGTAGTGCATACGATAATAGTATTTTTCGGTGAAGTTTAAGAACAGGGCTACTGATCATGTGACAACAAAAATGAATTCTCGAATTGGTTTGCCCACAAAATTTTTAATTTGTGTCCCTGGAGTTATTAAGACATTTCTCTCTTTCTTCCATTGTTCTCATTCCGCTTGTCCACATTAACAACCTTCCCTCTACCTTCGCCTTGCTTTTTACGATACTTTCCTTCTTTATTTTATTAGAACAGAGCCTTCACCTATTTCCCTTTTATTTTTTAAAACGTTTACGCGCTTTTTTTTTTACAACTGATTTCTAAAGGAAATATATCTTGAAAGAGAAGATTATTGAAAGGCTTGATTGTTCGCGTGCAGATATCCTCCTTGTACATGCCTTGAAACAGATTCTATTCCTGAATCACTAGAGCATTTGGCATTATATTGGTCACATATACACAACAACGTAATTTAGCAAAATAATTAAAATCTATCTTGCTTGGGTATCAATGTTATCTTTGCCATCTTTGCTTTCTTTGCCATCTTCGCTATCGTGATTATTGAGACTAACGCACTATTGTCAATCATTTGATCTATAATAGATATATATATATATCACGCATCCAAACATTGAAGCATCATGGCTGCACCAGCGGTTGTCAACTGTGAGGTTTTTGCTACTCGCTTGTCTGATCCTGGCCTAGGTAAGATATCAGAAGCAGACATCTGAGAGGCTACATCAAGTAATTACTGGGTAGTGTGCTGACCCAGCATATATACTTATTGTCTCTCTTCCCTTCTGTTATTACTATTACTATTATTTTTTTAATAGAAATTAAGCTCAAGGTAAAGATTGCCTCAGAGCTTCGGGATTCGGTCGAGATGTTCCAATCAGTCGAATATGCGCGGTTTTTATCAATTTTGATGCCAGTCTTTACAGACATATTAATGAACGGTCAACCAGTCTTTGCAAGTAATGCTCCCGAGCAGGTCGGTTTTTTTTTTTTTTTTTTTTTTTTATTTTTTATTTTTTTATTTTTTTATATAAATAATAATACTAATAATAATAATAATAATAATAATACGATTGTCGCTCTAATTACTTTTTTTTTTTTTTTTTTTTTTTTAGAAACTACGCAGTACTATTCTGGAGATTCTCCATCGTTTTCCACACAATGATTCATTTCGTACATACGCCCCTGACTTACTAAAGTTGCTCATGCATCTTCTCAGAGTTGAGAACGAGGACAATGCGGTCATCTGTCTGAAAACCATAATCGATCTGCACCGTTCATATAAGCAAATCTTGGAGAACCAAGTACAACCTTTCATCGATATTGTTCAGGAAATGTACAGGAATATGGAACAAACAGTAAAAGACAACTTCGATAATCCTGGAACTCCTTTGGGTCAAACAGTATGTCCTCCTGAAATAAATCATAGCTTGCTACCATCAATACTCCAATCAATTCATAACTGATCACTATTGTTTATCTTCCTTCGATGAACAGCCTGGTGGCCCATCAGCACTCACATCACCTCGCCCAGTCTCACCCGCATCGGATATGCCTGATCAACCTTCCAAGGTCCTCGCTAAGAGTTTGTTCAGTTTTAAAGTGTTGACAGAATGCCCTATTATTGTCGTGTTGCTCTTCCAAACGCATCGCCAATTTGTGAATCCCAATATTGCAACATTTATCCCGCTGATTATCCAGGTAATCCAGCAAAAGCTATTTGGAGGCGTTGATTGATTCGACTAGTTCTTCCATTCTAAAATTAACCTTTTATCTTATTAAATAGACCTTGAGCTTACAAGCAAGTCAACAAGCTGAGGCACAGCGTATGGCAGCAGCTCGTGGTGAGATTTTCGTTGGAGTCAGTCCTGGTATTCGTAATAGAAGCGTGTATTTGGACTTTATTGTTGCTCAAGTCAAGGTGAGATTTATTTACCAAGTGCCATATCGAATTTCGGTTTCACCACAGCCCGCAGTGAGAGCATGAAAGTTAATTGTGCATATATATAAAAAAATGGGAATAGACCATGTCATTTCTCGCATATATCCTCCGAGGCTCTGCAAACGTTTTACGGCCCCATCAAAATGCTATTCCAGACTTTGTGGTCCGTCTTTTGCGTGACTGCCCACCTGAAGCGGCGGCCACTAGGAAGGTGAGTGTGAATAACGAAATTAGGCCCATTATTGTGGCTTGAAATAAGAACCTCTGCGAAACTCATCGCCCTACTTATTGATAATAGGAACTTCTTGTGGCGACGAAGCATATTTTGTCTATTGATTTCAGACAAGCATTTGTACCCAAAATCGATATCTTGCTCAATGAAAAAGTACTTGTCGGAACTGGTGTTACATCTTATGAGACATTGCGGCCTTATGCCTACAGTATCTTGGCGGATTTGATTCACCACGTCCGCACTGAATTGACTCCAACTCAGCTCGCAAAGACAGTCTATATTTACTCAAGGAACTTGCATGACCCTAGCATGGCATATAGTATTCAAACAATGTGTGCCAAACTCTTGTTGAATCTTGTGGTTTGCATTGTTCGAATTCCAAACGGCGAAGGTTAGCTTTTTTTTTCTTTTCTTTTTTTTTTTTTTTTTTTTTTTTTTTTTTTTTTTTGTTTATCTACTAATTTATAAATCAATTTAAAAAGAAAATAAAAATAACCACTGAAGGCATCTAATTTTACATCCTCTTCACTTTTAGGAAAAATCCTTCTAATCAAGATTCTAGACACATTTACAAACAAATTTGCATCACTGAATCGCGCGTTTCCTGCAATACAAAAGCAGGCCGAGCGAAAAAAGAATGGTGATGAGGTGACAGAAGAGGATTTTGACTTTGAAAAGGCGCGCTCTATTCACACTAGTCCGATCTCAAACGATGTTCAACCTGATCCCGCAAAGGGTAGGAGCTGAAAAATGCCCTTAGCATCGATTATCTGATAAATTAACTATATCCTATAACGCTAACAGGCTTTACTTGACGTTGCTTTATTATCTCTGTAGAGGCACGGTTTCTATTCAAGAACTTAGTTGTTGGCATGAAAACTATCTTGATTAACCTTAAGAATTTGAATGAGGTTGGGGTAGTAACAGGAGCGAACCCAGCTACCCCACGCGAATATGTCCAGGAATTGTCAGAAATCTTTACGAGACTCTTTCAGGAAGGCCTCAAATGTTTTGACTATTATACATTGGATGGGGTCGATAACTCTACACCCGCACCCCAACCTATTGAAGATCAATCGGCTTTGGACGCTACGCCTGCTGGTCGAGTGCGCCTTACGTCAAAGGAGGAGAAGGAGACGCTTGAGCACTTTGCGCTTATATTTACAATTGCAGATCCTGCCATCTTCCAGGAAGTCTTTACATCGCAGATGGGCTTCCTCTTTGATCAAACACTACACAACATTTCGCTCCTGTTAATCCCTCAAGTTTTACTAGCGAATGAGACAGTTTCACAGAACCTTTCGGGGATCTTGTTCAGATTCTTGGTGGATCGACTGGACAAACTGGGCGGAGAAGATCAAAATTATTCATATGTTCTTCTTCGGCTTTTTAAGTGCGCATTCAGGGCAGTGAGTCCATTTCCAGAAGCGAACGAGGTTGTTTTGCAGCCACACCTCGGCAACATCATCATGAACTCAATTAAGCTATCAACCAAAGCAAAGAAACCAGTCAATTATTTTATATTATTACGCTATCTCTTCAGGAGCATCGGAGGAGGTCGATTTGAATTACTCTACAATGAGGTCAAGCCACTTTTGCAAGTCTTACTGGAGAGCCTAAATGGCTTACTTGCGTTAGCAAATAAGCAACACATGAGAGAATTATTCATTGAACTTTGTTTGACTGTCCCGGTACGGCTGAGTGTTCTTCTCCCTTATCTTAATTACTTAATGAACCCTCTGGTATTGGCTCTTCAGGCAAACTCGGAGCTTGTGAGTCAAGGCCTCAGGACACTGGAGCTGTGTATTGACAATCTGACTCAGGAATTCTTGGATCCTATCATGGCGCCTGTGATCACTGAGCTCATGAATGCTCTCTGGAAACATCTCAAGCCTCTCCCATATAACCCTATGCACAGTCATGCAGCAATGAGGATTTTGGGGAAGCTTGGTGGAAGGAATCGCAGAATGCTCAAATATCCGCCCAAGCTTCAGTATCACACACCTGCGGACGTGGGCGTTGACATTAAAATATACTTCGATCCATCATTGAAGCCACATAACTTACCTCTGGATGCAACACTAGCGCTTGCAGCGCAAACGCTTGAGGATGCTAATGCCAACATCTTTTACCGCGAGCACGCTTACAAATTCTTGAAAGGGTGTGTTCCGCTTCTTATCGACACTTCCCTCGGACCAGACGATCTTGCAGAGCAAATCCAAAAGAGGATAGCAATCTTTACATCCCAAGATTCTCCTTCACGTACCAGCACAGCACTTTCAACCATGGAGATTGATCACGAGCCTGGAAATCTTGGGAAATTCGACCATAAACGATCCCATACTCAGAGATCACCTCCTGCAGGCAAAAAGCTGGCTCAGGAACGTGCATTGGGCCTTGTAATCCGTTCATTATTCATGGCTGCCTCAATTGATGAGCTCAGAGACGATGCTTGGTCATTCTTACAAGGAATCATTCGCCATTTTGCATTGCTTCATGTTGGCGAGGCATTGGATTTCAAGGAATCAAAATCACTCACATTTGACGTCCATCACATCAAGGGCCAAATGTATCTAGATACGAACGTCTTTGTTGACGCAGTTGTAGATATTACAACATCGGAAAACCTAACTCTAAGAAAATTAACCGAGTCTGCGCTCCAGTTGCTGTATGAGACGTGCACCACTATTACTTCAAGCAAGGATGTACTCTTTCAGCTTCCAGTCTTTCATTTGTTTGCAACTAGGTTCTCTTCCAGCTGCTATAAGCAGGAGTGGTATCGAAAGAGTGGTGGTTGCTTCGGAATTTCCATTATGTGTTCTCAACTGGATATGGGCGCCAAGTGGATGTTGGATCATGAATTGGAATTTGTGAAAGCCCTACTTTACATTCTGAAGGACATGTCACCAGAACTGGCAACCGGAAACGTTGATGACGCTACCCAGACCCTTTCACACGTTCTTAAAGTTTGCAACCGCCCCGAGGACATTGGAGAATCAGCCGATCGACAGGTGAAATTTAACAACTTAATCGGACTTTTGATCTCTGAGCTTTCCAACTCGAATAGTTCAGTGCGTGAAACCATCCAGTCATCATTTCAATTGCTCGCAGATCTGACAGGAAACGATAAGACTGAGCTTCTTGCGCCTGTGCGTGATCGACTTTTGACTCCAATCTTTGCAAAGCCCTTACGCGCACTTCCATTTGCGATGCTTATTGGACATATCGATGCAATCACCTTTTGTCTATCACTGAGCCCTCCTTTCCTCGAGTTCAACGACGAGCTTATTAGGCTTTTACATGAGGCATTAGCATTAGCAGACGCCGATGATCAAGCGTTGGTTCATAAGACGTCGCAGTACAAGAGTGCATCATCACTCATTAATCTTCGAATTGTGTGTATCAAATTACTTTCAGCAGCTATGGCTTGCAACGACTTCAGCTCCAATAAGCAGAATCAAACAAGACAGCGTATTATTTCCGTTTTCTTCAAATCGCTATATAGCAAATCCTCTGAAGTGGTGGAAGTTGCGAATAAGGGGCTGAAACAGGTTTTGCAGCAACAACACAAGTTACCTCGCGACCTGCTCCAGGCTGGTTTGAGACCCATCCTTATGAATCTTGCAGATTACAAACGCCTGACTGTTGCAGGCCTTGAGGGCCTTGCTCGCCTACTGGAACTCCTTGTCAACTACTTTAAAGTAGAGATCGGCTATAAGTTGCTGGATCATTTGCGACAATGGGCTGAGCCGACGATGTTGCAAGAGTGTGCCGGCAAACCTTTAAGTGAAAACCAGGAGATCCGGATCATTGTTGGTATCCTGAACGTCTTCTGCCTTCTCCCACAAGCAGCAAACATTTTTTTGGACCAACTTGTCACCGTTGTCCTTGAAATGGAAAGCCACCTGCGTCGTGCTGCATCTAGTCCCTTCCGACATTCTCTATTAAAGTTCCTGAACCGATATAGTGAAGAGGCTGTAGAATATTTCCTCGACCGTTTGACGCAAGAACAACACAGTCGACTGTTCGTAGATCTACTGTCTCTTGAGTTTGCTGCACCGCTACGAGCAGAAATTACTCGAAACCCTGAAAAATTGATCGCTAAGACATTTTCCAATGCTGATGCATCTGTCCAGTTCCATGGACTTACGATTACAAGGGCTGTTTGCAAATTCAATGAGGATTTTATTTCGACTAACCGACCTGTTTTAGACTCGCTTTTGAACATGTGGCGTACACCCGCTCGTTTAGAACGCCTTCAGACGGAGGATACATTATCGTTGCCTGCATTGCGTGAATCCCAGTATTTGGTCGAAGCATTCATTCTCTATCTCAAGCATAATCCAGATGATGTGGAGGTGATCTTTGAGATGATCAGCATTTTCACGCAAGAAACCGTAATCGATTTCAGTTTCCTAAAGATGTTTTACCAAGAGGAGATCGCCATCAAGGCCCCAGCTGCCAGGAAGCGTGCCATTTTGGAGCAATTTCTCGTCATGTTCCAGAACAGTGAAGTCTCTCAGGGAGTTAAGATGCAATCGCTTAGAGTGATCATCAATCCTATGCTTCTAGTTACTTTCTCTCGGGGATTTTCTGACTACCTTAACGTTATCGACCATGCCATGATCACTGAGATCCACTCCAAGATCTGGCAGCCATTATTGAGCGAAAACCAAGAGGATAATCAGTACACGGACGATGCATTGAGGATCGAGCTGCTTCAAATGACCTCGCTTATCCTGCAATTCGCATCAGACTTGATCGCGGAGGCCAGGAAAGACATTATCATTTTTGGTTGGAATTATCTCAAGCTCGACGATATTACGGGAAAGCAAGCTGCCTATGTCCTGATTGCACGATTTATCGCAGCCTATGAGACCCCAAGCAAAATTATCATCCAAATTTATGTTGCACTTCTTAGAGCTCACCAGTCAGAAGCTAAAGCTTTGGTAAAACAGGCACTGGATATTGTTGCGCCGGTGCTTCCCAGGAGAATCCCTTCTACAGAATCCCCCAAGTATCCGACGTGGGCTCGTTGGACTCAGCGAGTATTGGTTGAGGATGGCCATAGTGGTTCTCAATTGATGAATGTCTACCAGTTGCTTGTCCGCCATCCTGATCTATTCTATGAGAGCCGTGAGCACTTCTTACCTCAAATTGTTACTACATTATCCAAATTGGGTCTTGTTCAGAGTGCAAGCCTTGAAAGTCGTGCATTGACTATCAATCTAGCCGAGCTAATCCTCAAATGGGAACGCCGTCGTATTGGAGATGCTAAGAGTGCTATGGAAATTGATACAGCGACAGTCGCGACGACAGGTGTCGCTGCGCCGGTCACTACGTCATCATATACGCCAAATCTTGCTTTACGCGAGAGCGTCATCAACTTCCTTGTCAGGTTTGCTTGCGCGATTGCAGAGCCGTTATCCAAGAAGGGTCTGCCATTTCGTGCTGTAGAATTGCTGAGAGAGTTTCTGAGTGCCGAATTCTGGCCTGAGGTAAACGTGCGGCTTCAATTCTTAGAGCGTACTCTTTTGCCGCCAGAATTGAATGATACCAATCAAGTGGTAGCATGCAACTCGTTGGAGGTCCTACTCGTGTTACTTGAAAACAAATCTGGTCCCTGGTTCTTGAGCCATATTTCACAACTCTATCGTCTGCTGGATAGGTGTTTAATGTCTGATAACCCTCGCATTGTGACGAACCTTCAGCCCATCATGGATCTTATTTATAAGCATATTTCAGCCTCCACATCCGCATCACTGCCCCCTTCGTCAGATGTTCAGTCGTTCATCGCTGCGGTAGATGTCATAATCAATGACGGGCTTTTGAATTTGACAAACCTTTACTCTGTTTTAACACTGATCCAATCATCGTGTCAATTCCGGCAAGATGCGATTGACGCCTTTGTCCCAGGTGTGATGAAGGTTGTAAGTAAGCTGACCAAGGACCATATCTCGCCTACACAAGCAACTAGTGCTAGCCAGTCCACAGGCCCTGACTCCTCGACCAATATGCTTATTACGGCCCTTCGACTACTTAAACTCAGAATTTCCCACCTTGGTGATCAAAGACGCTGGTACTTGACATCATTAATCCAATTAATTGAAAAGTCAACAGACGTTGAGCTCTCAAGAGCTATCCTTGATATGGCAACAGAATGGGTTACAGGAAAGACAGAAACATTCCCAACGATCAAGGAAAAAGCGAGCTTGATGGTCAAGATGATGTGTCTGGAAACGCGGGGTGATAAGAAGTTGATCGAAGACTTTCTGGAGCTTGTTGTAGCCATCTATAATGACCCAAGCTTTGCCCGTTCAGAGCTCACGGTGCGACTTGAGCAAGCATTCTTGATGGGCACCAGGAGCGATAACCCGCGCCTTCGGAACCAATTTGCAGATATCTTTGACAGAAGCATCGGTCGGTCACTGTACACTCGTCTGACATATGTTATTGGTGGTCAGTCATGGGAATATCTTGGTGGCCAATGCTGGCTTCAGCAAGCACTCGATATCTTGTTTGGGGTTGTCATTAAGCCCAGAGCCTTACCACTCTCATCAGATGGACTCCAGACTAAACCTATCCAGAGAGTCGGAGTTGTAGTCGCGGAAAGAAAAGATGAAATTGAGACTAAAGGCTCCCCTGAGTTGCTTGAATTCTTGACAAAGCATCGCGAATTCTTGGCTCAAATCAACCTGTTGAATACGAACGATGTCATTTTGCCGCTCAAGCAGCTGCAACATCTGGACCCCGTGGTGACGCACCGTCTTTGGACTGATCTCTTCCCTCTTTACTGGTCAGCGACCTCAACCAAGGAAAAGCAAGAACTGACAAAGATTTTGATCCCGCTACTAGCAAAAGAATACCATAACAAGCAACAAGATACACGCCCCAATGTTATCCAGGCCCTGCTAGAAGGTATATCACGCTGTACTCCAGCCATCCGTCTTCCTCCTCATCTTGTCAAATACTTGGGCAAGAGGTTCTGTGCTTGGCATACCGCGACGCATTTGCTGCAAAACTCGATCCCTGATGGTAAACCTAGCGATACCAGCGGAGTTAAAGATGAGGAGAAGTTACGGAATAGCACGTTGGATGCTCTAGCAGAGTTGTATACGACACTAGGGGAAGAAGACATGTTTTATGGTCTTTGGAGACGTCGCTGCCTGTACTCAGAGACAAATGCAGCCATCTCCTATGAGCAGAGTGGAATGTGGCAACAAGCACAGATCATGTACGAAAGCGCAGTCAACAAAGCAAGGACAGGGGCTTTACAATTTACAGAATCAGAATACTCACTTTGGGAGGATCACTGGATTACCTGCACACAGAAGCTTCAAAGCTGGGACATTTTGGCAGATCTTGCTAAGCATGAAAACAACACTGAACTGCTGTTAGAGTCAAATTGGAGGCTTTCGGATTGGACTTCAGAACGTGAAGTCATGGAGCAACTAGTATACTCGATCACGGAAGCACCAACGCCGCGGCGTCGTGTGTTTGAGGCATTCTTGGCCCTCATCAAAGCCAATCAACCTCATGGGCAATCGACAGAGGCGAACACTTCAGAGTTTGCCAAGCTATGCGATGAAGGCGTCCAGCTATCGCTGTGGAAATGGCATACACTACCGGAAGTAGTGTCTCAGACTCATGTACCTCTCCTACAAGTCTTCCAGCAGTTTGTTGAACTCACTGAAGCAAATCAGATCTATCAAAGTTTAGCAAGCACGACAGCACTGAATCTGGAAAGCAAATCTCAGGACCTGAAAAGCACGCTTCAGACTTGGAGAGAAAGATTACCCAACACATGGGACGATATCAATGTGTGGAGCGATCTTGTAGCCTGGCGTCAACATATATTCTCAGCAATCAATAAGACCTATTTACCACTAATCCACCAGCTGCCGTCTGTCACCCCTGGTACTGGTGGCTCTAATTCCAATTCCTTTGCGTACAGAGGCTATCATGAAACCGCCTGGATCATCAATCGATTTGCTCATGTTGCGAGAAAACACCAACTGGCGGATGTTTGTATCAATCAACTAACGAAGATCTATACATTACCAAATATTGAGATTCAAGAAGCCTTCTTGAAGCTGCGAGAGCAAGCCAAGTGTCATTTCCAGAATGAGGCGGAATTGACCACAGGACTCGAGGTTATCAACAATACAAACCTTATGTATTTTAGCTCAAATCAAAAGGCCGAGTTTTTTACCATGAAGGGGATGTTCCTCGCTAAGTTATCTCTACATGATGAAGCCAACTTGGCATTTGTGAACGCAGTGCAAATCGACTTGGGACTTGCCAAGGCATGGGCAGCATGGGGTAACTACAATGATCAACAGTTTAAGGAGAAACCCAAGGAAATCACTCTAGCCAGTCATGCTGTAAGCTGTTACCTGCAAGCTGCTGGTATCTACAAGAGCTCTAAGTCCAGGAAGTATCTTGTGCGAATCCAGTGGCTCATGACACAGGATGACAGTCAAGGCACTGTGTATCGTGCATTTGAAGCCTTCAAAGGAGAGGTACCTGTCTGGTACTGGATCACATTTATTCCCCAGCTTCTTTTGTCACTCACACACCAAAAAGAAGCCAAGCATGCCCGCCACATTCTGATGAAGATCGCCAAGTCATTCCCACAGGCAAGTACCCATCCTCTATGTTTATAATCATTAGATTTGGGGTCGTCACTATAGCTTAAAAACTCTTGTTACTTATGATATACCTTTCTACTTATGACATAGGCCCTTCATTTCTCACTGCGAACGCTGAGAGAGGAGTATGCATCTATGAGAAAAGGCCAGCAAGCTCAACAACAAGCGCAGCAATTGGCACAGAACCAGCAGGCAAAGGAACAGCAAGCAGGCCACGCCACACAACAAAACCAGCAGAATCAGCAAGCATCGAGTCAGACAAATATCAATACGACAAGCGCTACTACACCAGTGACTCCTACCACGCCTGCAGTCGCAGGACCTTCCATGACACAGACTCCCACTTCTGCATCAACTCCGACAACCCAGCCAACTTCGACCGCTGATACAAATCCAGCCACGACTCCAGCTGCAGCCACAACATCAACCCCTGCTGCTACTGCAACGACGCCGGCTACCAGTACCACTAATGGGCCTCAGTCCCCACAGCCCGGCACTCCTAATACTGCCTCTAATCAACTGACAGCCCAAACAGCAAATCAACCCAGTCAACAAGGGCAACAGGTACAGCAGGCTCAACAGGCGCAACAGAACCCACAGGGACAGCAAAATGTTCCGGCTCAACAGCAGCAACAAACCCAGCAGGCTCAGCAACAAACCCAGCAGCAGGTACAACAACAAGCTCAACAGCAACAAGCTCAGCAGCTATTGATGCAAGCACAAGCACAGGTTCAAGCCACTGCACAACACTTAGCTCAAGCACAAGCACAATTACAAATGCAAGCACAGGCATTGAATCAGGCACAGGCCAATCTCCAGGCGTTGGTCCAACAAGCTCAACAAAATCCAGCTCAGGCACAAGCTCAAGCTCAAGCCCAAGCCCAAGCGCAGACACAAGTTCAAACCCAAGTGCAGATTCATGCACAAGCGCAAGCGAATGTCCATGCTCAAGCTCAAGCTCATGCTCAAGCACAAGCAAGGCTTCAGCAGATCACTGCGCAATTTCCAGGCTTAGTCACTAACGCTACAGGTGTCAATCCTATGCGTAAACCTTGGGAGCACGTGGATGATATCATGAATATTCTTAAGACAGCCCACCCACTATTAGCATTGTCAATGGAATCTATTGTTGATCAGATTCAACAGCGTCTGAAGCCTTCTCCAGAAGAGGATATGTACCGTCTCATCGTTGCATTGTTGACAGACAGCTTCCAGGTACCCTTCAGTTTTTTTTTTTTTTTTTTTTTTTTCCTGATGACCATAAAAATTTGACATTTGCTTAGTTACTAACTTCATTTATTTATGTTTTAAAATATTTTCTTATTCTACTACGATTACTATCCTTAGCAATTGTTTCAACGTTTGATCCTCAACAATGAGAGCGAGCAGCTCTCTAATGTTACAGAGGCCAACCTGACTCGATTCTCTGAGAATTTGTTTCAACCACAAGTGAAAGCAGCATTTGTGCATGATTTTATTGCCAACAAACCTACACTGAGCCAATTTGTGACCAGACTGCAACGCTGGAGAGATAAATTTGAGGATATTCTAGATAGCAAACCCAGAAGACAACAGCTTGAGAACTGGAGCCATTATTTGGCAGAGTTCCAGCATCAAAAGTTTGAGGATGTCGACATCCCAGGGCAGTACCTTTTATTGAAGGATAACAGTAATGACTTTGTTCGAATTGATCGATTTGAGTCTGAAGTAGAGCTCTTGCGTGGTCCTATGAACTGTAGCCGAAGACTGACTATCCGCGGCCATGATGGAAGCTTACATCCGTTTATTGTGCAACAACCTGCTTCTCGACAAGGACGCAGAGAAGAACGTGTGATGCAGCTCTTTAGGATCCTGAATGAGTAAGTTGACTATGATTGAGCTACGATGAAAAAAAAAAAAAAAAAAAAAAAAGTGTTCAATAGTATTGATCAGGAGACACTAAAGCTGTGCTGATTTTATTTTTCTTCAACTGTAGAATCCTTGAAAGGAAAAAAGAAAGTCGCAAGCGTAATCTATTTTTTCACTTGCCGCTTATTATTCCATTAGCGCCACAGATCCGAATCCTTCAGGATGATCCCTCGTATGCGTCTTTGCATGGAGTCTTTGAGGAACATTGTCACATGATTGGTATCCACAAGGATGATCCTATCATGTACTACACTGCGAAAGTTAAGGCTGGCATGGACATCAAGAAGCAAGCGGATATGCTGAATCTCAAGATGGAGATTGCGGATGAAATTGCATCCAAGATGATCCCAGAAACGATCTTGACAGATTTTATGGCACGTAACATGAAGTCGTACACTGACTTATGGATGATCCGCAAGCAGTTCACAGCACAAATGGCATCTGTGACGTTCCTGACGTACATTATGAGTATTGGCCACCGCTTCCCTACCAAGTGGTTTATTTCATTGCAGACAGGAAACGTTTGGACATCAGATATGCTCCCAGGTAAGAAAACATAAGACAGCTTTATCAAAACTAAGTATACATACCTGTGCACTCTATGCATATCAATTAAATGCCTTATTTTTTTTTTTTTTTTTTTTTTTAAGTGTTCTCTCCGCAAACAACAACTTTTTCGAATTCTGAACCAGTGCCTTTCCGGTTCACGCCCAACATTCAACACTTTATTACTCCGACAGGCGTTGAGGGTGTATTCACAAGCTCACTCATGTCGATAGCGAGATGCTTGACAGAGCCCGAGTTTGAGTTTGATCAATACTTGGGTATATTTATTCGAGATGAATTGGTGAGTTGGTTTACAGCAGGTATGAAGCCGTTAAATGAACAGAATTTGGGTGAACGCGTGAATTCAACGGTGGAACAAGTATTGAAGCGCACATCACTACTATCATGTAAGCCGGAGCGAGAGAAGGGCCGTGGCACCAACATCCCAGCCAATCAGACAATCTTGGATCTAATCTCACAAGCGTCCAATCCACTTAAATACGCTCAGATGGATTGTACTTGGCTGCAATGGCTGTAAAAAAAAAAAAAAAAAAAAAAAAATCTCTGAAATAAAAATGAATTTAACAGGCCCTTGTGCATGTAGATTATTGCCTAATTAATGTAACTGTTATTCTAAAGTGTTGTCTTTCTTTCTCCTTAAATTGTAAAGAGAAAAATTCTAAAGGTATATTAATTCATAGTTTGACCTTTGATTGCTCATGCAAAGGTGACAATAGTTGCAGGCAGAAGGCATTGAAAATATTCTCGAATTAATAAAGATATTTGTACTTAGGCCAGCTGAGTATTTTTTGCTTGAAAAATTACTGAAAATGAGAGGACAGTCCAATGGCTATTTCAAGCACATCAGTCCGTGATATAGAGGGACGTTTTTATGAGATGATTTCGCGCATCCGCGCCTTTTGCCAATCTTCAGCCAACAAAGAAAATATGACGACACCCCCCTATATGTACCGCAGCTAGAGCTTGTCAGGGGAATCATGACAAGTATTCGCACTCATTTTAGCAGACTACTGGATATTACAGCGACCAAGATCTCAAATGAGTTAAACCAGCGTTCTTACTGCCAGTGGTAGTTGCCGAAAAAGCAGCTTTCGTTAATAAAAAGGACAATGCTCTTATGTATTTTATTTCTCTTCATAGGCAACGCTCATTATTCTCCTTAGGTTAGCAAAGGGATTCTTTAGATAAGGCGAGTATATTTCCTTGGTAACCAACGGAAAGATCAACGGCTATACATGTTGTTGATGTACTACAGCCGGTATCAAATTTTCATGGCAGGCATTTCTGTTCTAGACATTGGACAGTGTTTCCCAAAGAAGATCTCAACTCGCGAGTTTGTAAAGAACCTCTATGGTAGACACCTGAATCGCCAATGATTACTCTATCGAAGTAATAGCTGCATCCTTTTATAATAAGTCGAACCCTTATGCTGAGGCGATCGGCATGATACTCGTCCATCTGCTTTAGGGTGCCAGATGAAGATACAGCAAATGAAACGACTGTTTTTCCTCTTCATGGATCCAGAGGAAACAAAATCGATGCCAAAATCTAATAACATTTAAAAATCATGAGTCGTTGTCAGAGCACAAGGCTAAATTGGGAGTCATGGTTTTTATGATAGGAAGTCCTAGGGAAAGAAGACGTTTCGAAGTGAAATGTCTTATACGAATATGGTTTAAGTGTCATCGATAATTATGATAAGTACATATGTCCCAAATACCCTCCTGCTATTTAGATAAGGCTTAAAGATCACTGCAGCAGCAAACCAATAGGCAGGGTCTGTATCTGCCTTCAAGAAGATTGTAGTCATTGGATCCATCGCGAAGTATTGAGGCGTTGATTGGTTCTCCTTCGTATCTGTTGATCTGTACGATTTTCAAAGCTAGTCCAGAAATTCAGAGGCAAAAGATTAGGTAGAGAGGATACAGGAGACGAAAATAAACAGAACTTACAAATTTTTTGTGGGTATGCCGGCACCCAAATACTTGTGTCTAGCGTCGTGCGCGTTTTGCACCCGGAGCAGCCGACTCTTCCGGGGGTTTGTACTTTGCAGGTCTCTCTTGCCTCTCAATTTGAGCAAGACCGATTCTTGCGATGTTTTCCGCCCCTACTGCGTCACGGTCGAAGAATACCTTACATGTCCGGTAATATTTAGAGCGAGGGTACACCATCTCTAAAAGCTATCACAGAGGGGTCGGGGACAGCGCTTGCTGGGAACTCCTTTACTACTTTCAAAGGATCCTAGGCCGACGACAAGCACTCCTTTTTCCCCGAACATCTTCAACACTCGCTGTACCACGTAGTCGAACGTAGCTCGCTGAGCCTTTCGTAGGTCCCATTTTTTTTTCAGGTGCCATCTGGACTCGTAGAACTCTTGAAGCACATCCAAATTCTTTGATCCTATCTGTGTCTGGGACTCCTCGTTCATCCATTGAAAGTACTCATTGTACGTATCCCTTCCAAACACAGGGATGGCGCTCTCAACCTCAATCATTCCTTTTTCACGCTTCCTTTTGTTCAACAGGTGATTGAAGCGGAGGACGGGGAGGTACAAGAACCTGCTTCTCACCTTTACCGTTTGCCGCAAGTTATGGTTGTGAGGATCCAGGGAGGAAAACGTAAGGGCGTTAACAATACCAGGATCGCATCCGACGATAGTTGTAGTGTTTGCGGATGGGCATCGCTCTGGCTCGTTGAATGTGAGCTCAACGTTTTCAAGCAGTTTGGAGCTCCTCTTCCAGTTTATGTTTGCATAGTCTTCATCTGTCAGGTCTTCACCGGCTGCCTTTGAACACGTCGTGTTGAGAAATCCCTGAGAAAGCTCCAGTTCTTGGCTGAGGTCTTCTTCATCTACGTCAGACTGCTTCTGTCTCTTCCTCTGGGTTGTATCATAGGCTAGTAGATTCAGAACTAGACCGTTGGTAGAAATCGTTCCTTTGAGTTTGAACCGAGTTATATCTTTGTCCTGCGACTGCAGGGATACTTTGTCTCGATACCATGCGATCACCTCCAATGTCACAAAAGAGAGCCTGTATCAAAACCCCTTTTGTTCCCTGTACACACTCAAACATTGCAGTCTTGGAAGGATTGTTGAGAGGCAGAATACGCTCCAGCAGCTGCTTGGTATCTTCGTTCGCCCAGAGGATGTCAACTAGGGCGTGTTCAGACAGATACACATACCCGGGTGACCAGGGGGACGTAGGAAAGTCTGAGTATTTTTTCACTTTTTTGTTCTCCCGCAAAAAAAACTCAATGTCGCTCATATCTTCGTTTGTTTTCTCGACATCAAACTAGAAAAAAAAAAAAAAAAAAAAAAAAAAAAGAGTCTGAATAAAGAGCATTTGATTGCAGAATATGCATGAAATACCCTACACAAGCTATACCATTGCGTTCCTGTAGTGCTGCCTTAATGATGTCTGTACTTAGCCCATTAGTAGCTCTGACGCTCTTGGAAATGAGATCTTTTTGGGATCAAAGCCTTGCGCGTCCCCCAATGTGATGTCTATTTCCTTTATTGGGGAAAGTTCAGTGGTGGCCTTGAAACGTTCATAAGCGAGGAGATAATGGGGAGTTTCTACCACCCTTCCTTGTTTTTTGCCCTCGCGTAAGCTGAATTGGGGCCACCTTGACCACTTAAAAGGAGGGTGGCGAGACGGAAGGAATAGTCATTGCTATCCAAGACCTCGTCCAGTGCCTTTTTCCTCGACCTTGCTGCCCCTGGTAACCGCATGATCCTCTCAATGTCCAAGGCAACCGCCCAGTATGCATAATGCATAGCGGCTTAGTCGGCTGAGGACAACAACTGCCCCTCGGATCTGGCTTGCAATATTATCCCTTTCATTTGCGTCCAGTCCGCCTCTCCTTGCCATGGAAGCCTTGAGGACCCAATTGTTAAGGCCTTGATAGGGTGCTTACTGCTGTAGCTGTGATCAACCTTCGTAGCATCCTTCAAGTTCCTAATTGGTGCACCTTCTTTTTTAGCCCTGTGAGGCTTCTTGCCTTTGTGCTTCCGCTTTTGTTTTTTCTGTTGCTTCTTTTTTGCCTTTCTCCGACGTGGTGGATGCTTAAGGCCCGGCCTATCGTGCTGACGGCATTTACTGATATCAAGTGTGCGCCCTTTCAATATGCTCGCCTTGTCAGAAAAGATGGGCCGGAACTGGTTTCTATGTTTCGCTATATAGAATGATGGTGTGTCTCTACATTATCCAAGAAATTGACTAACGATTAGTATTGGGGACGTTTGGTTTCAAGGCTAAAACTATAGCTTGAGCTTTCTTACGCTCTGCGGCGCTGCGCTCGCCTTTGCTGAACCATTCTATGGCGAAGATCCTTTCCATTGAGTAGACGTTGCTTGAAGTTATCGAACTCATTGTTCGATGGTAACGCTTGGGCCGACGTTTGATGGCCGGAAGTAAAAGTGCCGAGAGCTACTCTGAAACGGCCTTCTTCAGAGGCTGCGTTCCTTCCCAACACCTTAATAGCTTCCCTCAGGTAGTCCCGAAGCATTTTATTGTAGTTCTCGTTCCACGCAACGTTTCGAATTAATCGAAGATTATTAATCGGGCCTAACGTCTCGAGGTTCCTTGAGTAGTCATTGCCTGCGATGGCACAGAATAATATCAGATGCTCGTGTGATGGCAGTCTTAGTGCTTGGCTAACGTTGTCTACATCGTAAGCCCCAAACTTCCGTCTACGGTGTGGAAGGGGTCGCACTAGGATGCAGACTCGTTCGTACGCAAAAAAATCAGAGTCTTGGGATATCACGATCCTATCATTCCCCTCATTATGGCACCCTATGCATGGGTCCGCTTCATATGCACACAGACAGACATCGAAGACAGAGCCAAAGCCTGTTGCCAGCTGATTTTTGTCCTGGACGCTCAGGGTGTGGACTTCTCGAAGACCCTTCTGGATGCGCCTCATGACTTGAGGACGAGTCCATACCCCACTCCGAGAATTTCTCTCGAAGGTGCTCATATTGTTCTCCAAAGCATCCATATTTTTTTGTCTTATGGCTTGCCGCTCTGTCCTTGCTTTTTCTTTTTGAGTACAAAGTTCCCCACCAATATGTATAGTCAGATTGTCCGTCATGAAAAGATCCTTTATCTCGAGAGCCAGGGGCCTTCCTACATCAATGATGGATTCGTTTTTCATCTTTGCATGGACGACTCTGCAGAGGATGTCGTAATAGAACGTACCGAGGAGATCTACATGAACAGAATGGTCAGGATTTGCCGCCAAGAAAGTGCCCACGTCAGTTCCCGAAGGTAAAACCCCGCGATCTGCAACCAGTTTGAAGAAGGACTTCAGCCCCATGGTCAATATCTAAGCGAAAGAGAAAGAAAAAAGGGAGAATGGTGATGAAAAGAAATGAAAAAGAAAAAAAAAGAGCGACAAAGGTATAAAAGGATGAGCTTTTTATGGTTTAAAGATCCAAAGTGAATAGGTAAAGAATATTGAGGGAAAGATACAGGAACAAGTGGCAGTGGTAAAAGGGATGGGACTTTGAAGTGAGCGAGCGGAAAAGGAGGAAGACAATAATCCCTTTTTATATCCTGGATTGATGATGAATTTTAACATTGTCTCATATGGTTTTGATATCGATCCTTTGCTTCACAGGCCACATCAATCTTTATTCAGTTCCTTTGTTTGGATTGGGATTTTGTCCAAGTCAATAGCAGAGATTGACAAATAAATACAAGCTCTCGCATGAACGGCAGATTGGAAACAATAGCATTGAGATACCAAAGTGAGCATTCGAAAAAATCATCTCCAGATACAGCATACAGTGTCGATGTCGATCCTTTGTTACACAATTTTTTTTTTTTTTCAGTTTCTTTTGTTTGCACTGGCCCTTGCTTTGTACTTTGTGAAGAATTTAATGAATAAAAGAAGATTTATAATTTTGAACAGGGGTAATAAATGCATTGACAGATATGCCTCGGTGATTATATCCTTGTCAAAGGTAACAACTAAAGAAAAAAAAGTCTTTTTTATCAGAGAATGGCTTCATATGATGCTCTTTGCTCCAACAGCCCCAGTACTATTGCATTAAAGCAGAGATATTCGTTGACTCTCAGATTCCGGCACCAATGGCGGAGATAGGAGTGATGTAGTTGCATGCGCTTATTGCTTGGAGTAAAAGCTATCTAAGCACCCTTTCTTACTGGACAATGCCTTGTTAATGGTGATATTGCGCAGCGCCTTGTGGATGGAGGGAGAGCAGAAGCGAGAGTGGTGGTTTTTGGCGGTCGTTTGGTGTGTGTATGTGTGAATTTGATAGTTGATATCAATCGCCAAAACATATGCATCTAGAAATAGCGAGATTGATACCGACGCGTTTGATCCTTTCCTAGGGATTGTTATAACCATGGGATGATTGTGGAGTGGCTGCCAAAATAAAGTTTGTTTGGAGGCACCGATGGAAAACGCTTGTGTTTTGAACAAAAAAAGACGCCGCGATGTAAAATGTTTTTATTCATGTACAGAATCCAAAGCATGTTCATGCACACAGTGATTGACGAACAAAAAAGGAAAAAAAAGCCTGCGATGAAAGAAGGCATGTGCAGACAACAAATAAGCACAGCAACTGTTTGCTCACATACATTTTTTTCACCGTTGTGTCTGTATCTCTTCTAAGCTTTCTGTCTGGCCGTTTAACAAGGAACCCTCAGAAAAAGAAATACCTCGCATGATTGGTGCCAGGTCTGAAAACAACAATAATGCAATGCTGTACGTGGAAGATAGGGTCTAGAAACTATACCATTGATCACAACTGCTACTCATGCTCTCTTGCCAAAGGCTTGAACAGGCACACCAACCCCTTCTTTCTTGTTCTCATAACCGCTCACATCCTTTCGATGCATTCTTTCGCCCTTTATGTCCACTACATCTGAGCCACACACAGTTCACCACTCACTCCAACAGAGATATTTGTATCACTTTGGGTATGATATGTTGCTGTGGTTCCCTCTGGTTTCAACAGGCCCAACAAACTCTATAAGCTGTTTACCAAGCCAGATATATCAAGGGAATGCAAGAAGACGAGGAAGCGAACGATGTGACAAATCAAGTCTTGCCGAGCTGTACAAGAAAAGATCAAGTTAGTCAAGCTCCATCGTGCGGAAGAATGATTCCACTCAGATTGCCCTCCTTTCAAGTCGATACTACGGCAGCGAATATTATCGCTGTTATATTACATCAGTCAATAAATAAACGATACAATGGACTCCCAAGAGGATGCTAGGGTCATGCGAAAGTCTTCATGAGTTTTTTATTTGCACAAATAAAGAAGCCAGGATAGCTCCATGACAATTTAGTTTCGGCCATTTATTTCGACATTGAAATAAAATTTCAAGACAATGCCCATGGATTGCTGGGTTTTAAGCCCATTTATAATGGCAAATTTGTCCTTGTGAAAGAAAAAGAATATCTACTGTGTGTACGTATAAATTAATACGTGCAATTGACTAATGTGGCTGTTTCATTTTGTTTTCCTTTTTCAGGAACATTATCTTATAATAAAGAATAAGTGGCCCTTGCTTGATCACCCTTTACTCTTTCCATTTTACTTTTACCTCAAAGAGATTTCCTTCCTCCCTTCTCTTTCCTTATTACTGTCGCCCTCTTTTTAATCATTCTCCTCTCGTCCTCCTCTTTTTATTCCTTTCCTCCTCCTCCCTCTATACATACATACAATGAAATTCTTTCAGGCATCACACAAGTTTGACCATTCATGGGCGCAAGTCACAGCTGCCAACTGGATGAAATACCCTAATGAACAATGTCCACACGTTGTCGCAGTCGATGTTCTTGATCGTTACGTTGATCCTGAGACTGGCATCTTGCATACAGAGCGTCTTTTGACTTGCAATCAGAGTGCCCCTGCTTTAGTCTTGAAGGTATGGATCAGATTATTGCTATGGTTACTATTGGAATGGCTGATTTCTAAACCATGGCATTTTGATTAATTTCTTTTTCTTTTCTTTTCTTTTCTTTTCTTTTCTTTTCTTTTCAATTTTCATTTTTCATTTTTCATTTTTGAAAAAAAAAAAAAAAAAAAAAAAAAAATGATTTAGTTTCTTGGCGGATCTACAGTTTCATATGTCCGTGAGACCAGCGAACTGGACCCTAAAACTAAAAAGCTGACTATGAAGACTCAAAACTTGACCATGTGCAATGTTCTTAAAATCAATGAGACAGTCACTTATACTGTTCATCCTCAGGATTCTTCCTCGACCATGTTTCGCCAGGAAGCTCAAATTATGACAGGATCTGCATTGTCTCGTTTCTCATCTTATATTGAAGACTTTTGTTTGACTCGCTTCCGGGACAATGCGGCTGTTGGCCGTGCAGGATTCGAGATGGTTCTAGAGAAATTGAAGGCGGCCCGCTTGGAAGCAACACAGCAACTTGCTGTTGCAGCAGCGCAGGCATGAACAAACGCATCTGAATTTTTTGTTACACGCTATTCAGCACCCCGCACGAAGCAACTGTCTATCTATGACTGCCTATTCCTTTTATGGTGCAATCTCGGATGATCTCGGAGCAGCGGACAAATTGTGCCGTATGCACTGACCTTGCTCATGGGGGTAATATTTAGGTTGAGGCGCGTCGTAGATTTTTTTTTTGCTTAGCATTTTTTGTAGAAACAAAACCAAAACCAACTGCACTTGTATAATAAATCCCACTCATTCATAAGTCATGCTATATATAGTGGAGCGGATAAACAGTAAAAAACATGTCTTTGATCAAGCTTACAACAGTGCTGCCTTTATTTACAAATATCGAAGTTGAATAGAAAAGGAGACAGTGAAAAACCGGTAAGAAATTTAACATGTAGTTATTTACTCATGAATCGTGCATGGCCGCTAAGCATCATGTTTCTCTTCTATACACCAGCAACTGCGCCTGAAGAAGATGATCCAGAACTAGTCGCAGGGTGTTCGAGCACGAGCTCTGCTTTGGCAATGTCTTTGATCTTTGGATATGTGTACCTCTCATCCAGCTGTTGCTGTGCATACCAGCACATCTTCAGCAGAGCAGGCAGCTAATACAAAGAGGAGTGGGTAAAATGATAGACAAAGCAAGCTCAATACATTTCTATTTTTTTTAAAAAAAAAAAAAAAAAAAAAAAAAAAAGATAATAATGATGCGTAAAGCATATACCTTGGGATCTTTCTCTTGTGACTGCGAGAGCAGTAATGCTGCATTGAGCTCTGAAGCAAGCTTCTGTCTCTGGGCAGGTGTGAGAAGGTCGCTTACAGGCGAGGGTCCATTCAGCTCGAACGCCAATAGTGACATGGTTTTCTCTAGCTCAGCCAAAAACTCTGGCTATAAAATAAAAAAAAATAAAATAAAAAAAAAATAAAAAATAAAAAAAAAAAGCAAGCAAAGGCAAGGAAGAGCACCGCATATTAACGATATGTCATCTCATGCACATGCTTCATTCCAGGCTTAAACTGAACCCGAGGTGAGTTCCCAGACTTACATTTTCTTCCCCACGTGGCGCTAGCTCCTCTTGAGCAAACTCAAGTGCTTCCATGACCCGCCCCTCACGAATAAGTTCGATCAGACGTTGCTGTTGTAAGTGAAAATACAGTTTCGGGTTTGTGTCTAAAATCTATAACCCCATGCACGGGAAAGAAAAAAAAAAAAAATTAGTGCTGCACAATGTAACAAAATGCGCCATGCATAATATCAGTTACACAACAAAAGCCCCTACTATAACTTTTGTCAAGTTTTTTTAAAAAAAGGCGTTTGTTACCTCCGGATTAAGATCATTGACTCGCTCGATCGCCTCTTCAATGTTGCCACGCTGAATAGCTGTTCGAACAATCATGCGGTCCTGGATGGACTCCAAATTGACAGGCGGTTTAGCACCACTTTCCTGGCTAAATTTCTCTGCCGCATCTTTGTATCCTTCAATGATCAGATAGTTCATGATCAGTTTGTTCAAGTCTCTGAAGATGGATAGAATAAAAGCAAGGTCATCGGACACATCAGAACAAAACCTAGATTTTTTTGTTTTTATTGCTTGGATCAACCTTTACTCTCCATTTTTTTTTATTAAGAAAAGTTATACTTACTCACGATCAACATGGATTTCCGCCAGTCGAGCATCCCATTCTTCCTTGGTAAAGACCCGTTTCTGGACACCTACAGCTCCGGGAACTTGGTTTGATGCCTGTGTATTTGACTGTAAGGAATGATGATGAGACGCAGATCGGGAGTTCATGTTACTGATACGGTTGCTATAATGATAACGAGCGGATGATGATGATGTTGATATAGAAACAGCACTAACAGGACGCTCATCTGTGGTGTTTCTGGAAATGGATCTTTCTTCTTGCCGTGGAGGAGAACGTGTAGAAGATAGAGATGGAGATGAGGTCGGGGTTGAAGAGGAAGTGGAGGTGGAGGAAGGAGGTGCTGGCCCCGTCAAGTGAGAGAAGCAGTTAAGAACAAGAAAGCCCACATGAGAGAGTATGAACAGGTGTGCGGCTGTGATAACCAAGGTAATCCAGAGTAACCCCGCTATAAAAAGCCGAGGGATACCCCCAGAAAGTAACGATGTTGGGCCATTAGACGGTAGTGTTGCTGCTCTCGTTGCTGTGGAAGAATTCGAGGATGTTGACCGCGAGTGAGGAGATGGAGATAAAGAAGAAGGGGAGACAATGGTTGGGGAAGATGGCATATCGTCGTCGTTGAGAGCAGTGTGGGACAAAGGTTTAGTTGTAAATAGCTCAGAGAATAAATAAGAGAAAGAAGTTCTCCACAACAGAATGAGGACAAAGAAGGCGAAAGAAGAGAGAAAGAGAGACGAATGCAGGGATTGGTGTCATTAAAAAAAAAAAAAAAGCTAACATCAAGCGTGATGCTAAATGAGCATTTCCCGCAGACATTGTTGCCTAGTGGCTGACTACAATGCCGTACAGCCAATCTCACGGGAAAAATCGATGTGTGGAGAAATTATACGATAGGATATGACAGGATGATCAGTGCAAGCAGTCATGATGTCCATGAGCACATTGGGAGGTAGAAAAGGTAGAAAAGTAAATAGCATAGTAAACGCAGCACACTCTTTTGATGGATGTTGTAGACTTTTGAATGAAAATAGAATGTGTATATATAAATGCATAATGAACATTTCTCTTCTCTCCAACACGTTAAATAATATACTTTTTTTTATGATTGAGTATGAGACTTCATCCTTACCATGGTACTAGCAGTAGTAGTACTGAGAATGGCACGAGAGCGACGTTGAGTCTTTGAAGCTAGCAATGAGACAGAGATAGCGATAAGCGAGAGAAAGACAAGAGTCCCAAGAGTTGTACAAGGGAGTAACGAGAAGGTGAACAATGGCAGCAGCGTGTGTTGTGTGTACTGTGTAGTCAGTGTTTGAATGGTTAGCTTGCTGTAGTTTAATTTGTAATGCTTGTCGTTTGTGCTGCAATGCTACAATGTTAAGGCAATGGTGGCAACAGATACAATAGTGAATGAGGTGTGGGGATTGGCAGAAACAAAAACAATGTAATGGAGAGAATTAATGGAATAAAAAAAATAGGGTCTCGTTACACCCCGTAAGCCTTTATTTATTCCCCACACTCCTACACTTCATTTACTCTTCATTCTTCCTCGCTTTATTCATTAATTCATTCTTCCATTTCTTTTGTGCCGTCATGGCAACAGGGAATGATGTTCGCGAGATCTTTCAACTCAAACCTACTGAGCTAGCCAAACGTGTGCACAAGACAGAGAAGAAGCCAGGCATGTCTCTTTTTTCTTTTCTATTAATCATCCAAAAAAAAAAAAAAAAAAAAAAACAATTTAATAAAGTACGAAATAACATCATGAAAGACTAACATACGCTCTTTCCTTTCTTCCTACTCCACAACAACATCGACGACAACGACAACACCAACAATATTGAATATGGGAACAGATGGTATTAGTCGTGAGCTGTATGGCCTTATCGGAAACAATGTCTCAACAGTAGCCTTCAATAACCCAACTTATAAACCAAAACTAAACGTCAGCAAGAAAGCTGTCAACTGGTTAGTAAAGTAACAGCTAACTAATTATCTACCGTACCCTGTTGTGTTGCAGAACCTATACTGACATCGAGCGGCGCCTCTTCGACGTCATTTCTTATTACCATGACCACCATTGTGATTCCCAGGACGTGGCGACCGTTTGTCAACCCCTCTCGAGATGATGACTTGATTCTGCATCATTGGGAAAAGACTAGAACTGACCCGAATGAAGAATACCGCTTTTACAGATTCAACAAGGAGATTGACATGAGAACATTTACTCCAGAAGAATATGCGGCACATCTCGAAGATCCTGATTGGACCCTAGAAGAAACTAACTACCTGTGGGAACTCTGCCGGAAATTTGATTTACGTTGGGTTGTAATCCAGGATCGGTATGAATGGCCTCCACAAGAGCAGGATCGTCTGGCACTGACTTATTATAATGGCAATAAACGGCCCGGAGTCGACACATCCTCTTTTAATCATACCATAAGAAAAATAGATGCCTCGTCAGCGATGGAGATTGAGCCTTCAGTATCAGCCTCTACCGTTGATGGGTCATCGTCAGGAACCACGATAACAGCAGCAGCAGGAGAAGCGGCATCATCGACATTGACAGATAACGGAGCTTATTCATCATTGACTGCTCCAATAAGGGCTGATGCTTCTACTTCGGTTGTACTATCGGGATCTTCATCTCCATCTAAAGAAATTGTGCCTTTCACGGCACCAAAGACAAGATCCATGGAAGATCTGAAGGACCGTTATTACACCATTAACCGCACTCTGATTAGGATCCGGACAACAGATCCATCACAGGCAGTGGAAAAGGCCCAGCTGCTTTCCTCAATGGCATACGATAAGAGCAGGGAAATGGAACGTAAGAAGAACCTTGAGATTTTAAACACAAGGACACCAGAACAGATTGAGGTACACTTTTTTTTTTGGTCTACAGCAACTTGTCAACTTTAACCATGTTGTAAAGATTGACATTTTATCATATTTTTAAATGCATATAGGAGGAAGAAGCTCTTTATCTAGAAGCAAGGAGGATTGATCAGAACGAGAAAAAGATCACAAGAGAACGCGAGAACTTACTGCGACTACTTAACACAAGAGACATCTATGGACCTAATGGACCGGCGTCGGCTGGATTGGCGGGTCAGGTCGCCAGTGGTGGAGGCCCTGGTACTGGTATAATTATATCTAGCAATTCAATTACTATTCCGTCTTCAGGACCTACCATCAACGCAGGCGCTAACGGACCACTTTCGCCCTCGGTTGGGAAGAATGCCAACAATGCTGTGGCTGCTGCTGCTGCTGCTGGTGCGACACAGACTGCGCCTCCAAAGAAAAGAAAAAAAGTACCCAAGGGCTCGGCGCAGGCAGAGGAACCAGCAGCTGTCTCTGCTGGTACAAATGCTACATCTACTGGAATTTCTGGTGCATCTGTATCGTCTTCACAAATCAAGGGGCCTGCGAGTAACAGGCGACCTTCCAATACTTCATCTGTGGGTGATGTATCATCGTCCAGCTTACCACAAGGAGTACAGGTTAAGAAGGAGAAATTGACGCCAGGAGCATATCTAAGATCTCAAAAAATGACACCAATTGTATCAACAAAACAACATCGTGTCACAGCAACCCTGACCCAGTTGGGACTCCCCATCAAGCCAGCCATGCCAACAGCAGCAGTCATGGCCAAGTGGGATCAGCTTAATATTAATGTTGTCACATTACTTGATCTGAAAAAGCAAGTCGATAAGCTGGAATCAGATCTCAAGGTGGTCAAAATGCGACGGGGCAGTGCGTCAGGCGTTGGTCTCTTCCCAGCAGGTTCCACTGGAGTCAATGGTACAACAGGAAGCTCAAGTGGCACGGGTACTACAAGCAATGCTGGTTCTGCGGGATCAGATGGCAGTTTCGGAGTCAAGCGTGAGGGCGCAGCGGACGAGACAGGCGCTTTAGGCCCAATGAAGAAGAAGAAGAAAAAGGAGTAAAAAAAGTTGGCGGAGGATTCATGAACCAAGTCATATTTTATTCTTCTATCTCTTTGTAAAAAGTCTTTTTTTTTTTGACGTTGGAAGAGTCACCAGGATTTTTTTTTTTTTTGCTCTCTGCTTGAGCACAATGTCGATTAAATATATAATAAGAATAGTTCTTATCTTACGTATATAGTTGATAGTCATGTTAGACATGTCTATAGCAATCCATCGACTATCTTATTGATGAAATTGTCGATTACTTTGTCGCTGACCATATCATTGACCATTTATAAACCGTATCTTTGAGGACACTGGATTCATCTATTGTGGCCAATATATTGTCTCGCCAGTGAAACAGTCAATGAAATAATCAATGATATGGCCAATGAGGTAGCCAATGAAATAGCCATCAAAGTGGCTAATGGAGTAACCAATGAAGAAGTCAACGAAGCAATCGACAAATAGCGACAATATCACCAATGACAGTCAATAGTGTTGTCATCGATATGTCCAACGTGGTGGTCAATTATCTGCAAGATCGGGCCGTCCTTTATTAAATCGATTCTGTACTACTCTTCTAATATGCTGATATTATATGTGGAAAGCAAACTAAAAGACTATCCATTCTCCTCTAAGCAAGTCTACGCTTCTTAATGGTGGTAAGGCGAACTTTGTCTTTAGCAAATTCTTTAGTCTTGAGCTGTCGTTTACGGGACTTCATCTCGTTCTTCTGGATACGGCGCCGAGCACGAGCCACCGGGTCATTCATAGCTTGGATGGCACGCTGTTGCTTGCGCTCTCGGCGGACATTCAGCACATGCTGGCGAATTCTGTTATATGCCATAAAATAATCCGTTGTGCCTGCACGCTTTTGCACCAAATCCAACACTTCGGCTCCAAGCTTCTTGAGCTCTTCTGTAATCGACAAAGGAACGCGAGTAGAAAGTGTCAGTAAGCAATATAAAGAAACAAACAAGAACAAGCAACAACTTAAACAGCCAAAACCTACCAACTTCAGAACCCTTGGCAGTCTCGTCGTTCACAATACGATAGATCGGTGAAATAATAGGAACCAGATAAGCCTTCAAATCCTTAGTATGGATGTGGGTTGTAATAGCGGCCATGCATTGGAAAATACACGTCTGTTGAATTGTTGAGCGGTTGACACTCTTCTTGATGGCTGCTCCACGGGAAAGAAAGGACAATCGCTTGACTAGCCAATACAACAAACGCTTAACAGGTAGCATAGCTCCTTCAATTTCAGCCTTATTCTCCTCCCCTTCTTCCTCTTCGCTCTCTTCTCCTTCCCCAACTTCCTCATCCTCATCTATCTCCTCATCAGCCTCAAGCTCATCCGGGAGGGCATAAAAGCATTTGGCAATAAAGAACAAATTCTTGACAATCTGTCCTCCCAGGTCTTTGGATAAAAATTCGCTCTTTAGCTGCTCGCACAGCTTCTGTGCTACTGACTTGAGCATTTCTAGCGACAGTATCAAATCTGAAGTGGATTTATCCAAAGGAGACCGAGTCACTGGATCGATTCCAGAAAAGAAAACGCCAAATAAGCGTGTGGCTGAGAGACGGACCCAAGCATGTGGGTGCAACATGTGTTCTCGAATTAAGGGCCAAAGGGTTGTCGCTTCAGCTGAGTTAATGACTGCTGGGAACTGTTTGACCAGTTTCGTAAATGTGTTCAGAGCATAGTAACCAACTTCCCATTCTGCATCTAAATCCATGGTATCATGGTCTTGATCCTCATACTTGTCGACCTGCGCGGCCAGCTCCTGAGCCTCCTCCATGATCTGCAGACTAGATTCAAGCGCAAATTTCAATCGAGGAAGTAAACCTGGAACTTGTTTCTTGAACATAGGGCCAAAAGCCTCGATCGCAAGTCCGTACACTTGACAAGCTGCACGCTGCAGACTACGCTGCTCTGTCTGATCGAACCACTTTTCAAGAAGAATGTAGCTGTTATCCAGTTTCTGACGATTCATTCGCTTAAAAAGCTCCTTGAGCAGTACTCCTGCCATCTCCCGACACTTACTGGAATCATCATTAACAAGTTGCATGACTAGAGCCAAGAAGAAGAGCTCTACATAATCCATTAGAACTTCGTCTGCAAACTTTTGGATGATAACATGCATTATCTCCATTACGGATTGACGGCCGCTCTCGAAGACATAGCTCAAGTTCTTGACTAAGAAATTCATCTGATTACGAAGACGACCACGGCCTTGAGGGTAATCCAGCAAAAACTGAAGTAAAGCTCGACGACACTCCTCACGAGCTTGCTGGGATTGGGACGTGACCATGATCTCGGAAATGCTCATCATGATATCATACATTTCTGGAACTACGAATTGACGCGAGACAATCGCGCGGATCAACGAAAAAGTAGTAGTCTGACGCTCTGGCTCCTCAAGGTCGGGCTGAATCATTTTTAAGAGCATGGTAAGTTGCTCCTCTTTTATAGTAACTTTCTTGCATTCGCGAATCGCTACTGCCAGCATCTTAAAACAGGATTGAGTAAGTTCAGACTTGGTGGAAGCTTGAGTTTTGATGAGGCTGAAAGTGTGTTTAATCACCACAGGCAGGTTTTTTTCGAGTGACGGTAATTTGAGCTTAGAGAGGATGCACATAATCTTGAGTGACTGTTGGATCACCTCTGGGTATTTGGCAAACACACCATTTCCAACAATCTCAACAAAAGGGTCTAGAAGAGCTAGCTCCTCTGTTGATCGAACATCAAACTTGTTGCGAGATAGCGACGCTCTGAATATGTTGAGGCCAAATGCAACGAACCGATGAGCATTGGCTGGGAAGCAGTCCGTTGTAACCTGGCTGGGTCTCTTTGTATCAACTGTAAAATTGATTTCTAGACGCGACCTCTCTCTTTTGATCTCATCTTTAGTCTTCGAGATGGCTAAATTTTGGGATATCAAACCGTGACAAAAGATTAACACCTCCTTAGTCTCAAACCGCGGATTGTTGTTCAGACCTGAGGCTAGCCGTCTCATAACCTCGTCCACCTTTCGCATCACCTTGACCGCCTCAGTCTCTGTTAGAAGATCCTTGAGCGGAATCATGATCACGCCCATGTTCTTGAACTTGATAATCCCCGAAATAAGTTCAAATGAATGGAAGCTAAGATTGCTTTTGGCTTCTTTCATTTTACCAGTAATCTCTTCTGTATCTTTTTCATTACCAGTCTCACCAAAGATATCGTTGATAAGTACATCAACAATATCTTTGAGACAGTAATCGAGCTCACCCACCTCCAATGTCGGCACCAACTGTGCTAACATGGCATGGAGTGTAAATCCCAAGACATGCAACTGATAACCTCGTAGCAAAGCGCCTCTCATCTCTTTAAGAATAAAGCTGAAATAACTGGCACCAAGGAACATGGTTATCTTGATCAACGTCTCTCGAGTACTATCGCGAGCTTCCTGTTGACGACTCTTGAGAATCTGGCAGACCGAGGTCAGTAGGCCTGGCAGGTTTGTACGGAGGGAAACGTCAGGGAGAGCCTTCAGAAGTTTCGTGATGGCTAGTGCGACTGGGACGCGAATCATCACGCTCGCCTCGTCCTTGTTGGTGAGGTATCGATGAAGCTCTGGAAGTAACTTTTTAATGACTGTGTCATGAATCCTTGTAGCGAGAGCCACTGCGGCCACTTCAGGAGACAGCTCAATATCCATGGCATCTTTATCCTGCTGATCTTCTTCGTCATCGCTAGCTTCATCGTCCTCATTAGCTTCATCGTCTTCGTTATATTTCTCAGCTTGCTCCATAGCCTCATCTTCCACACCAACGACTCTCTGTTCCTGCGTCTTTTCAGTTTTGTTAATGATATCTTGTGTAGGAGATTCATCTATTTCAATATCGCCTTCCCCGCGGTCTCTTAGATTGGAACCCTCTACATCTGGACTATCATCCTCCTCTCTATCCTTCCTCCGAACGGTCTTTGGTTTGCTGGCATGAGCCTTTTTTCGGACAATCGCAACAGAATCTTCAGGCAAAACTTCAATGTTCTTGATATTGAAATGGAAATTATCCAAAATAGCGATTACTGTGCGTACTAAAATCTTCTCCATCTCTGCTTTGCGAGGAATTAATTTGAGATAACTTTTCAGCAGCGAATAATATGGACCCCATGGCAGCTGTGAAGCAATGATGCCCAGCGTTGCGACAGTCTCATTCACCAAATTATGGTCACTACTCTTGTCGGATTCAAATATGAAATGAGCAATCAAGGGTGCAAAAATCTGCGTTAAAGTTGCTGGACGGAAGGACCCTTTAGCGCACTCCTCAGAGAAGCGGCTCAGAGCACGGATGCGGCGATGAAGTTGAATGTGATAGATATTGGTAAAGAACGAAGCCTCTTCATCGCCGCCTACCAGCAGCGGGGTCATATCTGAGAATTGGACTTGGTCCGGGCATTTTTTCACAGCATGAGCCAAGACTGCCACAAATTCGTATCGAATTAGCTCGATCGGTGACTTGAAACCTTTTTTGAGTCCTGGATAAATCACATGAGTCAGTAAACCACGGAAGGCACTATATTCAGGGTCCTCCGCAGGTAAGTCTGCGCATTGGTCAATGAACCTTGTGAGCGCAAACGTAGAGTTACTGCGGATAGACATCTCCTCGGGGTCACGGATGAAGAATAACATATTATGAAGTACAGGAAGCCACTGACGGCCATTGAGTTCCTTGTAAAGTGAGTTGGTCAACAGGTTGAATGCATCCATCCTCCTATCGAAATCGGGGGTCTCCATGCGCACTGTCGAGAAAGCATTCAGCTCCGCTACCAAAGATGAAGTAGACTGGAGTGAAGGGTCGATCTTGGCAAACTCAGCCATGATGTCGACCAACAGGACGCGGCAGTCCCGTGCCATCAAAGTCGAGAATAGCATCATCAAATGATTGAAATACTTGATGAACAATGAGCTCTCGGCCGAAATATTGGGAACGGTAGGTAAAAAGTTGACAATGATACGCAGTATGTCTGCCTTAGTCTTCTCAGGAACAACCCTGTGGTTCTTCTTGAGACTTGGCAATAAAAGGTCAATCAATTTGACAGCCTGTGCTCCATCCTTTATATATGCTGCGATTTGGGATAAAATTGAGATCTCACGCTTCGTAAACATATCCTTGCCGAATTTTGCATCTCCACTATTCTTGGTCAAAATAATCTCAAGATTGTTGAGGAGCGTATCCGTATATGGAATCAGAACCCTCGTTGTCAAAGGTTTTTCAGTCCGATCCTTCTCTTCGTAACAATGACTCAAGATGTCTTCAATGATCTCAAGCACCATTGAGATGACAGAGTCTCGGACCTTCTTGGCCGATAAGCAGCTGTATATCTTCTCAACCACTTGGTTGTTGTGATTGACCAAAAACAGTACATATTCTTTGCGGCTCGCCCAGGTAGCGAAGAGCTCCATAATGGCAGACGGTGCCTGTGTACTCTCAGTATCCAATTGTCCTACGCGCCTGTTCAAGAAAGAGTCATACATGGCGGGAATGTAGGGTTCGAAGTCGAAGGTCGAGATCGGTAAACTAAAAATTTTGGTAATTCGCTTAATACCAAGCTGTCGAACTTCTCGAAGCTGCTTAATTTGAAGGGTTTCAATCACGCCTTCCTCCATTCCTAACATGGCTTGCTCTCCCATATCCATGTCCATTCGCTCCTGAGCCTGATGGACCATGCAGAGGACCGCTGTTAATAATTGCGGAATAAAGGGAGCTATGATGGCTCCAAGCATCTTGACCACATCCTCCAAAATGTTGAGGAAACCAATCTGTTTGCGAATATGTCCCACAGGACTACGGTCTACAGAAGTATCTTGAGAAAACACAAACTCCTTTCCCTGGATGCCCGCAGTCCCAATATCAAATGGGCTTAACATAAGTGAGATGAAAAATCCGATCTCCTTGGTGTTACATCCTCCTAAAGCAGTCAAGACAGCCTTTCTGCGAGCAGACATACCCGCTTTGGCAGAACCCTTGCCTTTCCTGGCAATCATACATCCATACAGGAGTCGGATAATGATGGGCATGACTTCGTCACGGTGCAAAGTGCCAATACTGGAAGTCTCACCCTCTGCAATGATAAAAGTCGAAAGCTCATCTCGGAATTTGACTTCATCCAGTATATTCTTGAGGTTGTCCTGATAGGGAACCAAGGCAGGGGACTTGAAAGTAAACAGACAATTAAGTGCTAAAGTCTGAAGAGGGGCATCACCAATTGTCAAGAGGCGAAGATACAGCTCATAAAGCTTATTGCTCTCATAGGTCTGCTTCGGGTTCTTAAATTTGGCGAAAAGAGCCAAAAACAAGTGCAGACGATCCTTGGTACTCTTCGGAGTTTTAGGAAGTACTTTCATCATGCCAATCGCGTCTTCATCCGTCGACTGCTCTTCTTCATTAATATCATGCTCGTCCTTGCGATTCCAAACTGGCTCGTACTCGTCTTGAATGAACTTGAAAAAAACCTGGACTAAGTGGCGGTTATGCATCTCTGCAATCTGAGGAACCTCGGCAAAAACCTTCAAGATAAGTCCATAGTAATTCCAGTAATCGAGTCTATCGATGCCAGGGGCATAGATTTTTATGAAGTGCATGACTAGACTCATATTTAACTTTGTAGAATCTGTAATCTCGAATGCATATTCGTTCGCACGTTGAACTTTTCTCAAATTAAAACAGTCAAAGCTAGAGTCCTTCTTCTTGCTCAAGCCTTTTGAATCCTGAATGTTGCGATAATCGGCAATAACCTGAGCTGAAAGGCCGCTCTCAACTAAAAGAGCTTCATCCTCAAAGCGCTTAATCTCCCCAAAGAGCAAAAACCAGAAAGTCTCTGGATAAAGCTCTGCTGTCTTGATGAGAAGGACAGTAGCATCTGCCCAAAGGGGTTGGAAATTGATGGTCAAAATACCTGCAATATAAAAACAAATAAATAAATTATTAATTGCATTAGCATGATGAAAGATGCGGCTTCAACTTTGTTAGATTCTACAGACAAAAAAGTACTTACCAAGACAGAGGCGCATGGGTACAGTTTTGTAAAATTCATCGAGTTTCCCAGAAGAAACCATAGTATTGAGCCTACGGATCTGCATGGTCTTGTCTCTATAGTTCTCAACAGAGACTTCTATTTCCTCAATCGCCAAACACTGTGAAAATATGTGGTTCTGAAGTATCTTATCACTTCCTTCACCAAACAAAACAATCTCAAAAGTTGATAGGATCTGAAGTGTATGAAGTCGACGCCGGTGCTGTAGCGAATTGATGTTTTTTTCCAACTTTGGGTAAAGCTCCTGTAGAATCCCAACCGAGAAAAGATCGTTAAAAAAATTACTATTCATAGGAAAGAATCAATCAGCAGAGGCACTCATCAATATGCACATGTCATATGAAACCAATCGTGTTAAGTATCTAGAAAGTTGTTCATAGCTTTACCTCTCTTTAAGAATTGTGCAATACTTCGCTATCCCTCTGAGAACAATCTCATTCGAGCCATAATTGTATAGGACATCCTTGATCATCACGTCCCAAAGTCCTGCCAATAGCTTACCGCCAGCCTCGCCTGCACGCTCACAGATGACTGTCAAGATTTCAACCGTCTCTCCAAGGAGGATGTGGAGAGTTGCCATGACCGATCCTTGTACAAACGCGCGTTTCTGTAATACAATAGTCTGATTTTCTTTGGAAAGGCACTCCAATAGTGAATGTAATAACCCCAGGATCGCGTTGGTGGTTGTATTGAAGGGTATAGAAACATGAGGCACTACCGTCAAGGCGGCAGCGACGAGGGCTATGCGGGGAACTACAGTGTTCATATTACCTAAGCTTTCATCCTTATCCAAGGTTACATGACTCAATAGCTCAGCTTCCGATTTCCAATCCCATTGCTCTGACAATATTCGAAGGATTCCGTCTGTAATACGCTCTGGCTCACCCTTAGAAGCTTTGGTGGCATTGAACTTCTTATTATCGGTATTGGCAGATAATGCGCGGTTCATGGGGAATTTAAGCAGTCCAGCCTCATCAACAGTAGCTGCAATCATTCCTGGATTAAGAACTAACACCTCCGATGTCAACAATGTCGCCAAGAAGAGTATGATCTGACATGAATACTGGGGCTCCCAATGTGTAGCACAATATCTGACGACATGTGGTAGCAGAAATTGAGTGTAATGGGTCCACTTAAGATTGATCAGTGAAATAGAAAACGCCAAAACTGTCGAGACATCCTAGTATTAATGTTGTAGTATATATAAGTCAGTTACGAAATCAGGAAAGTTTTCCAATACTATGATAACATAGAGCACTTCCTAACCTTGTGTTTATAAATTGAATCCAACAGAAGCCCACCGGGAAAGAGAATACTCTCCAAGGGTGAAAACGCTAGCAGGGCGCTTGAAAGCTTCATCAGCTCCTGTACGACTAGTGATGGTGCTCCCGAATCAGCTGCCAGGGTCAGGGACGATACCTTGATGGTCTTCTCGTAAATCTTGACAAAGTCTAGTTCCATGAGCATAAAGGGAAGAGTTAGGACATAATGAAGCATGTTAAGAAGAGAATAGCTGATGATTAAGTTATGATTCTATGTCAATCTATATATACCATCAATGCGACTCCCTTTTCTGACTGAAACACATGAATTAAGAAGAGCTAAACACTCTGCAATGTTGAGCCACCTCCTTTCTGTATCCTCAATGCTAACATTCATATCAATACTTGCGGTAAGCTCGGCGAGGAGCATTTCACAGACGCTCTTAAAGTGCTCTTTAGTTGAGTAATGGACCATAAGGACAAGTGTTTTGCATAGCGCTCTAAAAGTCGAATTCTCACTCATGCTCTTTTCAGTGAGTATTACACCTGGTTCCCGCTTTAATATATGGATGGCCTCTCTGAGGACCACATCCACTCCGCGATGTTGAAATTGATTGCCAACAAGCTTGATAGTCTCAAAAAGAAGTTTGGCAACCCCCTCAACAAAGTTTTCGGTAGGGGACTCGTGCAACTGGGAGAAAATGTAGGTCAAAATTACATTAAGATGGTTTACAGGTGCTTTTCGGATCAAGTATGAAAACGATTCTGCGGCAAAGTTGCGAATATATGGTTTTTGTGCATTGTCCTCCCCAAGATATGGAGCAAGAAGTCTATTAATAATGAGAGAAGAAAATTTCGATATGAGCATGAACCAGCCTTGTTGACTCAGCCAAATTTCATTTCTTAATCAGATCGTCCTGTTAAAGACTCTTCTACCTACTTAAATGTTGCCCGTAGGTCTGTCCGGAGCTGTCTGGAGTATTTTTTGAAAAGAGATGCTATACAGTTGAACGCCCACTAAAGTACCAAATATATAATGAACAGAATGTAAGCAAGCTATTGAATATATTTTCGCCCGCTTTCTACGGTCAAAGGCTTCAATAAGGAGCATTTCGTCGAAGAATTGCACTGACCTCAATCACTTTAACATCTTTGTACTCGACCAACGGCAAAATTGCCCCCAATATCCGATCAAAATAAGGGAAGAGCTCTTCATCCAGATCCCTTGATAACTGTGTAATGAGATCTAAAATGGGCTCCAATGTCAAAACATTCCTCTCATTCAGATTCCTGATCAAGAGATCGACTATTTGGTCCTTGTGATATAGTAACTGAGGCAATGTCTGACAGTAATTCCTGACTTCCAGCCCGAAACGTACGAATGGTGCGGAAAGATTAAGCTCTTTCCACTCCTCAAGCGCATCGTTGAAGAATGACCCAGTGGCGACAGACCCATTCTCTTTCAAGCCTACTTGACGAGTAATCCTGATCTTGAGATGATTTACTCGGGCGCTAAAGCTTTGATACTAAAGTCGCATTTCAAGTGAATATTTAGTTAGCCACCATAGGCATTACTGATTTTTTTAATTTTTTTCCATTGAGCTCTCTACCTTGTAGCGGTTAGCGCCCTGGCCCTCGTTTAATGCCTTGGCTATTATACTCCCTTCCATTGTACTTTTATATATGAGATTCTCTGTCCTGTTTAAGTATCTGAAATGCAGTAAAGGCTAATAAGAAATATCGATGACAGGACAATAACGAACGAGAGGAGAGGAGTATCCTAATTAAATAGGTCAACTGAGAGAATTAAGATGAAATGGAGGAAGAAGTCGAAGTCGAGGTTGAAGTTGAGGTTGAAGTCGAGGTTAAGAACGAAGGACACCTGGCTTCAATAATTGTATTACAAAAAAAAAAAAAAAAAAAAAAAAAAAAGTACTGCTGCCAAAAAAAAAAAAAAAAAAAAGAGGATAATCAATAAATAAGCCACAATTAACAACAATATCACCTGATAGAGGACATTGTCTTCTGTTTTAGGCAATTATGACATCATGATCATTATTCCAACCGAGTGACCAAAGCGTTTTAATTGAAAAAGTAGGGACTGTAACACATTGTACAATTCGAAATCCATTCTTCAGTTGATATCACACATGTAAGTAACATGAATAACATGAATAACATGAATAACATGACTCTGTTTCCTGAGATGACAATCTGCTGCCGTCCCTCTGATACGTTTGACCATAGAAAAAAGAGGACCAATGTCGCCAAGGACCAATAGACCAGGAAAACAATGAGACATGCGATGTGATGTTCAAACCAGCCAGAATAAGCAATGCTGTGCAATAATCCTGAAGCTTATTTTCCCTCTGGCCAGATATGACTGTCTGCGTTGCTGTTGTTGCATTCAGACCCCATGTTATGGCTTAGTAGCTTATTAGCTTCCTTTTTTTTGATGCTAAACTGAATTTGTCCAGTGTCGAGCCTTTCTTCCTCTTTAGGCATGGCATGGTCTATCCTCAGGTTGGTGAATACATCCCACCCAATCTCATCCCATTTTGATTTTCTAGCCTTTTTTGCCTTTCCATCTCCTTTCTCGCTGTTTCTCTACCACCTCATTTGATTTGTTTATCTTTTTTTTTTTTCTAGCTGCCGCTTGTTCATTTTTCCTTCATATATAGTATTTTTCCTTTTTTTTTTTTGCTCCGATATTCTAGGTGCGGCAATATCATTCGACTTTTTCTTGTTTCTTGGCAATCCTTTGTCAACTAACAGGTTAAGTTCTCTTTTTTAGGACGGTTCGCTGTCTCCCGATCGATCCTTACTGTCACTTTGTCAGCATATGAATAATAAAGCATGCCAACTGAATTGTCTGGGTTTTCTTTTTTTTCCTTTTTTTGAAAGTTGAACCAAAGCCATAAGTCTAAATTTTTAAATTGAATACTTTACTCAGTATTACTTAAGTTGTCAACAGTTTTTTTTACTATTCACCCCTAGTCACAGAGCTAAAAAGAAAAAGAATTTTGTCCTCCCAAGGGAGTGTTTTTTGTAATTCAACTGTGATGGCTATTGTTTTTAATATTCATTTTCCAGTTTGTTGTTGTTATTGAGTAACATTGTGTGCTTTTTTGTACCTTTTTTTTCTTCTCTTTCTTTTTTCTTTCTTTCTCTCTTTCCTTCTTTCTCTCTTTCCTTGTTTTTTTTTTTTTCTTCCTTTTTTCTTCTTCCTTTTCTTTCTTCCTTCTTTTGCTCTTTTATTTCTTTTCTTCTTCCTCTTCGCTCTTCTTCTCTTCTGGGTCACTTCAGGTTTCTTTGTATAGTTCTTCATCGTTTTGAACGAGTTCATCGACCACACAATCATCTCCTTCCTTACCATTTTCCCTCACAAAGTACACACATACATCAACTGCATTCTTAATCACGAACATCCATTAACAAAGTACATCTTGTTGGCAACCATTCCCAAATAGCCCATCCATCTCACTATGAATATTTCGCGCCTGCTGAATCCTACCAGCAGCTCCGAGTCTGATCACGACGTTTTTGATTTTGAACATAATTCTCCTTCCCCTGAGCATAAGGGCTACCACACTCCCTCTACACAATCAGATATTCATCCTCAGGTAGTAGAGTCCAGGAAGCATGCTTACCCAGAGTTGGTCGAGCATCCTCAGGACCGTACTACCTGGGATCATCCGCATTATCAGCCTCAAAATCAACACCATTTTCCACAGCAACTGCACCCTCATCATCATCCACAACAATTACAGCAACAGCCCCCATCTCCGTACTCTCATCAAATCTCCTTACATCGTCATAACATTTATAACCATAACCGGCACAACCAGCTGAGCGACTATAATATCACTAGTCATCATAGTTCTAAAGACTTAGGCCGTGAAAGCGCTCCTCCCAGTAACTCTTATTCACATTCACATCTTGATGTTAACTTCAATAATTATGCTTTAAGGATCAAAGAACAACCACCGACACCAGGTGAGGAGCCTTTAGACTCTGTTAGAACCATTTCACCTACAGCTACTCGAGATAGACCTTATTATCCAGATCATGGTCGTGAGCAAGAACATGGCTCAAGTGTTGGTGGTCACAAGCGAAAGTATACTCGAAGGTCTATATCCTCATATCCTGATACAGATGACGCCGTTGCTGCTGTAGATAAAGCAAATAGCATCATTACAAGTAATCAAAGTAGTGGGGTAGATAGCAACCTGTCAGAAGGAAGCAAACCTGGACTTCCTACACCTGAATCGCCTAATCAGGCACGGCGGGGTAGCAACACCTCCTCTTCCTCTACTACGACATCTACCACCAATCCTTCTTCCAACGTTCGCTCCGCTACTGTTCCTAGTAGCAACAGTAGCACCTCTACGACTACTGCTATTACCACGGCAACGGCAACCAACAGCGACATTACACCAAAGTTTGAGCGGAATGCTGATGGAAAGTAAGTTACCCGATCCCCGATCCACTGTATCTCTCTCTCCCTCCCCTTTCCCCCCTAGATACGAACCTTAATTTGTTCCCAATATGTATTTCTTCAAGAGCGTTTTTCTGCAATTCAAGTATTTTTCTTCCCTCTCCTATTTTTTATTATGTGTTGGATAAGTGTGTGAAAACTGGCGTGCAAAAGGAACCCAAAAAAAAAAAAAAAAAAAAAAAAAAAACTGGGCCTTCACTCACAGACAAAGCGCGTCAGGATGGGGTTTCTCATTGTCGATGGATGAACGATTGAACAATTACACACAGAGCACTATACACACGAGTAATTACACTGGACCACAGAATTTGTCCGATTTTAGGGCAGCTTTCTATGGCTGGCATAACTGAGCTCATTGCCTCCTTATTATTCATTCAAAAACACTAACCCCCCGTCTCTTGCTTTTTTGATTATTTATCTAATCCGTCAATCAGATTTCGCTGTACCTGGCCGCGGTGTGGCAAGGAGTTCCCCCTTGAATCTCGTCTTTCAACTCATTATAGAATTCATTCAGGGAAACCTCCATATCCTTGCGGCTATCCTGGCTGCACTAAGGCATTTCACACGGTAATCCATCTCATCGTCTTTTTAAAATGCATTTTTCAGATTCTGGTTATTGACGGCTCAATTTTCCCATTTTACGATGGCGAAATTTTGTTGTTATGGCAACTTTGTCACGCTTTTTGCCTTTGCAATTTTTAATTTGATGTTTTTGTGCTGATCGATATGCATGTATCAGCATTGACGCTTTGTTGTAACCTTGTCTCATGCCTTTCTTTTCAGTCCTCGTCCTTGTCACATCATAGGGTCGTGCATACTGACCAAGGCCTGAGACCCTATGTCTGTCGTCATAATCGATGTGGTGCGACCTACACTCAGCTAGCTCGCCTTATTACACACCAGAGAACAACCCATAGTGGTACGGAACTTTTTTTTTAAATTATTCCCAGGGCTTTTCACCCTCCAATTGTGTTTCATGAAATATCATGTTCCAGAACCTGTACTAATTGTTGAGCTTTTTCTTATCTGTTCGTCTATTTGTCTCAATTGTCCGTCCATCATGCTTTTTATATCCACGCTCCTATCCTGAACGGCCAACAGTGACAACTCCGGATACAGTGGAGCCCCCACGGCGGTCGACGCAGCGGTCGAAAGGGTCATCGTCGACGTCGAACGGCTCTAATCAGCTTTCAAGAGGTAACGGAGGCGCTCCAAAGACTGACGTAAACACGTCAACAAAGACAAACGAACGAGACCAACGGGAACAGCGGAACCAGCGTGGATATGACGAAGACGAGAGTGAGGCAGCTATGACGATGGCCAGTCTTCGTGAGTCAGCGTCATTATCTAGTAGGAGGCCACCTCCAGTATCAGTACCATCACGCATTTCAGAGTATCATCCAGAGTATCATTCAGATTATCACCCAGAGTATCAATCTGAGTATCAGCCAGAGTATCAATCTGAGTATCAGCCAGAGTATCAATCAGGACATAAACCCTTACAAAGACATCATCAGCAGTATCAATCTTATGACAGAAGACAGTAACAAACAGCTCCATGAACCTTATGCAGAGTGGGTATCATGGAATCAATATAAGGATCAGGATCAAATCAACACCATTAGTGATGGTGGACAACAGCTTACAGCGATATCATTTATGATTGGATTCCCATATCGATGAAAGACGTTTGACGCAGTAACTTCCCAAAAAGCACCCATTCCTTATTAATGATAATGAGCGAAGAAAAAGAAAAAAAAAAGTATGGGCAACAGCTTACGATAATGATGACTACCATGACTACCATGACGGTATCAGCACTGTACCCTATTCATTCATCATTAGAAGCATATTGTTTCAACGAAAGCACACTGAATAAACGTTTTTGTGTCTAACGACCACATGAGAAGGATTTTTTTTGTGGATGGGATTCGCAATAAAGTTTTGCAATAAAGTTTGATAAATTTTTTTTTTTCTGCAAGGAGGGAAAAACTTTGACATGCAAGCACTAGAAAAAACAAGCAAATCGCGTTTAGAGCCAGTGCATAAAAAAAATAAACGTCGTCATTTCCGAAGCACCCTTTTCGCCTTCCCGCTGAATTAGGAATTGTTATTGAATTGGTGAGAGAGGAAGAGGGGGCAAGGAGGAAAAATAATGTACTCCTTATTTCCATTAAACCTTTGCTTCTCTTTCCACACTTTACTTTCTATAATCCATTAATATCTATGAGCTTTATTAAAGTTGATAAAGCAAAATGAACAGCAAGAAAAAAAATAAAAGAAAGAGAAGAGTAAAAAATGGATGGAGAATAAGAGAAAGAAAGGTTAATTGCGTGCGGGAATTTGAAACCCTCCTGCACTTTCCTTTTCCCTCTCTCCCCTTTCATAAATATTGAGTGTGACACATTCCCCCTGTCGGAACTTCCAACACGACACAACAAAAAAAAAATTTGTTGTGAAAAATCAATGACGATCCCAATCCTGCCTTTTTTACACACACTTTCTTTATTTTCGGGAAAAAGAGCAATGTCATGGACCACTGTTACGGAAATGCACATGTATCCATTTGTTTTATATACATGGCATGATAGTCTATTCTTTTGCGCACAATTTGTATATTAGTAAATTTTTATAGACAAATGAAGGCATTGTGAATTATAATCTATCTTTATATAATTAACTCCACATTTGAATCCATCTGAGTCAGTATTTGATCTTCACCATCAATGAACGCCATAAACATATACTGGGTTTAGTATAGTCGAACTGTATTTTAATCTGGAAAGGATGTGAAGATCGCTTCCTCTTTCCTAAAAACGTTAAAAAAAAGGAGGACGGGAGCATTTAGAGGGGCGCATGTACGTGTGCAAAAAAAAAAAAATGGACACAGAACTCGACACCATGACTGCACTATGAACAACACTGTTCTTCTCTTGCCTGGGGCTCGGGCTCTTACTTGGGAAAATAAAAAAAATAAAGGTACCTCAAAGGTACAAATGTATATGTTATACATATTTTGTGTGGTCGTGCAAAACTACTTTACATCATTTTATCCTTACTGTCTTTGACTTTTTTCTCTCCCTTGATGAAGATTTTGTTGTTGTTGTGCACTGAAAATAAAAGTGAATTGGATTTCGGAAAATTAAAACAAATAGAATAATGTATTTTCAATTTGAGCCTTTTTTTTCATCACTGATTACTCAGCGGATCTTTTATATCTCTTTCTCTTGCATGATTTCTGCTCTCTTGAACCAAGTGAATAAAGTTTTATTTTTTATCAGCAATCTTGAAAGTTGATATATACAGTACAAAACAACAAGCAATTCAGGTGTTTTAAAAGCACACTCTTCTGCACACCTATTTCCACAATTGCAAATCAGTATTTTATTTCCACTGTTCATAGTTCAAAATGATATAATAAAAAGGAATCGGATACAAAAATATATCGACAAGTGAGGGTTGGATAGTGTAGAAGATATAAAGAGAATAGGAGGATGGAGGAGAAAGATAGAAGGATGGGAGAAGGATGGGAGAAGGATAGGAGAAGGGTGACGAAGCTTTATCAAAGTGTTTGTGATGAATAAATCATGAAAAGGAGAAAATAAAAGTCGGGGGGGGGGGGTTTTGCCATGATTCAAAGAGCTTAGTGCCCAGTTTATGTACCGTGACGATCCCAGCTGATGTCGTACATACTCTGAGGAACCTTGCTGCCACCATCCCGGATAGCCAACAAGACTTTGGTCTTGAGTACAATAGCATTGGCCTTGTGAATATTCTTCCAAACGCGTCGTTGCTGCGCAGCAGCTCGCCTTTGATCCAAAAGCCTTCTTCGTCTACCTCCAAAAGGTGCACAGTTCAAGGATTTGGAGACACTAGGCCAGTGCTTGAACACTTGGACTTTGATTGCATCTAGAACTATACACGACACGAACGAAATCGCAAAGACTGCTAGCGCCTGACCTACAGGAATGGCTGGCGTTAACCACCCAAACATAACCATGAACAATGCAATCACTTGTGTGCCAATGATCACGATTATAAACGTCCATGATGGGATACTTTGCCAAAAGTAGCCTGTTAGGCGTGTCGAGAAGATTAAAAAGTGGGGTGCAGAGGAAATATGGAGATACATGACAGATTCTAACCGACGATCGACGCCTTCTCCAATAGCCTCCGGGTATGGTATGTAATCATGTGTTTGCCAAAAGTAGTAGAAATGTCCAAACGAGAGGCCCGTGAGTAACAAGCCCAAGAAACAGGAGAGGAAAATCAATTGACCAACGCGCCATTTATCTGGCAAAGGTGAAATCTGAGCATTGTCCACAGCAATCACTAACGTCGCTGCATCATTCAGGATACAAATCAAGATGAGTAAACGAGCAGGCAGCGTCCAGTCATGCATCAGGATTACAACAAAGAAAAAGATCAAAAAGTGAACTGTAGACGTGATTCTGTACAGCGAATACGACCGCATCCTTTGGAAAATGGCTCTTGAAGCCAGGATGCCTTCAACGATAGTCGATAGGCCTGGTGCCAGTAAAACAATATCTGCAGCTGAGCGGGCCGCATCTGTACATCCGTGGACAGCAATTCCAACATTGGCCTTCTTTAACGCTGGTGCATCGTTCACACCGTCGCCCGTCATCCCCACAAGCAATCCTCGTTTCTGTAAAGCATCCACGATCCTAAACTTGTGTTCCGGAGTGACTTCTGCAAACCCATCCGCACGATAAAATCGTTCTGAGGCTTGTTCTTCCGAAATAGTTGAGTCCGCCATATGAGAAGCACCCAGAATCACACGTCCAAGTCCCAATCGACGAGCAACCTCCTTGGCGATGATTTGTTGATCACCTGTCACCATCTTGACTGTAATACCCATCCTCTGGCAACGCTCGATTGTATCAGCAGAATCTGGTCTAGGCGGGTCCAACATAGCAACTAACCCAACAAGTGTCCATTGATCTGTCCCAGCAACAGTCCTGGCAACACCCAAAGCGCGAAGTCCCCGCTTCGCCATCATAACGTAGGCCTTGACCCCGGCATCATGACCCCCAACCATCTTGATAATGACCTGAGGCGCACCCTTGACCACCTTAAATGTTATCCCACTATCCAATTCTCGAATGGTTGCCTGTGTGTACTTGACGCTCGGGTTGAACGGGATAAAATCGGTGATTTCATATCCAGGGACTTTGTTTGTCGTAGGTCGGTTTCTTAACACAGAAACTTGATGTTCTGCAGCTTGTCGGACCGCTAACTCAATTGGATCATTGGCACCAAACTCAGATGCCAGATACGAATAGAGTAAGAGATCTTCGGGAGAGTATCCATCACAGAGATATGGCTCATCAAACGTAAGCTTGTTTACCGTAAGGGTTCCGGTCTTGTCAGAACAGAGGACCGAGAGCGAGGACATTTCCTCAACCGCTGCCAGACGCTTGACGATAGCTTGTTTTGTGGCCAGGCCTCGAGCTCCTACGGCCATGGTGACAGCCATGACTGTTGGCAGACCCACTGGGATAGCAGCTACTGCAAGAATAAGAACAGGGCCCAGAATCTTTAGGACTTGTCCTCGTATGGGGTCATCGCGGAAGGAGATGAATTGAATGATGACGATTAATAGAACTAGGATAAGGGTGAAGAGGATGAGAAAGTTGCCTATCCTGCCGATGGTTTTCTGGAAATGTCCCTCGTCCTGTGCATAATATGAAACATGAAATGGTCAGAGATTTAGAGTGAAAAGGAAAAGCGAGGCACAGGAAATGCATGGATTTGACATATTCTGCCAAAGCTAATTTGTTAATACCTGCGTGGTTGCAATCAAATGAGCAGCCATGCCAATAAATGTCTTGGTACCTGTCTTGGTGACGATAGCCCTCTGTTGGCCTTGCTTAATCAATGCGGATGAATAGACCTCATCGCCTTTCCTCTTAGTCACCGGCAGCGACTCTCCTGTCAGTGCAGACTGGTCTATCAATAACTCTCCATTTGTCTCTGCACCAGAGGCGTCAATACCTAACAACCGAGCATCTGCTGGAATAATGTCACCAAGACGTAACACGATAATGTCACCAGGAACCAAATCGGACGTGTCAATCTCCTGCAACTGACCCTCACGCCAGCACCGAGACTTGAGGGCTAATGTCTGTCGCAATGCATCGACCGCAGATTCTGCACGGGCCTCTTCGATGTAACCAATGATGGCGTTTAGGAATAAGAGGCCGAGAATGACGCCAAAGTTGAACCAGTCCTAATAATTATAGTTGACCACCCAAACGGAACAATTCAGTACGGAGCGATATAGTGTTAGACATTAACGTTGGCTAGTTTCCTATATTGGTACGTGCATGTATGAATCATGTCTTTTCTGATAGAATTAGCTGTGTATATATTTTGTCTGTTTGCTGGCTGTATGGAACAATTTGTCTGTCCATTACGGACGCCTTCTTTTGTTTGGGGCGTAAAAATATGATCACAAATATTAACTTGTCTCGTTGCCAATGTGCTCTCTTAGTGATAGTTATTTGTCTTGACATGTGCATCGCCCAATAAAAAAAAAGTGAACCTTCAGTGCAAACATGCGTCTTCTTTTACCTTGACAATTACTGAGACGATGCATGCCAGTTGGATCAAGAATGCAATTGGGCCTACAAAGTAACCTAGGAATTTCAAGAGCTGACTTTGCTTGACCTCCGTTAGCTTATTACATCCAAAGGTCCGAAGCCGCTCTGCAACTTGTTCCTGTCTTAGTCCTGTTTGAGGATTTGTCAAAAAGATGTCGTCCAGTTCCATACCCCCACCACTATAATCATCTGAATAAACATGACGACCTCCTCCTGATTTGACCTCTTCTTTAGGATCGTGTAACTCAAGGTATCCTCGAGCCATCTGACACTATAGACTTGATTTATCGGGTTCGTACGCGAACAAAAGAGTGGTGTAAATAAAGTCCTGCTGCCTTTTTTTTTTTTTTTCTTAGCAGTAGCTGTCAATAAAAAGCGAATGCAAAGAAGCTAGCCGTCTTCTGTATATAGCAATATGCGTGTTACAGCTTCCTTTGGAGATATTGTCGGTACTGCTGTTGAATGAGTGTCTATCCTTGGCCTTTCGACCAACTGCGGATTACAGTAAAAAAAGGAAAAGGTATAGAAGGGTGAGGGTGAAAAGAGAAAAAGAACCGAAAAGATGAAAGTAAGAAAAAAGAAAGGGCTAAAAATAAAGTGTTGTTTGTTGTCTGTGCTGTGAAACCATTGCAACGAGGCTGTACTTGTTCTCACTCAAGGGACATTGCCCATTACTAGACAAAAACAACCAATAATCAAAAGTACAAGAATGTACCAACAAGCCCAGCCTGCGCCGCCCACATGCAAGCGTGATTGCACCGCCTTCCTCTACTCCTGAACGTGGAGTTGTCAGCAGACGAAATTTAAATATTTCTTCCTGAAGCTGCATGCTGTTACTGATGGAAGACAACGTTGCCCCAGACCAAGATGCAATCGCAAGTGAAACATTGTCGAGCACGTCCAATCAAAAAAGAGTTTCCTTTGATGGTCAGGGCTTTTAAATAAACTCGATAAGCTTTTACAAGCAGGATGTTGGAATGTGTTTTTTAATGCCATCTAGATCCGACCCCAACTCGTAATTGGAAGACTGTCTATTCAGTATAGGCAGCCCTTGGACTGGTCTAAGCAAGGAATGTTAATTTTTATAATTTTCCAAAAAATAAAACTAAAAAAAAGTGGGACCTACTTTGGTCGTCTTCTACTTTTGAGCACCAATGAAAAAATGAGAATGAATTTAAGTTCTTGTCAATCATTTTGTTATATATCATTCACACAAATGGGAGTTCTCATACCATAATTGCGATCAATCTTGAATACGGAATGATGAAGACATAATACTGTAGTCGATACCTCTACTCGCTCTATCATCCTGGATAAGAGAAGGAGATGTGGTCTGTGACGCTACAAAAAAACAGTGTATAGTAAACAGACAGAATGCTTCTCTTTTAACCATCGTTTGAAATAATATATATTTAATGGGCAGATTTAAGAAAATGTACAAGTATGTTTCTCCTAGACGATAAATCCCTCTTCGTCTTCCGTACAATGGTTCTGTCTACTCGTCTCACCAATCTCACGTCCAACACGATGAACTGTCTTAAGGAAAAGCTCCATGCCTTCCACAGATGCACCAGGTACGATACCGTGACCCAAGTTGGCAATGTACCTCTCAGAACTTCCAAACGCACGGACCATCTTTTCGGTCTCTCGGACAATCTCTTCATCAGATCCCATCAACACATTGGGCTCCAGATTGCCTTGCAATGTAACACGTCCCTTAACGATGACCTTGGCAGCAGCAGGATCATGGGTCCAATCCAAGGATACGATTTCATAGCCACTGTCAGCCAAGGAATCGAGTGCAAACCAAGCGCCTTTTGCGTATACAGCCATGGGCACCGCATCATCCTTGAGCTCGGCTTTGACACGGTCATTGATTTCGATCAGATAAGGAAGCAAGAAGCGCTCGAAATCAAGGGGTGAGAGTTCTCCAGCAAAGGACTCGAACACCTGAAGCATCTGAGCACCCGCACGGACTTGGCCTACCAAAAAATCAACTGTGACATCCGTGATCTTTCGTAGTAATTCATGACTATCGTTTGGATTCTTGTACATCCAATTTTTGACTTTGGATAACATCCTGTTGCTTCTGCCCTCAGTCATAAATGTCTATAGTTTTTTGTTTTTTTTTAAACAAAAAAAAAAAAAAAAAAAAAGCTTTAGTAACAATCTAACCAAATAATTGAATTAAAATATGGAATTGACAAACTGGATTGTTCAAAATCACCATTAATGTCCATGGGCCACCGACAAAACCAATCAGAGGAACACGTCCTTGGAGTTCATGTCGAGTCATGGTGATGGCTTCGAAGACATATTTCAACTCCTGTTGAACATCGATCTTTCCTTTCAATCGAAGGCGCATATCTTCAGGCGATTTTAGTGGATCAGGGAGAGAAGGACCTTTGCCTGGCAGCATCACTACCTTGAGGCCCATAGCTTGAGGGATCACCAAAATATCTGAGAAGATGATAGCTGCATCTAGCAACCCGTCATATCGGTTTATAGGTTGAAGCGTCGCCTCAGTCGCCAGCTTTGGAGTCTGACAAATAGTGAAAAAATCATACTCTTCGCGAAGCTTACGGAACTCTTTTAAATGAAAAGAAAAATCATTTTATAAGCAATTATGTCAGTTGTGCCAAATTAATCTGTCATTTATTTAAACCGTACCTGGAAGGTAGCGACCCGCTTGCCGCATGACCCAGACAGGCGCTCGCTCAGTCTTTTCGCCGCGAGCAGCTCGTAGTATCAAATCATTTCTCATGGGAGGGAAGTCCTTAGCAGCTAAGAGTCCTGAGTCTGCTCCCTCCTTTTTATGATCGAAGCATGACGTGGAGCGCGAATGCGAGTGCTGGAAGGGATGTTGGCGTTGCTGATTGCCTTGGAAGTATTGTGCTTTGTTGGGCAGGACAAGGCCGGAAATATGCGCAGGCGCACTGATTAACATGACTATCGATGTAAAGGAAATGGCTGCAATCCATTGTGTCGTGGGAGCCATGTCTTAAAATATGAACAGGTTAATAAATTGGCCCGGAAAGAGGAAGAAAAAAGAGGATGAAGTGTGAGGGGGAGGAAAGGAAGATGGATAAAAGCGGCTTTAAATATCTTTTTTTCTTCTCTTTCTCATACAAGCAAAAGAGAAACAGTGTGGATTAAGGAAAAGTGCGATTCAGTTTTTTGGTATTTTCTGCACTGGGCGATCCAACTTTAAATATGTGTCTCCTGTCTTTTTACTCCTATTTCAAAAAAAAATCAAAAAAAATAAAAAACCACTTTGCAATAAGCTATGCACTCTTTTCCATAGACCAATCTCCATACCATGGCCATTCCTAGACTTGATCCAGCACCCCCTGTCACTAGCAGTGGCTCCAAGCCCCAAGTGATATTAAAATTCGCAATACGATGACGTATTTGACTTTATCTGGCACAATCTTGGCCCAAAGATCTGTTGTAACAGTTTGCCTTTCCCTATGCGGAAGTCGCGTTATGCTCGCATCAACCGCAAAGGAGCCCAATCTCCTCCATACGTCCATCATCTCGTTATTATTCTGTCTAGACAATTCAGCAACAGCTTCCTCTCGCTCTATTCTTTTTCTTTCCTTCTCTTCAGCTCTCTCTGCCTTTAGTTGTCGTAGCAAAGATGGTGAGAGGAAGCCTTCGAGAGGCTGCCCAAGATGATCATTGATATCGATCGCGTTTCGGACCTGCTTGAGTTGGGTACGTGCAGATACAATATTGCGTTTGACATTGAATCCACTACGGACCCTCTCTGCAAGGTACATGTGCTTGCAAGGAACCCTTTGTTTTTCATGACCAGGACATGTGCAGGATAGGAGAACGGCGCTGTCTATATCTACAGTAATAAAGTACTCTTTCTCTGGCGTTGAAAATGGTTTGACAATCAACTGGGAATAATAACAGGCGTTAGAATGATCTCACACAAATGTATTACTTTGTTGGTAGGACACAATCATTCTGTAAATATTGCTTTCTCTTAACTAGGCTATCCCCGACCGTGGCTTCTGCAGCATGAATATCCTTTTCGCACTGTGAGAGTTGGAGCCTTTTCGGACACTAAGGCAGTGGACTCTAAAATGGTACCTTGTAATAAATAAATGACATAATCGATTGGCATGGCTTTTTTGCCATTTAGAGCAGATCTCTTTAAAGTCCTGAACAACGACTCTAAAATATTGCTGATATTCCTATACTGATCGGCTTTCCCATAGTTTCCCTACATGAAAGTGACATTAGTAAATATCTACATTGGAAAATACAGCTAATATTGCTTCGGCTTGCATTCTACTGCAATCCACCATGAACTTTGGCGGCCTGAGATTGCTACCTTCTTAAAAAATAGCTGTCAATGATTCAAATACTTTAGTTACAGGGACATAGTTGCACCGCCGTATCTAGAATATTTCGTTATTGCTTACGTTGACTCAGAGCTAAAGAGTATATGGATAATAAGTATACCTTTTCCCGTCATCTGCTCTCTGACAGGAATGGTGAAGAGATATACAGAAGCATTTCTTTTGTCCTGTGCAGTAGGTTTCAAGGTTTGAGGGTACTATGCGTGGAGTCTAAGCAAGCTATCAATCTAGCTCAGTGATCATGACTGCTCGCCTTTTTTTTTTTTTTTTTTTTTTTTTTTTTTAGTTCTTTGTCCTATTCTCATAATCAATGTCTACTATGGTGTGCTGTACTGTGATGTGGTGTGGTGGATGGACTACGCAAAAATAAACAAATTGCGAGTAGCATAATCAATAATAATAATAATAATAATAAAATGTGCAAGGAAAGGAAAAAAAAATGTGATAGAGAATTTAATCGTCTTCATCCATCGTAGGAAGATCTGACGGTTTAACAAGGCCAGGGATTCTAAGTGCTGCTTCCCTGTCCATCTTGCGCTTCGACTCCTGCTCTGCTTCACGTTCGTCTAGGAACAATTCGTTTTGGTCATTTTCTGACCCGCCAAACTCAGTTAATTGAATCAAGAAATCGCGCAAGTGCAGCTTGAACTTGTTGGTATCTCGGTTCGTCTCAAACAATGCCAAAGTGAATATCCGGATTTGCGAACTAAAGCAACAAATAAAATAAAATAAAAAATGAATACCCTGAAGATCTCATTCATCAAACTAGGCGTTGAAGCATTCAACTTACGGTTGCAGATGAGGGAAAGCGTTCTGTAGTAAGTTCATCATATATTCGCGCAAGAATTGACTATTTGTCATATTGGGATCAGTTACTTGGGCAGGCGAGAAGAGCGGCGCCTGCACTGCGCCAGATTCAACCAAATAGAACATGCGAGCCAGCACCTGACTTTGGAGCTTGAAGCCTGAAAAAAGAGTGAAAGAGTTGCTTAGTTTCCACTTGCTAAAAGTTCATTTCATTAACGTATCATTAAAAGGTCTACAGTTGTCAACATACCGCTCTTGTGGTTGTTGTCCGTTAATACGTAAAAGATGTCATTCAGGATATTCAGGAAGTAGGCTTGATAGAATTGATTAGCAATACTGGGGTCACTGGCGGAGAAGTTATTGATCACTTCCAGGCAAATATTCAATCCAGTATCTGCAATATCACGCATTGTATGCTTGAATGCCCAAACAACACTATCCATGATCAAACGAAGTTGTGCAGGTGGAAGTTTCATGAGAGCTATCGAATAAAATAAAGTAGAAGGATTAATAGGTATGTTTTTGTATATATAAAGATACTAAAACAAAGGTGTCTCGTAGCTAAAGGCTCACTACTTCTTACCTGGGAAGCAGCTCAAGTTGATAGTGCGAACCAGTTTGAAGAATCCCACACGATGATCGGGATATTCAGCAAAGTCCTTGTTGATCATGTTTAATGTCACGTCAAACACAGATTCAAGAATAAGAGGAATCTTGTCATTCAATAACGACTATATCGAATAGCAAGCATTACAAGATCCACATGGAAAATATTAGCCAAGCTAGTCCAATCTGAGTTATGTAATTCGCCTTGGTGGCAGTAACTACAAGCAGACAAACAAAAAAGTACATAGTGGCGCAGAAATGGGGTAATCCTTACTCCAAGCTTAGTTACGATCGTGCTCATGACACTCAAAACCTCAGCATCACGAGCTGGTTCAACATTGCGCTGATAATCACCCAGAACAGCCTCAAGAACACCAGGGATAATTTTTTGGGTCACCTCCGTTAGATTATCAGATTTACCAACATAAGTCTCAATCAAGTGAAGGATTTCCTTCTTGACAGTGCGCATTTGGCGGACACGTGGGGTACGAAGGGCAACAGGACCCATGGTAACAACACTTTCCGAGATCAGTTGACTGACAGCCTTATAGACGCCCAAGATATCAAGATAAATGCTTCCAAGTTGTGAAAAGTAACCTGCTCCAATTGAACTGCAAGCAGCGACATTGGTCTTTAAGACATTAGCCAAAGTCTTCAAATTTTCTGGATTATCGAGATTCTGCAAGCTCTGATTTGCCTGTTGCATAATCTTATCCCAGGCCTGGTTGGGGCCTTGCATGGCTTTGGCAATCAGACGTTCTTGTACTGCGCGGTTGGGTTGTGCAGAGATCATGTAACCGATAGCCTCATAAAAGGTGTGAACTTGAGCAGGCGAGAGGTCACTAGTTATTTTATCCAATGTGTTGAGAATCTCATCGATGAATGGCATGATCTCCTGCGATTGTTGCAAAACAAAGTGGCGCCTGCATTTTTGTGAAATCTTTATGAAGGTATCACATGCCATGTCCTGTACTCCATCGTGTGTCTCATGCATGAACTCAAACAGCTTGTTGACGACTGTCTTCAAGAACTTCCAATGTGCTTTAAGGAAACGCGGGTATTGTCCAACAATGTACATAATGTTGGAGGCGACGACCGCCTTGTTGTCCTTGCCACGCTTCATTTCACAAAGCCCTAAGAGTTCCTTGATGACAGTGACCAAAAAACGCTTCTCAGCATCTTCACCTGAATATTATTAATAAAAGAAAAAAAAAGACGTTGTCAATAAGGAATTACATTTAGACGCAAACAACCTTTTCATTCTCAACCCTATATATCAATTCAACATACTCATAGCGCCAGAAATTGAACCAATTGCCCAGCAAAGCTTGTTGAGATTAGCCCATGACCACTCTGAATTGTCGACCTGCTTTGTCAGCTTGTCTGACATGATTTGTTCTGTGTTAACGCAGTCTAGATGTGTCAAATACACAAGGACTTCACGCATACTTTTATAAAGCGTGATCGTATCGCTCTCCTTCATAACCTCGCGAACAATCTCTCCCTCATCATTCTCAACAATTAACACCTAGTTGTATAAATAAAATAATGTGGCTCTGTTAACTTGGTTGTAATTTAAATACAGAGTGTACTTAGGCCTCCCTTTACAAATGAAGAATATTATAGAAAGTTTTTTTTTTTTTTTTTTTTTTTTTTTACCTCCTCAGGCTTAACCATACGCTCGATCATTACAACGCGGAGACGAGCAAGAATTTCGGTATAAAAGTTCTTGCGAAGATTTACACTACTAGCGGACGATTGCATCATACCAGCTCCAAGGTTCAATAACGGAAGCTCCATGACGGGCAATTGCTGGATTTCCTCATAGAGTTCCGCAACCAACTTGGACCAATATTCCAAGCAAATCTTGAATATCTCGCGATCTTCAACTTGAGAGATCTTGAGGAGATATTGATGAGCGACTAAGAGAACCTCTCTGTTCTGAGGGTTTTCAACAAGCCTCAAGTGAACATTAAGAAATCCAGTAATGAACATGGCGACGTTTGCAATATATTTTTGCTCATCATCTCCTGCGTTCTCATACATCTCCGCAATGTTGCCGCCGATAGGGATGGTCTTGGCAATGGATGTCATAACCATGTTGAATAAGATGACAAACTTATCGTTATAATCTGCAGCTACTGAGAGCGATCCAATCTCTCTCAAGCAGGCAAGTGTGATATTCCTGAACTGTGGCACATCCAAAAACTGTTTATATGAGACGCATGCCACAAAAAGAAGAGAAAAATCGCTTTAGCTCAGGATTGCCTCTTCCTAGCGATTTATACTCAAAACTTTTTTAAATTAAAACAATAATAATAACGTACGTACCCTTGCGCGAAGGTTCTCCACGATATTGGTCTCAAAAATATATCCAAGAGGAATCCAGTTGAGGAAGCGAAGGAGAGTCTCCAAAGTTGCCTTGATCAAGCTGGGCTTATTGGCCTTTTCCAAAACCTCACTACAGAGTTGGAAAATCTCAGAAAATTCACCACACATCGAGTTCTTCAAGTTCTTTGTCTTGGTCTGCGTCATCTGCTCAGCAGAGAAATCAAAAATCTCTTCACTATATTATGGTTATAAAGAGAAGAGATAACAAATGAATGCACGTGGTAAGCACATTTGAATCAAACTCTCAAAACAAGTGATGGTTTTTCTTTTTTCATATCGTACCTAAGTAGCTTGAGAATGGCCATATTGTTCTCGCACAATGAAAGATTGGACTTGCTGGAAATGACAATTTCAGGGATAAAGCCCGGCCATGCGTGTGGCCATTCCTGCTTCAAAATCTTTGCATGCAAAAGTCAAAAAGGCGAAGTAGTTAACAATAAGACAATCAAAGATTTTGTCATATGTATGCCTGGTATGAACACCACATTTAGAATTCCGAAAAAGGTACAAAAATAAAACAACATACCTGCACAAGAACTAGGTTGAGCTTGCTAAGAAGCATTCTCTCACGAACAAGAGTAGCCTCATCCGAAGATAGCTTAACGATCAAACCCACAGTGTAATTGCGAATCCCTATATCAATAATGAACGTCATGCACAATCATCCGAGAAGAAGCAGGTTAAATATTCGTTTTTCGCACTTGTTCTAAAAGAGTATTATATTTTTTTTTTAAGAAACAATATATTACCTTGACATTGCTCTGGCGGTAGCAGCTTCCACCGCGTCTGGACAAGCTTTTCCAAAATTTGCAGAGCGATATACTAAACAAAAAAAGATGGTCGAAAGCCTAGTTAATGCGCTTTGTCCATTTTATGCATACGAGCTGATCTCATAGTATACATGTAGCTAATGGTGTGTCGTCAGGGTGAGCAGTTGAGCGAGAAAGTAATAGATGCTTAATGAGCTACCTTTGTCTGAGGATCCTTTGAGTTATCCAAGATTGCATCGACCCGCCTCCATGAGTCTGGATTTTCCTGGAATTGAGTCAGAACCTGTTGCGCAAGCTTGTGCTAATAACAAGAATATGAAAAACCATTCAATGACCAATAGTTTAGATACAGGCAAAGGATGTTAGTAGGAGGATGATTATTAATGGCAGTGTTGTTATTGAACATCATTGGGTCTGATATCCCAAAGAGCGGACAACAATGCTGTATTTCCAATTAATGTGGGTTTTTGTCTATGAATGAAAGGGGCTCAAATACGTTCACCATCTATACCTAGTCCTGGCCTAGTAAGACGCGCTTTGACTTTAGATTTTTGTATTTGTATTCGTTATTGAGGTTGTCCCATTTGACAATTCTTAGATCCATTTCACCGGTAGCATTTTCCCACAATAAAAGCCATTCGCAAAAAGTCAATATAGCATTGCTCATTCGTCCAGGCAACGTAGCCACAATTATCATACAACGCAAAACAGTGTATAGGGTATTGCTGTGGCTGATCCAATGTTCCCATGGGGTGGTTCCAAAGTGATCTGAGAGAGAAAAAGAGAAAAAAAAAAAAAAAAAAAGACTTACTTCTGCCCCAGTGCTGTTGTACATTGTACGAACAACTCGATCGAGCAAATCGATGTCCAGCTCACGGTTAAAATCTAGAATAGCCTAATTAGTCAGCAACATGGGAAAATATTGATCCATTGGGAGGGGAGAAAAAAAAAAAAATTAGAACGAGTGTGGCATTTAGAAACTGATGAAGTGGGTACAAGACGTGGAATCTGACTGCTATGTTTGTGCTGTGTGGCATGTTGATACATGTGGAGGAGTATTTACCTCCATGCTGTAGAAATCTTTCTTTTCTTTCTTTTGAAATGGAGAGAAAGTAAGACGTTGATCAAAGTGGTGCAAGCTTTTTTCAAATAGCAAATGTGACGAAAGGAACGGGGATAGTGGAAAAGGAAAGATTATTATCGAGAGTGGGGAGAGAAAGGAAGGGAAGAAAAGAGAAGGGAAGGGAAGGGAAGGAAAGGGAAGGAAAGGGAAGGAAAGGGAAGGAAAGGGAAGGAAAGGGAAGGAAAGAATAAGGAAAGAGAAAAATGAGTAGGAAGAGAATGAAGCGAAAGAACACTGTGCAAGAAGAAAAAAAAAAAGCTGAGCAAGCAGGCAGCAAGAAAAGAAATCGAATAAAAGAGAGAATTGACCCAGCCCGACCAGGGGAACTTTTTCTTTTTCTTTCGAAATAGAAAGTTTTCTTTATTACTACTGAAGCCCGTAATGGACCTGTCAGTCCAACCGGTGTGAACGTGTGTTTGTGTGGGTGGGGTGGAGAAGGTGTAAGGGCTATCACATCGATTTATTTGGACCGGGGATCCCACAAAGGTCACTCGCCTTTTTTTGTTGTCATTTTTCATGTAAATAAAAGGTTTCTTTTTATTTTTTTGAAATGCAAGTCTGCATTAACACTCCTTTCTTTCCATTCCTCGCTACGTCTTTCCTCTGATGCTTCCTATAAAAATATACCTTGAATTTAACAATTCATTCCACACCAACTTTGGTTCCCCTAGGAAGATTCAACATACAACCGGAGCCTGGGACCCGTGACCGCATTTTTAAAGCGAAAGTTTATTATTAAATCGAAGAAATAGAATATAAAAGCCTTTCACTCTCTTCGCCTCCATGATCTCCTCCGACTATTTCACTCTCCTGTAGTTCCTGTGACGCTTTTTCAGCATCCAGTCGGCCTTGATCCATATCCACACCAAAATAAATAATTGGAATAGGAAGGCTCAGCAAAATTAGCAGAAAGATAAACGCATGTCGGATCTCATGCGTTGCATCTGTGATAGCCGCTACAGCTAATGGTCCTAACCAACTACTGCCTTTGTCTGTGATCGCATAAAGCCCAAAGAACTCTGACTCTCTGCCTCGTGGGACAAGGTCCGCAAACATGGATCGACAGAAACTAGTAGAAGAAAAGGGCGTGTTTGCTTCTATTCTATCCGATTCGTCATATTTACAAAAAAAGAAAACGTTGCTTCAGCTGCGGAGGAAATTTGTAGCGTACCTTTGGACTGCACCGATTAAAAACCCGAAATAGGCGGCTAGAGCAAAGAGCTCTTTTGCAGATGAAAGATGTGGCCAGAATGGCAGAATGAGACCCAATGTACCATAAACTGGCACCATAACTAGCAAAATTAAAAGTAAAAGTACCATTTGTTTTTGATTGAAATCCAATGCATGCTGAATTTTCGGAAATGCAAGTGTACCCACAAGTGCACAGATGGGGACCTCAAGTGAAAGAAGGATCAGCAATGTCTGAGGAAGTCGTAGCGAAGTCTTTGCGAATAAAAGTGCGACATTAGAGATGCTTGTATACCCATCAGAAAGAAAGAACCATGCCACCAAGAAGGCAAATGTACTGGGTAGTTTTCGTGCCTGTACAACTGTTGCTCCGACTCGGCGCCAGGAGTATAGAACGTACTGTGATGCTACCCAGAAGGATCCATGCTTATGGCCATGATCGTCGAGCTGGAGCTCACGTCCTGGTCTTCTTTTTAGCCAAATGCCTGCTAGAGTTGCAAAGACGAACCACCAAAGTCCCGACAGAAAAATCCCAACCTTGAGTGATCGAGTTGAAGATTTGTCAACATAAGAGATGTACAGACAGACAAGCAACAACAAAATTCCTCCAAAGTACCCACTGGCAAAGCCTTTAGCACTAATCTGTCCCAAAAGGTGGCCTTTGTCCTTATTCAGTCCTTCAGTCATTTCGAGCAGCATCTTTTTCTTTTGTCCGATTGTTTGTTCCCCTGTGTGCCCGATGTGTGTATCCTCTCCAAGCGATTCATCATGTAATGCAACGTTCACAGCATCTGTGCCTTGCACAGGGTCCAGGCCTTGAAAGTTTGAGTCGCCCATATGATTCCTTAGTTCTGATCGTTCTATAGCGGCTACTTGTTCTGAGGAATCGCCTGTCTCAATCTCAATTTCCTTCTCCAGTTGCTCCAACCGGCTCCTCTGTGATCGCATATGCTCCGTGTTTCTAACCAATAGTGGCAAATAAGCATTGAAGCACACGATTCCCGCACCAAACGAAACATTGGCGATAACACTGAGTGTCCCTGCCATCCATGCATATGGCATTGAGCCAATGAGCATAGTCACAGTCGAACCAACAACAGAAAAAAAGACGAGCTGCTTCTTGCGGTAAGAGCCATAGTCCGCCATGGAGCTAATTGACACAACAGTCAAAGCCTATGCAAGTAAAAAAAAAAAAAAAAAAAAAAAAGAGTTACTGTCGATTGCGATCCCAAGTTCCCCAAGTTGCCACCTGAAAACTTTGCTTCTAACGTCTGTACCTGCAGGAACACAGCCAGAGATGTCAAGTACATGACAAAGGAGGCGGTATCAATTTCAAAATGCCCAAATGATATCATGCACCTCGGGGTTTCCATAACTTGCGTTTCAAATGGTGGTAAGAATGATGTGTCTGTCATGTTAGGGTGGGCGATACAGGACTCATTGGTTCCATAAAGATGGCCTTCCTCCGAAGCCAGAGCCTCCAACGTGATGGGGATAAAGCTTGTCAATGCGACCTATCCCATTTGTACATGAGAGGGCGGACACGCGTCTTTGAGTCAGGGAGGAGCTATTGTTTTTGAGCATGACCAATAACGGAAAACATGTGTCATTCTCATTCCTTACCACCACATACGCTTCACTGGCGAATGCATAGCTGTACCAGGCCCAAATCTCCTTCTTTGTCGTAGCTGGCTCAACTGGTGTTGGTGAAAAAGAGACCCGCATGGCGGTGTGTAGTTTATGTGAATCGTAATGAATATTTGGTATATAATTATTCTGACTGTCTTAGAATGTACACAGATGGAAAGATGTAAAGAGCAAAAACGCACCACGTCCTTAGTGGTTTTTTAATTAACTGCAAGTCATGCAACAAATACACATTTTTTGAGCTTGAATTGGATAGCAAGGAACTCATCTGGATCATCAGTGCAATAATCTATTCAATACACATAATTCTTTATTTTCGAACCATCAAAATAAGTTCCTTCATTTCAAATATAAATACAATAGTAGGATAGACGAAGGGAATAGCGCTCAGATTCAATAAAGTGTGCATCCATCCGACATCGCACGGTGGCGGCCGGGTATTCAGTGCTTGACTCTATGGTGATCATCATCGCTTAGGATAGAGTATATAAAGGGAAGGGTAAAAGGAAAGGAACAATATTCTATTCTGCCTACGTTCACTATCATTTCATTGATTGGCAACACGCTACCAAAGAACAAATAACAAAAACATAAAGATACAACACCCGTTGAGTACCAATTGAGCTTTTTATTAATCTTCATTATTTGTGCTTCAATATTTGGAGTAGGAGAAAACGAAGGAGGGTGCGAAATATCAGTGGATTTGGAAGTGAAGAGAGAGAAAAAATAAACAACGATCGAGAAAAAAATTTTATAAGCTCAAGGAAATGTATCGATTCGTTAAATTATGGGCAGGTAATCAATTAAAATTATCAAATATACAAGTTTTTTTATGCCTTTGGATTCTAAAAACTTCCAAATAATAAATAAATAATGCCCTTAACGTAAATTCAAACACAGCTTTGATCGCGCTCCTCTGCCACAATTGAAGTTTCCACATCCATGTCGAAGCGCAAGTTGGTAGATGCCATTGGGATGCATCCCAACAATCCTTACCATAACAATCCTCCGGATTTTGTTACCCTAGCAGAGCAGTATCCTAGTTTAAGGCCGTAGTAAAGCTTTCACTTTCTTTTGATCGCTATAATACAGTAATACAGCATTAAAAAAAAGGCACATAATAAATTAGTTACCTTATTCCTATGCTTTGTTCTTATAGTGTCGTTCTTAATATCAAAGGAGATAGGACTCGAGGTTCATTAAACTTTCGGGATCCAATGGCACTGAGGTATTCTCTAAGAATCCTTATTACTGTATTTCAAACCGTATTCATTTAAGCTAAAATAGGGCTGCTTATATCTCTCCATGATTCATGGACGACAGAGAGCTAACGTACTGCTTGCTTCACCGAGATTTCTCAATCAAACTGGACATCCCAATTAATTCACTCTGTCCTGCAGTATGTTTGTTGCATTGATCTGCATAAAAATTAAGATATAAATGAGAGGATGATTTTGATAATCTAAGGACATTTGGTCTAAGCCTGTCTTCTCACGCTTTTAATAGATTCCTAATCGCGTCAATTACATATGTTGGATCGAAGACTTGATGAGAAATGAGACTGAATCCGTCATACATGGCATTGATATGTAATCATGATAATACTTGCTATCATTACTGGCAATGAATTGTATATTAAATTCAATATCTGATTATATAAACGCTATGGAAATGAATCTAGAGGCACAGGTGCATCGTGTATATATCCTCTTCTAGGCTGTACTAGGAACAAGAATTGGCGAATAATGGCAACAGGTATAGGTCCCACAAACTCGTGACGATTCTGCTTCATGGGGTTAACAGGGTGGCTGAGTTTTTCTCAAGTATTTAGACATCAACGATAGGTCCCTTCAATTCGCTGCTAAGAATGTTATTATGAATAACCTTCAGGATACCATCGTCCTTTTAAAAAGTCATCCGAAAAAAATCTTTCCGGGCATGCTATTCCAAGAAAGCGAGAAAATGTATATGAGGAAAAAAGATCCAAAGGTGCAAACTTATTTACTGTAAGCAATCTGCAGACTATAAGAAACGCCTCTAACTTTTGAAGAGTATGATTTCATCAGATACGACTTTTGTATGTGCAATCCCCCTTTCTACGAAGATGAACAGGATATACAAGAGAGCCATGATAGTAAAGAAGGGTTACCGTCGGCAGTATGTTTAGGGATGCCAAATGAGATGATCACAGCAGGTGGAGAAACTCAGTTTGTCCAGCGAATGATCGATGAAAGTTGTATATGGCGAACAAGGATAAGGTAAATCTCATTTCATTATGAGCAATGAGTCAAATAACCTATAGATTCATGTCAAACTCATTCCTTTTTATTATAGATGGTACACAAGTATGCTAGGGAAAAAAACCTCGGTGGACAAAGTTGTAGCCTATCTCAAGGAAAACAACGTATGGTCCCATTTTCTAATAGCTTGATTTTAATCTCCAATTTTATTAAGTACTCTTTCTCGACATGTCTCTCTTTCTTTATCTTTCCCTCTCTTTTTTTTTTTTTTCTTTTAATCCCTTTAATAGATTTTCAACATTACTTTTACGACATTCCGACAAGGTAGAACAACACGTTGGGCTGTGGGTTGGTCCTTTGGGGATGAACGCGCTTCAATGGTAAGGTTGTACGTTCAGAAAGATTTAATATCCGTTTAAATAACAACAACTAACTTTTTTTTTTTGTGACTGATATCTTATAGAAATCGATGCAGCAAGCATCAAAGAAGATGGCTAAGCTTAGCTCAACTGCCACTGTTTTATCATTTACTGCTTTGAATATAACGATTGAAGAAGCTGTGGCTCGTGTAAGGTTGCTTCTCGAACAACTGTTAATTGAGTATGACTTGGATGACGAACCATTACATGAATTAACGACGAAGACAGAGGTTGAAGTAAAGCGTATCCTTCAGGGGAGAGCTAGAGCCAACACTTGGTCACGTGCAGCACGCAGGGCATTAGCAAGAACCGCCAAAGATGGTGATACTGAGAAGGCTGTAGTAACCAGAGTCTCAAAAGATTTACCGATAATCATGGGGTTTGACCTCTGTTTCGTGCCTCTAGCTACTGAACAGGAGCCAAAGAATACTGTGGGTAGCAGCACTACGAGTGCATCCGTAACAGCACCATTACCACATATAACCAACAGTTTCACTGTCCAGGCGATATGGACCATCGGACAGGACCGAGGCCTGTTTGAATCCTTCTTTCTTCACGTCCGATCTCGCTTCCTTTCAAGTCGCTAACAATCGGCAAATTAAAATGTTTGAGGGCTAAAAAAACATAGAACCTGAAGCCTCTCTCCCATAAAAGTTCATAAAAGTTGACATTGTATTCGTGAAGTATACATTTCATCCAAAGCTATACTTCGCAAAATGCAAGGAACAGAATAACAGGCGCTGAATAGGTTTGGTAAATTCAAAATGCATGTTTTACACCTGGTTTCTTATTGACAACGACTTCGGGGTTTGAACCTGATTATAGAGGCTGGAAGGACTTCACAACCTCTAGAGCAAAATAATGGCCCTGTTCGTACCGTACATAGAGATTTTTAAGCCGGTCCCTCTCCACTTTCTCAAACTCATCTGCAACTAGATCACGGTAAAACATCTGCGTTTATATATATATATAACGGTAAAACATCTGCGTTGCCCCTAGAGTCAGGAGCTCGTCTCCGACACCAAGGGCCTTCGCTAGTCTTAAAGCCGCGCCAAAGGAATCAAGCGAACGCTTGTGGAAAGGGGACAGAGGATCCTCATCCTCAGGAGCTGTCAAGGAATTGGGATCTTGCCTGATACAAAGCCCAGCAGAGGTACAACAAAAGAATGGTTTGTATCGATGTCGAAGGTGCTTGACAAGGTTTGAGAAGAGACCTGAATAGGACAATGCTGTAGCCGTGCTGGGGACATCAGAGCCGACAGGAGACAACTAGCGGAGTTTTTGGAGATGAAATATATGAATAATCGAGATAGCCGAAACAAAGAGATGTCGATTCATCGCAATAATCGTATCTAGATAAAAGTGAAATGTGGCCAGAGTCGGCTGATCTAAGAGAAATGCCTTGAAAGAGGCCATTGATATGAGCGGATATGAGCAAACATTGGTGGCATTTTTTTTTTTTTTTTTTTTTTTTTTTCGTCTCTTTGACTTCACTCTGCACAATCATATCTGCTTCTAATCACACCAAATAGGATTTTCGCGAGGTATTTTTCTTCTCGTTGCCTAAACATACACTTTCTTTACTCACTCCAACTTTTCTTAGTTACATCTCTTCTCACAGTCATCATGACATCCCATGCTATTTCTGTAAATTCAACGCAAAAATCTAGCGATTTACAGCTTAAAATGGATACTCCAACACTAGCTATCACCGCCTGTGACTCATATGAAGGTCGTCTCCTAGCTGAAGCACTGGCCACTCATCTTGAAGAACAATATTTTCAGAACAGTCTTCAGGATAGCTTCAATGGTTCCCTTCCGCAACTGATCTGTTTAGCTCGAGACATCGAAAAAGTTGGTGACATCAAGGAACGACCCGTTTGCAAGGTAATCCAGATAAACTATGATCACCCCGAATCATTGACAATCGCTCTCCGTGGCACTCAAACTGTAGTTCTCGTCCCTGAGATTGAGCCACAGCGTGAGGAGTGGGCCAATAATCTGGTCGACGCTATGGTGCAAGAGAAAGTCTTGCGCTGTATCGTCATCTCGAGTATTGGTACTGATGCAAAGGACAAGGACCAACTGCGACGCTTCTCAACTGTTGAAGACAAGGTCAAGGGATCTATTCAGCGCTGGACCATCTTGAGGTATATGAGCTTAATAAATTATTTTTTACGATAAATCAGAACCATCAACATGATAAAAAAGATGATTGATGAAATGATAAGGATATTTGCTCCATCTTTTTTATTATTATTAGAGAGGGCTTCCCATTCCAAGCCTTATTCTATTGGGCGGAGATGGTCCAAAAAGAAGGGATTTTAGGGATGACTATTAGACAAGATATCGAGTTCGCGCCCTTGGACATTGCCAATCTTGGTGATGCACTTGTAGCTGTCATGTTCCCCTCAGCCACTGATCATCAGCAAGTTTATGATGAGGATCGCGAAGGGGACAATAGAAAAGTCTGCAATATCACAAAGCCCATTACCGCGGATTTGACTGGCCTAGTGGAGCCGACTGGCGGCACGGACAGGTTTGACGGACAAATATACACTTTGACCGGGCCAGAGACTGTCACTGGACCTAAACTTGCTGATGAACTAACTCGGGCATTAAAGCAGAAAGGATGCAGTTCTGCTGATGACGACAATGTATATGATTGTTTGGGATGGTTCTTCATACGCCGTTTCAACCTGCTGCTTGTTATTATGCTTTGTCTAATCTTTTTTTTTTTTTTTTTTTTTTTTTTGAAATATACAAACAAAGATTCCTCTGCCCATCAACTACAAGATAATTGATCGAAATACGCTCAAGGAGTACCTCTGCAGGCTTCGCAAGCCTCATAAAAGTGAATACTTTCGTATTATTGCCACGGATATTCCTGGGATCAGTTGTGCTTTGCGCCTGTTCCAACAAGCCGCCAACTTCGCGTTTGGAGTTCGTGCACATAAGCCAAGTTTTGATTCCATGCTTCCAGTCTCCTCATCAGTTTTAAGAGGCGAAGAGCAATGGAAGGGAGACGGCTACGGTGATGAAGGTGGGAAAAACGTGAAGAAAGATTATAAAGAGCCATGTGGTCTACCTGGTTGTTCAAATGGTACAGATGATTCCGAGCGAAACCATAAAGAGCTCAAGAAACCTGAGTGTCGACGGCCTCGGCTGGATCCACCCAATGATACGGAAGTGAGCCTCATTCTGCAATTGCTTGACTACATTAGTGAAGGTCATGCCAAGTTTCAGTCGGGTGATCTTAAGAAAGTGGCGGGCATTCGCGGATGTAATGCAAAACAGTTCTTTGAGAAGTATGCGCTTGATTTTCGTGGCCGACCTACCTAGTGTAGACAAGGCTCTTTGGGAGCATGGTCTACCCTTAAATCTTTTGTGTTCGCTTATTGAGTAATAAAAAAAAGAATTAATCTATTTGACAACCCGGGTTGTCACTCTTATTTGACAACCCCCCCCTTAATTATTTTTCTCAATTTTTTTTCTTTGCGTGACAACCCGGGGTTGCCAAATAGTAAAATATCTAATTTGACAACCCCAAGCTCACTATTATTTGACAACCCTTTTTTATTGGCAAGATTATTATGTGAAAATCGTTTCTATTGCTATCCCTCAGCAACATGAAATCCCTCCAGCAATCTAAAAGCTTCCATCAAATAACAAACTTTTTTTTTTTGGTTACGAGGTGTTGTTTTTTTATTACAACTGATTTCTAAAACAAGGGTTTGCTTTTATAGAAAATGTGCCTATACGGGTAACATGCACTAAGGGGTTTTTGGATATATAAGCATGCATAAATTCGGAGTGGTTATGCGACGCTTGATGGCGCATGCGTAAGACGCGGAAAGGAAAAAAAAGAGAGACAGAAGAAGCTATAACCACAGTCATGATAATGGAGTGTTGCCACCATTTTAGAAATCCAGCTGAGAAAGGCCCTCCAAAAGTGCAAGATGGTGAAGACTTGTCATGTGACAGGTTGAAAAAGACAATTTTTCTTCTTTTTTTGACAACCCGGGTTGTCAAATGACAAATAAGCCGGTGTGACTGCTAAATTAGGGGGGTTGTCAAATAGATTCACCCTAAAAAAAAAATGCATGGACAAGAGGTGCATAATCACATGATAAACGAACAAGAGATATCCGTGCGGCTCTTCAACTGCTATCATACAGCAATACTTCTTTTTTGTTGGGATGATTTTTCAACTCTCGCATTTTAAACACATTCAATACATTCCCCATTCACCATGAAGGTTGTCGGACTCACAGGCGGAATTGCCTCAGGCAAGTACCCCTTCCGATTGTCGTCGCTCCTTTGAATTTGTACTTGAAATAAAACAAACAAAAATTCGTTCAAGCTTAGAGAAAATCAGATTGGGGTACAATTTCCTTCCCCACCCTTATTTTAATGTTTATTAAATTTTAACTGACATTGGGGACGAACAATTTCCCTTTTATATCCAGGGAAATCCACAGTGGTTTCCACAGTTTTGACGTTGGGCATACCAGTGATCGATTGTGACAAGCTTGCCCGGCTGGTGGTTGAGCCATCTCATCCAGCTTACAAGAAGCTGGTTGATCACTTTGGGACGGAAATATTACAGAATCAACAATGGGGCCAACCTCTGGATCGGTATAAATTTGGAACTATTATCTTCCCAGACGCTGCTCAGAGGCGAGTTGCCAACTCGATTATCCATCCTGCGGTCCGAGATGAGATTCTGAAGCGATTGTTCAAGTACTGGATCAAGGGGACTGCCTTAGTCATCATTGATGTCCCATTATTGCTGGAGGGTGAACTCTGGAGGATTGTCAGTGATGTCATCGTGGTTTACTGGTAAACTCGAAATTGGCACAGCCAAATCTCACACGATTACAAGTCTCTGTCTGTGTTGCAAACAGGATAGCTCCTTTTTTATTCTAACTCTGGTTCCCGCACTGTGCCTTTTTTTTTTTTTTTTTTTTTTTAGTCCTCCTGATGTGCAACTTGCTCGGATTAAAGACCGAGATGGACTTTCTGAGTCAGATGCATTGGCGCGCATTAATGCGCAGAGGCCACTAATTGAAAAAGTAGATTATGCGGATCATGTAATTTACAACACGTCTGATTTAGAGACTCTCAGAATCTCAACTCTCAAGGTTATGGATACTATCAAGCCTAATCCTTTCTGGACATACCTTGCTTATTTCCCACCCTTCACCATCCTCATGGCTACTTGGGTCGTTCTCAGAAGACATTTCAAAGGCGATCCCAGGAAGATGGCATCCAAGAACAAATAAAACACAACTAATACTACCTTTAGCTCCACAGCGACGGCAGCAGCGATGAGCAGTACTACGAGCACATCAAAAAGACTATCAAACTCAATATTGGGTGTTCATACACATGTTTCTTGAAATGGCAGAGAAAGAAAGAAGTAGCTTCGAATCCTTCATGAGTACTTTGCTATAGTTTTGTCGTGCATTATAAAGAAAAAAAGCGATAGTGTGTGAAGCTGTCGACAGAAGTAGTTCGTCTGCTGGTTTATTATGAGGTGCTACCTTTTTTTTTTTTTTTTTTTTTTTTTTTTTTGGGAAGAGAAGGGTGGAGTCAAGAGCAGTAACGGCCTGTAGATATGCCAAAATGTAAAGAGTTGACAGAAGGGGAGAATTGTACGACTTTTCTCGCTAAATTTATAATACACTTAACGTTTCCTTGGCTTCACATCAACTTCATTGACTGAGTGCAGCATGATCTTGTTTGGACTCTGCGGTGAAGCACCCGTATGGCCCTATAGAACAAAAGTTTGAGATGCGTCATCAGGAAAATAAAAATAAAAATAAAAATAAAGATAGATTTATCGAAACAATGCACAACACCATTCCTATATTCTTCACAATAAAAAGTTTCTTACATTGTGCCAGTCGTAACTTATCGCATAGGCAAATATTGTTCCATTGCGGTTAAAACATGTCGAGGAAATGGGACTCCCAACTTTAGGGAACGACTTGAGTTTCTGCCTCGAATCTTTGTCCCAGAATGAAAATACTCCATCAGCACCTGCAGTTGCAAATGTTCCATGGATTGGATGCCAATTAATACAGTTAACGGAATAAACGGTTGCTTTATCCCGTGCTGTCGTCCCTCCTTCTCTGTGGCACTTGAATGAAAAGTTGTTCGCTGCATCCTTATCTTCCACATATTGAATCGCTACTCGTCCCTCAATGCTGCCTATGCCATACCCAGTTCCGTTCGGAAAACAGGCAATCGTCCTGGTCTGCCATTTTAGAGGACTTGTCAAGGACTTGAATGGCGTCGTAGGGTTGCTAAGGTTATAGACTAGCACGTGACGATCAGCAGTTCCAGCAACAAGCAACGGAAAGACACTGTCCATGGTGTAAAGACGCTCTGGAAGTGTGATCGATGAGATTGGTGTGGGTTGACGTGCGTCCCAATATTTAATTGTCTTATCCCAGCTTCCAGTCGCCAATATGGGACTCTGTCCATCCACCCAACACACTTCCTTGATTGGCGCATCATGCTGTGCTACTTGTGTTGATTGTCCTGTTGAAACATCAAAAAGTTTTCCGATCTTATCTGCGCCACCCGAGGCGAGCTTCGTTCCATCCTAATAAATAAAAATGTTTAGTATTTGTCTACTTTAAAACTTCAGGAGCTTTAATAGTATAAATAAATAAAGGTGTTTTTTACCTTACTCCACGCACAACATAATACTGGCGCAGTATGTGAGTACATAGTTTTTGCGATGCTTGTTCCATTTGACTGGATCTCATATATACGAACCTGTATAAAAAAAAAGTGAGCATGGAAGGAATATCACGAAGGGCTACCAAATGTCTTGATTGACATACATTGTTGTCCCATGACGATGCTGCCAGAAAATCTGCCTGCGGTGAAAATTGGATTTCTGATATACTATCCGTTGGGAAGGGTTGAACCTATATGAAACGAGAAACGAAGTAAATCCCAAGTTTTAGTTAACAGACCTGCCTTTTTTTTTTTTTTTTTTTTTTTTGGCAATTTAAACTGTTGTCTACAGATCCTCCTTGACACACCTCCATGTCCTGCATTGGTTTGTTCGTATTCATGTTTGAAGTCAATACGTTAAAAAATGCTGCCATTGAATTGGTGTGTGTATTGTTATAAACACACCCAACAGTCACATGGAGACCACATCCAATTTCAATATTATGGCTTGTATTTAACCGATACGAATAGGTTGTTCACAGCCATACCGTGCAAACTTTGAGAGTTTCGCTTATTTCATAGTTGAGGACAATATAACTATCCTGAGCGAGATTGTAAAATAAATGCCACACCCCTGTGGGTTCTTGTTAACAGGAAATAGACATTAATCCCCACCATCTACGTTAGTAATATAGTTCCTGCTCAGAAATGTGCGATGGAGGGAGACCCTTAATGGCTAAAAATGATAGAGGCATTATTAGAATAATAATAATAACGATGAAAACTAACATCTAAATGACCTCGTGGGTCCTTGTTATCAAAAAAAAAAATATAAAAATAAATAAAAATAAGATCGTTGTCAATTACAAAAAGTTTATTAAGCTATTAAGCAACAGGGTCATACGCACCTGATTTAATAGCACCTTTAGCAACCATCGATATATTTGCCATGGCTGGATTGGCCAATCAAAGGAGCCAGTCCACCTTTGATTGGAATTAGTGATATTGCCACCAAATCCTGATCCTAAGTGGCTTAGTCTTTTTTAAATTATACTATTGCTATTTGATAGGCTCCAGCCTAAGGACGAAGTTCAAGTGCACATGTAGGCTCGTCACCAGCCTGTGTGGCTTATGTGCATTGCACTGGACCAAACTTGAGATTTTGGGGGGTCAACATTTTTTCTTCAAAAAAAATTTCTAAGTCGTACAAACGGCGGGGAAATGGTCCTTTTTTTTTTTCTAAGTCGAAATATGCCGCTAGATGTTGACCCCCCCAAAATCTCAAGTTTGGCCCCAGCCTGTCAGTGAGCGTTAGTGCAATGCACATAAGCCACACAGGCTGGTGACGAGCCTAGTGCACATGCACGTGCTGAAAGGCAAATGTGGCTTGCTCTTGCAGACACTTCTCTCAGGCTGGGACTAATTGACATTTTGGCTGGAGGTCTCTTTTTTTCTAAGTCATTTACATCACAGGGGATAGCTTTTTTTTTCTTTGGCCACTTTTTTTTTTAGTCATTTTTTTTCAAGCAAAGTCCTACAGAACACAGGAAAATGACCTACATGTGAAGTACGCTACTGTTTTTCTTGCTCTCATTTCACAATCTCATTTACTCATCCGATTATCATTACGAAATTTACCTCTCATCATTCTCATCTTTAAAAAAATAAAGAGAAATTAAAAGAAATAAATAAAAAAGAAAAAAAAGCTATTCCCTGTGGTGTAAATGACTTAGAAAAAAAAGAGCCTTTCCTAGCGGTGTGTTTGACTCGGAAATTTTTTCAAATTTAAAAAAGAGACCTCCAGCCAAAATGTCAATTAGTCCCAGCCTGAGAGAAGTGTCTGCAAGAGCAAGCCACATTTGCCTTTCAGCACGTGCATGTGCACCTCAGGCTGGTGACGAGCCTAGCTATTTGACCTTCATCCGGAAAAGTGAAAACGACAGCCTGCAATTCGAATCTAGTGAAGCTAAATTATTTGCGACACGCAAAAAAATAAAAGAAAAAAGAAAATGTCATATATTCATGGAATAGCAAGTGCTCCAGCGCATCAGTACACTCCTGAGGAGATTGCATACTGGGAATCACTAGGCTATATCATGGATCCATCCTATAATGCTACTACAACAACCGTTGTACAACCAGCTTACGATCCAACATATGCTCAGTATCAGTCACAGTCATATTCTACAGGGCCTGTCGCTCCATCATCAATACCCGCGTCGTTAGGGTCAACAGCCCCACCCACGATTGGGTCGGGAGGATATAGAGCTTATGGTGTAGGGACAGGCGGTTATCGTAGTCATAATTCTGGATATTATGCCGCAGCTGTCGGTGGAACGGGTTCAAAGCAATCCTATATTAACAGTGCGTCAATTGCAAACAGCGAATACGAGGATCTGAATAAACTCTTTGTGGACCCGAAAAAGGCTCAAGAGGAAGCAGCAGCAGCAGCAGCTAAAGCAGAAGAAGAAGAACGTGCTGCCAAGGCAAAAGCTTCAGCTACAGTAATTCGAAAGGCAGCGGGGCAAATTTGGCAGGATGCTTCATTACTAGAATTTGATGAGAGTACGTTTACTAATATTGTTGAAGACAAAACACACTACATGATGTTTATTATTATTATTATTATCATTACTGTCATTGTCAATGTTATTTTTTTTTTATTTTTATTTTTTTTTTTCGACCTGGGTTTTTGTTTGTTTATTTATTATATTATGGTTTCTTGGTGGTCTTTGATTCACAGTTTTGGATAAATCGTTCTATTACCTTAGATGACTTTCGACTATTCGCAGGAGATTTGGGTAACGAAGTAACTGATGAGCTATTGACTAAGACCTTTTCTAAATACCCGTCCTTCTTGAAGGCTAAAGTCGTCCGAGATAAGAGGACACAAAAGACCAAAGGATACGGATTCATCAGTTTTGCGGAGCCAGATGATTTTGCCCGCGCATGGAAAGAAATGGATGGTGTGTATATGTTAATTTCCTTGTAATTTACCTTTATCTTAATCCATTTCGTTAACCATTCGCTTTTTTATTTTTTTTATTTTTATTTTTTTTAAAAAAAAATTAGGGAAATATGTTGGAAACAGACCAATTAAGTTACGAAAGAGCCAATGGAAAGATCGAAATGTAGAAATTATCAAAGATCCAAAGACTGTAAAGGGACCATATGACCTTGAGGCTTTGTCACGCAAGGAACGTGCAAAACCGTACAAAATTAAGAAGTTGAATAATGCTGGAAAGTGAAGATTGATTGTAAAAATAAACATAGACCATATTCCCAATCCTGCCTCAAAATAAAGTAATTTTTAATGAAAAGAATAAATCCCGGTATCATCAAAGAAGGAAAAAAAAAAAAAAAAAAAAAAAAAAAAAAACATCATGAAAGACCAAGGTCTGCTCGAATGAGAGCAAATTCTCTCTTAACCATATCTGATCTGATCACAGCGAATAAGTCCTTGGCAATTTTGGCATACCCAATGTCACTAAAATGTCTGTCGTCCTGCCAATACAAGTTTCTACGCTTCATCTCAAAATTGCCTGCCAAGTCAATCTGTAGTCCGGGAAGCACACCATCGGTATTTCTATAAATAACAAAGCATATTTATGGAAAGATGAATGGAGATTGGTTTTTTGTGCCTACATTACGCTAGCATCGCATTTGTAGAATTTATAACAATAGCTTAACATTTCACTGCACTTGGGGAAAAAAATCTTACTTGCTAAGATAGGCTTCAACTAATTGATTTCTCAGCAAGTTGTCGGCTCTTTTATCTTCGCTTAGATGGGTATCATCGCCAGCAGTGGGGATAGTGCAGAGATAGATTGACTTATTTTCATTGCCACTCCTCCTTAATGTCTGACAAATCAATTCCAAGTTGCGAAGCGTGTCCTGAGGGGTCAATGACGGATCTTTTTGCCTATCGAATTATGATCAATAGCATAATTAGAAGGAGAAGCCAGATAATAACATTATAAATACATGAGTTAAGCTTAAATAGTATAGCTCACAGTGCGTCATAGGACCCAAGCATTATGATAATAATCTCAGCCTTGAGATATTTAGGATCTTGAAGCAAGTTTGTTAGCAGTCCTGGTCTCTCCTTCCGTTTCTAAAAAAAATAAAGAAAGAAAAAAATATATATATTGAAAGAAGACGGTAAGGCTTGCTACTTTTGTTCTTTGTTCTTTGATGCAGAGTTAAAAGAAAGAAGTAGCTTTGGTAGCTATGAGGAGTTCGTCACAAAAACATACTGAATCTGCAGGATGGAGCCAGTCCTCAGTACTGGCCTTGTATTCTCCGCGATTGAAGATCTGCCATGATTGGCGAATCGAATTTTCCTTGGCTACTTCTCGAGCCAACTTATGGGCGACACCTACACTTTAATAACACAGTAAAAATGAATCAGAATGGATACGCTTTATTTTTTTTTAAAAAAAAAAGACTGTAGGGATGTTTCATCAAGTTTACAGCCCTACCTGATCCAGCCATGATAGTGCTGTAGCCGCCAACACCAAGTGCATGGTCATCGCCTAGATCATTAAATAATCAAATGTTGTTATTGACAACATCCCAAGCACCGTTGGACGGTTAAACAAAGGTCAAACTAATTGCTTGTCATCACCTCTTTATTGTTTCCTTACCAAGAACAATGATTGTGTGATTGTAGTTCCCTCGGGTGCGCAAAGCAGGCTCATACCACTAATTATGAATAAATTTTCAATAGCAACATTTGTTTCTATTAAAACCTGCGTAGCAAACAGGGGTTTCTTTTCCTCATTCATCTGAGCACATATTCTTGTCATTTACCCTTGCAAGGTAGATGAATCCTAATTTGAAATAGAACAGACACACAGCAAAGAAGACTTTGATGGTTCTGAAAAGTGAGCTGAGGAGTCCCATGACAAGCACAAATGAGGTTGCTTTTCTCCTTCGAGGAACAAGTGGAAATAAACGATTGAATTTTACGCACAGTCCATGCATGGGCTACTACAATCGCTCCGTAAGCAGTCCCTTTTATTTTGACCAAAGTTTACATATTTATAACACTATCCACTTCCACTTCCAGTAGCTGGTGATGCCGATGGAGAGATCGTGCCTAGACTTGATCCACCAACACCACCCCCAGCAGACGAGGAGGCTACTGTCATAGAGTGATTCGTTGGTGGGGGTGTACTGGCTGAATTCGATGCATGTGATCGAGAGTTAGCATTGCCTTGACTGCTCTTGGTAAATGAAGTGCGTTGATTGAGTGGAGTTGTGCTTTGCTGACTCTGTTGTTGTTGCTGTTGCTGTTGCTGTTGCTGCATAATATCAAACTGGCTGTGGCGGTCACGAGTTTTCCGACGAGGTACAGATGCATTATTACTGCCTTGACGTTCATAATCCTGATCATTAGAAGATTCGGCCTGATGACTATGGTCCTTATGGTAAGCTCCATCTTGGTAGTGAGACCGCGATGAGGATGATGAATTGAATCCTTCAGAAGCTCCAGATTGCTGTTGGTGAGCAAGGCCATACAACTGCTGTTGGTGCTGAACCTGTTGCTGGAGCTGTAGGTGCTCTAGTTGCTGCTGATGCTTTCTTTGATGTTTTTGTTGATGTTTCTGATAATATAAGTGTTGTTGGTTATAGTGAGCTGTGCCAGCTAGTCCAGAACCGCTGTTACCATATGTGTTCATGCGCAGTTGTGCTTGGAGTGCTTGACGACGTGAGCGCTCATGGCGGATCTGGACTGTCTTGAATTGAGTAAGCAGCTCTGCAAATTTGGGTCCTTCAGTGTGATAGCTAGCACTGTTGCCTCCATATGCACTAGTCGTTACCAAGGCACCCGCCTTTGCCCTTGCTGCCCCCATAGTCCCGGGGACAGTGCTTGAGGACTGGGAGCTGCCCTGAGCGCTGCTTTGAGCACTACCCTTGTTGGGTCTAATTATAGATGTAGGGATTTGTATACTTTGTTAAAATATTATTTCTACAAAATGGCATACACATAGCGTATGAGCCTTTGGCAAGACTTACATCTTTGGAACCAAGTGAATAAATCCCATCGAACTAACACTCGTCAATCTGTTTCTAAGCGTGACGAAGGCTGTACTCTGTGGAAGAAGCATTAAAAGCCCGTATAGGCACTTGAACAGATGAGGGTATCGTTCCGGCTCTAAAAGCTGGAGTCGAAGATCTAGATTTGTGGAAAGAAATAGATATCAAGAAGTTAAGTATATGAATTGATCTATTCGTCAAAAATACATGGGGGCGAGCTTCTCATCCTTACATGTAAAGACAGGTGACTCTAATAGTTGTACCAGCTTATCAATTTGAATGAGAAGATTTACTGTGATCTCAAATTCAGCGCTATGCATAAGATAAAGGAAATGTCAGTTAGAAGGCTGAAATGATTAAATCGGCCAAAACATCTCATACTTGAGGGTTTCTTACAAAGTTTGAAGAAGTTCGACTGCGTGTTCATAATATTGGGCCATCAGGCACAGAGAAAAGGTGGAGACAGGATTATGGCACCAGGACTTGTACAATGCCGTGAACAATGCTTGTCCATCCTTGGAAGATAAAAAAAAATAGATTAGTATCTGGTTTCAATTGAGATCACTGGCTTTTTGCTCTTATATTGTAACAAAACCTACTGAGTTTGGATTAGATCGACTATCCGTAGATTTGAGTCGCCTCCGCAGGTCTGCCAGTTCAGGGGCAGTAATAAGAATTATATTCAAGTTCTGGACCATTGTGTTTGCAAACTCGAGATCCTCATCCTTTTCCAAAATTTCAGCTAGAGTCCTATATATTTTCTCGGAGTTTAAGCTCACGCAAAGTTGTCGGATAATGACGCTTCCTCGAACCTCCAGCAATTGGTTTTCAGTGCTGAATAATGACAGTAAATTGAGCATAAAGTTATAAAAATAAGCGTCATCTGAATATGAAGAGATTTGCGCTAACAGCTGAAGATCACGTTTGATGACCTCCTCAGATGGGTCAGAAAGGGTCTTCAACAGTACTGGGAAACTGCCATCATCGATTGCTAAGATTAAGTGTGGAGCTCGTTTGTGTAACATAAGCAACCATTCTAAACTTGCAATGCGTGTTTGTTCATGCTCATTAAGGAACTGAAGTGTCAACGCATGTACGGTAGCCACATAATCAAACTCAAGCTGATCGGTCACTGGCTTTTGTGGAGTAGGTGAAGCGGCACGACCTACGGTATCCTTTGTTTGATCTTTAGGAGCGCTGTTGGCAGAGATTTTTGAAGCAAGGGACCCAGATGTTCCAAAGGACATAGTCGAGCGATCTTCAATCCTCGGTGACCGTGGAGGATGGAGTGGACGCTCAGAAGTTATTACGTCTAACGGCGACGATGTATGTTGAGGTTTCGGTGGGAGCGCTGACTCAAGCACGAGTGTATACAAGCTCAAATTAGTTTCATTGGCGATTGCACGAATTGAATCCACCGAATGAGCTAGACAGGGTAGAACAGCAGGTATAAGAGTTGGTGTAAATTGAATCATGACATCCTTGGCTAGACTCATGAATTCGTTGATCCAGCGCAAAGCGGTCTCCTGAATGTCTTCATCGGTCGATGTCAAATGTGGTTTCAAGATTTTTACAATTTTTGCATAGTTAACTTTAACTCCTTGACCAGGAACCCAGTTGCCCTTTCCATGCCCTGTAGATTCATTCTCCAAAAGATCGAAATCTCCAGACACAGATAAATCATCAAAGCTCGATCTCTTTTGACCCTCTTGCATTTGAAGTTGCTTAAGACGCGCTTGCAATTGTTCGTGCTGCTGTTGTTGCTGAAGCTCCGCCACCTCGCGAATCTCAGTTAAAAAGTCGTTTAACAGTTTTTGAGTCAAAGTCTTCACATCTGGATTGGAATCGCTCAAAAAGTAGAGTAGTCCGTCGAGAAAATCGGGAAGATATGCAACCAACTCTAGGTCGGGAATTGAGTCCAATACCTCAATCCAGGTGACGAGGTAATTACGGGTCCGGGAATTCTTGCTGTAGACACGTTCTGCAAGAAGAGGGATAAATCGTGGAAGTGAAAACTGCGATTCCCGAGGAAGAGATAATGCTAGTTGCTGTGGATCCTGATCGTCAATATGAGTGATAGGTCCAGAGTAGACAACGGACTGTTCATGCACTATATCCTTGACAAGACGATCAAGCAATTCAGCACCTCCAGTGACTGATAACTCTTGATCTGCATAAAGCTATTGTTATCATTCATCACCACCAGAAGATAGCAGGCGAAGCGGTGGAAGTCAGTATAGGGTTGGTTGACCATAGGGAATCCAGTCGACTAAATTACATGATATTTGCTTTTTATACCTTGCTCATGGCATCAAAGAGCTCATTAAAATACCGAAGGATACTGCCTCTTGCTACCTTGGCAATGTTGTACATACTTTCACAGGCATAGTAGCGAACGCATGAATCCTGATCGGCAAAACACATGATAACTGGAGGTACAATGCGGTCAAGATACGAGGGCACGCCCTAAATCGATCAGGACGAGACAAACAATACTTTAGTACTTATTGTGGTATTCTAATGTTAAAAAAAATCGACCGAGAAAAATATACATTTCCAAGAGAGATGGAAGCAGCAGCTAATCCAATCAAGCCTCCATTGCGAGCGTTGGGTGAGAGCGAATACACGAAGTCCTCAACAAGGGCCGAGATCGTCTTCGCTATCTTGTCCTTCTGGTCGTGGTAGATATATCCATGGATGTTTCTACAATGGGCGTGGCATCGTATAATGAAGAGAGCAATAAGAATATATTGTTTTAAAGATATAAAATTAATAGGGGTAGTGTTGAAGCAATAGTGCATCCTCTTTTCCTGTTATTGTCTACTACAATCTGTCGTTATTTACTTCTCAACCTCAAGAGCTGCACTCTTGCGTTTGTCATAGAGCTTGTCGGACAAACCCCTGGCGATTTGTGGGCTGAGGATGTAATCTGACATGGCAGACCTTAAGAGAGTGTAATATGTCTGGGATCAGCGTGTTACTTCTGAATGCAATGCCAAAGAAAAAAAAAAATTGACGCGAGCTAATCCTAAAAGTTGAGATGAGATGACGAAGGATGAGTAAAAAAGGACAAACCACGGTTAAAAAAAAAGTTTAGTCAGGTGCAACATACAGCATCTTTTCATGCGCATTGACATGGAATGGCGCAGACACTGGAAGCAAGGCCACTGAATTTTCAATAATAAAGATACCAATGTCATTGGATTTATTAGAGCATTAAATGAATGATAACCACAGACACCATCCTTGTCCTAGACCAATACAACGTTTCTTTCATGCTATTTCCAAGACTACATCGAAGCAACCTGTCGCTGAATTGAGATAGATATTAATGATGGCAATTGGTTGATAGATGCAATCCCTTAACCTATTTTGCCATGCCAAAAGTTCTGTTGTTGCAGATGCAATGCGATCATTTGGGAAATGGTTAGACTGACCTGGGCGAAGGAGAGAGAGGCTTGTCTACCTCGTTTATTCTGGGACAAATTCAAATTTTGTACCACATTCTCTTTCTCTTTTTTCTCCTTCTACCACTCCCTTCCCCCTTTACTCTTTCATACTCACTTGAAGTTAGTAAATATGGCTGAGCACTTGGATGATCCTCAGGCGCATCAGATATACTTGAATGGAGATCAGATTTACACTTGCGCCAGCTGTCATACCCACCTTGCTAGAAATGAAGATGTCGTCTCCAAGGTACTAAACAAGCCAATAAAGTCTTGAAAGTAGAAGTAGCAAGCGTATCCCTGAAGAAGCACTTGACATTCATACATGGAGAAAGACAAATTCAGTAGGCATTGAACAGTATGTCTTCAATCGATGTTAATTAGGGATTTCAAGGACGACATGGTCGTGCTTACTTGTTCAAGAATGTTCACAACATCACGCTCGGGCCTAAAGAGGACAGAATCTTGATGACGGGTCTACATTCCGTAGCTGATATTGGGTGTTCTATTTGTCAGAGTGTGGTTGGATGGATCTATGCAAGTTTGCTATGTCAATGGGTGTTATAGTGAATGAATAGAAAGAAAACTCTTTGCCTTCTTATACTTTTCATCATAATTAAGCTATACTTTTTTTTTTTTTTTTTTTTTTTTTAAAAAAAAAAAATAGATATACGCCTTTGAAGAATCGCAAAAGTACAAAGAAGGGAAATATATTGTTGAAAAGGCAAAAATATCCAAGGAGAATTTCTGGATACAGAAGGAGTAGAAGCTTGATCATAAGAAACATAGACGGGTGTCAAACAAGCTAGCTTTTGTAGACCGGGTTTAAGACGTCTTATGTTAACAGAATTATCATCAGAGAATATCGGCGCACCTTCTTTTATCGTTCGTTCTGTACAAAGAACGAAATGTTACAATAAATATTTTTATGTTTTATGGATGATTCTGCATTAGTTGTTCAATGAGGTGAGGCCACAAGCATAGATGCATAGATGAAAAGGCCGAACGCTATCATCAAATGCAAGATAAAAAATTATCCATATTAGTAGGCAAGGTGACAAGAGAGCAAACAAAGAGAATATGTCATGTCTTTGACATTAAAAACTCCACTAATGGCTCCAAGGAAAGAATCAACAATTGGTAATAGAGATATCGATCCAGGCGAGAGAACTAACTAAAGCCCATCTAGCAAAGTTGGTGAATACAGGTGGAGCTACGTCGCGAGCAGGGTTCAGGGCAAAGTTATTTCTGATGGCCAAGTGAGGTTGAGATAGGAATGAGTGAGTGGGTGCTCCAATATCTCTCATTGTAAAGACACTGCCGACGACATGAATGGCAACAATAAGACCAAGATTCCATCCTAAGCTCACCAAGATAATGAGCTGTAGACGGTGAAGATACTAGATAATAGCTCCAGCTCCAAAAAGTAACCAGGAAGGTTATCCTAAAGATTTCGGCAAACGACTTCCAGAACTAAAAGTATTCGTGGTTGATATGTAAAAGGAAAAAGAGGGGTTTGACACGTAAGCCGCATACCATTTACTTCATATGGACTACCGTTACTTTAACCTTGTGACGAATGCCAGCTCACTAACTACGAGGTTCGTAGTGAAGACGAATGGCGCAGTGAATAATACAGACGTTACTACGGCGCTCTGTGCGCTCAAACAAGAGGGCCATGTCTGTATTGATTAGAATATGTCCTAAGTGTTCAGTGAAAGAGATGTTGCTGTAGGAGACATAAATATCCGTTGCGTGGGAATATCAGTAAGGGCGGTGGGTAGGATAGAAGAAGAAGCAAGAATTATTGAAGACCATGCCTTTCATGTCGTCTTGACCACGTCGGTAATAAAGAGTATAAAATATAAGCAGTGCTAATTTAATTTGCTTACAGAGATATAGAATAACAAAAGAGGAGTGTGTAAAGGACAACGAACAGACTAATGACTAATGTGGAGAAAGAAAGGGAGCTAGAGCAATTGAAATTCACACTAAGATGTTGTTGTATAGGGTCTCTTGCTGAGAGCATGGTTTGAAGTTCAACGACTCTTTTGGTGTTGAGTGTGAGCATTGATAAAAATGAGTGGAATTGGGAGCAAAATGCTAAAGCTAAAAACGAATGTTCATGGCCACATGTGTAGAATGAGATTGACATGAACCATCCATTGCTTTTATTTAGACTGCAGTGTGTTTGTGTGACCCAAGCATCCACCTGGTTGTTGTTGCTTATTCTTCAGGGATCCCTACATATCCCATGTCCAAGAGACAGAAGGAAACAGGAGGAGAGCAGCACCATTAATAAACATTCCAGTTATATTTGTCCGAGTAAACGCTTTTCAAGTTACTTGAGCCTTTGTATCACTTGAGCTTTGAATAGATGAGCATGTTTGTCCCTCTTTTCTTTTCATCATGCCAATTTTTAATACTAATATTGCAAGCGATGATTGTCTTTTAATTCCATTGACTGGTTATTACCCCATTCTTTCTTTAACTCTCCTCCTAGTCTTGCTTTCGCCCTTTTTTGTCCAATCTTGTCCTGCATCTGTTCAGTCTCATCAAATTCTCATTCTTTTCTTTCTCTTTCCCTCTCTCTGTCTTTCAATCTGATACATTTTCACCTTGATCCTTACTCTATTCCAAAGATTGTTCTGACCTTCCTTTTGTTTTCTTTTTCTATATTTTTTTAATACTTCGACCTTATTTTCTTAACTGCATGGCTGAATGAGTGCCTGCGTGCACCCGAGCCTTTCCAATTGTTGCATTCAATTTGTTGATGGTGCGTTCATGTCTGCGAGACAACAGAAAACAAAAATAGCCTTCGGTATCCCACTAAGCCATATTCGACTAGCTACACACAACGCTTCTGCTTACAATCGTCACACTTCCCTATTGCTATTACCATCATTGCCACCACTGTCATTATTATCATTATTATTGCCACTGTTCCACATGTTGATCTGGTTTTGTATTTGCTTTCTGATGTCTATGCTTTAGGCTTGGTTTTCTTCTTTGTTGCCCCGTTCATCACTTTGTAGTATTTCTTTTAGAGATTAGCTAGGGCTTCGTACCGTTCTATTAACGAGTGATGTCCGCACAACCAACCATAGAATACTCTTTTCGTCATCCGCAATCATTCAATGCGAAATCAACGCTCTCAACCACCTCTACACCTACCACCAACTTTGGTCGTTGTTCTTTTAAACCTACCCTCCAACACCAAACCTTTTTGCCCTCATCACCACATCAACTTAACTTTGTGTTACCAAGCAAAATGATCTGTGCACCAGTAACAATTAAATGCATGCTTTGTTTTCCTCGCGTTCTTGCTTTCACATCAGCGAAGCGACCAAGCTATTTGTCACGATCCCGAAAATCTACCCAAAGGACTGCGACTCAACGTGCCTGTTATTGTCATCATCATCATCAGTGTACAAACTACCGCTGCTGCTGTGCCTACTGCCAATTTCTACCACAGGGATACAGACAAAAGATGCAACAACGGCAACGTAGACGATCCAGCACAGTACCGTCCTCTTGTCCCCATTTAACACACCTCCCTTCAACCTTATTACAATTAAGGACTACTAGGGAGCCCATGCTTTGGAACCGGATCAGTTTCCCCAACCGTCTCAAATCTTTACACATTATTCGCTCTCGCTCTCGCTCTCATCCTCCATCTATTTACCGCTCGGTGGCTATTCTTGGATCCAATCGATGCCCATCATTTTCATCATCATCTCAAGCCCTTACTTCAACGTCAGTGCAACCCCCTGTCCTAATTTCATGTCACTCCTGGCCACATCTCGTGGAAATGGGCAGCAATGGCCCTAACATAGACAGAACCGACACATCGTATGACTCTTGTTTATTTTCGTGTCCCCCGCAACGATCCTATATCCATGGAGCTGCTTATCCTCAAAACCCTTCGCAGGAACATAACTGTCGCTCCAGACCGCCAACCCTTAACCTCCACTCATCTCTTTCTACATGCTCTTCTTATCTCACATTACATTTGTCAGAATGTCAAAGTATCATAAACAATGATCGAAAACAGCCGTTATTCTTGCCCACACCCATAGTACATCCCATCACTACATCAACCTCATTTACCTCACGTTCGTTGCCATCATTGGATAGGTTGAGATATTCACCTGGAAATACTCGGGCACGAATAGCCCATCCTAAAGGAATATTTCTTAAGTATCTACGATCTACATCTTCTACAGGCCTGGATTTGGTACCGATAAGAACAAAGACAAGGACGATTGTATGGCCACTTGTTACGAAGATCAAATATGAATTGGCTACTGCAGATAGGTACTCTATTCTTGCTCAACAATGCAGAGATGCAGCACAGACTTATGATCATGATACTGCACCGACTGATATGCGTGTAATCGGCTGCGAAAAGTCTGATAATATACACAATGAAGAAAAAAAGGGCCACAGATGCGATCAACCACTCTTTTTAACTCAATTTGACATCACCCAATCTTCATCTTCAGTCATTCTTGTTGATTCGTCTCCTTTGTATTACTCACCGTCCAGGTGTATTCCTACTGAAACGACAACTTCAAGCATTGCAGCATCGATAACAGCAGGGGCCAAAATAACTTCAACTATGCAGTTTCTCCCGCAGTCAACACCACAATTCACCTATGCAGGCCATATACCCTTGACTTCAACGCCTCTTCTTAGTAATGTTGGAGAAGACCCTCTTGGTTTAGTATCCAACCCAGATCACACTCAAGTTCGATACCCTACCGCTTCTCAACGTACACCCTCACAACTATGGCAACGTATTCAGTGGAAACAAAGGCCACAGAATCAACAAGCTAGTACAGGTAGATTGCGACGAAAGCAACACTATGCACAAACATTATGCCTCAAGGAGAAATATTTAGATCAGCGCATTTTTGAGCTTCTGCGACAAATCAAGCATCCAACTTTTCGATTCAAACGTTACCTCGCCACCAAACGGTCATCTTCGGCAATAAGGCGATCGCTCTGCATGGCTACAATGGCCATCCCATTTCGATTATCTATAGGGCCCACTAAAAAGTCGTTATTGTATATACCAACTTCAGCCTCAGTTCCAGTTCATTCAGCCTCAGTGCCAGTTCAAGCACCAACGTCAGCACTAACTCCATTAGCACTCACCTCCCCAAATACCACTCACTCAGATACATCAGTCAGCAATTGGACAAAGAAAAGGGCGGTCGTTCAAAGTAATTATAGAGACCAAGGAAATGACAGCAAAAGTTTATTGATCTGTATGGACAAAGAGCCAGAGCCATTGAGGCAAGTTACAATCGCGCATGCCGAAAACTTTTGCATTGATCACAGTCCGCTGACTGATAGCTCGGATACAAAATACATCATGGCACTGTCACCCAAATCATGTCTCTCTCCGTCGCTCACTGTTAAGTTGCCGATTAAGAAGGAGTCCAAACCACAAGAGGCGCCTTTGGAGTATGCGACATCAAGCTCATCCTCAGCAACCATGATTTCTACACTAAAGCGATTGGACTCATTCCGATTTCCTATGAAGGAGAGCCTAGCTGAGGAAAAGAATGCGGTCTTTAAGCCGCGTAAGAACCAACACTATCATCATTACAGTCTCCCCTATAATATGGCCCAAGCGTACCCCTTGAGCAAAACCTTGGATAGGTATCCTATACCATTACCTGATAGCAACCTTGGCCATGTCGTTGACAGTACCTGCTCCACATCCTCCTCAATGGGACAGGAAGACAACTTAGGATTAGGCCATCTTAAGGACAGCATCCTGCATCAGCGACCTTCTGTGAAAACACTCATCAACCATAGTGATAAACATATCTCTGAGAGCTCAGAGCCTTTCAAAAGGCAAGGGCGACGACGACAAAGAGGCAGGATACAATATCAAAAGCGCAGCGAGAGTTGCAGTAGCATGTCGCATCGTCCATCACTAAGCTTTAGCTCATCTAAAAAGGCGCTTCTGGACATACAGGATCGTCGCATCAGAAAGCATGACGCTAAAGCCGGTCGCTTGCCCGATATTCAAACGCACAGAGTACCGGTTTTAGAAACAATGACTGGAATGAATGCCATTAATACCCCTATGCTTGATATTGCTTCAGAAACAGCGGAAATAGAGGCATGGGTAGCTTCGAAAAATTGTATTGATGGGCTCGGTGGCAATCATTCTATCTTCCAACCTCAAAAAAGCATGAGCTACCGACCATCACACGAAGCGATTACTCAAGAAGAGTCAGAGTATCCGTTGGAATCCTCAAACGGGAACTATAAGAGCATTGATCCTTTTCTTACGGAGATCACGACAATAACTGAGGCCAATCAAGAGAGTTATGATTGTGGATCGTTACCAAAGGAACGGGAATATCTACGGAATGAAGATAGGTTGGCGCTCGAGCCTTCAAGAATAGACTCAGCAGCCGATTCCCTTAATGCTACAACATCTGTTCTTGATTCCACTCTGTCATCTGCACTCGAAGCCTTCACCATTGAGACACAACCTGCCATTGATGCTGGCGAGATAAAACGATTTATGAAAAGGTCGCATGCCCTCCTCGAGCTCGAAACCACTGAGAAGAGTTATGTGGATGATTTGGACGTCCTTCTTCATGTAAGGACATGTAAAGGCTATTGTAGGTGATATTGACTCTAAAGAAGTATGTGCCTAAGTTGACTTTATAATTGTGTTTATACCAATGCATTAAATAGGTGTATTTGCAAGCGCTCGAGTCAAAGTCATGGTTTCCTCAACTGATTCTAGCTAAGATGCGACGATGTGTTAGCGGGCTATTGGTGATGCACCGAGGGCTTCATGCGCGTCTGAAAACTAGCAAGATTTATGAGTCTGATCGCGACCATCAAGCCCCTCTTATAGTTTACAAGAATCTAGCTGAAGCCTTTTCATTGATGGTAGGCGCTAGAAGAAAAAAAAAGGAGATATTGCATTTGTCCTAATTTTCTATTTTTTCTTTTCCCCTTTTCTTTGGTTCTTCAGTGAGTTGATGAATCGATGAACTTATTTCTTTTACACTTTCGGCTTGCGACTAGAACCATGGCAATAGTCTATATGGTATATTTGCTGAGTTACGAATGCGGACCATAAATGAAATCAGTCGGTCTGGAGGTCAAGCAACCATGGCTCTTTTACAGAAGGAGAGTAAGGAGCTTATGGCATTGCAGCATCGACCCAGTTCACGCACTGATCTGAAAGATTTCTTGATCAAACCCATCCAACGCATCTGTCGGTACCCCCTCTTGCTCAAAGAGATCCTACGACTAACAAACGAGAATGATCCTGAACATGAGTACATTAGCCGAGCATATCAGTTTATGAGGGGGAAGGCGCGTGAGATGGACGAGACGCAGCGAGCCGTAGAGCGCAAGCTCTTGACAGAACAAATTCTCAGGAAATTTCCCGATTCCAGCTTCCCAAAAAAGATTGGCCCTTCAACTAAAGAACGCCTAGTGGCTGGAATCGGGGCTTTAAACGAGGTCCAGAATGGCCACAGCAGCCAGTCTAATGAGAATGAGCACGGGAGTGGAGATGGAAATGGAAACGTTATCTGTTCCTACAATAGTGGTGCTTCAATCCATCCTTGTTATCTTTGCTCAGCAGACGATATGCATTGCGGAAACAGCCGTGCGGCGCCAAAGCATGTTCCTAGGTCTTCTCCCGAAGGCTTATCTGACTTTAGTCCTAGTTGTGAGGACGTTGCGCCAACAGTCTTGACAAAAGCCTTTGCTGCAACTCTAGGCTCCATTGTGCTTGCTGGGGCGCTCGAATATGTTATTACGCCTGATATACCGATCCGACTCAAGTATTATGGATGCTTCCTGTTTAACACTATGCTAGTTATTGTCAAGGCTAAGAAAACAAGCCTGTATGAGCCACGGCAGTGGCTTCCTCTCCGACTCTGCGAATTGCATGAGACAACACAACTTGACGGTATGTGAATGACCTGGAAGATTCTTGATCACATTCTGAATAAGCTTTGTTAGAGTGTGCATGTTGACGTAAAAAAAATAAAAAAAATAACCGTCGCGCCACCTTGATGATTGTTAGGATACACACGCTTTGGGTGGAAAATCGTGTTTGATCATTATCGGATTGACTTCGGAGCTAGCAATGCGAGAGAGCGGGATACCTGGGTGAATACTCTCCGGGAACGTATTCAAGCTTCTAAGGATGCCTACGCAAAGCTACCAAGGGAGATCGCAGCGTTTGAGACGGTCGTCTCCTCGCTTCCCTGGAAACTGAGCAACGCTCAAACTCTAGGCTGTAGCTCTGCGCGCCATGTTTTAGCACGCCAACGTTCTCCTTCACCATCACCATCGCCATGGTCTTCGGGCTCGACAGCTATCCCATCACCACTTATGCCTCCGCCGCCTTCTGCATCCTCCAATGCTATGGTAATGGTCATGTCTTCGGCGATAGCCGCCGAGTCTGAAACATTGAATACACGGCAGTCCATTCACACACTGGATGGGATCATTTACCATGATAATCAATACCTGCAGCCAAAACCCACAAGCGAGCAACATTGCGGTTCTATTCCGATGGAACATTTGAATAACATGAAGCAATATCAATCTGAATGCCACGATGGCGCGCGGATTGGCGATATTACTGCTGGCTGGGAAAGTGATATTAATGAGCAGGGCCATGATGTTCAACTCGGTCCTGTCTATAAGTCACGACAAGCACAGGATCTTTCAAGGACTGTAACGCCACCGCATCTACTCTACCCGTCAACGCCTATTCCTTGGCTCATACCAGAGAGCCGCCAAAGAGTCCATTCGTTTGATGCCGTTCGCGTATTTGCATCATCCAGTAGCAACGGCATCAAAACCAATCAGCGCACACTGATCCAAAATATGTTTAAAGACGTCTCGACAAAGAATATTTGGACGACACCTACTACGTTATCTACTCCTCCCCATCCTTCTGCTACTACTATTGCCACCACTAATGCTGTCGTCTCCGCTGCTGATACTGCAATGCAGTTTTCGTTGCAACCAACGACATCCACATCGTTCTCATGCTGCAGCTATAGCGATGACTCGAGTTCATCGTCGCTTGGACAGCCTTTCGATGTCTCTCCTTCTCCAAACAATAGTAACAGAGTTAATAATTGTCACCACAGTACAGTGATCCAGGACCAAAGTGAAAAAGACACAGGCTCTGCCGGATCTCTTCCATATCCTTCCTTGACAAATCGGATCTTACGTAGGCATGGCTCTGGAACCAGCAGGCGGCCATTAACCAGTGTTATAAGTGGTCATCAGGAAAAGGCTGGTTAGTTTTATTTCCATTTTTGTTTTTTATCATTCAAGGCGAGCGAGAGGATTTACGAATTAATAACTAGGAAATGTTTCAATGGAAACTTTAGAATGGAATCAGCGCCGCAGTTCTGCCACTACAGCAATTGTAGGGGCCCTATCATTAACCTTTCGCAAAAACTCTGATTCACAGCTTTCTCAACAACAAAAACAGCAACATTGCTTGTCTGCCCATGAAACGGCCACAAAGCAAGGTAGCAATGGGCACTTGGTTATGAAGGAAAGGGCTCAATTATTCGAGGACAGGACGTCATCTAGTCCTAACGGCGTTTGGCCATGTCCGCCATACGAGTTTGGCATAGATAATCATGATCAACTAAATATCGAGAGTTCGGATTCTCGCGTGTATGAGGATAGCTCATCTCAGGATTATGATACCTGTAAAGATATTCTAATGTACACGCTAAATAGTGCTGCAGAGGCTGCAAGATCACGCCGCGGGAATTATGAGAGAGGCACGAGAAATGCAACAGCAACAGCATTCGTGACAGGGGATGCCATCGGTTCAAATATATGTGGATTGGGGCCTGTCTCAAATCCAACATCATCCTCTGATTCTTTCCAAACTACACAGCGCTCACTCAATTCGGGCACTCACAGTCTGTCCACATCACAACCATCTTTTCCTCAATTGACCCCCACCCTGAGTGCTCTAGAGACATCAAGAGATAATGTTGACAAGATTTGGAATGCAATGGGGCGTATGATACCGAAGCTTGCACACGCTAGTGGAAGGCGAAGAAGTAGGGCGCATAGTGGCAGCTCGAGCAACAGCGGTTCATATCAGGGGGATGACAATCTTTTTGCATCTCCTCTAAATCCTTCAAGGAGGAAGTCCTACGCACACACCAGACAAAATGCTCCAGATCTTGTTCATCAGGAGTGTTCAGGGAAGATCACAGGCACCAGGGCTTTATTGAGGCGGTCATATACGAATGGCTCACAATCCACTGAAGCTTCTACTTGCTGTTCAGCATCCTCACTCTTGGTTTCTAATCCGCAGTCACCCATTACTCACGGTACTGCTATTGTTGATCAACAAAACCAATACTGTCGAATAGATTCAAGCAGCAGTGGCTGCCACTGCTTCGCTGATTCGGAAATGAATCATTATAGCTCCTATAATCGGAGTAGTGATGACGCTAAGGTATTCGACCGACCAATATCTCCACAGCCAATCTTGGCACCCTCCTTCTCGACGGCTAATTGTCTTTCACCAGAGGATTCCTTACAAACATCGACGCTGGTGGGTCTTAGCAATGAAAATGATTTCTACTGTTCAAATGGCTGTGTTGATAAGAATTCGCCTACCAAAGAAAGAGTTATTATGGATCCTAAAGTGGCTGAAGGCCGTAACTACCATGACCCACAATCATTACGATACCATAACCAAAACCAATACCAGACTCAACCATCATTATCTCCTTCCAATAATAATGTACAGGACCGCCGAAAATCAGTCTCGATCCTACATAACTTTACACAGTCAGCATCACAAAGACTCAAGACCCTGATGCGTTCACCCAGTGGACTTCGACGAAGGACTATTATGGATCTTCAGTCTAATGTAGCTGTAGACAAAGCCACAACTGCAACAAGTAGTAAAGAAGAGGGGGAAGGGGGGACGTGAGGAACGCAAGAGGCTAAAGATCTTTAAACAACCATACATAATATGTAAAATAGTTAAGGGACTGCTCAATTGTTCCAAATTTTGTTTAAAATTTACATCATAAAATTGTACCAAATTGTATCCAGAATAGAAGTGACCAGTCCCAAATTCAAAGGTATAAATAATTCACACACTCTCGGTTCTGAAAATTTTTCCTTACGTCTCACAAACGTTTTAAAGGATTTCAAATTGCATGGTGATCGTCACCTCAGTCTGGCCTGAAAAACCAGTTCTTGAGGCATGGTCCAGTGCCCAGACACTTCCTAAGAGTGACAATGTATGCAATTAAAACATTTGGCATTGCCACTTTTCATGGCATGCTGAACACCTAGTCGTACAGACACCATCTTAGATTAAAAGTACAAGTAAATATATACGACATGCATGTAGATGTATCCGATAGTATATAATGAGAATGTGCTTCCATGGAGAAATATCTTGCTTTCTTAAAACTTTGTTTAAACTACTGCTTCTTGTACTTGTCCTCCATCTGTACCCGCTGTGCAGGATCGATACTGTTCCTCAATCCAATCAAGACCTTTGAAAATGCTTCAGTCGCTCCAATCATCGGTTTGAGAACTGCAACAGGCACCGCACGGATAACAGCCCGAACAGATCCTTGCGCCCCCGTCTTCTCATAGACCTCCATGGGAACTGCAAAGATCGTATGTGCTGCCGTGCCAATGTTCTTGCTCAAGGCTTTATACGCCAGCTCCATGCCTTCGTTGATGTCCGCAGGTTGATTAGCATATTTGCTAACCTTGTTAGATTTGCTCTGAGCACCAATCGTTGATGTAGATGAAGATGAGGAGGAAGTGCCTTGGCCAGCATCCTGCTGCTGAAGTAGCTGTTGCTGTTGTTGGTAACGAAGATGTTGCAGCAGCATATCTTCATTATCAATGGACTCTTCCATGTATGCCTCAGAGTCAGATACCATCGTAGCCACGACTCGTTTTCCACCAAAGATATCTGAGTCAATGTTGTTTTCATTGCGAGAATAATGTTGGTGATGATAATGTCGGTCTCTGTCTGAACTCGCTGCTGCTACTGCCATGGCACTGGAGTTGGTAGGGCCAGTAGCATTCACAGACCCAAAAATTTCATCTGCATGCTCCAGAAGTACTTGTGTCCCGACCGCTAATTTGGTACCAATCTTGAGCGCTTCCAGTGTTGTTGCTCTAGTAAATGCTTGACCTCCTCGCTGCAAACCACGGATGATATGTCCATCACGTTTATACTGTTCAATGGGCAGCAACACTAGATCTGCAATACCTGAACCCAAATTGACAAGAGACCGGATAGGCGTGAGGCCAGACACCATGTGTGGCACTTGTGTGGATCGGATATGAGGCAACCATGCCGCAATAAGATCTTGACCCAATTTAACGATCCCATTGACCCCATGAAGTCTAACTGCCTGTAGTGTCATCTCGGCGGCGTCAAGGTGGAAGAAATTCATGAGCTCTACAAAGTTACCTCCTGTTAAGCCAGTGTAGTCAACATGTTTTGGTTTGTAGTCGACCTTAACGGAAATTTCTCCAACTTTGACCGATTCTACCAGAAGTACAGCATTACAAAGCTTACGTTAGAAGAAAAGGACTATCAGGTGGAATAAAAAAAAAAAAAAAAAAAAAAAAGTATTGCTTACGGAAATACATCTCATTTGGCTTCTTTTTCTCCAAAGTCTCAGGAGTAGTAGCTATGCCTTCGAGCGATGGGTCATTCGAATAAATGGGGCCATTTCCTCCAAAGCTGCTGCTTTGGACAAAGAATTTGATCAAGAATATGAGAGCATCCTGGTCAACATAAAGTCTAAGAGGCAAAATCCTTACATTGAGCCTCTGTTCTACCGTGGATGCGTTCACCACAGGCCGAACGCCATCCAAATCGATCCGGATCATGCTCGATTGTGTCAAACGTGGTGTAGCTGTATGAGAATCAGGGCGCTGAAGCGACAGAAACTTGTGCCAGAGAGAAGTCTTGAGATTATCAATGATTTCAAATTGTTTAACTCTTAGAGAGAGATGTGAGGCTGTAGGAATACCTTGTATATAATCCTCGAAGTCAAGTCGCACCTTATCTGCATTAAATTCAATCATGGCAGTTTTGGATCTCTCCAATTGCTGGCTCTTCTTACGCTTACCACTCTCGTGATGCGCAGTGCTGCTTCCATTTGAGTGTTGGTAATGATGATGTTGAGATGTAGATCTTCTGTTGCCAGAAATAGAGGACTTAGAAGAAGAGCGAGTTCCCATGCCACTGACTTGGCTCATTAAATCATTCTGGTAATCACTATTTGAATCAGCTTCAGAGGAAGATTGTGACATCTCCTTTCGATATTGTCCACCGAAGCGGTCTGATGAGCTGGCTTGCACGCCTGAGATGCGTTCAAAGATACTGGCATCCAGGTTAGACTGCGGGGTATCAACAGCAGTATGAGCGGGGTCGTTAGTGTCATAGAATCTATTAGTAAACTGTCTAGCTTGTTTCTTTCGTTCTGCTTCGTCCAATCTGGAAATTTCCCAATCCAGACCATCGTACAAACGCCACGAGAAATTAAAATCTCGTATGCGCAAACGCAGTTTGGCTTGGGATCTAATGCAATGTAAAAAAAAAAAAAAAAAAAAAAATTGTAAGCAACTACCAGTATTCTGTTGCAAACCATTGTAGCCGATCCTTTTTTTTTTTTTTTTTTTTTATATCACTTATTCTTCCAATACTTTTCTTCTCTGGCTTTCTCCTCTTCTGTCAGAATAGGGATGAAGAAGTGATCTTCAACAAGCGTAAGTTCATATTCAGAATCAAGTATAATAACTTTGCCATCAGCCTCGCTTTCCATGCGCATATGACCGCTTGGCCGAGTAGACTCGCTTCGTCTGACTTTTTCCTGGCTGATCCTTTTATTAGTCTGTGTTGATATCCCGAAGTCTTGTGTTTGGTTTCCTGTCTGTAAGTCAGCTTCATGGACTGCGGATGAAAGGGATCTGTGCTTGGATTTCGAACTGTTCCCCTTCTCAGCCTGTTTACCAAGAGATCTAGTACTTGCTTCTTCGCATATTCCATTATCTATAGACATGTCTCCAAGTAAATCGGCATACACTTCATGAAATCCGTCCACATTAGGAGTATCACGCATCTGAGCTTTGAAAAGATCGCTATCGGAATCATCTTGTTCCACAGAGAAGAAACCCTCAGTGAAGTCCAACGTTCCAGCATTTCCCACTTCTGGATCGGTACCAGGTTTTCGAAATGCGTCCTCATCCAGACTTGCTATTCATGTTAAGGCAGAAATAGCCTTAGTGCAAAGTTTTCATGGAGCAACATATATCTAAAGCTATACGTAGATTGTATCAACTGTACCTAAAACATCTTGGTAGACTACATTGGATTTCGCACGATTGGCGGCTCGTTCTGCCTCCGCGAGTCGCTCCAGAATTTTCTTTTTCTCAATCGGCATATCACCGTTATCACCCATATAAGCTGCCAGCTTCATTAGCGTATCAAATGAATCTGAACAAGTCTCCAGGTAAAAGATATTATTTGTGATCACAAGGTCGTACAATGGGAGCTGACCGTTCTTGCTCTTGATTGACTTCAGTTCAAAGAATGGACACTGTCCAACCAATGCAAAGCCGAGTAGACGCCAATAATGTTTAGAATCAATTCCAGGACTTGAGGAGCCTATAACAGGGAAATGTGGGGTCCGAATGCTTTGAATATGGTCAATCAGTAACAAAGCCATGTTATAGATTTGAACCTTGGACTTGAGAGTTGGTGATTCTGGAACCAATGTGGAAAAGACCTAAACCATTTTTTTGTCGATGTTACTGTATGCATTTAATGCGTTTACGTTTATAATATTCAGGTTAAATGCTTGATTGAATCATACCTTCATCTTTTCAAACGAAAGAACGAAGCGCGAGGGTATATGAAGGGGCTTATAATCCATGCAGCACTCAGATAAACTAACCGCAATTCGAGTGCGCTGCTGGGGTGGGTTATAATATATAATATTCTCCGGCTCAGCAAAGAAATCTTGTATATCGTCAACAGCTGTCTGTTCAATCGAAAATTTCCATGAAATGCCAGTAAATGCAAGATTGATATCGTTTGCCTTGAATTTTATCTCTGGGTCAAATGACAATATGCTTGTCAAATGGAGCATTGGTTTCGGCAACTTTAGCTGTAAAAAGGTAATAAAGGACTTAATACAATTAATGAATGTTCTCCGATGGAATGTGTATGCTATAATGTATGTAGTTCAAAGAGAAACCAAATTAAAAAGGAGAATTACCTTAATATTTTTCGGAATGGTTCTTGCCAATAAAAGTACTTTGGGTTTTTGAGCAGTGACTTCATAAACCTCCAGTTCTTCAGCATCAACGTAAAGATAATTCTCATTGCCGCCTTGATATTTCGCTGCGGCGAAGACTTTTGTGTCACCGATATTGATCTGGTATGACTTGATGCCATCATCTCCAAAGATCGTTGCCTTTGTAGGGTAGTCCAAAATAACCTCAACTATCAAAGAAGATTAAATAAGGAAATGAGTTCAAAATATAACTGAGTAGTAGTATTCTACTGCACGATACGTTGAAAGGTGAGCTTCATCGTACCTGTTTGAACATATATCAGAGCTGATGCCATAGTCGGTTTAACAAGACTTGGTTGATATTGGTAATAATGGGAGTTACGGTCTGTTGAAGAGGTGAATGGATTATCCCTTGCTTGGTTTCGAAGTTCCTCGCCATAGGCAGTGGACCTATCTGTCCCATGTTCACTTTGGTCGTCCCGAAAAGGGTCCTCGTGGCTGCTCCTCCAATCGTTATTGTAGGTTTCATGAAAGTTGTTATGCCCATCATTTCCAATGTCCAATGACTCATGCTGTGGCCGCACAAACCCATCTTGGGCATTTGTTTGGTCCAGTCTGGAGGGTGGTGTTGACAGCGATGGCATTTTTGCTACAAGTCTTTCTGAAAATATTGTCAACCAGGTGCTCAGATCATTTAAACGCATCTGGAGGTTATCCAAATCTGCTTTGTGCAAGTGGACGGCGACCAGTGGAAGTTGAGTGTTTATTACCAGGAGCTATCAAGTATCAATATAACCGAGAAAATTAGTTATTGTTCGCAACAGTCCAATCTGCTTTAGACTCTATTTCATTTTGATGACTCAAACATACAGACGTCTCAATCGTGCGCTGCTTGAGCTGAAGAAGCTCCACTTCCTCATCTGTAGTGTTGTGAATATTTTCCTCATCTTCCAGTACTGTAAACGCTCGTAGATTTAGGTTCTGAGGATAACCAGACAAAATTGGTCGTTCATAATGTAATGGTAAGGCCCCAGGTGATCGAGTTGTAATTTCTATATTTGGCAGTGGGGAATTGTTGAGCCCTGAATAGGAGGTAGGATGACTAGTTAAAGAGCCAATATACACTACCGCTCTTGAAGTTGTTTCTAAGAGAAATGAAAAAAAAAAAAAAAAAAAAAAGAGAGAGAATCAGTGTCCGCTTGAAATAGCAGCTTTTAAATAGCTGCTAATAACCTAAAGAAAACGCATAGACTATGCTCCTTACGAAATTTAGGGATGATAAACACCGATGAGTTAACAAAGTCAATTTTAGTCTTGGGCGCATATGATTCCGGAGAACTTCCAGGCCCGAATTCGATCGCTTCCGACCCCCTCGTTCCATCGGATGCTTGCGTGAGGACTAGCTTCATAACGTTGATAGATAGCATATCGTAATGAGATCGATACTCAGGGCCTGTCTCCTCCTTCCCTTCTAGCACTTCACCAATATCTGGCACAGAGACCCACAATTGAACCGAATTCAGGCGCAGACGAAGCCTGGTTTTAGTCTATGGTAATGGTCTGAATGTTAACATATAGCTGGCTTCATGTACTAAACATCATTGGTATGCGTATATTTGACGATGACCGATTGTTGTCAATAGCATTACCTTGGTATTTTTTTGATTGGCATCAAGATCATCTATGATTTGTTGCTCCATCGCTCGTTGTGGCTTAAGGCTTGATCCATTAACTTGGTTCTCTAAACCAGCTTGAGCAGTCTGGCCTGGGCCTATGATAGCAAGCAAGCATTTCTCAAGTCGCTGAAGAGTGAACAAATCAATATGTACTTGTACTGGCTTGACTTCGATAGTGACCTCTCGAGTAAAGCCACCAGGGGACATCGCTGTTGCTGCGTCTGGAGAAGGCATGCTTGATTTAGAGCTATCTTTTTTAGGATTCAATAGCACGCGCATACGGACCACTTCCTTTGTAGTGCCTCCAGATGTCTCTTTTTCCGAAACATTGGGCTCTACATCAGGAATCAAGGTTGACCTCGCCAGTTCAGGTTGTCGCTTGTTTTTCTTGGCTCGCAATAGAAGCGTGCGTTCATTCAGGTAGCGATCAGGGATATGAAGTGTTGGGAATTTTGATGTTGGTGATGCTTGAAGAAGCGTATCCTGATCAGTATCAAACTCAATGATGGGTATATATTGCCGCCGAGGCGGAATCCGGTAATCATCTGATGTTGGGCTCCAGGCCGATAAGTCATATGGTCTTGGTGCAGCTTGAATCCACTCAGCGACTGTGAAATTATTGAGTGTGAAGTCAATCTGACCCTTAGTTGATTTTGTAGGTTTTTGCCCAGAGCATGCATCTGGAGATACCCATTGCTGGTATCGAAGGACCATGCTGTCCACTTCAAATTTGGAATGGTCTGCCCTTAATGCCTCTGGTGTAGGATTCTTATAAAAACTCATCTCCGTAGGGATATGGTGCTGCGATTCCGGATCATCGTAAAGAACAAATAATTGAAGTATGCTAATGCGGGCCTTCAACTTGATAGTTTGAGAGGATTCGATACTAGGCACTGCGCTGGAAGAAGTTGAGGCTGTAGGTCGGGCGTCTGTGTATGAAGGCCCGCTTAAAAACCTGGGCGATTCTAATGAAGCAACAGACAGTGGCGTAACAGTTTTCGAGTCCATTGTTTCTAGAGACTTATCAAAATCATAGTGCCGAGCTTCCGTTTTCAGTTGAGATGTTCTGATGGGGTCCGTAGGGTGCTGTCGATTGGGAGAGAGCGATGAATGAGAATATATGGGTGAACTGTGCTCCGCGATTGAGTCTGACCGAGGTTCCTGAAGACTTCGTTCCCCTTCAGCCGCTGTCACACCACTATAGTTAGTCCTGTGTGTACTTATGTCTTGCCTGCTTCTGTTATTGATATTGGTATCAACAGTACGTCCTATGTTTGGGGGTTTCTTTTGACACTGAATAGCTTCTACCCCTGACGCATTATCAATTAGCGTTAGAATCTCCAGAATGAAGGCAATTTGATTTGGCGCAAGTGCAATGAGCATGGTACGCAAGTGAAAGTCAATGTCCAAGAGCGACTTCGTAGTGGTTTGAGCCTGTGCCTGACTGGAACCTGTGGTCATTGTAGCATTTTTCCTAATATTGACTTTGATACGATTTTTATGTTGCAATGTTGAGAGGATTTCCGCCGCATAGCACTCTTGTGAAGTTTGCTGGTTGCTTGTTGCTGATGATGTTGACCGGAAAATAGGCTGCCGCGGGGCGATCTGTGATGCAACCATGGATTGTGAGAAATTCTCATGCGCATCTGAAAAGATATCTGTGTCCGAGTCTGATTGGTTATCCTGGCTACCTAAAGCTTCACATATGGTATCATCTAATACAGACGCTGAAGTAAGACTCGATTGTGCCACCGGTTTCCCGCTGTCACCTTTTTGCTTGATCCAAACAGAGAAACCCTTGAAAACAATGGTTTTGATCGAAGATTCTGGTGATTCCTGCCAAATGACACTAGGCATAACGGATTCTTCAAGCACAGTAGAACCTGAAACGGACTCGGAACGAATGCTTGATGCATCCATACTGGTTGCTAATTGATCCCATCCTGGAGTTTCATCACGGTACCCAATATAGGGTAGTCGGATCTCCAGCTCATACTGCAACTTCTCCTCATGAGGTCGGCGGGCATGTGACTTTGTGAGAGGAAGACTGGAGCTATGGCGTAGACGGATGGTTGTTCGTTTGCAAATAATTTGGATCCTAGCCATCAGTTTCTCGATAAGCTTCGCCACGAATTGAATACCCTCACCCTCTGAGACAGAATCTTCGCTGCCTAGTGCAGACGATGGTATTGAGGTTGATGTACTAGGGAATTCTTGATTGGAAGTTGGAGGTCTTGTAGTTGGCCTAGAATTAAAATCCCCTGGCATACCCGAATGAGTAGATTGTGTAACATGACTCTGAAATGTCTGTAACAGCGTTTCCTGAATTGCAACCTCTTCTTTGTCTACTGCTTGTAAGAAATCGTTGGCTAGTCCAATAGAAGAGGACAAAATGTGGTCATCTTGACTATCTGTGCTGGTTGTACGATCACATTGCACGGGTACGAGGGTAACATCGATCCCGTCGATCTCAAGCACACACTGTCCATTCCAAAGGTTACGCCAAGGAATTGTTGCGGTGATGGAACTAATATGGCCCTGCGTAACTGCGAGTGGAGTCCCAGCAGTAAAACCATTCAGTGCCTATTAGTATTTGTAAAAGCAAAAGTCGCAATCCGAAGATCACGAGTCCATCACAACACCGTATGCATGTTCGTAAGGCAAAGACAAAAAAAAAGATGATGCATTAGCGCCAAGAAGAATGAAGTGGTGGTAGAAAAAAAAAAATTGTAAAAGAAAAGACAGGAATTTGGCGGTCTCCATAAACACGAGTAGGCTACAAGAAAACCAAGTCAAGTTCACATCCAAGACTGTGGATCGCCTCCAGTGCCATGCAAGCAGAGATTATTGTCCTGAGAGCGAGTTATTTGACTCTTATCTTTCAGTAAGATGCGAATGCACTGTCCTGCTACAGTTTTTTTATTGAATGATTGCACACACAGTCCATGTGTTTTTGTTGCCACCAGATTTGTACAATGGTATCGCACAAAGGAGCACTGCGCCCACTTTTTTTTATCATTTCGTTACAGCAATGAGTAAAAAAAATTTCGAATAGCAATGTAAAGATAACCATATGGTGCGTTTTTCGTTCAGCGTTATTGAATCCTCGCTCTTCACAAGTAGCAGGAATGTATTGTCCGTCGCTTATTTACTGGAGCTACAGCTACTGACTATAGATATCTCCCTTCATTGCACGGTAGGATGTTTGTTAATTCATCTTACCCTAGTGCTGAGCTTTAAGTCAGTCAGGTGTACAATGCCGTTTGAGAGCTCAATATCAAGCTTTTCCAAATCCAGGTCATCTTCCAAAAAGTGACCAATGGCTCGTTGAAGCAAAAAGCTCAGTAGTTTCTTTTGAAGCCCTACAGGTATGGCCAACGACGAAAAGAAGCTGCCGAGGCCCCAGGCCTTCATGGTGATGATAGTGTTGCTGCCCTGCTCCTAAGAATAAAACAGTTTTTTTCTTTACAAGAAATTAGTAGTTAACTGAGAGAAGAGGAGGGGAAAAGAAAATAGAGAGAGGGAGAGAGCGGGAGGAAGGGAAAGAGAGGGAGAGGAAGAGAGTAAAAAGAGAGTAAAAAGAGAGAGAAAAGAGAGAGAAAAGAAAAGAGAGAGAAAAGAGAGAGAAAAGAGAGAGAAAAGAGAGAGAAAAGAGAGAGTAAAAAGTGAGTTGTCGAGTGCAGGGCTAGAGTGTGGGTAGAAAAGAGTGCACGAAACAGGGAAGAAAGAAGAGTGCACAGAAATGCGAAAATGAAAGTGAGCAAGTCAAGAAGAGAAGGCAAAGATTGAGAAAGGAATGAATGAGAAGAGAGATGACACATTGAATAGTTGCAGTCCAGACATGCAACTTTGCCTTCCTGCGGTGTGCGTCTCCACTAAGGTAGTGTGGAAATGACAGTCATCAATGGCTGGATCATGAGCCCATGGTGACACCACACCCCCCACTGTGACATTTTCATTTCGCTATTTCTTTATTCTGTTAGGGACGTGGGCGGTGGCCACTACGTCGACGTTGTGCTAATCGAATCTGTTTTCGGCGAAATGACTCTTCCAAGTTACTTAGTCCCCCTGTTTCGATATATTCACGCATATTGGGGCCAATTACATATCCAAATGACTCCATTTCTTCGATCGCATACTTAATGCGAGGATCGTTCTCGCGCGCAAGCTTTCGCACCAGACTTGTGTAGATCGCTTCAGATGGGATCACATTGTGACTCTTCATTTCCTCAAGATACATGAATGCATCTTCGTAGTTGATCTGCGTCAGGCATAACGTGATCAATGACTGGTACGTATCAACATTGGGGTCTACGCCTGCTTTCTGCATCATCTTAACCACATTCTTGCCCTCATTCATGTTTCTATCAGTTATACAACCAGTTAGTAATGCATTGTAGGTGTCCGTATCCGGGTTAACTTTCAAGTCCGATGCTGCCTCAAAGATCTGCATGGCCCGAGTCAAATCATTGATGCGACCACAGGCCTCAATCAATACGTTAAAGGCTACGACATCTACAGCTTTGCCCTCTCGATGCATTTCCTGCATACAGATGAATGCTTCGTCAATGTTTCCAGGCTCATCAAGGATTTTGAGTAAGCTCGTCGCAGTCAAAACAGTCGGCTTCATACCCGATGTTCTCATGATCGACAAGACGTTGAATGCCGACTTGAATTTCTTAGCAAGTGAAAAAGACTGAAGCAAAGGAGCAAAGTGATACTCCCTGAATTCCATTCCGGCTTCTCCCATATGCTGAATAACTTCTGCAGACAATTGTGGGGCTCTTTCATGTCCTGCACAATGGAGAACCAACATACATGTTCCTTCGTCAAGCGTAGCTCCCATCTCCTTGACACCCTTCTTCCAGCAATGCTCTACTGCAGGAAGCTATAAAATTTGTGTAAAAAAAAGTTTCAATACTATAGTATTGTGACCTAAATAAGCAGCTCCAACATTATTCTAAGCAAATGCTGCTTACCACATAGTCTTCAGCAGCCCTAGCCAAAAGATCTGTGTAGACAACTGCAGGAATTCTAGAAAGACCAGCCTGTACTTCGGCCATTTTCAACACAAGATAAGCAGTTTCAGACTCGTGAAGAGACTGTGCCAGCTGGATGACTGATATGTAGCATTGTAATGATGGCCGGATATCAATCACAGGCTTGCCATTCTCGTCTGGCTCTCCGCCTTCATTAACAGACACTGTCATATCGCCCAAAAGGTCTAGAGCATGCTCCAGCTCCTGATTAGTACAGAGTCCCTGCACAATTATCTCAAACGATTTAAGGTTCAGTTTGAGTCCTGCTTTCGCGACCATTTCCCGTATTTTTTCCAGAATTACGGTATCCCCCTGTGTCGCAGCGGCCTATGACAACAAATTTACATAGAAATGATAAGACAAGGCTCCCAAGGTTCATTCATATTGCTTAAGTATCATCTCGAGTTTGATTCCTTACCTTGAGACCAATGTTAAAGCAGGAAATATTAGGAGAGCAACCAGCAAGCTCCATCTCTTCCAAAGTGGTCAAAATGCTCTGCAGATCCTTGTTGCGTGCATGTGCTTCGAGAAGAACTCGATATGTGGTCAGATCAGGCTTCAGGTTGGATTCGAGAATTTCTCTGCATTTATCGAAAATGGGCAGACATGCATGCGGATCCTTTTCAAGCTTAAGTAGCCTGATATTATATGGGCTGAGAGGTATGGAGGGGTATGTCCCGGTGATGATCCCTCGAGAATTCAGAGCCCTGGGGATTACACAACGGTTAGGTGGTAAAGATAGAGATGAAGACGATATTAGACGGTTCCCATGTAGAGCGAGCGAGATTAGTTGGTTCGTGCTGGATGTTGTTCTAGACAATATCACCTGTGCAGGAAGCCTTGTATTTTGATTCCAATGTGTAGTGCAGGTGAGGTGCAGTCGAATACCTCTCAGCATGTTATAATAATTTAACATTAACATTGCAGCCTTCAACGTATTTTTGTTGATGTCTAGATTTCTAACAATACTACAAATGGGTTGCTGTCGTGACAGAGACTGATGTCAGGACAGAATGTTTTGACAAAACGAATTAACAGTCCTACTCCGTTGACTTCTAAACTTGGCAAAAAAAGCTGTTACAATTCACCTCTTTCTTCTCTGCAACGTCTGTTTTATCACTCACAAACATGCAGCACAGAAGACTACCTTTATCAATCGTAAAAACATCAGCTAGACAAGCAACACTTGGAGTATCTTCACGACAGCTTCTTGTATCACTAAGATGTTGCCCAACATCTTCTATCACGTTGCAGCCTTTCATCCATACCAAAATTACATCTTCGTTCACGATACCCAACCAACAATCGGTCTCTCTCTTAATTCATACAGTACTACCACCACTGCTATCACTACCACAGACGATAGTAATGTTCGTCCTCCATCAGTATCCAGGAAAGACATTGGCTCCCATCGGAGGAGGTTTAAAAGACCTCAATCATCACAAGAATTTATCTCTGCGACAGCCAGCAGTATTGATGTTTTACTCAGCCGTATCACGAATCTCTCTCCAGGAGACTATTACCATAGAGTAGGGGACGTTTTGGATCGGACGCAGCTCACTAATTTTTCGCGGCTACATACTGCACTTCAGGATCCAAACAATGCTCATGCAATATGGGATGCCTACTATGTGATTCGCAGGTCGCACAAGGATCTTCGTTTATTATCAAACGATGTTATTAGGCTTCTCATTATTTATTTTAAAGATGCTGCCAAAAAATGCAATCCAAACGAGGCACGTTGTGATCACATCAGTGTTAACGACGAGATAGCCTACAAAGGAGTCAATTCTGCGAAGGAAATTTGGCATGCTAGAATTGTCACTGTCATCAATGACAAGCGCTCACTGGCACAGTCATTGACGCGATGGGATTTTAGCGACCTGATGTCCGCATTAAATGGAGTGGGGCGTTTTGAAGAGGCATTGGATGAGTTCAAGAAGCTTATTGCAGGAAATGTGAAGGTAGATCCTATTTTACTTAATCATGCCGTGCGGGCGTGGGGGGGCCTTAATCGACTTGATATTGCAGCGAAAGTCATTCACGAGGCGCGAAAGCGGTTCAATATTAAGCCAAGCGAATTTACACTTGGGTATCTGATTCAAAAATGCCTCATTGCAGGATACAAAAAAGAGGCGCTCGGTTTCTGGAAAGAAATGTTGGCTGACGAAAGTCTTGAGAGCATTGAGACTGTGAACGGTATTTTGAGGGCATGTGTTGCAAGTCGGGAGAGTTTGTATGCTCAAGAGGTGTACGATACTCTGCCACGTCTTGGTATCGATTCCAATATCGAGTCATTGGACCTGATGTTGAGCCTCGCGGTAGCAGAAATCCAATATCCAAGTGACAGGAGTCTGTTCCTGCAGGCAGTTCATGAAAAAATGATTTCGAGTGAGAAACCTGTTTTTGATCAGCGGATTCTCAAGTCGATTTTGACCAGTTTTGCTAAGAAGGGTGATGCAGATGGTGCAATCCTGGCGAAGGGACTGATAGGCAACTATGGATGTGTGCCTCGGGTTAATGAATACAACAGCATTTTGCATTGCTATATTCGCCTTCGGGAGATGGATAAAGCTATTGACTGGCTTCAGGAGATGAGGCGCTCAGGAGTTAGACCAGATAGGTCAACATATGTGCTTTTAATGCAATCTTTTGCACAACAAAGAATGCCCCGGCATGCTGAGGCTCTCTTTCGACAGTTGCTACGCGATGGAATTCAGCCTGACCTTGCTGTCTGTAATTATCTTTTAATGGCTTATGAACAAGGGAGGATGGAAAGGCGGTGTTTACAGCTATATAAATCCATGCTCAATGACCGATCCATTGGTGTGGATCAAATCTCGTTTACTTGCATGTTTAATGCCATCTTTCACAGTGATAAGGCGCGACTAGAAGGAGGCGAAGGTCTTCAAGGCGAAGGCACAGTGCTGAATGACCTTAGGTTCTTGAATAAAATCTCAGAACCTATTGGCCAATCTTTTAGGCCTACATTGGAGAATGATGGAAGTCGAACTATCAGTACGTCTGCAGCACCTAGTCGGCCCTCGTCTAACCCTTGCATTGTGAAGAAGCATTATCAATTTGACAAAATTCCCTCAACAACGGAATTTTTAAACCCAAGGACTCTTTTCCGAGATATGATTATTGTCGGGATCCGACCTAGTCGCTCGCTCTACTCCAACATTTTACGAGCCTTTTTTGCCTGGCATGATTATGCAGGCGCAACAGTAGCACTTCAAGCGTTGATAGATCACTATTCACTCAAACCGACGCCCAAGATGAATGCCATCGTTGTCTCATGGGTGCTTGAGGAGCATAATAGACGAAATGATAACAACGAAAACACCCCCATTAGCAAAGGCGAACTGTCCAAACTAGTCAATATGATGAGTCGGACACGTGGTCTTATTCAGATTCTTGAGAAGCTTGCATATGACCAGAATTATGGACAGGACTTTAAGACTGAGAAGAATATGGATAATTTAGCGCCTATCTCTCTATCACCAGAAGATAATACGACCACGACCGTTACAGGACCTCGAGCAAATAGTAGAATAGGATTTCCACCACAGAATCAAGGACAGATTGCAAACCAGATTGAAGCAGCTAAAATGGAGATGGGTGGCGATCTTTTGGAGTTGTTCAGCACAAGCCCAATTGCAGGATCTTCATGGAGTACGAAAAAGGATGATCCGACGCAAATTGACCTTAATGATTTTGAGCGATGGTTCCAGTTATATTCAACCAGAGCAAGCTATGATCGGTCAAGGAAAAGTAAAGATGTCTCAACATAACTCCTGCATTCGCCAGAATATAGAGTAATAATAAATTGGTGATATTGTTATTATTATTATTACTATTATTTATTTTAGTGTATTGCAAATACATACCCTTCGGTGTGATCCAAAATTTAAGGGCTTTGGTGACCTCACCGACATAAAAAAGAGTAGATTTCATTATAAAAAGAATACATTCACGGAAGCTATTCTGTTCCTTCAGTCATGTCGGATGTAGTGGTCGCTACTTGCGAGAGCTGTAGCGATTGAAGCTTACTAACGCTGTGATGCAGCTTAGGAGCTGGCGGAGATCCAGAACGACTATCTGAGCCATAGCTTTCTAATACTGTCGCTATAGATGCCGCCGTTCCCAGGGTTAGGCTGTTCCCAAAGGATGGCGAATTGGGTGAAGAAGCTACCAAAGGAAGAGTTGAATGTGATGGCCCCTCTACTTTGATCTCAGTAAATCTTTCATCCAACCTCTGTTCAGCATTACCTGAAGCTTTCTGTGTTTCAGTTGCTTTTTCTACATAGGTCGTTTTCCGACGGATAGCATTCTCACGCTCTGATTCAGCCGCAACTACTTTTTTTTGTTGCTGCTGTTGATTTTGGCCTGAGGCATTTCTGAATACTTTTGCTCGGACAGCGTCCATGACTGCATCGTGATTGACCGATTTCCTCTTTAGGTGCGATGTAGGCGAAAGTGTCGAAGTAGGAGATTCATGCTCATCCTTAGGAGTTAGAGGCGGTAGAACATGAGATTGATGATCCATTATAGCAACTGGAGATGACTGAGCGGACGAATTAATGGATGGAAGACCATAATGGCGTCCTGAAGATGATGCCTTGGAAGACGGGTTTCCAGTGTGGATCGGAGGCAAAGTTGAACGTGGAGAAGAGGGTTGACGCTGAGAAGATGACTGTAACTGCGACTGAGGCTGGGAAGGGTGTTGAGATGGTGAATGATACTGCTGTACTGAGGTATTGATCTTGAGGGATGGTGGGCGGCTCTGAGGACTAGGTTGCATTGCGCGGAGGTCGTGGCGCGAATACTGAGCAGCGCTCTGATGCGTTGGTTGTGAAATATGATCTAGAGGTTCCTGAGCTGGATGAGCGGTGACATGGTCCTGATGCGAGTGCTTGGTAACACTATTTCCTGTCGAATGTGGGCGATTGTTTCCTACTGAACCATATAGCGAATTGTTATTACTACCATAATATGAAGTCGTCGACGGATAATGTCCTGAGGACGCTGATGCTGATGCATGGTAAGGACGAGCTGGTTAAAAACAAGAGTTTTTATATCTTTTAGTTGGAATTGGTCGTAGCGTGATTAAAGGTATGCCGTTGATGACTAGCTTCCAAAAGAGAAAGCATTGTATTTAGGAGGATGTAATTGTATCTGTGATATGAATCGACTTGCCTGCTGGAGGGGATCCACAACGCTTCTCAACAGCCAGATCCAATTCGATCTGTTTCGTCTGAAGGATAATTCTTTCTGTCTTGTATCGCTCCTCTTCTGCCTTACGCTATTGGAAGAGGCAGTGATAATGTTATAATTGATTAACATAATGAGACGGATCAATTTATCAAATGAAAGCGGTCAAAATCTTCCAACTTTCAAACTCATCCAAACTAAACAGACCTCGTCCTCTTTTGCCTTGGCATTCAACACTGAAATTAAAAACTCTTTGCTGGCATCATGGTAGCGCTCTAGAATGTCAGAAACAGATATGTTGGGCCGTGAAGGGTCATTAGAAGTAGATGTGGAGGATAATGGTGTAACAGCCAGCGTTGAGGAGATTGAGTTAGAGGAAGCGGGATGCAAAGGGCGGTGGAGTGGGCCCCCATGAAACCCAGCAAAAGGACGATGACCACCTTCAACAATGCTCGCTGAGAGCGGGCCGTGAATGTCCTGGTGATAATGCTGACGGTATTGATAAGATGGGTGATGGTGCTGTTGTCCAGACTGCCTTTGTAAAGAGCCACTGGTGGAATGATCAACCATATTGAAAGTAACGGAAGCTCCAGTGATAGGACGTCAAGGAGATTTCATCTACACCGAAATGGGGCTGATGTTAGCGAAGTTCAGGTGCTTGGCAACCATACCCGCTTTCAAGCTTCAGGTCTTAATGGGGTGTCAACAAAGGGTATCAAAAAGGTACCTGCTTGTTAGTTGAAGTATTTTATAAATAAGAAAGAAGGGGAGACACACAGATGGAATGGAACGGGGCAGAAGAATGATGTCAAATCCAAATCCAAGGAATCTAAAAAAAAAAAGTGGTAGCACGCAAAATCTTGATGCAGCCACAATGCCATGTGCAACACACGTCAACCTCCACATCAGATTATTCATTTCCAAACAATTAACCAACCATCAATCACAGAAGCATGCCTGTCCGTCTAATAAACATCTCAAGAGAGGTGATCGAGTTTCCGAATGTCCAAGAAGCCTTTGACTTTGTGCTCTCACTCGATCCTCCCATGTCCTTTAGGACAGATGCTCCCTATCCTGTGTGCATCCCTATTGATCCAGAGTCTTCTCCTAATCAACTAATGGAGCGCACCTATGCCATATTGCGTACGATATTTCTCTCCATAACGCTTCATTACTTGAATCATTTTGTAAAGAGCAAATGAATAGGACTGATCATCGTGTTCTTTCTCAAATATATATTAATTATTATGCAACAGCGTTGACAGACGATGAAAAGAAAGCAATCAAAGCGAAGTTGCATTACATGGTTAACGAAATGAAACAAGGTGGTGGTATTCCCGGGATGTCAGACGCTGACTCCGAGCTGATCTCTGCATTAGCCACTGCTAGCGCCGAGCCGCCATCAACCGCCAAGTGATTCAAACTGATCAGCACACACATTCACTATAATATCTATCATAATTGAAGATGGGTGTTGGACAGAGCTCATTTTTATTAAAGAGTTTTTTTTAAATGCTGTGCTCTCTGTGCTCTGTTCTTCGTGACCACATTCCTGTCATGTCAAAAGTGGCAGTTTCAACGCTTAAATTTCTCCTGCACTTTTTTTGTAACTTTACTTTCTTGGTTTTCACATTTCAACTCATTCTTCACATTTAGCTTTAATTCATATTACTTCATGACCATCTTGGACCGCGTCCGTGGACCTACTGGGAGGTCACGGATATCTGGTTCTAGCGCTTCTGCATCTACTCCTGTCTCCATTTCCCATTCATCCTCACATCAGCCCTCATCCGTTTCACTGGCTAATTCTTTACGTTCTTCCTCTAAGAACGTTAATTCTACTATTAATACCCCTTCTACTAGCAACAACATTAGTCACAGTAAAAACACTCTTAATTCCACCTCTAGCACTCGAGCCAGTTCTGTCTCTGCAGGGGCTTTGACTGAACATGGTACGCACAATAGGAAGTACGGCAGCGGCATCAGCAGCAATAACAAACATGCCTGTAAGGCGACCGCCAGAATTGGAAAAGAACTATATCACGAAGATGGCGATATCATTGGGCATCGTAAAGAGGAACTGCGATATTCACACCACAATGGTAGTGCTCAAAGCAGCTCTCTCACCAGATATGACGCGATTGTTGCTGAACGGATCGCTGTCCAAAAACGCTCTGAGGATGAAAGCAATACCAGCCGCTCCTCTACAGATGCAGATACAAACGTAAGTTTCGATCAATCCTCCGTCATATGAACAGACCTTTAGTCGCAGTCTATCGAAGATTACAGAGATATCCAACTACATACTTCCTTCTCGATAATCAACCATATTTCACTACCGAATACGCATTATGACAAAAAAAGAGGAAGTGGATGCTAAAAGTTTGCATACTCTACTACGATTTTGAATGTACTATCTTGTTGACAAATGAAGCAAGGCTCATTTTTTTTAGAAAAAAAGATTCTTCAAGATGGGTCATCGCCACTACCATGTTGTATTCCTGATCCTTTCTTCTAAACTGATTTGCAGATCAGTGGCTCTCGCCTTTTTGTGTCTTTATTATTAAACAGTATTATACTTTTGTTTTTTTGTGGAATGCAGTTTAAGACTGGTATAAAACTGATTCAACAGGCATACGAGGACAAATATCAAGCTCTCTTAGATGAAGTTAGCACATGGAAGTGGATCTCTGAGGAACAAAGTGTTCAGGTTGGTGTTCTGTCTTAGCTAGTACGACTATCAGTTTACTCAAAATGTGCTTTCCCCGCCAATTGACCCAGCTCTTCTGTGTAACGCTTCAATTACTCATCAACAAAGATGACGGTTATGGCTACAGAACTAGCCCAAGTAGAAAAAAAATACGTCACCCTTCAAAAAGAGGTATATGTATTTACTCACACAAAGGTACCTACAACCCAGCGACCAAAGCGCAGGACACTTACCCCCTTTTTTTTACTACAAATCACGGACACCATAGATGGCTCAGCTTGAAACATTTCGGAAGGCAAGTACATAATCTGTTCGCAGCCTACGAACACACGATGCCTCTTGTAAAATCCTTAGAAGGAACATCACATTTGACTATTTTCCATTTTCTGGTTATTTTACATACAGGCCATAGTGTCGATGGTAGATCAACACTCAGGGGCCACTTTAACACAGCTGGAACGATCTATCCTAGAGACTATTGAGGCCGATGCAGAGAATGGAGATTTAGGATATAATGCCGTAGCCAATGGTGACACAAGCTCGTTCATACTGGATGACAACACAGAGCATCTGCCACGGTTAACAAAGGAGGATCAGTTTATCATGGGACAAAAAGCAAGCAATGTCCCATCAGCTATATCGAGCACGTTCAAGAGCTCGTCTCTGATGGCAGCATCGCGTCCTCGTGCATCAACCGAATCCGTTGTAAGTTATCTAGTGGCGGCACTGTTTGCTTAAACCACTGTTTGCTTAAACCACATCGGCCGATTGTTAATACCCCTTCTTGTCTTCACGTTACAGGTAAAGAGACCTAGTACTATGCTTCATTCTAGAACAACAGTGAGTTTTTTTTCTTTTTTTTTTTTTGCTTGATAATTTTTCTCCTACTTGCACAAGTCATCTTGGAGTTGACATTGGATTCGGCTGATACTCACAATTTTATGGCCACTAGAAGTATTCAACAAGCTCTCCCTTACGTCAGAATAGAGACACAACAGCATATCACAGTGGCGCAACAACTCATCCGGATAATTCCTCGAGCGACCACAAATACATAACCAAACAGAATTTGGTAGATGGCCTAAGAAGTAAAAGAAATACCATTTCAACGACTTCGAGACGCCAACACCCTGGAATCGCCTCTTTTTCAGCCAACACTTCCAGGAGACATTCCGGTGCTTCACCTCCTTCGCTTCTTACAAAGACTGCTCTCTCTTCATCAAGAGTCACAACAACAGCGCTGGCATCTTTATCTTCCATTTCTTCATCTGCATCGTCCCCTCCCCAGACTTCGAGCAGCACGGCTGCTTCTTCGATAGGTGGCTCTATCAATGTCCGGACAGCGCGACAAAAACCCCAGCGAAGAGAGCACAGTTTAGATATTAGGACCTCTGTGGCACAAGTGACAAATCCCTTAGGAGACACACCACTTCTGTCTACAGTTCAGAGCGAAAGACACCAAGGTATTTCAGAAGGTTCTCTAGTATTGCAGTCAAAATTGGACACTACTGATCCTTCGCAAGTCGATACCAAACAGCGGTCAATCACATCTGATCCAGAAAAAATGTTCATGAGAGATCTTTCGCCAGCTGCCATAGAGCTATTCCGTCAACAAGAAGAACAGCAAAAGTTGGAGATAGAAGCGGACTATGCCTCCAAAAAAGCAGTACATGTACATATACGATATGATTCACGCCAAACAGACGACGAGGGTTACCGTAGGTCGGCTTCGCGCTCCACAAGCGATCGAAGCGACCATCTTCATTACCAGCGTAGATATTCCGGGTCAGGACAGATTACTGGGCATGAATCCAGCTCCAAACTCCAGAAATCGAATTTTCATGCGACTACTACTATTCATGAAGATAACTCCCGAAGGACTGATGGCATCGATGCCAATGCCTTCACGACACTATACAAAGAGATTCGCGATTCAATGGATAGCACTTCGTTTGGAATGTTTGCCAGAGGTAGGCGGAACTGGTCTAGCCAGAGAAATATGGCAACGAAGGAACAAGGGTTTACACTAAATAATACATTTTTTTGTGCTTCTTGCATTCTATTTTCATTGGTATTATTAGTGGTGACAGCGTTCAATGAAGGCGACAAAACCACGGAAGAGACGCTTGAGGAAGTGAGTAGGGTAGTCAAGGATTGCTCACTCAATCAGCGATTCCAAGATCTAATTTACCAAGCAGTAGCGGAGAAAGAAAGTCAGATGGCAAATGAAAGTACAAATCTGGCCATGGAAGCGAATAGGACTATAGACATTGATAAAAGTCTACTTTTAGATGACGAAGATGTAATTACTGAAGAGGAGGAAGGTGAAGAGGATGTAAAGAATGGCTTGCTTGCAGATGAGATTGTCAATATACTACGTGAGAATGATGTTGTCTTGCAAGAATGTCGACAACATAACTTATCGAAGCCTGAGGAACGGATACATTTAGGAGAGACCAAGATCTTGGATGTGACAAAGAGTTTAGAAGGCAGCGATAGCAACATTAGTAACAAATAGTGGAAAAATAGTAAATGTACTCAGTTACAACGCATCGCTAGTCTATTTGAGGTTTCGTTGCCGCTTTGGATAAAGGAATAAAACTGTTTGAGATAAAAGAGATTAAAGTAACATCAGGTCGTTGGTTTCATACTGCTTTAGCAACATGCGCTTATGTCATCTCACGAACAGCATTCTTTAGTTAGGGTGACCCCTCCAAATTTCCAAAATGCTTCCTAATTTTATCTAAAGGATGGCCAGTCTTTTTTCGTTACCATAAAGGAACCATCCCGATTCTTTTTTCCCCTCTTATTTCTTCTTGATGTATGCCCCCAGATGCCTGCAGCTAGAGACATAGATGCCGCGAAATATATTGCCCAAGAGGTAGCGCGGTGTTTTTTTGATATGGACAGAAAGCCAAGGGCAAGATTTAAATGCCTACAAGCCTACCATTGCACTTTCGAACGCATTCTCTGAAAGTTCAATTGGCCTGATATCTCTGTCGACACTTTTTACGCATCAACCCGTTGGCATGAAGGTTGCGCTGCTTGCCTAAAAGCTGCTTAAGGCCTTTGTGACAAGGCTCGACTAGGTTAACGGTACCATTAGTTGATAGTCATCTGTATTCATAAAAAAATGCAATTTACATGTTTACATGCTCATGGATGTTGTCTAATATCAATGTTCCCATCATGCTCTCTTTAAGCGGCAATACATGCGAAGAGCTTCTCTGAAAGTAATAGCAGCATTTAAGAAGAGGAATTAAATATCATTAGGTTCGACTTGTTCTACTAGTGCAGGTCGAAATCCATCGTGAATTGCACTTTCTTTATGGCTCTGCCCTTAGTGAATGCAGTTTTATTTTTCAAACTGCAGCCAAATGCAAACACTCCTTTTCACCTAATGCTGCTTGTTTCATTTCCATTTCGACCCAGTATATAATTGCTGTCACGCTATTCAAGAAAGAAGAGAGGAGGAAAGTTTGTATGGATGCGATATTTGTGCGAGTCTCCATTGAGCTCTTTTTTGGATTATTTTGCTTTCTACATCTAATCTTCCAATAACTGCATCCATCCAGAAACAATTCTCACCTTCTACATTCCATTCATTCCATTACAAACTTTCTCTTTACTTAACCTCGTTCTTTTTTTGATCCCTTCGTCCCATCCCAGGGTCATGTATCCCTCGGGCCAAAACTACTCAACCACACAGACTGCTGACATGGCGCCTGGTCTCACTCATTCTGCAATGACCACTCGCAGTGATGTGATGGACCTTGACTCACAAACATTTGAAACCCATCGCTATGCCCGTCCAGAAGACGATCGTCTTGTACAGCAACATGTCTACCAGCAACAGATTCAGCAAACGCATCAACAAAACTTCCTACAACCACAACCACAACCACATTTACCATCTTATCCACGTCGTCCAAGTTTTTCTCAAGCTGCATCACCTGGGCAGCTGCAACAACTTCAGCAGCAGTTACACCAGCAATATCAGGGCCAACAGCAAACATGTCCCCAAGACCTGCGTCATCCCGTCATTCATTACCAGCACCAGCCCCCACATGGTCAAGTCTATAACCAGCTCCATCCTATGCATCATCCTATCCAGCAAACATGGCAGGCAACTGAAACTCACTCGATCACGCCTGCGACTGGTCAGGGACAGAGCCAGACGGCAGAGACTCAGATGCCTAGCCTAGAGTTCTCAGATGTTGGCAACTCGACCACCTCTCGAGCCATGAATGACAATGCTCACGCTAGCCACCTGGTATTTGCACAACCGTTGCCTTCGCCTTCCATGGCGCCAAAGGATATAGTAGCTGTAACAGACATAGATAGTGTAGAGTCCACGGACAGTGATTATTTTTTAGCGTCTGTGCTCAATGTAATCAGGCCTGTTGCTCTTCAGCCTGTGCCTGTGTACGATTACCACTCAGAGTTCACGCAGCGTCAGTGGGTCACAAAGGGAGGCAATGGTGAGATCCGAAGAGCATTTTGGCCCCTACAACAAACTATTGTTATTCTCAAGCGTCTCATAGATACAAAGCAAACAACTGAAAAACTTGCGAAACTGTTCGACAAAGAGGTTCGTCTTTTACAATTTTTTTCTATGTATGGCTGGTGGACACAAAAAAGTAGCTCATGGCAAGTATTTTTAACAAACGTGCAGGTTGAAGTCATGAACCAATGTAGGAACCATGAAAACATTGTCCAATTCTACGGGGTAGCTATAAGAAATTCCGATGATGAGAGAAACGGAGAGCGCTTCATGATCATGCAGTTCTACCAACTTGGAGATCTCGTCAAACTGATGGAAATGCCCAATAATTCATTTGAAGCACCAACACTCAACGATAAAATATATCTGGCCCTCGACATTGCTATGGGACTCGATCATTTATTCAAATGCGGCTTCCATCACGGGGATCTTCATCCCAAGAACATCTTGATCGATAAAAGAAGAGATCCTACGCCCCAACAGGGGCGATATCTTGCAAAATTGACTGACTTTGGCTTGCGACGTTTACGTGACAGCAAGAAGGCATTCTCAAGTCAACAGTTTGGAGGTGTCTGGCAGTTTATAGCTCCGGAGCGCATGTGCAAGAACAGACCGAGGTATGATGTTCGCTGCGACATCTTCGCCTTAGGTGTCCTCTACTGGTTCATTATGGCTGGACGCTATCCTTTTAAAGACCCCTCATTGTTTACGCCTGGAGCAAGGGAAAACAGGGTAGAAGGCACACCTGATTGGTACCACGATGTATATACAAAGGCATGGGATGAGGACCCGAATAACCGTCAACAGGATCTGGAGGAGATCATTCAGGTTTTCCGATACAATCTCGGTATTCGAACGCCACCACCACATTTCCTGAACCCTTCATATCCACACTCACATCACCCACATCAACATCAACTGCCTCAGCACGCAAATATACCATTACATGAGCACCACAACTGCTCTACTTTTCAACCATCTTATGTGACCCACGATGGTCAACAACACCCCCAGTATCATCATACCGGAAGTTCTGCAGGTGGATCCACAATCCGAGGCTCACCACTGTTAACACCTGCATCCATGTTGACACCTACATCACTAAATGGCCCTGCATCTCCTCATCCTCCTTCACCCCTGTTTTCCAATGCAACACTGGCGCCTACCTCCTCCATGACGCGATCCAGCAATCCCAATCACCCACACTATAGGAAGCCATCTGTTCCAAATGGCCAACCCACCAGCATCTTCCGTACATGAAGTCGCGACTAAATGTTTTAAATAATTAAAATGTATAATATTTATTTCTATTCATAAGTAATCTGCTTAATTATGAGGAATGTTTGCTCAAATACCATGAAATTTTTCTTAATAACGAAGAAGGTAGCAAAGTAAGTAAGAAAAACATGTGGATCTTATCCAAGTGGTTCTTATTCAGTAAAGGAACAGACATCCAAATATCTAACTATAGAATAACAATGATTGGCTGAATCATGTATAATCCATATTCTGATTTGAATTTTATTACCATATGGGTCTAACGCTTCAGTTTGTTAACCTGTTGCCTTCAGTTGATTGTTTACTACAACATGTGAGCTGATCAGAGTAAAAGAGCATACCTGGATTTGAGAATGAGAAGCGACTGGTACTGGATGAGGTATGCTCACTAATAATCTAATTGCCATTTATGCAGGTACCGTCTCGACCTCGGTCCGTATGATCATATTGCGTACATTTGCGCGGCGCTTGTTGGCCTTGCGCAAACGCACGTTGCGTCGACATTTTAGGTAAAGAAACATGCCCATCAAGACCAGTACAATCACACCTCCTGTGCCCACACAGTGAGCCATACACAGAGAGAAAGCAAGGGCAATAAAATACAGGTCAGATGTAAAAAAAAAAAAAAAAAAAAAAAAAAAAAAAGAATAATAATAAATAGCAAAAACGTATTTTACACAACTTTACCGATGGTTGACACCTTGATAATCTCTTGAAGTGCCACTGTATTATCAGGTGGACGGTATGGACAGGTCCCATGGATACCTCCGGGGACCCAGCATCCCGCTGTCTGCCAGCTTGAGATATCGATCCATACCATCCCAGCACCGGGGATGCCTCCACTCAACGGAAGAGTGGACCCTGATCTAGATAGCGCATTTGAGGTTGTTAAATTCAGTATCTCACGGTTGAGAAATGAAGTTCCATGGCCATTTCGCGCGTATGATACAGTAGACGGCAAAGGATAGGACCCATCAGTGCCTTCTTCTTCATCATCTGCATAGTTGTCCTGGTCCTGATATTGTTGATCGTGTCTCTTATTGTTAAAAGGCATATTTCCGTTGTTCAAAAGTTTCTCAGTCAGATATTTGCCTTCCGCCTTTTTCAAGTGCTCTCTACGTTGCGAGCGATTGATTGAGAATGCAGGTGCTGCTGCATTCCAGTAGCTCAATAATGTCAAATATAGCTGATGGTTCTCACGGGCAGTCCGAGGTACATCAAATGCGTAGCCTTCGGGACATGTGACATCCCTGTAGTTCGCAGCGCCTTGGTCATAAATGATCCACTATGGAAGAAAAATGCGTCAAAAGATAAAGAGGAAAGAAACATTGCTTAGTCGCTATTATGTGGAGACAAAGATATTCTCCTACTCATTATTGCTGTCTATCCCTACCACACTAGACGTATTGACCCGACGACAGGCTACTGGTAGCTTCATATTACAATCTTGTGCAGCCCAGCGCCCATTAATTTGCATAGCCCCACAACGACGGTCCCGACTTCGTATTTGACTTGGTGGTGGTTGGTTTATATCCCATGACCAGATGGTCATCGCTGTTTGCTCCGAGAATGTTAGTATCGGTGATCGACCCTTTACCAAGGTAGAAAATCCACAGGTAGTCTAATATGGAGTAATGACAGAGTGGATTAATTTTTTTTTTTTTTTTTTTTTTTTTTTTTTTCCAGCACTTAGATTGCTAAACCAAATGGGTGTATGGGCCAGTAGGCATCATTTTCAACAGTGATCGACTTACAGCAAGTTGAATAGAGGTATTTGACCACGGCAAAAGATCGCTATCTGACATACTCGAAAACGACCATGTCACATTCATAGTCTTCAGGTTGTCGCCATTCTTAATACCATCCTCTTTCGGCTCCTTAATAACGGAGGAATTCGTTTCAGCACCTGTTGGGACCATAGCAACTCCTGGCACTGGGGAGTCACAGGTACTCAGGTTCAATGAGGTTGACACCTGAAGCAGACTGCTATTCATCATGGAAGGGCCTAGCATCCCAGGTGCATACAGGGTTGTAAAGTCATCCATGATATTGTAAGTAGAGTTGTCTGATAAGTTATTTGAACCAATCCCGACCACAATCCGCCGCTTGATCACTTCAGTTAAATAAGCACTAGTCGGCCAACCCGTCGGAGTCATGATACGGCCCGAAAGAGGATCCGTCGTTGTGTTATAATAATCCAGTCCTACAACGCCCGATTTCCACCAGCTTGACATCAAATCCTCGCGGTCCTTTTGTAGCAATATAGGACTGTAGATCAATGAAGGAAATGCGTCAGTAAAGAGATCATGAAGGGAATGCCTGTCAGGTAGTAGCGCCTTGATCATACGATTGGTGTTCAGCGAAGCGACTGACTCGAAAAAAGTTCCATTTTTAAGGCCTACGGTCGTACCGTTGCCTACCGGTGTTGACTTTCTGGTATTAGAATTATCGGTTGAAGTTGGCAATGGCATGGGTTGTAGGAGTGATGAAGGTGTAGGTGAACGTAAGGGTAATTGAGATCCTAGAGTATTGCTGGCAAGTTCATTCAAGTTGAGAATAATCAAGACCACATCCTCATATTCATTCTCAGATGTTTTCTCGATCCAATTCTGCAAACCCTGAAGGAGCATCAGCAAATCCTCGCCTGTCGAGCAAGTGATGCCGTCTATTGCCTGGTCTATAGCCAAGGATTTATCATAAGATGAGACAATGCCTTTGCTCGATGCGAGTTGATGGAGGTTTTTTCGGAGCAATCCAGGGAGTGCAGTTTGGTTTCTAGCTTTATAGTCAAGAGCATGCTCCCGCTCTGAAGCTGCAGTCTTTGAATGCTTTTCATCGTCCACCATGATCTTGGTTTTAGTTTTATCTTTTAAAGTTGGTAGCACGGGACGTTGTGCTGATTGTGAAGACTGATGCTCCCCAGATTCCGTCTTTTTTGCTTTTTGTCTTTTCTCAGCGTTGCTATTATCATTGTTGCTGCTATTGACCGCAGCTCTCTTTTCCAGGAGCTTGTTTACTTTGTCGTTAATATTGTGATCTTTTTTTTTGAACTTCAAATACTGTTTGCATCCGGGAATGTGTTCATTTTGATTAGAAATTACTGGTATCATCGTGTGGGCTCCTATCGGCATAGTCGATGGATGGTCCTCCTCGTCTGCAGCAACCTGCTTATTACTTATTCTCTGTAACTGCAGTGACGCCTCTAAATTATTTTGCCCCTGCTCCATGGCGAGCTGAAGTCCCGACAGCTGGTTTGCATCTCTCTTGATCCTCGGACAGAGCTGCCACCCATGCCCCGCTCCATCCCACCATAAATCAATCACCAATCGGCGCATCCCCGCCTGCAACAACTCGGGAACCTTACTGATCTTTTCTCCACCAAAGTTGTTGCCAAAGTAGGCTGTCCTCGTATCGACCCCGACCCACATCTGGCGATCGATTGGGACAATAGGCGCAGCAATGAGCTTTTGTGTCATCAACGCACCATCTGCATATTCACGTGCATGCTCAAGATTACCGAGCGGTGTATGCTGTGTATATGCAAAATCAGGTCCAATGAGTGGTGGAAGATCGTCGGAAGGAACATCGCTGCGTTGGTTTGAATTAACATTGTATGAAACTGCTTCGCATGGCTGGAATAGCATCAATGGATGATATAAAGCCAAGGATGGAAGCAGAGATTGTTTGGAGGATGGGAAAAGGGGGGAAGGAGAAGATAAAGAAGACAAGAGACAATTGATGCTCAGGAAAAGGAAAAAGGCAAGTGTTGGCGAGACTGTTTGTGCACTGCCACTACAGGCGGAAGTCGCGGGAGTGCTATAGAAGACAGCAAAGATACGAATGGCTCTGTAGAGTGATGCGAAAGTAGCAGAGATACAAGGCGCATCAATGTTTGTGAGTGGATATTTAGTAATGGCAAAACAAGGGTCTATCCGTTGCTGTGTCTGTGTCTGTGCGTGTCCTTGTGCTTGCACTTGTTCCGATGGCAGTGTTTCAGAATGTATTGTCGTAGGTAATGAGATGTTGATGTAAGAAGGAAAATGAGGATGAGAGGGAACGAGAGAAGTCATGAGGTAGCCAGTCTAGATTTGTGTTGTTATTGTTGCAATTTAGGAAGAAAGTTGAGGCGCAACGGATAACGAAAATTAAAGGGATACCAGAGGAAGAAACTAAGGAACCAATATCACTGATGTGTTTGTTTTGATTAGAAATCTGTGCTATTCGCTCTTTTTTGGTTGGTCCTTTCAATCACAAGAATTTCATTAAATAAACCTAATCAAATAGCCAAAAAGAGCGTACAGCACAGTTCTCTGGTTTTGATCCACAAGAGCGTTGTATCTGGAACCACGTGGCTTATCACTGAATAGATGGATTGGGACTGGACTTACGCTACCGATCTGACATGGGCTGTGGTAAGCAGTACGCCGCCCTCCATGCAGCTATCATGCTGATGTGGGTTCATATAAGTATACTTCTCTATGTTGTTGGCAGCATTATAGAAAATGTTGCCATTCTGATACATGTTCATATACTGAGAGTGGTATCCCTTGGGATCGGGATGTTGTCTATGGTGTAGTGCTGGGTGTAGTTTCTCTGCGCTATCATCAAAGTATCCTTTCTATAGTTGATCTCGTTCCTCTCTTCCGTCGTTGCCGACCACTATGATGCTGCTAGAACCACTCCTAGTCATACTATTCAAAGTAAAATGGCTATGCGCTTAACCATTACGTTGTTGTATCAATTACACGAGTAGTTTAGCGCTGTTGGAATTGGTTTTGGTGCTTGAAGCCAGGTATTTCCAACTATTACGATAATTGAGATTCTTCAAGAAGAAAAATAGGAATAAACATACACAAAAAGCCTAAAGCAACCAGTCAGTACTCATCGCTTTGGTATATACGAAGAGGGAACAAAGGATCCATACTTTGAAAGCTCCCTTCTTCATCATCGTCTATTTTATTCGACATGTTTTCGTCATATAAATGATATTGCTGGTCGTAATCGTCGTCTTTGCCTGGAACATCGGACCCATTAGTTCGCGAAGGACAATAAAGAGCACTCACTGTAGTCATTTACCTCTATTGCTATTTGTTGTCATACCCTCGTAGTCGCCTATATCCCTTAGCTAAGTAGAATATTAATATACAATCCCAAGTACATGCAATCCTGTAACTGCTACTGGCTGATTAAATTAATCTATACGCTAAGTATACTAGCTTTTTAGCAAGATGGTGCGTAAACATCAATGGATCACCAGAAAATGAGATCTGAGCCATGGTATTTTTGAGCGTATCTGCCCTGTTGTTATGAAGGCCTACACTGACTTGACAGAGCATGTTGTAGACATAAGCAACTACATAGGCAGGTATAAATGAAAGGATCACCTTTTTTTTTTATTACCGAAGTTCAGGAACTCGCATTGGAAAACTGATTCAAGCCTTGATCACTCGAGGCTAGTTCGCTATTTTTGGCAATATTGACCTGGAAAAGTAGAGAGGCTCTTGACAATTCGAAAGAATTGAAGTTCGCTGTTACATCATTCCATCGATAACCCAGGGCTAACGTGAAATTGCATCAACCATTGTTCTCTAGATCGTATTTTGATTCCACTGATGGATGCTTTGACGTGGTTCTGGAACGCTATTATCTGTCAAATCGCATTAGGACATCATGGAGAAAAGACTAGCCACCGGGTACATAGTTGGACAGCCTTGTGTATCTCTCGTTAGACGGAAGCAGTTGGAATCAATGAATCGAATTGAACTGTTTCTGCCCAGGGCTTTACTACCGTCGAATGGCCTGGATGTCGTTCCAAGCAGCCTTGTTTCATTTGCAGCTCAGGCAAATAAATGCCTATACCCGTAAAACGAGAGAAGAATTGGTGTTGCTCGCTCAAAGTCGAAAACTCCATATTATTAATCAATAAAGCTAATGGCTTCAGTAACTGCGCTAATGAAGAGCTCAATGACAATATGCGCGACTTTAATAGCCATCAAGCAATGTTCTACTTCTCTCTTGCAAATTATGCCACACTTTCCTCATATCGCTTTTACTCATACTACTAAATAATTAGGCCACATTCGAATGCTCCATCTTCACGAAAAACGACTACCCATGCTTATCTTCTTTCTTGAACGTTTTTTTTTTTTTTTTTTTTTTTTTTTTTCGACATATAAAGCGTCTAAAAACATATTAATGTTGAGCCATCATTGTCATTAAGGTTCCTGATTAACCTCTTCCATCGTCATACAGACGTCCAAGATGGAGAAGTACTGAGCGTAAAGTGCTCGGCGACTTCCGTCAACCTTTCAGTCCTCAACCATTCAAGGGCTTTTTAGACACGATAACCTAGTGGCTATCAGGGCTCTGGCTCAAGAGTAGTCGCAGCCATAACCTTTTACCTATACCACTGCGGCTCTCCCACATGACTCATGACATGATCCCAGAAATATTGAGAGCAGGGCCTCAAAGGCCACATTCAAGCCAATGGCCTCTACCTACTCGAAAGCAGGATGAGGGTGTTGACGGAAACGTGTCCAAAGACTACATCTTGGTGGGATGCACAAAATAAAAATAATAATGACATTTAACCGCTCTGTATTAAGAAAAATACAAAAAGCAATATAAGTTGAACACAAGGGTGGTGGGAATGCCAGTTATGGCATCGCCATCTATCGTGATTCTTGCATTGCCCGCAACATTGCTTGAATTAATGATGACTTAGTCTGTCCAGTCTCTTTGACATGTTCTGAGAAGTTTAATTCCTGAAGATGAATTGACCAATCACTATTTCCACGCGATCCGATGTCGTAGATAAGGCTACTATTATGCTATATGCTCGCAATGATTTTGATCTCGTTCTTTAGCGTTCTAAACCCATCTCTTCTCATCGACCATCCTTCATCCCTTTTCTTGTTTTATTTTATTGTTTTTATATACTCACATTAATCGCCATGGTTGACGTTGCACAAGCACCCAAGGCCGGAGGTGGATCGTTCAAAGATAAAGACAAGCCAGTTGAGGTTCGGCTTAGCAACATTATTGCTGCCAAGGGTACGCTTTATTTCCTTTGTCTTCTGTCGCGTCCACTACATCTACAAATACGTTTTGTCTCCTAAGAATAGCTACAGATTATTGTAGCAGCAATATGACTTCAGAGTAAACATTACGTCGTCATAATCAGCTGAATGTGCAGATTCTTATGTTCGACATAATGCAAGGATGAGCACACAAATAAAAAAAAATGAAAAACGACAAACGGATTGCAATATGCTGCCTTTTTATCCGATATATCCTATTCATTCTTCAACAAACCAACGTATAAGAAATTTTATTGTTATGGACTAAAATCTTTTTACTGGATTGATTTTACGATCTACTAATCTAGCTGTCAGCGATGCTGTCCGTACCTCCTTGGGGCCCAAAGGCATGGATAAGATGGTAACGAATGGTTAGAGACAATCACCTTATCATTAAAGCTTAATGATGTGAATTAGTTTATTGACATTGCTTTGCACTCTCCGCGTACTAACATGTAGATCAAGACTAGCAATGGTGAGGTTATCATCACCAATGATGGGGCTACCATCTTGAAACATATGGCTGTTCTCCACCCAGCTGCTAAGATGGTAATGTGGCTTATTAAGTAGCAAGTAGTAATAGCAGGGCGTTTCTTTTTCTTTTTTTTTTTTTTTTAAGAAAACATTCATTTATTTATCTTCTGTCATACCTCCTTGCCGCTGCTTGCACCTTAATAGTTGGTTGACTTATCTGCTGCTCAGGATGTTGAAGCTGGAGATGGCACTACATCAGTCGTTGTTTTAGCAGGATCACTGCTTGGGGCTGCCCAAAAGATGCTCAACAAGGGCATCCACCCTACCACCATCGCAGAGTCATTTCAGAAAGCTTCGCACAAGGCAAATGAATTTTTGACTGGGGTGGCTACAAAACTTGATCTTTCTGATCGTGAGTCTCTTCTCAAGAGCGCCAGCACTTCGCTTAACTCCAAGATCGTCTCTCAATATTCAGGATTGTTTGCACCTATTGCTGTCGACGCTGTCCTGAGGGTCATTGAACCTTCCACTGCCACCAATGTAGATTTGAAAGATATCCGTATTGTAAAGAAGGTGGGAGGAACCATCGATGACACTGAGCTGGTTGATGGCTTGGTTTTGGCTCAGAATGTTGTCAAGTCTGCTGGAGGTCCTACTAGAATTGAAAAGGCCAAGATTGGTTTGATTCAGTTCCAGCTTTCCCCTCCGAAGCCCGATGTAAGTCTCTAATATCCACTATTTGATCCCTGTGTTTTATCAACTGATCTTAGTTTCTGACTTAATCTCTTTGTCTTCTTCTTTAAATGTCAACTAGATGGAGAACCAAATCATTGTTAATGATTACCGTCAAATGGACAAGATTTTAAAGGAAGAGCGTCAATACTTACTCAATATGGTCAAGAAGATTAAGAAAGCTGGATGCAATGTCCTTCTTATTCAAAAGTCTATCCTCCGTGATGCGGTCAACGATCTCTCGCTTCACTTTTTGGCCAAACTAAAGATCATGGTCGTCAAGGACATAGAACGAGACGAGATCGAGTTCATTTGCAAGAGTACAGGATGTAAGCCCATTGCGGACATTGATTCATTCACAGAAGATAAGCTTGGTTATGCTGATTTAATTGACGAGGTCCAGGATTCTGGATCACGTGTGGTCAAGATCACCGGCGTCAAGAATGCAGGCAAGACAGTCTCGATTCTTTGCCACGGAGCCAATTCGCTTGTTTTGGAAGAGGCAGAGCGCTCGTTGCATGACGCTCTATGCGTCATTCGATGCTTGGTCAAGAAGAAGTACTTAATTGCAGGAGGAGGTGCACCCGAGATAGAGGTATCGTTGAGGCTCCAAGAGTATGCAAAGACGCTGCGTGGTATGGAAGCACACTGCTTCCAGGCGTTTGCTGAAGCTTTGGAGGTCATCCCCATTACCTTGGCAGAGAATGCTGGTCTGAATCCCATTGCCATCGTCACAGAATTGCGCAACCGCCACGCTCAGGGAGAGACCACTGCAGGAATCAACGTCCGAAAGGGAGCTATCACAAATATCTTGGATGAAAATGTCATTCAGCCTTTGCTCGTTTCCACAAGCGCTATCGAGTTAGCTGCCGAGACTGTCAAGATGTTGCTCAAGATTGATGATTTGGTTCAAACACGATAAATAGGCCTTCATTATACTTTTTTCTGTTCATGCTTTCCTTTCTGCTGTTGAGTTAAATTTTCATCATAAACAAAAACAAAAAGAACAAAAACAACAACACACATTGTACAGTTCTAAAAAAAGCGTTGTAGTGTATTGATCCTAGCAAGCAATGTTGATAAAAAGTGTGGGCAATCGTTCGAACTAAATAGTTTGTGCCAGGCTGGTAATGTGACCAAAGTAGAGTTATTCTGCAAGTCTAAAATATCATCAAGCACTTTGATAATTCGAATTGGTTCTTGCATCAAGATAGTTGTAGGTATTTGAAGTGATAAGATCTCAAATAATACCCCGGCCAATATTGCTGTAAATGAAAATTCTGACTGTTGCTGATGTTGATGCTGTTGATGGACTAATTTTTCCAGAATTGAGATCAAATACTCAAACAGTTGAAGTAAAAAGTCCGCCAGAAGATTGGGCTCGGGATGACCATTTTTCGAACCGAACTCCGCAGAGCCATCATCATTGAAAACCAGACAGCAACGCCATGTTGATGGGTCGTCCGCTGGCAAAAGCGTTGCAAATAAGAATAAAGCAAGGTTGACATCTTGCTTGAAATTCTCGAAATTTGAATCCTCTATATCGGGTGGCAGAATTGAAGAGCACCGTGGTCCATCCCTGTGCAGGAGAGTGCATAGGAAAATGTCCAGACAGAGTGCCGTTGCCTCATAAACTTGTGACTGGTTTATTATAAAAAAAAAAAAATAAAAATAAAAGCTCAAGTAAACCATGTCGACTTTCTTTCTTCTTTATATCGCTGAGTAAAGTACCTTGGGGCCAATTGACTGACAGTGCTCACGAAGAAGACTAAGTGCTCCCATGCTGACTGCTGTCATCCAAAGTATCCTAGACATAAATTGGATTGGAGCGACGCTACTGACCTGCAACAGTCGTTTGACAAAATTAAGAAGTTGGGAAATGTTGTCCGAAAGAACATGCTTCTCTGTATGTTCTATCGCCCTACTGACAATACTAGAAGATTTGGATAGACCCAATTTGATGCTGGATGTTGGTTCGAGTTGCTTTAATGTGACAATTACTGCCAGGTTATGTATTTGATCATTCGTCGTATCAGACATATTTGGTAGGCTCGTTTGACGGGCATCATTAAAAACCTTCGATAACTGAAGATAAAGAGAGTGTAACAGGGTCATGGAGTAACTGTCGAACCTTTGTTCACCAAGAATAGCACTCTGAATAGGTGTTGGCTCAAACATTACAGTAACAATTCCTGCGGCTCGGAGAGCTTCTAAAAATAAAAGCATTTGAGGCCTGTATTCGGTAATGAAGAGATAAAAAATCAAGTCTTGGTTTAGAGCGTCGTTCCATTGAGCTTTTGGCAAATACTATTGTTTGATCCGCACACATTGAACAGATAAAAAAAATAAAATCAGACTTCATTTTGACAGCTTTCTAAGAAAACAATGCTAGTATGTTAAATCATAGAGTAGGAAGGAAGTCGTACCGCAAACATCCTTTGCTCTTGGCAGTATTGTATAGGATCAGCTACAACGAGTTCTAGGTAATGATAGAGTCTAATCTTGACCTGCTCAAGGGCTGAGGATGGAGACGTCAATCTAAATTTTCGAGCCAGTCTGACTACAATTGTCCTGAACTCTATATCCTCATAACAGTCTTCCTCAAACTATAGAGAATATGATGTCAGCACACCAAAAAAGTAAAAATATAAAAATCAAGGCGAGCAATTTCTTTTATACATCCATTACAAGATGTGAAATTATTTCCGAAAGACGAATCCGTGTTTCCAGATGATACAAAACAAAGTCTGCAGGACCAAGGACAAGACGTAAGGCTGAGGTTCGTGCATGGATAGGCAGCGACATTGCGCATATGATATCAAGACAAACCATACTAGCCAAGGTACGCAGAGGGTCTTTATAAAAGGAAATATGAAAATTAGTCATAACTGGATCTCGATCTGCAACAGCTATTGCATTATATTATAATGAAATGACTAAAGCTTACAGCAATCCTTTGTATCTTTAAGGTGCATACAAAGCACAAGGAGCTGCACACAGTCCCGGGCCTGAGATCCCTGTGCTATGGATGCAATAACGACATTGAATACTGCTTTGGCATTAAACTGATAATGATTCGGAGTATATTTTAGGAAGTGCAAATATATCAGCAGTCTATAGTTTGTTTGATCCTTTAATGAAATGCCAGTGAGCGCAACAATACCTCAATCGATTCTGTAAAAGAAGACCCAGGTCGTGTCAGATTAATGATGGCATAAAATAGCAAGTTGACGGGCAAAAATGCTTCTTGTGAACTAATCCATGACTTGGCAACCTTCGCTGATTTCTTCTCCAAGTCTGTGACGCCTTGGGAGACCTGTTGCTCTGCATACGAAGGATGTGTATCCAAGTAATCCCTAAAGATTCTCAAAGGCAATGGAGGATGCAGCACTGAGGGCGAGTTGATCATAGTATCTTTGTAGAGGACTAGGATCGCTGCCAGTAGATCACTGGCTGTATCGGCATTTGTCTCTGCTTCTTCTTTTAAGGCTGATTTGACACTATTGTTAATCACGTTGTCTTCGAATGTTGAAGGTTGTTTTGTAGGCATTGATGAGTGATTAATGCTTGGATGTGATGCGCCATGGTAGTTCATGGTAACATTAGTTTTGGAGCAAGAGGAATGTTGTTGATAACAAAAAAAAAAAAAAAAGAAAAAAAAAGAAAAAAATGGTGGCAACACATCATCACTGTCACATATCCCCTGGTAGCACATTTTTCCTCCTGTCTTTTCATCGCAGCCATGCATTCATGAGACCCACAATGGATGCAGCAGACGAAAAACGCCTCAGCCGGATCACGTTTCAAGGCAACAACAACATTAATTATGATGAAGAGCACAAACAGCACCAAAAAGAGAATAAGGAGAAAGAGATTTTACCAGACAACATTTATGAAATCCTTCGTCGAATGCAAGAAGAATTCAAATGTCCCATCTGGTGTGATGCATTTCATACTCTCAACCACCTACTTTCTAAGAATACAATTCCCTGCCTGGATAGTACTAATCTTTTATGTATTGTATCTTCATTTGCTGCTATTGGTAGTCTAGGAACAATAGAGCAACCTATGTCGACCGGTTGCAACCACACGTTTTGTCGTGAATGCATCCTGCGTGCGCTGGATCGTAAGGATGGATGTCCGCTCTGTAATACCCATATTACTAAAAGGAGTCTCAATAAAGTTGAGCACCTGGAGCGTCTGATTGAGAGTTTCATGCAGCTCAAGGCCGCCTTTGAACATGAGGATGGATTCTGTAATTTTGACATACTTTTTTCGTTGAACGGATTTGCCACCAAAAATTAATGTATGATTTGTACTCTTAATGTTGACCACATGATCACCTTACTAGCTCTTTCACAGGCTCCAAGAAAATATGACGCCGCTCCTCTGGATAATCTGTCACAACTGTTTCCATATCCAGAAAAAAGTGAGAGGTCTGATAACGCTGTGCCGCAACCACAAAAACAATCAGAAACGCATAATGCTAATACGGAAAATATAGAAGGCGCAAACACCGTCGAGCCTACAATCGAACCGATGGCAGAAATAATACCACACCGCTCAGAAAGTACCGTGGATATGAAACTTGATTCCTTCGATGTTGATCTCGATTCAATTTCCCCGGAGCAAGCAGCCCAGTTGGCTGAGAGGATGCTGTCTTTAGTTTTACTGACTCCTCTTAACAAGGAAGTGTTAGAACAGATGGATACTCCCTCGCCATCAGTGCAAGCGACTATAGCATCCGTGTCGAGCTCACTAATTCAAAAAGGGCCACAACCGCTTCACCACTATCAGCAACATCACCCTCAAAATCAAGAGCCGTTATCAAAAGTGAAGCAGGAGGTAGATGACGATAACTCGCATTCATTTTCATTCGGATCAAGACAAAGCAATTCCATGATAAAACCAGAGCCGAAACGACCTGTGCTAGAAGAGACGGCCTTGGACTGCATGCCAACGCAAGAAGTGCCTTCTAGAGAGACAAACTTTGAGCTATGTGCGACCTTTATGTCGGCTCAAAAAAAGGTACCTCTTAGAATAGTAAGACATGCCTTTGTTCTGGCTCCATGTAGGCAGAATGCTAGGTCACTAACAATTTGATTTCGGCCAGCAACAAATGGAGAATACAGCCAAAGCCTTAAAGACCAAAGTTATTGATGGTCTTTTAACTCCAGCAACACACGTTGTAATGGATACATGTATGTCTGTGCTGGAGTATGCAATATTGAGGAAATGGAAAAAGACAAAGACAAAGCTTTACCATTTATTACAACTGCTGACTTTACACCTTATTTCCTGGGTAATTGCGCTACCATCACCCTAGCTCAAGCACAAAGCGAAAGTGGTAGTGGCAGGACTGTCAAATTCTTTCTGGGTGTTTTGCGGGCATCCTGGGTTCTCCGATTTGAATGTAGGATTTTTTTAAATTTGTTTGAGGACGTAATGAGACATTACCAGTCTCCCTTACATATACTCTTTTTTACTTTCCTGTAGGGATTATTGCATCCATGAATGCTGGATATTGGGTCGACGAAACCGGATACCAGATCCACAATAATGAGTATGGAACGAATGCACCGCAGAAATCACGGGCAAGTAAACTCAAGGGGGTAAGTTTATGTTCTGATAGCCCTTTATGCAGCTTTTTTGTTCAACCGAGTTTATCAATTGCCGTTATTTCTATTTTATTTTATTGCGTTTGAATAGGATCCTCCATTGTTCGCCGGCTGCGAAATGCAGCTCTCTGGACAATTCGGTAACCCCACTAGAGATGAAATTGAGCTCATGATTCGTGCAGGTGGAGGAAGAGTTGTGCCTCAACTCTTTCTTCGTGATATGCGGTTTGCAAAGTCGATAGCTGCCACTACATTGCCGCCACCATCAGAAAATGGAAACGACAATAATACTGTGCGACATCTTATCGTCTTTGATCAAGCAGGAGAAGGAGTTATTAGCAGTAGAAAGCTTAAAACGGAGGTGAAGGCGATGCGTGAACTGGGACAATCTCTAGGCAAGCGCGTAGAGGTTGTTCAACGCAAAATTTTGCTTGAGTGCATTGCAGCATATGATATGGATAGACTTGTGGAGGCGGACATTGCATAGAACTCCATATATACAGATTTGCCTTGAATGCAGGTGCTTCTCAAGCAATCGTTTAGAGCATAAAAAATAAACAATAGGATGGAGATGAGGTCGCTCTCATGAGATTCATAGTACTCAATATAAAATGCAGCAGTGGCGGCAAAGGGCCGCATCGAGCTTGTGATGAACGTCCTGGCAGAGTTTGAATCCATTTGAGGAGAATACCTCTAATGAAAAGCTTTTGATCACCGGGCCCGCTAAACACCTTATCGTAATGGCCCCTTTATGCAAACGTCCAACAAACATGGATCTCATACATCCCATCTTTTGAATAAATAGTTCTTTGTGGGCCTACATCTTATTCTTACTGCTTCATCCATCTAATTGTCTGATAGAAACTTTCAATCGTCAAGGGGCGCATGTTGAACACTTGTGAGCAGAGCAGAAGAGAAAGAAGGACGAACAATGATCTACCAGTATATTTTGCGGCCTCTAGTGTACCACTGGCGCCATCGATCCGATCGGTTCACATCAGTGGGGAAAAAAAGAACGTGAAAACCGCTGCGTATAGGGTTCTTATTTCTTTTTTCTGTTTAACCCTACGCCAATTTCTTTTATTCACTTTTCCTTCCCTTAATAGTCCCATTGATATTTTTCACATTACGTCCTTACCTATACTACCTTTTAGTAATGGGAATCGAGGGCCCTCGGACTCTTCTTCTAAAGAAGGCTACGAGACGACTCTTCACTACCACGCATCAGCCTGCTCGACCTTTAACCCTTCCAACTCCTTGAGCCACAGCACCTATACCAGACTCGATATCCCGGGAACCTTAGTTCCCATAATTCGAAGGGCATACTCCAATCATTCCCTAGATACAGCCTACAAGATCCTGGAAAGAGGGCTGGGAGGTATAGAACGCCTGGGAACCTTGCCCACTATCTCGGTGGCGACCTCTGTGAGGGAAAAAGGCTTACTCATATACACTGAGAGAAGGTGCGAGCCAAGGCATTGATAGACGCTTAAGAAGGGCTCGACGAGCCAGATTGACGCGTGGGAAGCAAGCGTCGGATCTGAAAGAAACAATTCTTGACCATTACAAAGGCATTATAGGTAAAGCCTTTCACTGATCGAAGGAAGCATGAGATTTGTTCGCGAAGCACCTGTGGAGCAAGAACTGACTTACTCAAGAATGTTAATTCCAAGTAAACGTCGCTATTGTGACTGGTTGCCAGCTCGAAGTTATTGTGCCTCGAGACAGTGATTCTGGTGTATAAGCTTACAAATGTACTTGCCACCCTGAGCATTACACGGGTTCAGCTAACAGTACTGTGCATAGTGAGCAACTGGCAGCCCGACTTGGAAACATCCCTAACTACGAAATTGCCAGGAAGAAGGATGGATAAATTAATGGCATACTATAAAAAAAAGTCTAAAAGTTTGGATATCATATTAAAGTCCCTCTTTTTTAAAAAAAGAAAAAAAATACCCCAAGAGCATTGTATAAGACCCTTGTGAGACAATGAAGTGAAGAGAAACAGAGTAGCTGACAGGCACTTTGAAGACACTATACGGATTTCCGTGGATCAACAGCAAAGCAAATGCCTGTCAGCTTCACTTCAGACTCCTGTACTTGGTTTGAATAGAAGGTGGCGTGGTAATGTACTAGCTCTTTATCCCTTTTCCCCTGCATTTCCGTTGTTCTAGCCCACTTTTGCAACCTTTACATGGACATTGCATTCCAGAAGAACAAGTGCTCAGATACGTTCAATACCTTTCGCTCTATCGGTCGAGTTCCTTTCTAATAGCCTCCTTCTGCCGCAGGAACGAAGTATAAGTGTCGAGAGCGGTATTCATTCAAGACTCCCGAAAACTCGAGCATGCTCCTCCAGAGGTCAAAAAGCAATACAGTAGAAAGAGCAAAAAACAACTCTAACGCAGATGCTCTTGCTAGCGAGCAAAAGAAGCAGAAGGAAAAGGCGACAAAGCCACGAAAAACGGTGGACGAAATGGATAAAAATGGCTTGACCAGGGCTATGCAGTATGAACACCGAACTAAGTTCTTGATATCGGAACTGCTAATGGCAATCTAAACAGAATACTGATTGATAAGCCCCAATTGAGGTCCAAAATTAAGATCTGCCTTCAAGAAGTCATTTGCCATACTTTGAAGAACAAGCGCACTTGCCAGAGTGCTATTGGCCAGTACATTGAACAGTTTTCAGCTACCGGTGTCAGATACTTCATCTGAACAGTATATATATGCGCTCCACTTTTATTTTTTCTTTCGGGTCAAATCGGCTTGGTTACATAGTTGTCAGCCTGAATGAATAATATTCCTCCAAGTGGGACAGATTACTATCCACTAGCTTTATTGCTCCAAGTGCAGCGCATTTATGTACAGAGATGTGATAGCCACAACATAGCTAACATCGTCCGTGGCTATCTGCTCTACTTACAGCAACTTCTATATATTCAGCCAACACAAGGATGGAAATTATCCTTGGACGATGACAATCATTCAGTTCACACTAAACGTCATACACTATTCGAGATAGAAAGCTACGCCTCTAACGTATTTTGAGAGACTTGTGCTATACTCCAATAAGATAAATCCACGCTGCGGTTAAAGATCAGTCTGCAATCATGCTTGACCTTTGACGGTGAGGAGCATTGTACATTAGAGTGATGCAAATCTGTAAAAGCTTCCATCTTTCTCCACATCCCCATCACTTCTTCATATTTCAGATCTTCGTTATTGATTTTCAAGACAAATTCACGCTTTCACATTCTACTATCAATATTATGTGATAAGATAGATCCGTATGACAAAAATCTATTTTATTTAAGCTTATGCTAATGCATTCTCACATGTATCATCTGTTCTGCTGCTTGATTATTAGGCTTGCACCCGATATCGTTTGTGATGAGTTTGAACGAAGGTTCTGTCAAAAAGAAAATTTAGTATGCATCTAAATAAAGTGACTTTTTTTTTTAAAAAGTAACCATTCGTCTTTCACACCTGTCAAGGAGAAAAGAACTATTATGAATGCAAATCCATTGGGCGCCAAGCTGGCAAAGCTGCTCTCGTCCTCGCTTGATGACCCAAAACTCAGGACATCGCTCGTGGCTTTGTCTGATTTCTACTCGGTCAACGCGGTAAACGCGCGACACAACCTCAGAGGTGACATCGAACGAAGAGGCACTGAAGTCAACTATGAGTTCATGTATGAATTGGAGAAGGTCAATATGGTAATGAAACGAAGAGTGAAAACTGGAATGAAAACGGTGCTAGTGCATCATCTCAGCTATATCCTTAGTCGCCTTTTTTTTTTGCTCTCCTGATTAACATGGCCGAGCAATCTGTGTGTTCCTGAAAAAAAAAAAAAAAAAAATACTAGCAATTCTTGGAGTTAGAGGCAGAGATGAACGCAATGAACTCGCTTTGTCAAGAAATGCAGGATAGACTCAACTTGGCAAATGACAAGACTGAGGCACTTTTAGAGCAAACAGATGCCTTGAGAGAACAAAGGTTATAAAAAAAGGTGATTAGGCTATATAAGATCATACATAGATTCTATACTCTCGTTTCTAATACATTATCCATCCCAATTTCCAATGATTGATTCGACAATAGTAAAATATGCCAGGTGCGACAGACAATCATGGAGGCTTTTCTGGAGCGGTTCACGTTATCAGAGTCAGAAATTACAATTCTTTGTTCAACAGCTATGGATGTGACTCCTTCATTCTTTAATGCACTCGAGCACTTAGAAAATATCCATGAAGACTGCAATGCACTCTTAATCACAGAGCACCAGAGAGCAGGGTTAGTTGAATTCCGCTATAAGGATCGAGATTTAAGCAGCGATTGATGAGATTTCGTACCTAACATTCAGTTTATGGAACTTAATATCTAGTCTAGAAATCATGGAATCCATGCGCACATACCGTAGCATCTCTTATGAAAAATTATATCGCTGGATGCAAAATGAATGCAAAAACATGACTCGACCTGACGGGATGATGGAAGTACGGGAAGTGACTAAGAGGGCCACCCAGGCACTGAAGCAAAATGACCACTTTTTTAAGTAAGCTTGCCTTATTTCCTTTTTATTCCGCGCAATACAAGGGATAGACCCAAAAACAATGGTCAAGGATGTTAACTCATACTTCGAACGGAACTTATGCTCTTAAAAATAGACTGATAATGGAGGAGCTGGTCCATGTCCGTCGCAATGCCATCCTCAGAGCTTTTATTGACGCTTTAACAAGGGGAGGGCCAGGAGGCACACCCCGACCCATCGAGCTGCATGCTCATGACCCGCTGCGTTACATTGGAGATATGTTGGCATGGATTCATCAAACAGTGGCAAGTGAACGCGAATTCTTGGAGAGCTTGCTGAGTAGCGAGAAACGAAACAAGGATCGAGGACAAATAGAGATCAAATTACCCAAGCCCAGCCCACTTCGACTTGCTGAGAGCGATATGTCTGATACTGAGATTATAGATTCTCTACTCGATAAAAATTTAGAAGGAACTGCTAGGCCGTTGAAGGTATGACTTGGTTATATTTCGATAATACGTTCGGGGCATTGCAAGTATTAATGACAGTTCATCGGTCTTAACACGAAAATATCGGAATAAAATATATAGTCTCGAGTAGAACAGGTTCTTATATCGCAGGCCAACGCCATTCAAGCCTTCAGAATCTCAAACCTTATCAAGTTCTATTCGTCGACGATTGACAAAGCCATTGGCTCAGAAGCAACGTTGTCCAAGACACTCCATGATATCTCGCAATCATCCATGCAGGTATTTTATGAGGCTATTGGTAAACAGTCAGCAGATCTTTTGAGACGGCCAGAAACGCCGGGAGCCGATTTAGGGCCCACTTCGGCTGTTAAGGAGATTGTGTTGCAATTGAAAGAAATAATGAAGTCGTTTGATACATCATTCGTACAAGCAGATGAAGGAAACCAGGACTTTGCTCCGATCTTGGGCGCTATTGTTGATCCGCTCTTCCAAGCCTGTGAGATCGGTGCAGCAAACCAAAATACCTTCAATCGAGCTATTTTCATGATGAATTGCCTGCACTATGTCCAGACGGCTCTTATATATCCGTTCACGAAACATAAAGTCGAAGAGCTTGAAAAACAAATTCAAGAATATGTTGATATTGTTGTTGTTGAGCAGGTATGTAATAATTATCTGCAGTGTATAAGGCATTTGTTCCTCAGAACCCAAGTCTGATCATAGACACGCTTTTCTATGGTATTTTTTCGTGCCTTTAGCATATCGTATTGCTCAAGCAATCTGGTCTTGCGCCACTTATTCAGGCTATGGAAACGAAGGATGAAAAGGTAATCTTTTTATAAGATTTGGTAGGCTATTTTTCCTTTTTGAAAATATCACCATGCCAATGCTGTATTTTTTTGTGCCAAATAGGTACCCCTCTCATCAGTACCTAATATGGATGCGGCATCCATATCTGCAGTACTTTCAAGGTTAGGCTACTTTTTAGGCTCTGCCAATGTGGATCTGACATCAAGGCTATCCAAGATTGTATCATCTAGACTGGCCAAGACCATCAGCACACAGAATCTAAAACTATTTGTAGATGCATACCGCCGTATGTGCGAAGTAATTGAGGACCCTAGGAACGGGTATGACTCCCCAGCTACGATCCTAGTACACACTGCAGATGATGTTGAAAAGCTCCTTGTAGAAGGCTGAGTTCCTCAAGCTCAGAATATTCATTTTAAAATAGATTATCCCATTCAAACGATACATTGTTAGCAGAATATTTTTACACTGTAGTAGAGCAATCTTAAAACAAAAATAGTTTTTTTTTTTTTTTTCTTTGGGCGCGCAAGGAAGTGCCATCGAGATGGTATTTTTATCTCTGGCCGTTACTGGCAGAATATGCACATGCATTTGCACATCGCTTTGCACCTCTTTGAGGTGATTATTTCGCTTTACTACCTATTGGGCCATATCATACGCCATGGTCAAATCCATCAGTAAACTTTCCATTAGCAGCTGTTGATAGTAGTCCTTAACCAGTGAAAAAAAAAAAAAAAAAAAAAAAAAAAAAAAAAAAGCATCACCCCGCACTCTCTTTCTATCTTCTACTCTTCATTCTGCATTGTAAGGATATTCTGTGCCCACCGAAGTTTATTATGAAGGAAGAAGAAAAAATAAAATAAAATAAAATAAAATAAAAATAAACTACTTTACAATAAGGGATTGACATTGTGTTTGCTGGATTACAAATAAGAACGTGTGGTAAATGCTCAGACCGTGTATTAAAAGATGAAGGCGGATAAATTAAAAAAAAAAAAAAAAAAAAAAAAAAAAAAAAGAGAGAGAGAGAGAGAGAGAGAGAGAGAGAAAGAAAGAAAGAAAGAAAGAAAGAAAGAAAGAAAGAAAGAAATGTGCTATTGAAGAGGAGGTGTTGCTCGAGAAACCGTCCCTTCGCTATCTAGCTCCGTCTGTGGTGGCGATGGTAACGGTAAAGGGCGCGCAGAAGTGTCAACAGACGTAGTTGCAGTTGTACTCACCGGCTCCGCAATTGGAGCCATGGTCTGTACTGCAAGGCGAGCCCTCGATTGAGCATTGGCTTCCATCTCACGAACCACGGCTTCAATATCTGCAGGGTTAATTGAGGAACGCCTTCGATCTTGGAATGTTGGCATCGGATTGCGATTCGGATTTGGGGATGGAGGCGTTGGAGGTACGCTGCGATGTCGATGTCCATCCTCTTCCTGCGTAGGGTCTAGTTCTAAACCCTCATGGCTCCGCAATATATTCTCTGTGTTTGCACTACTAGTGCTGTTTGAAGTGATAGCTGGGGCCGCATTACTATCAATGTGGTTCAGCATTAAAGTTGGTATTGATGTAGTAGGTTGTGACGTTATTGGCTGATTATTTGGAGATGATATGGTAATCGCTGGGCAATTGTGGTCTTCAAAAGTAACAGTATCTTCAGTTGATTGCTGTCTACTACGATGCAACTCGCTGTGCGAGCTAGAAGGCTCTAGTGAACTTTCATTTGTGAGTTCTGTAGATCCGGTTGAGGATGATTGATCTTGGCCCTGTGGCCCTTCCTGTCCTAGATCCTGTTCTTGCTGCGACTGGCTGATGATGGCGCTTGAATTATCTGAAGCAATGTCAGGCGACCCGTTCATATTGGAAAAACGTCCGATAACACGTCTCCTTCTACGTCGGCTCATCTCGCCCGTCAACAAAATTTGATGGTCTTCTTCAATATTCAATCCCGTAGCAAGCGCATTTCGCATAGCAGCTCGGCCTCGTTCTGTACTGTCACTAAACTCGAGGTAGCGTTCTTCTAAGGGGGCTTGTAAACCAGAGCCTAGACTAGAGCTCGATGTAGAGAGAGCAGATTGAGATGCATCTCGGTTGATAGTGCTTTCGGATGTGGTAGTTGAGGACGGCGAACTTGGTGGGTACTGAACAAGCATCAAACCATTTTCACGGAGTTGGTATCGTGGTTGATGCGGAGTCTGTGACCGTTGAAAGGCTTGATATGACTGCTGTTGCTGTTGCTGTTGCTGTTGCTGTGATTGTTGGGAAGAATCTTCAGAGGGCAACACATGTTCACCATGCAACCTGCGATATGCCTCCTGTAATGGTGATTGTTGAGACGCTTGCTGCTGCCTTTGTCGCCCTCTAGCTTGCAAAGTCTGAATATAAAACTGTCGAATGTGCTCCTGACGTAACTCCTGGGCGAAATGCTCCTGCATATTACGCATCGAGCGGACTCCATGCATCTCGCCAGAAGCTGGCTCGTAGACCTCAGATGTGAAGGATATACTTGATGTTGATGGATTCCATCCTTCAATCCGAAAACTATCCGGTGCACTTTCCATGGACGTTGAAAGGTCACCTGCTCTGGATGGTGGTCGGAAGATAAAAGCGCGCTGTCTTTCAAGAGTTTCTCCGCGTCTAGATGGCCTCCTTAATGATCCTATTGCGGATGCAGTCACATCAGTAACACTCGTAGAGCCTGACGATCCGCTCGTCCCCTCATTATCCTGTTGGGTCCGATTTTGCGCTGATCCTCCGTTTTCAGTGAATGAAGAGTTTGATAGTGCGCTCATGGCCCCCAGGAGTGAGGATTGACCTTGCTGGTAAGTGTACAAACTTTGTGACAAGGATCTTTGAGCCATTCTAGCGCGTCTGGATGAACTACTTCCGAAGCCTTGGTTTGCAAGGAGATATCTCAGTGCGGCTCCTGAGGAGCTAGATGTTGGCGCATTTTCTGAGGTAATAGGAGAGCCAGCAGCACTTGTGGTTGATCTCAATGTTAAATCCCTCTCACTTGAGGATGTGCTGCCTGATGAGCGCTGAGCGTGATAATGGTGTCGATGCGTGGCAATGCTAACTGGACCGAGGCTGTTGTTGCTATTACTGCTAATGTCTGTGCTGTTGTCGTTGTTTCCGATGCTGTTAAGGGCTCGGTTATCTGGCATGGCATAGTGGTGGATGGTGTGTGGACGAGGCTGTGAGCGAGCATTCGGATGAGACCCTCTGTAACGAAGTGCAGTCTCCTTAACCAGAAAGTCGAATACACGTCGAGTGAAAGGGTCATTTTCATCAAAACAATCCACCAATTGCTCAAAATCAAAGGTATAAGATGGCTATATTTGATAAGGCAGGCAAAATGTTGCGAAGCAGAAGAGAAAAAATCACAGGTCAACACAGTTCACAACACAGTTCATATTGTTATAGCGTCACATCTTTTTTTCCCTTCACACCCAGAGAGTTTAACGGCAACAACAATAATATTAATAATAAAACCATACATTTTCTTTATTGACAGTGTCGAGAATCCTGTCAAACAGTCGCTTGATTTTTGTCATCAATTCATCCTCGAGATTGCGACCCACTGGTAGTCCCATGGCTTCTTTACTTTAGAAATTAAATTCAGCTGCTGTACCCGAGCTCGTTTTTATGTGAAGTATTTACAATAAGGACAGGAACTAAGGTCGCAAAAAAAAAAGAAGGCCGGCCAACAAGAAAAATAGACCAGAGAGCAAAACAGAGAATAACGCTCAGCGTGGAAGGGTTCAGGAACAGGCAAAGTGCTTGTTATGCAAACAAAAAGAAGGAGGAGAATGAATGAACAAAAAAAATAAAGAACAGGAATCAAGTAAAAAAGTTTGTTCATGAGTTATAAAAGCATGTTTATCTTTTCTCTGTCAGCGAGGAATAAGAATAAGAGGCGATCAGATGGAAATGTAGTTTTGGTTTGCTTTTAATGCAGAAGATGATTCAATGGCTTTATTAATCAAGATGGAGAACAGAATATACAAGTCAATTAAGAAAATAGCAGCAGAATAAGCAAATAAGAAAAGCAAAAAGTTTTGGTAAGATGAATGGAAGGATGAATAAAAAACTTTCCAATGGTGAATTTATTTATCCCCAGGATTCCCTTAAGTATGCATTAAAGGGAAGCAGCTTGCCAACAAATCCCTTAATACAAGGGACCATTTGGATCCACCGTTCCATGCACTAATTAGTATTTATTTATCTCGGTAATTTTACGCGTGAAAAAGTAAAAAAATCGAATGTTCTGAAGCCCTATCCTCGGCAGCTTAAACTCTTTAGAAAACTAGTATATCTCTTTTGCCGATCTTTGCTTTTCTGGTGGACTCATCCATAACTAATACCATTGCGATTAAATATATCGGCAATCGATTTATCGATGTCTGGATCTCTATCTTCGGGGCCAATAACTCTCATCAGACACGGCCAGTTCTCCACCATCCAAATTGCCTCCTCCAACCCCATCCAATGGCTCTCACGGCAGAATACTAAACATCTCAGCTGCTTCAGACCAACCAACTTGTCCAGGCCCGACTCCAATCTCAAATCCAATGTCCTTGTCCCAGCAATTGAAGCCGTCACTCCAGTCAATTGAAGGTTCTGGAGCTTTGTCAATTTACCTAGATGTCCAAATACTTTCTGCTGCTTAGCCTTTCTCTCCTCACTTTCTCCATCAGCACCGTCAAATATGAGATCAACATCAAGCTTTTTTAATTTTGAGCAAACCCATTCTTTTCCTTCAACAATCTCTGTCACTGTGATCTCGCCCGACCTCAGTGTGATGAGGTGTTTACAGCTTGACATGATCGTTTGGACTATACCATATTCAGAATTGAGTGAGATGACCGTTAGCATTTCGACTGTATCACAGAGCCTTCCTCCTCCATCCAGTGAACTCCTGGACTTAAGCAGCTCGCTCAGACAGAGGGGCCCAAATTCACTCTCCCATGCATACAACTGTTGAAGTTGATTCATCTTTGCTAAAAGCGTCGCCAAATCCTCGTCTTCCAAAGGAACATCCGAAATGTCTAATGATTCCAGACATGGTAATGGCCATGGATCTTGCGTCAAAGTCCTGCAAAAATCAAGCGCTTCATCCTGCCCGAGGTCGTCCATCAATTTGAGCGATCTCAATTCTGGACAGCTTCGGACTAGAACTGCTAGATCGTGAGCCTCAGATCTTGGCGAACATCCCAGGACTTTAATCTGAAACAGTGTCAATTTTTGAACATTTCTAATAGTGGGTGCTGAAATTGAGAGAGCGACTCCGGGCTGACTGCCAGCAACTTCAGTATTGCTGCCGAAAGCGCCCATCAGGCCTCCAAATGGCCATTGAAGATCTACATTAGTCAACTTCAAGACTTTGAGCTGACTGCACATTTGAAAGAATAGATCAATTTCCTGTGTCTGGACAACAAAACCGTCAAGCTCAAGTTCCTTGAGATAAAAGCACTGAAGCGCAGCCTTGCTGCTGCACAAACGAAGTGTACTAGCATACGCCTCAATCTTGCATTCTCGAAGTGTGGAACTGTTAGCAATCATAAGGTTGGAAAAGCTGCTCTGGATATCCTCAAAGTGCTGCGTATCCCCAGACTTGGCTGCTAGGCTTCGAAGACGGCCACACCCACGTAAGGATAATATGTTTTCTGGAAAGCAGCCAACGAAAAAAATCGACTCGATATAATGCTTGTACTTGTCAAGTTCCTGGCTGCCAAGAGAATGCCAGTCAGTCCATGGAGTGACACTGATAGATCTCCATAGAAACTTAATGAACGCCCTGTGGAAAGGCTTGGAGACATAAATACATGATAGAATATCTCTTCTTTTAAGATGAAAGACTATTTTGTCAAGCACCTCAGGAATGTCAAATGGATGGAGCTTCATTGAATAATGGAATGGGTTAAAAAAAGGTAGTGTATAATCGCGTGTCTTGGGCTCCTTTTATAGTTTCATTCGAAAAATCCATCTTATGACTCTGCAAGGCCCAACGGCGACCTTTGCTCCCGGAACTCAAGCTGTCAGCGCTCGTACCAGCGCCTGGCTTTTGTCCCAGGTCCAATACTAAAACATTGATATCTCCTGAGGGCAGTCTCAGAGCTTCCGTAACTTGGTGACCATGAAGGTTAATAATCGACCTACCAAGGGTTGATGTGATTTTGGAAGGTAGAGCCGAGCCATGAAGACGCTTGAACTTTACACACTTCTCCGAATTTGAAAGCCAGCAGCTGCAGGCGGAACCCACCTGTTTGATCGTTAATCTCAACAGGTAACCCTGTTGGTCGTAGGCGATAAGCTCAAGGCTCGAGACCCTCGTTTCGAATCTTGTTGACATGGCCCACCGCCTGGTCCAACTCCAGAGCCCTTGCAGTCTTCTTGTACCCTTTATAGTCTTGTCTAAGAGCCTTCACCAACATGACCAAAACTCCTTTGCTAGCATTGAATTGATCTCTAGCATGTCATTGCCTCTGAACACTGGTAAAAGAGACAGGTTGTTTTTTTTTATGTTTCTTAATGGTAGTTTTTGTTTATGTGATATATAAGACCATCCCAAACAAGGTCAATGTGCAGTGTCGCTGTGCTTCCGGAACTGTTATTAATACTTCTTCTAATACTTATGGCAATGTTGACTTTTTTTTGGATCACATCTACTAATCCAGGTTTATAGCTACGTTCTACAGTGGGTTTTCCCGTAGAGTCAAGCTCTTTTGGCACTTACGAAGCGCCTTGTCAAAATAATCCTGGTGCTCAGGACCCAGTCATGAATGAGTTCAAGGGTAGTGCTTGTGGCTGTGCAATAAAGGATTTATCACGCGGCTGAAACAACCGGTGTGGCTCCGTTCTCATAATGCAACTCCCATTGTTCATTGATATATATACCATATCCTTTAACATGTTCAGGGCCCTCCGTCCCTCCGCTGCCCTTTACCGCTCTGCGGTTCTGTACAAGAACTCTGTTATCGTTGTTTCTTAGGATGTTTCTCGCAATACCATAGCTTTGAACTTTGCCCGTACCTACGGCACCTCCACCGGACTTGCCTGCTCTGATATCGAGAAGCATGTCCTGGAATCTTGGGTGTTTTCAATAAGATTGATCCCAGCAAGGTAAAAAAAGCATTCCATCCTTCATTAAGGATTATTGGAGAATGGGAAATACGGATAGTCACCGCTTCGATACGATTTGATTCGGAACAGCAATTTGCACTCCCAAAATTCTAAACCTCATACTTCAAAAAAAAAAAAAAAAAAAAAAAAAAGGATCCGGATTGTTAGTCAGTCATCTCTGAAAAAAGTGATCAAACAAATCGATGGACTAGTGCTGCTCTATTGGATTTTGCGGCAACAGCGCTCTTGTGGCTAGTCGCTCTTTCGTTGCAAATCCTAATCTCGCGACAAAGACCTATGCAAACTTTGGTGCGACTTAAAAGTAACAGCTCCAACCATCCACACGCAAACTTTTATATATACAAGCACACGCAGAGCAATGCCATACAAACATTAACCTTAGCTGCTCAGCTCACGTCCTTCTACAAATGTTAACCAATTTACTGAATTATTTCCTTTTCTACTCCTTTGATATATTTCTATTTGGGTCGGTACAACAGATCTCTCCTCAGGCTAACTTCAACTCCGCTCTCAAGTTGGATTCTTTGGGCAATGTCGAGGTTGTCATGGCTATCGAGGTTCCCGATAAGGATGCTGATGAGATTAAGTCTGCTGCTCAGGCTGTTGATTACATCTCCAAATGCGAGGATGCTCACTAAATAACTATTAGTCCGCGTCTTCGTTATCTTTCGTTTAATGTCTTCTTCCCTCCTCTTTTCTTCCATAGCACTCTAACTTCCTACATTCTCTTTCATTTGTTCAGATAAAAATATACGCTCAGAGATCAACACAATTGGCCCCTTTTTTTAAGGACACATTACTCGAAGCTGCATTCGAAAAATAAAAATAAAAACCCTATTCTTAAGTCTGCCAATAACACCAGAAGCGATGATGTGACAACATATGCTTCTCTTGGTTTATTGAAAATACTACCGGAAAACTCGTTCCCAGACAGTTCGTCCACCAAAAAGCTCATCAATGACAGATAAATCTCTTTGATATTCATCTTGTAATTTTTCTTGACATATTGATTCCTTGACCGTTGCTGCCCTTCTACTCTGTGCTTTTTGATGATTCGTTTCATTCCCATCGTCATTATCATCGTCGCTGCTATCCATCATCTTCTTCCTATTATCCAACACACCAGCTTCCTCTTCAAATAATGACTTCAAGAAATCCTGCATTTGTTCAATTCCTTGTGAAGCCATTTTGACCACCATGGCGTTCATCTTGAGATGCTTCCTTTTGGGGATAGTTGTCGAGATTGGACCACCTTGATTGGGACAAGGAGGTCGCGGCACTTGAACGACTGTCACACTCCACAAGATTGGATAATCTGCACGCTGTTCGGGCTTTTGACCAGGGTAGACCGTCAATTGGTCAAACCGCTTTAAAATCGATCGTTGAAGTCGTCTTGTTTTAGGACCCATAATAAATAATGAACCAATCGTAGAATGTGGATATAGTGAAGGCGCATAGGAGGTCATTTTCGGTTTCAATCCAGATGCCATCATTGACGGTATTAATGATGGAGTTGCAATTGGTGTGGCTTTTTTGGATGGCAATGGTGGATTATGCTCAATCAGGAATCCGTCCCTGAAGATGACAGGTCCGCCTGCAAGCCTATCTGCTATATCTCGAGGATCTTCCTCATCCACAAACTCATCTTCTTCACTATTGTTATCCTTTTCCTCTTTTCCCACCATCTTTTGTCTTCCTTTCGATGATGATGATCCTGTAGTCTGAATATTTGTTGTAGAGGATGGAGGGGGAGTTGGTGTAGCTTCTGGATCTAATTCTGCCCAACGAACAATCAATCTCCATTCAGCTCTCCTTGCTTTCCAGCGCTCATTTTCACCACGCCCTCCTGCAATCCAATCCAAAACCACACAACTAGGAAGTTCATCATCTTCATCCCACTCCTTTTCTGGATCCTGTTTTATTTTTGTTGAATCCCTGGGCCGTTGAGCTTGTAGCAAGATTTCATGTCTTAAAAAGACACTCGAATCTTCACAGGCCACCACTGCAGGTCCCAAGAACAAGAGACAAGCCCCTGGTGCGACTGTACTATGTAACGTCTGAGATGCAGGTGGATAGTCAGGTTTGGGAGATTTATAAATCTTGGTATTGCCCTGACCTAGGACAAGGAGCTTCGCATGCCGCTGTAAGACAAATTGAAGATTTGGATGGTCGTCAGCTAGGAGACCACCACCATATGTAATCATGTAGACGATCCGAGGTGGAGGCGGTACTAGCACAAAAGAGTTAGATGACGGTGGTGAACTAGAGTTAAGAGTAAAAGGAGATATTGAGGATTGGTTTTTGTCTTCGCTGTCTCTGCTGTTGCTGACGCTGAAGGAAGGTGTAAGAGGACTGGTTGCTCCTTCAGGTTTCAAGAAAATGGTGTTAGCAGATGCAGGCGAGAGTAATTTGAGTGGATAGCTGGCTCGGAGAGAGTCGATCTGAGTGAGACTATACTTTGAGCGAGCAGCGGCTCGGAGGAAATTTTGAGAGACCACGGCTGTAGTGGTGCTGCCTGTGGCGACAACCCGGGTGGGCAAATGAGCAGAAGGAGGTTGGAATGCCATTTGATGAAGAAAGAAAAGGGATCTCAAAATGAGTTTAGAAGGGCTAGTGACTGTACATTTTTAGATCCAAATTAATAACAAAAAAACATTGTCTGCCAAAATTGGATTGTTTATCAGGAACTCTGGCACAAACGCCCAAAGCGTTAGGGGAACACACTTGCAACCGTCTCCTGTGTCTGTCATCTTTTAATGAGTGTATGGTGCCTTAGGCTAGTCCATCTTGCTTTTTAAATGCGATTAGTAGAAGGGAGAAAGAGTAGGCATGGTGAGATGACTTCCCACATGTTATGCTTTTCCTTATTTGTGTATTTTCATCATATGACATTTCTCTCGATGCAGCCATTGACAAGCCAGCTGTCAAAAGCAAGATTGGATGGACATTTATTAAGAGAATAAGCGGACATTGCTTGTGATTAAGACTGGAAACGTAGTAACCAATTGCCAGTCAGTGCGATTGTGAGTGACTTTAATGAAGCGAAATGCAGATCATGTATCAAACAGATCCATAGATATACCCTACGCTTGCCTTATTTCATGAGTGAATGTAGTCTTTCTTGTCCTGCTCTTCACTTTTGTTGACCTTTTCTGCTGCTTCTCTTCTTCGTTAGCACTTTTTTTTAAGTTTTTTGTTATTTAGTTTGATTGACTTCTTGGTAGTTACTCTACTTACCTGAGACTGTCCACCCTATGCGGTTCCTTTACCTTTGAAAAAAAAAAAAAAAAAAAAAAAAAAAACATTTTTTACGGCATTTGCTTTCACTTTCTTGCCATGCTTTTATTTGTATTTCTTTGGCGCTTGTAATCTTTTCAATCATTTTCCTTTGATGGCTCATTCTCTTGCCATCTTTTCATTTACTATCCGATGGTTTACTTCCTTGTTATTCTTTGATTTGCTATCCTTCAATGCCTCGTTTCTTTACTATGCTTTCATTCCTTTTTCTTTGATGGTTCACTTTCTTGTTATGCTTTCGTTTTTTTATCCTTCTGCTTACTACTGTTTCATTTCTTTCTTCAATGCTTGACTTCCTTGTTATGCTTTCATTTCTTTTTCGGTGTTTCACTTTGTTATCCTTTCCTATGCTTTCTTAGGCGCATCTCTTTTGTGCTATGCTCTGTTATGCTTCCTTCTTACTTTCGTTTTTCTTTTCTCATTGCTTTGCTTCCTTATTCTATTCTCATTTGTTTTCTTCAATGCTTCCTTCCTTGCTATGCTTTCATTTGTTTCCTTTCTGCGCTTCTCTTTCTTAATATACTTTCATCGTGTACTTCTGTTTTCTTTTTTTTCTTCAATGCTTCTCTTTCGTATCATATTACGTTTGTTTCCCTTGTGCTTTTCTTTTCTATCGTATTTTTCATTTATAGGTGCCTTTCTCTCTTATATCTTTTTGTTAGTTCCTTTTCCGCGCTTTACTTCTTTGCTATGCTTCCGTTGTTCTTTCTCTTTTTTTTTTTATTTTATTTTATTTTTTTTTACTTGCTTTCACTTACCCTTCTTATGTGCTTCTCTTCCTTAGTTTATTTTCATTCGCTCTTTCTCGGTGTTCCTTTCTCTTTCTTATTTTCCTTCATTTATTGGTTACTTTCCGCCTCCCTTCCCTATCATACTTTCCCTTACCTCGTTTCCTCGCTGCTTACCGTTCTTGGGGGTTATTTTGCCTTTGATATAGTACAGAGACAAAGAATGTGTAGTTTAGTATAATGTAGCAAGGGTAGGGAAAGACAACAACCGTAGTTGAGAGAGAGTGAGAGATGACATAAAGAGACATAGGGAGAGACGGAAGAAGTGCGTGTGTATTTGGCAAAGGACTGTGGTCGAGACTTACTTTTCAAGAGGTGGTGAGGTAAAGAAGTGGAGAAGTGAAGAGGTGAAGAGAAAAGGGGGAGAAAAGAAGAGAAAAAAAAAAAAAAAAGAAAGAGCTTAAAAATGAGAGAAGAGGCCAATCTCCCTCGTTGCCACCATTTCTCCTTATCTTTGTTGAAAGCGGACAAAATCTTCTTGCATACAGGCAATAATCAGCCGTATTTAAAAGCAAAAGCAGGGGGAACCTCCTTTAGGTTGCCTCTCTGAAATAGCATAAAATGCAAAGAATGGAAAATGTTGGCTGATCAGACACTACTCGCAACTCTGTGGGACACCGAGACCGCCACGAACGTGTACGATGTGGGAAGAAGAGATACCAGTTGCAAGGACAGGCAACGGCCTTTTAGATGCACAAAGACGAAATAGGGGATGATGAAAATGGGCATGGAAATTAATATGAAACGAAGAAGGTAGATCGTCTGAACCTCTTCGTCAGATACGGACGTAAAAGTGAAGCGGGGGCATGCTAACTATCGCCATGTAACGGCTGAACAATCTCTTTTCCCTCCTTCAATGCTAAAGGCCGGGTCGTAAAGGGCGACAAGATGGATATTTTCCGGCACAGTATCTTGGGCACTTGAAAATCTGAACGTTTGGGTATCTGAACGTTTGGATATTGAAAATAAAAGACAAGGCGGTTTTATTTGACACATAATAAATTAAATAAAAGCTTATTACTCATTGACCTTTCTCCTTTTCTCTCTTTATTTCTTTATCTCTTTTCTTTATCTTTCTCTCTTTCTTTTCGAAAAACATATGTATTTTTTCTATCCTTTCTTCTCTCCTTCTTTCCTTTGACAACAAGATACAAGTGCGCTTGCAACTGCTTAGCTAATAATGGTCGTGAATAAACATTCATTTTTCTTTTATTGAAACCATCTCTATCTCCATTTGGCTCCTTGATCACATACTGCATCTCACCGATGTGCTGCCTTCGTAGAACGTGACGCGCTAACCGTTGAAACCTCATGCCACATATATGATAACATGCACAGCTTAATAGATTGTTTATTTGTTTATTTCCTCAGAGACTTAGAGAATAAGTTGGTCTCTCGACATCCCAATGCAAATAACATTAATCTCAGGCCGAAACTTCTTGATCGTGTCTCGTGCTTGATGTGCATAGAATCCGTAACTTCTCCATTTACCATCATGCCAAGAGATATCAGCGATATATCGTATAGTTATAGTCTCTAGTTTGGGCCAGAGGCTTTCGTCACGATTACAGCGTCGATACTGGAAATAGTTAAGCACGTCCTGCAGTTGGCCGAGATGCGTCACATCCACACCACTAATTCCCTCTCTCTGCTCCTTTGGTTCACTCTTCATCCCTGCAACAAAAACGTTAGTATTTACTGGAGCCTCAAGAGCTTGCTCTGCCATGCTGGTGCTCTCTTCGATGCAAAAGGGCGACTTCTTGATACGTAAAGCTCTCCACCATTTCTCCAGGGACTTGATAGTGCGATGCCGCTGGTCGTTCCTCAACACCCATTCTAGCTTCAACCTCAGCTGCTTCTGTGTATCATAATAGTAACGCTCCTTCATCCAATCCAGATCTTTTTCACACATATACGGGACTTCAACAAGTGTTAACCTCCTTAGTTGTGTTAACCGAGATAATAAGCACATGTTGACAGGGGATCGAGCGCGGTACAGGACTGCATCCGTTTTAATGAGCAAATCTTCTAGATTTGGGCAGACACGGCTGATATACCCATAAAGCACGCGTTCTTGTTCTTGCGCGTCTTGCATACCTGTGTTATATGACTCGTTGAATTTGACATGAAGTGTCTTGAGCCTTCGACATGCCCATATCTGTTGAGGAACAGGCCAGGCAAATTGGTCTTGACCAAACTCGGAGCTACGATGTGGTTTATTACGCAGCTTCTTGGTTACATAAAGCGTGTGCAAAGTGAGACCGATGTCAGGCGCCTTGAAATGTTCCAGAAGAGGGCTTTCACACAGGAGTCGATGAATCCATTTATCCATATCACGGTCGGTCAGAATAATATGACCGCACCTAGCTAAATGGATCTCTACACTGGACAATCGATTCTCTACTCTGTGATGATCTAGAAGCATGCAAGCAGATAGGGATGGTGCTCTGGCCATACTCAATGTCGAAAACCCCCACTGCTCGACCGAAGGGAACTGAGGGATTGGGGCCACTTCCCCAAACCTGCCATACCTTGTGTCTGGAGATTCTGATACATGTAGGCTCGTAAGCTTTGGACAGTACTGTGCTAGGTTGCTAAAGAATTTTTCTCTTTCTTCTTGATAGAAAAGAAAGTTTTCCGGCTTGTCAGCAGAGATGACTCCAGGTAAGTAAGGCCGGAAGCGGATAATCTTTAATTCTACCAAGTTGGGACACCTTTGTAACAGGGCCTCCAGTGCAGCCTGCGTCAAAGTGAGGCCATCGAAGGTGATCGACCGCAGGAACCAGTTAGATTTAATGGCACTTTTGTCCGTCAAAACCTCTATCTTTCCCAACTTAGCAGCGCCACATCCAGGTTCATACGCACGTGTCGATAAATGGAGGAACCTGAGATTCGAACAATATTTCATGATTGAAGCGACAGGAACAACCGTTTTGGCTGGGAAATTCTCTAGACGTAAATGGACAAGCTCATGACCGACAAGCTCCAGGAGTGGTAGCAATTGGTCCCAGACACTGGGCTTGAGCTCAGCATTAAGGATAAGCTGACGAATCTTAAGGTCTTGGGGACGATATGTTGATATTGAGATTAAGGTCTTCTTAAGGATAGACCAGGCTCTATGTCCCTCAGTGCCAGGCGCGCTCAGCAAGCTGGAATTCGGGGAGGCTCCTGCTTCGTATACAAGAGTATGGGCCAGCCGTAGTTGGTGTGTCAGCTCCAACTCCTTTGCTGCCAAGTACCCACTGCTAATGAACTTTACTTTTTTTCTTTCTGACCTTGCTATCGCATCGCTTAGCGGGATGGCCCTGACGCGAACTAACCTCTTGAGGAGCGGTTGTACAATGTCATGCCATCGACGGCACACTAAAGGGATGGCCATACGGAGCGTAGCCACTCCGACATGCATTAGGATTCGCTCAATAATTTCTGGAGGAAGTACGGAAATTGTGTCTCTGCCTATGACACTCTGTTTGCTCTTGGCTATTCCCCTCATGAACATTATTACTGAGTTATCGTTGGGTAAAAAGAGAGAAGGTTTATTAATAAACTTTCAATGCTAAAGGCAATTTCAACGGTAAGAACTGAAAGGAAGGATAAAAGAAAGAAAAAACAATGGCATTATATTTGGCAAGGGGCTTCTTTTATGGATTGTGGCGGTGCTTTGTCATGCTTTGCTTACAATTAGATCATTTTATTTTCATCATTACTATTGTCATAAAGCTCTGCTGTCTCTCCAGTAGATAAACTTCTTTCAGCACTTTATTTGAGACGAACGCGGCCTTAATCTTTAGTCTAGACTTTTTGATAACGCCAAATGGACTGCTTGTATATTGACTATTGCTGCAGCTCTGCTCATAATTCATGGGGTGGAAGTTGATAACCTCTAATCACAGCCACAAACGCTTCTGTTTAAACGTCATTCCTGAAAGCAGTTGGCAACTTACCAAGATGGGCTGTACAGTCAATGGTCTCTTTTTAGTTGTTTCTTCTCCTTGGTCTTCTCCTCTCATTCAGAGCCTCGGAAGAAAATCTACGCAGATATACTGATATACTGATATTGTGGTTACCATTACATGATGGATGGGCAACCACATATCTCGCCAAAACAGCCGGATAGATTACTAGTTCTTCAGGACGTAAATGAAAGCTAAACCCCTGTTCTTGCCCCTAGCCTTATATCAACTTGTTTTGACATCTCTACTTAAAGCATTTCAATTTTAGCGACGCTGATTCAAGTAAATGCCTCCAGCCCGGGACAAGCATAACTAATATATCCAAGAGCCACGATCATCATTTTCTTAAATATCATATCACCATCATCCTTGGTTGTGGGTGCCATGTATAAAGCCTTGAATGCATGATAGTCTCTATACTTCCTGAGGGACTGGACGATGACATAATTCATCATGTAGGTGAGGCGGGCTTATGTTACTTAGTTTCATCCTCTGGTCCTCTATCACATTGTCCGCAGTAGCATGTAGTGTGTGGTCTTTCTTCATTGGAAGAGCTATTTACGATTCCCCTATGCTGTAAAGATCGCTTACACATCTATGATAGTAGTTCAGGTCATGCGTCAGCGACTCGACATGACTAAAAAGGCTTTCCTATTGATTTCCATGAAGCAAAAGTAAAAAATATTATATTGCTTTCACATTTTGCTTTCATTCTACAGTTAAATACGTTTGATGAAGCATTCTATCTGAAAGAAATATGATCTTGATTTCGGGTCTGAATTTCTTGATATGCTCATATAAGGCAGATTTGGTGTTTTGATCCGCGAATCTATCAAGGTAGAAAGTGATGGTCTCTAAGTCAGGCCATAAACACTCATCTCTGCTTGAGCGTCGATCCTGAAAATAGTTAACTATATCCTGTAACTTGCCTAGGTGAGTCATGTCCACACCGCCAATTACCTCTCTTTCATCGTCATTTATCTCTTTTTCATTTGCCTTTGTGCCGTCCTCTTCTCTTACCTCTCCCTTACCAATCTCCCCCTTCTCCTTCTCCTTCTCCCTCTCCTTCTCCTTAGCAAAAGCCCTAAGGATATGTAGTTCCGACATACTGATGGCATCGTTACTATCAAATGAAGAGTTGCGCAATCGTAGGTCCCGCCATAGCCGTTTTAGTGACGTTTTGATTCTCTGAGAGGAAGAAGGGCAAGGACATCCTATGTAATGATCATACTCCCACTGAACCTTGATTTGGTCTCTTAAATCATAATGATAGTACCGTTTGATCCAATCGAACTGCAAACAAGTAAAACCACCCAAATGTAACCACTTCAATCGCTTCAGTCTTGATAATAAGCACACATGTTCAGGGTATTCTCTCAAGAAATACTCATCATGAATCAATAAATCCTCTAGTTCTGGACAGGCACGAACGAGATAACCGAGAACTACGCGCGCCATCTCATCCAAAGCTTTATCTCGACTCATTATTGGCGTAAACAGCATATGTAACGTCTTGAGTTGACGGCAGGCCCATACTTTTTGTTGAATAGGGTAATCATGCGCCTCATCTTCAGACAAATGACCCTTGTCATTGAGCTTCATCCTCAGGTCTTTTGTCACGTAGAACAATCGGATAGGACATCGGATTTCAGGCATCTTGAAATGTTGTAATTGAGGGCTGGAACATAACAGATGATGAACCCATTCTATAATCCGATTACTTGCCTGCTCATCAAGAGTATTAGTTCTGTATTTTGAGATCTCGACAGCTGTCAAAGCGTTGAGCCGTATGTGACGGTCCAGTAATATAGAACCTGAAAATGGAAGGCCTCTTTCCATGGACATCGTGGAAAACCCCCAGCGCTCGACCATTGGGAACTGTGGGATTGGAGCTATCTCCTCCATTACATAAGACCTTGAATTGCTGGATATAGATACATAGAGACTTTTGAGTTTCGGCAGATAAATTGGTGGCTGTCGTGTTGAGGATGATGATAGATCCAAGACTGGTGGTGGCGGTGAGGATAGTCGATGAAAGAACTGATCACTTGCTGTCTTGTAAAATAAAAAATTCGTGATTTGGCTAGGAACATTTTTCGTAGTATATATGGGCTGAGCAGAGATAATTCGAAGCTCATTGAGGTTGGGACACCTGTGGACAAAGGATTCGAGTGCTGTCAGAGATAGCCCTAAGTTCTCGAACGTGGCAGATTGTAATTGGCACTGACGCTCATTTTCAATAGTGGGATTGATGATGGTGATGATAGAAGTGGCGTTAGTGGTGGCTGAATGTAAGCTAAGATTAGCAAGGGTAGCAAAGTTATGATCACGATGCTCCTGCAATTTTGATGCCTGTGCTCTTATATTTGGTTTTAACGAGGCAATGCGTAGAGCCTGGAGGTTTGGACACGAATCGAGGATTCTATGGATAGGCACAATGCTCCTGAAGGGTATATTTTCCAATCGCAGGCTGGTGAGCCTATGGCCCAAAAAATGGAGAAGTGGCGTCAACCTTGACCAGGCTCTTTCACACCGGCCTGTATCCAGGATCAGTTGACGGATCCTGAGAGGACTGTTACTGACTCCATAACTAGAAATGCTATTGCTTATCGAAGGAGAGGCCGACGATGGCCATGTTATCGCAGTAAAGGCATCTTCAACGACCGTCCAAACTTCCTCTTCCTCTTTTAGAAACAGGAACTTCCTGCTTGCCGTTGACAGTAGGCTTGCATTGTAGACAAGAGTGTATGCTGACATTAACTTTTCCCTCAAGTCGTACCCAAGTTGTTTGAGGGCACGCCGTCTTTTCATCCTCTGCAACGAATTTCTAGGTGGGCCTCCACGACCATGCCCATAATCAAGTTGTGTAACGGCAATGTAGACTGTTTTCCTGATATGAGCCTGTGCAACGTGGTACCAGTGGCGACAGACTAAGGACACTGTGAAACGGAGTGTTCCCTGTCCAAGGTATGAAAAGATGTGCTCCAAGGTCTCTGTGGGGAATGCAAACATTTTGGAATGAAATAGTGTCAGCGAGTGAAGAGAGAAAGAGAAAGTAGAAAATGAGGAAACAAGTATATCAGCTTTTTCTTTTTTGTGGCAGTGCCTTTTTTTTAATAATTTTTTCTGCATTTTGCTGCCAATGATCTTTGACGATTTCAAAAAGAATACACCGACCCCTTTTCTTGGACCTCCCCCTGACTCAGTGTACGCACATTTGTTCCCAGCATCAGTTTCTGGTCTAGACTTGTCGAGATGTTTTTGCAGTCGAGGCTCAAGCAAGTTCTCAAGCACTTTCAATTGCTATAACAAGTGTAGATTGCTGAGTGATTGGACAGACTATCTAGGTGCTTTGGGTAGTCAACTCAAGCTTAAGAGAGATGGAAGTGCGACTGAAGTGTCCCAAAAAAAAAATTGGTGCTTGTTACTCATCCCCTAAGTAGGAAATCATTAGTGCGTTTTTTTAAAAGAATCCGACTTTGATCTCAGGTCTATACTTCATATTCGTAGGATATATTGTAGCATTGCCACATAAAGTCCAACCACGTCGGAAAGCGATGGTTTCTCAGTCAGGCCATAAATATTAGTCTCTACTTGTGTGTCGTTCTCGGAAATAGCTCACTATATCTTGCAGCTCACCAAAGTGAGTCATGTCTACACCATCTATCACTTCTCACTCTGCATTGTCTTCCTTTGTGTTGCTGTCCTCGTTGCTATTGAATAGGTGCCCCTCTTCTCTTCTCCTGATAGTTGGTCCCGTGAAGAGAAAAATATTCTGATAAACTGGCACTGTCCTTATCATCATCGAATGAGCGACTGAATGACCGTATATCCCTCCAGAGCCGCTGCAACGGCTTCCCGGTCTTTCGAGAAGCAAAAGAATAAGTATGGGTGATGCTTTTATGCACCGATGTTAACGCTACAGAAGTGGTCAAATGATTCAAAATTTGCGTTCACTTTTGGATCTGGCCTTTTTTTTACATGTATTCAACAGATTGGTGACGTTCTCAAATATGAAAATCGATTACTATTATTTCTTATTATTCTGTTTTTATAGAGCGATGAAAAAGAAGTCATTCTACTGTCTATTCTCTAAATAAACCTTCCGGAAAGCAAACTTCTTAACAGATGTTTGGGGCGCCTCCTCCTCGATCTCCTCAGGTTCAGTACTCAATTCTTTTTTATCTGCAAGCGTCGCAGTGACACTTTCGGGATCTTCTTTTTCCTCCACATCCAAACGACCCTCTTGAGGACGCTTCAACGATGGGTGAACACCAGGGTTTCCATCAACAGTGATGGCCCGGTCGTGGCTGTATACACGGAGGCCTAACATCAGTTGCCATCGTTGCTCCTCTAGTTGCTTGGGCTTGTTATTATTTGCCTCATAATCCTCATCATCTACACCCAACAGCTTCCTTCCTGTGATACGTGCCATAGACATAGACCGGACCAAAGTAGCTTTACGCTGTTGGAACATGTATGAACTCTTATCCATTTTGACAGGATCTACAACGACCTCTACATCATCAATGCGTGTTGAAGGATTGATGGCATTATCAGTACTACTATTCTCGGTATCGGGCCGGATATCCGTGGGTTCGCGGTGAACATGGGGGATGACTGTGTACGTGCCTGCTGCAAGTTTGAGTTCACAATTGACACTACGCCGAGAATAGGGGACTGTGATTTTGGCGCGTCGGATCAGTTTCTCATCCTGATCATAGACGTGGAACGACAACGTATAGATGAACTCTGCATTGAAGGCTCCATAATAACGGGTATCGGGTTGAGACAGCACGATGACGGTCTCACCAGGTTGATTAAGCTTGAATTGGAATTTGCCGCTTGAACGAGGTTCAACATTGTAAGGGATCCAGCTAGAGGCGACAGACCAGGTAGCATCAAAGACTCTGCATCGGTCAATAGTCGTAAAGATTCTCAGAAATTCATCATAGGGCATCCAGAATCGCCCGTCATCCTTGTCCTCCAATTTAAGGGTCTTGATAGCGTCCGGTGTCCATTTGTCGGATTGATCTGACCAGTCCCCATTCCATTCAATCTTGCCCCATGGGTTGCGGATCTTTTAACGAAGATTGTAGATGGTAGGCCGATATAGGCAATGTAAGAAAGGGAGGAGGGGAACGGGAGTGCATGTGGGCTAGTTGATGAGAGACAGTCCTGTATAAACCGCTGCAACCCTCTTTTTTTTTTTTTTTTTTTTTTTTTCGTAGAAAACAAGTCTGTGAGGGTTTGACAGTAAGATATAGTAAAAAGAAAACTCACATGAACAAGGCGCTCTCCGTCATATTCGGCAACGTTAAGAACACTGTAAGCATGTCCAGACTGGATTCCATGATTCTCTGGATCACTTTCTTGGTAGTTAATGGAACATCCCATGAGGGTAACCTTGTTAACTTGCTTCATCTCCTCTTCCCAGAATCGATCCTTGTCTAAGATATCACTGCTGAACATCATAGAGGCTGTACCTCCTGTTAAATCTTCAATTCCTTCTGATGTATAGCCTCCTGTTAAGGTTTCGTAATCCCCATGGATCTTTGCATAAGCCTTTTCCATCAAGGGCAACCATGATTCCCGTTCCTCATAACAAGAACTGAAATAGAGGGATCGGCTATGTGTCACTGGATCGATCTTGTAAAACATTTGATCATCCACAACGGTCGAAACCCAATCGCCATCTTTAAAGAAGATGAATCCATAAACACCCACTTGCTCATTCTTCTTGACACAGAGTTGCTCCAAAAGTCCTGGAATGTTGGAAATAACGGCAAGAGATGCCACAAACCAACAATCTCCTACAGAGCCCTAAAAAAAAAAAAATTCAACCATTAAAAAAGCATGCAGATAATTAATAATAAAAAAAACCGACCCACAACTTATTGGACCTCTCTCCTTTCCTTTCTTTTCCTCGGAAAACATTGCAACTCATTTCTCTGGTACACTTTCCCCTACGACTTCAGCTGACAAAGCCAAGCCAATAATATATTGAAAGAAAGAAAAAAAAGTACCTGCTTGATATCATCAGGACTAGCGCCATTCAAGAAAAAGACTGGGTTTTTGAACAAATCCGTGATACGTTTAGTTCCTGCAATGTCTTTGTAAACGGTCTCACTGATCAAGGATGCGTAAAGACAGTTACGACGATCATTCAACAAGTCGAATTTGGAGTCTCGAAACTTGACATTCTTAGCCAAACATTCTTCTACAATAGCATCGACCTTGGCAGCACAGGCCTCACGAGCAGCCACCATGGCCGATGTAGCCACCAACGTTACAGAGGGCAATTGGAGTGTCTTGTTATGCTTGGCTACAGCGGCCACGATAGTCGACAGTGCCTCGTTGGAGATTTTTTTGCTGGATTTGAATTTCTTGGGCATGGACAGGTACAGGTGCAGGTAAATATGAGAGAGAGAGAGAGAGAGAGAGAGAGAGAGAGAGAGAGAGAGAGAGAGAGAGAGAGAGAGAGAGAGAGAGGGAGAGAGGGGAGGAGGGAGAGAGAGGGAGAGAGAGAGTAAAGTGTTTGAAAGTAGTACAGTGAGCGAGAATGATAAAAAAAAAAAGAAAGAAAGAAAGAAAATAAATGGTTGTTTTATGCATAGACGCTAAAAGTCGCACAGACAAAGTTGTTGTTGTTGTGTTGTTGTTGTTGTTGTTGGTGGGCCAGTCATGCAACAACAAACAACAGCAATGCGCAACATGGGAAAGAGAGAATCACTCTCTGTTTACATGTACACCAGATTACAGTTTTTTACCTTTTCTATTGTTCTTGAGTCTTTCGCTTCAATTGCTACAAAAAAAGGATTAAAAAAAAAAAAAAAAAAAAAAAAAAAATTACATAACATGTTGGCGATCATCCAGAATCTACGCCTTTCTCAGCCATAAAATAAAATAATCCTTACACAAAAATATTTTCTCTCTTTCTACCCTCCACGAGGGAAAGGAAAAAAAAAAAATGGTGGCAGTGTTGAGATGTCACAGGGCGCAGTGGGCAGTGGGTAAGTAACTGTTCATGTATTTTTATACACTTTATACACCCGTTGCTCAAAGAGTGCTAACAAAAGAGCAATTTCACTCCAAAGCTTTAGTCTCGGTTGCAACTCCAAAATGTTTATATGCTTTCCTTCCCCTTGTTGAGGTTTAAAATAGACACAGCGTTTTTGTCCGTTGGCCAGTTATCATAATAATCTACTACTCTCTTTAATCCATGTGTCTAGAACCTATTATCAAATAATCCATGCTTAAATCTCTGTTTGGTATCCTTGCTTTGCCTTGCCTTGTCTTGACCATGCTTTACCTTACTTTTCTTTGCCTTGCTTAACCAAGCATTATTAAAGTTTCACCAAGCAAAGTCCTGCAACATCCAATTTGTTTTATTATTATTTATTTATTTAATCTCATGGCATAAGCAGAATACAAGAAGCCCTTGCTCTCTCCTCAAAGAAGGAGGTATTAATTGGCCCATGCGCGCCCGATAATGCTAACCATCCGTTACCACAATGCGTCGAATTAAAGAAAATAGGCATTCCTGCTGTTAACCGAAAGATACACATCTTTTTATCACTATCGTTACTACTACTCTTATTATTATTATTATTATTTCACCACTCTTCTCATGCTTCAGCAAACGCAGCTCAGAAGACTTTTCTTTTAAAATGCAAAGTTGGAGATCAAAGATTGCTAGTAGCTTTGCAATCTGAAGTTTCTTTTTTTTTTTTTGACCGACCACTTTCCTTTCCTGTCTCGCCTGGTCTCCAAGCAGAGCTGTCCTTTTTCTGTTTGCTTGTTTTCTTTTAAGAGCATTGGCTGACTGGCAAGGTTCAAAGGGTTAAACGCAAGTTTCTTTTTTTTTTTTTTTTTTTTCTTTCTTTTATTACCCATAGAGACAAAGATGCAAGCTAAATAGATGATGGGAATACATAAAATATAAACAAAAGATATACTTGGTATGGATACGTTGATGAACAAGGAGTAAAAAAAAGCGCGCTTCGCTTAGAGGACCTTTTCAGCGGACAAGAGGCGTACGTTCTGTAGGTTCGCCATTCTGGCCATGGCCCTTACCCTTGCTCTTGTTCTTGTCCTTGTTCTTTCCATTTGCATGATCATGATGGCTGTTATTGTCATTGTTATTGTTGTCGTTATTGCTATTCTGGTGCGAGCTTCTACTAGGGCTACGTCGGCCAGGGCTCCTACGTCCACTTCCTTGTTCCAAAGAAGGTGAAGAGGGTTGGCGAGACTTATAGCAGCAGCAGCACAAAGTCTCGCCAATTTTGTTGTATACACGGTCGAAAAAGCTGGATACCCTTTCAGGGATGATAGACTTTGTCTTGATAATGCGCTCTGGACGTAATCTGTCGGATGAATCAAAGCATACGCGCAGACAAATCTAAAGGAAGAAGAAAATGATATTAATATGTATTCATATATCACAGACTGTGATTATTTGTAGCATTGCCTTTATGAACAAATGCACTTTTTTTTTACTAGCGCATCCTACCATGACAGAGGAAAGAGTACCGAATGCAGCAGCACCCGAGATCAAGAACATAATGATTTGCTGCGACTTGGCAGCATTCATGACAGATGCTCCTGCAATAAGTTGACCAGTCATCATCCCTGGGATCGAAATCAATCCAATAATGCTACGGAGTTTCATTATCATTATTTTTGAAAATAAGAAAGTCGCTGTTAGAATTTTTTTTTTTTTTTTTTTTTTTTTTTTGTTCAAATCGATCAACAGCTGTGCTAAGCGTGAAAGAGGGAAAATAAAAGAAAAAGAAAAAATATTATTCCGTAGTTTTCCATTGTTGTCTACACACCTCATCTGATTAATAGTAGGTAACATAGCACGACGCATAGCCTCGATTGCAACTGGACGGCATGCTTCCCAACGAGAGGCACCCAAGGACAAGTAAAGTTCGATCTTTTCCTTATTCTCGCTGAGGAAAAAGATTCAAAAATTAAAATAGGTATGACGTTAGTCGTCGATGTATGTATATAAAAAAGCGTTATATTATACAGCTATCATTCTTAAAACATCGAACTGAATTCCAAGAGAATAAGACGAACCTGAGTTGACTAAGGCATTGATCCAGGCCTAAAGAGATGGCTGTCATTGTGTTTCCAAGCAACATTCCCAATGCTGATACATTGCAAATGATTATAAAAAAAATAAAAATAAAATAAAAATAAAATAAAATAAAAATAAAAAAATGAATGGATAAGTATAAAACGAGCGGAAGGAAGGTGATAGATTCCTAATTGCTGCTTTGCTAACCAACCTGGGATAAATTCCTTGGGGGAGTGAAGTGGATCAACACCCATGGCAAGTCTCGTTCCTAAGTGAAAAAAATTAATCCAAGACCAAGGATGTGATTTTGCATTACAAGGTAGCGAGAATGTTAGTTTGGTTCATCGCGAATGAAAAGTATATTTTTAATCAACATAATGAAATGACAGCATCATGACCAAGTATAAAATAAAATAAAATTTAATTAATGTGCGATTCTACAAGGATGTAGGCATTGTGGCGTTGAAGCATTGTATTGAATAATAGGTAAGACAAACTTACCAAACGTTCCAATGATTAAACAACTGCACCCCATTGAGACCAAGACAGATGGAAACTAAATTAACCAGAGGAGTAACTTTTAGGCAATCAATTGTGACGATCATGACATCAAAAAAAAAAAAAAAAAAAAAAAAAAACATATTGCAATAAATCCATGGGGTAGCCCCCTGTTTTAGCAAAACGTTACCATGTAGATGTGGCGACGCTTGCTCACATTGAACACAGCCTCATAGGCACCCAAGGAAGTGAGTAACACTGTGAGAACAAGGATTTAGGAAATGTTGTTATTCATAGCATACAAATATAAAAAATATAAAAACGACTCATGAGATACAACGTCTTGACTTACGCGCCATGAGTATGACCAACACTGGACTGTTGGCGCTGAATATGTTTTCGAGCACCAAACCCTTTGATATGAATAATTCGTTGGAATAAAATCAAAAATAAAATAGTTAATTATAAGATTTAATTATCACGGCTTGAAGTGCTTCCATTTTTTTTGTGGCCTGTTTATTACTCATACCATAATACTTAGCTGAACCACACAGCGAATGGCGCTGATAAACAAACGCTTCTCAAGACCAAGTCCCAAAATGATTGAAAGAATACCTATAGACATCGTGAAAGGAAGAGACAGAAGTCGAGCAGAATGAATGGCTCTATCCTCCTTTTTTTTTTTTTTTTTTTTTTTTTTTTTTTTTCATAAGAGTGAATTTATTTATTTTACCATTGGTGAGAATGAGAGTTGAAGCAATGGCGACATGGTACCATTGCAATTCCACCATGGGTTTTTGTCCATCTTTCGACTCATCTCCCGCTACAAACATTGCTGACAAGTCCATTATAAGTATTGAAATTGCCCTGTATTGATGTATTGATGAGTGTGGTTATGTTTGATCAAGCAAAAAAAAAAAAAAAAAAAAAAATTATCAAGAGGAATAGGAATGGCAATGAGAAGTAAAAAAAAGGGACACAACACTGACAAAGAAGGAAGACAAGTGATGAAGGGTTGAGTATGTGTATGTAAGAGGAGGAAGATATGGGAAGGCGAGGAAGATATGGGAAGGCGAGGAAGACAATGAATGAAAAAAAAAAAAAAAGTTGTTACGCCTTTTTCTTTTTGTTTCAATGCACACAGTGACATCAAAGGCCCAATCTGTATTGCATCAGAGCCAGTCGGAGTATTCTTTCCTTTTTTGGATGGTTTAATTGACAAAAAAAAAAATTTGCATCTCTTTCTTTTTTTTGTCCATCTCTCTTTCTCTCTTTCTTCCTGCAAGATGCCCTTTAGTTGGTGTGTTTGTGTGTATGCGTGTGTTTATCAATCATGCATTGCATTACTCTATCTTTCTCTCCATCATCGGACTAGAATTTGATTATTAAACATCCCGCACCGCTCTTTATAATTTAATCTCTTTTCTTTCGCAAACTTTACACACCATTGGTACCATCTACTTGCAAACTAAAGCCATTACAAACAACAAGGCGTTACATTAATCTCAACATCTCTTCATGGGTACAAAAAACAAAGTACATTCGTAACACATTGATACATACAAAAACATTCACTGGTCTACAATCTTTCCTCTTCTTAATCGAGCAAGGAAAAAAGATATCGATATCATTATATTAGCAAACTATAGAATGAATGAGTGAATGAATAAATGAACAAAAAAAAAAAAAAAAAAAAAAGTACAATGGCGACAAAAAACCCCTCACTCTCTCATGTTCTCACAATCTACAATATACTTGGTTTGACTGATGACTGCCTAGTGTCGATGTTGGCAACACTATTTCCTCTGCTCCCCTTGCTTGTTTGTACTTGTATTCACAACTGGATCATGAAGCCTTACGCGTTCCCGCTCTTGCTTCGTATCCCGTACGGCCTGGAAACCCTTCTTGGCTTTATCCCATGTATGCCTCATAATAATGATAATGATCGTGACACCTTCAACAATATAAAACAATCCTCGAATGACCCACGACAACATAATCAACAACATATCCATCCATGGGTTCTCAATCCTCTTCAGGTTCATAACCTGGATCTGTTCTTCCACATCCTTCAAGTTCATAAAATACGACTCGTTCCACTCCTTTGTAAATTTGTCCACCACAAACTTGAACTCTGCCTCTTTCCTGACCAGCTGGTCCCCTGTAGCTTCATGGAGTTGCTTGAGCCTCTGACGGCACTCCACCAAATATACACTCATCTCATTCATAGCTTCTCGCGTCGATGTGATACTGTTCCTGAATGAATAAGGTACAGACGTGCTAAGTGATGACATCGAACCCCCCATATCTCTTAAAAGAGAAAGGTTGCGTTGTTGTTTCCTTGCATTATGAATCATGGACGATATCTCGGTAGGGCCTCTCTGGAGCCCTGTATTCGTGCCATTTCCTTCTTCTTCTATTCCTTCAGCGCCACTTACTCTAACCATTCGCTTGACTGTCCTGTCAAGCGCGGACCCATCAGCGACTATTCCACTTTCTACCCCTTCCTCTTCTTCTGCCTTTTCTCCTCCTTCTTCTTCTTCTTCGGGCTCCTGTACCAATACAGAATCCTCATATAACTGCCATGACCCCTCATTAGCACTTCGTGTATATCTTTGGATCGCATTAGCTCTTTTCTTTGACCAATTATCAATGTCCTTGATCCATTTCTCGCCTTGGTCCAGTTCATTGTCCACACGTGATTCCAACATGTCCCATCTGCGACCTCGTTGTTTCGAATCAACGTCTTCAGACTCTTCAACGCCCAGCATTAAATGAATCTCGAGCACATCAATATCATCAAGGTGATGAGGATACTGTGGTGATGATTTCAGCTCTTTAGGTATCCCAACATATTCTTCGTACGTTGGAGGTGGTTCTGAGGATGTCCACATTGCACTCAGATCCACTACAAAATGAATCCATTTTCATTCGGTGTACAATGATATGCAAGATCAAGGAGGGGGAGAAATAAAATAAACGCATTAAGTTTAATACCAGCTAAATCGTAGTAAAACAATAAAAAATTTTTTTTTTTTTTACCTGTGTCAGCGGACCAATCCATATTAGTAAGCTCCGGTCGCAACTTTAGCTTCTCAAGGAGTCGCTTAGGAATACGATCTGTATCCAAAATATAGACTATTGGTTTGGCCGTTTCAACTCCTGCTCCATTTGCAGCCATGTCCTCTATAAATGATGAAGAAGGTACCATCATTGGTGACTTTGTTGTCTTTGAAGGGTTTATCATCGGCGACCTGCTCTCCAAGTGCCCCATAGGATGAACCGTGGGAGAAGCGTTACTGTTGTTATTACTATTACTGGTGCTGACATTAATGCTGTTGCTATTGCTGTTGCTGTTGCTGTTATTATTATTACTGCCGTCGATACCATTATTGATATTGTTATTATTATTATTGTTGCTACTATTGTTATCATTCCATGAAGGATTTATAATAGATGTCCTGGTGCCCGTACGATAAACTGAGGTCTGTTGTGCCGTCGAGGGGCCAACGCGAGGTGAATTGGTTCCTGCGCCCTCTAAGCCCTTGACAGCTTCCAGGTTAGGCGAAGAATTGCTACTCAAAACTCTATTGGTTGTCTATTTTTTATTTTATTTTTTTTGCAATAGCAATATGCTAGATGAGTTTTTTTTTTTTTTTTTTTTTTTTTTTTTTGTAACAACAATTATGTATAAAAAAAAAAAAAAAAAAAAAAAAAAAGACTTACTTTAGGTCGAGATCCTTCAATTGAATTTCTTCCAGAAGATGGCTCGCTGGCTGGTATACGCATAATACTTTTCTCATGCAAATGAGCTAATGTTGGATCAAATTTCTTCCCTAATGATTTGGAACTATCTGTTGTGAACGAAGAGAACCGCTGTTGCAGTTGTTGCTGGTTGGAGCCTTGTGAAGTAATTTGAGCGATTTCACCTTGTTGAATCGCTGAAAGCGTCTTGTGTCCACGCTTCCATAACATTTTATCCTTGATTCGACGTAAAGATGACCGCTAGAAATGAATATAAAAATAAAAATAAAAATAAAAATAAAAAATAAAAAATAAAAAATATCACCACCATTAGTTTGTAACATGAAAATGTGAAAATGAACCGATGAAAATACCAATAAAGTTATTTGGTACCTTGTTGTTTGCTGTAGCTACATTGTCGCTCTCATCCTGGCTCTCATCTATACGTTCACCTTGTGGCCACTGCGATGGAGGCGTATAATGTCCGCCATTATCATCGTCCATAAAGATACTATTCCTCGCGCTAATGGTTTCAATAGTTGGTAAAGCTTCCTCCAATGACGCCCCACGCTTTGCATGTGAATCTAGGGTCACCGCATGATTACTACTAATGTTGGGCGAAACTATGGCGTCTGAGCTTGCATGGCCTCGCTGTGTCGAATTAGATCCATGAGCAGAAGAAATGTATGGATTATCCTGGCTCTCCATAGATCGCCGCTCCTCTGTGGTGGTCAGTCGATGACCACTACCACCATAGCTTGGATGCTGTGGTGATTCATGGTGTACCAGCTGATCAATGTCCTGACCAACCTTTTTTCCTCGCACACCAAATATTCCCAAGAACGAGTTTCTTTTTGAGGATGAAGCTTCTGAATGAGATCTACCCTGTATAATATGTTGTTGTTGATCGCCTTCAAAGTGTTTAAGGGTCGATGCTGTAGGCTCTACATTCCGAAGTTTACTTTCTCCTGAGCCTTCCCGCCGTGACGTAGGATGAGGAAGAGGATCCAAAGACGAGGATGAATTAGTGGTAGAATCGACAGTATGGTTTGTATTGTTAATTGATGAGGATGTACTAGATGGAGACAACCCTATCGATACAGGCTGTGCATCGATTACCACCGTCGATAAAGGCGAGTCATGATAAGGACGATTGGTGATAACTTTTGCCCGTCCCTGAGGGTCTGTTGATGATGCTTTGTCGATAGTTCCAAAGCTATCTGTAGAAGTTGACGACAGAGTTTGATGCTTGGCCTCAATTGAAAGTGCGTGTTCCGTTTGAAGGAGATCCTGTTGTGATGCTTGTCGAGAGTTGGGTTCACTTGTCTGCTTTGTGGAAACGGTTGAAGCTGTAGCCTTGAATTTTTCCTCCATACGATCTACATCCCAGATACAACTCGATTCCTGCACTTTATCCACAAATCGATACTTGTCTATTTTAGTTAATCGACGTGAAAGCTTGGTATCATGTGCGGATTTTGGTATTGAAGCTGGATTGATCTGTGGAAGAATCTCGTGCAGCTTTCGCAAGCGATTGATGGGCTGTCCTACATTGATTGATTGATATAACTGTGTATATCTGGATTCTAAATACGACTTGCATGAACTGGAGAGCTGAAGCGTTTTCTCTGACGGTTGAAAATTAGTTGCTATTGTAAAATTGTATAAAAACAAAATATACACACTCATAATTTAATGTGAGTAACCGATTGAACACTATTATAACTATCCCATTTATACATTACTTTCATGAGCACATGAGAGTATCATCTTCCCCGCCATGCAGTTGGTGAGCCATAATATTATTCTTTTTGTCCAATACAATGTTTCCTCCTTTTTTTTTTATAAAAATAATGTCTTTTTTTTTACCTAAGGCAGTATAGGTGATTGGTAAGGACACAACACGCTGCCGCTTCTGTGCTGGATTGTTATGCTCGACTCTCTTTTTAGTCATCTCTGTCAACTTGTAGACGTGATCATCATCAATTGACTCTACTAAACTCTGTATACTGCTAGAAGGCTCTATCGATGATCCTGGAAATCTTGCATCATTGTGATGCTTAGGATCAAACTCTCTCCTTTCAAGCCCTTCACCTGCCCCTACTTCTCTTCTTCTTCCTTCAAAGATCCCTGTAGCGGCAGCAGTAGCCAATGATGGCGATGATGTTGCCATTGTATTAGTATTGCTAACGCTGCTTGAAGCCCTATGTATATCAGATGAATTCACATCATATCCATGCTCTCCTGCTTCACGATCTAATGATGAATGGGATGGATGTGATCCTGGAAGGCGTGGAACACGGGGGGACCTAATAGAAGCGCTGGGTATAAGTGGTGACTGGTCATTGTAAGGACCTAACCAGCCAGTTGGAGTGTGCTGGTGACGAGGGGATGATAGTTCTGCTCGGACTCGATGTCGTCCAGAGACATGCAAGTCCTCTGAATGGACAGCAAGGGTAGGATGAGGTGATTTGTGTTGGTTCTGACTGGAAGTTTGTTGCGAATGAGAGGATGATGGGTTATTCTCGTAGGACGAGCTCATTGTCCCACGTTTCGGCTGTTATTGTTGTCGTTGCTGTTGGGTTCTTCTCTATTATTATTATTATTTTTTTTTTTTTTTTCTTATCTCTCTTTATTGGCAAAACTAAAAGACTGAAGGACAAGTGTACAAAAAAAAAAAAAAAAAAAAAAGTGGTGTGGTAAAAAGAAAGGAATAAGAGACAGGACAAGAGGGAGAGAGACGAGGGGAAGAAAGATGGAAGAAGGTGGTAAGAAAGGATGAGAAGGAGCAAGAGAGTGAGAAAGAGAGCGTGAAATGAGACAGGAAGAGAGCGAGTTAGAGTGAGAGATGGAAGGGAAGGAGCAAAGAAGGGAGTGGAATTGGACAATGCACTTTGCACACAATTGTATAGATGGTCGTATATAATATGTGAATTTAAAGTCTATACATGACTCGCAGTAGGGCAGTCACTCATTATTTCATTTGGTCATTTGGACATTTGTTTTTCCCGCCCAAAGTCCAAAAATGCATCCAAAAGCAACAGGGGAGGACATGAACTGAGTGGCGTTGCATTTGCTTATGATAATACACAGCTTAGCTGGAAGCAATTTTTAATGCCAATTGCTATTTCTTTTTTAGACAGCCCTCCTTTTGTTATTATTCTGGTCTAGTCAACGTGCATCCCTTTTTCTATTGATAAAATTCCTGCATAATGGTGATTCACATGGTCATTTTACGCTCTTTTGCACCACAAGAACTTGAATATTTGATCGTTGCATGTGGGGATGCGATATCAAGTTCCACATCGGTTAGAAGCGATATTGCCAAGAAATGCATATGCAAACACCTTTAAAGCTGCCCTCTCTCCCCTACTCCACATGCTTTAGCCAAACAGACTAAAGTATCGTTCCTAGGATTGTATAGGATGGATTTGCACACCCTTCTGGGACTAGTGTTTGTTTTCTGTATTGTATATTGATAGCTCTGTAACCCTTCTCTACAACGACTAATGCAACATTAAAACAAAGACGAGTACAAAATAAAATGTCGCGTGTGTGGTGCATGTGGATCTTTGACGTACTCTGTATAATCCTGGACATGTAACTAGGTTATTCAGGGCTAATCCTCATGTCATTGTAGGGACATCACCGGCAACAACAGCAACAACAACAACAACAAGAACAACAATGGAATATGAGCCGGGACACATGTCATTATTTAGGTACCAGTAGCCTCGTAGTTTATAACAAATATAGTACCAATGATTACAAGCTACATCCCCACATATTATATATGCTATCCTCCTTGCTCAATACCATACAAACTGCAGCTTGAGCATTTGTTGAGACCTCTAAGATGAAGGCCTTTTTTTGTGTAATGCAATTCCCCCCCACACATTAAATATCCTTTCATTTCTCCACCCGCTCCCCTCTTTCTTTCACACACGCATCCGTGACAAATTACTCTTTCTCCTTCTTTCCTTTTCTCATGTTTCTTTCTCTCTCCCTCCCTCTCTCTCAAATTTGATTACACTTTCTCTTTCTTCTCCTCTCACTTTTGCCAGTCTAAATTCATTATATTTATTTTTTTACCTTTCTCATTTTTATTAAAACTTCTCTCTTATTCTCTCCAATACAAACTCTAAAGCTCCTCCTCAAAGTCAGTTTTATTTCAAGATGAGTGATCCTCCATCAAATCAAGTGTTGGCCATTCCTGAAATTCTTTCCATGATTATGAATCAACTGGATGGACCTACCGTCAAAACTGCTTCTCTTGTCTGTCAGTCTTGGTACCGTCACGCCCGTTTAATTCTTTGGCGTCAATTCATTGTCAAGGATTGGTACAGCCCAGACTTGACGCCCCTCTGGCCCGTGCTTGACCGACAAGGCGATGCTGTCCATGCCATGAGTCTCGAACTCACTACTTCTGCAAGGATAAAGACCGAGATCAATGAAGATCAAATCAAATTTCGGCTCCTCAATTTACTCCAACGGATTCCTAACCTCGAATCCCTACATCTACAAGTCCCCTACGAAATCAAAAGTAACCACATTGTCTCCACCATCGCATCTCATGCTCCACGTCTCAAAGAATTTGAAAGTGATATTCGTGATTGGGATGCGACTGACATGGCCCATCTTTTGACTGGATGCTCAGATCTACGTATGATCGCTGGTCACAACTTCTCGGGTCATGTTCTAGAGGCAATCGCAGAGACTCAACCTTCACTCAATCAGATCGACTGTACTCATCCTCGCTTTGATGATGATGAATTGGTCGCATTCGCAGAAAAGTTTCCACACCTCTTGAGACTTTCTATTTCTTTACATCAAATGTTGACTGCCAAGGCCTTGATAGGGATCGCAAAATATTGTCATCAGATCGAACATCTAGATCTTCATTTCTGTCTTTGTCTTCAATCCTCAGGTTTTCAAGCCCTCTTCCCAGTCTTGCCCAATCTACGTTTCTTGAATCTAGGACCCTCAGAAATCAACGATGAGGATCTGAGTCTCGTAGCAGCTCATTGCCCCAAACTGGAGACACTCAAGCTCCCATTCTGTGCCAACGTCTCCCATATCAGCGTCACCGCTATTGTTCAATCTTGTCGATATCTTCGACATTTGGATATCTCTTGGTGTGATAGAATCCTACTTTCTATTTTTGCGGCGCCAGAACCCTGGGTCTGTGACAAATTACAATATCTCGATATTTCAGGCATCCATGCATTTTACTCTGTTGAGGCCTCTATGGCCTCAGCACTCCTACCAAACATGTATCAGCAACTCGCTCGGTTAAATCGATTAGAACACCTCAGACTATCAGGACACTCATTCGCTTTACGACTATTGGAGGTTGGTCGCCCTTTTCTATCACAACTGAGACAGCTGAAAACTTTAAATATTGAAAAGCTGAAACATCCATTGCCCTGGAAAGAGATCATCCAGATCGGAAACTTGTTTCCCAGATTGAAAGAATTCAAGTTTCGGAGTACTGATGTGATCCCACCTTTATCAGAGACAGAAACCATAGCCATCAAGAAAGCATTAGGATCACGTGCGCTACAAACACTCTTCACAGGCATACAAGCTCAACCAGGAGAACCACTATTATTGACGAAGGCTGGAGCTTCGACGGCTAGAGCATCCGCAATGGTTTCTTCCTCTTCTTCTCCTTCTTCTTCATCACCATCATTATCTTCTACTTCATTGGCAGTAGATTCATCATCATCGGCAGTAACATCATCATCAGGGTCGATACCAACAACAACAGGAACAGGAACAGGAACAGAAACAGGGACAGGAACAGAGACAGTTATAATTTCCACGGTTCAAGGCTCCTCAGGTATATCTGAACCCAACATTAGTGACGATAATATTGATACGAAGCTACCTTTATCGAAGCGAAGACGATCAAGGTCGCCATCACCATCATCATCATCACAACCGCTGCCATCACAATCATTATTCGGAACTTCTGCTAATAATGCATTCACCTCACTATCAACATCCGAGCAACAAAGATGGCAGGAAGACACAAGTAATAGTCCTAATGGGCTGAAGAGCCATAGCCAAGATGAAAAACAACAACGGCAGGAAGAATCTAATATGCCTGGCATTATCAAGGCTACGTTACATTCAGGTCTTGAGATTTCGTTTCGATTGGATGGTGAAGATGAAGAAGAGAACCCAGATGGAGAGCCAGAAAGGTGATTCCCATTAAGGATCCCTTGCTAGTATTGGAAGAATTATAAAAAGTAAAAAATAATGCTAAACCATAAAGATCATGACAAAAGCTTTTTAACACTTAGTTCTTTTATTCACTTTCTCAATCAACCTTCTACATTGGATAATATACTTTTGCTTATGGGATTCGGTATAAAGCAAAAAAAAAAAAAGAAGTAGAAGTAGTTAAATAGGATAAATAAACAAGAGATGGATGATATAGATGATTACAAGTAATTTTTTTTCCTTGCTTTTTTTTAAGCCGCAGGAGTAGGGGCAGGGGGCACAGGGTAATAAGGCTCGCCCTCAAGAGGGCACAAGTCATAGCGAGTACCCCACCATGCAGGAAACTCAACCTCGCGAATGGTGAAGAGGAAGAAGGACAGCAAGACCATGAAGGCCGTGCCTGAATCAAAGGCTGCGGACAAAATATAGGTGAATCGCAAATGCCAGTCGGGGTGATAACGACGAGCAAAGAATTGGAAAGCGAATCCGAGAGCCAACCAATTGGTATAGTGGTAAGCTTGGGCGGGAGGCATCATTCCTGTGGCAGCCAACAAGACTGGGATATGGACATAATCCAAGAAGGTGTTGGGGAAGACTTTCTTGAGGTAATAGAATGGAATAGGCAACAAGAATCCCAAAATGAAGAAGTAGTTGATGGCATTGTAAATCGAAGTAGGTCCGAACATACGATCAGGAGCAATGACACCCCAGATGACTGATGCAGAGTAGAAAGTATTGGCAGAGGGACATTGGAAGTCCTTAGACTCCTTAGTACAGATGTTGGGCTGGCTGCTCAACAACCAGTTGGCAGTCAACAAGTTGACCAAGCCAGCAATGACGGTGCCAAGAAGCTGAGCCCAGAACATGGCGCGTGGTGGGACCTTCATGTAGTGACCCAGCTTGAGATCGGATGTAAAAGTCATAGCCTGGGCCATGGAGATATAACCAAGGGTCTTAAAGGTAACATTGGCAATGGCACGACCGGGGAGCATGTAACCAATAACGTACTCAGTGATAATGTTGAGACCAGGCTGCTGGTTCGTAATGGCTTGGATCAGACCGACGGGAAGGGCGAAAATAGCAGCAATAGCAATCGCCAAGAGGACACCCCACCATGGAAGTTTGTAGTCCCAGACTTCGCAGGTGACCACAGCGATGACAGTCATGATAACAAAGAGAGCAGCGTACCACCAGTCAGGAACCTCAGGGTAGGCTTGCATCAACCTGTGGTGGATATCTTCAGAATGCTCGCGAGACTGCTTCCATTGGGCAACCAACTTGTGGCGGTGATACAGCCAGGTGTGAGTCATCATGGAGGAAAGACCAGCGAAACCAATACCATAGGTCAAGGCAAAGAAGGTCGAGATACGAAGAGAGCCATATTCCTGGTACTTTTTCTCATCCAAGACATTGTTGGTCAAAATCTGTTTAGTATCGTAATGATGGCCCTCAGTTGTGAAGAGGGATGGAGTTAGAATAGGGAACTTCTTGGCATCCCAGAGGTTGGTGTAGTACGCAATAGGGACCATGACCCAAGCAATGAGGACAAAACCAAGACCGATATTAACCTGAGCCCACCAGGGAATAATGAGGGGTGAACCCAAGAAGGAAACAATGTTGTTCCAGTCAAGTGAAATAGCTCCGAATCCGAGGCCACCAGCACCGGTGAGCTGAGAAAGGACCAAGTTATCAGGCTTGATCCAGCAGATCCAGGCAATGGAGCTGAGGACAGGGAAGATGAAACCTGGGATCCAAGCGTACAAGAACATGCCTGAAGTGGCAACCAAGAAGAACTTGAAGCGAGACCACTGACCAGGAGCAAGCTCCTCATCCTTGTGCAAAGTATTAAACAATGCAACCTGGACCAAATTGGCGGGCCAGATCATAGCAGCAGGGTAGACAAGGTAACGACGGAGAACGCCAGCCATACCATAACCCAACATCTGTGTGCAAAGAATAAGGAGGAAGTTGGCAAGGAAACCAAAGTCCTCACCATAGAAGACTTTTTGGATGACTGTGATATCGACTGCATAGGCAGTACCACCAGCACAGTTGGCGGTCAAGGCGACCAAGACGTGTTCTTTGATGGAGAAGGGGCCAGGGTTAAGAGGACCAGCGGGCAAAACACGGGCGAGAAATCGACCAAAGGGGTAAGACAACAATTGGATGACCAATGTCGAGATTGTCATAGGATGAGTGCGGAACCAGCTATGGTTTTTTTTTTTAAAGAAAATATGAGGAATATACTCTGGTGAGCGATGGAATTGAAGAAAAAAAAAGCTGCTATTTGATATTAATGAGAGGCTTTTGAGAAAACTTACAAGAACTGGTTGAAAAATGAAAGGATAAGTGAAAAGATGATGGCCATCACATAGTAACGGAAGGTCATAACAGGGAGAGAAGGGTCATCTTTGTTTGAGACAATGGCAGCGACTTCAGGGATAGGTGAGTTTTCTTCTTCTTCGAGAATGACAGATGAGCGCTCGAGATCGAGCTTCTCATCAATGAAGTCCTTCTCAGTAGCGTATTCGTGCTTCTGTTCAGCCATTTTGGTTGAATGAGAAGGAGAAGGAGGATGGAGAGGAGGAAAGTGATGAGGACGAGAAAGACGTCGTTCGGGTCTAGGAGGGCGAAGATGAAGGAGGTCGGTTGCGATCTGCAGTCAGAGACAAAAAAAAAAAAAAAAAAAAAAAAAGGACGAGTTGTACCTTTTTATACAAAAAAAGACTGAACAAACGAATGAATAGACAACTTGAGAAACAGCTAGAGACCCTAGAGCTCCAAGCAACCGGAACAGCTTACTCTCTTTAATGAATTCTTTAGTTTGTATTCATTTGATCTATTAGGAATGAATAATAAGGTGATAAACTATGTAATGAATACCTATAATAAGAATATTAAAAAAAAAAAAAAAAAAAAAGCAACACATCAACACCTCGATCAACTTTTTAATATTTTAATGAAAACATGACGACCAAGAACTTCATGCAGCTCAACAATGTGTAATACAACCAACCAGAGAGTGAGTAGACTAAATTATACAAACCAATCCAACAAGCAGCAGCACATGTCTTCTGTTCAAAACTTATTTTATTATTTTCCCACAAAACCAATCAATGAATTTTACCGAAAACAACCACATGAATAAACTCACTTTCCAAAAACAATTAGCGATAACGCAATTTGTGCAAAAATGTACTTTTTCAAATGTAGGACATGCCCCTTCCATCACCTTTTTGCTCTTTATTTTCTCGGAAGCCGAGGCACGGTTGGACCATTTCATTGTTTTTTTTTTTTTTTTTTCTTTCTTGCAGAAAATAAGTAAAGCTGTCTAACTCGACTCTATTCTATTTTACTTTTCTTTTTATTCTTTTGGAACATACATGTTCTAACCAATCATTCGTTCACTTAGTCTCCCACCAAGGATAATTAGCGTGTTTGCTCAAGTGTAGAACCCTTATAGTAAAATATATACAATAGGAATAGGAAAGTTCATGATTTTTTGTTTTGTTTTGTTTCTGCTAAAGCTCCATCCTAGATTCAGAGAAAAGTGAAACTATAATATTAAGCAACTTGGACCCTCCAATGAACAAGTAGCCACAATCGAATATGTCCTACTTCCTCTTCTCCCTTGTCCCCTTCTCATTTCTCCTCCTTATTCCCTTCTTCTCTCTCCCTTACGGGTGTGCTGATTTACACCAAGTTTTGTAAGGCTGGCATTCAGCTTCGAGGTAGAAAAAAGTTGGGAGTGTATATATATATATATATACTTTCAGCCACTCAGCAACATGATTCATAAAAAATAGCGCTCCTGATTGTAATCCTTTATTCCTTGCAGTAGCAAGTGAATGGTTATTTTTTTTCTACGATATTTGTCCGTTGTTCCCAATTAGGATGAGTGAATCCATATTTGGAATACAGAAACCAAATTTGGGTGACCAAAAGATTTTTTTGGATGGAAGAGTCTAATGGACAAAAACTCTAATTTCCCAAGTTCCGTGACTGGAAATTTTCTTGCAGAGGAAAGACGACAATAAAAAGAATCTCTCTATATAGATTTATTTTTTATACTATGATGATGGCGATGATATATATACTATGCTTTGTATGCTGTTTATGGTTGTATTTGTTTAAGTTGTTGTAGTTGTTGCAAGTGTTTTCGTCCTCATTCGCCGAATAGCAACACTACTTCATTTATTGCTGTAGTTGTTCAGGAGGAGCAATCATGGGACTACCCTCCAACGGGCACAGATCATAGCGAGTACCCCACCATTCAACCATGTATGCGTCACGGATGGTGAAGATGAAGAAGGACACCAGGACCATGAATGCCGTGCCTGAATCGAACGCCGCTGATAACACATAGGTAAACCTCAAGTGCCATTCAGGATGATAACGACGAGCAAAGAATTGGAAGATGAATCCAACTGCTAGCCAGTTTGTATAATTATAAGCTCTTGCCGGTGGCATCATACTCGTTGCTGCCAACAAAACAGGGATGTGAACATAATCTAACATCGTGTTAGGGAACTTCTTCTTGAGATAGTAGAATGGAATCGGTAGCACAAAACCAATCAAGAAGAAATAGTTGATGGCATTGTAGATCGAGGTAGGTCCGAACATACGATCAGGAGCAATGGCACCCCAGATAACCGATGCAGAGTAGAAGGTGCGAGCGTTAGGACAGTTGAATGTCTTATGGTCCTCCGCACAGATATTGTCAATCGAGCCCAAAAGCCAGTTGGCTGTAAGCAAATTGACAAGACCAGCAATGAATGTACCCATGCACTGGGCCCAGAACAGAGCACGTGGAGGGATCTTCATGTAGTGACCCAACTTGAGATCAACAGTGAAGAGCAAAGCCTGAGCCATGGAGATATAACCAAGAGTCTTGAAGGTAACGTTGGCAATAGCACGGCCAGGGAGGATGTAACCAATAACGTACTCAGTGATAATGTTGAGACCAGGCTGCTGGTTGGTGACAGCCTGAATCAAACCGACAGGAAGAGCAAAGAATGCAGACATGGCAACAGCCAAAAGTACACCCCACCATGGAAGCTTGTAGTCCCAGACCTCACAGGTGATGACACCAATGACAGTCATAAGAACGAAAAGAGAAGCGTACCACCAGTCAGGAACCTCGGGGTAGGCCTGCATAAGCCTATGATGAATATCCTCAGAATGTCCACGAGATTGCTTCCATTGAGCAGCCAATTTATGGCGGTGGTACAACCAGGTATGGGTGATCATAGAGGCGAGGCCAGCGAAACCGATACCATAGGTCAAGGCAAAGAAGGTCGAGATACGAAGAGGACCATACGCATCGTACTTTTTCTCATCCAAGATGTTATTGGTCAAAACCCTCTGAGTATCATAGGTATGGCCATCACGAGTGAACAAGGCTGGAGTAAGGATAGGGAACTTCTTGGCATCCCAGAGGTTGGTGTAGTACGCAATAGGGACCATAACCCAAGCAATGAGGAAAAAGCCAAGGGCAATGTTGACTTGGGCCCACCAGGGGACGATCAAAGGCGAACCCAAGAAAGAGACAATGGTGTTCCAGTCAAGGGAGATAGTACCAATTCCAAGACCACCAGCACCAGTGAGCTGAGAAAGGACCAAGTTGTCAGGCTTGATCCAGCAGATCCAGGCAATGGAGCTGAGGACAGGGAAGAGGAAACCTGGGATCCAGGAGTACAAGAACATGGCAAAGGTGGCGACCAAGAAGAACTTGAAGCGAGACCACTGACCAGGAGCAAGCTCTTCCTCCTTGTGCAAAGTATTAAACAATGCAACCTGGACCAAATTGGCGGGCCAGACCATAGCAGCAGGGTAGACAAGGTAACGACGGAGAACACCAGCCATACCGAAACCAACCATTTGTGTGCAAAGAATAAGAAGAAAATTGGCAAGGAAACCAAAGTCCTCACCATAGAAGACTTTTTGGATGATTGTGATATCGACTGCATAAGCAGTACCACCAGCGCAGTTGGCAGTGATACTAACTAGGACGTGTTCTTTGATGGAGAATGGGCCAGGATTGAGAGGACCAGCAGGGAGAATGCGAGCCATGGCCTTTCCAATTGGGAAAGAGAGAAGCTGGATAACCATGGAACTGATCATCATGGGATTGGTGCGGAACCAGCTGTATTATGGATGATATTGAAAACCAACATCGAATGTAAGCTGTGTCGTCCTTTTATCGAACAAGGCGAGTTGATAGGCGCGTTTTTTTTTTTTTTTTTTTTTTTTTTTTTTTTAAAAAAAAAAAAAAAAAAAAAGGTACAAATGAAATAGGATGACTTACAAGAACTGATTGAAAAAGGAAAGGATGAGTGAGAAGACGATGGCCATGATCCAGTAACGGAAAGTCATAACAGGAAGTGTAGGGTCATCTTTGTTGGAAACGATGGCTGCAACCTCTGGAATAGGGGAGTTTTCCTCCTCCTCAAGGTTGATGGAAGATTGTTCAATATCTGCTCTCGCATCTTCAATGGAGTACTTGTCAGAGCTGTACGCTGTGTACTCCATCTTCTGATCGGGGGCCTCTGCAGTGGAATGCATGGCTTGGAAGAGGTGAAATTAGAGCGAAGGATGCTTTGGGTGAGGGTGAAGGAAAGGACTATGGGGGGTCAAGGACAATGGGAAAAAAGGAAGAAGAAAAAAAAAAAAAAAAAAAAAGACTCAAAATGTGTGGCCCAAGGGTCCTTATATATCACAATATGAAACGGATAGAGTGAGGAGGCGGAAGACATAATTATGGCACTAAAACGGCTGAATGTGCATCGTTTTTGCTAATGGTCAGGGCACTTGAAGCGGAGCCAGAAAATTACAGGGAAGAGTAGAGAAGCGTTAAAAAAAAACTGAGCCATAATCTATTACCAGACAGAACACTGCAACGGATGCAGATCCGATGCAATAATGCTCGATTCCAAGCTCAGATAACTCTACCTCTCCACCTTTTGATAGCCAATAATCAAAATGAGCTTTACCTACTTCCCATCATGGTATATATAATGAAACTTTTGTTTCTGGGTCTGGCCTTCTCTTTCTAAGAAACTAAATTCATGAGCATAGAAGATTCAGTAACTTCTCGCACTCTTTTTTTTATATGAATATAAGCATTTGGGCTTTTTTCCATGTAATGATCCATTGATGCAGGCGCGGGAGATGAAACTACATGATATTGTGGGAAAGTATCTTTCTGGGCAGCCTATGTCATATTTTTATATTAGAAGAAAGGTGCTGAAAATATTAAGATGATCCTTTCAAAAAAAAAAAAAAGGTCTGTGTGCCCAATCGAGCTGATCAACCCATGCTTCACTGTTGGCCTGAAGAACCCGATTCATTACAATGCCATGCCTCTTGCATTTGCTCAAGGCCAAACATCAAATGACACATTCCTTTGCTTCAGCGCCCACTCTTTCTACAAGGGATCTTGTAATTATATGGAGTTACTACAACCTTACTTTCCCTCCTAACAGTTTACAGAGGATTTAAAACCAAATTATGATAGGGACTGAATTAATAATTTTTTTTTACTCACACAGTGGGCCGGTCAGCTTGGTAATAGAATGTCAATGTCGCAAAAAAAAAAAAAAAAAAAAAAAACCATGTTGGATAACATTTTGTTGTTGGAGATAGTTAAAAATATCATTGACTCGAAATCATGTCGGCATGTCCGATGAAAATGCGCCGAAAAATAAGAAAAGTCTAAAAAAACTCCTATTCTCTCCCCTTTTTTCTGTTCCCTCTCTTCACGTTGTTTGTTTGCATGACTTTGGGAAACAGTAAAAAAAAAAAAAAATAGTTTAGGTTGTAGTCTAACTGAATGATGATTTCTCGTGACTTCGCAATACAATCATGAATTAACTTTGTTGCGACACTTCATAAAAAAACACGACAAAGCATTGCGATCAAGGATTGAAAGAAAGGAGTGCAAAGACCATGTCGTACACGAATTACATGATAAACATTCTCCATTCCCCTCCATAACCTTATTCGCGACTTTTTTTTTACTCCATATTCCTTTATCAACATGTTTGTTTTAATAAAAGAGGAAAAAGTTCACGTATATATTATGCAATTAAAATGTATTAAGCTATGGGCTGTTTTCCTTTTAAGCGACTGGTGCTTTCTCTGGAAGGGGAGGTGGTGTGATATATGGGGCACTCTCCAATGGACACAGATCATAGCGAGTACCCCACCATTCAACCATGTATGCGTCACGGATGGTGAAGATGAAGAAGGACAACAACAACATGAAGGCCGTGCCTGAATCAAAGGCAGCAGACAACACATAAGTGTAACGTAAATGCCACTCTGGATGATAACGACGAGCGAAGAATTGGAAGATGAATCCAAGAGCCAACCAGTTGGTATAGTTGTAAGCACGAGCTGGTGGCATCATGCTGGTGGCTCCCAACAAGACTGGGATGTGAACATAATCTAACATCGTGTTAGGGAACTTCTTCTTGAGATAGTAGAATGGAATCGGTAGCACAAAACCAATCAAGAAGAAATAGTTGATGGCATTGTAGATCGAAGTAGGTCCGAACATACGATCAGGAGCAATGGCACCCCAGATAACCGATGCAGAGTAGAAGGTGCGGGCGTGAGGGCAACTGAATGTCTTATGGTCCTCCGCACAGATATTGTCAATCGAGCCCAAAAGCCAGTTGGCTGTAAGCAAATTGACAAGACCAGCAATGAATGTACCGAGTAGCTGAGCCCAGAACATAGCACGTGGAGGGATCTTCATGTAGTGACCCAACTTGAGATCAACAGTGAAGAGCAAAGCCTGAGCCATGGAGATGTAACCAAGAGTCTTGAAGGTAACGTTGGCAATAGCACGGCCAGGGAGGATGTAACCAATAGCGTACTCAGTAATAATATTAAGGCCGATCTGCTGGTTTGTAACAGCCTGAATCAAACCGACAGGAAGAGCAAAGAATGCAGACATGGCAACAGCCAAAAGTACACCCCACCATGGAAGCTTGTAGTCCCAGATCTCACAGGTGATAACAGCAATGACAGTCATAAGAACGAAAAGAGCGGCGTACCACCAATCAGGGACCTCGGGGTAGGCCTGCATAAGTCTGTGATGAATATCTTCAGAGTGCTCGCGAGATTGCTTCCATTGGGCAACCAACTTGTGGCGGTGGTACAACCAGGTATGGGTGATCATAGAGGCGAGGCCAGCGAAACCGATACCATAGGTCAAGGCAAAGAAGGTCGAGATACGAAGAGGACCATACGCATCGTACTTTTTCTCATCCAAGATGTTATTGGTCAAAACCCTCTGAGTATCATAGGTATGGCCATCACGAGTGAACAAGGCTGGAGTAAGGATAGGGAACTTCTTGGCATCCCAGAGGTTGGTATAGTATGCAATAGGAACCATGACCCAAGCAATGACAAAGAAACCGAGTGCAATGTTGACTTGGGCCCACCAGGGGACGATCAAAGGCGAACCCAAGAAAGCGACAATGGTGTTCCAGTCAAGGGAGATAGTACCAATTCCAAGACCACCAGCACCAGTGAGCTGAGAAAGGACCAAGTTATCAGGCTTGATCCAGCAGATCCAGGCAATGGAGCTGAGGACAGGGAAGAGGAAACCTGGGATCCAGGAGTACAAGAACATGACAAAGGTAGCAGCCAAGAAGAACTTGAAGCGAGACCACTGGCGAGGGGCAAGCTCCTCCTCCTTGTGCAAAGTATTAAACAAGGCAACCTGGACCAAATTGGCGGGCCAGATCATAGCAGCAGGGTAGACAAGGTAACGACGAAGGACACCAGCCATACCGAAACCCAACATCTGTGTGCAAAGAATAAGAAGAAAATTGGCAAGGAAACCGAAGTCCTCACCATAGAAGGCCCTCTGAATAACTGTGATATCGACTGCATAAGCAGTGCCACTAGCGCAATTTGCAGTGACACTAACCAAGACATGCTCCTTGACTGAGAATGGACCAGGGTTGAGGGGACCGTGGGGGAGGACACGAGCCATGAACTTTCCGACAGGGTAGGAAAGAAGCTGGATAACCATGGGACTGAGTGTCATAGGGTTGGTACGGAAGAAGCTAATTTTGACAACCGAAGAAAAAAAACGTCAACTAAGGGTTTTACATGATTATTGTTACACTGCTTTCCGACATGGAATACTCAAAGCTAAGACTAAACAACATACAAGAACTGGTTAAAGAAAGAAAGGATAAGAGCAAAGATAACGGCCATGACCCAGTAACGGAAGGTCAAGACAGGAAGAGAAGGGTTGTCCTTGTTAGAGACGATGGCAGCGACCTCAGGAATAGGAGAGTTCTCCTCCTCCTCTAAGGCGACAGACGAGCGTTCAACATCATGCTTGTCGTCTACAAACTCCTTCTCAATGTCATATTCTTGCTTCTGCTCAGAGGCCATTGCAAGAAAAGGGTGAGTGTATAGAGATGGATGCTAGGGGGAAAGAGGTCGTGGAGTGAGAGAGAAAAAAAAAGAAAAGAAAGCTGAGAGTAATGAATATAAAGACAGGAAAAAATATGGAAAAGATGGGTCAGAGAGCACCTCGTCGTCAAAGACAAAGGATCAAAAAAAAAAAAAAAAAAAAAACCGCAGGCGCGTTGCCTCTTTTTATATCTGATTATGACAGCAGGGCTTGAGTACTGGACAATGCTTCGCTTAAGGGATGTTCTGGAACAAGAGCACGAGGTACATCGCTTATTTTTTTTTCTTTTTGTTGATTGTTGACGGCTTGTTTGTGCTAACGGATGTAGATCCGAACACACTGTTCCCCGGTATAACAATCAATAAAGATTGCATGTGGATGAACAACATGTATTTATTCAGCCTTGCAGCCAGCCAGAATCTTGTATTGGCTAATAAATACTTTGAATAAATAAAAATGATCTTTTTTGGCGTAAATAATTTTTTCTGTTCGAAAATATAAAATGCAGACTAATTTTGTCCATTCGACGCCTACAACCTTCATTCCAGAGGGACAATCAATACTATTATTTTACCTCTCCATGTCAAAACTCCTCTTTTGTATCGCATTTCAATCGATTTGAACACAAGCCTTGGATGGTGTTGACACACAATGAGTATAAAAAAGGAAATAAAGGCCGGAATGCCTAACATCGAGTACCGTACTCTGATCTACACACTGCTGCTCTGCTCAAATAAAGTGAAAATGGACTAAGAGTTACCATAGACTCAGAAGACAACAACGTACCAAAAGTTCATGGTCAATATTTTGGATAGATACATTTCGTGCTATATCATTTCCTCAATGCTCAGAGCAACAATAGTATATAAATAAGGGAATCACCGTCTTCTTTATTCTGAACATAATATAAATATATGAGTGTATATATAAATGAATATTCATTGAGATTCAATGGTATTGACTTCATAAAAAGTAGCAGCAAAGGTATTGTGACTAATGTGATGGCATATCGCCCAATAGGAATTCTTGGCGGGGTTGTTTACGACGACAATTATCCCTGGGAAAGTGACCATAGAGTCCCTGAACGAGCCATCGATAACCATGGGAACTTTCATCATTAATGCAGACATAAATATAATAAAAAGAATAAGAAGTAACTTGGCTAACCATTAACTGCGGAAGGTGGTGATGTAAAAAAAATAAAATAAAATAAAATATTGTAAAAAGCTTACTGAGGCTCAATGAATAATTATTGGCCCGGATCAAACTCGGTAAGTTCCGACGCGACATGCTTTCTTTTTCTGGGGTCGAAATGACTCCTGTCTGCCATTTAATGTCTGCTTCTTCTAATACATTTGTTATAATAAGCTAATGGAGAACGAAGTGTCAACTTTCTCAGGAGCACCCTAAAGCCAAAGTTTAGACTGAACAGGGGTAACAGGGATATATATATATACATGCCTGCATGCAAAGAAAAATGGTTAAGTTAACATCGGAAAACGGAAAGACATCCGTTGTTAAAAGTAGAAGGAAGAGGAGGAGAAAGGGAGGGAGGTTTTTCTTTTTTTTCTTATAAAAGCTTGACCATCCCCTGCACTCAAACCCCTCCTTTTTTCCCTCTTTTCTTTCCCTCCCCCACCTCACTGTGCACTTACTCCCTCACTATATCTAATGTTTTTTTCTTACCTAAAATGGCACATTTCAATGTCCAACTGTAACAAGTTCAGTGCTCTGACGCCTAAATCAGTCACTTCAAAATCTGTACATGTATATCTCATCTCACGTCAAATCCCATTGCCCATCTTCCTTATCCCGAAACGTCGGGTTACAACTTCTCTAGGTACAACAACCTCTAAGCACGTCTAACTTTGAACCCTTTATCTTATAACCCTAAAACAACGCGTTATTCATTATTATTATTTTTTGACGATCTTTGTTGATCTCATGTTAAATAATAAATAATACGATCTACGTGAAAAAAGGTAGGTTAACTTTCTCTTCCTAACATCCAAAAGGCAATCATAGAATAGCATTGGCCATAACGCCATGTACGTCATGAGAAGAAAGAAAAGTCAAGGACACAAGAATACAAGTCATTGATTTTTTTTTTTTTTTGCTTTCTTTTATTCATTAAAATGAGATTGGTATAAATATTCGTAGAAATAAATATGGATGTAATAAATGAACAAGGATCTCTTTTTTACATTGCTATGCTGAGTCCATCTTTTGTTCTTTTAGGCCGCTGGTGTTTCCTCTGGAAGGGGAGGTGGAGCGATCAAAGGAGCATACTCCAATGGGCAGAGGTCATAGCGTGTGCCCCACCATTCAATCATACTAGCGTCACGGATGGTGAAGATGAAGAAGGACAACAACAACATGAAGGCCGTGCCTGAATCAAAGGCAGCAGACAACACATAAGTGTAACGCAAATGCCACTCAGGTCTGTAACGGCGGGCGAAGAACTGGAAGATGAATCCAAGAGCCAACCAGTTGGTATAGTTGTAAGCACGAGCTGGTGGCATCATACTTGTGGCAGCCAACAAGACTGGGATATGGACATAATCCAAGAAGGTGTTGGGGAAGACTTTCTTGAGGTAATAGAATGGAATAGGCAACAAGAATCCCAAAATGAAGAAGTAGTTGATGGCATTGTAAATCGAAGTAGGTCCGAACATACGATCAGGAGCAATGACACCCCAGATGACTGATGCAGAGTAGAAGGTGCGAGCGTGAGGGCAACTGAATGTCTTATGATCCGCTTGGCAGATGTTAGGAATAGTGTTCAACAACCAGTTGGCTGTAAGCAAATTGACAAGACCAGCAATGAATGTACCCATGCACTGGGCCCAGAACATAGCACGTGGAGGAACCTTCATGTAGTGACCCAACTTGAGGTCTGAGGTGAAAAGCATAGCCTGAGCCATGGAGATGTAACCAAGAGTCTTGAAGGTAACGTTGGCAATAGCACGGCCGGGGAGCATGTAACCAATAACGTACTCAGTGATAATGTTGAGACCAGGCTGCTGGTTGGTGACAGCCTGAATCAAACCGACAGGAAGAGCAAAGAATGCAGACATGGCAACAGCCAAAAGTACACCCCACCATGGAAGCTTGTAGTCCCAGATCTCACAGGTGATAACAGCAATGACAGTCATAAGAACGAAAAGAGCGGCGTACCACCAATCAGGGACCTCGGGGTAGGCCTGCATAAGTCTGTGATGAATATCTTCAGAGTGCTCGCGAGATTGCTTCCATTGGGCAACCAACTTGTGACGGTGGTACAACCAGGTGTGAGTAACCATGGAGGAAAGACCAGCGAAACCGATACCATAGGTCAAGGCAAAGAAGGTCGAGATACGAAGAGGACCATACGCATCGTACTTTTTCTCATCCAAGATGTTCTTAGTCAAAATTCGCTGAGTGTCATAATCATGTCCTTCACGAGTGTACAAGGCTGGAGTAAGGATAGGGAACCTCTTGGCATCCCAGAGGTTGGTATAGTATGCAATAGGAACCATGACCCAAGCAATGACAAAGAAACCGAGTGCAATGTTGACCTGGGCCCACCAGGGGATAATAAGAGGTGAACCCAAGAAAGAGACAATGGTGTTCCAGTCAAGGGAGATGGCACCAATTCCAAGACCACCAGCACCAGTGAGCTGAGAAAGGACGATGCTGTCAGGCTTGATCCAGCAGATCCAGGCAATGGAGCTGAGGACAGGGAAGAGGAAACCTGGGATCCAGGAGTACAAGAACATGCCTAAAGTGGCAACCAAGAAGAACTTGAAGCGAGACCACTGACCAGGAGCAAGCTCCTCATCCTTGTGCAAAGTATTAAACAAGGCAACCTGGACCAAATTGGCGGGCCAGATCATAGCAGCAGGGTAGACAAGGTAACGACGGAGAACACCAGCCATACCGAAACCAACCATTTGTGTGCAAAGAACGAGGAAGAAGTTGGCAAGGAAACCAAAGTCCTCACCATAGAAGACCTTCTGAATAATGGTAATATCAACAGCGTACGCAGTACCACCAGCGCAGTTGGCAGTCATACTGATCAAGACGTGCTCCTTGACTGAGAATGGACCAGGGTTGAGGGGACCATGGGGGAGGACACGAGCCATGAACTTTCCGACAGGGTAGGAAAGAAGCTGGATAACCATGGGACTAATCGACATAGGGTTGCTACGGAAGAAGCTGTTGGGTGCAGAAATCATGTTTTTGTTAAAAATAGGACAAGACAAGTTTTCTGGCAGATATCAAGAAAGAATAGTGCCCAAGCAAGGAAAAGAGGTAAATGAAAAAAAAGGTTCTATTTATCGCCATGTATTGCAATGCCAGACTTACAAGAACTGGTTGAAGAAGGAAAGGAGAAGGGAGAAGAGAACACCCATGACCCAGTAACGGAAGGTCAGGACAGGAAGAGTGGGGTCATCTTTGTTGGAGACAATAGCGGCGACCTCAGGAATTGGAGAGTTCTCCTCCTCCTCCAGGACGACGGACGAGCGCTCGACATCGAGCTTCTCATCGATGAACTCCTTCTCAGCAGTATATTCTTGCTTATGGTTGGAAGCCATTGCAAGAGTGTGAAAGACCAGGTATTGGTACTAAAAGAGAGGGCGGGTAGACTAGAGGTCAAAGACCGTGGCGGGGGAAAGAGAGAAAGAGAGGAAGAGAGAGGAAAGGTAGGGTCAAAGAGCAAACTCGTCGTCAAGGACAAGGGATTCAATCAGCCTTGTTGGTCCTTTTTATACCTTGTAAAACTTGGAGGCTAAGTGTTCAGCTCAACAAGTCGAAAGTATTCATTTGAATACATCTTCCCTCTTTTTCCTTTGTTTGATGTAACTGTTTGTTTGTGTAAATGTGAGGCACAGGGTGTTGATGAGAGTGGTTCATTTGTTAGATAAACCAAATAGCAAAGCTCAATAGGTTCTTTTTTGCCGTGTGAATCACAGGTAGTTTCTTACTTTCTAGACAAACGAACTTCAGGGCATTTATTGTGTGGTCTTTTAAGCTCGGTAGTACAGGTGCGAGCACAAGCAAAAAAAAAAATCGGCCCAAATTTCGGGAGGGTCACAATGCTCAGATGCATATTGTATTGAACACAGTATTCATTTGTAAACTCGACTTTTTACCTTAAATTTCAATTTTTTTTTTTTTTTTTTTTTTTTGCCTCAGAACAAAAATGCATTTTATACAATAGACTAACATGGTTGATACATCGAAAAGGAATAAAACATTCAAGAAGTATGTGCCATGGGGGAATGAAAAATTGGGCGAGTATTCAATACTTGATGAATATATTATTATATATATATATAGTAGTCTACTTCAAAGGTATAGTCTGGTGTGTGTGCTTGCTGCTACCTTAGACCTCGCGTTCAAGTTCATAAATAGGTTTCAAGCTTCTATAATAACAATGATCTATGAAATTGTTTCAATATCAAGTTTTCCTTCCCTCATTCCTTTACCGCTGCATCTTTCCGCAATCTCCATTTCTTTGCCACTGTAGCTATTTGTTGCTATTTCTGTAACAATATGGGTGTTGGATGGCGGGAACCAATAGACTTGAATGAAGAATAGAGAAATAAACAGTCCTTTAATTTTAGCTGTGATGCAGTGTCAACGATCAAGATTTAAAAGAACTTAAGTTATTTATTTCATCACAACTCCTATAGTCTCTTTTTCATTTGCAAAAAAAAAAAAAAAAAAAAAAAAAAAAAATGGTGGTAGTGAAGGGCAGAGAAGGGAATCCTTCTTACCTCAACACCTCAAAGGTTTCGGTTGTAAGAGAAGGTAAAAGGTTTTTTGTTTATCATGGAGGATATCCTTCAAATCTAAAATAGGAATGTAACAGTCCTCTTTTGTCAATTGCTTGTACACATGGCCTCAGCTTTGTACCACCTCGATTGTCCAGATTTATCAAAGCTTAAAGACTCATTTACCAAAAGAGATTCCAGTTTGCCTAATTAAGCATAATGCTGTTAAGCTCATCTTTTGCCCTTCATTCATTACATTACACATCCACACTCATTGGCATTTCCTTCACACCCCATCATACAAACCTTTGGTGACTGTTCGATGCTTGTTAGTTTTCCAAATCTACTCTGATTTCACCGTAATTTAGCGGAATTGATTAGCATCTCCTGAATAGCTGCCATCCAGAGGGACTACTTCGAATGGACAGGATTTTACTGTGTTGGTCAAAACAATAAAACTTGACTGAAAGTATACCAATCCTCAAAACATAAGGCATATAATGCCTCTGAACGCTTCAATAGGATTGTGGCGTGCTTTTGGAGTGCAGAAAAGACAACATTGTCTCTTTTGAGCAATAGAAGATATAGGATTTGTTCCTTGGGGCAAACTTTTTGAAGCCACGCTTGTTGCTAGTAAAAACACAAATGGTTCCCGTTTTCTACATACTTTCAGTGTTTCCACATTCTAAGAGCTGTGATGTAGCCAATAAGTGTTACATGTTTGTCGAAGCATTGACACATCCCTTGCAAAAGTTCAGATGTATGCTAAGAATATTGTTTAAGGGACGTAGAGTAGTCAATGACATATGGCAGTGTTCAGGTGTTTATACAGTGTCATATGGAGTCCGAACAGTCACCTTTCGTTACACTTAATATTCACAGTGCTTTCCATCTTATAAATAGAAGTAGAAAATAAAGATGCGCTCTGCGTTAAAATTACTATTATGATAGCTTCCTATTAAGCAGCATTTGGCATTGTGTTTTAATTTTTACTTTCTCCATCTTTTCTATTTCTCTTTATTACAGCAAGAAAGTAAATACCGATGATTATGGCTCAACGCTTTAGCGCTTCGACCATGGTGCATGCTTCATGAACGAAAGATAACGAGTTAGACTAATGAAATCAACATCCAGTCAGATCCAAGGGTTTTTTAAGATATAGTTTCGGCACTGCATCCGAAAAAATTAAGTTGCAAAGACGAATATATTATATACAAACATATCACGTTAGATTAATGAAATCGAGCTTTTCCTCTATTACAATACCAATAAACTAAACTGTAGAAGAATAACTTCGCATATGAACAAATATATACTTGACATTTTTATTACTAATAGTACTACCATTATTTTTTATTTGTTTCCTAAGCAGCTGGCTTTGGTGGAGCGGGAGCCGCAGGATAGTAAGGCTTTTTTTCCAATGGACACAGATCAGAGCGAGTACCCCACCAATCTACCATGGCTGCATCACGGATCGTGAAGATAAAGAATGACAGCAAGACCATAAACGCCACACCGGAATCAAAAGCCGCTGATAGCACATATGTAAATCGTAGATGCCATTCTGGATGATAACGACGAGCAAAGAATTGGAAAGCAAACCCGAGAGCTAACCAATTGGTATAATGGTATGCCTGTGCTGGAGGCATCATTCCGGTAGCGGCCAATAAGACTGGGATGTGGACATATTCCAACCAACTCTGAGGGTACAGCTTTTTCAAATAGTAAAATGGGATGGGGAGCACGAAACCAATCAAGAAGAAATAGTTGATGGCATTGTAAATGGATATGGAGCCGAACATACGATTAGGCGAGATAACACCCCAAATGACAGAAGCAGAATAGAAAGTGTTGGCAGAAGGGCAGGAGAAAAGGGCATTGTTTTCAGTACAGACATCCTTTTGGGTCCTCAACAACCAGTTGGCAGTCAACAAGTTGACCAAGCCAGCAATGACGGTGCCAAGAAGCTGAGCCCAGAACATGGCGCGTGGTGGGACCTTCATGTAGTGACCCAGCTTGAGATCGGATGTAAAAGTCATAGCCTGGGCCATGGAGATATAACCAAGGGTCTTAAAGGTAACATTAGCGATAGGACGCCCGGGAAGGATATAACCGATAACGTACTCGGTAATAATATTAAGGCCAGGCTGCTGATTTGTAATGGCCTGGATCAAGCCCACAGGAAGCGCGAAGAAAGCAGCAAGAGCGACAGCCAAAATTACGCCCCACCATGGAAGTTTATAGTCCCAGACCTCGCAAGTGATAACGGCAATAATGGTCATGACAATAAAGAGAGTACCGTACCACCAGTCAGGAACCTCAGGATAGGCCTGCATCAACTTGTGATGGATATCTTCAGAATGATCACGAGATTGCTTCCACTGCGCAACCAACTTTTGGCGATGATACAACCAGGTATGAGTGATCATAGAGGAAAGACCAGCGAAACCGATACCATAGGTCAAGGCAAAGAAGGTCGAGATACGGAGAGGACCATATTCCTGGTACTTTTTCTCATCCAAAACATTGTCAGTAAGGATAGCGGAGACGTCGTATCCGCGACCGTTCTCCTGAAATAGATGAGGAGTGAGGATGGGGAACTTCTTGGCATCCCAGAGATTAGTGTAGTACGCGATAGGAACCATGACCCAGGCAATCAAGAAAAAGCCAAGAGCAATATTAACCTGGGCCCACCAAGGAACAATTAAAGGTGAGCCCAAGAAGGCAACGATGTTGTTCCAGTCAAGAGAAATGGCACCAAATCCGAGACCACCAGCACCAGTGATCTGGGAGAGAACCAAGTTGTCAGGCTTGATCCAGCAGATCCAGGCAATAGAACTGAGGACAGGGAAAAGGAAACCTGGAATCCACTGGTAACAGAACATAGCAAAGGTGGCGACCAGGAAGAATCTGAAGCGAGACCACTGACCAGGAGCAAGTTCTTCCTCCTTGTGCAAAGTATTAAACAGGGCAACCTGGACCAAATTGGCGGGCCAGATCATAGCAGCAGGGTAGACAAGGTAACGGCGGAGGACACCAGCCATACCATAGCCTAACATCTGGGTGCAGAGGATAAGGAGGAAATTGGCAAGAAAGCCAAAGTCTTGGGCATAGAAGACCTTCTGGATGACAATGATATCGACAGCATAGGCAGTACCACCAGCACAGTTGGCGGTCAAGGCAACTAAGACGTGCTCTTTGATGTTGAAAGGGCCGGGGTTAAGAGGGCCAGCAGGGAGAACACGAGCCAAGAACTTGCCAAAGGGATATGACAGTAATTGGATGACCAAAGTAGTGATGGTCATGGGCTGTGTCCGGAACCAACTACAAAGGATGCATAAATAGTATTAAAATAAAAAATAGAAAAATGAGGCGTCAATTCATTTGAAACATTTATGCAATCAGCAGAACTCGAGATTTTGGGATGGAAGAAGTTTTAACTGCCGTTGACTTACAAGAACTGGTTAAAAAAAGAAAGAAGGATGGAGAAAAGGACAGCCATGACCCAGAAACGAAAGGTCATAACAGGAGTACTAGGGTCATCCTTGTTGGAAACGATGGCGGCGACTTCGGGGATAGGAGAGTTCTCCTCTTCCTCAAGGACAATAGACGAGCGTTCGATATCGTATTTCTCGTCATTGTACCCCTTTTCGGAGACATGATGCTCTGCTTTTTGATCAGACATGGATCGGAATAAATAATAATATAAAGTTGGGTCTACTAAGAGAAGAGAGGATAGAGAGTGAGAATAAGCCGTAAAAAAAAAAAAAAAAAAAAAAAAAAAAGTACAAAATTAGAGCCTAAGGGAAAAAATCGAGAAGAGAAGGACAGAAAAGAGGAGGAAGGTCATAGACAAGGAATCAACAACTTCGGGGGAAGAGCGCCTTTTATAAGTACCCAAATATAAATGTGTATGCCGTGTTATTGGACTAGCTGCTGTTTATATTCAAGTAATCAAATAAATCGAATATGGCGGTTGAATTGTTGTTCCTATTGAGAGTATGAAGCAGTAAAGGCAGGCAGACGATCGATTCCTTTAGTCAGTCCGGTTATTGTTACCTTGAGCTCGGACTCTTTTTTTTTTTTTTTTTTTTTTTTTGTTTTCCTGCTTTAATTTATTCAGTGAGAGAGAGTAAAGAAGCGTACAGTAAAGTGTCTGTCCATTTGAAAAGGAAATGATAGTAATGTTGATTTTCGATTTGCTTGTGAGATGAGGGAAGAAGAGAGCACTTTTTGAGATTGTGTTGGCATGTTGATAGCAGTTTCCATCTTTGGAACAGAGGGTCAGTTGGTCAATTTTCAAATCCAAACGGACAAATTACTTCCTTCCATTTTCAGACTGTCCAACTGTCCAACTGGACACTTTGCCAGGCCAGACCAGAAAACACGAAAAGATGTTTCATTTTCATAATACGAATACATCGATGTATTCGTTCAATATCCAACGTTGTTGTCTTCCACTACCTTTTTTTTTTTTTGACCTCATCAACATCATACTTCATCTCTCAGATGATCATCTCAGCAACTCATTCTACATTCATTCTGATAAATCACGTTTTAATCATAATTAAAGACCATAAGAAACCTTTTACTGTATTCTGTTCTATGTATTCGGTCCAAAAGGACATAAGACCCACCCACATGTCTACTATCCTATCCCTACTCATATCAGCGTACATTGACAGCTTTTCTTCTGTGAATTTGTGCATTAGCAACGTATACATGCATTTGGGCATTTGGTCAAGATCGATAGACCCTAACTGAAAGGTCTAGCACCTCGATTATTTTAGCCGGGAGGGAAGTTAACTTAACTAGAGATATACTTTTGAGTAATGATATTCAATTGAAAGGATTAGCCAATTAAAGCCCCAGATATATATTGATTTTATTATATATATTTATAATATATATATATATATATATTGTTTAATAGCTTATTTTGTCTACTCTTTATCATTTACATATTACAATTTAAAAAGTTTTTTTTGCCACTCTGTCTCCATCTTTGTATCTATCTTTGTGCTCATATTTTTTTCACTTTTCCCTCTCTGACTACTGCGTGCACAAAAAAATGGCCAAGAATGCTGACATGTTTTGTGTACGCAAGCAAAATCAGTGTTTTTTTTTATTTTTCTTCAAGTCGTCCTTCAAACATTTAAAGGAGGGAGGTAATGTAGGGTTAGTTTGAAAGAAGTGTTTTATGTTTTATTATTATATATATACTGTTTTATTTAATGATGAACACGGATTCTAGTTCCGATTGAGAAGGTCTATTGGAGGAGAAAAAGAATGAAAAGTGCGTGACCAAGTAGACTATCAATGCTCCTTTTCCTTTGATAGTTTATCACCCTAAGGGCCTTTCATTTGCTCCGATCACTGGCTTCTCATTCCTCTGCTCAAAAGTAGAGCCAGGCCGTAGAGAAAAGCCGAATTTTTTTTTTTTTTTTTTTTTTTTTTTTTTTTTAAAAAAAAAAAAAGCCGGGATTTGAATTGGATAGGTGGGCTCATATTCCCGAGAAATCTCATTTATATGTATATATATATACAACTTGTTTAGTTCAATATAAATGTTGGATGCATAAACAGCAAAGACTCACGACAAAGAAGTTTATAATTCCTACAGCCAAATCACCCTCATAGCAATTCCCTCCCTCAGAATCTGCTACTGTTGCAAAAAAAAAAAAAAAAAAAAAAAAAAATATATTTGATGCAGAATGCAATGCACAAACGTTGCATACAACTGTCCTTTTGGATACATGCCATGCAAATGTGTTCTCTCTTCCCTTGTTTGAGTAAAGTTGAGTGTTTAACAAAAGAAAACAAACAAAGGACACACTAAATAAAAGCGAATCGGAATGGTTCCATAAGATTAAAGTGTGAGTAGCTATTAGCCAACGAAGAATATAAAGAAATATTGTATTGTTTCTGTCCAATTCAAATAAGGGCTGACGAATAGTAAAACGAGAAAGTAAAAAAGATTCTCATTTTGCGTAATACAAAAGCCAAAAAAGTAATAGGCAATGGCTCTCTACCATTCTTTTTATCCATACAACTTTCCCTGAATGGTTCTTGTACCGCGTGACAGTGGAATAAAAAGGAAAGAACTTTCTATAGGGGAGGGATAGGATTAAAAAAGATATCGAGTCCAGTTGAGCATCTTTTTTTTTTTTTTTTTTTTTTTGCTTTGAGGAAAGGAATACAATATGGAGGTTTAACATAACAAAAATTAGCCAAGTTTCGATCACACCTTTAGTTTTAATGGTTGTTATATTCTTGCCTGATGTGCTGACAAAGAAAAGTTCCCTAACAAAGTCTTTAGAGTAAGCAGGAGTAATTCCAAAGGAGCCTTCTTATCCCTGCTTTTTCATGGCTTACTTACGATGTCCAATAGAAAAAAAAAAGGAGTTGGAGGTATATAGGAAATGGTTCTAGGAACAAATGAATTGAACGATGCCAGCCCATTACCACTGAAATGCTAATAAATGTTGGTACACTTTATTTTATTATTGTAAACCATTTAATCAACCTAAAGTTTTGCATAACATTTGCAACATGGCAAACGTGGGTAGTCTTCTTTACATCTGTATTTTCAGCCCTAAAGGGTCACCGATGATCATTCCACTCTAAACTCAAAAAGAGATCCATTAAACAGGCCTACTCAATGCTTTCCCTCATTTCCTTCCTTGCTCTCTTCGTTAGTATAAAAGTGTTTTATTTGTATATATATGGATGAATGCACGCGATGTCAACAAGTTGAGCGAAAACGGAAGGCGAGTGGACAAAATGGACAGGGTATGTAGGACCAGACAAGCAACAGATGCATCAAATTAAACATTGCATCGATGGAGCCTTTGTGCTATTGTGTATAGCTACTGCTGTGTTTTTTTTTTTTTTTTTTTTTTTTTTTTTGTTTGTTTGGATCCATGTTCATGTCCGAGAGAAGTGAAGAGGAGCCCTAACACTGCTCCATGTACTTTTTGCGTCCCATCCAATCAAACCTGCTGTTCACACGAATCCAGCTCACTCTTTTTCCCAAGAATTTGCCACGCTGCAACAACAATGGTGGGCTAGAACTCTTGTACATGTATATTTACATGTTATTTATTATATATATATATAAATATACTATCACACATGCGAGAATAAAACAATAACAACAGCAATAGTAAAGAAGAGTGACATTAGAATCCCAGCTAAACTTGTGTATGAACAAGTCCGAAGGAGGAGAATAAATGGTGTGCGTATGTGTGACCATATGATCAAGGTCACTGAACAAGCGGCATTCTTATCTCTTCTGGTTGCCATCTCCGGCGGTATCAAGTGTATCTAATACTACAAGAAAATGAAGGAAAATGAAGTAGAAGAGGGGTTGGAGTGAATCAACGAGCCATCAGTTAAACTGCTCTTCTCAAGCACAAAGTGAGGATGATTAGATGCATGTTTTAATTTGTCCCACCTGTATTTCTCATGAATACAAGAATCTAATTCTCTTAACTCTTCCCTTGGTCCTGCATGGGAAAATAGACCCCGAAGTAAATCCTTTTTTTTTTTTTTTTTTTTTTTTTTTTAATGCGAAGAGGAGGAACGAATAGGATGATCTAACTTTTTTTTTTTTTTTTTTTTTTTTTTTTTTTTTTTTTTTTTTTTTTCATTCTTCGCCCTCATTTTTCTTGAGATTTGCCCTACTAGATCCGTGCGGACGAGGTTGGGCCGTCGTGTGAATTCACTCTTTTTTAAAGATCCTAAATATTGCCTACACATCGATGGGAAATAAAGTTCTGTTTGCTCTTCTATTTTATCATCGATGAGACTTGATAGTCTACGATTTTAAACATTAAACGATAGTGATGATGATATTGCTAATGAGATATTTATATAATGTTTCGTATAATCAAGTGTCTATGGACTACGAGATCAATAGGATGGAGGAGGCAGGTATTGGGAGATTTTGAAAGAAAACTTACAGATCTATAATCTACAATGAATATAATCTATACACGCGTAACGCCGTGGCTCTAGATGTTTTCGCACAGTAATTTCACAGATGAAAGTATATGAAGATACAATACGGTATTATATATAATATATAAAGCATTTCTTTCTTTCAATCTTTAGGGCCATCCTAACATTCAACGCACGCGTTTTTGTTCCCAGGAACATTGTTGGATTGCTGGAAAGAAGGTTTTTGATCTGTAAGGATAGGAAAGGTGGCACCGTTTATTGGTGGACCAAACTATCACACGCTCCATCCTGTGTTCCCTTTCTTTCTCTTTCCTTTTCCACCTCCCTCTCTTCTTTGTCATCATGTGGCGTCTCTGTTCACTCAATTGCTGTCTCCATGGGAAATAAAACAAAGCTTTGTTGGCTCTTGGCTGTTGGACAAGTCGGAAGCGTTCCTTGATTCAAATAACCGATAGATGAAGATAATGAAGGCTTTTGGATTGTGAAGGCTGTAATGGTCATTGCGCCCTCATGCTGCTCATGCGTTGATTCTTCATTGCTCTTTTGTGTTATTGAGTATAAAAAAACTAAGGACTAAACAATAACTGCATGTTGGATATATGAAAACAAATATACATGTACAAATATGCAACTCATGACCCTGCACACATCCATTTGCTCTTTTTTTTTTTTTTTTTTTTTTTTTACTCATTAAGAATAGACTAGCCTAGCTCTACTTCTTTTTTTTTTTTTTTTTTTTTTTGTGTTCCTGTAATTCATTTGAATGCATCCATCCGTGTTAGCGAATCGGAATCCGATCCTTTAGATCTGTTGTGAAAAAAAAAAAAAAAAAAAAAAACTCATGCTTGAGTGGATAAGGGCATATCCGATAATGCATGATTTTATATACATGTACACATACACTTAATAAGAACGAAAGAAGCGATATGGTTTTAAGTTTTTTGTTTTTTTTCCTCATCCCTAAAGCCTGAGGTTAAGTTACGGAGTTGTCTTAATGTTCGATCATAAATGATATATATTAACAGACAATCAGTCAAAGCGCGGCTCTCTAGATTCTGTAGGAAAACCTCCCTAGGAGAGCGAGCTATCTTTTATGGCGCGCGTTCATGAACCTTTTACTATATATATATATATATATATATATTTTTATTTTTTTTTTATTTAACCTAGCTAGACTTGATCAGACTTGACTTGGTCTTGACCTTGACTACGAACATGGTTTTAAGATTGATTTTTTTAACTTACTTTTTTTTATGTAAGGCAACAACTTTTCAAAAAAAAAAAAAAAAAAAAAAAAAAAAAAGAGAGAAAAGGTATGGATCATCAAATACCTTTCTTTTTAGTAAATAGGTATCGGATGTTGTCATGAGACAATGAATGTGGATATATAAATGTTTATAGAATTCATTTGAAGACTTAGTTCAGGATTATATCTCCTATACCTCCACCATGACAAAAAAATAAAAAAAAGATGGTTTGGAAACATGATGCAAAAGTGTATACTCGAGATCAGATAACTTCATATTGTCCACATGTCTGCACAAGACCCCTACTACGATCCATCCAGATCATCTACTTCCTTGTCTTCGTCCCCCTGGCAGTAATTGAACTTACTGTTCCATGTTCGTTTTACTGTCTGGTGCTTGTACAAACGACATGTTTCATTTAGGGTGGCGTTGATTGGACCCCTTAACACCAGAATTCCACATGTAAAAAATATTGCACACATTGTTCAGCTGGTGGGGCTTGGGATTTGTGCGTCAAGGATCAAGGATAGATGACTTTTTTTTTTTTTTTTTTTTTTTTTTTTCTCGCGTGGTAAATACAGACAATCTACTCCAGTCACTAAAACCATTTGGCAGACTTCCTATCAAGCAAGCAAGGAATACCATAACATTGCATCCTTCCTTCTCCTACCAAATCCACTAAAAACAAAATCAAGAAATAGGGAATAAACAATTAAAAAAAAAAACTTTTCCTTTTCCATCATCTTTTATTTCCGCCATGAATCGAATTGATCTGAGTCTGGACGAAATCATCAAGACAGAACGTCAGGAGAAGAAAAAATCCAAAACACCAGCAGCGACAACAGCCAAGCCAAAGAAAGGTGGAAATGTTGGAATCCAAACTAAGAGTGCCGCCATCAGGACTGAGAAGGGCATTAAGACTGGCAAAGCCAAAGCTAAGGCTAGCTCACCATATGCTGTAAGCCCCTTCTCTTCTCGCTTGCTGAGATCATGAACAGTTTTTTTTTTTTTTTTTTTTACAAACCTTATGATGAGAGCAATGAGTGATGCACATGTCCTGTTTTGTCCTCATTATATTAGAATTAAGTGTCATCAGGAGACATCAAGCAAAAATGTGCTTTTATTCATCTCACCCATGGCTTTTATTATTATTTAATCATTCTTCACTGAATAGCGCCCAGCCATTGTGAAGAAAGAAACTGCACTGTTCACGGAATCGTACAAGGCTGCCACAGCACCGGTGACTCAGATATTCACAGCGGGGTATATTCCCAAGCCTGCCACATCCTTAAAACTGTTTACGACCAATTATAAGAATAAGCAGAACAAGCAAAAGGGATCATCAGGAGATGATGAACAAGAAGGAATTGATAGGCCCATGACAACTGCACCTTTGCGCCTTGTTACAACACAGTCTGTTAAACGAGAGAATGTTTCATCGTCAACTACATCAGGAGTAAGGGGAGGAGTACCAAAAGCGGCACCAGTGCAAGCTCAAAAATTAACCCTTACGACCAATCACAATGACCGTCGTAACCTTAACAGCAACAGCGACAATGGTAACAACAATAGAAATAACGTTGATCGTCATAGGGACAGCAGTCCGTATGAAGACGAACGTATTCCTACAGGACCTAGAAATCCCGGTGGTCCAGAAATGTCTTCATCAAGTGGAAGCCGCGGTGGAGATTACTATCGTTCTAATGAGAGGAACGATAGGGGCTATAGGAATGATCGTGATAGATATGATAGATTTGCTCCTGGTGACAGGCGCGGAAGTGGTAATGGAGGCGGAGCAGATGGCTACAATGAACCTCGTGGTGGACCTGGAAACAGTAATGGACGAGGCAACAATAACAACAACAGCGGTCGCGATACTATCCAGAGACGTGGCGTCAGCCCTAGAGCCTCGGAGCAGAGAGTATACCAGGATAGTCAGACCAATAGACCACAACAATCGCAACAACATCACCAGCAGCAACAGTATCAACAGAACCAGCATCAACATCAGCATCAACAACAACAACAACAACAACAACAACAACAACAACAACAACAACAACAACAGCAGCAGCAACAGCAGCAGCAGCAACAGCAGCAGCAACAGCAGACACAGTATTCTCAGCAGCAAGCTAATAGAATATCTGATGTGGCTAGAGCTACATCCTCCATGGATATGGACATGGATATGGAAGACAGCAATCTGTCCATCAAGGGATCTGCACCCAATTCAAGCGTCACATTTCGTGGAGAGAGTGGTCCTGTGACGATCGAGATTGAGAACCTGGACCCTGGCACCACAGCAGAGGATGTCAAGGTAAAATATCAAAAAACCAAACTTGGAGTTATTTCAGTGTGACCTCATGCTTGCATCGATAGCCCTTTTTTTTTTTTTTTTTTTAGTGTCCTCAGCTTCCACAATATGGCTAATATGCTATTGCTTTGAAACGATTTTATTGTTTATTAGTATGTATGTTCGAGATTTGGTGAGATCAGATCCTGTATCTGTATCAATGGATTTTCTCAAGTAACTTATGCACGGAAGGCAGCTGGTATTGCAGCTATTGAAAACTTGCATGGAAAGAAGGCTGATAATGGTATTGTACCAATAAAAAAAGAAAAGAAAAAAAAAATAGATTCACAGAGTTTGTTAACGACAAAACACCGAAGGAAAAAAAAAAAAAAAAAAAAAAAAAAAAAAGACCTTTCTGTTGTTTAATAATTCGTTTTGTTTCCTTGTTATGTTCCCTTTAGGCAAAATCCTGCGAGTGACTATGCGTAGGCATGCTATTCTTCATGAAGAGGAAAGTAACTCAGCAGCACATCTTCCAACTCCAATTGCTGGGCCAATGAAGATTCTGACCAAAGCAGTGCAGGGAACGTAGGTTATCAACAATTCATTTTATTTCTTTGTTTTTTTTTTTTTTTTTTTTTTTTTACCATTTAATATTTTCTGTTTTGGCTAAGAATTGTTTTTTTTTTTTTTTTTTTTTTTTTTTTTCTTCATCAGAATCACCAATGCAGGTACGCTGTACTCGGATCAGCTGCTTGCAGCACAGCACATGCTCAAGGTACAGCAGCATAGGATGGAGCAGCTACAGCGGGAAGAACAACGTATTTCATCGCTGCGCATGCAAGCAGGACCTCAGCTTAGTAACATTAATTCACTCTCAAGTTCAGGTGGTAACCGTGGATTTTTCTGAGCTGAGCCAAGCTGAGCCAAGCTGAAGCAATGAATGAATGAACGAGTGCTATAAAGAACAAAGATGTTATTGTTCACACGTTAATGATCCCCTTGCGTGTTTTTATTATTTTTTATTTTTTATTTTCTATTATATTTTCCCGCTTACTATTGTTATTTTGCGTTTGCTTTTTTGCTATTAATTCAACGTCTTTTGTTGTGCTGGAATTATTTAGTGTGATATAGTGTATAAAAAATTGCGTAGCAACAGTTGTGAAACCCATCAGATAAAAAAAAAAAAAAAATTGAGTTAAAAGGTTCAGTTGGTAGTTGGTATAAAAAAGGTTGTTCAACTATTCGCCTGTGACACTGCCAGGACATTCCATCATTGTAAACAAGGATGAAGAAAAGGAATGAGCCCAAATATGGATTTGAGGTTCAAGGGATGGATAGGAGCATTTCAGGCGTAGGGTCATTTAATTAGACCCGCTTGACTAAGTTTTAATGCCCAGAAATCGATGGTAACACTCTGGTAGTATTTTCCCTCTCCTACTTGAAGGCAGGATCCGGATGGGAGATGTGGAATAGCGTGTGAAAGAAAGGGAATGTCTTGATTTGTCAATTCTGCATGCACGCATGTGTGCACAAAAAAGAAAAAGTTGTCCAAATTTGACTTTCGACCTGGTACAACATCTGATAACAAATCTTTTTTCTTTTTCGCACGATTCATTCTTATCCCTCTCTCCTCTCTCTCTTTCTCTTTCTCTTTCTCTTTCTCTTTCTTTTCTTCCACCTCCTTTTTATTCAGGAACAAAGAACATACACACATATTCACATATTACATACAATGCAGCTCATGTCTGGTCAAACTCCAAGTTCCTCTCTTCACCCCTCTTCATCTTCATCATCGTCTCAACAACAACAACAACATAATATCTCCTCCAATAACCTCCAATCCGAGTACGACAATGAAATCAAAGAGTTTCACTTCCATGTCTATTGGTTCCAAACCAATGTAGCATCTTATGAGAGCGCAGTGAAGCTTCGAGAACGGATCTTACAACTTGTGAAAGAAGGCTTCTTTAAGGGGGTGGTCCCATTGAAGAATGGAATTAACACAGTTCCTCGAGGACCTCATCCTGTTGGAAGTTTTGAAGTTTGGTGTGCTCGAGAAGATTTTGCAAGGTGCTATTCTTGGTTTGTATTGAACCGAGGCGCTCATTCCATCTTGATTCACCCCTTGACAAAGCAAGAAATCGAGGATCATTCTTCAAGAGCTGCCTGGTTAGGAACCCCTGTACCATTGGATTTGTCAAGATTGACTCCTTTTCTGGAGGAGGTTCCCTCACAGTACCCAGAATTGGGCTTGGGATATAGTGCACCCACTAACTAGACTCTGTAGCATTTTTTTTTTTTTTTTTTTAAAAAAAAAAAAAAAAAAACATAAAAACAAAAGACAAGCTCATACCAATTGAATGCATGAGATATTCGTACAATATATGTCAATAAGTGAAGGTTTGCACAGCAAAAGTGAAAAAGCAAAAAGACAAAGATGTACCAACTCAGAAACAGAAAGAGATTTAATGTAATAATGAACTGGCTGTGTGTGTGTGTCGAAGTGGCTTTTTTTTTTTTTTTTTTTCTCAGAATGCTGCTCAGCCTCTTGTTTGATTGAAGAGGAAGCATGGGAAAGGAGCCTAGAAAGTCTTTTCTCCAACTTTCAATTCTGATTCCCGGAAAAGAAAAGAAAAGAAAAGAAAAGAAAAAAAAAAAAAAAAAAAAAAAAGAATAAAGAAGAGGGACTCTTAAAGAAGTATCTACCTCTTTTCAAAGCAAAGATATGGAGCCTTTTCCATTCTAAACATCTCTTTGATAGGCTTTGAAAAGTTGTCAAACTAGTGAAGCCAGTCACGACTTCATAATGCTAGTGAGCAAACATGTTTTCTGTCAACTTCATCTATTTCCCGCATAAAAAAGACACAGCGCGCGAAAACTCTTTCTTTTTTCTTTCCTCTCTACATCCTTTTTCCCTTTTCCTTCTCTTCCTTTGTGAAGAGACGTTTCTCCTTCTTTCTTGATTTAAATAACCGGACCTCCAAGATGTATCCGAATCCATACCAGAACCAGAATCAGAATCAACAAAACGGTTACGGCGGTTTTCCTCCACCCACTTCGCCTCCTCCCCAAAATTCTCAATATCAACAAGGATCCTATGCTCCTCCTCCTGGACCACCACCACCATCTACTTATCCAGGCGTTGCCGGTGGGACTTCAGGCTATCCTCCACCTGCATCTGCACCTTATGGAGCACTACCATCGGGAGGATCCTCATCAGGGATGATGTACCCCCCTCCAAGCACAGGATACGGAGGTGCCCCAACGTCTGTTCCAGTTCCAGCGCCTCCTCCCAATGGGATGTACCCTCCTCCACCAGGACCCCCATCCAGTCAGTCTTATGGAGCACCAAGTCATGTTCCGACTCCTTATCCAACTGGAGGAATGCCAACTCAGGTTCCGTCTCCTTATCCTAATGGAGGATTGCCACCATTGCCCACTCCACCGTCAGGGCCCTATCCCTATGCTCAGTCACAACCATCATACCCTCCACCTACATCACCTGCTGGAAGCTCTGCGATGACGCCGTCTTATTCCATGCCAGCGATTCCTCAGTTCCCACAACCACAATATCATCAGGCTCATCAAGGCCATCAACACCCAAATCAGCAACCTTCGACCTTTGCGTTCCAATGTGGACCATTGTTGCGGTACCAAAACCTAGATATCCATAATGGACATTGGATTGGATCTGTATTAATGGTTGCGAGACCTGAAGCCATTGGACAGCCCCCACCAGTCTTGACCTGGAATGATGGTCGATCAACGCCTCAAGTAGTGATCGGTCAATCGATTGATACTTATAACCAGTCGGTCTTTTGGAGATTTGCTCTGGTGATTCCTCAGGATCAGCATGGAACGAAGAAGATTACCTATTCCATCAATGGGGGACCCCAATATTGGTTCTTTGTCGCAGGAAGGACAGAATCGTTCAGGTGGATGTTTTATTCCTGCAATGGATTCTCTTCTAGTACAGACGCTGGTATGTTTTATATTATTCTCTCATCATCATCAACATTATCATTTTATTTTTTTTTTATTTTTTATTTTTTTTTCTCCGACACTGGGGTCTAAGCAAAGAAAACAGGAAAACAAATCTGCGCCAACGACCTTGAACAACAAACACAAGGAGAACAAAAAAAGGGGAGAGGAAACGGAAAAAAAAAAAAAAAAAAAAAAAAAAGGTGTCCGAGGTCATTTGTACTTTTTTTTTCTTTTTTTCTTTTCTATTCCTTTACTTCTTCATAATACGATATGCGCGCTTTCATTCCTCATGGGTGTTTTCTTTTTTTTTTTAGTATCTTTTGTGGGAGTGGAGAGGATGGTTTTAGGTTATAAAAAAAAAAAAAAAAAAAAAAATGGCTGTGTGCACAGATGTAAAAAAGTTATTCCTTTTCTGGGACTTTTTCCCTTTTGTATTTCCGCCTCCTCTTTCCTCAATAAGCGTTTTTTTTTTTTTTTTTTTTTTTTTTTTATTATTATTGCTGTAATATAACGTTGAGGTTAGACAAAGAAGGAGTGGCGTGGAGTAGAGTACCAGGGATAACTCCAGCCCATGTTTTTTTTTTTTTTTTTTTTTTTTTCTCACTCCAACACTCCATGATAACTCTTTATTTCAAATTTTGTGTACGAGAAATTCCGAATCCCGAATAGGACAGTTTTTTTTTATTTATTGGAATGGCACATGCTAATGTATTTACATATAATGTTTTTCTTTTTTTCAACATCAACAATACACCCTGAACTGAACAACGAAACAAAAAACAAAACAAATCAAAAAAAAAAAAAAAAAAAAAAAAAAACTCTGAACAAATCCGACAGTCGCTCTTGGAGGTGCCAATCCCTTGTGGAATGATGTGTTGGCCAAACACACAGAGCAACCTTATCACGTCATGATCGGAGGAGGCGATCAGCTTTATTGCGACTCACTCTTGAATGAGAAGGAAATGGTTGAATGGTTGGCCATTACTTCGGTCGAAGGACGAGAGAAGGCCTCCTGTAGAACTGAGTGGACTCTTGCAATTGAGAACTATTATTTCAACCGATACTGTCATTGGTTCTCTAAGGGTACCTATGGTCAAGCCCTTGCTGCCATCCCTACCATCAACATGTGGGATGATCATGAGTAAGTTACAACAGTTGTTGTAAAAAAAAAAAAAAAAAAAGAAAGAAAAAAAATGGATTCCAAGAGGAGAGCTTTTTTTTTATTTTTTTATTATTATTATTATTATTATTATTATCTAATATGTATTTTTTTTTTTGTTTTGTTTTTCTGTTTATTTGTTTGTTTGTTCAGCACTATTGACGGCTATGGCTCATATCCAGAATCGACTCAAAAGAGTCCTGTCATGTCAACCATTGGAGCGATCTCACGTCGGTTCTACTTGTTATTCCAACATCACACCACTCCAGCATTGGTTCCCCAACATGGATACTTCTCTGCAGGTATTGGCGAAAACATTTTGACATCCTTGGGACCGACGACCTCGATCCTTGTTTTAGATGCTCGTTCAGAACGAACCAAGAACATGGTCTGTTCCGATCAGACATACGATTTAGCATTCGCCAAAATGTATCATGAAATTCCTCAAGGAACTCGACATCTCTTGGTTCAGCTGGGTGTTCCCATTGCTTATCCACGTTTAGTCTTTGCAGAGAATTTGATGAGTGGTGTCGGAAATGTCTTGGGAACTTTGGCTGGTGCGAAGAGCGTGGTCAACAAGTTGAATGGGGAACCAGAGTTGTTGGATGATTTGAACGACCATTGGACTGGTAAAGTCTCTCTTTCTTTCAAAAGAAGCAAGATAGATATTTCTGTATAAACTCTTTTAAAAACTAACGATTTTTTTTTTTTTTTTTTTTTTTTTTTTTTCTTCCCACCCATCTTTTAACAGCCAAGGCACACAAGGCGGAGCGTAACAAGTTCATTACTCGTCTTCAGAACTTTGCTAACGACCGTAAGATTCGAGTGACGTTCATTTCCGGTGATGTCCACTGTGCAGGTGTGGGCCGATTCCATGCCAAGATCTCACCACCAGAAAACGATCCTCAGTTGATGTATCAAGTGATTTCTTCTGCGATTGTGAATGAGCCTCCTCCAGATGGTGTAATCAGGTTGTTGCATTTCCAGGATAAAGTCCATATCTTGGAAGGTCGTGTCAAGACCTATGAAGACATGTATCCCATGTTCACTATCGACGTCGATGGAAAGCCTCTTCAAATGGATAAACTCATGCCTCGTAGGAATTTCTCGCATGGCTACTTCAATCCGCACACAGGTGGTTTAGACATCACCATCTTTGTCGAAAATGTTCGTGGTGGACCCGAGGGTACCCCTGGTGGTGACAGGGGTACGAAACCATACACGATCCATGTCCCACGCTTAGACCCATAAACGTCCAAATAAAATTAAAATTAAAAATAAAAATAAAAGTAATTAACACACTGAACATGGTTTTTTTTTTTTTTTTTTTTTTTTTTTTCAGTTGGGTTTCTATGAAAACAAAAACAAAGAAAAGCTTTGAAAGAAAGAGGGTATTAGAGGGTTCTTTTATTATGAGCTTTGGGGTTTGTAAGAAATGTGAAGAGGAATATATAAAAAAAAAAAAAAAAAAAAAAAAAGTATTGTTACAAGAAAAATAAGAGTAAAAAAAAATTAATGTGAACACAAGTCAGTAAGAATTTTCTCTTTAATGTCGCTGACTTTCTTTTGCAGCCCTGATGAGAGGTGCCAGCGTCCTGACAGAATGTGCTTTTGTAATAAAGGGATGTTTCAACAGTGCCGTTGCAGTAGGTCGCTTCTCTGGATCTACTTCCAAGGACAGATCCAAGAAGCTCTTAAAGTCTGTTGACACCTTATCCGGCTGCTGTAGCGTAGGTGTTCCATTGGTCGCAATCAAATACAATGCCTACAGATATTCATGAATATATTGGTTAGTTATAGCAAAGTAAAAAAAAAAAAAAAAAAAAAAACTTTTTGTACGTGCGCTTATCCATAGTTTGTTTTCACCTACTCGGAGTGGGTTCTCATTCAAGTATGGTGGCTCTCCTTCCAACATCTCAATCGCCATGATACCTAAAGACCAAATATCGACCTTGGGTCCATATTCCTTGCGGGTCACTACTTCAGGTGCCATCCAATAAGGAGTTCCAACCATCGTTGTTCTCTTCCCTTGGCTTTCCTTGAGTTGTGCACAGAATCCAAAGTCAGCTATAAATATAAAAACAGAAACAAAAAAAAAAAAAAAAAAAAAAAAAGTGAACAAGCAGGAGTTAGATGGCCAATATTTTCAAAACATATTTATGACATTGTATCAAGAAATGGCATGTAAAACTTGTGCCCACTTTAACCTTTTTTTTTTTTAAAAAAAAAAAAAAAAAAAGAAACATACTCAGTTTGATATCTCCATTAAGCGCCAGGAGTACGTTGTCGGATTTAATATCACGATGGATAACGCCTTTGGAGTGCAAATGTTCCAAACCCAATAGAACCTATAAAGAGGGGAAAAAAAAAAAAAAAAAAAAGTCAAGTCAGTAAGGTACTTACATTTCCTTGATATTATGTCTTCTACGTTTACGTTTTTTTTTTTTTTTTTTTTTTTTTTTTTTCCCACGAAAAGCCTCAATCATACCTCGCGGCAGACTGCCCCAATCTGAGGATCAGCCATCTCATTTGTAGTGACCACTTCTGTCAGACTGCCTCCTTCCATGTATTCCATGACAACCCATAGATCTCCACGGTACAGGAACGAGTCGATGAAATTGACAATGTTTTTGTGGCTGGATTCCTTCATGACCAAGATCTCGTTGATAATTAGATCTTTCTTGGGTTGCTGTTCCAGATTCATCTGTTTGATAGCAACGGACAAGTTGGTTCCAACCTGATATGCTGTATACACACCTCCAGAGGCGCCCTGTCCAATCTTGACCAAGTTGCGGTACAACTTTGTTGGATCTGCATCTGTACAAATGGCCTGCAATCGACGAATCACCTCTTGTGAGCTTACAGCATCCTTTTCTGCCTTCTTTTCACGGAGCTTTGTTGCAGTGCTAGGTCCAGTTGAAGCGCCATGTCCAGCTTTGGAGGAAGGGACAACAGTTGTGCCTTGATGATGGGGTATCTTCTTCGGCTTGGGTGGAGGCACCTTGGGCGTGGGTGCTGGCAAGGGCGCCGATACTGGGGGAGCCGGAGGCAGTGGTGGCGGAGATGATATGGGCGAAAGCTCTTCTTCCATCTTATCCGGTAGTTCCTGTTTATCGCCCGGTACCTGTTTTTTTTTTTTTTTTTTTTTTTTTTTTTGAGAGAGATTGACATTAATGCGATGTCTGTGTTTTTAAGCTTATGCAATGTTGCCTATACAAATGACTGCGGCCTTACCACCTCTACCGGGCGGACAACTGGAGGTTTCTTAATAGGCGGTAGATTAGGGGGTAAACGCTATTTCACATGACATCAAAGCACAGTCAGATCGTCATTTTTTTTTTTTTTTTTTTTTAATAGATATGCACAGCAACAATGACAATCGAATGACTTACAGTATTCTCAAATACAGGGCGAGGCGCAGGTGTTGGTGGAGGGGGACGGTCACGGCTAGCGCGGTCGCTCTTGGGTGAAGGGTATTGCTTCGCAGGTGGCGGTGGTACAGAAGGCTTGGCGGCATACTTTGCCTCGGCCTGCCCAAATTTCTTCCAGACAGCATCGTTCTGCTTGCCTTCTTGACTGTCAGTGTAAAATCCAATGATGTCAATGACCGCCTGTGGGTGTGCAGCCTGGTCCTGCTTTGAAATTCCGGACTCTTGCAACAATTGTTGCCATTCCTTTGGCAGACCCTAAAAATCAGGTCAATGCGACGATTTCAAATAAAAAAAAAAAAAAAAAAAAAACAATCCACACGGACACATCAATCTCTTTGCTTCATTTTTTTTTTTTTTTTTTTTTTTTTTTTTCACTTGTCCAGGATAAATCAAAAAAAAGGGTTTCCTGAGGTTCTTTGGTGGTGAATGCCTCTGAAGATATCTGCACTTACTGTGAATTCGCCAGTGTCGAGGTTATAGCCTACATGTGTCAAATGGACTGGGTTGTAGGGCGAGGAGATCTCAATCTTTTTATCTGATGAGAGCAAGTCTAGAAGGAACAAGAGAGTAAAGGGACACAAGTATTTTATGAGCATGGGATCAAAAAAGATATACATGGTCCTGTCATCCATGTTGCTCTTTCGCATGTGCCACATTCGTCAAAGACAGTAAAGAGTTTGGTCTGTGGTTTTCTTTTTCTTTTTTTTTTTTTTTTTCTTTTTTTTTTTTTTTTTTTGTGTTGTCCTGATTTCTGTACTGCCCTACTCTGCTTTGCCCTGTCCTGTTTTCGTATAGTTTTGTTCACTTGGAGAGAAGAATTGCCCATCCTTTCATGTGTCCTGTTCTCCGTGTTTATGGGTATCGGCCTGGAAGAGTTCTAAAGGACGTACCTGTCATGGAGTTCATAAAGTTGCTTAAGACGCCCTTGAAAGTGGAGCGGTTTGATGGATAATCAGAGGGGTCAAAGCTGTGGTGGGAACGAGAAGATTTTGGCGAAGATGACTGTGAGGTCAAGCTGAAGTTGTTATCTGAATGATTGGATCGTAACGAGTCATGGGGCGTATTCAGCCTGGAATTACTGCTGTTGCTGTTATAGCTATTATAGTTGCTGTTGCTGTTGTTGCCGCTGTTGCTATAAATGTTGTAGGCATAGCCTGACTCGTTTTGTCGTGATGGCTTTTGTGGAGGAGGAGGACCTTTCTTTGGCGGAGGAACCCTTGGAGGTACTGGTGCTGATTCTCTATCTATGAAGTCGTGACAAAACAATACGTGAATAAAAAAAAAAAAAAGAAAAAAAGAAAGAGAGAGCAATAAGCAAGTCAAGAGCTGTATCTTTAAAAAAAAAAAAAAAAAAAAAAAGTGAGAATAAGGAGAGCTGTGGAGTATGTTATTTCTTACTGGAAGAGGTAGATGGTCTTGGTGGTGGAGGGGCTTGGCGCTGAGGGACAAGGCCGTCTGGTGAAGGAATCATAGACATTTCAAGGTGTGAGAAGAGGAAAATGAATGGATAAAAAATAAAAATAAAAATAAAAAATAAAAAAAAAAAAAAGTCAGCGAAAGGAGAGGAAGAAAGGAAAAAAAAAGGAGGCAGAATAGAAAGAACGTGCGATTTATAAGATTTATAAGAGGAAAATAAAATAAATCAAAAAAAATAAAAGGGTCAGTTGAGCTTGTTGTAGTTCGTTCGTTTTTTAGTTTTTAGTTTGTGAAAAAAAAAAAAAAAAAAAAAAAAAAAGAGTCAAGCATGGTTCATTGGGCCACGAGTTTTTTTTTTTTTTTTTTTTTTTTATTCTCCATGCAAAGGTGAATAGCAAATGAAGCAATGACATGACTCTTTTGGACAAGTAACTCTCAAACACACTAAATAAAACTCAATAGATGTCTCGGAGTGGATAACGTCCTCCGTCTTGGGAATATTATATGATTGTTATATATATTAATAATTTGCCACCACAAACTTACCAGGAAGTGGCGGCGCAGGTCGATTACTACTCAAGGACGGTCGTGAAAGGTTCCTGGGCAGTGGAACAGGGGACGTAGTTGAATAGTAACTGCTACTGCTGTAGTTGCTATTGGTATTGGCACTACTGCGATTGTTGTTCATGTCGCTGTTGTAGCCTGGGCTAGAGCTACTGTTGTTAGGGTTGCTATGAATATTGCTGTCATTGTTGTTATTGTTGTTATTGTAGTGGTGATTCAGGTTCAGACTTTGTAGACTACGGATACTGTTGCTATACTGAAGAGGGCCATTGCTACTTAAGGAAGAATGTTTACTATGGTTACTATTGAGACTCGAGTGTTTATAGCTGATAGGCGTATGGTATCCATGGGGCTGATGACCATGATCAAAACTTTGTTGATGACTGGCAGTGGAATTGACGCTGTCCCGTGCATTGGCAGTGGTGGCTGTGGCAGTGGCAGTGTTGATCTGGGTAGTGCCAGAAGTTGGAGACGACATCTCAAAGAGAGGGGAGAAGGAAAGACGGAGAGAAGGAAGCGAAGGAGGAGGAGGAGGAGGAGAAAGAGGAGCCGAGTCTGAGGACGAGGGCTGATCCGAAGTTGGGGAGGCAGAGGTGTAAGGCGAAGAAGAAGAAGAGGGGAACGTGCCTACAGAATACATGTTGATTGTTTGTAAAGAAAGGAAGGTTTTATTTGTGCAAAGAAGCACACAAATTTACTTTTTGTTAATGTATCCAGATGAGTCGAATGAAGCAACAGATGTAATTTAGAACTGAATGTCAATTTGAAAAAAGAAAAAAGAAAAAAGAAAAAAGAGAGAAGAAAGAAATGGATAGAAAGGAAAGATGGAGAGAGAAAGCCAAGAGAGAAATAGAGATATGAGTGAGAGCAAAAAAAAAAAAAAAAAAAAAAAAAAAAAAGCAGCTTGTAAGCCTGTCTATGAACGATGAACCAATCCATATTCAACATTCACGTCGATGTGCATTGACATCAACAGATGAATTACATGCATGAGCTGCACACATTCATGTGTGTGTAAATGGTTCTTCTGGTGTTGGAGAAGAAAAAGAAAAAGTCAAGAGTCTTTTTCCATGATTGCTGGGTGATGTGATACGATGCAATGCACGGATGTTGTTCTGCTGTCGAATCGGATATATCGGATAAAAAGGACAGACTAGATTCCTGAGGTGCACCATTGACATAACACAGAGTTACCCAGGGAGCAGAAAGGGCATTGGGGGAACGAGAAAGATTCCTTCAAGTGGAGATGACTTATGATGATGCAAAAGAAGAGAGCACAGGCGCGGGTCTTTTTTAGTGCTCCTAACAAAAATACAAAATGCACAAACTCATTGGACAGTATGATATCGCGATTGCTAAGCAAAGAGCAATGTCTGTCCGTAATGTGATAATGTGATAATGTCTCTCCACCTCATTGAACTCTAGAGCCATTACCCTTGTCCCTGATCCTATTACTCAAAGATCGGTGATCTAGTTCACACAAGAGAATCACAGTCATCAAGTCCATCTCCACCATTCGATCCCTATCCTTTGGCGCGTCGTGTAGTTTCGCATATCCAAATCAATTTTAAATGAACACACCGATACTGCTATCCCTCTATCCAGTAATCGCTACATTGCCCTACTACCCGCCTCTTTGTGTAAAACTTCCTTGACACCAGAGGGCAGATATTCCTTTACTTCTCTTGGTCAATCCATCAATGGTGCACATGTTACATGACATAGACCTCTCTCCCTAGTTACACCACTGCTTCCTTGCCTGTTCAAAACTTTTTTTTTTTTTTTTTTTTTTTATATATATTTATGTATTTATTTTACTTTTTTTTTTTTTTTTTTTTTTTTTTTTGCATTCAATTCATTCCTTTTTTAAATCATTCCCTCATTCTTCTCATTTGACCATGAAGGACGCGAACATTGAAAAGCAATATGCCACCTCAGGGGCAAGACTGAATAACTTTATCCGAATGGCCATGTTTGTGCTCCTTGCCGCAGCCCTCTTCCAATCAATTCTCACGCCCATTAGCCCCAGACGTGCCTATTGGTGGTCCAATATCAAGAATCTCGGTCGATCGTTACAATATCATGGTCAAGATATCAACGCCAACTTTTTCGAAGGTTGGTATTTCAAGATGGTTAAAGAAAATGAAGGATCCGATCATAATAACAGTACTGTACAAGGGATGGCCGTCATCATGGGCATCTATCGACCTCCTTTGGAAGCTCAAGACCATCAACGTGCACATGCCTTTGTCTTGCCGCTCGGACTCTCTGGCCCTGAGAAGTATGCTTACTACCGCTTCCCAACCGAAGAATTCGTCGACTTTGGTAGTCATCTCCCTGGCGAGGAACGTGCGTTTCGCATTCGCATCGGAAACAATTTGTTTGCACATGACGAAGTCATCCTTGACCTTCCTGTCAAAAACTTTGAGCGAATCCCAATTGATGAACTCGAGGCATTTTATGCTGTCGCAAGCGCCGAATATGGACTCCAGTACCTGCAACAGGCTCGTCGGGAGAAGAAAGCCCATGGAGAAGGTGAAGAAAAAGTTAATGAGCAGCCACTTCCTTTGACATTCTTCAGAGGCCTATTCCCAAGCACAGCACAGCTGAAGGAAGCAGAGCTACTGGAACCGTTTGCAATCAAGGCTCACTTCAAGTTTCCTGCTAAAACGCAAACACCCCTACCGAAATCGCTTTTGTTTCCTACTATCATGGGTATTACACATTATATTCCATTCCTTGAATGTAATCATGGTGTTGCCTCGTTACAGCATCCCATCCAATACGGTCGAATTATGACATTATATGGTAACAACTCGATCGTATCCGAAGCGACCTTTGATGGTGGCATAGGCTACATCGAGAAGGATTGGGGAATTAATTTTCCTTCCACATGGTTCTGGGCACAAACCAACATGTTTAGGAAATCTCCAGGGTCATCAATGATGGTAAGAATGATATGTCTATGCTCAACTGTTTTATTAAATCTAAAGAGACGACGCTTTCGCATGTTAATTTTTTTTTTTTTTTTTTTTTTACTCTCCTTCTTGCTGTAGGTTTCGGGCGCGTCTGTGCCTTGGTTGGGTCCTGATGTTACTGACTGGATCGCCACACACCTGCCAAGGGCTTTACCGCTTACAAGATTCGCTGGGATGTTGATCATCTACTATGACGCAGCCTCCAAGACCCTATACAATTTCTCATCATATATGCCCCTAGCTCGTATCAAGCATCTCAGATTCGCCTTGGATGTGGAAGCAGGCACTCAAACAATGTCCCTTCACGCGACAACTAAAGATCCCAACGGTAATTTATGGGAGAGAGTAGCTTTAGAGATCAATGTGACTAGAACGATGGGCACAGGATACCCATTACGTGCTCCAAATCGCATGAGGGGTAAAATGGCCGTAACAGTTGAAGAGACTGTTGTGGCCAAAACTCGAGTCAAACTCTGGCGCGTTCGTTCGGGAGAGGTCCTTGTAGATGACGAAGGAATAGGAAGTGGGGCTGAAATCGTTGGCGACGCCTTATGGTTAGAGAACAGGATTAACTCGTAGCTATTCCATGCATAACTGCAATAGAAAAATAAATAAAAAAAAAAAAAATCTAAACACCAGACTGTAGTCGATGCAAACTTAGTCCCCTACGGCCTCTTGTGGAAAGATTAAAATGATTCCGACGAGTTCCGCTAAAATCTCCGATGCGCGCATAGAAATAATGTCAGCCCAACCAAGGAGCTGCAGTGCATTTATATATTTATACTCCAGAGGTCTGCACTTTAGTCTATGTAGTTTAAAGTTCTAAGACTGTACATGTACTCAACCAGCAATCAGCAACTGACCAGAATTTGTGACGTCTAGAGATGCGGCAGTGCTCTTAGACCTCCCCCAAATATCAATGTCTTGTTGAAGCGGTCTTGAAGAAGAGAGAGTAAGTGGACGCTATTAGAAGAAAGACAGCCATGATGATAATGGTGATGGTGATGATGGAGGAGAAGGAGTCGCGTCTTTTTTTTTTTTTTAAATGTGTCCAGACTCGCTTCCTATTTGACCAGTTGCAAACACTACAAGTAGTCTGACTATTGCATGCCCCAGAACTCTTTCATTTTATTTAAGATTGGAGAGTTGACAACTCATCTTTTTATTGCAAAAAAAACTCTTTCGTGAATCAGTAAATGGGCGGTAGAAATACCACCACGGATATGCCTACATGTACACGCGTTTTTTTTCCTTTTTTTGTACGGTTATTCATCAATTGAACGAAGTGCCTTCATGAGACCAACAAACTCGTTAAAGTCGAGCTCTCCATCCCCGTTGGTGTCAAATTGCTTGATGACATTAGCCAAGGTCTCATCAGATACGTCTTGCTGAATCAGTTGCTTGAGCTCGCTCGTGGCAATGCGACCATTCTTATCCTTGTCGTAGTTTGCAAATGCTTCCTTGAGGTCAATGATTTCTTCGGGAGTGAAGTCCATTTTTAATGATATAATGCGTGGGGTATTTTCAAAAATATAAAATGAAGAGGAAATGCGCGTTACAGATGAATGGCGAATTGTTGTGAAGAAGAAGGATGAGCTTTTCTTTCTTTTCTTTTGAGCATTTAGCAATGGAGTGAGCATGGTCCCCTCTCAATTGAAGAGGGCCACTAACCGGTCACACAAAAACAAAAAAAAAAAAAAAAAAAAAAACGTTGGTGTGCGCCACAGGAAGGTATAAAAGGGTCCCTGGATCGATTCTCTTGCTCTTTTTCTTCTCTTCTTCTTTTTTTTGTTATGTTAACCTTTCACGCGACAACCTCCCGACCCATTCCCTACCGGAGAGGACAGCCCCGTTTTCGTACCCCACCTTGACAGACTTTTACTTTCTTTTTGTTTAATCTGCACTATCTTTGTGTTTCTAGCTTCATTATTTGTTGTATCCCCTGTATTTCTACACTTGCATTTTTTTTTTACTTTCCAATCATTCATCATAATGCCTTCTCAGACTCGTCCTTCACCTGCGGCCTCGTCGTCGAATATTCAGGCTGCTAACCCTCATCCTCCTGTTACTGGCGTCCCTTGCGAGCAACCCAATGCCACTATCGCTACGTTGGTCTTTCGAGATGGCACCTCTTATCAGGGTATCTCCTTTGGTGCTGAGACCAAGAGCATTGCCGGCGAGTGTGTCTTCCAGACAGGTATGGGATCCATTGCATTTTGCATTTGAGCTTCGACAGTTTGCCCCATTCGTGTGAATATCCCAATCCTTCTCCATCATTGTGGGGTAACAAGCCGCGCACAGATCGCGTGT